GGGTGTACCGCCCGCGCCCTAGCCAGAAACTGCCTGCGTGGCGCGCCCCGCCCGCGCGGGCGGGCACGAAAAAGGGGCCGGCCCCAGGACAGGCGTGCGCGGGCGAAGGGGCCCGCAGGAAGGGTGGCGCCACTTATTTTGCCCACTGGACTGACTGACTTCGCCCGGTCGGTCGCAATGGCGGTGGGCACGCACCCACGCAGGCAAACCAGCTCGGCGGCCGAACTGCCGGCTCGGTCTCGGAGCTGCTGAACTATGTTGCTTGCGATGTTGTTGGTGAGCACCGAAGTGATGCTGTCGCCCTGCAAGGCCTCGGCCAATAGCGTCTTCACACTTGTCTCGAGGCTCGTAACTTTGTTCTGGCCGACTTCTTCCACGCGGCGAATCGCTTCGCTGTGGTCCTGCTCCTGTTGCTGCTTCTGTGCGAACTATAGATTGCCCTTGCGGGCAAGTTCGGTTTCCGTTTCATTTCGCAGTGGCCGAGCTTCGACCTGCGCAGAAGTTCTCAAGTCCTGGTCTTTCTTGAGCGCCTCGAATTCCCCGCGTAGCTTCGCGCTCGCCTTCTGCAAAATTTCCACCGTATGCGACAATTCCAGAACCTTCGCCTCCGTTCCTCGTAATGCCTCGCCACCTACTGGCACTGCTTTCGGCGCGAGTGGTTTTGGGGCTCCAGTTGTGTCTTGCGTTTGCTGCTCCGCAGAACGGAGCGAGTGGTTTTGGGGCTCCGCAGAACCGTGAATCCCTGTCTGACGCAGACGGAGACGGCGAGTTCCTCTTCCTCGTCGAGCAGACACAGACTATATTATATTTATATAAATTTGAAATTGAATTTTATGACGCATGCAAATGGCCTTTTTGCATGAGAACAGAAACAGGAATTTGGACAGCTCAGGTTCACTCGCAACAACAAAAACTCCGCACCGAAACTCACTCGGGACCGAGAAAGAGGAAAGCACTTCAGCCCCTGCCGTCTCACCAAACACAGTCTCGCTGCCCTATGAAGCAGAAGAATGAGATAATGTAAGGGAGTGCTCGCTTGTTTGTCGTGTCATAGAATTTTTATGGCGGACAGGGGTACCGGTTCACCGACCATAAAACCATATTATATTTATATAAATAGTATGTATTAGAAACCGGTAAGTATGCGTCTTCCTTTTGCAGGCTGCGTTCGTCCATGGACATCACGACGGACGAATTTAGTGAAGTAAAAACGAAAACTTGTTTCTATGTATTTTTTTTCAGAAGGGTACTAGAGGCAAATAAAATTAAAAATTTCAATTTTTCTTCTTTCATCTACTAGCCCAGCAAGTCCTCCAGTTCTGACTCCAAGGAGGACGCGGAGGCCCTGCTGTTTCGATTGTCCTTCAAACTACTCTCGTCAATGATACCGCTTGCCTTGCTGTCTCGACTTTCGCCATGACTTGTGCGTGAGTTCCGAAAATCCAAATCTCGTCCTCCAGCAGAGGAATGCAGATCAGAAACCTCCTCTTCAGCCTTTCCGGACTCCCTGTTGCCAGGCGCGGCAGCGCAGACATCTGTAATATCAGGGAGCGAAGCGGTGTTGTCTCCTAGAACAAGAGCCTCCGCGTTTTGATCCTCGCTTTCTTCCTGGATCAACACGTTCGCTGTACTTTTACAACTAGGCTCCTTACTCTCTGAAAGTTGCCTATTTTTACGCGTCGTTTCGGCGTCCAGCTTGTTCGCAGCGACGAGAGCTGCAGTTATAGCGGTACTTCTAGAAGCTTTCATTTTCCGGCGAAGGTACTTCTCGATTCGATCCTGTAAGGTGGCTTTCGACGTTTTTGCGGCTTTCGCAGTCGTACTTCTTGAACACGTGGGATCCCCGTGCACCAGCGATCGGCTTTTTCTTCCGTGTAGCCGTCGCGCCCAGCACTCGCTGATTCGCACGATATCGTTGGCAAGCGCGATTGCTATTTGGTGTTCAGCACGATTGATGTACTGACTTGTTTCATCCAAAGAAGACTCCGTCCGTCGATCACCACGTCGTGGTGGAACTGACGGCTTCCGGCTCGTCCCTGTATTCACTTGCGCTGCTGTACTCAACGTGAGGTTGGCTGTGTCTTGCCGTTTCAGCGTCGACTGACGAATCTGCTGCACCGACACATTCGTCGCGGTGCGCCGTCCGGTGGACACCCGTCCGGGCGGCGGAAAAAACGACCCATTGTTAGGACTACTCGCACCTCCGCCCGCGCTGGTGGGAGCACTTGCCTTGTTCTTCAAATTGCCGCTTGGTCGGTTGCGCCCGCGCGCAATGGAAGACCGGCTGAAAGTCACCGACGACGTACCGCGTGCGCTTGTCACGGACCGAGTTTCCCCTCCTGTGTCGGGGTCCACCTCCGCACCCTTGGTTTTCCCGGTCGCCTTTACCGTTCGCTTTTCCGCACTGCTCTCGCTAGTATCGGAATTCCGGCTACCGTGGCCGGAAGAATTTTTCGCAGATGAGTTTTCATCGTCAGAGCGATCATCCTCTCCGTCATCCTCGTCCGAAGAATCCGGAAACTGCTCCGTGTTGAACACTTCCTCTCCGAAATCCATGTAGCTCGCGAAGTGCGGCAACAGCAGCTCCAGTCCGTATTCCAAATCCGCGGTGGCGTTCTCGATTTGCGTTCGCTTTGCCTTGACCTCCGCAATCTCCGCGTGTTTGCGGTCGACTCGATCCTGCAGTTTTCCCTTCAGCACGAACTGAATTTTTTCGATGGGGTTTTTCGCCTCCTGTACCTCGATGAACTTCGTGATGTCGGTCAGTTCGTTCTGCAATTCCGCCTGCTTCTCCAGGTGTAGTTCTTCTTCCTGTTTCCGCTCCCGCACCAGGTTCGCGAACAACTCCGAGAACGTTCGCAGCAACTTGCGCAACAAACTACCCCGCTCGACACATTCCCGCTCGCAGTCTTGCAAGCAGTTCCCAAACTGCAATGAAATTTGCGCCACCACGTTCGCCAGTTCGGCGACAAGGAGCTCCTCGTTGTTCTTCTGCAATTGTGCAAGCACTGGTCGTGCTCCACTGGGTAAAGGCAGCACATCAACGGAGTTTTTCGTTGTCGCGCCGAGCAACTTATTTACTCGGACCGGAGAGGGCGTGTCTTTGGCTGTCGGGTAGTAAGAAGTAGATCTGGTCTTCGTAAAGATACTGCCAGAATGTAGTTCCTCTGGTAGTTGTTCCTGCAGCAGCGGGTACAATGTTGTCGAGCCGGCGGTGGCTGTGGCAAAAGCGCGGTCAACCGCCTGTCCCAGGGCCGGCACCGATTTCGTCGCCGTCGTCGATGCGCCGCGCCTTGACGTCGTCCTGGATTCTACTTCCGACCGGTTGTTACTTGAATCGTGCCAGTTCGCGCGTAAGCACTGCCTCTGAATGCGCGCCAATCGCAGACCCACGTCAGCAGTGAGGGGAAGCAGGCTGGTCGCCCGATCCCAAAAATGAATCCCGGCTGCCGCAGCATCGTCATGTAGATCCTTATCCTCGTCCACGTGTTTATTTTCCGCGTCCCAGCCTAATGCCGCTAAAGTGGTCAGATTGTCGCGACCGTGCCGCGGGGTAATATCGTCCAGAATACCGCGAGATGCTACTTTTGCGTCCGCAGTCTTGTTAGGGAAGGGAAGAGCACCTTCGTTCTCCAATAGCGCTAGGTGGTCACGGCGTAGCTTCTCCGCGACATGCTTGACTTGCAAAGCGCGCATGTTCCTTTTCTATCTTAATGTCAGAGTGCTTGTTCCAAGCTCCGGACGAGGGTCAACATAACGATGTTCAAAGCTACATATTAGACACATCGCTCACAGTAGTACGTGTGTGTGATGGAAGGGCGAGGGACATATTGACTGAGACACGGCTTGTTTCAAAACTGCGTCTGTTCTTGCGCCTGGATGCACAGCAATCAAACGGGAAGGAACGAAAAAATTCCCTGCAAAAATTAAAAAAAAATTCGAACACGATTTTGGTAGCGGCAACGACTTCCACCAGTCTCCTCAGTAGGAGCATACTTATTAGGTAAGTACTTCATCGATGTGCTACAGTTGAGGTGGCGGACAAAGTTACGTCTTGCAGCTTGCTTCTGCATATTCGCTGGAACTCATCGCACAGCTCGTCCGCAAATAAATGCAAGGACTCAATACTGGATGTACTTTCCGCGGTACCCACATGTTCACTCTGAATTTTACTTTTCAGCCGAGCTGCGATGTCTTTCTTTGCTACTCCAAGTTGCTTTGCCAGCATCTGTTTCTGGGTTGCATCTACTGCGGTCTCCAGGGACAAGGAGATAAGCTTCCGGCAGCGGGATTCCAGCAAGTCCTTTAGTTCACCGAGCGCGGCTGCACTTGAGTCAGAGTCCTTGTCTTTATCCGCAAGAAACAGCTCCTGCTCTGGCTTCGGGACGGCGTCGGGCGTGCTTGTCAAAATGAATTCCACTACCTCCTCGAAACTTGTTGTTGGAAGTGATTGTGGCTTTTGGACGCCCTCCTCGCGCTTCGAAAAATCCTCCACTCTAGTACTCCCAGCCGCGTCCTCCTCATTCATATCACCGTAGTCTAGGTTCACTACGTGTTTCTCCCAGGTTGACCCCCGGCTGGTAGCTGTGGACGTCGGCGCCTCCAGCACTTCCGCCATGTTGAGTAGTATGGCATCCGGAACGCGAGCGCGACCCTGTCGCTGGGCGTTCCGCAAGAGGCAGGACTCCAGGCCGGCGCGAAAGGTTATGGTTTTGTACTGGCACCGAAACTCGCGCGCCAGTTGGAAAAACGGCTTCCGCATCGAGCGCAGGTAGAAATTGTCGTCCAGGAGATGAATCGTGCACTTTTTTATTACGCCGTCGTCAGGATCTCGTCCCTTTTCTCCAGCCAACGCGTTTCGCACATTTGTCACCACTGCACCCCGGGCTTCCCGCCATTTTTCAGGGTCAAAAACGGTGCTCAACTCCTGCTCGAGTTTGTCGTACTCGTGCAAGACCAAGCGTGCCCTGTCGCCAATTTCACGCTGAAGTCGGGCGCAGAGCGACGACTTCCCCGCGGCCGGTAGCCCAACCAGAAGGACGACTTGATTGGTGCTGCAGACTTTCTCGTCCAGCGGGGTCGAGCCACGTTGATACATTGTGAATGCGCACAGGCTCGAAGCCGCTCGTTTGTAAAGTAAAAGTTTGAAGAAAGAAGCCACTATACATGAGCTTTCATTTTGTTTTCGTCTTCGAATTTAGTGCGGAAGCACACAGAACGAGAATGCGATTGGCGCAGTCTATCGATCATACAGGTGTGAGCTGGTTGAAGAAGTTCACAAAAGCAATACAGAATGCGCGTCTGATATGTGAAAATTGTAAATCACAAACACGCACTCGCACGAGCAGAAGTATATAAAAATCTTGTTTCAAGATAAGTTTCTTTGTGTGCCATCCGGTCCGGCGACTCAGTCTCGCCAGGATCCATGTACTCCTAGCAGCGGCATCATTTTTATGAAGATCAACCGGAGCAAGACTTTGCGGGATCCGGATCTCTTTGTGCAAAGGAAGACGCACGGTCCCATTCGTTGAAAAGAACGTTCGTCTATCTACTGTGATATGCATATCAATCTATGGGTCAGGGTCGAAGATAGGCTATAAAAAAAAATCCACCAGAGCCAGTGGACACGAACACTTAGCAACGAGCATTTACCTGGCGCAGTCATTTCGTCGCAATTTCCCGTTGTTGTCGCGGTGCCCTCTGACAGCCACTGCACAAACTTTGCTCCGCATCACAACATTCTCCCAGGCCGAAGAAAGAGTCGGAGGATCGACATGGGACTCGCTCGGCCCATCAACCCTAAAGCTAAGTTAGTGCGAGTTCTAAGTCGCACCACGTTTTTCTCATCTTCCGCACAGGAGAGGACAACTGCCGGAAGAAAGCAGCCAGCGCTTCTACTTCATCGGTCTTGCCAGACTGCCGCCGATTCCTTGACGCCGGTGCGTTCCAATGGCGGCGGCGCGTCGGGCGTTGTAGGTAGCGACTTCTCTCTCTGCGGAAATTGAAAAAAGTCGCTCTCCTGTGTGGCTAGGCTTCGCGACGGTAAAAAGTCACTTTGCACAGCAGAGCTAGACGCCCGCTCTGCGCTACTACGATCACCAGTAGGCCGCATTGATATTGCGTCGTCTGAACCTGATCCTTCAGGGTAGTTGTACGGCGAGTCATTCTTGCTGGTGTGCATATGATCTGTTATGTTCGGCTCGGCTAGAGGCAATGGCGCCGGCGGGGTCGGCACCACGTGAGAAACGAGGTCAAAGTCTCCCGGTTCGGGGGGAACCACCACCCAATTGCCTGGGGTCGGCGACGTGAGGTCTTCGATGCTCACATGGGCGGCCCGACGCGAACTTGCCGCTTCGTGCGGAGCAGCTCTACTAGTATCTTCTGCGTCAGACAAGTCGGCGTCCAGCAAAGCCGCGGTCCCGGGCGCCGCACTCCCGATAGGCGTTCCGAGGCGCGAAGCAGTTGCGAGAAGCTTCTCGACGCGAGCCTCCATATCGGAAAGATTGGCGTGGTACTTGGTTGGGGTCCTCGCTTCGCCCCCGCTGCGCCAAGTTGTCTTGGAGGGTGATCCGAAATCCGAGACTACGTCCGTCAGTGGCGGATAAGCACTCGCCAACCCCCGCAAATACGCCTCGGCCGTCGGAGTCAGTGCCTGCCCAATGTTCTTCAGGTCATCGTCCTCACGCCCTTGCATTTGAGACGTACCGATACCCCGCAGCTTCTCGTCGTGGGTCGCGTTGTGGGGGTCGAACAGGGGGTCGACGGCGATGTGGCTGCCTCCAGAGAGCCACGACCGCGGAAACGACGTTTCATCTCCAGTGCCAGGAACGCTCGTCCACCGTGCGAACAAACCCTGGCGGAAATACACGTAGCAGAAGGCAAGAAAAAACACCGCAATCAGGCTTACGCCGATCAGAATGGTCATTTCGGCCACGTCCAGGCCGTCGTCCCCTGAACTTGTTGCGCCGGTTGCTGATGCTGTGCCACTGCCATGCGCCGCACTTCCACTCGCTCCGGCAACTTCAACGACGGGCCCCGTGATTCCGGCCACAAGCTCGGGGCCTGTCACGCTGCCAGATTGCACCGCCAGTGCGAAGAGATTGTCGCCACGCGCCGGCAGGGCCAGGTCTTGGATCTCCAGCCGCAGCTTACTTACAAAGTTGGAGCTTTCCGAAATCTGCCGGAGTTCGTTGCGAACCCCGAGTGCGTCCCAGGCTGTTGCGATATTGCGAAACTCCAACCCAAACAGAACACTCGAGGACGCCAAGGGAGGAGATGTTGAAGAAGTCGCTAGAGCGCGAAACGAAAAAAGTGATGCTGCTGCTGGATGAGCCCGCGTCTGCCTGTCCTTGGTCCGACGCTTGTTGCGTAAGGCAGCTGCATTGGGCCCTTGTACTTCTATGAGGCTTTCTTGTTCCTGCTTGCGCTCCTCGAAGCGCATCCTCTGTGCTGCGCAGGACACACATGCTGCAAGCTCCTGCGAATTTGGGGTTGACTTCTTCGCGCTTAGTGCGAGACCCATCTGTGCGAACACCAACGCCCTTTGCCTGCTGTTTATATTGTCTCTGTCCTGGTCTTGGTCAATAAAATGGTGCACGACAGTTGTCGCCGAGCTACCTCCATGTCCATCAAGATAGCGAGCAGGCACATCTTTCCGTTCCAACATGCGTGTTGCGTTTGCCGGAACTGGAACTGGAACGAACGAAAGCAATCGAGACACAGATCCACCGACATGCTGTGGCTTTTCTCCCTGGGGCTTAAGAGCTTCCTCGATGTGATGCGCGATCGTTGCTTTTGCAGAAACTGCTGGTGTCAGCGCTTGACTCTTCTTCTTCTGTACCGCTTCCCTTGTTGTGGCGAGTGTAGACGCCGAAGACAATGTAGATGCTCTCGTCTCAGCGCTCTCCCTTTCTGCATTTCTTAATCTTGCTTGTTCAGCCTGGAAGAGTTGCCTTCGCAAAACAACGACGGGCGGAAAGGACTGCAGCTCGAGGTCAGCCCCGTTCGCGTCCAAAAGAGTGACAGACGTGAGCACGATGTTGTCTGCGGAGATCCCGCCGCTAATCGTGGTCAACAGCGCCGTCTGCAGTGCTTGCCGAAACAGCGGGTCCTGTTGCAGCGCGGTCCGGTTGAAAAAAGCCGCCGGAAGCTGCATAGGAACCCGCAGCGTTGTGGTGACGTTGAACTTGTTAGGGTTGGCGCGCTTGGAGCAGCGGGGCTGAGCGCCTGGGCACGGTACCCACGTGTTCTGGTACAGCTGGAAGAGGTACGATGTTTTGCAGCCGCAGCGTGCTTGGTCGTGCTTCGTCTTCATAACAACCCCGGAACCCGCGTGGTTGAGACACTGCTCCGGGTGCGCGAACACTTCCGCGGGAGAGCAGGTGCCCTCCTGGCCGATCACGACCCGCAAGCCGGGCCGCGTCAGTTGATTCTCCAGGACCGCCATATCAATGCTGGACACCACGTCCGCGGCGCTCGTCAAGCAGACTTTCAAGGTCGGACAACAAAAGCGGGATGCGCACTGGTGCCCGTAATTGCACTTTTGCAACCGCTGCAGCTCCTGACCCGAACAGCTGCTGGGGGGCGCCAGCGAGGACAAGGCACAGGTCGCGCGATCATAGCAGGCGTCGGTGAAGCAAAAGGAACGCTGCTGGCAAGAATCCCCACAGTGGCAAAGCAGCTGCGTTTCTCCATCCGACGTATGACCGTAGATCGCCCGAGCTTGGTTGCACAGCTTCCCGCGCCACCAGCTGCACGGGCGCCCGTCGTCATCCCGGAAAGAAGGATCGTCCACGCACTGGCCCCAGACAGAAGTTGTTGTGCTGTCCAGCATCGACGTTGTACACAACGCGAAGGAGCAAAATGGGCGGGCCAGGCAGCTCGTCCTCAGGTCTATCAGTAGACTTTGACGACCGGGCGATGAACGAGACCTACTCATAGTCTGATAAAAATCCTCCCCTGCAACTACGCGCTGCTTGTTTCACTTCTTTGCCTGTGTACTCCTTGCTTTAATAGTGGACAGCACCACACTTACTTTGCACACGGTGCCGAGTTTGGCGCTCCTCGCTTCCTTCGTGTCCCTTTTACATTCTCGCTCACTGCGCTGCACTCGAAATCGCTCGCGCGAATAGCTCGTCCGGAAGCGAGCGCGCAAATGAAACCCAGCGTCGCAGCGACTGGCGAAAACACGCTCCTGGGCACGAAACTCTCTCGGGATCGGACAAGTGGATACGAACACTTCGTAGCGAGCTTGCAGCTTGTCCTGCTCGTGCTCCTCTCAACATCTTATTACTGAAACTTCTGCCGTTGTGTGTGTCGCTTACCGTCGTCCTGAGGGCAATGCCTGTGACGAATCATTATTTCTTCGCGATTTTCCGCTGTTCTTGTCATCTCCGAACAATAGTCGCTTCAGCGAGGCAATCGCTTGCTTTATCCATCGCAGTACGGTTCTCGGTCCCTCCCGCGCGAGGCGCTTGATGGCGTCTTGCACCAGTTTGAGAACGTCTGGCATGTATCTGTCAATCATACCTCCGACGTACTCCTTCACCCAGCCGAAGAAAGATATCATCTTGTTATCGTTGTTTGTACTGGGTGGAGAGGAAGATGACTCGTCGATTGTTGTTGCAAACGAAGCACTTATCCAAAGAAAAAAGCTTAATATAGCTGTAACTTTGTTGGAAGAACAGCATTACAAATCCGTCTGGCATGAGAGCAAAAACCTGTCATGCGCAGATAGCACCGCAAAACGCGCTTGAATGGACCTTGGAATGCATGACCAGCATGACAGATGTTGCCGATCTTCCATGTTGCGCATCACAAAGTTACACTGACAATCTTTTTTTCTTCGATAGAACTGGATGCTTGTTCCGATGCCGCCGTCCTTCTGCTGGCTCGCCGTGAGCGAAGATGTCGCTTCGCTTTAGCTCTTCCGGCTTCCCCGACGTCTCCTTCGTCGACTAACGCGTTTGACGGAGGAAATAACCGCAGCTCAAACAGCGTCATTAGCAGAGGGGTGATAGCCTGGCTGAAGAGCACGGGGAGGGGGGTTTGGCGAATGTAGGGAATGAGGGCGACCAGCTGGCTGAGCCCTCGGCCTAAAGTACTGGCCAACATGGACAGCAGCCCCTCGATGACGCCGGACGTGAGAGAACTTTTGATCCCCTCCCACACCCGCTTTCCAAACCGGCCTAGCCGCTCCTTGCCGCGCGCAATCTGCTGCAGAACGGTCTGAAATATGGTCTGCAGCTTCGACGGAATCGCATGTAGCACTTTCACGACACCGGTCAGAATGTTGCTCTGAAAATGCATTTGCGTCTTCATCTCTCCTTCTGCCAGTTGTACGACTGTTGTACCAGCAGCGGGGCTTGGAAGCAGGTTTTTTTCGAGCTCCAGCTGCGGCTTTACATTCATCGTTTGCCTGCCATCGCGTTCTGCTCCCAAAACGCCGTGAGTTAGTGCTTCACGCTGCAAATGTGGTTTTTCTACTGCATGTTTCTGGCTGAAGTTCTGTTGCCGCGATCGACTGATCGCTTTCGGTTGCTCTTCGGCATGTCTTTCTCCCGCCGTCGAGCGTTTTCTTCCAGCCGAATATGCTCCTTCGGCTGAAGCTTCAAGGTCGGTATCTTCTAGAAGGTGTTGCCTCTCGTCGTCCTGCAGAAGCGCAGTTGTAGTTGCCCCTGCTTCGTCCGAGTATTCTGTTGGAAGAAGATGGTCGTCGCCGCGTCGCAGTGAAGTAGTCGTGTAGGACCTATCAGGCGTCCTTTCTTGTCCCGTTTGCTGTTCTCCCCACGGTGTCCTGACGGCGTTGTGCGGCAGTTGTACTAGGGCAACTTCTACACTGGTAGAGTTCGGCAAGTCGTCTACTTCAGGAACAGGAAGGGGAAACCCTTCGTCTTCGTCCCGTCGTCTCGAACTCGAAGTTGTGATATGCTCGGGGAATGGCACGGACGCATGGATCCCTTTTTGCGTGAATGAATCGGCCGAAGCGCCGCCCGACCTGAAGTGGAAGGAGGAGCCGTCGGTTGTGGCGTGGTGCCTCGCTTCTACACGACCATCTACCGTATTTCTAACCTGTACCCGTATGCGTGTCCTCTTCCGGCGCCGGTGTGCCCCCGCGGCGGAGCGAGGGGGGTTGTATACTTGCGGCCCTCGTCCGTCCTCGCTGCCTTCTTGAGATGAGTCGAAGAGGTCGTTCTCGTGCCGCGGCGCGAGGCCCTCCACTTGCTCCTCTCCATCCGCGTTGCTTTCTGCAGATTCGTCAACAGAGTCTTGCCTACTTTGTTCTTTCACCGCTTTCGTTCTTTCGTCGCCGTCGTCGTCTCGTTCCTGCCGCTGCAAATGCCTCGGCTCAACATTTTTGTACCCTTTATGTTTGCGCTCGTTTTTCAGCAGATTTTCTGTTTCCTGGATCTCCGTTCTGAGCCCAGCTTGACGCGTCTGGATGTGCTTCAACCGGGTTTTTATGGCTTCAGTGCTGGTCGAGGCCTTGGCCATATCCTGCAGGTTGAATCGCCGCAGGTTGTTCACGCGGACACGCTCGCGCAGCACAGTTACTTTCTCCTTCAGCAAATCTGCGCAGTGCACCAGTTCTGGCTTGGCGTGTGCTCGCTTACCGTATGGGCGACCTTTCGTCTGCGCAACAGCACCAGAGGCTGCTGCTGCACTTGATGTTGACATTTTTCTTCCAGCTCTGAGAAGCTGAAGCTCCGGACCGACCGGAAAAGAATCCCCACTTTTTGACCGCAACACCCCAATGTCTGCGGTGATGTTGCGGGTCAGATCCTTGAGCTTCACGTCGTAGTCTCGGAGTTCTTGGTTCAGGCTCTTTCTCCGACGGACCAACTCTTTCTCCAAATTCTTTGTTCTCGCGCCATTTTTGTTTGCCTTTTCTTCTAGCTCCAGGATGTCATCCCTCGTTGCTGTATGGTCCGCCTTTTTCGTTTGAATCAGGTCGTGCAGATCATCTACAGCGTCTTCGTCGTCACTACTCGTTTCCGAGGCCAACTTGTCGTCCTCCTCTGCACCAGCACCCCGGGAGGAGGTGTCGCTTTGCTCCTTCGCCTCTTTGCCAGCCCACCAGCTGGACCCCTTCACCAGTTTGTCGCGGAACCAGGAAATCAGACTTTTGCCCAGGCCCGCCAGCATTTCGCCGAAGTGCAGCTTGCCCAGTACCCGGCTAGCCAAGCGGAGCACGACGAACTGGAGACCCTCGAACAAAGACTCGTAGAGCAAGCCCTCCATAACTCCACCCACGACGAACGAGAGCGCCACCCGGAGCGAGTCGAACGGAATCGCCTTGAGGATCGGCATATACATTGCAAATATGTAGTCTGGGTCTGGAAACTTGTGATCCAAGGAAGGGAATGGTGAGCTCACTGTAATGCGCTGCCAAGCATGACAAGTTTTATCGTGGTTCTGAGTTGCGTATTCCGCATCAGAAACTGCGTTTTTGCATGACAGGGAGGAGGAGCTCTTCGCGGGCACGCAATACAGATTTCAGAACGTTATGCCAGACTAGCATGACAAATCTCGCAACCTCCCAGACCCAGACATATTTGCAGTTCATACGGCACCGGCAAGCTGCTGACGACGCCCGCAAGCATGGTCGCGACGTTGTCCGCTAGCGTGTCCAGAAAGCTTTTCAGATTGTTTTTCGCCAAATTGAACAGCACACCCGCGCCCGCGCTCAACACCGTGGCTTTCATGGCTTCCTTCATGAACGCTAGCGCCTTGCCCATCGTCGCCACTGCCATGCGAAACATGTTTCCGAGTTTATCAAGCACAGCGAACTTTTGTGTTTCGCTCAGCCCCAGTCGATGTCTCTGCAGAAACGAGGAACGGGTGTGCAGGTGGACTCCAAGATCTGCCGTGGCACCAGAAATTGTAGGTTTCTCACTAATCATGTGTCCGTCCTCTTCTACCTGTATCTTCTCGAACGTGTTTCTACTTCCCGTAGGTGAAGAACTGCGGAAGTCTTGCCCCTGGTAGTTGCCCTCGTCTAATTCGGCAGCGCCGTGCAGCTTCGTGCCAGTTGAAGCAGCTGGTGTGAGGAACATCTCGAAGTACAGCTCTTCGACGCTAAACAGCTCAGGTGGAGTTTGGGCTGCAACAACTCGAGAAATTTGTAATGTGCTGGTGGCTGCACCAAACAACCCATGCGACTTTGCCTGATTGGCCATGTTGGCCACGCTAACGGAAGCCTGACCGTCGGATGCCATGTGACTGGCAATCGTGGAAGCCAGGGCCGCGTTGGTGTCGCTACCCACCCCTGCTGTTTTTTCCTCTTTAGCGAGTCGCGCCGCTGCCGCCAGTCGCGCGGCCTTCTCCTGTTTGGTTTCCCCCTTCGCAATTTCTCGCGCCTCGGCGGCGGCACGCGCCGCGGTCGCCTCCTCTTCCCTCGCCTGGGCGCTGCTTTCCCGCGCTGCCTGTGTCATGCTTGCGACTTGATCCTTCTTCGCTGTTTTGGTCTCTTTAGCGAGAGCATCTGCCACGAGCTTTACCGCACGACCATCCTTGCTTCCCCCACGGAGGATCGCCATGAGGTTGCTGAACACGCTCTTGAGCCCTTTCTCGAGAAGCTTATACAGCTTCCCCGCTGGATTCGTCACAAGCGAAAGCATTTTGTCTAAAACCCCACTCCGCTCGTCCTTATTGAAAATTTCCAGCGCTTGCTTGACCTTGTCATGCCCTGCTCGTGTTTGCAGTACGGTCACAGGCACAGCTGCTTTGTCGCTGAAGACAAATTCTTCTCCGTGCCGCAGCTCACAGAATGACCGGCCGTCTACTTCGCGCGGTGTTGAGAGTGTTCGTGGTGATGAATTGAGTACCTCGCTCTGCTGGTTGTGGTCAAGCACCACTTCTGGAGATGCAACTTTTTGCACAGGAGGTGGCAGCTCCAGATATCCGCGATCCGGCTGGTCGATTCTCCTCCTGCTCATCGGTAGTTCTGCAAGGTGCCGGCTCTCATGGCGGCCGCGCCTTCGCGAAAAAGTGGCAATGAAGCGCGAAACTGGGGCCGGGTAAGTGGAGAGGGGTGCAATGCTGGATCCGTCTCCAAGAACCGTTGGCCGGACTTTATCGACCACCAAGGCATGGTGGTCCTGTGACCGCCGCTGCAGCATACTTGTTTGCGTGTTAGCGACTTCGTTTTCCTCGTCACTGCTTCCTCCCTCTGCCTGCTCCTTCTCTGCTAGGGCAGCCTCCTGCCGCTGCTGCTGGGCCAACTCATTCGGGAGATCATCCTCATCCTTTGCGAAGCCGAAGGCAACGGTAAGAGCGTTGGCCAGCTGAGATTTGAACGTGGAAAGCAGCTTCCGGCCGAGGATCGGCACCGTCCCGGCCAAAAAGGTCTCGATAAAAATCTGCGCGGACATGCCCGTGGGAGACACCTTGAACACGGGGTCCAGGACAGTGTACAGGACGTCGCCCAGTCGTGCCACCAGCTTGCCGATAAGAAAATTGTAGAAAAAAAGGCAAAGGAAGTCCACGCCTTTTTTCAGGAACACGGACCTGAACAATTTCTCACTCACTTCGTTCCACCAGTCTTTGAGTTTGTGCAGTACCTTGCGCCCATACTTGCCCGCAATATTGAAGATCCCCCAAAACCCGCTTTTTACCTTCGAAAGGACGGAATTGAACACCTTGCCCACTTTCTTCGCGACCGGTCGAAGCAGCTTGTCGCGCACAGCCTTCGGGACGTCCGCTAACTTCTGTATAGCACTCTCCTTCTTCATTTTCTTCCCGGCCGCAGCAGTAGTACGCTGGTCGTCGGGCCGTTTCTCTTTCTCCTTCAGATGCTTCTCGATGGATTGCTCTACAGCCTTGTTCGTTGTCTTTGCGTTCTTCGTACGCATCTTCCGGAGTGTCTTCGGGTTCGCACGCAGCAGCCTCTGCTTGTGCCTCTCCTGTAGGGCCGCAAACTCCTCGGCCGTCAACGTTGCCCTCTTCGTGTTTTCCAAATCTGTCAGTTGCTGCTTCAGAATGTCGTAGTGTTTTTGTAACTGTTCTTCCGTTGGCTGGTCACTTGAGTCGACGTTGATGCCCTTCAGTTGCTTCTCTCCCAATCCCTTCTCTTTGTTCAAGCCGGCCAACGTCTTGTCAAGTTCGCGCTCGTCCGCAAGGTAATCCGCAAAGCCTCGTTGCTCCGGTGCAGCGCCGCTAGGCCGTGCAATTGTTCCGGTTTGCAAAAACGCAACACGGCTGGTGGACTCCGACCGCAGCTTCTCGCTATCGACATGGACATGTTCTTGATCTTCATTAAGACCACTACTAGCACCTTCTGGAGAGCTCCTGCTCCTGGCTCCCAACTCTTCAAAGAATTCGAATCCGGGACCCGCGGCTGCCAGCGCCGCACGAGCGTCGATCTGCCTGTAGAGAGTTCTTGTGCTGAGAAGACGACCACGACCGCTGCGTTTAATATTTCCATGTCGTTCTATTCCAGAAACGACGTCGCCACCGATCCGTCCGTCGCCATCCAAATCGCGCTCTTTCAGTTCCTCCAACCGGTTCTTCAGGTTTTCATCACTTTTCGCTCGGGCGGCAGCATGGTGAATTGCGGTTTGCAAAAAGGACGAGGAGTCATCACCTCCATCTTCTGCGACGCCGCTGCTTCTATCACTGTTCCGGCCTCCACCGCCATCAAACCAGTCGTACGCTGCGTCGCCCACGAAACGGGCTCCAATGCCTTCAATCACTCCTTCCACGTTGCCGGCAACTCTGGAGGCCGCTTGCCCTGCCGCTTCCGCGACGTCGTCTAGGCTGTCCGGGATCAGTGCCTTGATTTTCTCCACCTCTTTGTTGACAGCGTCCGTCACCTCGTGAATAAAGTGTCGTAGCGCCTTTTTGAACAACATAGGTAGCACCTGGTAGCGGAGCACGGCAACAACCACGTCCAGCGCGGGCTCAATCAGGGTCAGGATCATTTCGTCAAAGCCCCAGTAGAGCAGCTTTGCCACTACCATCGCGAGTCCGGGCACAAACTGCACGACAATCTCGGTGCCGGTGGCGATCAGCGTGGCGAGGTTCGTGCGGAGATATTCGGCAACCATACTTTTCCACTGTTGTACCTTGTCTTCTGGGACGAAGTACATCACCATAGAGGCCATCAAGTGCGCTACCGCCTGTTCGCATTTTTGCGCCACGAACCCCTTCAAGTTTTGAATCGTTTGAAACATCTCCCCCATCAACACGGGGGTCTCCCAATGTTGTTGAAGCAGGAAGTGCTGGTGTTCATTGTGGTGCGTAAAGAATCTTCTTGCAGTGGATAGGGCGGTCAATGTCTTTGTTATTTCCAATTTTGTTTCTAGCAAACTCGTTGTCTCGTTGCTTCCACTACTTATTCCCTGAAGCCGCGGCACAGAAACCAGATCAGCAGACAACTCCACGCTTGTCCTCGCAAAAGACGTTTTAGTACTCCGCACCATGTGGCGCTGATGTTCGGTAGGTGGCGCTGCAGGGTCCTCCTTGTCCAACTGGAGAAAGAACACGCCAGAGGCTGTCGTCGTGGCTGAACCACGTGGTAATAGTTTCGGCTCGTGATCAGAAGCAGGAGAACTTCCTCGGTGCAACGTCGTAGTCCCAGGTTGTATACTAGCAGCACCAGGCCAGACCTCGAGCTCGACGTCCACCTCCTGCTCTGCACCATTGCTGACATCATGATCAATTATGTTGTCAGTCGTCCAAGGAGCTGCACTGTCCTGATTTATTTCGAGGAGCAAAGAAACTGAGCCATCGGGTTCGGTGACGACACCGGCACGGTCGTGTGGGTTTATGTCCTGAAGTTTTTCGGTGGAGATTGATGTCGAACCGCTCTCCTGTAGGTCTTGTAGCTGCTCCTCCTCCTCCTCCTCCTCCTCCTCCTGCAGAAGTGTCGTCCGGGTACTAGTACCAGTACGAGCTGTGCGCGCAGACGTGAAAAGATGAAGATTGTGGTGCTGGCAGAAGTACAAAAGCCAAACGGCCAAGATGCTGAATATGATCCTGACGACGACACGATGGCAGCAGGAGATCGTTCTTGCTGTAGAAGCACAACGCCCCCGGGATACAGAGACACACGTCCTCCACCGGACAATTGGCATTACATGCGCCATGTCGCAGTTGCGAGAGACAAAGCGCATTTTAATTTTTTGATTCCCGAAGGCCAGGGGGGGCTAGGGCTTGCTTCATCTACACAAAGAAAAGACCACAAAGAAAATACTTTATGCTATAGCGTAGTAGGGAATTGGAATACAACAATAAAAATATCAATATGCATAGCGAAGTAAAGTTACGGCCTTCCTCTTCAAAGGCAGTCTAAAGACTAGCTGTAGCTTCCCACTACGTCGAATACCGGAGAATCATGCGATTCCGAACTTCCAACGAAAATTAAGTAATACACGACCCAAAATAGCAGGAGTACTAGACGACGACAATGAAAGACGAGATGTGGAATCCGAATGCTGTCACAAAATTGAAGGGTCACGGCGCTTCAGTTTGAAGCACGATGGCAACACGACACGAACGAATTCGTCACGCCCAGACCGAAGGCCCAAGCTCATGGCGGACGAAGGGCAAGGGTAAGATCAAAATAGGAACCCTAAATGAAGGCAAGGGTAAGAGTAAGACGACGACGATCCGACCAAAATCATGCTGCTTGGATCTCAATGCTGTCGCAAATTGTCACGATTCCCACAAGATGAAGTTGAAGAGCCACCGCCTGGGCCTAAAGAGGTACACAATGATGAAGTGACTTGGTGTATTAACACACCAGCATAGTTGTACAATTCGAAGTTTAAACACTACTTATGCATGAATTTTTCAAGTCTCTTTGAGAAATCTTGCTGCCGCGGTTGACAAGAAAAATAGGGCTTGGGCTAGTCTTTTATTTACAGAACAGCGAAACTTGTCAAAGTTTCTCTCTCTTTTCTTTTGTAAAGTAGGTACTGAAGTCAGTGGTGTGTGCATGCTCGATCATTTTCCTCTGGATTTTTTGTTGTTCGTTTATGCCTCGATCATCACTTCTTCGGCATGTGCTTATCTGTGCATCACCCATACCGCCCCCTTCGCTTCCGCTTTCATTTGTGACCACTATAACTCAACTTCAATGAGCTCTTCGTCCTCCTCACCGGCAAACAGAGCATGGTCTGCGTCCTCGTTCAGAACAACGTGCGTCGTCTTTGTGGAGTCCTGAAAAGATTCCACTCGACTACGACTTCGCCCACGATTTTCTCTACTCTTTTGTTCTCGTCCTGAGCCCGTACTAGAAGTAGTTCTCCTGGTTGATGATGAGGAGGTTCTACTTGCCTGGCGCACGGGCTCCTGCGCGGGTTGGATGAGTCCCTGAAAGAACAGGTCGTCCGAAGTGATCTTGAGCTTCTCGAAATCCGTAAAATCTTCTATCGGATCGTCCCCCACCCGTTGGTAACTGGTGCTGTGCATCGCCTCTTCGTCCGTCATCACACCCAGAAGTCTCCCGGCGGCCCACACCCGGAATCTAGCCAACACCTCAACCATCTGGTGAAACAGCGACGGACTTGCGGCGGCGTCCTCGCATTGCCTGATGTGTCGTAAAAAAGTCAAAAGTAGCTTCGTTGTTCCTTGATCAACTACAACAGCAACACCGAAAACGGATCATTAACTACATGGCTCGGAAATTTTAGAAAGCACAAGCAGTTGCAGTATGGAAAGCACTTCTACTATCCACGAAACTCCAGGTCTTCAGACAATTGCGTGAGAACAACTCCATGACTCGGACCTGTCACATGATTGAACCAAGCGGCGATATTAAAGTAGAGCCACATCCCCGCAAACAGCCCACAACATTAATCGAACCTGAACATTGGCTCTGCTTCCGCGCCGAACCGCGTCTCGTTGTACTGCTCTCGCACAGTGACAGTTTCGTTCGACGCCGAGTCCAATTCCGGTTGTACGAAAACTTTCAGAGAGGGACCGATCCGGCTGTGCACATCCTCTGGACGGGGAGGGGCGGTCTGCTTGCGGCCCTTCCTCATGCGTCGCGGCGCAGTTCGCTTGCGCGGGGCTCCGGGGGTTCTCTCGCGAACAAAGTCTGTGAACTCTCCGTCGACAACGCGTTTCGCGTCCACGTGGTGCCACCAGCCCGCGGGAATGTACAGTGCGTCGCCGGGCTTCACTAGGGCCGTCAGCAGCCGCACGTCGTCGACAAACTCTTTGCGTTTGGGCACTTCCTCCTCTTTCTTTTCTGGCTCGGGTGGTTCGCCGATGCCATTCTCGAGCTCCTCCCGGATCTGGTTGAAAATCTCTTCATTGTTAGGGTCCTTCACGCGCTCGAGGCGCTCGCGCGCTTGCTCGAGCGGCGTCAGCTTTTTCTTCTCCGGAAACGCGACTTGCTTCCAAACGTCCGGATCCATGAACAGGGCGCCTTGATTATCCCCTACAGACAAGATAGAAGTACCACACTCACATCAAAAACGAATCACTTCGAGGTTGCGTTGCCATATTTTTTGGTGACCCGGAAATAATCCCTGGAGGAAAAGGAATGCGAAAAGACCACAAGAAGGACAAAGCTCTGGCATCCACAATGAACGCACATGTACAACTTTGGAATTGTAACGCGTTTTAATAGCGATAATCAGAAACAAAGAGGGAAGCACTTTCGTGACAGTACAACTTTTTTTTCTGACGTGGGTGGACTACAACTTTTCTGTAGAATATTGATCTTCGTGCACGAGGAGAACCCGCCGAACCGAGTGGGGATCTGGGTTTATCAAGTAGTGGCTGCCCTTCTCGACGTGAAAGGCGGGCTGCGCAAACTCTTCTGGGTCTACTTCCAAGTCTCTCCTGCTCTCCACTCGCTCCGCAGCTTTCGGTGCCTCCGCAAGTGTAGTTTTCTTTGCGCCGCCCTTCTGCTTCTTCTTGCCTGTCGTACCAGCAGTACTTGCTCTAGACACCTCCGTAGTTGCATTTGTAGTATTTCCGGCTGCTGGCGGTTCGAATTCGTGGCGATAGATGTCCTTTCGAAGATGGGTGCGAAGAGACGTGGCGTCGGACAGTCGCAAACACACCGAGATGGCGGTCTCGCGCCTCCCCACTACCAGCGGCCGTACGGAACTGACCACAAACGGCAGCGCGCGACTGAGCCAAGACATGGCCCGCACCGACAATTGCGGCGCGGAATCCGCGGCAATCGCGGTCGAGCAGGCGACCCACAAAAACCGCTTGGCCGGATGCAGGGGCGTGGGGCCGTACCGGTTGTAAAACTTCGAAAGGATCGTCATGTTCATCCCCTGGACCAGTTCCTGCTCGAACAGCTCCTTCTGGGACTCGTTCAGATGCTTCTTGTGCTCCTCGTGTTTTTGCAAAATGGTATCGTCGTGCAGCAGCAGAAACTCGAGCAGGTCCATCCCATTGCTGGTTTCATTTCCCCCTCGGTAGTGGCCCATGGAGTCCCGAAAGCCCTCGATAATACTGGCCGTGTCGACCACGCCCGGCGTCCCGATCATGTTGTTGCCCAAAAGAGGGGCTTCTACTCCGACGGTGCCCGCTGCCGTCTGCTGCCGCTCCTCCCGCCGGGAAATCAGGTGCGGAACCGCATCCAGGGCAAATATAATGCCTGCGTCTGAGAGAAGCCAGACACTTGTCACGCAGCCTTTGCATTTGGATTCCTCGCGCGAATGTCAATGTCTGCAAAGCGCAGAGAGCATGACAGATTCTGTAGAAGGGGCTTCTCCATGCCTAATCAGCATGAGAATAAAGTCCCTCCCCTGGAAAGAGAAATCGCCCATCTTTCGCAGCTGACTGTGACTATGCAACACAAGTTTTTTTCCCGTTCAGAATCCGCATCAGAAGTTTGCACTCATCCAGACCCAGACCACATACTAGTATTTGCAATGCATAAACCATCTCGGCTTGCAAGCGCAACCGCAGGTCCTCCGCCTTGGACACCACCACACCCAGCGTGTTCGTGTCAAGAAATGACTTTGTGGTTTTGTTTTTTGAAGTAGTTGTCGCATCTTCAGTTGCACCATCTGCATCTTCCACATCATCTGCATCGTCGTCGTCCTCGTCCTCCTCCGCTTCTTCGAAAAACGACGTGAACAGCGAGTCAAGTTTTTCCAGACCGCCGCTGACCGTTTATCAAATGTAAAAATGTCTGGGTCTGGAAGAATGCAACTTGTGATGCTGAATTTGGATTCCAAAAAAATCTGTACTGCATGAGCAGCAAAGGGAACGCAATTTTTGCTACGCGGAGAGGGCATTTGTCATGCGGAATAGGCATCGCGAAGCCCTCAAAAATCTGTGGTGCTAGGGCATGCATCACAGACATCATGGCCAATACAAAACATGCATGACAAGTCTCAGAATCTTCCAGAGCCAGACATTTTTACGTTTGATACCGTTCGCACCGCGTCGAAAATTGGGACGGTGGTGCCGAGCTCGTCCATCCGGTTGTGACAATGCAAAGAAGTGCCCCGATCCCAGAATGTGGAAGAGTTTGTAGTGCAAAGTTCTCAACAGAAACATTTGCCACCTTGCACGTAGCAGAATGACAAGATTTCAATCCAGGATAGCGAAAATATGTGTTGCAAAAAGGCGTGGCACAAAAAACGCTTGTAGTGTAAAAGCTGCTGCGTTGTGCACTTACAATGATATCAAAAGCAGAGACAGTTGTCTTCCGAGCCAAGCAAACATAGATAAAAGACTTTTGCATTTGAAAACCTTATGCAACGTCACAAACATTTGACACGTCTACTGGCTCTTGGTGTGCTCGACGTCGTGGGCGCACTTTTCAACAACATCATACCGGTACCCGTGCATTTTTTGGCCCTCATCACGGTAGGCTTCCCGGATGCCTTGGTACTTCTTTTGGAGCTCAGCGATGGCGTCCTCGGCTCCCTCACGCGCCTGGCGCATGCGGGTCGCCGCCCACGTCTCTTTCTCGATCTGCGCAGCGGCAAGCTCCACTGCGTACTGCTCCACGGGTGTCACAGGAAAAAGTGTCACTTACACATTTGAAAGAGTTTCAGCATCATGCGGTTGCTCGTCTGCATGGCATGCGGAGGAAGAGGTAATACGCTTTGGTTAATCATACCAGATAAGGCAAGAAGCGTATGAACTCATGACGCGGGCAAGAAGCATATTTATTTCCTGTATGACCACAGAGGGCGTCTGTCTTGCTCATGTTCTTGCATCAGGAGAGGAGTGTGTAAAACTAAAAAGGTGTATGAAGCACTTTATGTTCTCACGATAACGGCGACGTCCAGTTCCATCTTCGCGTCGCCCGCCGAAAGCATCCGCACCTTCGGCCCGCCCTCCACCGTTTCCCAGGTAATCGTGGTCGGGTCGGTGCTGGGTTTCGCTACAAAAGTGCGGTGCATTGCCTTGTCCCAGTGCGGACTCCGCCCCCGGAAGCTGCAAAGGGGAATCGTATTCGGCAGCGGGTACAAAAAGGTCAGCAGCGCGACAACGACCGTCAGCGCAACAACCGCGACGGAGAGAAAGGAAAAACACAAACACTTCGTTACCACGCGGAGCACGCAGCAAAACGTAGATTTGCATCCTCCTCGTCTTCGGCTTTTATGGTGGTTCTTCGTGGTCGCGTCTTCTACATGATGATGATCCACATTTACTTTGTCAACCATTTTTTCTGCTGGCGCGTGATCGTCGTCGATACAGGTCGTCCCTTGTTCGCCAGCTGTTGTTCCTTGACCGGTAGCAACATCTGAAGATTCGTCTTGCACCAGCTCCCAGTCGGTCTCTTTAACGACGTCGGCGCTAGCGATGCGTGCAGACGAAGACTCTGTAGCGGCACCATCTTCACCTACATCGTCTTTCGGAAACGCAGAGGCGATCTCCATTCTCAGTCAAGAAAATGGCTACTGAACATGAATAGGTGAAAAATTCCTGCTTCTCCTGGGATAGGAATTTGTCAAGTCGTATCTAATGAATCTCACTAACGTCGACAACCCTCCATTTGAGTCTTGTAAGACATACATACGTTTTAAGTTTAGTGACACACAGCCAAGATACGAAAAACGACACGACGAGAAACACAACCACGAAAAGAACTTGGAACTAGAACATCCATATCAATTCTGTTTGCTACGTTATCTCTAGAAAACACAATTTTCACGCAGTGAGCTCTGCAGCTTCCAACCAAGCCACATGGGAAGAGGCCACGAACGATCACCCCACCATCAAAAAGTTCTAGATGAATTGAGCTTGAGATTGACTATTGGATTTGGAGCTGATATTCAATAAAAATTGAACTTGTTCAATGTGAAATGGGTGTGTCATCCAAGCCAACTTCAAAACATTGACACTAAAAAATCAAGGAAAAAAAATCGCGACACTGCCATTACATCCGATCAGACGGTGAACGCTAGAAGTTGCTTTTCTTTCTTGAGTCTGTTTCTGTGCCAATTGTAGGTCGAGCCACCATATCTTCACAACAAGAATGCTCACAGATAGAATTAAAGTTCGACGAAGTAGCGCAGCGGCCTTAAAACCCAGCAGAAGCCATCATGGGGAAAGAGCCCGAGGTTAGCAGCGCACCACCGAACATGTTGTTTAGAAAAGTTCCGACACTTGCGAGAATACCATCCCGCGCCTGGCTGCTGGTTGTTTTCCTACCTGATATGATATGAATATTTTCGTGAAAACAGATCCTCATTTTCGCTCTTGCGGGCCAAAGGCGCACACATCGGACAACAAACAAGAGGGGGCCCCGTGTAGAATACTTGTGTCGCGAACAGATCACACGTAAGCAATCCGCATGAGCGGAATCTTCACACCCTCAGGATCTGTACTGTGAGGGCAGCATCCTGACAGCAAAGTAAACGTAAGTAAGAGCGCCGGATGTCAATCCTCTGCAAGGGAAAAAAAAAACGCAATTTGCTTTATTTCATTCAAAACCAAAAGCCACACAAGAAGATCGCTGATGGACACGTCGACATCACGATACGATCATCCTCATCATCATCCTTCTCATCTTCCATGGGAAAAAAAAACTGAGCAGATAAGTGGCGCTCTGACCGCATTGCCACGCCTCCTCCTCGCAAAGCAGATCCGATAAGTGATACACTATATTTGAATGATCCTCGCGCTCGCGCTAGGACTAAGCTAGAACCCGCCGGCTTGATTCATCGTAAATGAACCCGAAGTCTGCAAGGCGCTCAAGAAACCTTTAATTCTTCGCTGCAAGGCACCGCCCTGCTCCACACTAGTAGAAGTTGTAGTACCTTTATATGAGTAAGTTTGCACTAACAGCATAGTACGTACCCATATCGTCGAGGTCAGAGTCGGACTCGGAGCGAGGGGGAGCTGGGCGACTTTTTCAATAATAAAAAGCCGCTTAGGTAGCTAGTGTCGTCCAACGGGAGACATAGAATTCGAATTGCCTGTCATAAATGTAAAGGTTACTAGGCAAAAAGGACAAAACGAAAAGAAAATACACCTAGGGGGCAAAGCCCCGAAGTTAGTACGCAGATGAACCGTCAACGTCTATTCAATCTTCAAACTCTATCGTTCACTCTTTCCGGCCTTCATCGTCTAGATGAAAAAGGACCCTGCCTGCACTATGGTGAAGTCACCCGAGGTCATTAAGGCACAAAAAAAGCCTTTTGCCTTCGCCAAGGACTGGCCCAAAATAGTACCTGCGCGCTCCTCCTGCCCGCCAGCGGACTCCAGCAAGGCCGTGGCCGCAAGCGCCGCAGCCGGTTTCTCCGCCGCCGTATGGAAGTGTCAGAATCGAAATCGACAAAGTTAAAAAATTTGTCATGCTAAACCGACCGAAACCAGTACACAACCCGTAATGGCATGGTCACCTTACCGCAGATACGCAATGCATAAAGCGCAATGCCCAAACTACCTGTAATTCATCCAAGGCACGCAAGTGAGGGCAATCGTCAGCCTGTTTGGGGTTGGAGAGTGAGCTGCTGAAGTAGCACGACAGAGGCGCCCACTTTTGCACAAACACCATGACAAACTGGACTCCGGTTCTCGGAAAATTTGTCATGCCCCGCTGGGAAATTGGGCTCCCAACTGGCATCGATTTTGTGCATCACAAATTTTTCAACTTTGTCTATTTCGATCTTCCCGACACTCCCGTACGCCCTGGCCTGGACGTAGTCCGCACCCGCGCTGGCTGGGGGCTTGCCGCTGCAGGGGCACACGTTGGGCATATGAGAGTGCATACCTCCCCCTCCCGCTCATTTGAAGGCGGCGGGCCATGAACAGCAACACAAGCAACAGCACAAAAGGGGCTTCCGCATGATAAATCTGCGCGCGCATTGTAATACTGTTTAAGGTTCCAAAATTCGTCATGCAAGTAGTGCCTATGATGAACGAGGAAGGTGCGAGTTTGGTATTTTGCATTGCAAGTGAGGGGGAAGGGGAGTTATGCACTCTCATAGGGCACGTATCACGAGAAAAAACTGTTACAGTTACGCATTTGTTGGAGTTTCTGCATCACAAATTTTCCCTGTGTGGCAGAGTGATGCGAAGATCATAAGGGAAAACAGGAAGGAAACGAGGCTCCCAAGCATTTGCTGCATGAGAAAGGTTGTCTGTGTTGCCGGTCTTGCAACGCAATGTGTAACTGTAACACTTTTTTCTTGCCATAGCACGGCTTCGGTGCACAGTGGGATGGAGGAGACTGGCAAGCCTTGGCTTTTATGGAACTGTCAGGATCGAACTTGACAAAGTCGAAATAAAATTTGTGATGCATAAAATGCATGCCGCGAAATACGTGTGTTGCAGAGCAGGCAAGCGAGGCCGATTGTGAGCCTGTTTGGGGTTATAGCTCGAGCTGCTACAGCAGCATGAGAGAATCAGTCTTCTTTGCCTAAACAGCATTACAAACTGGATTTAGGCACCACCAGAATTTGTCATGCGCCACTTAGAAACTGGGTTCGAACTGGAATCCATTTTATGCATGACAAATGATTTCGATTTTGTTAATTTCGATTCTGACACTTCCATAGCTCTTCAAGAATTCGTATCCGAGTGCACAACTCCCGCAGCTCGCCTCCCTCAGATGGATCATGTACAACACAAGGGCTGGCAAAGAGAAAGATGCAGCGTTTTTTACGTCAGACATTCACGACCGCTTCTCGTGGTGTTTCGGCTTCCACATGTTGAACCTCCTGTCATGCAAGCAGTGCCAAAAGGAATGGCCGGGTGGATTAGGATTTGGTCCTGATTTTGCGTGACAAATGGAGGGGGCGGGGAGCAGTAGTTGTGCACTCTCATAATTCGATCCGCGCATTCAAAACCGGATTCCCCGCCGCGGGGTCGGGGGACAAGTATGCATTGCAAAAGTGTCGTACTGGTAGTAATTGCATTGTGCCTTTCGCTTTTCGCATTTTTCGCAAGAATGACAATGGAATATCATGTTACAATATGAAGACTCAGCTACGAAAGCAAACCTGTAACTATGCAGTGTTGCCATTTCTACGTAAGTAGGTGCGATACTTTTGCGGAGGATAATACGCCCGCGTTGACGATTTCCTGGACGGTAAACTCGTGCGCCACGCAATCGACGGTACGTTCCACCGCGGTGGGGGCTTCCTCCCCGGGTGTCGGTGCCGTATGCGGTGCAAATATCCCTGGATGTCTGGAAAGTTGTGATGCTCTGCTGTGCATGTTGATGGACATGCTTTCTTCACTTTCACATCTAGCCGAGCATGACCAGTTTCGCGAACGCTTTGTTCTCGTCCTACGCAGTCCGCATAAAAAGCTGCGCTTTTGTAAAATGACGAATGAGGCTCCGATTTTTGTCGCCGGTCAACATGCAGCACAAATTTCACAAGCAACATGTAAGACCAGCACTACAGGTTCCAACTTTCCAGACCCACGCATAGTTGCATTTGATATGCCGGTGTGGGGGACGACATCGCACACACCGTGACCTGCGGAGCATCCCTTCCCAGACTCAGCGCATCATTTTGGAAGGCCAGTGCGCGGTGCTGGGTCGCTGATTTAGAAGTTGTAGTACTTCTAGTAGAGTGCTGTTGCTCTTCTTTTGTATAATTTTCTTCTTGTTCTTATCAAACATACAAAGACGTCGGACAGTACGCGAAATTCAACCCTTTGAGAGAGACACCACACAGTTCTTTATAGACATCAACAGATGAAGCCGTATTAAAATCAATTTCTATCGAAAATAGTAAGTCTAAGTAAGTACAATCTTTCCCGCTGGCCGAGGTCGTCGCTGACATCTGGTTCATCAGCAGAGCGTCACCTTTTTTCTCGGGCGTCATCACCTGCGCTAAATCTAAGGTCATTCCCCCCTTGACGGAGAGATGCTTCTATCAAATGTAAAAATGTCTGGGTCTGGAAGATTGCCATGTTTGTCATGCGCATTTTGCATGACTCCTGATGTCTGTGATGCATGCCCTAGCATCACAGAATTTGTGAGGTCTTCCTGATGCCTATACCGCATGACAAATGCTCTTTCCGTGTAGCAACTTGGACTCTCTTTGCTGCTCATGCAATGCAGATTTTTTTAGAATCCAAAATCAGCATGACAAGTTGGATTCTTCCAGACCCAGACATTTTTACAGTTGATAGCTTCTCGAAATTGGCGAAATCCATGCAGCACAATTGCTCGAAGCTCATTTCTCTGGTGCATATGGAAGTGTCAGAATCGAAAGTGACAAAATCGAAAAATTTGTGATGCATAAAATCGATACCAGTTGGAGCCTCAGTTTGCAAGCGGCGCATGACAAGTTTCGGGATCACCCAAATACAGTCTGTTTACGATCGGTCTCATTTTCCTGCTCCCCAATACAGGCCTCCAGTGCCCTACGTTTTACGCATCGCAAATTTGTCAATTTTGTGGATTTCGATTCTGACACATCCATAGTGCACTTCATGTTGTTACTGGCCTTCACGCCGGCGAGCTTCTGCTCTTCCGTCGGAGGCTCGAACTGGTGCCCCTCGCAAAGTGACCAAACTCGCCCGGTGACCGGGGGAGTCTTGAAGGCAGCGCATTGCGGAGATGCAGATCCCGTGGTACTGTTCCCCGGCGGTGCGGGCCCAAGTCGCGCCGGCCTTGTTGTGCAAATTTGCTTCCAGATAAAATTGTAGCTCTGCGTGCCGTAGGCGATAGGGACGAAACCAGTTGTACGGCACTCGCGCTGCGAAAAGCGCTTTGCCAAGCAAGGACGGCGACAAAAAACGACGCTCGCATCTTTTCTTTTACTGCTCACGCACAATAATGCACTGGAGGCACTCACACCAAGAATGCTCAGTTCAAGAAAATAACCTGTCCCTGTCCACCTCGGATATGAGTGCCAGAGTAAGAGTTGTAGATCACAATAACGATAACAACATCTGCCTCTGCGGCTTAAATTGCATACCGATGCCGAAAGCAGAGAGATGAACTGAGATGAACACACTGCCGGCTGCGCTTCCGCGTATCTTTTGTCTTCAAGCATGACTCCGACTCGACAAGGCCCGACTTCAAAGAACTCCAACCGGACTCGTAGAAAAACCTCGCTTCCAAGATTGATAGACCACATCATGATAGCTTACTTTATGTTCTTATTCCAATCCCATCGCATTTCTTCATTCATCCGAGAAGGCGACTAAACATAGCCAACATATTGGTTAAGCAACATCCAAAAGGAGAAAAGAAAGGAACAGAGAGCCTCCGAGTCCGCATGACATGCGACTGAAGATCGGAGCTCTCCCCTCGTCGGCCTCCATCTTCACGTTGAAGTGAATTGCTCCGCGTGAACCCGGACAACACACCTTTGGCTTTGACCATCACCATTTTCTATCACCGCATAGCCGAACGCCCAGCCTGGATTTCGTTGGCGAAGCTCTGCAGAACCCACTCTTGACTGACGTTCATCTCGTGATTCAGGTACAGAACGTCTGACCGCAGTAGCAGGTACTGCTGCTTTAATAACTTTACCTTGTGTAGTAAGTATTCATGGGCGTTCCAGTTCCAGCATACCAACAGAAAAACTGAAGTAATGCGTTCCTCGTTCGTGCGGAATCCAAATCGAGATCTCGCACCAGGAAAAGCTATTGTGGCAACAAAACTGCTCGACCTCGACGCGCGCGTCGAAGAGTGTGAGTGAACTACTTTTAGCGCATTAGAAGGAGGCATCTATATTCAGCGAACTAATGTCTCACAGTCACAGCTTGTAGCTTAGGTACCTTTTGCATCATTTCGAAGAGAGCTTCCGTTTTCGGAGCGGCCGCCTTCCCATTGGCAGCAGGGGTCGTGTCTTTCCGCGGCTGTGGTGCTGGTCGCGCGGCCAGTAGTACGTTGCTAGGAAGCTGCACATTCTGCAAGGCCAAGAGCGCTTTCGCAATCGAAAGTTGCTCCCTCAGGTCTGCGTTCTCCCGCTTGGTCTTCTGCACCTCGTTGTAAAATTCATCCAGCGCCACGGCATTCTTATACTTATTTCCAGTCATGCTTTTTTGTTCATCCGCCATCTCCACGTCTCCATTCATCTGCTCCGTCTTATTTCTAGAAGTACCACAGTGCAGCTGCCGCAAGTATTCCAGCTCGGCTCCGAGTTGTTGCGACATGGCAGACATGCGGTCTTGGTTCTGCAGCTCGTCAACCGACACATTTTTAAAGTCGCCTGTAGTATTTTGGGTCGGACCGCGTCCGGCTCCTGTGCAGCCCTGCTGATGATCTCCGCGCCGTTTGTTGCCCCTACTGGAAGCCGCTGCGTTGCGGGAGGATCCTGCTCCCCTGCTTGATGTAGTTGCAGAAGAAGCTATAGCTACCCCACTCGAGGAGCCTATGGAAGACTTTTTGTTTGTCGGTTCGTTGTGACCTCCCGACAAGGAATCCTTTGTAGTTAGCGACTCAGCTGCAGCCGCGCCACGTGTGGTCGCTGCACTGGGATGTTGCGAGCCCACAGAACCAGAACTACACTCTGGTCCTGCTCTTTCAGAGAACTTCGTGTCTGATTTCCCGCCCAAGGACTTGTTTTCAGAAATTCGAGAACGCATACTCCCTGACGGGGTCGGCGTCAGACCGGTGGACTGCGGGTAGTCCATATTAGCACCAGGCTTCTCTTCTTGCAGTCTGCTTTTAATCTTATTCTTACCTTCTTCATCGACAAGAACGACCCGCTCTGAGGTACTAGTAGAGTTAGATCTGGTGGTCTGGTCCGCGGCAAAGAGGCTGTCGATGTGAAGATCTGCTCTCTTTTCCGATTTCTCTCTACTAGGTCCTTGCTGCATGATTGAGACACCTGCTGTTCCGACCTGCAGCGACGCCTGCTTTGAAAATTCTTTTTTCACGCCTGGATGAGCTGCAGTCGAGCGTTTGTTTTTAGTTGTACTAGCGGTCGTTGCTGCCGAATGGTCCGCAAAGAAAGCCTCGTCGACGACATCATCAGATGATGATGCTCCACCTGCCGTCGGGGTTGTTGTCCTATTCATGTGTGCCGTCGTGAAGGGCGGCTCCATAACACTTTTCTTTTGATATGTCTCCTGTTCCACAAGTGCCGACTTTTTGATATTACCGGCTGTACCATCAGTCGCAAAAGTTGAACTCGCGCCAGCTCGTTCAGAAGACGAGCCTTTCATCTTCGCGCTGGTGACTTCATCACACGAATCTCTGCTCTTGTCGGCCATTTCGTGGTCGGTTTGACTTCTTCTTGACCACCAAAATTTGCCTTTTCGTACATGACAAGACCGCCAATGATAATCTTGAATCTTGTCGTTGCAATAGATACTAAAACTTTGAAGAAGTAGGATCCGTTTCCGTTAACGACAAAGCTGCATTACTACGCAGTAAGTACTTTCGCTTGAAATGTTGATCGCAGCGAAGTGTTGTCTTGGAATGCGACTCCTTGGATCGGATCGCAAACAAAACACAACTTGTGTTTTGTTTGCGATCCGATCATTCATTACAACCATAACGGGGGGTCTGTACTAAACTTTTCAAGGCACAAGAAACGAGATCAGAAATGAAAAATCTCCTGCGAACAAGCTCGTCACGAACAACACCGACATTTTTCATCTCGTGCCGCCGCCACCGCCAACAAAAATTCTCAAAAGGGAACACTTCCACACGCTTATTTTGAGCGTCAGAGAATAAGGACCCTGATATCATACCCAGAATCTCACTCTTCGACATACTATTTCTATTTCATTTTTTCTTCAGTCTTTGCCGAAAAGAAAACTACATACTCGCTCGTCTTGAAAGGCAAACTGTGAATACGAACGTGTCTACTTGTGTAGGCTGGAGTCGTGCAGCAGTCAGCCAAAATTACATGAGGAAGTCTTTCACTTTTGTTTTTCATCGTTCTTGCAATTACAGAAAAATGATCAACAGCCTAACTCTGCGGAACTGCAACAAAGAGATGCATTTACCGCTAAAGGTCTACGTCTAGACCTAGAAATTCTGTGCACCTCTACGTAAAACATAGTTTGCAAGGTATGTTCTTTGTAAGTCCTCACGACCGCTAGAAGTGCTTTTGCAAAATCTAATCAATGAAAATTTTATTTCCAAGGTATATCAAAGCACCACTGCAAATTTTTATAGATAGACAGAACTAAAACTGAGATAATCAACATCTTTGGCGCTCTTACGACTTTTCTGGATTTGTGCGGACAACTTGGTCGACTTTACCCGTGGTAGCCACTGCGGGTAAGAAATGCTACTATATTGAAAAATAAAGTCCCAAAGGGAAGTTTGAGTAGAGCACTGTAGGAAGGCGAACTGAGCTGTATTTGAAGTCCTGCCATGTTTGTACAACTTAAGTAAAATCTCAGATGGCAATTTTAATTTTTGCTCTGGCTCAAAGAGAACTCAACTGCGAGGTTTCTTTCCAAAGCACATCCTCGGATGAAGTAGACGACATTAAAAATGCAGAGAAAACTTCATATTTTATCTTTCGAGACGTTCACGCATACCTACATAAAAAACAAGAATGTCTTCCTCACAAAGCTGATTCGTCTAGCAGCCTGACTTCTTCGTCGTCTTCTCGAGTACAGGCGGAAAAAAAAACTTTGTTTTTTTGAACACAATGATACTGCACAGGATGAGTTTTTGATTACATGTAATTCCTGGTACATGTTACAACAGGCCGACCCGATTACAAACAAGTTTAAAAGCACGGCCTCCATCCAAATCAATCGGCACTTCGAAAAAATCATGATCATCTTGAAAAAGATTCGTTATCCTTTTAATTCATCATTGTCTTTTTTTTTAATGCTTCATGAGGTTGAAACCGACCAGATCGGTTGCTCTAATTCCAAATTCAAATGAACAGATTGATTGATGCATAGAAGAATGCAATTGCTGGTTGTATGCAAACACAAATAAACAAAATGGAGACCTGTTACAGTATGAAAAGAGAGTTTGCTGAAAAAGGAAGCAATGGCGATTAGTTTGCCGTCTAGTCGCTCTCGCTTTTGTGTAAGTAGAATAAGAAAGTACTCACTGCATCAATCGCGCGCTGGTGATCATACATTCAAATGGAAACAACTACAACATCAAACAAACTATAAAATTAAGTAGTAGCTTGCATCATGAGTACTATGCCACATCGACTTCCTTTCGCAGAGGACGCAAATAAAGCTAATACCTTAGCAAAGTGTCGATTCGATCCACAACATCTTCGACCAGTAGTACGCTAGACTCGTCACTGCCCCGACTGCGGTGGATCTTTTCCCGCGCGACTCGCAAGGAGAGTGCGGCCTTCCGTACTTGTCGCCTGATGAGAGCCCGTTCGGACGACTCGGCCACCTGATCCAACTGCGTGACGATCCGGCACAAATTCTTCGTGTGCTTTTTATGCTCCGACTGGCTCTCGCGGGTACCTGGGCTGTTGGCCAGTAACTCGTCCAGGGTTACCACAAGCGTCCGGAAAGAGGCCTCCGCGTTGTCGCGCACACCCAACAAAGTCGTCGTCGCCACAGTGGCGGGGCGGCGCCGCAGCTCCTCGGCGCGCTCTTGTACTTCTTGTTGTGTGGAAGATTTATTCTGGTTCGCAGCACCGATGAACAACCCCTGCTGGCCGCCTTTCACAGTAGAAATTTTCCTCTTGATCGGACTTTTTACGTGGTCAACACCTGACGACGTACTAGCAGGAGTTGTCACAGCACCCTTCAATACGTGACTCGTAGAAGTTGTACTGCTCTCTCCACCTGCTACTCCGTCGTCTTCTGCCTGTGACAGTGAATCGACGAAATCCGGATAATAACAGTAGGGCGGAGGCGTATACCCCACTTTCCGGCTTCGCGGCGAGACCGCGGCCGCTTGGGCCGCTGCATTGCTCCGAATCGTTGGCGTGTTCGGACCTGGGGAAGGAGGCGGCTTTGTTCCCACGTAGCGCAAAGTTGAACTGGAGCCGTTGCTTTGCCGCAGCTTATCAATGATGGAAGAAGTCCGGAACGGAGGAGTTTTTGGCACGGCGACAGCATTCAGGTTCGTGGACGTCGACCCAGCACCACTTTTCGCTTGGGGGGTCGTAGAAGTTGCTGCTGGATCCTGTTTTTGCCTTGACGGAGTCGTCCCTGAAAACGCGGCCGGCTGCCGATTATTGGATGTCATGCTGGTCCTGTAGTTCTTTGCGCTCCCTGGTGGCCCTCCAATGCTGGTGCTAGCGGGCCGCGATTCTTTCACTTCATCTCGTGCAGAAGATCCGGTAGCACTTTCTGTAGTCTTCGTCTTGTTTGTGAACTTCTCTTCCATGAACTTGCCCTGCTTCGCCGCAGTGCTACTACTACCCGACTCAACACCCCCCGATTGCTGGATGAATAGATTACGAACCAACAAGGCCTCCACTACCGCACTTGGGGTGGCGCCTGCGGGGATGCTCGTCGGTCGCCAGAACGCCTTGTTTGGCGTGCTCGCGACCGAAGCTTCGTCGACAAGCGTTGCGCCTAGGAAATTAGCTTTCATGGTACTACTCCCCTTGTCGTCGCTGAGGTGGTGGTAGTGCATGCAGGAAAACGACATGCCCTTCATCTTGGTCCGCTCCATCGGCTTCAGTCCGTTGAACGCCTTGGCGTGAGCATTGTGCCAAATCGGTGTAGGAGTCTGCTCCTTCGCCGGGTTATTGATATTTCGCTGCTGCTGCACTCCGCTAGATTTTGAAGATGGTGGTACAACATACGATGAGCTACTGCTACTGGCCGAGGACGAGGACGAGCCCGACCTCTTGTTTTCGTTCCCACTTGTCGCGGTGGTATCGGCATCGGACCCGTTCGTGCCGCCGCGGCGGGATGACGAAGAACTCCCAGGCGGCTGCTGATCCGCTTTTGAGCTAGAGCTAGGCACCGCTGTGCTTTCCGCAGTTTTTTTGGTACTAGTCGACGTTCCAGGACGAGCCGCAGCTCCACCTGCTACACTAATGTGCGACCCGGAGCCACTCTTTGCGGCGGCCGGAGCTCCTGCTCCGGTTGAGGTGGTTCGGTTTTTGTTTATGCGCATCGCAGCCTCCATGATCGATGACGGCGAGCGAATCGGATTCGGATTGCCACTTCGGACCATCTGGTGGCCACTGTTAATACCAGCTCTGCCTCTTGGTGTTCCCGGAACTGCTTGTTGCTCCGTACTATATTGGTCTCCGGACGCTGCGGAGCTCAGGTTCGCCCGTCCTCCCGGATCGTCCCGATAGACCGCATAGACGGAATCCAACCCGAGTAACCGCCCGCACTCGGCGCTGATGCATTCCTGGGTGAGGAGCTGGAGCTTCCCGGCTCGCCGCGTGACGCCGCCTTGGCAAACGGTCTGGTTCAACTGCTTGAACCCCGCCTTGTTCCGATGCGTCTCGTACTTGGTCACCAGCAAAGCCACGTCCGTCAGAAGTCCCGTGACCAGCTCGCGGGTCGTAGCGGTCGAAAACGACAGATCTGGCGCGGAATTCACTTCGATTAGCCACAATTTTCCGCAATCGTCCACCATGAAGTCGAAGCCAAAGATCTCGAAGGAGTCCTCCCGGTGCGGAACCTTTTTCTGAACGGAGTGCAGGGAGATCCACAAATATTCCTTGATCTGCCTCAACAGATCGCTTCCGTCAATGCGCCCGTGCTCGTATTCCTGCAGATACTTCAAGAATTGCTGGGAGCTCCACATGGTGTCGTCGATCCACTTCGTGGTGCTATTGTACGACGTACTAGAAGGCCCGGTGTTGAACGCGGTGATGTTACTAGAAGTGCCGCTGGTTGTTGTTCCACTATGCGCTGTTCCCCTGTTCGCTGGCGAGGTCGAGGAGTCTTTGTCGGGACACAGCTTTGTGACGGCGTTGTTGGTCAGGTGTATGTAGGGGTCGCAGCTGTTCGGGTCGAAGTCGCGTGCACCGAACCGCAGGTAAAAGTCTTCGTACATCCAAGCTCGCAAGCAGCGGCTGCCCGTGCTCTCCCAATTCGTAACGACCACCCATTGGCGGATGTCGAACTTCCTTCGCCCGATGACTATGCAAAGAAAAAAGTGCTACAGTTACGAACGCATCAGTGTGTTGCAGCACCGGCAAGAGGACAGACAACCTTTGTCATGCGCGAAATCTTCGAATGCTTTATTTGGGCCACGTTTTATACGTGTTCTGCTATAAGATCCATTGTTCGTCCCTTGTGATCTTTGCATTGCAAGTTTTCTCTGTCGTTTTGCAGAGACAATTTGTGCAAGGTGGCTTTGCGACAAAAGTGCAAAAACTGAAACACTTTGTTTTTCGTCGGGTAATAATCAGGGGTTTCTCAATGTACTTCTGGCAAATCAAATTTCCCACATTGGGATCCTTACCGGTCGTGGTCGGAGACCGGAATTCGTCCGTCGTGGTTCTTCGCCTCGGCGTGTTGGGCGAGTTGGTGTTATACTGCTGTTGTTGTTGAAGATCACGATCAGGAAAGAAAGTTTCCCCGTCACCACCAGCCTCGTCCTTGGTTTCGTTATCGTACTGGTTGTTTTCTCCGTCCTCGGAAGCCGAGTGACTTCTCGAGCTGTTTCCACTGGAATTCTGGTAGTCCTTTTCCAGCGTCCGCAGAATCTTACTTGGCGATAGGGAGGCGCTGCGGCTCTGCTTTTTGGAGGCGCGAGCACCGCCGGGACCGATGTCGTCAGAGGTCAGCAGAGCGGGAGGGCGATTTCTATCTGCCAGTCGTCCGCCCCTGCTGGTCGTCGTCGTGCCCGTAGTTGGTACTACAGAAGATGTTGACAGGTTCATCAGTCCCAAGGAGCTACTAGAGCTGCTGACCGCGGCGGTCGTGGTACTCGAAATCCCTCGCGCGCGCCCATTCGCGACTTGCAAGCAACCCGTATCGAAACTCGGCACACCGTCGCTGCGCACGGGAATGTGGTGCAAGGCTAGCGGACCATACCGCGAAAACAAACCCATGCTCGCTTTGGCAAGCGAATTATACGACCGCGTCTTCCAGATTTCCTCTAACGTGTTCACCACTTGGATTCCGCGGCCACGGCTCTGGTTCGTGGGTTTGATGATCCACAGATTGTGGAATCCGTCGACGCCCCCCGTGAGGGAGCTTTCCTCTTGCGAAAACTTGGTTCGGAACAAGTTCAGCAGCCTTGTCGCGGTGAAGGGATTGCTCATGTTGTTGGAGATCGACGTACGTTGCACGAGCTCCGCTGGGCCGTTTGTGTTGTAGAACAGGCAGTATTTCGGCAGCTTTCCGTGAAACCGCTCGGAAATGCCACGCACCAGCAATTCCTCAGCCGTAATGGGCACGACCAAGTGTGCGGTCGCGCCACCCGTGAACGGTTTGTTAGGTTTTTCGTGTCCGGTCGGGGCAACGACAACACACCCCTCGACATTGATATTCGAAGATGTCTTGCTAGACGGCGGCAGGCCCGTCGTCGAGTTGCGTTGCTGCTGGGAAACAACCTTCGGGGGTCCTCGCCCACTGCTGTCCACCCTGTCGCGCGAGTTCGTGGACCCGGCCGGTCCATTTGATGATATTCCACCAGATCTGGTGCTAGCTCCGGAAGTAGAAGTGTTGCTGGCGAGATTCTTCGTGGTGTTGGCACTCCAGTCGATCTGGTCCAGCACCAGCATGCGAAAATACTTCTCGGATAAGTTGATCCGCGTTGGATCCTGCATTTCTGGGTGGCGCCGGTGCCAGTCACTCGGCTTGAGCGGCTTGGTCTGCACAAAACTCCGCCGGCTGCCGTTCATCCCCGTGAGGCTGTTGATGACCCGCATCACGCCCTTCTGCACCTCGCGGAATTGGAAGCGCAGTGGTAGATCCTCGGGGAGGAACAGCAAACGCCCCTCGCCGTCGATGCAATCGCGCAGCAGTAGAACTTTCAACCACTCTGTGTCGTACGCAGCGTCGTCCGAAACGTTTTCATTCGCGTTTTCCCGCTTCAAGTACAGACGCGTAATCGCCTCGACGTATTCTTCGATCATGTCGACCTCGAGTTCCGGGTTCCGGAGGGGATCCCGGGGATCCAGATCCGCGCGCAGGTAGCAAAAATTTCCCGCATGCGCTCCCAGCGACGGATCGGAGCCGCGGGTCAGCACTTGTTCTGTGGACGATTTCAGACCGGAAAGGGAGGTCGTCGCCTGAGATATGATCAAACTATTCTTCCGGGAATTCGACAGGCTACTGCTGGACGAAGATTTCTGGAGCTCCCCAGTCGGCCGCCGGTAGTAGTTGTCAATAGCCTCCAAATTTAGCGTCTGGGCGTTCAGCTGCAAAAAGGAAACCGTCCCGCGAATGCGGTCCACTTCGGCGAACTCGATCTTGCCTCGGAGGTCAAGCAAGAGACTTCTTGCGAAATGGTACTGGTAAACTCCGATGAACCGATCAAAAGCACGCTTTTCTGCCAGGTCGTAGGAAGGCGTCATCATACGGAAAGGAAGATGGCGTGCATACCTGAAGTAGAGCACGATACAGGAAAAAAATATTTACTTGGTTGTCAAATAAGAAGCAAAACCAACTTGATTTTCCAAAGTCCGAAACTACGCAAAAAAAAACCTACCAGCATAACTTCTACACTCTTTATACCGTTCAATGTTTCTTTGCAACCCGAGTTTCGTTGTCAATTCGGAGACCGAGCCGAAGAAGTTCACGATTCGCTTGTCCTTCAACAGGTTTAGCGGCACCCCAATGTCCGCAATTTTCAAGCCGAACTTCAAATCCCAAAACAAGGCTCGATTCCCGGTGGTATCCAAGAAAAAAACGTTGTAGGTGTAACTTTTTTGGAGGAACAGCATTAGCATTACAAGTTTGACTAACATGACAGCAAAAACCTGTCATGCGCAGATAGTACGTAAAAACGCCCTTTACTGGACCCTGCGACGCATGCCAAGCATGACAGACGCAATCATCTTGCATGTTGAGCATCACAAATTTACACTATTAACAACGTTTTTTTCTTGGATAGGTGGCCTCACTGTTGTAGTACCATCCGTGCGACTCCATGGCCCGACGCAAGGCGTCCAGCGCGCCACCCACCGAGTGCGTTGGCGAGGGATTGGGGTACAGCGCAAACACCCGCGTCTTCGGATCGATCTCCTTCTGCTCACGCCACTGCTCGTAAGTTTCCGGCAGCTCGTGAAACTGGCTGCTGCCGTTGCTGAAGCCAAACCGCGTTTGCACTTTGCGCCAATGCGACGGATTGTTGCCGCAGGTGGGCGTCGCGGCCGCGGGAGACGCGGTGCTTGAGGAACCTCCCTGTGCTTGAGGACCCCGTACGGGAGACACCGACAGTCTGGCGCCCGCCTTGCTCGGGCTCGTGGTGGTGGTCGTGGATGACGTCCACGCACTGCGGCTGCTGGGAGCTTGGACAACGATCGGGGGACTGGCCAGGGAGGCGGACGTGCCTGTACCGAGCGCTGATCCAATGGTATTACGACGCGGCGCCGCGGTCGGCGAGGCTGAAGACATCGTCACGCCACTCCCTCGCCGTGGCGACCCCAACATGATCCTCGCGCGGCTTGTGTACTTAGTAGAGCTTCAAAAAAAAACCATGACCTTCCTGAGTACTAGATCTAGAGCACAACCGACAAAAATTGATATGGATCCGATTATCTTCAAGTCTGTCTTGCTCTACTTGTGAAAAAAAACGGGCCCGCCACTTGTTCTTTCCCTGTGCCCCATCCTGGCACGCACGATTGCACATCCACCCACGATTCTTTTTTCAAAAAACGAAACGACAACGATTGGCATGACTGTTCCTGTGCCCATGAGCACTGATGAAAGAGTCAAAGCTAAGCGATGTAAGAATCATCACGCAAGAGGATTTGTTGCTGGAACAATATGAGTCGCCACTATTATAGACCTCAGTAGGATCATCGCAAAACCACGGCGGATAGACACGGTCACGGAAAACATACAGCTTGACACGCTTACATTTTTTACCTAGCAAAGTCCACGTCTCAACCACGTATCTATACGGTACCTGCAGACTTCTGTGTCTTTCGACCGATTTTTTGCGTCAGCGGTAAATACTTATCCGTCACCGACAATGCCACTTCACATTGAAGAACATCCTCTGAATGTTGCTTGGAGGGCGAGGCAGAGGGTAAGGAAGTGCTGTAAGTTCCTACACGACAACAATGTACGTAGCCTAGCACGGTGGTATTAGTCCACCGATTTACTTTCTCGCAAAGTGACTTTTCGGTTGTGAAAGGGGTAGAGTTCTTCTTCCTTTTACTGGTGTTGCGGAATCATAGGGGATCTAGTGCTCAGTGACCATGTGCCTTGAGAAACGCTTGATCCGCCTTTCGGCGCTCTCCTTTGACGTTCAAATTCCTATTCGCGCTCATGGCGGCTATCTTGTCTCTACTGTGCGCCATCTTCGCCGCGTCATCGCGGGCCTTCCGGTCCTGCTGCGTGCTCATCATGGAGGTCATCTGTTTCATAACGTCTTTCGGTTCGCCTCCTTGCTTGTGGAAATTTCGCATCATGGAGGTGAACTCAGCCTTGCCGCTAGCGGATTGTCCCAGCGGCATCAGCAGTCGCTTCGTACAGTTTGGATCGAAACACGGAGCCCAACCTGCAAGTGAGTTTTAGTGATTTTCTTTTGATTAGGCGGTTCGCGTTGACTCATAATCTTCTGCGACGGCGTTGCATTTTCTGATACATATGGATTTTCAAACATACAAAAGCGATCAAGATTCTCACTCTATCGAGCGTGCAAAGAACATCAATAAAAAGCAGAGAAAAAAATCGTAGTAAACCTGCTAGAGGTGGCGCTAGTTTAACCCAGCAGGGCTGTCGGCGACCGTTTCGGATGCCTTCGTCGATGATTTCGCACGCGACGAGCCGGGTGTTCTTCTTGAACGGCCCCATCATCTTCTGGCTGTGCCAGGAGGGGTTTTGCAGCGAGCGCACGCAGTTGCCCTCGACCACCTTGTAGCTCCACCACTCAATGCGGTAGTCGCAGCCGGACAGCAGGTCGTGCAGTGTGTGGTTGGACTCCACGTACAACTTGCAGGGGAACCAGCCGTAGTTGTTGATGCTGGGAATCCAGGCCTGCGCGTACTCCTCGTGCGTGTATTTGTGCTTGACCACCGTGTCCGTCTCCAGCAGCGTGCCGAACCAGAGCGGCTCGGCCTCGTGGATGAGCTGGCCGGGGTCCGCCGTGGGGCCCCACCTGGCCGACACGCCCTCCTTCACGGTGCAGATGTAGTGCACGGGCGGGTCCGAGTGTTTCAGGTTGGTTTCCGAGATCGCGAGTAAATTCCCCGGCAGCTTCAACGGCGTCCACCCGTCCACGCAGGGGCCAACCTTCGGGTCCAGCTTGTACATCACCATCTCCTCGCCGTCGGTGGTCTTGTATTGCACGAACTCCTGGATTTTGATGAACGTGCCCGAGGGAATGGTCGTGATGATCGGCAGGTAGACACAGGGGTCCTTGAACACGGGGATGGTCCTGACCGTCGTGAACTGGCAGGTCTTCAGCTGCGCGTTCTTGTTACCACTCGTGTTCACCTCGGTCAGCACCGGGATTTTCCCGGCCATGGGGTCGCTGGCGGTTTCCAAAACCCACTCGGCCTTGAACCCCCGCACGTACTTGAGCCCGTCCTTCCCGGGCCGCGCGCGCGCGTCGCACGGGATCACCTCGCCCAGCTCGGCCCGCCCGCACTCCGGAATCGCGCTGTTGCAGTCCTTGAACATGGGCGCCCCGTCGGCGTTTATCACCATGTAGAAAAAGTCGCCGTACTCGATCTTGGGCTTGTATTTCCCCTTACTGTAGCCCGCTTGCACCTTGTTGTTCGGGTGGCTGGCGGAATTGGGATCGTACGAGTACGCGTACTCCGCGCCCTCCCAGGGCTCAAAGTACTTCTGCGCACCCTGCCCGGTGGACGTCGACGGCGCCGCGCCCCAGCACGTCGAAAAATCCATATCCCCGCCCGCGTCGCCGTGCCACTGGTCTTGCTGCCAGTTCTCCCCGCCCGCTTGCGCGGGCATACCCTGCATCTGCTGCGGCCACTGGTCCTGGTTCCAGTACTGCCCGTCGTCGGCCGGCCAATCTTGCCACGACATCTTCGGTGTAGCTGAAGGCTCACTGTAGTGAATTTCTAGTATACGATATAGGATGAACAAATTGTAATTGATGTCTCGTCAAGTCATCAAAATAAAATACGAATTTGGGTTCTTCGGGTTGATAGAGCTTCGTGGTGGGGCATCGGAGAAGGGGTAGGTAAAAGTCTTGCCTGCTGCAAAAATCTTTCTTCACGATGACACTACATTGCTTGATGCTAGAGGTCATAGGGTAAGAGCTCAAGACCGAAAACAAATACCGATTTAGAAAAATCTGGTGGAGTCGCATCATGAACGATATGTACGATGTTTGTTTGGTGTGTGATGTACGAAAATGGTGAAACGACCGATGTACTTATTTCGTACGAGGATGCCTCGGTACCCGAGCTAAGTACCGATCGACGATGAACGAAGAAGAAGTAAGACGAAGAAACGCACAAACACATGAGTGAACACCTGACCCAAAGCGCGCGCAAATTGGTGAACCGATCGTCAGACAGTACCTAATTAGTTTTTGTATTCTCAATTTTCCAATAAATCCTTCCTGAAAATATTTACATATATCATCCATGGTCCTACACCTACAGCTAATTTTGTTCATTTAGATTTACAACATTTAGAATCAAACCATTTTTCCAACTTAAATGTTCCTCGCAGTGGCAAGTACGTTTTCATTTTTTCATTTGAGCCTGGAATACAACAAAGCCAGCTTAGTGGTAATGGTGAAGCCTTCGAAACAAAAATTATGCTATCTACCGAGAAGTACATACTTATTTTTTGTTCTGCGCCGTGAGAGCCAATCGACTAGCGGACCAGAAGCGTCGCTTGACGGTACGACTCCGGAGTGGAGCAGATGAAGAGAGAACCAATCAGGCGTCGCCAGAACTCGTCGTCCCCGGTGGCCGTGGCGCGGTCTACTTCTATTGGCGGTTCATATCATGCAGCAAGTTGAAACACATGTCATATGCGGGAAGAGTGAAACATGCGACGGGCGCAGCCCGCAGGATGCAAAAAGATAAGCCCCGATATAAACCGGAAAGCCCTTCTTTGCGGTGGATCTGACGAGCGTACTTGATCCAGCTGGATTGCAGTTTGGCCTGGTGCGGCAGCTGCCCATGCTGATGGAAGTCCCGCTGCATGCGACTGCGGATGACGTCACAGGGGTAGGTGGCTGTCCAGCCCGCAATCCCCGCGGCGGCGCCGGCCAGGGGGCGCGGCCACCCGTCCGCCTCGTCCGCGCGGCTGCATTGGCCCGACAAGTAGGTGAACGTTGCCATGTAGAAGCCGCGACCAATCCCCTCTTGGATCAAGTGCGGTAAATAGCCGAGGCGGAGTAGCGTCAACGGCTGTCTCATCCAGGGGAGAACATCACGCACCGACCGGAAGAACGAGGTTGGTACCGCGCTCGCGGGCGTCACCTGCGCCCGCAGCTTCACGCACACCACTGGAAACATGAGGATCGCATTGACCCAGCCGCTCCCGCACCCCGCCACAAAGTCGATTAGCACGGTCTGCCGGGTTGCCGTTAGGGGGTCAGCGCAGTTGGCGGGATCGAATGCAGGCACCACGGAGAGCTGATCCTTGAAGTATCGCCAACTCCCAAACATCAGCGTGCTGCTCAATCCGCTGGTCAGCAACGGGCCATGGATTCCACGGTAAAGAACGCGAATGGCCTTCGCATACTGCCGAGCGCGGTCACTGGCAGTTCCTGCCGGAATCGGGCCTCCGCCCGCGAAAACCCTCGAACCAGTGCTACCGATGTTCGAACCTGAGAAATTTTCGTTGGCATCAATCCAGCAACTTTTTGCATGTGGTTGTCATACATACTGCACTACCTTGACAGCGTGCTTCCATACTTGCACAAAGGTGACAGAAGTCCGTACCTGCAGAAGAAGGCGAACGCAGCAGCTGACGGATCCCACCATCGCTGTCGGAGACTCGAGCTTGGGCGCGGACTTTTCCCGTGTCGAAGGGATGGCCAATCGTGATATTGACTAGCCCCGCAAACCAGCCAGCAGCCATGGCCTCGTAAGTCACAGAAGCACTCATGGTGGTCACTCAGCTGCGTCCTGGTGGCTGCGGCGCTGCTCTTGCGACTGCACCACGGCACGCTGCTAAGTCCCACGCTTCTGGTCCATGTGGGCACCCCACTGCCCACAACGAACGCCGGACCGCTGCGACTATCACGAAACGCTCGAGACTTCGAACGCCATCGCTATCCACGACAAAGACAATTCACTTCTTCTATTGCTTTAGGCCGCGCCGACCCATCGGAAGAGCAGCGCTCACATGTGCAGCAGCTACGTATCATTGAGGAACGAGGCGAAGAAAGGAAGGCTACTGAAGGTAGAAGCAGAATCGAGCAGGATAACGTGAAATGCGCCACCGCTCAATAAATCAGAGGCAGACGAATACACAAGAATAAGAAACCCAACACATTCCTATATATCACACACGGCGAACACACACAAATACGTCCGCAGGCAAGACTAATACTTATACACTGAGCCCTGCCTCCGATACCGCACGCAAACGCGAGAACAGCTGCGCAGCTGGACGCCCTCACGGTTGGTGCAATTGCAAACATACAGCTACGAAGTTGCCTGAGTAAATACTGGCTGCAGGCACACGCTCGCAATAAAAGCCACGGCGCCTGCGCATGTGCACCACGCAGCGACGGAATCTGTCTGCCCAAGGGGGCGGTCTGCCTGCGTGCGGACAGAGTAACCAGCGCGGCGGGCCCCCACCCCCGCCCGACCACCAGCGGGCCCGCAGGCGCAAGCGACCGACCCAGCGCCGGCAGGTGGGGCGTGTGGTCGTCGGCATACAGAGCGACCCACCTGCGGCGAGCTGAGGCGGGGCCACGGGGAGGGCCCGCCGCGCCCGACATTGGCGCCCCCCCCCCCCCAAGTCCGTTGCGGCAGCCAGGCAGGCCCTTGGGCGAGAGGCGGGCCACAGCCTTCGGGACGTCTGGGCCAAGACTCTCGGCCAGTATCCTCGCACGCAGCCGGCCGCCCAAAGCGTGCGCCGACACTATCCGCGCCGCCAGGATTCGCAACGCCATCCCGGGCTCCTTGGCTGTGGGCGACGCCTAAGTGTTTAAGTACGCAGCGGCGCCCCGCCCTCGTGAAGTTCGGGCTGCGCAATCGCGGCCGCCCAGGCTAATGGCAAAGGCCTGACAGCCGATCTTCTCCGCCTGGAAGTTTTCCGTCCCTGGGCCGGCGCGGCATCTTTACCCAATGGGGCCAGTTCTTCCATCCCTAGCGCCGCCGCGTGCAGCACGGGGGGCGCCGCATCACCGGGGGGATTTGCCCCCGCCTGCGCTCGCCATCCCACTCGCCCCAGCGCCGGCAGCGAAGCAAACACTGGCGCACCCTTCCGGAGTTGTTTGGCGGCTTTCTCCGCCCACTTCTTCCAGGACCGCTCAACACATCGCGGGATCAGAACGGGACAAGAGCGCGCGCCCCCCCCGGGCTGCAAGCCGTGCCGGGCGTGGTTGGCGCGCCGCCAAGGGCCTCCCCAAAAAACTTCTTGCCCGATACCGCTCGGCCAGGTGTGCGAGCAATACCGACACAACGCGGAACGGCTCGGCAGCCTCACAACACGCGGAGAAGTCTGGCGCCGACACAGAACAACCGCCGCGCTTTTGCTGGGTTTTGTCTTGTGGCTGGGACGGCTTGAGGGAAGGGCCCTCTGCGAGCATGTTGCGCAGCTCTGCCTTGACCCCGTGACCCCTTTCGGACGGCTCAGGCAGCTCCGGCCCCGCCCGTGTCGTCCCGGCTGACCCGGAAAGCCTTGCTCGCCGGGCAAGTAAGTGCCGGCATCCATGGAGAAAGGAGGCAGCCCGAAAGCCGCGGGCCTGGCGGATGCACGCGCACCGTCCGGCCGCGCTGCGGTGCGCAGCGTCGCAAAAACGGCTCGCCGCTGCCCCCTTTTCGGGGTGCCTATGTATCAACAGCACACAAGTGGCACACTTCCAGCCGCTTGGCCACGACGTTGGTGGTCTGCGCAAGCGTCGGGGCCAGCCTTTGCGCGCAAGGTCTGCAGGCGCTGCCTGCTGAAGTGGGCGACCGTGGCGAAGGTGTTCGCCTAACGCATAGCAGCAATGGGCAGCATTCGTTCAGCAATCTGTCAACTACCACAGCGCGCGCCATAAAGAGAAACTGAACATCGAACACGAAGACGCACGAGAAGGCTCGGATAATGCCTTCGAACTTTAATACCACATTTGCATTTCTCGCCAAGGAAAACTATTCCAGGAGAACGTTCTGCAAGAGTCTTTGAAAAACCCAACAGCTCGCATTGGGCGTGTCTGTAGCTGTGCTCCTGTAAGTACTTGGGTGCAAATGCGGTCCGCACAAGTAGAACGAAACGCACACACAGTTAGTGAGTACCACAGAAGGGAGCCTGCACGCCTTTGACAGCTTTGACTTTATCACTGTAGCTTATTTGAAGGACGGTTTATCACTTAACTTGGACGTTTTGCTTTTTGATGTTGATTGCAAAAAACTACTATGCGCGCATAACTGAAACCGGACATACAACAAGGAATCATAACACCCAAATTCACTTGCTAGTGATGTAGCAACGATGAAGCTCCTACAAGAGGGCACAGAGAGGTGCAATGTTGCGGGTGCGCGAGTCTTGTACAAAAACTTTCCGCAACATCCACCCCCTACAACCGGAGATTATATCTATTTCTCCGGTGCATCCTGCGCCACGAACTTCATCTTTTTGAGGTCCTCCGCAACCTTTCCCTTCTTAAATTGGTCGTTGAATTCCGTGAGGGCGGATAGTGTGTCACGCACAAGCTCCAAGTCCTGGGACAGGAATTGCGCGCCGCACATCGGGCACGGATCGTCGGCGGCCTTCGTAATCTCCGTGTACCGGGCCGGAAACCGGCACTTGGGGCAAAAAGAATAGTCCTCCCGTGTGACAAAAAGACCGGAGTAGATGCAGAGGGGCAGAATGTTCAAGCAGTGCGCGCACTCAATGGAGGAGCGCGGGATACTCGTTTCACAGTGCGGACACTCGGCGTGCGGAACAGTCTGCTGCCCGCCGTCCTCTGTGGGTATTTTCGGAAATTTAGTTTGATTTCAGCGGAAAAAATCATACTTCTCATTTTAGTAAAAACTCAATAGAGATGAGTGATCCGGTAAGAAAGGTAAAACCTCCACGTATACAAGCACCAAGACCGACCACTCACGCAGCCAGATTAAATGATTGAATACCGCTCCCTTGCTTCTTCCGCACAATCGTTTCGATTTTCCTTTTGTACTGTTCGCTGACCTGAGATCGGTGTTCCGGCCTCATCAGCATGACTGCGAAGGTGTAGGCGTCCTCCTTCAGATTGGCGCGCTGGCACTCGATCACCACACTGGTCAGGATGGGGACAATGTGCTCGGGGAACTGCTGTATGTTGTTGCCGACGCGCAGCAGCATCTGCGCGGCGTTCAGGTGGTCTCCCGATTTCACGATGCGCTTCACTATTACGTAACTGTGCAGTAGCACGAGTTTGCGGTACAAGTCGAGCGGAATCGGCAAACCCTGTGCGCCAAGGTCGCGAAAAGTAGAGAACATCAGGTCGTGTGCTACTCGGTAATTTCCGCTATCCTGTTCCTGCTTGGCAATTACCAATGCTGTTTTCGCCGCCTGGGTTGCAAACGATTGTTTGGTGGTTATCTTTCAAGTAGCACCTGACTGATTCTTGTCAAATCTACGTCCCAGTATCAAAAACTTCAAAGTTCTTGCTGTTGCGCGGCAACAGCACTACATCAAATCTATCAAAATCAACCATCACAGTAAAGGCCACTTTCGTGCTTATCTATACTTGCTCGTAATTGCCGAGCGCCTTGTGAAGTTTGTAGACGTATTGTGGGTCTTTTGGCGCCACGGGTCCCAACCGCTGCGTGCTGTTGGCTGCCAGAGAGCTGTTGATAGCCGTATTGTCGCCCATCAAGTAGTCGATGAGGGCGTGCGTAAGCCTCTCCTGTCTGGCCTTGCCAACCACATCGATGGCGGCAAGCAAATCAGGATCACTACCGTTCTTCAGGTACAGCCTGTTTGAAATTTTTGGTGAAGATCGATAGAACTAATTTTCTTTTTCATGCTCGCAGGATCCCGATAATAAATCATTCAACACATTGATGTTAATTTGAAGCAAAAATATCTCCTTCATCCTAGAGCTACACCTGAGCGCGGTCTCGACGCCGTCAGAGCAGTTGGCGTAGTGCTGAGCGGCTTTGCTCAGCAGGGAGCGGTTTTCGTAGTACTGCGCTATCTTCTTGTGGAATTCGTCGGCGATGGTCAGGTGAATGGTGCTCAGCACCGTTTCGAAAGTTTCCATCTCGTCGTGCGTGCTCGCTAGCTGGAAGGCCTCCTCGCTGCTGTTGCCGATCAGCAAGAACTCGATCGCGCTGCGAATGTCCCCTCTTCTCCTGCAGTATTCGCTGATCAACTCGGCTCCCTGCTGTAGCCGCGTCTCCCGTACCTCAGAGTTAGAGGGCAAGTAAAAGTAGAAGTCAAACACGATCAGAGGGTCGTGAAGATTATTGCCACTTTCATCTTTTGCCAATCGCACTGTTGCTCTTCAATGCACTGACGTAAGTCAAAGTATCTACGGCTACACAAAGAAAGAAGTACCAGCTGAAACGCCTCGCTTGGTCGCTCAAGGTGGTTGAGTAACAGGCGCACGACCGCTTCGTAGTCCTTGCCTCGCTCGTACGCATCGAGCGCTTCTTTGTACTGCCCCCGAGATTCCTTAGCTTTCCCATACTGCAGGAAAAGCTTCGGCGTTTGTATTTTTCCAAGCAAAGGCGTCGCAGCGTCGAAATTCATGTCTTGGATGTAGAGCATCCTGTATTAGTATTTTTGTGCACCACATAATTAGTTGATGTTGGGTCAACATCCTAGGCCGCAGAAGAAGAAAAGCAAACCATAAAGGAGACCACAAAATTCAAATCTTACGCTGCCTTCTCGTAGTTTTCTGCTTTTTCGTACATTTGCCCCGCCTCTACGTTGTGCTTGATTGACTCCAAAAGCGCGCCGCACTCCTTGTATAGGTTCATATTTCCGACCTCACGCGCAAGCCGTATACCAGTCGCGATGTCGCCGGTTCCTGAGTTCGATGAATGGCTGCGTGCCATCATTGCATTAAAGCAGTTCTTGTTGAAAGCAAAAAAGAACCTCGTTCTTCCTATTGCTGTACGAAGATTCGAACAGCAGGCAGTAGCATCGCCAACAAAATGAATATGAGCCATCAAAGCCGTTGGTCGAAAAAAATTTTGTACGAAGCAATGTCCTGGCGAGACCCGACTGCACTTCTTCGTTGTGTGCGTCGATTTTGGCGATAAGAAACGAGTCCCCGCCCTCGCTGTCCGGACGCAGCAAGCTCTGTTGGTAGTACTGCACCGCCCCTTGGTACTCGCCCTTTTGCTCGAGCTGGCGCGCGGTTCGGAAGTAGATGATCGGCAGCTTGTAGGGCGCATACGCTTCCGCCAGGGGAATAGCCTCGCTCCAGTTCATCAGATCCACTTGCATCAGCAGCGCATCCCCACCGAAAACACCCCCGTCGCGCAGCCATGTCTCCTGCGCTTGGCGAAACTGCCCGCTCAGCTGATAAATGTGACCTGATTATATCGTAGGTGGAAGAAACGCGCTTGCTGAAGTGCAGGTCGACTTGCGAACAAATTAGCAGACACGTATTACGTGGAACCAAACTACTACTACATTTTCAATGTCGATCAAAAATAACTTCAAGACTTCTGGTGTGTTGAACGTAGACAATGCAAGAATACCCGAAAGCTCCTGTTTGGATTCTATCTCTGCCAGGTCTTGGAGGGTGAAAACCATTCCAGGTTCGGTCGCTAATCGCGCGTAGGCCTTCTGCGCTACCTCGACGTCTAGGTTTTCGAGCGCAAACCAGCCCAGCGCTTGCCAGTACTGCTTCTGCCGCAGCTGTGCTGCGTAATTGTAAGCGCTCTGTAGCCTGTTGAGGGCGAGGTTCTGGTAGAAGGATTTCTCGAGCATTCCCTGGTCGAAAGGCACCTGGGGATGATAATGCGTGGCAGAGATTGATGGGGGCACTAGGCACTGGCACTGCAAAAAGTAGAAAACTAGTGCGAAGAACGAAACTACGGCGAGCGAACATGAGGGAACTCTGCTCCTCGAACGACCATATCACTGTCAGCACATATCAACATAGAGATGAACAAAACCACACACCGCGCACCAGTGAGTTGTGCGTTTTCAGTGGGAAGCTTTCCAGCGCTCCTGACGTGGACTGACAGATGACTCTGCCGTCGTAGAGCATCAGTAGGCGCACGTCGGAAGGCATTTGCATCGTCTCGGCCTCTGCTGATTTCGGTCTTATGGACGAGGAGGAGGAGGAGGACGCCGATGCGCCGGCGCCCGATGACCCTCCCGACATCCCGCTGCTGAAGGAGTACTCTTCCGCGAGTTTCCGCACTAGGGTCCCGTCGCGGTGGTGTGACACGTAGTAGTAGACGTGTATGGTTTGCCCGTCGTGCGCCAGAAAGCAGTTTGGTTCCACGACATCCCAAAGCAACTGCTGCAGCTGCTGCGGAGCCGACGGGACCTGAACGCACTCATCGGACACCGGGCTGTACACCATCAGATTCCCTCCCGTGTCCAGCAGCGCGGCCCGCGTCCCGTTCGCGTTGGGATAGACCGCTTTGACCGCAATGTTGTGCTTGAATTCGTTCACCTCCGCGTGGTCCTGCAGCGAATAGTGCACGACGGTGTTCGGCAGCGCGACGTAAATCAGAAAATCGGAGGCAATCATCGGGGCCAGTGCCTTCTTCTGAAATATCCTCGAGATGCTCTGTTCCTCGCCCGCACTTCCCCCCGCGCCCGCGACATTCGCATGATCAAAGCCGGAGCTACTACCGGGGAGTTTGTTCAGCGACACCTTTCCGTCGATCCAGATCGCCGCGTGCGTGCTGGACAGTGCGACGGCCTCGATCGTGCCGACCTGTTCCTGTTCCAAAACCTGGCGCCCGTCGGCCAAGGCGTAGAACCAGATGCGGTTGTTCATGCCGGCGCACACGTGACGGGGTCCCAGGGCGAGAAAGCTGGGTTCCACGGCGCAAGTGACTTTACTACTTTTGCTCCCTTGTTGGAGCTCTCCCTGCGCGCCCGCGCTCTTGATCACGCTCTTGGCGCTGACCACGGTAATCTCCTTCAAACTGGAAAGGTAGCAGAGGCGGTCGCCGCACACGCTGGACAAACTGGTGAGTTTCGCGAGGTAGCAGTACAAGTAGCCATTGGACGTCGCGAACGTAAACAGCTGCCCATCGTCGCTCCAGTGCAGCTGCGTCGTGCGGCCCTCGGGCTGGAACTGAATCCGCGAGCTCTTCTGCTCCCGCCAATTCCTGGCGTCCAAAAACCGGATCTCCCCATTTTCGCCGCACGCAGAGGCGACCTTCAGACCGTCCACACTGCCGGACAGCTGGTTTACGCTTGCGCCATGAAGCTTCACCTCTTCCTGTAGTGATCATTTTGATGATGTCGATCACTACTTCGCAAGGAAACAGCACGTCGAACTACACATGTTTCCCTGTATAATCACTACGAAGTTGCCGATGTAGATGCGCGAGTTGTACCAACTCGTATGTACTCTGTAAGGTAAGGAACCAAGCAAGTAGAACTCTTCTACCTATACCTTGGCCTGGCCCCCGATACTTTCGAGCACGAACACGTGGCCGGACGCGAACCCCACGATGGCTGTTGACCCGCACCAGACGTAGCTTGTTATCTGGCCGAACTTGTCGCTGAAGGTCTGCTCCTGTAGCTGCGACGTCTTCCAATTCAGTAGGACGAGGCTCTTTTTGTTCTGCAAAAACGAAACGTTTGTTTGCGCACCCCCGGACGAGCTGCTGGACGTACTGGACGTCGACGCCGGCGAACAAAACTGCAGCTGCTCCGGCTCGGCGCGCACCTGCGTTTGTTCCAGCGAGTCCCCGTCTTCCTTGGAAATCGTCACATTCTTGTCTTCGGACCCCAAAGCGAGGATGTGACCACCCTGCCCCCCACCGGGACTGTTACCTTGCCCACCAGCGGCGCCAGAGATCGACGCCCACTGGCCCGACGTGATCTTCTTGCTGTGCTTCCCCAGGATGGTTTGCTTCTTCATCGTTCGCTTGTTGTACAGCAGCAGCCCGCCCTTGCCCGTGCCAATCGCGAGCGTGACTCCGGACTTGCCCCAGGTCAAGAAACTCGGGTCGCGGGAACTCACCTCTAACACCTCGGTCCGCCGGGTGGCCACCGAGTACAGCAGGACAGCCGGCTCTCCCTGCTGCAAAATGGCAAGCAGCTCGCCATCCGGGTCCCATTCCAGGAAGGTGACCGACGCACCGAGGGCCTTCAATCCGATTTCCGCCACCACCTCGGACCCGGTGCGGTCAAACAGGAACACATTGCGCTGTCCCTCCCCGACAACCGCGACCAGGTTCCCGCTGGGCTGCCAGGCGAAGATCACACGACCCGACCCCAAAAACTGGGGTCCGATCTGGAACAGCTGCTTCATTTCTCGTCGTTCCTAGATTGGAAACCACAACCGCTCGGGACGATCATGCGAGTCGTGCTGTCTCTTAGCTTCGTGAAAAAGCGCCCTTGGCCAACACACAACCCCTCCGACCGCACTTTCTGGCCATCATCGCGTCCGATCACCTGCCGTGGGGCCCCTCCGCCTCCACGAGCAAGCCCGATGATCACGTTCAATTTCAATCGGGATCCCGGCGGCCGGCGGTATTCTTTAATTCCGTGCGAGTGCTTTTCGTTTTGTCTACCGGTCTCTCGCAGGTACGACAACGATTGATTCTCAAAAATAAAATAAAATAAAAGTACTGAAAAAAAACGCCGTAGCAGCATGTACAACCCGACAGAAAAAAAGAGACCTCAGGAACAGTACAGGCTCCGTGTCTTCCTGCGAACCACAGGAAGCAAAGCAATCTCTCTGGTCATCATGCAGTTGGCCCTCACACTAGCACAGCAGCCCATCGCTCCTCTCTCTGAATTTTGATTGAATTCGTCGACATTAAAAATGGCAAAAAGTTTTTTTTAGATTTTTGAAGGACGAAAAAAATTCCGGACGCTGGTGCCAACACTATCTGTTGATGAAGCAACAATCCGACATGGCGCGGTGGATATCACGTCTACCGGTGCGGTTTTTTTTTTTTCCTTAGCGGTAAGTAGGCTTCTCCTTCAACAGTTCGAGGATATCGACGTTTGTTTTCGTAGGAAGGATATTCTAAAGGTGGCAGTTGCATTCGTTCAATAAGGTACAGTGAATTCAAATCAAGTTGGCTCTCTCCCGATTCATCTTGTGCAGGCCCGACCTGCGGTACATTTTACAGTGCGAAACGGGAAACGAAAACCAAAATGAAAACAAGAAAGTATAAACTGAAACTAGTTAAGCTCACATTGGAAGTCTAGGGGTAGAAGACTTACCATTTATCATCTTCCGAGACACATGCGGAGGCTGGAGGGCAAACTTAGGCGAGGCACCATCCGTGGCAGATCTAGTCATACTTGTTGTTTCTTCTCGCTGCAATACGTTTCCGCTTCTCTAGACTAGTACGTACTTCCCTACCAACTCACGCTACTAAATTCCTCTCTCAACCTCTGCGTCAAGGAAAAAGATCACATTAGAACTCTACTGTGCTGAATCAGAACGAAACCATTTCTTTGCTGTAATCTCATTCGTAAAAACTGTATTGTGTATTCTAGGTTCACTTGCGCTGTCAAACTTTGGAATTAGATACGAAACATTTAGCTGAATTCTCTTCTTTATAGCGGAAAGAAACATTAGCAGTATCAAATGAAAACATAAGGTAAATTAACAATTGAGTATCCACCTTCTGGAGCATGCAATTCATTGTCATTGACATTCCTGTTGTCACGTACGACGTTTACATTCTTGCACTTCGTAACAACTTTTTTTACTCCGGATGATACTTCTCCAGCGGATCACCACTGGGGCGGTTGTCAATGCGGAGCAGCTGCCGCATGGTCAAATCGCGGGCATTCCGGATGTCCTTGTTAGTCAGCTCCTCATCCCGCAACGTCTTTTCCTGTGCCAACCGACTGTTAAAGTCATCCCCCGTCTTGGTCTTAACTGTCTCCCCGGGCGGTGCCTGGATGATTTTTTGTCGTCCGATACAAGAAATTTTCATTTCCAAGTAAGTTGCTTGGTGTCACGTCGATCACTACCTAAACTAGTACAAGGGCAAAGGCAACTACTCATCATCATGATCAACATCAGCATGCTAGCTTGTTGGTACAAAATAAACAGAGGACGCAAGAACCGTTGCTTCTACCTGTTCATCCAAGAACTTTCCGGAGTCGTAGGGCGCGAACACGGGCAGTGATATTGGTGGTTTTTCTCTCTTGACGACGGGCTTTTTGTCGTCCATGAGACTGGCCTTGGTCTTGTTGACGTCCTGTGCCGTTCGGGCCGGGTCCTCCAAGGGATTGGCGCCCGCGGTCTCGAGGATGGTGTCTTTCAACTGCGCTAACTTGGTCTTTGTCGCTTTGCTGGAGACGTCCTTCTGCGCCACCGCGACTTGAAACTTCCGCTTCGCTTGCTGCCGCTCGATCCTAGAGTAGTGGTGCCGTTCCAATTCTTCGTACGAATTGAATCTACTAACGCTATGAGCATGCATGATCACTAAAGCTGTGAGGAGCAAAGCATCGTTGCAGTCAAAAAATAAAAGTGTAATCAATGGGGTCCTGGAATAGGTGGAGCCTGCCAAACAGTCGAATTCTACTTGTTCACGAAAACCGGTATGTATTCAAACCACAAGTGAAAGTTCATTTCCTATGTTTCACAGACAGGTAGTCAAACCGACACAACAACTTAAGTGGTCGCCAGTACGCGTGCTAAATCACAGAAACACTGAGTTGCTTTCATCGCACAACAGCATCGAAAGAAGCATTTCTTGATTCATCCGTACCTTGACTTCGGCAGAAAGTAGTTGTGGATTTGTTTTCGGCGCCACTTGTAGTGGTCCATCATCTGGAGTAATTTCTGCCTCGTCATCGCACCACGCCATCTTCGCTGCACTTTCATGATCAGATTCTTGGTTCTGCGGTAATCCCGTCGCGTTTCGATACCACGCGTCCAACCTGGTTGTGGTCGCATGAAATTGAATGCCTGATTTTACTTGCGGTCTTCTCGTTCGTCCATGTGCCTTTGCAACGCGCTTCCACCAAGAGAAGATGAACAACAAACTAAGTATACACGTATGGACAAAAATTTTACCCTGCAGTTTCATGATTGCCCACATGACACGCGGTCTCGCACGACGGAGATGTTCTTGGACCACGGGGTCTAACCGTTCCAGCAAAAGCAGAATGTTGGACGCATCCAGAAAAAGATGCAATTGTCGGTTGCCTGAGATGATCTCATATTGGAGAAAATTTCAAAATTTACGCATAGATGTGCATACAGTCTGAAAGGAAAAAGATGAAACGAATCTTGTTCACTAGTCCCACTGCGGATCTCGCAATAGTGAAAATGGATCTTTCAACTAGGTATCTATACCCTTGCAGTGCAGGAAAGTGAAGCAGTCGGTGCAGAGCAGTTCCTGCTCCTGTTCGTCGAAGACGGTAGCGCGCACGTTGCCGCACTGGTTGCACATTGGTGTCACAGAAACTTTTGTGATCGTGTGTTCCCTCCGGTGACCGTTGAAATGACACTTCCAGAAGCACTGCAGACAGAAGTTGTCCCGGCAGAAGTCGCCTGATTGAAAGTTGATGCCGAGAGTCACAAATGCTCGCTCGTTTCATTTACTTATAATGAAAAGGCTAAGTACGACCACACGACACACTGGACAGACAACGTACGTTTCAGCATCGGACAGGTCTTTCATATTCGACAGCATCAACAACAATGTACAACAAAGGAAACGCAGTACAATGGAAGGCTGCTGGATTGTCCTCGCACTCGTCGCAGGTGATGTTTTGTTCGATGATTTCACCGTCACTGACGGCAACCAACATCGCCCGGTGATCTGACCGAAAACCCTTTTTGTGCATCGCCTCGAAGCATGTGAAGCAGAAGTAATCCTCGCAGTTGCCGCAAAACACTTGTGGCTTCTTCACGTTGCACGAAGAGCAGAAACTCCCCACCGCGGTGTAGCAGATGCTGTGGTCCTTCTTCGGCCCAACCGCGAATTTGTGCAGGTTGTCAAAGCAACCTTGGCAGTAGGACTGCAAGCACTGGTTGCATTTTATTGTTGCCTGGAGGACACCTGTTGTGACATGCATTTTCAGCACATGTTTAATGCGAAGACTCTGACTCTTCACCATTCATCATAATCGTGGTACGAGAAAATGCAGAGACACAAAAGGAAAAGTGGAAGTGCGGCGCACAAAGAAGGCGAATCGATTAAAGTGGTCCTCGGTGAACAACCACAAAACAAATTATACCGCAGTCCTGGCAGGGAATTTGCAAATTGCGAAATTGCTGGTGGAACAAAATGTCGGGCTGGCAAAAGAACAGGCCGCTCACCGCGGGCTTCGTTCGGAATGCAAGAATGTCGATCCGACTGCGTTCCAGGACTTTCAAGTACCGCTGCGTCAAGGGGTGCTCCAACGTGTAGTAGTCGTTTTCCAAGTCGTGGAAGTACACGATGTTACTTTTACCTGTGATGGGAGAAACAAAATTCAAATTTAGCTGGCGCACATCTTCAAGTAGCGCTTTCTAATTCTAAGCAACATCCTAACTCTTCAAATTTTCACCATCAAGATGTAATGCAAAACATCAGCGAGAGTCGTAACCAAAAAGATGTACTGATGATCATTTCCGCATTTGGTGGCATTGGGGCATTGCACATTTCCCGGGCGACCCATGTCAGTTCCGGTTCAAATTCAAGCTCGATGCCGAGATACTCGACAAAATCCATAACCTGTTTTCATGGACGTCATCCAAGGATTCCAAAAAAAAAAAATGTATAAAACTGAAAAAAAGCATTGCATGGCAGGCGCAATCGATCTAGGAGTGATTATTTTATCTGACACTACAACATCCAACGCACAAAAAAAAGAACTCCTCAGTTTGTTATACCGTAAGTGCATATTCGCCCGCTGCGTTCGGTTTCATCTGCAAGACACGAGTTGACCGAGTCTCATCGAGAAACTCCTGCGTGGCCAGATCCAAGTTGGTGCCGGCGCTGGGACCTTGGTCCACGTCGAACTCGTGCTCGCTTTCATCTTCGCTATCGAAGTCGTGCTCGTCCATCTTGTAGCACTACCCGCAGTCCTCAATGGAGGACGCACTACAAGAAGTTTCTCCGGACTGCTGGTGCGTTTCTCAACCCGCCGGCTGCTGCAGCTGATTCCCCCTGTACTCAGGCGAAATTTGCGCGTAATTTCAATGGCGGACTCATCTTGGAGAACCGCGAATGGAAGTTTGCTGCATTCGATCGAAAATTTATTAATATACTTTCACGGTCAATGCGAATACAGTCAGGGCATACGATTTTAGTTGTGCCGTAACCCTAAGCGTTTTGCAAGAGAAAATGAAGGCGAATGCCACGGAGATTCGAATGGGGAACGAATGCCCTCGACACACACACTGCAGTGGACGACCCGAGAAATTATGACTGAAGCGCGAGAAACTGATACGAGCACCGTCGATAACGATAGCGTACGAACCTGCGACATATTCGAAGTAGTATTTTGTTTAGTTGTTGTTCGAACATCAACGAGGTGGCGGAAAAGCCGTGGCCTCCGCTGCTGTGAAATCGTCTCACACTCCTCTCCTTCTCTCTCGAAAATTCAAATCATCGTATCCTCGACACCTCTCTGTCTCTCATCTTGCCTCAGCGTGTGGGTCTCTTATACGCATCCGTCTGTGATCACTCTCTCTCTCACTCAAGCGAATTACGATTATCTAAACGATGCTGTCTTCATGAAGCAGGGCAAGATGAACATTCTGTGTCATCAGTCGACGCGTTGAATGTATTTCATAGAGCGTCAGCAGAAAAATCAGTAGAGTGGGTGTAGCTTTCCATGTCGTAAAGAACGGGAAATACTTTGCGCGCTTCGGGATTGCGGGTCGTCCACACATTCATTTGTGTGAAAGCGAGGATATGATGATGTTGTTGTCGTGTGCATTTTGGAAAAGAGCCGAAATCTGATTTCTCACGTACTTGGGATCAAAATGGGGCTTCAACTTGTACGCTGTACTTGCAGCAGAGGTGTTCAACATGTATGGGCATGGTGTAAAGTAAGTATGAGACACTGTTTTTCCAGAGTCGCCAGGCTTAGCTCTCTACCTCTTTGCCCGGGACTTGCCAGCCGCTGCCATTGTCTGCCGCCTTTTCTTCTTGTTACGTGCTCTGCGGACACTGCTGCTAGACTCCGACTCTTCCTCGGGAGGGTGAAAATCGTCCTTGCTATCTTCCTCCTCGCTGACACTGGAAGCCGCTGCGAATTGACCAAATCGATTTCTAGCTTGCTTTGGCCGCGCAGCTGGTGGCTTAATAGCTTCGTTTTGTTTCTGATTTCGATTGTGATCTACTTCTTCTACTACATTATTGTCTTTCTTGTTCAGGTGATTCGTTGAAGAAGAAGAACTGCTGGCGGCTCCGGCTTTCGACGAGGCTGCGGCAGCCTGTCGCGGTCGTTTGTTGCTGTTTGTGTTCGAGCTGGAACTCGGACCGGATGGAAGCATGTTGTACTTTATTGCGTCAACATGGCTTATCGTGTGTCGTGGTCGACGTTTGGTGTCTTTCTTGCCGTTTGTGTTAGTCGAACTGGAACTCGGACCGGCTGGCTGCACGTTGTAGTTATTTATTGCGTGGTCAACATTGGTGCTGGTGTGCGCCTGCGCGGCTGGAAGCTGCACAATATTACCACCTACTCCGATCATCATCGACTGGTTTATTGATTTAGTATTTCCATAATGATAATTCGACAGAAGAGTATTATTTTCCTCCGCTGGCTCTTGCGGTTGTTCCTGCTTCAAGGGCACGGGCTTCTTGACGCTCATGATTCCAGTACCGTACCCGAAAAGCTGGCCGCGGGGCCATTCGTTCGGATCGCAATACTCGTAGCCCCAGTTGTAGTGGGAGAGCCACGAGTAGTCGTACTCCAGCCACGCTCCGGCGTATACGTTGCGGCAATTCGGTACGTGTTGCTCTAGGTAGGCCATCATTTTCTCCTGCAAGAGCAGCCCGACTCCCTTTTGCGTTGCAGACGAGGCAATGTACTTGACGATGGCCCAGCCGCGCGCGTTCGCATTTTTGTTTGCGCCACGGGTGCTCGACAGACTCACCCCCACTTGGCTAACCTTGTTGTACATGTTCTGCGGAGCAGCGACCACCCGGCGGGAGGAAGAGGATGAGGAGGATGCTGACGCCCCGACAATATTCTGCTGCTGCTGCTGGGCCATGAACATCATCTCCTGCGGAACGAACGGATTGTACACACCCGGCGGCGGATGCGGAGGTGGATGCAGTAGTCCGGGGCCGTAGAGGCCGTTTTGACGACTAGAGAAGGGGTCATCATCTTCATCCGAGTTCTTATCCTCATCGTCCACGATCATCTCCAGTTGTTGGTTCATCTGTTCCACCATCCTTCGTCGCTCGCGCTCCACGCCCAATTTGTCCCGATAGGTGCCTCGTTGGTCTGGATCCAGTAGCGTCTTGTACTCCTCTTCAAACCCATTTTCCTCCAACAGCTTGAACATCTGCTCCTCGGAAATCGTTGTCGTCAGTTGCAACGGGGGCGGGTCTTCCGGAGGCTTGGAGTGCTTCAGGATGAGCGTCCCGACCAGCTGCGGAATGCGGGTGTCGTCCTCGTCGTCCTCGTCGCTTGTTACCGATGAAGAGGAACTACTAGTACCCTCCTGCGGCTGCTGCTCGGGCTGGTTTTGATGTTGTTTCCTGGTTTTGAATTCGAACGCACAGAAGACTTGGCAGCGGACGCCGGAATCCAGCATATCCGGCCCCGCGGGATCCAAGGCCAGATGCATTTGTTTGTTCACCACCGAGCACGTCTTCCTGCTATCCGTGCGGTCCACGCTCGCCAAGCGTTCCAGGGCGGTGTGGGGTCCGGACAAGTATCCCGCACCCTTGAACTGGGCCAGCAGCCGCGCGGCGTAGGTGTGCGAATCATTCTTGTTCTGCGTCAGCAAAACAACGTTCTCCAGAAGGATCTGCTGCATCCACTGGCACCGTGTCATCTCGTTTATGGGGTTCATCGCGGCCTGGGGTTCATCTTCACGCTGAAGGTCTTGTTCAAGTCCCTCAAGATACTCCTCGTCACTTTCTTCGTTACCAACGCGATGTAGGGTGCCTTGTTTTTCCGCGTCGCTCTGCTGGATGTATTCTTGGACCGCCTCTTCGTCATACGCTTTTGGGTCTTGCGCGATCTGTGCGCTTCTCTCGCGCGCCAACGCCCGATGCATTTCCTGCGCAAACGTTCTGTCTTTATTGGTCACGAGATACACCACCAAGTCCCGGGTAAGCTCCGTGGACGCGTAAAAGGTGGTAATAATATTGCTCCAAAAGCACAAGGTCCGCGCCCATTCCAGCAGGGGGGGAAGCGCGCCCAACAGTTTGTACAGGTCGTGTCTAATGTACTTCTCGAGCAGTCGCAAATCCACCCGCGCATGGGCCGTGAGCAGCAGGTACTGCAGCGCGAGCAACTGGTTTCTGTATGTGTTCAGATTCTCGCCGCCGTGCGTGTCCGGCAGAAAAATGCCGGGTTGCCCCGGGACGATGTCAGAATCCAGGTGCATGCTCGTTTTGTTCACCAGCCAAGCACTCCCCAAAAAAGGCCGCTGGTCGCTTGCCGAAGAGCAGAGCCCGCGAAGTTTATTTCCTTTTGAAGTTGCCAGGGACGAGGCGGCATTATCTCCGTGCTGCTGCTGCGTGGATGAAGAACTCTTGATATCATTTTTATGCTCCTGCTCCGACCGAGGACCGCCGGCGAAACTACAATTATCTTCTGCCCCCGCTGCACCAAGCAGCCCGCCGCGCTTGTTTCTGCCGCCCGCAGACGGATTTGCGGCAACGGCGGCGAGGGTCATTCGCCGACTGCGTCCGGTGGTTCCACTCCCGCTCGCACCCCCTCCCCTTCGAGAATGCTTGGTCGGCACCGGAGCAGCCGTCCACGGGTTGTAGAGAAGCTCGTCCTTCACGTCCTTGACGTAGCAGTTGAAAGCATCAGAAACCTGCTCCTGGATCATCTCGAACAAGCAGCTACGCTCCGCAATGGGTGTGGACATGGTCTCCACGATCATCTTCGTAGTTTTATTCGGTGCCGCGCGACGAGGACGACCGGCCTGCTGCTCAGGGTCGTGGTCCATATTTTGGCGTTGATCAAAGCCCGGTCGGTGCTGTTGCTGCTTCGTGAGTTCCTTGGACGTGCGGGACAAAACCGCCTGGGACAGATTCTTTCCTGCAAAAACGCCGTTGGTGCCGTGGGCCCCGAGATCCCGGACGAATTTGTCAAATCCGCCTTCCAAGCAGTACACATTGGTCTCGTTCCCACTGTCCTTGCCCCGGGCCTTTTGAAACAGGTTGGCAATGTGGGACGCCACTTCGCACCCGTCCCGACTGTGGCCGTAGACCACGACGGCGCCCTTCGCCTGCTTCGCTTTGACCTCCTTGGAAAGAAAACTCTTCTCCCAGCCCGAGGACGCACGGGGCATGTTCACGGCGTTGCGAATGTGCGCCTCCGCGTACTGCTCTGGCTTCCGCACGTCGATCAGCAGGACCTCGGGGTTGGTCGGGCTGGTAGCGGTCTGCGTCGTCACAATGCAGTTCTTCTTGGTTTTCTTGCTGGTTTGCGAGTGGTCGCGCTCGAAAAACAACGACACGAGGTGCCCGGGGGCCAACCATGCGAAGTTCTCCTGAATGCTGCTGTCATGCTTCCGGTACCGCCGCGCCGACGGGATCGAAGTAGTCGCTAATTCCGTGGGTGTCAATATCATCCTGTCAATTTTCCAATTGCTTTTCTTTTACTTGAAAGCTGGTAAGTGTCTTCATCAGGAGAGATGAGACATGCTTATTGCGCACGCGGCGGAAACTGAAAAACACTCCTCATCGAGGACAATGTGAGCCGATACAAGCGAAAAGTGGATATTCAGATTGTTGAAACGATCAAAAAAACTTTTTTCCGGCCTTAGGTGTCGCAGTCGCTGTTGTGTTTGTAGTAGTTGGCTCGCTATCGATTAATCGAAGTAATTTACCGGCACGCATGCTTGATCGACTTCTCTGTGGAGTCTGTGAATGTGCAGAGAAGACCTGTACTACGGAAAAGAACTAGAACTGTGCAGAAAAAACTTTTCTCTTTTCAAAATTATAGCTCCGGTTTGAAAACTCAGATCTCAGCCCAGTTGAAAGTTGAACGAATAAAGCGATGTCATTGAATTTCAACATGCCAAGATCTTGCTCTGGACCGGGCTGCAACTGCCACAGAGAGCTGTAGCGAAAGAGAAATCCGTGGCTCTTCAGTCGAAGCTTTGCTTCTGACTTGTTGATTTTCCTCGTTCACTTGATTTCTTGTTCTTCTTTAGCAAAATGAGAATATGCGAGGACCTTTCTGAACCGTCACAATTCATTGAGTGTTGATGTGTGTAGTGACTCTACGACTTTATATTCAGTTTGACTTTGAGCGATTCTTTTAGCACTCCACAAGAGAAAACGACGTGTGGCTACGGGCGTCCGTCAGGGTCGCGTAGCGCTTTGGCCACTGCTTCAAGAACGACAACACACCGCCCGTTGGCTTTCCAAAAACCGCACAAATCCGCTTCCACTCCGGATCGCCACCGATGCAGGAGAGAGCCACTCGACCGTGTTGCCCGACTTCCATCAGAAGAACGTGAGCGAGCTGATCCGTGAGGGATTGCGCTTCGGCATCCCAGGGCTTCGCGGTCGTGGACGAACTTGTCATCGCCAGAACAGAGCGCGAGGGCTGGAAAGGTGGAATTTGTTGGTCCTTCTTCGTGGCCAACGAGTTCCCGACGAGCTGCTTTTCCTTCCTGGCCAGGATGGTCTGTCGGATCCGCGCGGCACTGTCCGTCGAGGAGGAGGGTGTAGAATTGACACCGACTGCGCCGTCGCCTGCGGGAATGTACCGTACATAGGAAGTGCCATCCTGAATGTGCTTGAGCAACTCATAGCGGTCAGGAAAAAAATTCAAAAATCCCCTGATGCCGCCCACCGGTTCACCGAAAAAAGCGACAATCCTCCTCCACTCCTCATCGCTACTAATTGCGGACACGGTTAGCAGCGCTATGTTCGCGGTGTTCCCCAGCACTCCGGGCCCGTTCGCAGCAAGTAGATACTGGATTAGCCTGTCCGTCAACATCTGGGCCTCATTCCACCACACCCCTTTCTTGGTACCAAATTTGCAAGCGCTGGATGGTCGGAAGTCGAAAGCGGGAAAGGCGGCTCCCTTCAAAACGCGCTTGTCCGGTGGCGCCCTGGCATCAACCGCCGCCTTGATCTTCGCGAATGTGTCGGGTTGCCGGCCGACCAGCTGCACGACGGTGTGGCTCAGCATGTTCGTGAACACTTCATACCGTGTGGGAAAGAGCTCGACGAAACCCAGGGCGGGCGAGGAACTGGCTTTCCCGGTGGGCTTATTTCCCCACTTCTTCACAAGCTGCTTGTACTCAGCGTCTCCCCCTATCGAGGACAGTGCGATGGGCTGGGCTGGGTCTGCTGAAGCAAAAAGACGCAGGAGGACGCTGTCGGCCTTTCTCTGCGCATGCCTTGGCCAGACGCACTCTGTGGAGGGCTCGAAGGAACGAACCCCAGCGCCCGCCTCGGATGCATCATCCGCCGAGGAGTCTCCTTCTGTTTCATCTCTTTGCTCATCCATGAAGAGCTCACACAGCTCGGCGCTTTCCCTCCACTCTTCCCCATGTACTGGCACGACGTGGGTCTTGACGAAAAAAACAAGGATCCCGTCGTAAGTATTTTGCTCGGGATGCACGTCGAGAAGAACCCGGCACGCAGGTAGTAGCAAATGCAATAGCTTCACAGGAAGGCCGACTTGCCGCAGCCACTGCTTCTTACGCTCTTCCGCTTCCTTTTTCAAGCCCTGCGCCTGCCGGAGCGCGAACATGGTAACGTGGTCGCTGTGCAGCTGGGAAGTGCAACTACTAGAGCGCGACGGCTGCGACGTGTCCACTATCACCGCCCGACGTGCTTCACTCTTATCCCGTAGCCTCACCACCAACTTTCTCCTTTGCTCCGCGGCGGCACCAGTGCCGACGCAACGCGCTATTGTGTCCGAGTTCACAACGGAGAGACGGACCTCGTCATCTTCGATCGTGTTGATTAATTCCCGCACACTGACCAACAACGCATATTCTGCGTCCTTCAGCGATCCGCGGCTGTCCATCACCATCATATTTAACTGCTTGAGATTTAAACGCGTGCTGTCCAAAAGTTCGCGGCACGCAGTCGCAGCGCCGTTCTCGCGGAGTATAAGCTCTGCCGCCTTTCGCAGTTTTACCAATGCCATCTCGACGCTTGGGCTCCCTGGAGATCTCACACCGCCCTGTCCGCGCGACACTATCTCATAATGGTAGTGCAGGGTGAGGCCCTCGAGAGCGGCCCGGGGAGGAGCTGTAAGCAGGTCATGCTCAGCTGGGGGTGGACACGGCATTTTGATACCAAGTACTTTTGTTGTTCTTTACAGACAATTAGACTTTCGAATAAAAAAATAAACAAGCGACAAAACAAAATACATCAATATTTCGATTTCCAATGAAAGGTGCGTACTCGTCCCTGAAGGCGATACTCGCAAACACACGAAACTACATGGCCAAAACCCATACTTACGTACTTGACACCTATGAAGTTTCTATTTTTTTTTCTCTACGCTCCGGTAAGTATCCCGAAGTTCGAAAGTAATGGCCGGGCACAGCAAAGAAAAGCAATGCCCGTAAAGAGGAAAGATTGATGAGGATATGACGCAAAGCCTCTCTGCCTATGCACACACAGGCACAGACAAGAGGTCAAGCGACCCGCAAAATAAAAAAACCTGGATCCATCACGCGGTCTGTCTCGCTCCCGCGCCAGAAGGATCCACCACGCGTCGTGCACTCTCAAGTTAGAAATGATCATGAGCAAATAATGTGATTGCACGGAAACGCTTCTGCGGGATGAACAAAACTTCCACACACGCAGTTGTCCTTTTGAAGAGTCCGTGTCAGACGATTGTAGTCGATGAGTAAGTTGATTCGTTTTCGTACTGTCACTTTTGCTTTTCATCTTTCTCTGTGCTTGTACTTTCATCTTTCTCAACTTTAATTTACAAAAAACCCATATGCTCGTCATCAGTTTCTGTGTGCGCGCTATTGGCGCCGACTTTTTCCAAGCCTGTGAAGATTTTTATACTTTTTTGCTTTTCGGTTTTTTCATAATCACGTCATGGAGGTTTTCAGTCTTTTACAGACCGGCCCTTCTGTCTCTGGTTCTGTCTCCACTTCGTCTTCCGCCAGGAGCTCACACAGCTCGCTGCTTTCGTTCCACTCCTCCCCATGCACTGGCACCACTTCACTCTTCACGAAGTAAACGATGAGCCCATCGTAACGACTTTGGTCGGGGTGCACGTCGCGGATAAGGCGGCAAGCAGGCAGCAGCAAATGCAACAACTTCACAGGGAGATCGACGTGCCGCAACCACTGTTCCTTACGCTCTTCTACGTCCTGTTTCAACCCTTGCGCATGCCGCAGTGCGAACGTGGTGATGTGGTCGCTGTGGGAAGTAAAGCGCGTCTGCTCCGGCATGTCCACTGTCGCCTCCCGCCGCGCTTCACTCTTGATGTCCCGCAGCCTCAGAACCAACTTCCTCCTTTGCTCCGCGGCGGCACCAGTGCCAATGCAGCGGGCTATCGTGTCCGAATTCATAACGGAGAGACGGACCTCGTCATCTTCGATCGTGTTGATTAATTCCCGCACACTGACCAACAACGCATACTCCGCGTCGTTCAGAACTCCGCGGCTGTCCATTACCATCATATTCAACTGCTTGAGATTTAAACGCGTGCGCTCCAAAAGCTCCTGGCACACAGAACCGTTCTCGCGGGAAATGAGCTCTGCCGCCTCTTGCAGTTTTTGCAACGCCATCTCGACTGCTGGGCTCCCGGGAGATTTCGCAGCGCCCGGGCGCGAAACTATCTGATAATGGTAGTGCAGGGTGAGGCCCTCGACATCTACCGGGGGCGGAGGCACAAGGAGGTCACGCGCAGCAGGGCAGGGACACGGCATTTTGATTTTTTCGCGTGGTTGTTCTTGTTTCACAGATAGTTACAGTCTCGAATAAAAAAAAGCGAGCAAGAGCAACAGCATAGAGTATTTCCAACGATACGTAGTCGTACTCAGACTCATGTCTGAAAGGAGACAATGTTCGAAAAAAAAACCGAACAACAGCGGAAGCCCCATGCCCATGTGCTGGCGGGCTACGAGTTCTTTATCTGAGGACAAAGATTCTTGTAGTCGTTGAGTTAATTGATGAGTCGTACCTTTCATCTTTGTGCTTCTTGCATTCTTCACTTGGTAGCATTCGTTGGGCATCAGATTCGATGCGTACGTTTGCATCGAGTTTTCTAGGCCTCTGTAATTTATTTCATGTTCACGTCATAGTTTCCAGCCTTTTACAGACCGTCGGCCACAGTTGCAATCGGATTTTACATTTACATTGTTTAGACGTTTAATTCTAACTTACTCATGTACCAGCATAGATCTTACACTAAATCTGGAGTTGTACTGCTCAAGCATGTGAAGAATTGAGATGGTTCTTAGCTTACTGAGGAGGAATGGCACGTCACGATGACAGGCGGCATGGCTTGATACAAAACAAGGGTCGTCGAAGAATAAGCAAGAAAAGCTCTTTTACAAATAAATGGATCGCAATTCGCCCCGCAGCTCTACTCGTGGTTCTCTGGCAAGATGAAAAGGTTGTTTCTCGGCGAGGAAAAAAGGAATCGTCCTTCGATGCAGGCCGGGCGACGGGGCAGAGCCTCAAAGAGCCGATCACCCGTGTCCGCTCTGTCGGATCCCAGTAAGGCTCGGGTTCGCGCTTCAAAACCAGCGGGGGATGTCCGCAGCGGTTCCACCGTCTTGATTCCCTTATCCGCTCGTAGCTTAGGCGATCCGTAGTAGGGTGAATGCACCTTGTTCCCGCCTGGACTCCTGTGCATTCCCGCGGCTCCTTTGGTTCCCTTGGCCAACATAGCCATGCGCGGAGAGTCTCCATACACTTTCTGTCGGAGGGAGGGGGAAATCTCATCGACCATCCGCAACAGCGTCAGGGGCGACTCTTCAGAAAATGGGTGCGTAGACAATTTTCCGGGCGATGCTGCGGCCTTAGTCGACGCCATCTTCTCGACGATATGATCTGCTCCTCTGGAGGCAGGAACGCCTTCGTGAGGACCGGCAGGCTGCCCATGGAGAGCGGCGACCAATAGCAGACTCGCATGACTTACGAACAGCGTCTCGCAGGTGTCCGCCGCAACCAGCTTCAGGTCCGAGGCGAGATCTCGTTCCATTAGCGCATTGTACTCACGAAGCCGAGCGCTCATCTGCATAGGCGGCGGTGTCTGACTGCTGTTCTGCCTCGCTGTTGCGCCGCTGTTCTCTTGCTCAGCGTGGGGAATGAACTTGTCCTGCTGTGCGTAGGATCCACCCGACGCGGTCTCCGCTGTAACCTTGAAGATGGCACGAAACGCCTGGCCCAAGCCCACTGTCGCGGGAAAGTCCACCGTTTTCAAATGCACGACTTCGTCCGCGTAGAGATCCGCGCGTGCCCCCGGTAAAAGCATGAGGATCCCGTTCTGCGATTGCAGTACCTCGCCCCGTTCGTACTTGCGGAACTCCAAAATGGAATCCAGTAAAGACAACGACATAGGAAACAAGCGGTTCTGTCGCGCAATTGTGGTCTGCTTCTTGATGACAGGCATGATCGGGCTGTTGTTGACAAAGTCCGCCGGCTCATCTTCTCCCACTCGGCCTAAAGACTTGATTTTCGTCATTGCATCCGGTGATCCAGAGGTGGACCCGTGGTACCCTACTACACTGTCGCTGCCGCGGCCTGAATTACTGGTGTCCGGCGCTGACGAAGAACGTAGTAGGTGGTTGCGGAAGTATTCCAGTGTTGGCACAATCGTCTTTCCAATCCAGACCAAGCCGTTCCTTGCGCTTGTTTTCGACTTCCGCACGGACGTCGGGGACGAGTTCATTCCAGCTGCCATGGGTGGATACAGGTACTCCACCTCGACCTGCCCATCCTCGCACCACTGCCACGAGGGGACTACTTCCGTAGAACAAACGCCCTGGTGGTCCTCCTCCGCTGGCACGGCGAGTTCCGCAAACTCCTCGCTGTCTCGATACCGGTGCAGAATCGGCACTATCACTTGCAGCATCAACTGGTGCCATGTCGAAAGGTAAAGCGTGTAGCCGATGGTGAGGCCGTTGGCCTTCCAGCAGCAGGACTCAAAGCTGTTCCCCCGCTTCTCGCGCAGCTGCTTTTCTTCTTCCTCAGGATCAAGCTGCTCGAGGATCGTTCCAGGAGTTTTCATGTTGTTGCGAGAACTACCTCCCGGGGGCTCCATCATCCAGACGCTGGCACGGCGCGCGCACGCAAGCTTGCTCCACAAATGCTTCTGCTGCGTGGTAGAAGAAGTTGTGGCTTGATGTGACGATGAAGTCCCTCCAGCAGCTACGACTGCCGAACTGGGCTGGTCGTGGTGGTGACCACCTTTATTGCCGGCGGCCATTGCGGTCGCCGACCCCTCCGTCGCTGGGCCCGCGGTGCCGATGGACTCCGTGTCGGCTGCCACGTTGGTGACGACGACCCACCTCGAGAGTGTGGCGCTTTGGCCTCGCGCAGCCGCGGCTGCTGCACCTCCAGAGTTGCTCGATACGCGCGGCGGCCTCGCAAGCGACGCGCCGTCCGGGCGGTTGGACGTGCTGGTATTTTCGGATACTTTCTGGACGTGCCCGCGCTTCACGCAGAGAAACGCCACGCTCCCAGGCACTCGTTCTCCGGCTGCGAGCACTTGCTCAACGATGCCCAGCGAATCTTGGCCGCCGTACTTCCCCGCTGCCTCCTCGAGCGCGCCGGTGATCTCGTTGCTTGCGCGGAGTAGCAGATCGTGCCCTGGGGAGCCCCCGCCTTTGGTCCAAGCGGGCAAGTGCGGAGCCAAAAAACGCGCCACTGCATCCACCGCCACAGCCTCGCACAACGCCTCCGTGGTTTCCATTTCCCAAACACTTGTAGAGGTTCTCTGTCTCGTCAATCGCATGGAAGAAGCACGGACGCTGCTTTTTCGTCTCGAAGATTGTTCAAGTTCTGCCATCGTCGAGCTTCGCTGCACGCTGCGCAGAGAATTTTTGCTAACGCGCGAGCTCGGACTTGAGCTTGAGCTTGCACTACCACGACCACCTCCGCGATCACCTCGCCTTGTGTTTAGTAGAAGTGACACTGTGGGAGAATCACTGTGCCTGTTCTTGGAGGACCCGTCTGCGTCACGAAACCTGTTGTGTCGTGCGAGAACATTGATTTCCATTTCGTGTCGTCAACTGCACGTGGCGCGCGTCCCATGTCGTAAAGCTACGTACTCGTCGCAAAAGTAACTTTCGCGTTAAAAATTGCAGATCAAGGTTTGGCTTGCGAACCGAACAAGAAAGAAATACGGACGCACACTTCGTCCACACATTTGCGGGAAAACAGAAAACGAAACAAAACCGGTACCGGACGACGCTTCGGCTGGAGTCGCCTTTTCGGAGGTCCTGTGGCTCGTCGTCAAACAGTGCCGTTTTTGCCATCGCGAGGCCACTGCTTCGTCCACCAGCACCTCCTCTCCGACTTTCGACAATGTCTCGCACCCTTTCGAGCGCCCGACTCTGGAGAAATTGGCGCAACTGCGGACAGTCCTCCAATGCCCGCAGCATCACGGAGCGGTGGACGACCGCGATGTCGCAAAGCGTGTCGCAAACCGCCCCCGTGGTGCGGCCCTCCGACAAACCGAGCGCGCACAGTTCGTTCAACAGGTCCCCGTCGGAAACCGTCGAAACAGTTTCGCCGTTGACGGTGACGCGAACCCTCCCACGAAGGATCACAAACAGCGCATTCTTCTCCTCCGAGAACCCGCCGTCGAGCCCCGCAGTGCCACCTGGAGTGCCATTATTTTCTCACATGAAAATCAAAATTTTTCGAGAGAATGAAACACGTAGCAGTACATCCACCCAATTGTGATTGCTTTTGAAGTATTTGCATGCAGTTAACTTTCATTTCAATGATTGCGCCCGCGTTTCGCAATTACGTCACCACGCAAGAGGTAGTTATTTCAAATGCAGGTAATACGTTCGGCATACAGCACCTCGTCGGAGAACCCGAACCGGCGCTCCTTGTACAGATCAAGAATGTAGCAGAATCTTGTGAGTTCCCGCTCACGCATCTCCAGAACGGAGTCTGCCTCAATGTCGCCGCCGGCAGCAGACCTTTTCGAAGAATCGCTGTAGGATCGAAACTCTTGCACAAGCTTGATTTTGCTGAGCAAGCTGCTCATGTCCGGGAGCGCCGACAGACTTTTTTCCACAAGCACGCGCTCGATCCGGTGAATCAGGGAAACTTCCGGACGGGCACGCTTTTTTGCCCCCGCAGCAGCGGACAAAATATCGTGCTCCCGCAGCAAGGCCGCGCGACTCAACATTTGGAACCAGCAGGTCGTACGTGCACTCAGTGTAACCGTGTCTGCACGACGCCCACCTTGCGAGGGCAACAGGAGCTCAATGCCTCCGTAAATATCGCCGTCGCACATCCGTCGTATGACCTGTGTGAAAACCGCCGACATGAAGAGAAGCCTTGCCCCACATGCTATGGCGCCGCCTGGGCCTCCACCAGGGCAGGCCCCCGGGGCGCCCGAAATCGTGCCGATAACACAGGGGCCCACTTCCGATTTTTGGCGGGGCGCGCTTTTTTTTCCTCTGTCTTTCGCCTCGGGAAAGCATGAGGCCTGGCCTTCAGTCCGCCTCTGCAGGGCCGCCCTTGGTGGCGTCTTTTGCGAGGCCCGAACGTGGGCCGAAATCGGGCCCGCGCGATGCGGGCTCGGTGTTTTTCCGGGCTGCTGCTCTGTTGGCGCCCCGTTGTGGGCGCCCAAAATCGGCAGAAACCAAGCAAGGCGGTGGGCGCCTCGAACGGGCGCCCCCTTGCCAGCCCCCGCGCGTCGTTTTATCAAGCGCCAGCCGATAGAATACGAACACCGCTGGGCTTGGTTGGTTGCTATCAACGCCCCGGCTGCTTGATAAGTCAGTGGGCGAATGCTTTTTATGTGCCGGAAAAAACGCTACCGACCGCTTGAAGCCTGCCGGGCATTTTGCAATATACCTCGCAAAAAAAAACCCGCAAGACCGGAACGTCCGTGGGCGCGCTACATACAAAAAACCCGCAAGGGGCTACCGGGCCACCGAAACTGCCCGCCGCGCAAGCGGCCAGCGGCCCTACCCTAGGGAATGCGGCCGGCAGGCGTAGACAAGCTGCGTGCGGGGCGGCCCCTGCGGCCGGCACCTCGCCAGCTGGTTTTCGGGCCCGGGGGAGTGCCACCGAAGGAAGAATCCCACTGAAAGGCCTTCCCCAAGCAAGGCCTTCCGGGAAGGCCCCGGAAATCCTTCCGAAATCCTTCCCAAATCCTTTCAGAAGGTCCCGGAAACCCTTCCGAAATCCTTTCCAAATCCTTCCGAAATCCTTCCGCCGGTGCTATGATCGACCGCCCCGGGCAAGTGGCAGACCACAAAAAAAATTTTTCTTGAAAAGTGAATTTGTAAGGCGCCAAATGTTTCCGGAATCCTTCCGAAATCCTTCCCAATTCCTTCCACTAAGCCTGTTTCGGACTCACCACTTTTTTGCTATTTTTTCATTGAAAAAGGCCGCCACTTTTTTGCAACTCGCTGGAAGCATTTCGGAAGGATTTCGGAAGGATTTCGAAGCCATTCCGAGGCACATCACCCCCGTGCGGTTTTCCTTATTCAAAGGCGCCGCGCCGTTTGTTTCGCCCGGCAGCCGGCACGCAATCTGCCGCGCGCGGCGCCTTGCCGCCGGCGGGCCCACCTGGCCAGGGCCCCAAGGAGGCGGGTTCGCCGCCTCGCTTTCCTCTGGTTGCCCTGATGGCATGGCCAGAAGGGCGCCGCCCCCCTCACCAAGACATGCCGCGCCCAGAAAAGGCGGAAGTAAGGCCGCAGGCGTTTTGCTGGCTTGAGGCCAAAAAGCGACGCAACTTCTATGGCCACCGTGCCACCGTGCCTAATGTTATGCACGACGGCACGGGGGCCGGTGGCAATAACGGCCGCGAGCAGCAGGCCACTTGGTTGGGCTCGAAACGGAAGGCCTTCGCCGCATGCCATGGCTCGGCCCGCCTGGGCCTCCGCCGGAGCAAGCCATCCACGTGGGCGTCCGGGGTCGGCCCAGTGGCATAATTAGCATGCGGGCCCACTTAAGCTTTTTGGCGGGGCGCGATTCTTTTGTTTTTTGCCAATAAAAATGCGGCCCCTGCCCTTGAGTCTACCGGCCCGCGCGCCTATGAGGTCGGCGGCCGGTTGGTGGCGCCCTTTGCGAGGCCCGAACCAACGTGGGGCAAAATCAAGCCACCACCATGCGGACTCGGTGTCGTTTTCGTGCTGCCGCTTTTCTGGCGCGCCTTTTTGGGCAGCCGGAATCGCTAGAAATCAAGGCGCGTGGCGCGTCAGAGGGGAGGGCCCCTCTTTTGCCGGCAGGCTCCCTTGCGTCATTTCATCGGCTGGCAATCGCTAGCAGGCTGCTGCGCCGGTTTGCATTTAAGGCCCCGATCGCTTGAGAGGCGGAAGCGTTTTGCATTTCCGGCCGCCGCTTGAAAACTGCCGGCCGGCATGCGTGATGCCTGGCAGAAGGGCCGCCAGGCTAGAGCGGTCCTGGCCTCACTGCATACCAATCAGGCGGACCGATAGCGCGCGGCGCCTGAAGAAAAGACAGCGCCCGGCAATGGCAGGCGCTTTGCGTGGTTCGCCGTGCCATGCGGCTCAAAAATTGAGCCCGGCGGAATGCTGTGCGTCAGATTATTCACCGCCGTAATATAGATGCGGCCCAGGCCACCGCAAGCGCAATGGGGCGCCCTTCAGTTTGCAATCTACTGACGCCCTGAAAAGTTGGGGCGCTGGAAACATTCCGGAAGGTTCTTGGAAGATTTTCCCCCAGATTGCGTTAACAGAGATGGCCGTTTGTAACATCCGTCGTATGACCTGTGTGAAAACCGCCGACATGAAGAAATGAGTTCTTGTTCAACGATCGCGGAGATACATGAAAAGTTTTTGTCTTTGTTGTGCATACAGTTTTATATATATCCTCATGCCTCCTCATGATGTGCTTCTCGGCAAAAACTGAAAATAGCTGCGTACCTGCCCGCAAATTTGCACTTCGATCACGCCCGATAGTAAGATCAGTAAGGAAGGGGATCGGTCTTGGTCACGCGTTACGGGCACAATGTCCTCCGCTAGCGCAATTTCGTCCGTCATGGCGCGGTAGAGCAGCGTTTTGGTCTTCTGACTTGCGCCATGGAACATGGGCGTCAGAAAAAGAGGCGAATCGTCATCCACTACTTTCTTCAGGGCGCGTTCGGCTGCGGTCGTGGGGCGAGGACGCCTGCAGCTTTTCGCTCTGGAGGCAGGCGCGTCTGCCGCGAACACGTAGTTTACGCACTTCTTCACGTTCACGCTGTCGGATAGTGCATACATGCCTTGGCTCGTGGTCCCCTCCTGCGCTCCGTCAACCAGGGCGTTGCTCGCCTCTTGTTCAGCGGTTGTCGGCTGTGCATGATCACCAGCTGCTGCGTCAACGACATCGCCCGTTCCTGTTTCCACAGGGTCGCTGCCGTCCTGCCCTTCTGAAGCCGCAGCAGGCTCGTCCCCGGCGCGCCTCTTCGAAGTTTCGATACAATCAGCCCCTTGTGCCATCTCGGCCGTGTACAGAGCAGTTGGCTGAACCCTCACTGCTCCACGCCGGCGTGCATTCAGCAAGGTGTTCGTCGGGCGGCCAGGCGGGCTATTGATGTTCTGGCTCGCGGCTGCATTCTCGTCATCCAAATCGTCGGCGCTCCACGCGTCCCGGTTGTCGTACATGACCTCGGCAGTGGCGCGCCACGTGCGTCCCTGCGTGCTCATAACGCGTTTGATCACAATTCGCGTTTGCTGCTTCAAGGAGTTGAGGGCGTTCCGGACGGTTGTTCTCTGCTGGGATATATCTTCATTCTGACCCTCCGCACTGGAATCCTGGTCGTCTTCATCACTGCTGTCCTCCTCGTCATCTTCGTCTGATGTGCCCTTCTTTTCTGCACCCGATTCGTCGTCGCCGGAACAGCCATCACTCTTGTCGTCTGACGCAGCTGCTCCGTCGTCCTCCGGCACTGAATTCAGCTTGCAAACCGCATCCGTCGCTCTCGAATGCTTGTTATCACCGCTCGCGGATCTTCTCGAGCTTTTGACACGGACTGTGGCTTTCTTGTCGCGCCAGGTGCTCTGCTTGCCGGTCGGGTCTTGCGTTTGTCGCTTGCCGAGCTGCGCCTTACGAGATTTCGTACCTCGCTTGTTCGCGGTGTTGCCACTTTTTCGGTTATTTCCAGTTTCACCATCAACATCGTCATCCTCGTTCTCCTCCTCGTCCTCCTCCTCATCCCCGTCGGGAAACAGCGAGTCCTCTTTGTTGGTAATATGTCGGCCAGTGTCCGACTCTGAAGCCCCAACCCGGCTTTGCATCGCTTGGCGCTTGCGTCGAGCCACCTCCACGTTTGCTCGCACCACCCGCCGCCCGATTTGCTCCAAGTCCAGCCAGGCCCACGTGCGGAAGATCTGCAAAAAGTTGGCCCCCGTCGACACCTTTTGCAGCGCCTTCTTGGATAACAAGTAGCAGGCACAGAAGTCCTCGGCGATCACCGTTTGCGTGTACTTCTTCCCGATGTCCAGCACGCTCTGCTCTTCAAACCAGCAATTTTCCGCCAGCTCCTTCACGAGCACGCCTCGACAGAACGCCAGCGCTTTCCCGAGCCGCAGGAAAAACATGCAGTCGGACGTGGTGTCCTCCTGACAGAGCATCTCGCCGGGCGTGTAGATTCGCTTTTGCAGCGAGTTCTCCACCTGTTTGAGCGAATGGATCGGCAGCCACTGCGCGAACTCCGGAATGATGTTGGTCAGGTGAAAGGGGGTGCTGCGAATCAAGTTGTCGAAATTGATTTGTCCCATGGACTGAAACAACTCGAACTCGTCGGGAAACCCCACCGTCAAAAGGTCCCACAGGTCCTCGCGCAGAATGACGAGACACTCGCACCCGGAGGCGTTCTGCAACGAAGACGCGTCGTGGCTCGAGGTGGACCCACTGCTGCTGCTGTCTGCTTGCTGCCCGTTGGCACTAGTACCGGTTGTGGTCCCAGCCCCGGTCGAGGCTGTCGCCGAAGATGAGCCCCCGCTTGCTGCATTGTTGTAACCCGCCGTCGGACCTCCAGCCTTCCCACCACTGGCGGACATACCGCCACTGGTCAGCGCAAGGTCCACGGCGCGCACAGTAGCTGTTCGCTTCCGAGAAATGCCTAACACGGCCAGCTCGCCGACAATTTCTCCCTCATTCAGCTTCTTCACGACCTCGTTCACGCCAGTCGTCCGGTTGCGCACCTCAATCTGCACTGCCCCCTGAAACACGATGCACATAGAATTTCCGTTCGTGTCGCCCTCCTGGAAGATTAGTTCGCCGGGACCGAATCGCTTGCGCAGAGTGCGGCACGAGAGCCGGTACACGAATTCCAGACGGCAGCCCTCAAAAAACGACATTTTCCGGAACGTATTCACCATGCGGGACTGTTGTGTGTTCATTGGGCTTGAATCCGTCAGAATAGAACAAGAAGCTGCTTCACTTTTGCTACTTCATGTTCATCTTCATTCATAGTACCAAAGTGTATCGATAGACTCGGAATGTAACTAAGTATATTATGGTGTGGGGCATAAAAAACCACTGCGCCAACCTTCATCTGAAACTCAAGAACAACACACGTTTACACACCATGTCCTCGACTTGCAATTGGCGCGCATGCGCAGAGCCGGTGGCATTAGTGATGATGTGGTGGTACGGCGCCCAGGCGATCGTGACTGGCTCTTCGGACAGCGGAATCGCCGTCACCGTGCGTTGATCCGTGAAGCCCATGCAGTTTAGATCGGAAAGAATGTCCCACTCCCGGAGACTGTCCACTTGCGTCCACCGGTCCGTCCCCAAAATCGCGGTAATTTGCGTGTCGGACAGCAGCTGCTCCTCATCCTCTTCGTTGCCGTTGTCGCTAACCAGGTCGACGCTGTCCTCCTCCTCTTCGATGGTCGTGGTTGTTATCCGGGCTGCGTTGGTCGCCTCGCGCTTCGCCTCCCGACAATACTGGTACAGCCCGACCTGTTGTAGCAGTAGCAGAGAAATTCTTTTTCTTTTGTCTTATGTACGTAGCTCTTCTGATCTATGTATTCTACTTCTCGCCATTTGCATTCTCGATAGTCAAGGCCTAGCAGTTCGTGCATTTTTTGTTTTTGGCACAGTATTCTTATTACCCTCCCCTGAACGACGATTCCGCATCGGTGCTTTTCCAGGAAGCGAGCCTTCTCCAAAAAGATGACGGAACCTTGCTCATAGTCCTGCTTGATAATGTTGGAGTGGTAGCCAAATTGCACGTACTCCGCCAAGTACGGCTTCCCTAGCTGCGCAGAAAGAGGCGACGGCATGCCTCACACCTTATCTGCAAATAGCTCGCAGCAATGCCTCCCCGGACGGCCGTCCGCGTGCGCGTAGGTAGCCAACTACGACCAACGCATCACTCCTCTGACCGTTCGAAACGAGAAATACGCGACCACTCACAAATTGTTGCTCGGGACGTCCAGGAGGGCAACGAAACTATTCCAAAGTGAATGCGTGCCTATCCATCACATCGTAGCCCGTTCGAAGACGCGTCCAACATGACCAGAAGAGGGTCAAGAACGACGGGAAGAAGCCAAACCCAACTTCTCGCTTTACCAAGAAATGAAGGCAAGGACCAAGAAAACGAAAAGGAAAAAGCCCTGACTCTCATTCATAGTAATCACTCTCAGTTCTTGGGCAATGTTGCAATAATTAGGACGAGAGCGATAACTACCCTCTTCATAAGCGGCAACGAACAGTGCCACAATACAGGGCCGAGAAACCAACATTCTCAAATTACATCGCTATGAAACACATCACGGAGTCAGAACACAACGCGACGGAAAGGAAAGCTCCGAACTCGCTCGGCTTTGTGCTGTTCACCGGTTCAAGGAATTGAAAGCAAGAAAACCGGACAACAAACCGAGACAACGTTCCAGGCGGGCAGCCAACGGGCCACACGGGCCAGGGCGGCTACGAGATCAGAGGGCAAGCGGCAGGGGTGCGCGCGCCTTAAACGGAGTGGCACGGGCTGGAGAGGGCGCCTAGCCCCCCCTCTACGATCGAACGGAAAATGGCCACCGACCCTCCCGCCCGGGCGACACACAAAGGCCGCGCACCAACCTACTTACGACAAACGAAGCGCCCCCCTTCCTCGACGGGCCGGCGCGCCGGTCCGCCGCCCTTGCCGGTGCGGCCGCGCGCTGCCGCCCCTCGGGCACCCCGCGGCCCCCCTTGCAGCAAAAGGAAGGGCCACCACCAGAAGCATGCAACAAACGGAAGCAGCGGGCCCTTTAACGCTGCGACGGCTGTAGTCCACCCCGCTTGTCTTTCTTTCTGGGCCCGACTCCTCGGGGAGATCGCGCGCCCACATCAAAGACGTCAACACCCTGCCGCGCCTGGTCCTGTCAGGCTCGACAAACGCCGCCGGACTTTTGCCATTGCCAAGAGCCGCCCGGCATTCTCGCGGCAACAAGGTAAGGCCATGCATCGGGCGAGCACCGTGCCCCTTCGAGTCCCTTCATTGCGGCCCGCTGCCATCAACTAGCTGCCGCGGCGCAGCGACTTGCTACGGCCGCTGCTGGGCCTGCGTTGTTCCATTCTGCCCCTCTAGCTCTGTCGCCTGTGCCCCGCGGTACTGCAGCCCAAGGCCCCTGGCGGCGCACTTGGGGCGCGCCTTCGGGTTGGCGTTCCAAAAGCCCGGCAAAACGGGGGCCGGATTCCCCCGCTGCGCGTGGCAGGCTACCGAGTGCGCGGCCGCGCCGCCTCCCTTGCATAACTGGGAGAACCGGCCGCCGGCCGCGGTCCTCCAATGAATCCCCGGGACAGAGACCGGGCGGCGCCGCCGTTGCCCCGGCGCCGGGGCGGGTCCGATTGCGGCCCGATATGTTAGCCGGCCGCCGGCCCCCGGCCCGAGACGAGCTCCGCCAGCCTGTTTTTGTCAGTGCGTCAGCGGAAGAAGCGCCGGCGTCATTGCGCGCTGCCCCGCTGCCAATCTACGCCTCAGAGATGGAAGGATCGCCCTCCGATTCCTGCTCCAGCGCGGGGGCCGCGTGACCGTCTGCGCCATGGCTGCGGACCCACATATTTGGACTGCGCCGGCGGGCCGCAATCCTCCCCGGCTCGCCAGTGCCTTCGACCCGCCCCACTCGCCCCCCTGGCTGCCGCGCCACAGGCGAAGTCCCTGCCGCTGCTGTTTGCGCGCTTTCTCCTCTTGGGGCGAAGCGGTGCGCGTCGACTCTTGACCGCGCCACGCCCCCTCCGCCCGGGGTTTCTTTTTGTTTCGGGGGACCGTCAGCGGCCGCTGCAGTCTCGGCCGCGGCCGTGGCATCGGCGGGGGGGCTTCTTCCGGGACGAGGGGGCGGGCGCGGCCTTCTTCTTTTCGGTCGGCACGCGAGCAGTGGCTGTCTTCTTAGTGCCAGAAGAAGAAGCGGCCGGAGGGAGGCCCGCCAGGCTTTTTCTTCTCTTTTCGTTCGCCGGGGCCTGAGTAACCTACGAGACCTCGGGCAGCCGCTTCCTTTTCGGTGAGGGGCCCCCCAGATTCCAAACAGCGCTTCTTCTGATCCCCCGCAATCTTGTCCCTCATTTCGTCGCGCTCGCGGAACCGTTCCTCCATCTCGGGGCCCACCCCGTCAGGTTCCGGCAAGTGCCGCGAATGCCCCTCAAGTTTAGTCTGGTCGTAAGCACGCTGCCCCCCAAAGTGGAAAGGCTCCGCCAAGTTGCGCGGAAAAGGGGGCCGCGAAATGCTGCGCGCTCACCTCCTGCAGCTGCGCAGGCAAAACCGCGAGGGAACTGGTCCCACTTAGTTAAGGCGCGCCACGCCATCGATCACTCCGCCGGTAGGCGTCCGCGGTTCGTCGGGCACCGTAAAAGTTTTGGTAGTGCTTGGCAGCGCACCCTTACCCCGCGGGCAACGCTGGGCCACATCCGCGCCATCGCCCGCGATTATGCCAGCCCCTGGCCCCCCTTCAATACGTTAGCCATCAATGACCGATCTTTCTCTGAGCCAGACACGCCCCCGCTACAAAATGCGGCGTAGACGTCAAAGTGGCATCACCCGCGACTTGCTCATCCACTTCGAACACCGCCTGCCACAAACAACGCGTTTGTTGCCAGCGCACTTCTTCCTTCTTGTTTCACTTGCCACCAGATATATCAATTTTTTTGATATTGCTCTTGTTCGGTATTCGTACATAGGGAGCGTGCAAACTTTCTTCAAGGTGACGGACTATTGCAACAAAGATCGTCACCTTTTTCCAAGGTGCGGTCACAAAATTTTCTTCATCACGCTGCTCAGCTCATCTCGGTAGTTTCAGTGTACGAGCGCAAGTGTGTTCGTCTTCGTATTTCAGATGAATCATCTGCCTCGGTTTTCATATGGTGCATCGCATCTTACCGCCAAGTAGAAGCTGACAGTTCACTAGTATCATGTTGGCGAGAAACAACAGTGTCAAGCCTATGTCTGAAACACTGAAAAAAACCCTATACCTACTGAAGTACTTGCTCTGTTTACGTATCTCTCATTCACAATCATTCACTTGGACAATGAAACACTAACACATGACGTCTTGGTTTGGACATTGATCTGCTTCTGGTAGTACAATTCTGGTCTTCTACGTGGTGGAAAAAAACCTTCAAGTAGAAACGTGTGCCCCTGCCACTTCGATCCTTTGTGCGGACAATCGCCTGCTACCCGTCCCGACAGAGCCTCTTTTTCCACCAATGATAGACCCGCGCTTCTGCGCTTCCAGGTCTTGCAGTACGATGGACGCGCGGCGCGGAAAATCCATCAGCTTCAACAGCAATGGCTCCATCTCGCGGGGACGCACCACCTCGTTTTGGCGCACTTTTTGCTCCAGCTTCTGCAGTGCTCGTTCGCGATTGGCTTCCAGCAGGTTCACGCGATCCTGCAACTGAGAAAGCTTCTGGCTCATGGTCTCGTAAGAACCCGCCAGGTTGTTCGCGATTTTTCTTTTCTCCTCATTCACGTCCATCGGAAGGAGGTCTCCGTGAAGATCCGACTTTTCACACTCAGCTTCGACCCCCGCCTCCGGCTTCATTTCCATGACGCCCTTCCTTCGGAACACCAACGTCTGGACGATCTCCTCGAGGAGCAGCTTGAGTCCGCAATTCCTTTGGGTCACCCGCGCGTGGTGATTCAACAACACCGAGTACTCGTTGCAGTCGGACAGCAAAATCTCGTAGTCTTCCTCGCGTCGCTTCCGAATGTCGGACAGGGTCGCTTTGGTCCGCTCGAAGTGGGCCAGCTGCTTTTGCGCGATCTTGTAGCGCTCCTTCAAAGCCTGCACCTCTTCCGCGAGTTCCCGGTTCGGGTTCGCTTGCATCATCCGCAGCGTTTTTCTCCTTTCGAAGACCAGCTGCTTCTGCAGCTCTCGGCGCTCCTTCCGCCGCTTTTCCAGCTTCGCGCGGACCACTTGCCTCCGGTACAGTGCTTGCTCCAGTGCGTCGGTTTTCAAACGGTGCAAAATCTTCAAGCGCGGCCGGCAGTTATCGACGTCTTGCTTCAACAGGGAAATGCGGTCTTGGTTCTTCAAAAGCATGTCGGCATTCTTACACAGGCACTCGCAGACGTGCATCAGAATCAGCAGTTGTTCATTCTGTTTCGGCGGAAAAACCACCTTCGTGACATTGGCGACTGTCCGCGCCGCTTGTTTAAATAAGTTGAACAACGTATTGCGCCCGCGGTCATTTTGTTCCACCAGTTCTCCCCCCTCGTCGTCCTCCTCCTCCAGGACCGACGAATCTTCCCTGCGCGCCCCCGCCCGAAACCTTTGCGACATTTTCGCCTCAACCAAAGTGGTGGGCGCGCGCGGCTGGTGCACAGCTCTTGACGTTATTCGCGCCGTGGTGCCACGCAAGAGACGCAACGTGCGGCCGCGACTTTTCTGCTGCGCAGCAGGACCTCCTGTCGTAGTTATGCGACCACCCGTTTCTACTTCCGAAGGTAGTACAACTACTCCTTCTGCTTCTTCCGCGCCCTCGTCAGCACACTCCTCTGGAATCGTGTCCACAATTGTTGTGCCACGAGGACCACCACGCGCGGCAGCTCCTGAAGTGCTGTTGCCGCGCGCCGGGTTCAACGCCTGCCGCAAGTCCAACACGCGGAAGTGCTCCCCGCGACGCTCCCAAATCTGTTCCAGCGCGGCCTGGAGACGCTCCAGGGCCCGCAAACGTCGTCCCTGGGGATTGGTCTCGCGCGGGTACTGAAACAAAAGGTCCACCGGATACTCCAGCCGCACTTCGCCGTTGCGCACACTGCCAACGAGCGCGACGAACTCGCTCCAGCTCACGTCCGTTCGGTAGCCTACCGGTTGCTGGGTCGACGTCCCACCCGCGCCCCCCGCAACCGCAAGCGCCTCCAGCGCGTCCTGCTCCGTCAGCTGCTTCGACACCGCAGCGAGTTCGGAAATGGGCTGGTTCTCCAGGTTGCTGCTGTCTCCGGTTAGAAGGCCGCCTTGTTGGGGCGCGGCGACCAGACTCTCGATTTGGCACTGAATCATCACCGGCTGCGTGATGAACGCACGCACAAGCGTCCCCACGTCCGCCACCGAGAGGCGCTCGCTCGAGAATGATGACTCCAGCGCGGTAGCACTGCCATCCACGAGGTCTCCTACCCCGATCGCGGAGAACGCAGCACTCTTTCGCTTTGCGGTGCTGCCGCCGATCGCCGCGACCCCGTAAATCTCCTCGCCTGTGCCGTCATCCCTTGGTGCTGCATCTGGGTGGGCAGGAGTCACTGGGGAGTCGTTCTGCAGCTGCTGGAGCGCATTCAGGTCGGAATCCTGCAAAGCAATAGTGTCGTTGCGCCGCCGATACCGAGGGTCGTTGGAAAACACTCGCGAATTCGCTCGCTTCTTCATAGCTTGCTGCTTCTTGCGGTTTTTCAGAAACGTGAGATACGAAACCGTCATCGGAGCAACAGGAGCGTGCTTACTTGTTTTCAACGCAGAGAGCGGTCCTGCCTCAGCGTCCAGCGCAACCTGGACGCGTTGCGCGAAAACATCTTCGGAAATGCCGAGCAGAGCCTCGATTCGCGCCACGTGGGCGGGATCTCCAAGTGCATCTTGCTGCACGGGACCCGTAATCGCCTCAGAAGAAACGTCTCCAGCAAAATGAGTGCCCATGACTCTAGCTCGTAACTCCTCCACTTGATCCTCCGCGCAAAAAAGCGCGCGGTGTCGCTGCAGCGTCTGGAGCACTCTGTGCGCCCTGCTAATGCCTTGATGTAGTTCGGGGCTACTTTCTTCATGTTTCACATCCTCTGCAATTGCTGCTGCAGATGCGGGCGGGTGGTCACCGAGCTGCCCTTCTAGGGCCGTCTCTATCCGAAGAAAATTGTTCGTGGAACCAAATACCAGACTGCGTGATCGCCCCTCGATTGCGTCCCCAGAAGCTGCAATCTGCTGAACGGATGCCAGCGCGTCGCCCCCACCCATTTCTAAAGCGGCCGCTTGGTGCTGCAATCCCTGGAGAAGCAGTGCGCGAGGGGAAAGCAGTTCCTTCGACAGCCTCGTAGTTGCTTTCCGCCGTCGTCCCCGTTTCCGCGTATCACGGAAAGTACCCATAGCTGCACTGTCACAAGAAGAGGACGAAGAAGAAAAGTCAGGCGATTTTCGAGGATCCGCCACAGCAAGCGATCCTGCCCCTGTGTGGGGTCTTTTCTTAGCCCCCAGTTCGAATATCGTCTGCTCTGGTCCAATTTCAACCTGTAAGCGATTATTGTCCCCCATCCGAATGATTTCTGGATCGTCTAGTAGGCTGGCACGGAAAACATTTTTAATGGAGGCCCGACTCTTCCGGTGGTTTGAAAACACTTTTATGGAGTCGCGGTTCGTCGATCGCCGGCCCTGGTGCTTGGTTGTCGCGGTGGCTGTGGATATGGACACCCGTTTGGCCGTCGTGCTTTTCCTCTTATTCTTCTCACCCGTTTGGCTGTAAGTCACTGCTGATTGCTTGGAACTTTCGCTATGGCTGATCGCACTCGTGCGAGTTTTACCTACAGATGAATGTGGCTCAGCGAGAGTACCTGCGGCATTTTTCTGTCCACCGGTGTTTGCGACTCCGACGTCGGGGATATTACTCCTGCCTGGCTCCGCAGTCTTGCTCGAAAGAAACCCCCGCTTTACGTCGTCCTTCAAAATTTCCCCCTCGGCGGGCTGGGGCGCATTCGTCTCCGCTGCCTCTGCGTTATTTTCACGTCGTGGTAACATTGCCGTAGAACTGCTGTCGGAAACTGTCCGCCGGGTAGACTTCGACGCGAGGAAAGTGGCTCGTCGCGCAACGCCATCTAAGCGAAGTGGCTCGTTGCGAATAGATTGCTCTCTTCCCGGAGAGAGGTCAAATCGCGTGCCGCGAAACAAAGTCGACCGCGAGAGCTGCACTTTCGGAGTGTCATCGTCGACCCCTGAGAACCCGGACGACGACGAAGCTCTCTCGTCATCGGCATTCCGCTTGCTTTTCCGTGGCCCACCCGGCAACACCAGTGCGCCTGGAGCAACGTATTGGCCAACTGCATCGTTAGACTGCCCCAGGAAAGTTTCGTCACCAGTGGTCGCGTTTGCACTTGGCTTGCCGGAATCGCCCGCTGCTGCGGACGCCCGAGGCCGCGGGTTCGCTCTTCCACCAGCCGTGTCGCGGGAGTGGGTACTCTTGGAATCTCCTCGCTCATCATTATCGTCGTGCAGTTCGCGATTGTTCCCGCCCGCACCTGTGACGAGGTCCTGTGCGTCTTCTTCATCGTCCTCCTTCGCAAAGTTCACTGCTCGCTGCTTACTGTGCGGCGCTGACATACCGACGGCGGTCGTGCTATCCATGTTCACACTCAAACGCAACAGCATAGCGGCGTGGTCCTCCTGGTTCGAGAGCCTGCGCTTGGCATCCGCGAACGAGTCGCTCCTGCTGATAGGCTCTTCCTGGTCGTCGTCACTTCCCTTTTGCGGGTTCGGCGTTGATGGCGGCGCTCCGGGAGGGAGCAGCAAGTTGTTGGTTTTGTTCTTCGCTGCGCCTGACGTGCCCACCTGGCTCACGTTTGACGTAGTTGCACCGCCACCGCCAAAAAAGGGTATGAGCAGCCGGTTGGCAAAACTCCGACCCGCACTTGTTCGTTTTTCGATGGACGCAGACTTTGCCGGAGGGGCTGGCGACCCGTGCGGCTCCTCTTCCAGTTGCCCTCGGTCAGACGCAAGAAATTTTCCAAACACAACGTTTTGCACAGCGGCAAACAACACGCTAGCCCTTCTGGTTGTTGCCGGAACGCTCACACTTTGCTTGCTGGCGGAAGATACCGGCGCCGCAGTTTCGCCTTCGCCGGGGATAATGGAAGTGGTGGGGAGTTCTTTGCTTCCGCTCTGCTGGGATGCCTGATGAGTATGAATCTTGAACACTGTATGTGAATTTGAATGCAGTGATCGGACAGGAACGACGAACCGTAATCTGACTGTAAGTCTGCTCATGTAGATTTACAATTTATGTTGAATCACAAGCGAAATAAACCTCTGTTATTTAAGCCATACCGAGGTCCCAGGATTGGAGGATAACCCACTTTTTCTCTCGCTTTCCACCGGGGGTGCGGATTCTGTGCGTCCCTTTCCACTTGCAGCCGCGGCCGCAGCCATGCTCGCACGCTTTTCGGAGAAGCTCTTCCGTAATTTCAACGTGTTCTCGGTGCTCATGGGAATGAAGGGATTCGACTCGTAAGCCTGACGCACCGCAGCAGCCATGCTGCCCTCGACGGATATGGCAGACGCCATCTGCTCGAGATCCTTTGGGGCCTCGCGCAACGTAGCAGAGCTGATGCCGGCCCCCTCGCTTTTCCTGGCTCCTTTTTTGGACTTAGTGTTCGCAGACATACTGGACCGGGCGGAGAACCCCATCGGGGTCGAACCCGTTCCGCCTAGCAGCTCTCGTTGCGAGGAGGAGCTGGAACGCAATCTGCCGCCAAGAGCCTGAGAAGCCGCGCCCGGCGCATCTGTGATCGATCTCCGCTGCTGCTGGGGCACAATATTAATGCCGGGCGATGGCCCGGTTAGCGATCCGCGTCCACCATTGCTTCCTCGTCGTGATTTGAACAGATTTATGACAGTCCCGTCGTCAGCACTATCGGGCGCAAGAACTCGGCTGGCACGCGAGGGTCCGGCGCTTCCACCGCCGATCACAATTGGCCCGGTCAGAGGTGGACGATTTGCCGCCTCGTCGTGGGGCGCGTCGCTTGCAACAGCTTCGCCATGAGAAGACGTTCGAGCAGCGGCCTTGTCAGCTGCGTAACCGTCCATGAGTTCTTGCGTCTCCGCGGGCCCTCCACCCTGCGCTTGCAAAGGACGCAGGTTGTTTATCGTTGGGGGCGCCGCGCTCAGTTGCTGCTCCGAGAGTAAGCTGGAGGGCCGCTTGCTCCTCTGACTGCTTGTGCCGGCGTTTCCTGAGGACAGCTCGATCGAGGCACGCAGTCTTTTCTGCAGCTTCAGCGAATGATCTTCAAAACTATCTTCCTCCGCCTTGACCGAGCCCGTACTGGTGTTGTCGCTCAAAGACTTCGGAGTTTCCGAAGAGGCGGTCGCGACGGTTGCGCGCAAGGATTTTCTCAAGCTGAGGCTTCCCCGACCCGAGCCGTCCTTTGCATTATCCTGCATAAGTTTCGCACGCAAACTCTCCAGGGTTCGCGATTGATCCGAGGACGCGCGCTTGTGGGCGGTCGACTGGCGCTTTCGGTTCCACAAGTCCTCCTCCGGCGCCTCCGCACCTTCCTCCACCAGCGGCGTCGCAGTCTTCAAATAGCCTGCGGAATCGCGTCGGTTCCCACCTACTTGATGTCCGTCCTCCCGAGCCTTCTCACGACCCGCTTGTGCCAGCTGGCGCATTTTTTCTTCCTTGTAGGCCGAGCGCTCCTCCCGGAGCATTTTCGACAGTGTGACGCTCGCAACTGCACGAGAGGCTTGCATCGGCGCAAACGCGAGATCTGCGGAAACGCTACGCCGGCTTCCGCTTTGGTCTTGGTCTAGATCGGTGCCTCTTTCCGCGAAAGGATGATCCTGGCCTCGATCAGACGTGCAGCCCGCTTTCGCAGTGCCCGCCGATGCTGATTTAGCTCTTCTGCCGGCAGCGGCATTCTTCAGATGTTGACCAGTTGAAGCCTTATTGCTATGCGCATGTCCGTGCGAAGATCCCGGTAATAGCACCGCTTGCTCTGTTCTTTTGCACATGACCATCAAGCGAAACAGATGCTTCCAGTCTTCGTATTCGAGGATCGACACGCCCATGGGGATCCCCGGTACTGTAGTGGTGGTCCGCTGCAACACGGCTCGGCTTTTCCTACTGGCCGCGGCACCGCTGGGATTCAAGAGATCGCTCTGGAAAATACTCGAGCGCCGAGCCCGTGCAGGTGGGGGGGCAACGCCACCTCCACCGCCCGGCAGCAGGCCGGGAGTACCGCCAATGGCAATACTATTTCCCCGCCGCGGCCGTGGACTGATCGGTGAGATCGAAGCACGCCCCATCTCGGACGTGATGCCTGAGAAAATTGGTTCGGATTCCTCATGCACATGAGCCAAATAGACATCGACACTCCTTTCATCAGAAATGCGAAAGCCTCAAACCGAAAACTAGACTGAGCGGGGCTACACCACATGATCATAATTATCGCAGTTTTCATTTACAGCGCTACGAAGAAAAGTCAACTAGTGTATGCAGCCTCCCACCTGCCTTAGAGACCAATGACGGACCGTGTCGACGAGCGGTGGCCGTGCTGACCTCCTGCTGCAACGGGTCCGAGGACATCTTCCAGCTTTTGCGCATCCCGTCCATGGTCTGCGATCCGCCTCCGACACCGAGCAAAGCTCGCGCATCCTCATCCATGTTGGCCCTAGCGGGCTTTTTTGTAGTGACACTTGTCGTCACATTTTTGAAGGTAAAATGGTTCGAAAGAGAAGAGACGCAGGGTCACAGCAGAGGATCACAAGGATTATTCACCTTCTTAACATGCTTTCCGTTGCAGTACTCAATCCTTTTCCAACGTGGACCTGTGGGTGCCGAGGTTTATCGAATAGAAAAAAAAAACAACTTTTTATTTCGCAGAAATAACTCTGCAATGCATCACGCTTATGACATTCAAGCGGCAGCGGATGTGCTCACAAAATGCTGACATCAATATGAATGTATGAATGAGTAACTGACGCGAAAGCATGACACAGACTCACGACACGAGGGAAAAAACATGCGACACACGTCGAAATATACTCCACCGCGAACACTCCTTACGCCCCTCCTGAAGTCAAAGACACGCGGGCAACCCCAGCGCGACTTCCTTCGCGCTATAGATTTGCCCTCCTGTTGGGTGAGGGAGTAACCACTTACAAGCTTCGACCCCATACTTACACAACCGCTCCCGGTCCAGGCAGAAGGGGGACCAGGCCCCGCGGCGACGCGGGCCCGCGCGGGGCGACGCGATGGCAGCAGCGGAATAGGGCCGAGTGCTTACTGCGCCCTTCCCGAATTGCCGCAGAGAACGAACGCACGAGGCGCCGGCTTGCGCGCGCCGAAGGCGCGCCCCGCTTGCGGGGCGAGCCGCGGGCGCCGCGAAAGTGCGAAAAACTACGCCCATACGGGCACGAAAACAGGGCGCATATAGGCGCCCTATTTGCGCCCAGTTTGAAAAATTGCGGCTGGCCGCGCGCCGTGCCGCAGCCGCAGCATCAAAGTAAAGCGATCGCGTGGAAAAGGCGCGCTCGTGTTTGGCACATGAAGGGAGAAGCCCGGCGAAAAATGCTGCCAAGACAGGCCGCACGCGAGGGCGCCACGCCCTCGAGGCACCAAAACGACCGCGGCCCTCCCAATCGCCTGCCCGCCCGGTGCGCCAAAACGACGGCGGCCCCCGGCCTCGCGCCGGAGCACGGAGAAGGCCCGAAACGGGCTGCCCGCATGCGCCCAGCACCAAAGCGATACTGAACGAAGGCGGCTGGCCTCGCGGCCGGCCGCCTATTCGTGTCGCCTGGAGCAACAGCCCCGGCGCACCATGCGCGGCAGCCGGGCCCAACACACTGCCCCCGCGCGCGCTTGCGTGCTTGCCTGCTGCTGGCAGGAGTGGGCCCCGCGCCGCCCTACCCGGCAGGGGCGGCCGGCGGGCTTCAGCGCGCCGCGCGCTGCTACGTCTCGCGGCCGTCACCCCCCGCCAGTAGGTCTCGGCCATCGGGTCCAATGCCTGTCGGCCCACAAACGACGCACATCGCCACGACTGCAATAGCCATCACGGGGTCGCTCTGGGTCAGGAGCGTCATGCATTTCGCGAATTTGGTCAATCGCGGGGACGGCCCCTCCCTGGGGGCGGCGTCCGGCCGCCAGCCAAGCGCGCGCCCCCCGCCCCTGGGGCGCCACGGCGCGGCCGCCGCCTGCTTTACAAGCGGCGGGCGGGCTCGCAATACTGGCGCGAACTTTCTTTTTCCCAGAGATTTCGCCAGCGGCCCGGCCGAGCTCTTTCTGTAGTTTTGCCAGGGCCCTGCTCGCTCGGAGACCCGTTACCCTGTACCAAAATCAGGACAGCCGGGGTTCGGAGTGCAGTAGGCTACCCCTTCCACCCGGCCCTTCTCATTTGGGGGCCGGGCCGGCAGGTCCGGGTCACCAGTCCCGCGCAGTTTGCTCATTACATAGAAAGCTAAGCAGGAGGCCCGCCCGGCGATCCGAGAACGAACAGGCGCGCCTCGTGGCCAACGTTCCACCCAAAACCGCCACAGCTATCCGCGCCGCCCAGAGCGCCCCCCCCAATGGGCACGCGTGCCGTCATCGAAATGCGCGCCCTGCGCAGCCCAGGCGCGCCGCAGTGCCGGCTCCTTTCCATTTCTCGCACAACGAAGGGCCACCCAGCCATGGGGTTCCGGCAATGGGACTCGCCGGCCCCGGGGCCCGGACTTCTTCGAGGGGCAGGACCTCATAGCGCGAAGCGCGCCCCGGAAACAACGAACGCCGCCCCGCTGAGGCCGCTCTCCTGCGGCCGGCGGAGACGCCTGCTCTCGGTAGTTCTGCTCCTGCTGGACCTGCACGGGCGCGGCCCCTGTCGCTGCGTACTGGGGGGCTAGGGTCTCGGCCCCCGCGGGCCGACGGCGATCGCATGCGAGAGGCGGAATGGCCCGCGCAACAGCGCTCGGAGCGGGGGCCGGTGGATTGCCCCGGCGCGCGGCGGCAGCCTCGGGACGCGCGCTCGCGCCCCGCGCGGCGCTGCGAGTTTTCTCCGCCCCCCCCCGGCCCGCGCGACCGGCGCCACACGGATCGCCGCGGCCGCTCGCGCTGCCGATGCCAGGCTCTTCGAAAACCGGCCGCGCTCCTTCCGTCAACAGTCCTGGTAAGCCCCTGCCGCATGCACTTGGTAAATGTTACGGAAGCCAGTGGGCTCATCTGGGGCCAAATGCGACCCGGGCGGGAGTGCTTGCCGGGGCCACTTGCGGCCCGGGCGGATCTGCGTGCTCGCGCCCCATCGGCCGGCGACGGCTCCCCCAGAATGGAACTTAGGTGCAAGGGAAAGCCTTAGAGCCTCAAACAGGTCGGGGAATGAAGCCACTATAGCTAAACGCGACCCGCGGGTCTTCGTTTTCACGAACAGACACTCCTATCTCTTCAAGTAGTTTGCCATCGCTGTGCACCTGCACGTATGCGCCACAGAACGTGTGCCAGGATGCGCCATTTCTTTTTGTACTTAGTTCCTTCTGCGAGGGCGAGCACTTGCACTACTAGTAGTAGCATGTATTACAGTTGTTTCATTCAAACTTGATACAACAGTGTCCTTGCACTTGCAGATGCAGGTACTTCAGAACCATAAGTTCCTCACATACTACAGGCGCAAATGTGTTGCGTTATTCCTATGGATCCTGCTCAGAAGGTCCCTGTCGTCTCAACGATGAAAAAGTCGCTTTTCTAGATTTCGAGAGTGGCACACATCCAGCCAGACTACGCGATCCACATCGTCCACCTCCCTCGTCACAACAAGAACGGCGAAAAGCGCCACCTCCATACTTTCGCGGTTTTGTCGTCGGATGCTGTGACCACCTGGAGCGTTTTCCAGCGAGCATTTTTGTCTTTCTCGTCCAGTTCTCGATCTCCGGCATCGTCCGCGAGCAGGACGTCCAATGCAAGGATGGAATCCTGGTGCCCGCAAAACGTGTGCAGGCAATCCCCGGTGTGCGGACTCCAGACGCGTGCGGTCCAGTCCAAACTGCCACTGATTAGCAACTCCCCACCGGGTGTCCACTTCAGCGCTGTAACACCCCCACACTCGTGAGCTTGCACGTCGTGAACGGCATGGAAGTTGCGCAAGTTCCACATTTTCACCTGCAAGTTTAGGAAACTCAATTTCTCTTTTACTCAAACGTGAGGCAATACACAAGATGAAAGCGATAAAGCCCTTGTTATCTTGTTCCACCTGAATTTGCTTTGGAGAAATTTGAAAAGCAATTTACCTTTCCGTCAAGTGCCGCAGTTGCCAGGAAAATATCCGGCTGCCAGGTCCCAGCAACTCTTGGTTGGAAGCTGACCACTTCGACTGCTCCTTCGTGTGCGGGCGTGAAGCTCTTCACCACTTTTCCCTTGCCGGTCTCCAACATGGTCAGAAGATGCACTTCGCCCTCACTCGTGCCGACCGCAAAAAGGTTTTGCACTTGGGTTTTGCTCAACCCGCTTGCAGCAACATCCACCTGTGTTTGTGCGTGGTATTTTTAACCTCATGAACTTGAACAACATGAGTTATTTTGAAGATTCACTGTTTTTCACTAAATTGATGCAGAAGATTCAGAACCGCGACGGCTACCAACGGCAACGTTCCTGCGTTTAGAATTTTCGTTTTCCGAACAACATTTGAATTTCCCATGTTTTCGCTATGATTCGTATGACCTATTACCTGATTCGTGTCGCCAAGGCACGTAATCTCCTGTTCGTGAACGACCTGAAGTCGGTCGACGGACTGCCCCGATTTGGGCGCCCAGACGATGACCTGGCCGTCCTTGCAGCCCGTGGCGATGAGCTTGCCACCCTGAATGAAACCGCCACACGTGACGCCGTCCTGGTGCCCGCTGAAGACTTGCATGCAGTGCCCACTGTCCCCGTGCCACATCCACGTGGTGGTGTCCGCACTGCCCGCCAGGACAATATTGCCCTTTGGATGCCAGCAGCCCCATTCCAGTTCCGCTCCCGGGCCTTCTAACGTGTGGGACAGGGTGGCGGAGACGGATCTATTGCTGGGGTCGACCGCTACCTTGTGCACGTGCGTTACCCCGTCGTAGCCCACCGTGCATACTTCTGTCCTGCTGTGATTTCTCGCGACGGCAATCACGCTGTCGGTGTGTTTTTCGAGAGCAGCCACGGAAACCAATTCCAGAGGTTCTTGGCCGGGTTCGACGCAGGGCTCTTTGATGTCGCTGTTTCTGTTTCTTTCCGTGCTGTCCGCCATGTCCACGTCACCTGTGGTATTGTCGCTGGACTCTCGATCTGCTGCGACCACGCTAGTTGAAGATGAGGAGGCACTGCTGCCGGAAGATGTCGACTTTTGCAGTGACACCACATACGCCTGGTCGTCTTGTCCGCTGGTGCAAAACGTCCAGGGGTTCAGGAAGCAACAATTCAACACGGCGTCCTCGTGCTTCGAAAAAGTGAAAACGGAGGTGTCCTCGTCTTCACCCATTTCCAAATCACCATCGAGTTCGACGCCTAATTGCATCTCGTCTTCGTCCAAAAAATCCAATCCCGCGTCATCCTCCTCCCCTAGATCGGAGAGCTCCTCAAGCTCCGCCCGGAGCCGCGCGTCGTCCTCCTCGTTCTGCTCATCCGGGACCACGAAGGTTTCTTCTTCGTGCGCGAGGCGCTCAACATTGTCTTGTTCCTGGTCGTGCTGTCCCGACATTCTGACTTTCAATTCAAATCGAACGTAGATGTAGATCTAGGGAACATCAACAGAAATAAATAGCAAGCCACTACCACGTACGTAAGAGTCACACTACTGACAAAGTCTCCTTGTTATCGTAGTTGCAGAGTTGTCTGTGCGGTCCGTGTAAAATCTTTTAGAAATTTCAGAAGCAATCGGCTGAAAAAAAGACTTTGTCGTTTGTCCTCAGCATGATACACGAGAATCAATATTCGATCAGGTAGCGTGGATCTCGTTGATTTCTGTGTCTGAAGACTCACTTTTCGTTCTTCCAGCGACTCGCAGATCTTTACCGTGATCATCCGTGGAACCAAATCAGGATCGAGATCATACAGTAGAAATTTTGAGCTGCTTGTCCATCGAGCCACTACAGATCTCCTTCAAGCGCTATATCAGCCGAAAAGCTTTCGTTTATTTGCACTCAGAACGACAGGTCGTGTGTCGGATCTCTACTTCAAGAACAATTGTACCCGAATTTCCCATGCTGCGAAAGCGAAAGCAGAAAAATGGATCCGGAATACTTCAATGTCGCTATACTAGTTTCGCAAGCACGTATCGTTCAGCGTCAGCACAAATTGCGATCTTTCACTACCTGTCGCTCGCGGAGGTGCCAAGCGACTTGCGGGCCTCATGAGGTTGCTGCAACGTCTTATCTTGGTTTTCTTGGATGCGTCGCAGATTTTCTGAGATGATTTGGTCAATGCCCTGGTTCTGTGCGTTTTTCGTTCGCGTCGCATCCGCCTGCTCGTCGCGTAAACGGCGCTCCTGTTGAACGATCAGCTCCCGTTTTCGTTGCTCGTACTCCCGCAGAATCTCCGCTTTTCGATGCTCCCAGCGCTTTGCTAGCTCACGCTGCACTGTTTGTTGAATCTCGTTTTGGACCTCGGTTGACTTGAGTTTTTCGACCACCTGCTTTTCCAGTTCCTCGGTGACCAGCAGCTCAGACTCGCTCCCAGAAGGGGAGGAATCATGTTCCGCTACTCCTTCCTCACTGCTCCCAAGAACATTCTTGGTCGCCAAAGAACTCGCAGGAACGACGTTGGTGCTAGAACCCGACTTGAGCCGATCTCTGTTCTGTCCAGGACGCGGGGGCCTCTTGGCATGGTCCTTGTCTCCTTCTTTGTCCCGACGGTCATCTACGACCTTGTCTTTCTCATCCTCGTCGTCCGGGGATTTATTTCGCTTCTCCTTCTCCCCAGCTTTATTTCCCCTCTTTTCCTCTTTCCGTCTAGCGTCAGTGGCGGCAGAGAGATCGTCGTCTTCCTCTTTCACCCAGCGCGCGTGACGGGCCGCTCGGTCCAGCGTCGCTCGATCTCGGTCGCCCAGCTGGGGCGATTTTCGCTTTTCCCTTCTACGGTCCTGCCCCCTGTCCTTTGACACGACCCGATTACGGCGAGGAGGACCCCGATCGGGTGTTCGTCGCCTTCCCGACCGATTGCGATTTCGCCGCTCTCTGCTGATGCTGCGCTCTCGGTTCTGTCGCTTTCTGTCGTTTCGCCTGCCGCGCGAAGAAGACCTGCGCCGGCGCTTGCTCATGTTGGTTTCTACTTTTGTGCACTCACCGCAAAGAACACAAAATCAAAATCTCAAATCGAAATCGATATGTATGTGGTATGATCAGTGTTGGGTAAGTCAGTGTAAGGTAACAAGACAAACACTTTCACTTTTTTGTTTTCACGCTACTATTCTTGGAGCACTGCGGAGACATTCCAACCTATACGATTGCCGATGCAGAAGGGGGTCAGCATACAAACAAGAAAAAGGAACTTTCGGTTGTCGAGCATCCTTTCGTGCCGGCATTTGTGGCTGCGTCGTCCAGTTGTAAAAATATCATGACTAGGACTCGTCAGGCTGAGAACCTAGAAAAGTGACCAAACGCCAACCAAGGAGACGAGCAAGTCCTAGTCTACCTGCGTGTACGTGGTCGAGCGGGTTGCAGCTTTTCCTTTTTGATTTTGTCAACGACATCGCAATGAAACACTGAAACCTGTTGAATCGCTCCGGACTGGAAAGGCGAACACCTATCTCCGACCTGCAATTCTTTTGTTTCTTTCGCTCTCGCACGCAGAGAACTATTATCGGTTTGAATCTACTGGATCCTGAACTTGTTTCCGCTACTGATGGTCTGAATCTACTGGATCCTGAAAAGACACTAGCGACAATGCCCGGGTGGAGAACGAACATTGCAGCGATAAGACGATGAAACAAGCACGACGGGCTTCTCTTTTCCTTACCCGCCGCCGAAGAAAGGTTTGTTTTTTTTGTTTTTTCGCATCCCCAAGAAACTCAATCGTGAAAAAGAAGCTTCTCGTTCGCCCTGTGAGGAGCATATCCCCAGGAAAGGACTATTTTTCTCACGTTTTGCACAGTATCCAGCAACATCCGCGATGGCTGCATGTCGATTGCTTCTTCGTGTACCTCGGTCTACTTTTTGCTGGTGCTACTTAGTCTTAAATGAAAGTAGCGCCGAAGCTAGTCCTGGTTTGTGTACAATGGGGCTACTGTTTCTTATAATTTCTCATCTAATTTTTTCTGTACAGTGTACGTTTCATCCTATTTTTTTTGCAGCACACGACACTGATTCATTTTAATTTTTCTTCGAAACTATTCAATCTTACATTTTTGCCTGTCGCGTCTGATTTCGATTCGGTCGTAATTGTGACTGGTGTCTCAAGAACTTCAAGTGGTTGTAAAAAGTCTGCTAAAATTGTGAAACGGATCGATAAGGTGCAAATTGAATTTGGTTTTGGTACAATAGAAATTTGTTAGCGAAACTGCAATGCAATTTTTGATAAAATTCGTTGTTCAAGCATCAAAGGTAAAGCTGTTGTAAGTCTGTTCGAAAGTTGTCAACGGAGTTGCAAATGAAGCTACTGTTGTGTGAAACAGTCTTTGATTCTGTAAAGCGAAACGGTTGTATTCCCATACATAGTAAATGTCTCGATAAATTCAGAATCGTACAGTGTTGAACTAGTTTTAATTTTTCGGTTAATCCGTGTGGCACGTTACAAATAATGATTTTTTCTGTCGTTTCTATTATCGAATCCGCCTGTCTTTTTCGTATTATTCTTCCGACGTAAGTTTCCTCTAAAATCTGCTGAAAATTCCGCGCGGCTATCATTGTTGTTCGCGCGAGTTATTTGAGTTTTAACTGGCAACTGCTGTGTCCGCTCGTGTTTGATTTTGTTTCTCGTTTTACAGTGAAATTCCTAGCGATAGTTAATTTGGATATGCTGAGAACTAGAAATTGAAGCGTAGCACCTTTTCATCCTCTTCGGTTATCGGGAACTATTATCGGTTTGAATCTACTGGAGTTCAAGTTCAAGTTCAAGTAGTATTTTTTTTCAACGGGGGAGGCGGCAGGCTGCTATCTTCCTATGGCTCTGGATTGGCGGCAACAGGGCTAGAAGCTACTAGATGATACCTAACCTCACCACTAAGCAATAGTAGGGGTAGTGCCTGTCCGAGCGGGAGCACCCACTCACATATAAACCTATTCTGTCAGGTTCTTACTTTTTAATTTTTTCCTAAGACTTTCCCCTTAGGTCCTTAGGGGACTCGACGAACTTTTGCTCGGTAGCGGTAAATGCTTATTCCGCTGACTTGGATCGATTCTTCCATTTGTAAAACTAAAAAGAGCACAGGAAGCACCCAGATGGCCCCTTTTATTTTTAGCAGCTCGATGACTATATGTATGACCGACGCGAAAAAGTAAACTACCCCTCCTCGACAAAAACTCTCCGAGCGCATGCATGCTTCTTTTCTATTGCTACTGATCCGCACAGTAGTCTTTGACAAAAATTTCATAATGATCTTATCTTGCCTTTTCCGAGGGGGCGCTACGCGGAAAACTAATCTAGTGCTCGGACCTAAAAGGGAGCCACAGGTCTGCATGCAACATAGCAGGTATGGGAAATCGGCATACAAGATGAAATGCCACGCACTGGCAAAAAATAGTGTCTACTTTGGTCGTGCTTCCTGCTCCCCCTGCGAATCCCCCGGCCGGCACCGCAACCACCGGCGCAACGGCAGAGCGTGGGATGTGGATATTTTAAGCCCAGTCTTGCTGTGGCCTATTCTATAGCCATCCCGTTATCAACATACCTCCTAGCGGTGTTTAAGGATTAATTTTGGTTAGCACCTGGCGCAACAGGTGAAGCTATAAAAAACTATTTATAGAAAGAGTTTAAACGACCAGAAAATCACCGCGAGGTTCTAAGTTATAAGGCTAAACAAAAGCTACTTATTTCCAGATCGCCCTATGTTTCCTTTCTTGCTTGCCGCCTCTCGGATTTTTTGTCTCTAAAGCTAAAACTTGTCACGCCACGAACCCTTGCTGCTCACAGCTTCATCAACCTCATCTCCGTTTTTTATTCGCGATCTGTCCGCTGGTGGTAGTAGTTCTCGATGATGCACCCGCCGCGCAACGCTACGCAGCTGGACATAGTAAAGGGTAGCGGCCCTCGTCCCACAATTTGTAGACCGCAAAACCCATCTCCTTCGCGCAGGGCAAGCAGATTGGCGCGCCGCATCTAGATCAGCTTCCGGCGTTGCTTCGGCCGGGGGGACGCAGCCGCGTGGTACTTTGGCCGCTGCTGGGCGAATTTTGTCCGTAGTGTCGCTGTAGATGATCACGCATTCTACGCCCGTCCATCCAAACGCCCTTCTTGCAGCGTAGAGCCGCCGTGCCTCCTGCGAAAAGTCGCCTCTTCCCGTCAGCCTGAGAAAAAACATATTTTCAAAACAGCCCCGGAGAGCTGCCGTCTGAATCGAGGATCAATCTCATCTATCAACACAAAAACTATCTCTACCTCCTGTTTATTTTCAATTCTATCAACATTAACTATAAGCAAAACAAAATAATCGCTTCTGCGCATGACAAAATCGTAAGAATTAGTATCCTTTTCCCGTTTCGCCGCGGCAGGCTTCTTTCCTCTCCCAGTCACTCGGTGTGCCGTCACACGTGTGCCCTCGTTCCGTTAATTCGCGATCTGCTCGCTGGTAGTAGTAGCCCGCGTTGATGCGCCAGCCACGCGGCGATGTGCTGCATACAGGACTTGCGGGATGGAAGCTCTCCCCGTCCTGAAAATATGGGGGGTCGCAGCTTCACGGTGGGTGGGTGGCAGGTCACTATCTTTCTATGGCTCTGGATCGGCGGCACCAGGGCTAGAAGCTACTAGATGGAGCCTAACCTCCCCACTAAGCGATAGCAGGGGTAATGCCTGTCCGAACGGGAGCACCCGTTCAATACAAACCTAAGTTATCAGTTTTCTACGGTTATGGGCTCATAAGACTTTTCCTCTAGGCTCATAGGGAGCTCAGCGTGCTGTTGCTCGGTTGCGGTGAATGCTTAGCCCGCTGGATAAAATATGATTTTCGACAACAGTTGCTAGCCGTTATAAAAGCACTCTACTAGAATGAAACACGATTTCCGGATCTCAAACGACTTCGACTTTTATCTGTCACTTCATTCGAATCGAAAACAAAAACAAAAACAACTACCCCTCCGAGGACCGAGATTTTATTTTCACCGAGCGCATACAAGCACTTGCACATTTTAGGCCGATCCGCACGGCGTCCTTCTCGTCGTTCTCCCAACTCATACAAAAGTCGAATATTAATCGAGGGGGCGCTACGCGGAGTGCTATTCTAGTGCTCGGACCTAAAAGGGAGCCACGGGCTGACATGCTTCTTTGCAGGTTTAGGGACTTTCGATCATATATCATCACCAAGCACTGGTGTAAGACTATAGTAATTTTCGATCGTGCTTTCCTGCTCCCCCCGCGAATCCCCCGGCCGGCACCGCAACCACCGGCACAACGGCAGAGCGTGGGATGTTGGTATTCTAAGCCCAGCGGTGCTGTGGCATAAGTTAAGGTCATCCCGTGCTAGTTGTACTCCTTACGGTGTGTTAATAACTATGATAGTTATCGCCTGGCGCAACAGGCGGAACTGGTAAATTCTAACTGTCGAAAGTTTAAGCTTGGTCTGAACACCGCGGAGGTTTAGCTTATTCTTATCATAATTATGAATATCTTCTATATATGCCGCTACTACATTAATTGCTACTCTTGCCTGCCACCCACAGTATACGACATGTGCCTTCCTCAAAACCTCAAACTGCCGCACGGGGGTGCAGCCCGCGCGGCATCCTCGGGTGGCGCGCCTGGTACGGAAACCCCGCCGCCGTGTGTGTCGTGTCCGCCCTGGTCGACTTCTGTGACCGTGCGTGCAGAGGATGGAATGTTGCTGCTGTGCTCCCGTGACGGTAAGGGCCGGGCGCCACGCGCCCGCCTCCGGCTTCGTAGCAGACGGGACCCGCATGTTGCAGGTAAATGGCACCGATGTCATCGCAAGATTCTCCGCACCCCCCAGGGCTATATTGCGTCGGTGCCCATGCTCCGCGTCTACCGTGGCGGACATGTGATGCTTGCCCGCAGAGACCATCGGTTTGTGGTCTGCTCCCCTAAAGGGGTAGATTTCGCCGGTACTCGGTCACAGGGAACTCCAAACCCGGTGGGTCGACGCGGGGACTATTATCGGTTTGAATCTACTGGATCCTGAACTTGTTTCCACTACTTTTTATCTCGATCTATTCCATCTTAAGTACTTACATACTTTTATGAAAGTTTCATTGAAAACTCGGCATTCCAAAATAAATTTTTTGTATCAACAGTCGAAATCGAAATCCATGCAGTTTTATTTTCTCAGAACGTCAAAAAAAGGATCGACGACGTTTTTGCTCTCCTACTTCCCGTTCAGATTGCGCCGCTTTTTTCGGTATTTTCACCGTTGTTCCAAGACCAATCCAATGATCTGATTCGAACCGAGTCGGTCGTGCTACTGGTGCCGAGATGTGATGAACAAATGTTGGCTCACCTGCGCTTTCAAGTCCCGGACTCTCAGCCTTGAGGGGCGGACGAGAAATAACTATGCGCACGTAAACTCTAGATACTAACATGGTTCAACAGCTTCTTTTTCTTTGCGCGTGGGAGGACTTGATTTTAGGTTGTAGAAAAAGTACGTACAGAAAATCGCAATCACCTTCTTCGATACTGAAAGATGAGGTGACTGATGCAGATGCCTCTTACATGCTTCGCGCCTCGACGAAAACATGCAAGGAGGGGGGTGAGACCAAAAGAGTTGATCGATAAGTTCTTCTATTGAACCACTCAAAAGCCTAATTCTACTGGGTCGCGACGGTGACATGTAGTACGGAAATGGAAAACCGTATTCGCTACAACAGCGCCGTAATTTTTTTGCAAGGATTGCATGTACATTTGGCGATGTACTACACTAAGCTTGGCCGCGTCAAGCTTGATCATTTTTACTCGTAAAGCTACTGGCTATACGTTTTTCAATATTCATTTATCTTCATGATTCTTTCGAGCGTTTCGTAAACAAGTGACTTCATTTTGGTACAGGTTCTCGCCTAGCAAGCCGCAAACACCGCAAATAGTAATGCAGCTGCGAACGCGTACGTAGCAACAAAGACCGCGTAAAAGGAAAAGTCTCTGCTGTTGTCTTGCTGCCGGCCAAATTCGTTGTGTCGTTCAAGACTTTCCACGACCCAATCTCCGACGTGCGTCAGCGGAGCGGATGGTGGCAGCGGAATGTTTTCCCCGCGGACCTCCTTTTCCAGCTCAGTCCAGCGAGCGAGGTGCACGATCCTGGACCTGCTCGTGGGAGCCTCGGGCGTCGTCCCTTGGTAGTTGCCGCGTGACCGAGAAAAGAGTGTCATCGAGCTTCTGCGTGCGAGGTTTGTTTGTGGTTGCCGTGTGAAAATGCCTTCCGCGAGACCCACGTCGTCCGTCGAGAATAGCAGACAGCGCCCCTGCGAAGTAGAATAAAGAGAGAATCGACAACCGAAATCTTCCTTCCGACGACCAGCATGCCAGGTCTGCTGACACACGGACGCGCAAACTGTCGGCGACGGTTCCGCGACCGCGTCTTGCTGCTCCCCGGCCGGGGTTCCCTGCGTAGTTGCAGATGAAACCTTTAGAGAAATCATGCACAACGACGTGCGCCCCTCTTCCCCCGCCTGCGCGTGGCCTCGTACTTGCGTCGCGTAGTGGTAAACTTCGAGGCCCTCCGCCTTCACAGAGTTGCCCCGAAAGGAGAAGGCTCGATCGTCTTGCGTCAAAAAGTTTTTGCATTGAAGCCGGTGCCGCTGGAGCACTTGACTGGGATCCGTCTGTCGAGCTGGGCGCGGTTGTTGTCGATCGGGGGAGGTGCTGGGAAAAGTTGAAAACACAAGCGCAAGCTGCAGTTTTCCGCTGGGTGTACTATCTGGCCGCGGCGCTGGCGGCGACAATTGCACTACACTTGAGGTAGACAATGCCCATACCGGTTGCCTGATGTCATCCTGCAAGTTGATAACGCTTTGCCCAGGCCCGTGATATTGCGTTTCGTAGCCCCACATCGCCTGCCACGTGCGATTGTCGCAGTTGATGTGCCAAACGCAATTAATCACGTTAGGTCGGACAAAAATGACGGGAACGAGTGCCGGCAGCATGAGGGCAAGCAGAACCGCTATCAGTACCCAATTGCGGCGCCGGTTATACCGCAAAAAAATAGAATCCGTTCCTGCTGCAGTCGACGTGGCCTTCTTGCTTACGCAGAGACTAGGTAGCATGCCCGCACGGAGCCTGCTCTTTTGGGAAAGCGCTGCAGCCAGCAGAAGCCCGAAAAACGCCTGATTCAAAAATATTAACGCGTTGTCGTAGTTTTGGGTTCGCGGTCCGATTTCCGCTCCCGTCTCGATGTCGTCGCGGCCGAAGTATACCCGAAAGTAGCCGACGGAATCGCACAGGTTCGCATACAGGTAGGGCACAGCCAAGGTACACATGCCTGCGCTGACCGCTAAGCCTAGTCGCCACAAAAAATGCCGATGCAGAAACCCGCATTGTGGCGGCGGCACCACAACCGGTTTTCGTGGCAATTGGCAGTCTGCGCTGCAGCTCCGCGACAGAGCCTTGTGGACTTCTTTGTTTTCATTTTTCGACACTTGTTCAGCTTTAACAGAAATTGTACTATCAGGCGACCCTTTATTCACAGCTGTCTCGTTCTCCGCTCCCCGTCGCGGCGTTGTCAGATGGCTCTCGGCGGGCTCCGCGAGTGTCATAGCCCAGGGCACGAGCGTCGTAAGGAAGGCGTCTGCGTAGAACCAGGCCGCCATGGGAGCGAAGGCGTTGGAGAGGAGCATCAGCACCTTCATGGTGAGCACCCAGACGATGCCGAAACTGATAAACCACAAGAAAATGCGCATGCTGGTCTCCAACGCGCAACGGCCCTCGAGGAGCAGCGCGACAATTGCCGCAATGCCGTCCTCGTGCGCTTCGCCGTCCTCCTCGCACGGCGGGCGACTCCTCACCATGAAAGGCGCAACGACCGACTGATTGCTGCTTTGCTCCTCATCGTCGTCCTTGTGATCGGTTTTCTTTGCGTAACCGTGGATGAGTGCCACGCCGATGTCCGCTTGCTTGAGCGCGACCGTGTCGTTACCCCCGTCGCCGACCATGCCGACCAAACCGTCCCTTTCCGTCTGCTGGATGTGCAAGATCAACCGCTTCTTGCCGTCCGGTTTCACGCGCCCGAACACCTTGACCCGCTTCATAAACCAGGTGGGAAACGCTCCCTGCGGCGCCAGCTGCAACAAGTGGTCGTACGCCCGCTCGGTCAGTGCCAGATCAGGGCAGTTTTCCCCGCAGTTGGCGCCCTGCGCCCGGATCCACGAGATAAAGTCGGCGTGCCTTTTCGGAAAAGTTTCCGCGAGGGCAAAAGAGGAATCTTCTTCGTTCTGCTCGCGCGCCACGTGTTCCCAGTGCACGTCAGGGAGACCTAAATTTAGTACCTTTTCATCACAAACGAGATCCCCGACGAAAATCCTCTTGGTGTCGTCTAGTAGTTGGCACTCGCGCGCCGCAGTGACGCCCGTGTGCACGGCGTCTCCCGTGATCATGACGCAGTTCACCCCGAACCGCTTCTGCAGCCGGTCGATGACGTACTTGCTTTCCCGCTTGATGCGATTCTGGAAGAGCATCAGCCCGAGAAACTCCAAATCGCACTCCACCTCGTCGCGGTCCATTTTTCTGTGGGATTCTGCGATCGCGGAAGGATTCTGCTCCTGCTGGATCTTCGAGCAAGAAATCGCTGCAGAAGTGGGTTCTTCATCCAGTCGCCGCGTTGCCACCGCTATTACGTAGAAGCCCCGGTTGCTGTAGACCTTTGTCTGCGCGAACACGTCAGCTGGAATTGTTTCGGGTCGGCATGCGGCTGCAACGCGTTCCACGGACCCTTTGCAGAAAATCCTTCGGATTCCGCCAGCTTCTTCCACCAACACCGCTTGTCTCTGTCTTCGTTGATCAAATTGCCACTTTTGCAAAACGGTGACCTGCAACCGCTCGTGCACGACCTCGGAAGTTGTTATGCTAGTACTCGCTGTATGCAGCAAATTATGCGGGCATGCATATCTGCGCACCGCCTCCGCAGCGTCAGCGGCCTCCTGCTGCTCCCTCTCAATCTCATCGGACCACGGACTTCTGCTGCCCGGAGACCGCTCCTCGATAGTTCTAGCACCTTCGCCGGACTGCTCTGGCTCTGCGACTACTACTTCCCAGCTATGGAAGCGTCAGGTTTGAAATCGTCACAGTTGAAATAATTTGTAATGCATAAAATGCGACACAAAAAGTGACTCTATTGCAGAGGACCCACGGGAGGCAGATTATAGTCCTTGTAAGGGTCAAAAGTTGGACTGCTAACTAGCATGACAGAAGGCAGCTCTTTGGCCCTAAACCGCATGACAGACTCGCTTCCAGGACCGGGAAAATTTGTCATGCGCCGACTACAAACTGTAGGTCTAACTGGTATCCGTTTTATGCATGACAAACTATTTCAACTTTGACGATTTCAAACCTGACACATCCATACCAGCCGATGGCTTCGAACATGCTCTTCTCGACCGGGTTGCCGATGACCGTTCCGTCCGCTATATCCTGAGTAAAAACATCCCCACACCAGAGTCAACATGGGGACTTTGCAACACAAACCTAGGAGTTTTAGGAGTCACGCACGACAAGTTTCAGTCCGTAAGGTAGTGCAAGTTAGCAAGGAAGGCCGCATCACAAATCGACCTTCTGATCCTGTTTACAGCATTACAAGTTCCCAAACACGACTGAAAATGCCTGTCATGGGGTTGCGCATCACAAATGTTCCTGTCGTGGCAAATCTGCATGACAACTCTGGGGTGGGGACGTTTTTACACAGGATACGCCAACTGCGTCACCGAGTGGCAAGACGCCAGTGCAAGCAGCAGCTGCGGCGCCTCTGCGTGCAGCAATGCGTTGAACTCCGCCTTGTTCGCACCGTACAAGTGCTCGGCCGAGCCGTCCCCCTGCGAATCCACAACGCCCGCGAACTCCATGCCATCGTGCGTGAGCGTACCGGTCTTGTCAAAGCAAAACGTGGTGACGCGCCCCGCACGAGGAATGCGACTTGTGTCTACGCAAATCATGTTCACCTTCTGCTTTAGTCGCCGTGCGGCCGAAGTGCATGTATTCGAAAGAGACACAGGCAAGAACGGGCTCACCAAATTGTTCATCGTTGTCAAAACCTGGGTGATCAGCAAAATTATCGCGCTGGGTGAGTTGCCGGCTTTCACGGCGAAGCATATCAGCACGAATGGACACCCGATTCCAAGCAGATACCGGAAAAAAATCCCCATTTCATCATCAAACTGGAAGCAATGGGGTTCCACCGTCTGCGCTTCCAAACCCACCACGTCCGCGTCGTGTACCTGGCAGATGGCAGAATTCTGGGAGGGGGCTCCTGTTTGTCTATTGCTCTTGATCGCATCTGATCGGGCAGAAAAAACGCCACTTCCTCCTCCTCCAGAAGCTCCAGTTGGGTCGTAATTTTGACCGCTGTACTCGTCTGGAACGCGAACGCCGCCTGAAGAGTGCAACAAAAGAGCGCGCTGTTCTTCACTCTGCTCGTGCAGTTGAAGATCCTTGTAGCTGGCGCTCGCGCTTAGCGAAAAGTTCTGGTGCGCCGCTGCGTCGCGCTCCAAATCTGTGTGAGAGGACATTTTTCGCAAGGACGACTCGGGGCAACATCCAGGGGACTGCGCGGTCCCGATGCTTACCCGGCTATCGCCGAACTTCTGCAACCGCAAATTCGACGGAGGACTCGTGCTCATCATCTGGGGCGAGGATCGGTCCAGGGGCAATTTCAAACCGCTCCCGCTACCGTACTTCTGCACCGAGTCAGGTGCGGGGCTGTACAAGTTTTCCAGATTTGTACCCGCCGACGTGCTGCCCTGTAGTCCGTTTTCATCGCCTTCGTCAAGAAGAAGATCCTTGCGCAACAGCGGAGAAGACGGGTCTCCTTCCTCCATCTTCAGCTCAAAATTGATGGAGTCGTGCTCTTCCTTGAAATCCGTCGGACTACACACGGAAGATGATGCACCGTGACCGAAATCTTCTGACGCAAAACTCCCATAACTTCGGTGCTGGTGCTGCAGTATTCGAGCGTGTATTTGTTCTGCGGTCGCTTTCTGCTGGAAGTACCGCGACGGCCCCTGCCGCATCTCGGAGGGAGACGTGACATTTGACTGCCCCACGATCCGCGGGTCATTCATGGTAATACCTGGGGAGGAAGCGAGCGGCGAGTAACCGCTTACCAGGCTGCACTTACTGCTTCTTTTACCCGTCGTGCGTCTGCGCGTCGCAGCGAGCTGCAGAGCCGAGTCTACTCGCGCGAGGAATGAAGACCTTTTGCGCTCCCGAAGGCACGACGACCCTCCCATATTGGTGCAGCTCTCCTTGCTGGTGCGGGGACTTTCTCGCATGTCCGCGAAGGAGGCCGTCATCCCGTGGTCAACAAACCTAGGACTGCTCGCGCCGTGCGGGGAACACGCGTAGTACTCACTTTCCGCAATTTGCTCCTCGAGGTCCCCCATATGATGGTCCTCGTCCAGCAACGCTTGTGCGTCAGACCCTTCCAACAGCATTTGTCGTATGAGGCTGCCGCGCGTCGTGCCAACCCCGATCGCGTAAACCACGGCGACACCACCTCCGGAAAAAACTTGCGTGCCCGCGAACAGAATGTGCTGCTTCATGGAGGACAAGTCCGTCACGCGCTGCGGAGGTGCGGAAGTATTGTTGAAAGTAGTCGACATCATGTTCCTCGTGTTCGCTACCTGCATCATGTCGTCTCTCCTCCTGTCATCAGCCATCAACCCTACTTCTATCAACTCGCTCTTCTGTACGCTGAACTTTTGCACGGGTGTCGCCTCCCCGGTCAGCGCGGCCTCGTTCATGATCAGGTTGTCACCCTGCACAAGAATGCAGTCGCAGGTCAAAGTCATCCCCGTGTTCACACGAATGTGATCCCCGGGAACTAAGCACGTGGAGGAGACCTGCACGGGAGTTTTGGGAAACATGAGTCTATAGGAAAAGAGACAGATGAGAGACTTAATGTTTCTCGTGGAACGAACCACAACAGCACACAGTTTCGAAACAAATCGAATCACGTAAAAAATTTTTTTCATCAACAGCATCCTATAGTACTAAGTAAATGCAAATCAGCATGTACCTCCATGGGTGTCGGCTCCGGGTAGATCCAGGATTCGCGGCCGTGGCGCAGTACCATGACTTCCGCGTTGTACTTCGCTAGCCGGTGCACTTGCTGGAGGCTGTCGCGTTTGTTCCTGGCGTTCCACAGACCGCTCAGAACGAAGATGAACTCCCACACCAAGCCGATGTGCAGCTCCTCCACCGACGCCCAGAGCCAGAAAGACATCAACTGGAAAATGTAGAAGAAGCTGCCGGTGAACTCCTCGATGATGCAGGCGCCGAGCGTGGGCTCCGGCACCCCCTGGATCGCGTTTTCGCCGAAAAGCCGCTGCCGCGTGCCCACCACCTCGGAGTCGAGCGGTTTCAGCGGGCTGGGGAAATCTTTCTCAATTCGTTCCCTGTCTCGCATGCTCCCGCACGAAGTCAGTTCCGCGCAGGCTTGCAGCTGTCGGATGCAGGACAGGCTGGTCGGCGCCTTCACGAAGTCTCGCCTCGACGGCGACAGAACGTACCGCTCGCACAGATACCAGAAGAAGCGGTCGCCGGTGTCGGGGCAGTGTTCAACCCGGATGTACCGTGAGTCCGACGGGGCGAAGAACCGCGCGAGGCAGGACTTAGCGTCCTCCTCGTTCCTGGTTTTGCGGTACTGGATGGCCACCAGCTCCGCCCAGTCCAAGTTGTCGCATTTCCGGTAGAACCACGACCGCAAATCCAAGCAAAAAAATCCGATCAAAACCTGAATATAAGACGTTTCGATTTATTTCTCACTGCATGTTGATCCCTGTCATTAACTACCACGGTTCATTTCAGAAGGTTCCTTGTGCTTTTTATCGGTGTGCAAGTTTTGGTGCTAACGTCGCGCTGTCAATTTCTTACTAGTCGTGGTGCTGGAAATCATAATGCCACTAGGCGTAAAACAAAGAAAAGCGTATTGTACCAGTTCTGCAATGCCCCAGAGGGATAGAAACACCGTACCCACACGCAAGGCAAAGGTTTCCTGGTCAGTAATGTAATGGGTCGAGACGCACCAATCGGGCCGCCTTTGTGCGTCGTAGAACACCGGCTCGGGGCAGAGCTCAAGGCCCCAGAGCCCGTTGAGAAGCGCCAACCCAATGTCCGTCTCGGTCCCGCAGTAGAACCCCAGCATGATCAGCGCGAGCGCCACTTGCAACAGGACGGCATAGCCCTGCCAGAAAAGGTACAGGGTCTTCCCAAGCGATGGAAAAACGTAGCCCTGAATCCTCCACGGGCGGTGCCTCGCGCCCGCCTCCAGCTTCTCCAGCATCGCGTTCGCGGCGGCGATGCGCTGCCTTTCACTCTCGTCCGCCGGCGGAGGGGGCAGTGGACGAACAGGCGCATCCTCCGCGGACGGGTAGCTCCTCGGACACCGGACGAACCGGTACCAGTTGGTAAAGGCCAACAGAAATACCAGGACCGCGATCAGGCACCATGAGAAAGGGGAGATGAGATACAGCATGGTCGGCTAGGTAGCGAAATTAGAGAGCCTGCTCGGCGACCTCCTCGACTTCTTTGGCCGTTTCAAGTGTACAAACGTCAGAGTAGAGTGCTCCCTGCGCAGGAAACAGTCCAGGTGATGCAGCTTTCTGGATCGCCACCTACTGACTGTCGGAAGGAGTTTTCGTTTTTCGGCTCCCCGGGCGTCGTTACGCGTCGTCCTTCTTGTGGTTGTAGTCGGGGTCGTCCACATTCAACACAAGCTCCAGGCGTATCGCGCTTGTTCCGAAGCACGGCACCAGCGTCACTTGAAACGGGCCAGGTGGGGTGCCCCACTCTTTACTTTTCCTCTCCTCCCGCACGGCCATTACAACCATTCATTTTGTCTTCAGATACGGAAATCGGACACTGACAAGGAGGTCCGTGATCCCAGTTCCAGATGCAAGGCCCGACCGACCAAAAGTGAAGACTTATCCCGGCGTGAAGGGCTCTACACATTCCGCCCGAGATTCCGTCTCCTCCTCAACCACAGAAAATAGATATAAACACAACGACTTCAATACCAGAGTTCACGGCGATAACATCGTGACTTGACAACTAATGAACTCTACTTCAGATAAATCATGTGACAGATCTAAACCAAAAAATTCGGGCTTTTTCTGGTGTCGAAACAATCGGACACCTTATGATCATGCATCTGCACTAAAACTATCCAACTGAGTGGGTATGCCTACGACAAATCCTGTTCTATCAATTTCGAATAATCCAATGCAAAAATCGAAACAAAGCGCAAGACGAAATTTTGAATTTCGGATCCGCCTCTTCCTACGGTCTACTCACAGCCTCACGAGATCATCAGTTTGGTCAGCATGAGCACAAAGAAACTGCAAAGCCACGAATTCTGCTTTCCAGCTCCCAGCGTGCTCCTGCTGTGTTGCTTTGCATTTCAATTCCTTAGTTATCGCTTTACTTGAACCAGGAATTGAGATCATCGGGTAAAGTAGAAAACCTGAAACTGTGATCTTCGATCTGCTTTTTCACGCTTTCACGAGCAGTTGTGGAGGAACGGATCATCTTCCCTGTGACGAGAGTCAGCAGTCTAACTCCGATAGAATTGCGATCTTCCGCCGATTTTTTGACTGAACCTTCACGATCGATGGTACGTCGGAAGAAAACACGCCGATGAACCACAGTACGTGAGTGGATTCTGTCTTTGTCTGAGCGCTCAGCTCAACGACATTGCTATGGGACTGGGAGGGAACGAAAAGCCAGTTACTTTAGAAAATTGGGGCTGTATGTATTTTGTGATCTGGTGCAGTGCTGGTGCAATTGCTCGCACTTGTGAGGTCGCAATTGTTCCGATGTGCTACGCTTGCTTCTGTGGGGCAAGAGCAAGCACACATATCAACACTGCGATGCAGAAGAGGGATCGAACTAGCTAGTTGATGCTCTAGTAGTGGGGTGTGGAATTTCAGTAACATATCATCTCTTTTAATTTCGCTATACTTTTCAAAGGGAAAAAATCGAGCTTCGATTAGGCTTGTCATGATAAACAAAAAAAAAACTGTGGTGTAAGGTTCTATGCGCGTACGTGCTCTTGCGTGTCTTTTACCAAAACAAAAAAAATGACTTAAGTACAAACTTATTTTACCATGGGCGAAAAAAATCATTGAAAAAAAAAAGAAAAAAGATAACGAACAAAAAGCATCATGAGTGGAAGCATCAATAAAGAAAAACGTAAAAAAAAGTAAGAGGTGCATTTCTTGTCTCCTGTCTGATTATCGTACTTGACATTTGCCACATCCAACGGAACTGACAAAACAAGCCCAGATGTTTTTCTACACCTCGTCGCTGTCCATCGAGCCCCGATTACTAGCAAGCACATCCGCAAGCACATCTGGTTGCAAATCGTCAACAACTTCAACAACGGAAGCTCTAACCGGCTCCGCAGTGACGCTTTCTCGCGTGGAGTAGACCGCGCAGCCGGGAGCACCGTCCTGCTCGACGAATGTTGATCGCCGGCCGCCCGGCCCGGAACGTAAAAATGACGACTCGGACAACTTGGACGATCTAGTAGAGGATCTCCTAGAAGCGGAAGACCGCCGCTTCTCGGATTTCCGCTTGCCGGATACTGCATCACCATCGGTGACGACGGCGAGAGTTGACAGCTCGACGTCCCCCAGCGCTTTCACACTCCCCGCACTACTCCTCGCTTTGGCCTGCTCTATCATGTTCTCGTGTGCGTCAAAATGCGCTTGCAAGCGTTCCTCCTTGACTTTCTCTTGCTTTTCTTTCCTTTGCTCAATTTTTTGCCTGTGATAAGAATCGGCGGCGGGGGCATTGCGTCCGATGGGAGTGCGCTTCTCGGCGTCATTGATGTGGTGGTAGACGTAGTACGCCGCGCCACCCAAGATACAGCCGCAGGCGAGCAAGACCACGAGTACGATCCCGACCACGCTGTCTGGGTCGTCGTTCTCATCGTGGAAACTGGACGGGGTCGCTGTGCCCGTGGCGGTGGTCGGCGTGGGCGTCGGGGAAGGCGAAGGGGTCGGCGCCGGCGTCGGCAGCGTCGGCTGGACCGGCACGCTTGGTTGGGTCACCACCACCGGCGTGGGGCTGGGCGCCACGGTCCCCACGGGAGTCGGGGATGGCGTAGGCGTTGGTGCCGCGGTGACCGGCGGTGTAGGAGCTGGGGCCGGCGGGGCCGCCGTGGTCGTGAAGGTCACGGACGCGACGCTGGTGGCGGGCGACACGGAGGCGACCCCGTAGCTCGTCGAGGCCAGGTTGGTCTGCATGTTGGACTGCAGACTGCTCGCAAAGGTCGGCGTCGTCAACAGCGATTGCGTCGAGGTGGCCTGCGCAACGGGTACGACCGCAGAGAAGGAGACCGTGACCGCGAGGTTGCTAGTAGTGGTCTGCAGGGACCGTCGGTTAGACGAGGACTCGTCCACGACCTGGCGCTCCTCTTCTGCCCGCCTGCGCACTGCCGTCAGCTGCAGGTTCTGAATGGCAGACTCCGACAAACCGCCCAGTGACGCGGCCATGGACTTGATGATTTGCTCCTTCAAGGTCGGGTCCTGCAGCGCCATCGCCGCCGTCATCGATGCCGGAATCTGCAGCGTCATGGGCACGCTCGCGGAGATGATGTCTGTGCCGGCCACGGGAACCGTGATGATGGTCGTGGTTGTGGTGGTCGTGGAGGTGGTGGTGGCGGCCGTGCGAATCAGACACTGTCCCGGCGTCGCCAGCGGTCCCGTTGCGTTCCCCGCGACCGAAGCCGACACCAGCGACATCCGCGAAAGAAATTCCCCCGTGGGCAGCTGCTTGTCGCTGGCCGTGGTGTAGTTCGTGATCACGTTTTGCGCCCACCAATTCACCAAACTGGCCTCGAACTCCTGCTGCAGTGGCTCCGATGAAGAACCCGTGCTGTTCGACATCATTTTGGTCAGGTTGCCAGAGAGAAACATTTGCAGCATTTCCACGGTGTCCAGACCGCGATCCAGCGACAGAGAGAAGTTGGTTTTAAAATACACGTACGAAAACACGCTGCCCGCGGCCGCGAGAGACCGACGGCGCTCCTCGGCGTCGGCCAGCAGCAGATTGCGGTCCTCCGCGGCCTCGACGATCGGTGCCACAAGTTCTTGCAGTGTCGCTGCATCTTCTGCATTTTTCATCCCGGAGGTCGTGTGAAGAAGAGCACCATCATCATCACGTCCCAACCGACGTCGGAACGGCAAAGCCAGGTGACTTGCACTGGTTTGCCCGGCGTAGTCGAGCTCCTGGTAGGTGAGCGTCACGCCGTCGGACAGAAAGGTTTGTGTGGACTTCAGGTCGTAAAAGCTGTACGCGACGAACTCCCCCGTCGCCGGCAACAAAAGTGCGTTCTCGATCTGCTCGTCGAAGCGGAAGCTCGCGTCCACCAACTGCGATTCGGATGGTGCGTGCCGCTGCCCGTCGAGGAGAAAGAGGAAGTTGACGCTGGCGTTGTAGGCCAGGGTCTCGTCCGTGCAGGTGAACACCTCCACGTTTTTGGTGTATTCGCTGACCGTGTTCGGGCCGTACAGCACCGGTCCCTTGGTTCTCAGCAACGGCGTGGTCATCATTTCGGCGTCGGTGAACTTGGTCCCCGGCAGCCCGGTGAGGGCAGCGATGTATGCAGCCGACGGGAAGCTCGTCGAGTTCAGGACCAAAGCGAAATAATTCTGCTCGGCCGCGGTGGTCGCGAAGGTGGCTTGCGCCTGGGCGTACGCGCTCGTGTCCTCCGGCACGCCGGTGGCGCGGAACTTCAGCACCATCTTCCCCGCCACCTTGCGCTCAACGAAAGCCTCACTGAACGCGAAGGTGTCCACCATTTCGTAGTAGGTCTCGTTGTCCGGCCCGAGGCTGGTATTCACCGGCGTGGTCACGTTGTTGGCGGACGTGAGCAGAAACTCGAGCTCGAAGGAGTGCAGGTGGGTCGCGTTCACCTCAGTGAAACCGTCCAGGAACGCCGTCTGGACGTGGGTCTTCATGTAAGTGTTCATGTCCGCTTCTGAGACCGTGACGTGCGTGAGCCACTTCATCTCCAGCTCTAAAATCACAAAGTTGTAGGTAAACTCGCAGGTGTCGGTGGCGCCGTGGTCCCGCAGGCTGCCCGCGGTGGCGCGGCCCTCCCGCAGGAGGAGGGTGGAATCCCCGAAGGACGACAAACCGAGTAAAACCTGCTGCTCGAAGGCGTCTTCGAAACGGCTTTTCGATGCTGTTGCGTTGTTGTTCGCGTCGATCGCCTCCTGCCCCGGCACGTCGGTCGCGTTGTAGAACTGGCAGTCCAGACTGTTCACGCCGTACGGAATGCTGTACCACTGCATGGCGCCGCCTGCCGAGGTGCTCCCGCACGCCTCTTTCATCAGCGTGCAGCGGTTGGGGTCCTCCGTGCCGGCGTACCGGTAAAAGCCCTTGCACGCGGGCTCGGCTTGGCACAGATCGTGGCAAGCCTCCACGGTCACCACGTTCGTGTGGTACTTGAGCGCGCGCGCAGCGATGTCCGAGCAGTGATGCCCCACCGCAGCGCCGTACTGACAGGCTGCATTACCGTTGGTGGGGAGGAAGTCCGCTGTTGAGTTGTAAAGGATTTTTGTTTCAGGATTTTTGATCCGGGCCAGTTGGAGGCACTAGCGATATGGCATTGTACGTTTGAATGTTGACTCTTGAGCAAGATCATGATCTGGAGATTTCTTTGATGACAATGAGTCGTGAGAAGACAGAGTTAAAGTTATGCCCTACTTTTATACGTTCTTACACAAAAGACCCTATAAAAACATTAACATGTACTTTTCTCCCGACAGACTGAGTTTTGGTCGGCGGTTGCGTACGGCTTGCAGCTGTTGGCTGACGGAACGAAGGACAACGTCCGCCCGTCAGATTCGGTGCACACATGATCGCGAACACCGTCCCCATCGCAGTCGTGGTACTCGTAGTTTTCCCGGTTCGCCGCGCAGAACCGGGCCGGCACGGGACACACGGATGAGGCGAGTGCGCCCAGCATGCACACCTTGGAGGCGGTCTTGAAGGTGCTGAGCGGCACCGAATTGGTGGGCAGAATGTAGGGGTGGAATCTGGTCGAGCCCGTGACCAGGGTCTCGGAGCGCACGCTGTGCAGGTAGCACCTCGCGGTTCCGCGTTCAACCCCGTGGTCCCACCCGACACACAAAGCCTCCACACTGCACACCTGCGAGCACTTCCCCACGTCGGCTTCCGGGAAGGAGTAGGTGTTGGTACACGGCCTGCCAGAGCAGTCACTGAAGTAGCCGTGCTGGGTCGCGTCGATCTGCAGGTAGGTGAAGGTTTTCGGGAACCGCCCCGTGACCGCGCAGTCGGGAAACGACGGCTCGTCCTCCGGCGTGAACCCGGGAAGCAGTGGGTACTGGTGCCCGAAGGTGTTGGCCAGGTCGTCCAGCATCTTGTCCCGGTTCGCCGTCGTGTAGTCCAGCGTGATAGTGTAGTCCACCAGCAGCGTCAACGGCTGCATCATCATCGACGGCGACGTCGTCGGCAAACCGGTCGGCGACGGGTAGTTGCCCGCCAGCTGGCGCACATTCACGGCGGCGGTTGCGGTCGCCAGCGAAAACGCGGGCTTCTGCAGGATGGTCACGTCCAGGGACGTGACGGTGGGAGCGATCACGCCCTCGTACACTTCGTCACCCGTGGTGCCCGCGGTGAACCCGCGTACGATTCCGGCCGGGAACGAGGTGGCTGCCAGCGAGAGCAAATCGGCACTGTTCAAGGTGGCGTTGCCCGCGTTCGTGCCGACCCGCAGCATTTCGACGGTCATCTTCGCGGAGAACGTTTGGTAGGTCCGGCACCCTGTGAGTGCGGGATCCGAACCCGCCGCCGCTTGCGCCAAGAGTACGTCGAAGTTGCCGGAGACTTCGACCAGCGTCGCCGACACCGTGGCGGACTTGATCGTGGCCGAGCCCAGCGCAAGCGTCAGCCCCACGGCGGCCGCTTGAGCCAGTTGCGTGGTCAGACTCGTCTTGAACGTACTCGCCATGGTGCCCGCCTCCGAACCAGACACGTCCACGCGTTTGGCCAAGGTAGCGCGCGTGCTCGCGGCGGTGGTGTCGGCCAGCAAGATCGCGAAACTCACCTTCACGGTCGCAGACGACGCCTGGAGGCGACGCGGCGCGATGGAAATATCGTCCGACGAGGAAAGCAATCGGCGACTTGATGCCACCAATGGCGCAGGAAAGGAATACACGACGCCCTGCACGTCCAACGCCGTAATATCCGCACTGCCGATACCTGCCGCAATAGCGACGCGGGTGCCTGTTTATTTTTGTATTGCAACAGAATCGTCGCGGTAGCGCTATGTTGACACGTGCTTGGCTTGGCCTTCAAGTTATGGTTAATCTGAATCTGTCTGATCGCTGTACAAAAAAAAATTCGTAAATGACTACTTAAGTACATGATCTTCATCGTCACCATAGATTCATTATCATTTGCTTGTTGCATTCACCAAAAATGAAGCTATACGCTCAATGAGCCCCATGTCCGCGTTCAGTTCCGCTGCCGTTGTGGATCCCAAGCCTTCAACCGTGAGTGTCAGGTCCGAATAGAACGCCGAGTAGGTGTCGTTCGCGGTTGCATTCACGTAGTAATTCGCGCGGGCGGCTGCTGCCGCGGCTAGCAACGTGTCCGTGGCATTCAAGCGGATACACGAGTAGGGCTGAAACGAGTAGCGCACCGGATTCACAGGTGACGGTTCCAGATACGACTTTCGCAGGATCAGCTGGGAGTCCACCATGGAGAGCCCGTTGTTCATGGCAGTCGAGGCGTTCATCGCTTGGAACAAGGCCGGGTCCGACTTTGTGTTCACGCCCGTCGGCTCCTCGATGGTGACCACACGCCCGGTTTTGTCCAGTACGGCCGCCACGCGCGCGACGGTCGCGGTGGAGGGCAGCGACACCTGAAAGCCGATGCGGCGGTGCATGTCCATCCGCGTGATGATGACCTCGGTGGTGTTTTCGTGCACCAGCTGCACTCCGTTGGCATCCGTCAGGTTCACCGTCTCCGTGAAGTTCACCAGCGTGTAATTCACGTGCGTGTCGTCCATTCGGAGCACGTTTCCGTAGTTCTGCAGCAGCGTGAACGTGTCGAAAAGCACGGTCTGCGTGTTCACCGCCGGAAACGGCGTCGTCATCGGGGAAACGGCGGACCCGCTAACACGCTCGTGCAACAAAGTTTCGGTCGCAATCCCGTTGTCGCGCAAAATGTCCAGCACCGCGTTCCCCAAGATAGCCGGGGTCGCGAGCTGGGCGTGCATCGCCTCCGCCTCCGCTTCCGAAATCAGCATGTCGTGCGGGTTCTCGGCGGGCAGCAGTTCGTGGTATCTCTGGAAGCTGAACTGCACTTCCACGTCGTACATGTCGTAGGGGAACCCGCACTTGAGCTCGAAACTGCACTCCGGCAACGCCGTTTCCGTCACGTTGGGCGCAATCAAGTTATCAAACGCCGTGTCCAGCTGCACGGTCTCGCCCGAGGCCGGTGTGAACAGCGTCGCCAGCTGCGCGTCGAACGAGGTCCTGAAGGCGGCTTTGAACTCCGAGTGCGTACTGCCCGCGTCGTCATACAGTGCCAACGCCAGCTGCTCCGCCATCACGCTGTCCGCCTGCGAATTCGCGTTTCCGCGGAAGTTGCCGCTGCTGTCGACGATCACACTGGGGAACGCCAGCCGCAAAGTGTACTCGATCGTCAACTTCAGCGTGTGGTAGTACTTGCTGAGCACCGGCCCCGTCGGCGCGAGGGCCTGGACCGTGACGGTCCAGTTCGAGAATCGGTCGATGTGGTCGAACACCGTGGGATCAGAGGTGGTCAGGTTCAGGGCCAGAATGGCGTCCAGCACGGCTTTCTTCATCACATCCTGCGTCAAGGAAGTCACAATCCGGTCGTTCTCGGTCGTGGCCGTGGTGGCCGCCGTGCGCACCAACTGAGGGTACAGGGTGCCCGAGATCTCCGTCACGTTCACGTTGCAGGTTTTGTTTTCACGCGCAGTCAGCACGGCATCTTGAATAGAAGTGTACTGCTTGGTGGTGACGGGGTAGGTGACCGCAGTCGGCAAACCGGCGGCCACGTCGGATCCGATGGCAGCCAGTTCGCGTCGGGAAACGCCGTCTTGAGCATTGTCCTCCTCGTCGTTCGCGAGCCAAACGACACGATTGCTGTCCGCAGCGAAGGTAGCGGGGTTGTAGTTCGGCTGCAGGTAGAATTGCCCCACTTCTGTCTCCTGTCCGGCTTCCTGCCCACTGACCACTGCTGGGCTCAGCCACAATGCAGTTGCGACGGCGCAAAGCGCAAGCCTCTGCAGGTAGGATCCTGCAATGGGTCCTGCTTTCATCGTGGTCCCACTGCAACTGCTAGTCTTCCACATGGTCAGAGCCAGTTCCCTCATGATCGGTGGGTCCGATGAGTTTGAGTAGAGCGAAAATGGCAATTTGAAAAGAAGATCATCAGGAAAATCTTCTTGTCCGGGGAAAGAGAAGAATTTGTGAAAAATCAAACACGAAAAATTAAAAACTGAATGGTAGGAAATTAATGTATTGGGATGAGGGTGACACGAAACTGCGCAGTATGAAATGAAAGAAAGCATGAAAAAGTGCCATACTCCGGCGTTTCTTCAAAAAGGTATTACTTTAGTAGTGCGTTGTACGATGACGAAATCGCTAAACCGATCATTCTGAAGCACGCACGAGGATGCACGATAGAAACGTTTAATATCTGACGTACGAAAGAACCGCCACTGGGCAATTGGACGATAGACCGACTTTCACTTTACTTCCGCAGGTGCATGAAATCTAAGTTGTACGACAACGACAGAAGAGCGCCGAGCTGCTGCTAATCCTAATGCTATTCCTCCATACTAAGAAACCGATGCAAGGACGAAACCGACATCTGGAATGTAATTGAAAGTTTGGTGACGACAACAGGCAGTACCGACGGTATGAGAGAGATAGTCAAGCACCGAAAGCAGTTCTAATACTCGTGTTCATAGGCGTAGGGTAGTGCAGTCTAGAAAGTACGAGGTATATATAAAGCAAGAAGAACTGGCTACAATGTCCAGGCTCTCGCGAGCTGCGTTGGAGACGCTGAGTGCGGCGTCCTTCGACGCGACAATGGAGGATGCAGTTTCTCCAAGTTTCTCGAGTACTAGCGCTTTACGCCTTGGTTTTTTGTCGTCGCTACTGCCAGCCAGAAAATGTTGCGCATCAAGATTCACGATCACGAATGCGGTTTGGAGGCATAATGTTTTCGCTCTCTGTTTCCCTGAGCAAGTGCATCAAAATATACTCTGGCCTCAGGTTCTGGAACTTGCGCCAATCGCGATAGCGTACCCGGGCCGCCAAGGAAGGATCAGCTATACTGCGATAAACACGCACAACATCCTCGACTCTGCATTTGAAGAAACCAATTGCGCCGCCCGGATTCATCGCTCGCACGCCTTGCTGCGCGCGGACGTCGGCTGACGTCGAATTAGCGTCATCCCTTGAAAGCATATCCCGTATAGAGTCGAGCTCTGCAAGAAGCTGCTCCACGTCTCCGTCTCTCGCCGCCCTTATGCTCCGAGAGGCTGCTGAACCCGCTTCTCTGCCTCCCGGGCGCTTCTCGAAATCGATCCTCACCAGAGCGCGCGGCTCGTTTTTTCTCTTTGCCGAGCGAATCAAGGGCGTGCCAGAAAGCTCTCGGGTCGCTTTTTTGTTCTTCTTCTTCCCATCTCGCAATAGCCTGTCTAGACCTGCTTTGTTCAATTTCGGAGGGGGCATCAGCACTTTCATCAAATCCTCCTCCATTTTCCGTGCATCGCTGCTCATCTTCGGATCCCGACCGCCAAGACCTACTTGGCCCGCTGACCTGTGCTTCTTCAAGCCACGGTAGATATGACACCCCGGCGGTTTTTTCTCCGATGTTACTGTTAACGTGCATACTGTTCTTTCTACCTTGTTTCTACCATGAAATCTTCTGCTAGATGACAAAACGTCGCACCAAAATATCTACGGACAATCTTTCAGGCTGCCGATGGAGTCTCGTCTCAACATTCATGGACCCACAGCCACACCAAAAAGGATAAATAGAAGTCTTGGCTGTAAATCTCTCTCGAGAACCTGTCAGAAATTCACAAAACGCCGTTGCAGAGCCAAGCAAGTAGTCCTTTTCAGTACAGATAGATACTAGCGGCTAAGGGTTGATCACAACTGCATCTTCAAAAAACCAAGCAGTGGAGCTGTAGTATACCTTCAAGATAGATTTTCACGTATATTCATCACGATTCCGTCCACCACTATGTCCGGGAACGACTGGCTATGCCAAGCAGTAAAAACAGACACCCGGCAGTCGACAATCGCATGCGCACCAGCTGAGAGTGCAGGAGGTGCAGCCATTTGATGCGTACTCAATAGCAATAGTCGTTTCATTTGAGCGAGGTTCCAAAGCGCGCAGGCTCGACACTTAACACCACTCAAGTGTAGTTCGCGAGGGCTCCTGCACGAGACGGAGTTTCAACTCGTAATATTCGGTGCAAAGCTTCACAGCAGCATGCACACAAGCACAGCGTGATTTTCATTTTTCGGGAATAAATCGACGAGAATATATCTTGCCTGTCGTGCTGAATTCGTCCTCAAGCGCTACCGAATCCCAATATTGGGTTCCCGCGGCGCTTGAGCGCAAGCAGCACGTCTTTGGGCTGCACCGTATTTCTTCGCGCATGCTTCATGTAGGCCAACGCGTCCCCCAGGGTGGCCTCTAAAAACAGGGCCATGGCCACCCGGCATTCCTTGTAACTGCCGCTCGAAATCCGGCGGACCCCGCCGCGGCGGGCCAGGCGTCGAATACTGGCTCGGGTAAGACTCCTCATGCGGTCCTCCCGGGTTATGGCGAGTTTCGATCTGTCTGCCTGGAGCGCGAAGGACGCGTTTGCCTTCTGCAGTGCGGCTTTGCTAAAGTGGGTCGCTGCAGCCCAGGACGTCGAGGAGCTGCTTTTCATCAGGTTCTTTTGCGGCTGCTTGACGTCCTTGTCGTAGCATGGTAATTTTTTGTCCGCCAAGTCTAGCCCGAGTAGCCCTCGGCTGCCGTACTTCTTCTGTTGCTGGTCCACGTAATTCGCGTGGTCAATCTTCTGAAAACTCTCCAGCAGACTCTGGTTGGCGGCGTGTCCCTTCTTCATCGCCATCTTGCTTTGCGCATCGAAGGCGTCGTACAGTGGGGCCTTTTTGTCGTTGTAGGAGTACGAGAAGTTGATGTCCTTTTCGCGCAGGTTCTGGAACGACGTTTTTATCCCCTTACTGTCAATGGTGTAGTGGTCGACATCCTTTGCCACCAGTGCATAGTTATTTATTCCCTGCTGGGCTCCGATGTTGTGATCGAATGGATGCGAGTGCAGCTCCTCCTGCTGTTGGAACTGGTGCATCGCCACCGCGGCTTTCTGTTTCGAGTCCTTCACACTTATGGGCAACTTCAGGTCCGCTTCGGTCCACGCCATTTTGTCAAATTTGAAATCGCCGTCGTGGGGGTCAAGCCCCTTCTTGTGCTTGCCCGCCGGATAATCGTCCATTGTTGCTCTCGATATGATCTTGGAGTTCGTACGTACTTGCTCCTTGTGTTCTGTTCAATATCAAAGAGAAGTAGTTTTTGACTTGTTACGTACTTCCTAGATTTTCAAAAGAGCGTGCTCAAAGACATGTATGTATAGTATGCTGTAAAAACCTATGCGCATCACGCCCGAGACCGGGTGCTCGCGTGATGTGTAAGTAGTTGTCCGTCAAGAAAAAGAGCGAAAAACCAAGACTGTCAACATTGCACACGATCTGGTGTATCTGTTTCTGAATGGTAAACCAGAATCTCTACCAGAAAAGCTGCCGGCTGGCGCCATCGAAAGATAGACGCGACAAAAATCATGAAAGATACCGCCAGGATCGAGAAAAGCAAAAGTAGGAGCACACTGAAGTTCTTGCATGGAAGTGTTGCGTTGAAAATGGAAACACCGCCTCAGTGATGTGGTGCTGTTGCAGTCTACACATTTTTCACCATTGTGTTTGTTCTCTTCTGTCATCTGCTCGTGCGCTCATACGCCATGCTTGTAGTTACGGAACAATCTCAATCGTTCTTGTGGACGGAAAAAACAAGTCGTGAATCCACCGATTCATCATCTTCATCGTGACCACGACAAAACCTTGCCTTGCCCTAGCGCCCGCTGAAACCCGCGAGGCGCGGCGGCGGAATCTGGACCTTCCGCAGTGCCTCGGTGTGAGAGACCGCCGCGTTTCGCAGCGTGCTCCGCAACTGGTCCAATTTTTTCAGCGTGTCCGACGAGGCCTTCTCCGCGCGCTCCGCGGTGGCCTTGGCACTTGCCGTTTCGCTCTTCTGCTTGATTAGTTCTGCTTCGACATCGACGATTCGCGGAGCAGATCCTGCGGTGTTGTGCAGTGAGTGACTAGTGGATCAAAAAAATTTCAATGCAGACACAACAAATTCTGTTTTTTGGAAATTCAAATTCATTACACTGCCCGTTTGTTCAATCTTCAAGTGATCATGTTCCTGGTCCTCGTCTTTACAAACGGAGCACTAAAGTACCGCTCCCCGACGCAGAGAAAGGAACGCTGCCCGAGAAAGATTCCGCTTCCACCGGAAGCGTACCCGCGTTTTGCACGATTGTCGGAGGTGCCTGCCGCAGTGCCATGGCTGGATAGCACGCACCCGCAAGAACGAGGGAAAAACACTTCCAGGACACCATCCTTTCGTGTCAAGATCTCGACGCTCCAGCCATATCCTACGCTAAAGGAAGTTGATCTGCGTGTGTGCATCTTGTGACAGCACAATCCACCACTCGGTCACGCCATCTCTCAGGTTGGTCGAACATGCGCTGCTCTTGCAAGAGCAAGAGGTAAAAAGCGGTAAGCAACACCTGCTCGTGGTCGTGTGCAATAATATTCAAGGGTTGCTACAACGAGGCCATAATTCCCGCTACGCCTTTTATTGATGCATCGGATCCGCAACAAGCAGCTGCTGACGCCCCTACAGAACGGAGCCTTCTGCCTGCAAGCCGCCGGCGGGATTCTGCGCAGCCCGCAATTGTGCCGGGCGGTAATTCAAAGCTGAGGCCATCAGCACCTTCTTCTCGGAAAGCAAGGCCTGACACCGTGGATGGATTTTCTCGTCTCGGTCTGAAGGCGGACAGAGGTAAAAGGATTCCTGTCTCGCAGCAGCGGTCGGGCTCGTCGAGTTGCCCGAGGTCGTGTTCGCAGCCAATCGTGCAGCTTCCCCCAAAAAATCAACCGCCGCTCCTTCTGCTTTGCCTTTATTTGCTTCTTGACTCTTCTCCTCAGGCGGCACGCCAGAAAAGACGCGCGAGTCGTTGTTGGCCTCCCCCCGTGCGCGCTCACGGGCTCGAAGTAGCCTTTTGATTCGAGACCGAAGACCTGGGCCGTAGAGGCCTGCCGCCTGCCCCTGGTCCAAATCGAGATCGGCAACACCCCGGGTCCGCGACGACCAGCCCAAAACAGTCACGTCCAGGCTCGGATCGAGGTTCACCTCCCGGGTCAAGAAACGCAGCAGGATGAGCGGAAAACCGACCAGCACGAAGGGCACCGAGCGTGTGAAGATGCGAACTAACCAACGACGAGGTAGAACCCACTACGAGTAAAAACAACACCTACCGGAGGTGGTACAGATATGCAGAAAGGTATGTCTGTGTGTGTGTGCCAATACTGGCATCAAGGGCCCTGGGGTTCATTGTGTGAGTGAATGTCGATGGCACAAGGCAGACCGGTAAATCTGGGGCCTTCGGGAACCTTCACCATTCTTGCCGTGGCGTTCGTGCCCGGCTTAGCCTGTTTCAGGTTCAGTAGTCATCTTACTCTAGTAGAATTGAACTAGTGACGATCGTGCCCGTTTAGGTGTGCTTTGGATCTTTGGAGTGGATCACAGTTCTTATCGTTGGTTAAGGATTTATGTGTCATAGAGCGACTGTACAGCTTCCACGTGAAGTACTGCTCACGGTCGATGAAGCCCAGCGGATGCATCTTGTCGTACATGGCCGCCGCTGGATCTTTCGTCAGCAGGGCGGAGATAGTACCCAAGCCTGCTTTTACGTTTCTGGCACCACACTGCTCTGCGTTCTTGTTCTCTGTCGTGATCGTGTTCGTGATCGTGATGTCGGATCTCGCATGAAGATTAGTACCTTCGTTATCGCTGTTTGTGAAAATGCTGACCCCTCCAACAGGATTGTCGTGGCTGTCTGCCGATTTTCGCGCAGAAGCTTGCTTGACCACTTTGCTGTACTTTTGCATCCATAAGTTCGTCGGAAACAAAAACGGCTCACACTTCGCCATCGCCATCGCAGAACCACCAGGCCCGTAGGATTCTTCAATGGTGGCTTTCAGTTCGTGTTCCTCTTCCGCTGGCTCCACCCTTGTTCGATTTACATCGAACAAGAACTCGTGGCCGGTTGCGCTTCGTCCCCCGTAGTATGGCCGCCATTCTGCGCCGATCTTGTGCCTCAACGGGTGGAGAGAGTGGAGGATTTGGACCCTTGTGTTTGTGCTTCCAACAGGACTGGTCACGACAGCCTCCTGTGGTTGTGCGCCACCAGATACAACTTCACTGTCCTGCTCGTGGTTCGTTCTTACGAAGCTGCTGGGTCCCATCATACGTTGCCAGTACCGAAACGGCAGCTCTTTCTGGAATTCCGCGTCCATCTTATCAAACCACTGCTGTCTGTCGTTGAAACGAAGGTCCCTCCCCCGAAAAACACGTTGCCAGTTGCCATCGAGAAAGGTTGCGTCAGCCAAGTGGCTTGGGGCGATCCAAAACTGGTCATCGAACAGCGTGCACAGTGGCACCTTGTGTCTCAGCAGGTAATCACGGAAACCGTTCATGTGGCTCGAACGCGACTTCTGCCAGGTATCCATCTTTCGAATGTGCTCCAAAGGGGCCGCGACCTGCCCATCCGCGGTGACGTGGGTGTTGCCTTCCGTTGACGTCGCGAGACTACACTGACGTCGATTTTCGGTCTGCATCTTCGTATCAAACTCCTGCTCAAGTACGGCGTAGGTGTAGTTCAGTTGCTTTGGAATCATGCACTCGAATTCGGTCCCGAAAATCAGCGCTCTTTGCGCAGCGCACTGCTGGGTCATCCACATGGGCGTTGCATCTTCGAACAGCCCGGGTTCCGTTGAAACCACTCGCACCGCACGAATTGCAACTGCATTACCCGGCAGCGTATGCAGCGGTGGCACGTCGTCAAAAAACACCAGATCAGGTCGAGCACGAATGAAATGGGTAAAATACGTACTGTCGGCTCCGCGCGTGCTGGAAACTAAATGGGTCTCGAACTGCTTCACCGCGCGATAGCACCGATCCAGATGCTCGAACTGGCCGTCGAAATTGACGAGCTCCTGACTCCCATGGTCATCGGGGTCCACCACATGCTCCGTACTGCGAGGTCCAGCACGACGGAAGCGATTCAATGCCTTGATTTCCACACTGTCCCGTAGCTCTTGTAGCAACGCTTCGCTGTCCTTATCAGCACTGGCGGTTGTGTTATGTCGCTTATCAAATCTGAAGTGCTCGTACCAATACTGCATTTCTTCGTCAGATGCAGAAAGACCTACTGACGCGTCAGACGCAGCAAGCTCCGGATGGCTACACAGAAACACATGTAAAGACGCTCTGTCACCCGTTCTCCGATTCGTAGCTCGAAGCGCTGGCAGAAGGAAGCGCAAATATCTTCCGCCAACAGACCATACCTCCTCGAAGTTAACGGGCCGATTTCCGCGAAGATCCATAAATCTTTTCTCCGGTGATCCACACAGGATGAGCGCGATCCGAGAAGTTGTACGCGTTTGCACTTTTCTGTCAGTTCCTAGCTGGCGAGAACTGCTCACTGTCGATACGTTGTCGACATCCGCTGCAGCCGCAACGGTTTCGCTGTGATTTCCAGCGACCTGCCGTCCAGATGGGCCCCAGAAACGCTTCCGGGCCATCAGCGAACGCCCGGTGCTCATCTGTGCAGTGACGCGGCTTCTGAATGGTGGGAGCTCCGACGCCTGGTTTTCCACTCCGAGACGCTCAACAACATCAGTACTTGGTTTCTGTGGTCGCACGCGATGTGCATCAAAACTCCAAGTTAGTGTTGTTTCGAGTGTGGCATCGTATTCCAAATACAGCGGAAGACGCTCCGCCGGTAAAAGCGTTGACTTTATCGCACTTTCCGCGCGGCCCTCATATTCTTGTGAACGACCCATAACACAGCGGAGCAACACAGCAAAAACGCGCAGCATGCACCACATGATCGACGTATGCGCTTCTACGCGTCTGGTTTGTAAAAGCTACGCTACACGAGAAAACACATACATTTCCGGTTCGCAAAAGCGATCTTGCGAGCATACTTACGCTACGCTAATATGACCGCACGCATAGAGTTACGAACAACACCACGACGGTGTAGTGACTGGGCTTATTCTCCACTGTGGAGAAATCGCTCTATCGTAAATTGTGGACTAGACCTCTAGATATGCCTTCGCACCATACTCGCACATCAAGGGCGCGGAGCTGCAAGTTAGTATGTTTTTCGACGAGCTTGCACAGACCAGATTGCGACGTAAAGAGAAAAGTAGACTAGCGATGACCGCTACTAAAAGAGAAAGACTAGGCAACAGACATATCACTACTGTGGTGAAAAATGACTGAAACAGGAGCCAGCTTCGATTCGCTTGCCGTTGTAATTCAGGTTCTAGATCATGAGCAAAGGCCACTGCACACACACTAGCGCCCCGTGTCTGCGTTGTGCCGAAACGACGAGAAGATTTTCTCACTACAATCGCAACTAATCACATAGACATAAAAGCAATGTTACTTTCGTGGAACGGGTGCGCCTGTTGGGCCTCACTTTTACATAGCCGATCTGCAAAATCACATACGAACCGTGACTGCGTACCATATCGATTACATGTACAGCTTCACACCGCGGCGGTGCAGTGCCGGTGTAAGACGAAACACGTGTCAAAACCGAATTTCTTTTTTCCTGCACAGAACGGAAAACACGCAAGCGAAGCACCTGGACCAGACTTGCGCAAAACCGAATTTACATCGCGACCACCTGACTGCACATGTATTCACGTTTAGGACTCGAGAGGACATTGGTTTCTTCAGACCGATATCGGTGAGATCGGTCGCGACGTACCGGCAATTGACATCTCATCTGCTTGAACACCAAAGCCACGACGCGCACCCGTGCACTAGCGGGCTCCTTCGAAGAAGCACAAAAGATTGTATTCTCGGCTATGGCGCGTCCACAGGAGAGTATCATCTACATGAGCCTCGCGAACTATGGAGAATCATCCACTTGTTCCAGCGAGTCCACACTTTGCTTTACGCAGGATAGCAGAGGAGTCATCGTGTGTGCTCAGCGTCACAATCTTGACGACTCTCGACATATCAAGCTTGCAAGTGGCAAAATCTTATTCCCATTCTCAATTGGAAACTGTCGATACGATGATGCCGAAGTGGTCGAATTAGGCCTTGTAGAAGGACTTGACCTTGTTGTACAGGGCCTGTTTTGTGAATTTTGATGACGTACTTTTTCGATTTGGTGAGCAGGAGCAAGAACGGCAAGACAAATCAGCACGACGTAAGTATACGTATAGCTTATGTCCATTTCGCGACAACGTCGCTCTCGCAGACTCACACCCGAAATCCATGCAAACGCATATTATCATGAAGGCAAAGTAGAAGGCGCTAAGTACCTTTCCCTGGGCGGTCTTGCCACCGACCGGGCAGAATCCCTTGATGCCCAAAGCCTTGCGGGCCTTGGAGGTGGCGACGCCCCAGGCCGCGATCTTCTTGTAACCCTTCCTCTTCTTGGCGGCGGCGGAGGCCTTCGCGGAGACGACTTTTCCGGACTTGTTCTTCTTCAAGTCGCTCTTCTTGAGACCACCGGAAGTCTTGACCTTGGTTCCCTTGAACACGGAGGACTTGGCGCGCTTGCCCTTCGCGATGGTGGACTTCTTCATGGCCATCTTCTTCATGCCCATCTGTTTTAATTTTTTGCCTCATTTTATGGTTTGCTTCTGTGCCAAATTCCATTTGACTGTCCAGATGAGGAATCATCGCTTTCCTTCCAACAAACATTGTCATTCGCTTTTCTCCCAACAAACATTATCGCTTTCGCTTTTTATGCCCCACAGCAACACGAGAAAATGCACTACATACTAGCATTTGAAAAAAGTATGGAAACGTTATTTTCTGTACCTTCATTGACATCTTCATGGACATCATTTTCATCTTCATGGCCATTTTCATGGACATCATCTTCATCATCTTCGCCATTTTGGACGGAGTTTTTTTGTGTTCAGAAAACACAGATGCTGCTCGACGAATTTCCTACGGTTTTTTAAATTGGGAAAGGAATTACAAACGCCAAACGCTAAATCGCAAACATTGAATCGGACCTCCACCGATGTCTTGGCAGCACAAAAACAACTTACTCAATGCTGTAAACGGAAACTAACCAAGCCTCGAAACAACGGTGTGCAGCGAAAAGTCGTGTGTTCAATCTTAATGCACGTTCTTCGTATTTCCACTTTATTGCACACTTCAACAACTCCAACGCGTGACGAAGGGGACTTCTGTTTATCAGTATGATCGTCACCCAAGCACAAATCAAAGCAAAGAACGTAAAATACCAAAACCGGTGGAAGACGATGAGAACACAGAGGCTCTGCGAAATCAAATATCCTTTTCGGATTAGCAAACCTGCTCGTCTTGTAGTTTGGTTTTCGATGGATTTTCAAAGCGGTTACTGACGTTTCTATGAGCTCATCATGTAGGTACAAAGTCGCTCAGCACAGTCTGTGTAGTGGCTCGCATATTTCTAAATGTGGAATACATATCCCGCTATGAGCGTTTGCGCCTCCTGATCGTATGTGTGTCAACAATGAAGGTGAAGATACAAACCAGTCCTGCTGTTCACAAAGCAAAACCATAATGAGATATTCGCTCGTTGTTACTAAAACTCTCAATCAAACTACTGTCCTATGATTTTGAACGTGTGCTGCTTCAATGGCAAATGTATATGCATATGGGTGCTTAATTTGTTGACCGCCATGACTGGCCAAAAATACACGATGAAGTGTTACTAATTAAACTGGAAGAACCAGCTGTGCCAAGGTTGTATCATCTTAATTTTTATTCCAAAATTTACGTTTGCTCTCTACGCAGAAGCGAGATAAATCTTCGAAGCGATACGAGACTGCACAATCGCTTGCTCATCGCCAGATCGGACGGACACTGGGCACGGACCGGTTCCTGTTCCTCGCGGTCGTGTTCGGTGTAGAAGGACCCGATGACGGCGGAGTTGGACCGGAGAGACGCCTACCGCGGCGCGGCTGAGGTGTTCGACTCGGCGTCGATAGAGCAGGTGTAGATCGTCCGCTACCCAACGGCGATGGTGTAAATGGCATCTGCCCACCAGGAGGTGGTGTCACCAACCCGCCTCTCTGCATCCTACCAGGAGGTGGCGTCAGCAACCCGCCACCTCTCTGCAGCTGCACCACATCACTCGCGAAGGAACTGTCTGGCAAGCCCGATACGTCGGACGGATGGACAATTGAGATCGGCGAGACCACCTGCGAACCAAAGTAATAATCTGGGTGGAACGCCATTGGCACGGCGGCGTCGGGGTATCGAGGAGAGTCGGAAAGTTCAGGTTGAGGTTCTGGAATATCGATACTGAGCTGCGGAGAGCGGAATAGCACTTCGTCTTGCTCTTCCAACCATGCGGCACGAGTGGCGTTCTGGTCAACATCTTCTGCCTCTTCCTCGCTCAGCTCCGCCTCATTCTCTGATCGCACCCCGTCCATGGCACGGAGCAATGCTTCACAGCGCAGCATCAGTGACGACACAGTTGACGGCCCTGACTCAAGCGAGTCGTCGGATGACAACATTGCTTCCTGATACATGCGCTCGATCGATTCCACCAACTCGTCCGCCTCGTAATGAGCCTCTTCCAACCACCCGTCGTCGCCGTACCGCCCAACAAAATCATCGTCCAGAGCAGGGAATTCCCCCCAAAATTGCGGGGATTGCGGCAAGGATCTTTGCGTTTGCGCCTGATCCATCTCCGCAGCGGAGCGGAGCGTGGCTTCGTGCGGTCGTGGGGATGTCAGATCAGAGCGTTCCTGTGTTGCAGAAGATCCATCAAGCTCTACGACGCCGCTCAGTTCGCTGATCCAGGACGGGTCAGCGTTTCCGACATTGTCCCTGCGTACCGTTGTTGCGAAGCTCGTCTCCCCTTGCGATTCGGACGGGGGAACCATGGTCATTTCCAACTGCTGCTGAGGTTCGGTGCATGAATCGGCCGAGTACACCAAAGAACTGGTCCTTTCGCTAGTACCTTCGCTACTGCTGCTCAGGTCGGTGAGTCCAGCGGGGTGCTGGGGTGGGCGGTAGTGTCGGCGAGGAGCCAGAGACCCGTCTGCGCGCCCCAGTCCTCTTGCACGAGGCGCCTCGAGCGTTCTTTCCGCGAGTGGAGGTGCGTCAGTATCCTCTGCGACCTGAACAACGTCTGCAGCGGCTGCCATCGTCAGCTCTGCCCGCATAGTTTGTTCCTCCCGTTGTAATGATGTTCCTTCACGTGGACGCAGTAGTGTTTCGTCACGCGGCAGTTGTGTGCCCTCCGATCCAGCATCGCTAGTACCTCCTGCACCCACCTGCATCCATGGCGCCGCCCTCGGTGGTGGCTGCTGCCCAAAGAGAGCTGCTAAGTCCCTGTTAGTTTGGTTCAGCAGTCGCGGGTCATTCTCTTGATTTTCGTTGGCGAAACGCCTCCGGCATCGTCCCTGGTGAGGACTCTTGTGCCTCTTGCTCAAGACACCGCCCCCGTTATCCGACTTGCTGCGCTGTACGCTGGGCTGAATTTCAACATTAACCAGATTCCGCGAAATCGGCGCGATCTTACTATTCCGCTCCGCCGAAGGTCCCCGACGACCCGCCCGCTCTGGTCCCCCGGCCTGCCTCGGCAGTGGTCCTCGACGCCCACCGTGGTTATGGGCGATGGTGTTCAAAGATTTCACATACCGCTTCAGCACCAGGTTGATCTTCTTCGCCAAATTCCCCGGTTGTTTGGCCGCTAACTGCGCCAGAGGTCCGAGAAAGAGCCAGGTGCTGGGTATTCTACTTTCATCGGGAGAACCCCACGACAGCAGTTCGGGGTGTTCGTTTAGAACGTCCAAAACCGCGTTCACCACGGCCATGCGCTCTGGCACCTCTTCAAGTCGGTTTGCCAGCCCGCGGTTGTGCACCTGGTGCAGCTGGCGGACGCTGCCGGCGGAATAGAGCTCGGCCTCCCGGTTTTTCACGCTGCGCAGCTGTTGCAGGTGCTGCTTGTGCCGATTGAACGGAGTCGGCGTTTTACCATCCGCGCACGGGACATCGTACTCTACCCGTTCAACCGACTTCGGTCTCGATCGGCCGGACGGCGATCGTGATCGGCTCGGAGCCCCAAGTGCTTTGGCTCGCGCAAAGCATCCGGTGAGGGAATTGCGAAACAGTTGAAAAATGCCGATCAAGATTTTGTCATAGTTGTCCGGCTGCGAGAGTCTTTCTACCTTTGAGGCAATTTTCGGACCGCCTAGATAGATGGGCAACCATTCGGTCCGCAAGCGGTCAGCGTACATGTGGTCGTTCAAGGCCGGTTTCAGTGCGTACTTGTAGAGCGGCTTCAGAAGCCGCTGGACATGCCATGTGGTCAATGGACGTTCGGCGCGCGACCTCCGTTCCTCCAAGCGTTTGAGTAAAGATTCCATTACCAGCATGGGTTGCGGTTCCCGACCCCCTTGATCCCGGTTCGATCGCGGCGGCGTGGCGGAGCGTCGCATCAGCGCGGCCCAGAAATCCTCCTTCGGCCTCGAGTGGCGGTCGCCCGCGAAGTTCAGGAGAAAATTGTCCAACACGAAAAAAACCTCGATATCCGCGTGGATGGCGCGTGCCAAAGCGGAAATCGCGTCGTTATCGACGTACCCGCGCTTTGTCAGTCCGGTCTTCACAACGTCCACGCAGCTGTGCACATCGGTTGCCAGTGCTTCCCCTGACATCGCGCCGAGCATGCGCTCCCGCTCTGCCGCGTTCTTGCAGTGCTCATAGCGGGCGGACCACGGCTGCTGCAGGCGCGCCGGAACCTTAGGACTGAAAAGTGCCGCGGGTCGGGAGGGTCGTGCGCCATCCAGCAGCGGAAGCCCCGCCACGATAAGCAGAAAAGTTGGAAAAAGCATTTTCATCGATTGGTAGGCAAAGAGATGAGTTTGACAATGTTCTAGTACCTTCCTCGAGGGACCGCGGTTTCGATGGCGTGACAACGCGAATCAAGACCAGAGAGATAGCTTACGAGGACAGCAATCAAAGTTTATACTTCAGTACCTTCAGTTGATCTTGGAGTCTTCAAGTGGTGAGCTTATTGTTAGCTTAATTTCGTGTCTTTTACACCTGTAAAACACAAATCAAAAACTTCTGATGCAGGGAAAAAATGGCTAATTAGTGTGTCAAAGGTAAAAATGTTTAATTGTAAACTACGCCGAAAGCGTGAAGTAAGATTGTTAAGATGCAGATCTATGCAGGTACTTCGTACGGAAAAATGCAGGCGGCTAACTGAGTAAAATCCGTAAACGGTGTGTGGTCTATTTCTACGTGTGTCTACAGATCGCTTCGAGTCGAGGGCCCTGGAATCATCATCATCATCATCTTGCTAGCATAGGGGAGGGCTGCTAGAGGTTATTGGGACGTGTCCTCGTTATCGTTTAAGCGCAGCTTCTGTCTTCGACACCGAGAGCCGCTGCCTTGCAGCTATGGATCGATTCATCTTTTTTTTAATTTGAACTTTGCAAGATATATAGATGTCAATCTGCTTAATGATTTCGACCGAAACTTTTCCACTCCGTAGTTCCAACAAAAACCGATCTGCAATTTCTCCGTTATTTTTGGATCACCATTTTCCCTTATGCTTCACAAAGATCCACTTCTTCACAATACAATTTACAGGGACGCTCTGCCCTTAGTCTCCTCACACGACACGGAATATCCCATAGCTGCAGAGGCACTAATCAATGAGTTACACAAGCACGGATCGATCTGCTTCTGATTTATTAAGGCATTTCCCCGTTCGAGCTGACGGTGGCCGCGCAACAGGACTTGACTACATACCGAGCTTCATCTATGTATCGAATACGCAATGGAAGAGGCTGTGTCGCAGCATAAAGCATCAAACACTAAAGGGCACAAGTTCCGCTTGTTGCTATTCTGGGAATTACTTATTTGTACTTCTGTGTCGAGATGAAGTGTTTCTGTTTAGTAGCAAGTATTCAGATTCGATTCACCCAACCCTGTAGCAGCTTCTTTTGCAATTCCAAAGATTTAGCTTCGCTGGAGAGCCTTCCGTTTATTTACACCGATATTGCACAGTCGGACTACTACAACTTTTCGAATCTATTTGATAGTTTTTCTCTTGCTCAGGTCGGTATGTGGTACTTCGCTTCCCGACTTTCACATATACAAATACAGAGGTCGACTTCCTTCAAATCTTCCATAAACGAGTGAGGAAACAATGAGCACCACGCATGACAGGGCGACGAGACGACGCGAAACAATAACAATATATTTATATGTCAGCAACAAAGACCAATATACATGATTACGAAATTGACCTACGACGAAGTGAGGTGGTGTGCCGACGCTGGCGCAACGCAGCAACTAAAATTTTCGTCTATAGTAGATAGAACACGTACAGCCCTTTTTCAAGTGATTAATATGACAGGCGTGAAGATATTGCTCTCTGTAAATTCTGATTACCATAATTTGTATTCGTACTTTCTTTTTTCTTTTCAATCGTTTTCGAAAAAAACCTGCTATTGAGTAGATATCTTTCACTCTTGGTTATTTTTGAGAGATCCTAGTATTTTCATATCCTTCCCTATCGATCCTCGAGGAGGCAATGCGATCCCGATAGGTGGAACAGGATAAGACGAAAGTGTTCCACCTATGTACAGGATAAGACGAAGCTGTTTGTCATGCTTGTCTGCCATGACTTTTAAATCTGTCCTGCACGTTACCCAACAGCTCCACTTTTCTGTGATGCAGAAACGCAGTTTGATGTCATGCAGAATAGGCAACAGTTAGAAGCTCAGAAACTTGTCATGCTGAGCCAGCATTTGTGGCCTCATCATGAGACGCCACCCAGCATCACAAGTTTCCAGACCCAGACATTTTTGCAGTTGATACAACAGTAAAGGAAACCAAGCGAGGACGAGAGAAGCGGCGTCGCATTTCCAGGGCTGGGGCTCGAAAAATAATGATACAACAACCACGCGGACAAAGGTCGGGGCCAGCAGTGCCTCCAAAGGTGGAGCTGCAGGATGCGATGGAGTTGCCGGCCACTATGAAAGTGCACAACTCCCCCTCCCCCTCATTTGCGATGCAAAATCCCAAATCCAGCTGCTGCCTTGTAGCACTGTTTGCATGACAAATCCTGGAAGCCCAAACAGCACTACACTCCAGTGCAAATTTGTCATGCAGAACCGGCATTCTTGCTGGTGCTTGTATTGTCGTTCATGCCATACAAATGAGGGGGAGGGGGAGTTGTGCACTGTCATAGCCACGTGGTAAGCTGCCAAAGTAGCGACAGTCAGGGCGAAGGAAGTGGTCATCATGGTAGACGACACGACAGAAGGAGAGCAAGTACTTTTAAAGGCGGCCGAGGTGTTGTTGCTGGACTAGCATCTTCGAATTATTACATCAACTCGACCGCATACGTCGGAGGCGGCCTCCAGCACAGCCGCTACCAAAAGATGAACGAGGGGATTATGATGAACTACTGGGGTCAAAATCTTTTTCAGCCGGCACAGTCGTGCAACGCTGGTGGTCCAGCATCAGGAGTTCTTGGAGCGTACGATGTCTCTACTTGTTCAAACCATCACTATTCAACTACAACATCTGTCAACAGCTACAACAGCAGCGACACCGTAGTTGTACAAAAGCAAAACGACTACAACAAGCAGGAGTGGTGCCAGCGCCAGCAGCTTTCATCAGAAATACAAGGACTCGGCTCAGCGACTACGGTCGAGGAACTTCTAGGCTTGGTCACGAAAGAATCGACGAGGGCCACAGCAGACGAGCGACCGAATTTAACTTCTAACGCTCTTCTTTCAACATCGTCCTCATCGAACTACACCCCGCAGGAGTGGGATATGGCGTTCTCAACTGTTACACTCTCAGCTGTTGCATGATTTGTCATGCAAATTCACAATCAGAATCGATGCGATCAAGCTGCTTAGCATGACAAATTCTCCAAGGCCTAAGCAGGCTGATACTCTGCGCCAAATCTGTCATGCAAGACGCGCAAGGTCCCTCGTTTCACTTTTGCCATTCTTGCATTACAGATTCATGTAACAGTTGAGAATGTAACGATTGAGAACCCCATATGGGAAGCTTGGCTGCAAAGCCACGCGGCCTTCGCGGATTGCAATGCGATCCTGGGTATCCTGTGCAAAAGTATCGTACTCGTAGTAATTGCAGTCATGCATTACAAATCGCCTTCCTACGCTAAAACAGCATGACAAATTCAATTTGTCAAGCTAAGGACAATTTGTCATGCTAAGGAAATTTGTAATGCAATTTATACTAGTACGATCCTTATTTTGCAATGCGATCCCGATAGGTGGAACAGGATAAGACGAAAATTATTCGACAACACTTTCATAAAAAAGCTAAATACATTCCTTACGGTGTCATAGACAATGTGATTAATGTTGGTATTGTATTCAAGACAAATGGCGAGATGTGCCACCCTGTTCGGATCCTTTGATAATATTCTATTTGAGTATAGTATTGAGTGAAGGAGGCGTTTCCGTCTTCCGTTTTTATTGCTCTCATTCAAGGTGGAAGAAAAGTTGAAACGTCCACCTGCAGCTCGCCCTCACAAACCGGATTTTCAAGAGGAGCAGAGAGAGAGATTGCACAGGAGTACTGCGGGTTGTACTACATGTCTTCATGCGCAAACGGGAACGTCGGCCGCGAGTCGTCGCTCTACGATGCTGTTTTGTGATGTTTCTGCCACCCTATGGCATGGAAAGAATTATCAGTATCGCTACGACGCATGATTAGCCCGTCGGAAACGGCAGGTTTGGCAATGGCGGTGGCGAGCTCGGTACTGGCGGAGCACCTCCCACTCCGTTGGATTGATACACCAGTTCGGGCGAATGGTACGCCGTGGGATGATCGGGGAGTTGTCCCTCGTTTCGTAGCGAAGCCAGCTGCTCTCCGGCCTGGTGTTGGCCCAAGGAGCTCCGCCGCGAATGCGACACGTAATGCTCCTCCGCGCCGTCATTGTACAGACCCTCCTTTTCGCCCTCCGGGGCGTTATCCAAGGTAAATCCGGCATCCAGCTTATCCTGTGTAAAAACGTACCCACACCAGAGTCAGGATGGGGATTTTGCAGCACAAACCTAGGAGCTTTTGTGAGTCACGCATGACAAGTTGCACTCTGCAGCGTAGTGCAGGTTAGCAAGTGCAGCCGCATCACAGATTCATCAGCTCATCCTGTTCACAGCATCACAAATTCCAAAACACGACTGGAAATGGCTCTCATGGGGATGCGCATTACAAGTCTTCCTGTCTTTGCAAATCTGCATTACAACTCTGGTGTGGGTACGTTTTTACTCAGGATACAGCTTCCCAACCTTCTTGTTTGGCGTTTTCTTCATCGGCCGGTCCTGGATCTGATACCGGGCCGGTTCAAACGCGAAGCCTTGTGCGGTCAGACGTGCGCGGACGTAGAGGAGGTCGCTGTAGCGGAAAAATTGAGGATTTTTCAAAAAGAAAATCATTTCAGGAAGGTGCGACAACTCTGCTTCTATATTCTCAAGGTGACAGTGAGAAAGCACGGCCCGTGTCTACGAATATCACTTTAAGAAGTAAGTACCTTCGCATGTAAGTGGTTGCGTCGTCGGTGTCTTTTTTGTCCTGTGCCCAGCTTGGTTTCTGTGAAATCAAATCGTATATGCTTTGCTTGCTTGGGACGGTTTCGTCTTTGCTCTGGTCCTTGCTTCCAGTGCGCAAACTGCTGAAACCTGTCGTAACAAGATGGCGACTTGGTGTGGCGAGGCTAAATTTTTATTTTGTGCAAAATCAGGAATCTTTCTTTTGCGCACGGTCGACGAATTTAAATTTTGTTGCACGGCCAGGTCAACAATTATTATCGTCATCACATGAGCATCGCAACCAAAAAGCAGTCTCTCAAGTACGATCATTCTCCGGCCCGGGCGGCCCTCCGACGGGGTAGGAGTCGACTCGACCGCTCAGCAACTCCGTGCCCGAACGCCGCCAGTCGTGCACGCTGGAGCGGCCCTTCGGAGCCGGCCCGGGCGCGGAGGCCCCCATCAGACCCGCTGCGCGAGAGTTACCACTTTCCATCGCGCCCATCCCCTCGCGCAGTCCGGCGGCGCGCGAATTGGTGGGAACCACGGGGCCGGACGCCCCCAACCCGGACGACAGGTCCTGCGAGCCCGTGCCGCCGCGCGACAACAGCCCGCTGCGCTCGCGAGGCAGATCCCCCGCCAGGTGCGCCTGGGCGGAGGGGTTGTATTTTGACTTCTGCCCACTGTCCTCGTCTTTGGCTTTGCGAATCAGGTTCTTAACCATGTCTTCCGCGCGACGAATCTGGACCCGGGTTCCCTTCATGATCACCGCGCGCGGAATGCCGGCCGGGACATCCTGGTCAATGTTGATGTTGCAGCCGGTGGCAGTTTTGATCTTTTTGATCGTGTCCCCGGCCTTGCCAATCACCAACCCAACGTACTTCGGCTCCACCATGAATATCTGCTGGTGCTCCGTGCCGTCGTCGCTCTCATCCGCGTCCTCCTCGGAAAACGTGCGGTGCCCGCTGGCTGCGCGCCAGTTTTCCTGCTCGTCGACGGAGTCCCGGCGTGAGCTGTCGCGCCGTGGCGGGTACGTGGGCGCGGTGCTCACCTGCAGATTCACCTCCTGGGCGGTTCCGGGGCCCTGGTGACCCTGGTCCGCGTGTGCGGTATTGGTCGCAGTTGCGTGCAGTTGCTCCTGCGCAGTAGTCATCTGCTCGCTGCCTGTTGGTATGTCATTTTTTCGACAATCTAAATCCCTTGCTCTCGTTGCAGGAGGCGGAAAACAATCATTCACGAAGTGGTCAACGACTGTGCGAAGAGGTGGTAAACTAAGTAAACGGGAATCTGAATCACAACCATCTACGAGTTATTTTGCTTTTGAAGGAGGAAAAGTCATCTGATCTGATACTTTTTGAGCCTCCCGCCCCTGGCTGCTGGTACTGAGCGAGAATTGCTGCTGAGAACCTGTTTGCCTCTTCCGCGGAACTGTCTTCGGACTGCTCGTGCTGCTGGGAGGCCGGATTTGTGCCAGATCCATAGCTACCCGCACTGTACATGTTCTGATGTTGTCCGGATGTTGGGTTACCTGCAAAGCAGTTGAGGTCACAATTTATTATCGGCCGCACAGAAAAAGTTAAGGTAACTGGCCCCGGTAGGTGGTCGTGATCTTGCGATTTTTTCCTGTGCTTGATGAACGTGAATCGTGAGAAAGAAAAACCTCGAACGCTGAAGGAAGAAAACGACAAATACCATTCGTCGCAGAAGGCGGAAAAAGCCGCGCCCGCTCCCGTGCGGGTATCACAGGCTCGCAATCAAATGCGTTCCCGCCTTCGTGTGCCCCGGTCGGGAACAAGTGCTGCAGTTCGTAGAAATCTTGAAACTGTTCACATCGGATGAGCAAGTCCGGTTTCAGATATCGACCCAAAAACCAATTCCGCATTCTCTGATGCGAGTACGGTCCCTGGCGACTCCCGTCGTTGCCGCAGTAGTACCAGGGTTGCGTCAACAGGTGCAGAGGTGGTTGCACATGCGGAGGCTGATGGTTCTCGTAGCCATGATACCCAGCACCCGGTGCTGGGTATTGCATGGGTCCTCGTGCCGGACTGTGATAGGCGTGCTGCGGCACAGCTCCGTTGTACCCCTGTCCCTGGTAGTGCTGCTGCCCGGGGTGCGCGGGCTGGTGCCCCGGCGAGTATGGGTTTCTTGCCGGCTGAGCCGGACTCGAGTATTGCCGCGGTCCGACGCCGTATTGGGCGTTTTGTTGATTATACTGGTGATTGTTCCCATGATACTGCCCACCTGCGCTATGGTTGTTGTAGTGGTTTCCAGCATTATTTTGCTGTTGGTGATACGCGCCTTGGTGGTAAGCGTGCTGTTGGCCGGCCGCCCCGGACCCCTGGTCCATGCCCCGCATGTTTGAAGCCGCGGAGGTGGTGCCGAGCGCCTGCTGGACAGGATCCACCGCGTGTTGCAAACTCTGCTGGTAGTCCCCGCCCTTTTTTCCTCCGGCCGCCATCGGGCCGCCCTTCGGCAGGCCAGATGCTTGTTGCGTCGTCGCACCTGTTGGTGATTGTCGTTGCGTGGTGGACATTCATAAGGTTTGCCGTTGTAACGGAGGCGAAATGAATCGACCGACGGAAGCCACCGCGAAGGCTGCAAAAATAGAACCCACAACTCGAGAGAACACCAAATGAGAAAAAACACGTAAAACAGCAGAACATTAAAAAAAAAAGCGTAGTTTCCAACCTTTCCAGCCTGCGAAAGCCTTTGCCTGTTGCTGCTCTCTTTTTCTTTTTTCGCGTAGTTGCCTCTTTTCTTCGAGGACACTTGTCCATTTTCGGCGCACCAAAATGCCGTGCCAGATCGCTCGAATGGTCGCGACCGCAGCCGAGCGCTGTTTGAAGTATTTTTCTGCGGAGATGCGGTCGTAGCCGTACCGGAGAAGCGACTGGAGGGTTCGGCCGCCCTGCTCCTTTGCGGCGTCCTCCAGGACCGCAATCCTTCGCCGCACCTGCCGGATCTCGTCGTCCGAGTTCTTCGTGGCGTTTGGATTGCCATACTCGAGCTGCCGTTCTTGCAACTCCCGGTTGATCTCGAGCAGCTTTCCGTGCAGCTTTAAAATGTCTTCCTCGACCTTCTTCAAGCCCGAGTTAGTCCGGAACCAGTGTTCTTCGCGCAGCCAAATTTCGCTCGGAACAACACTGGTGGCCGCAGTCTTGCTAGTAGACTTTTCCGCGCCGCCTTTTCCAGCGCTGCCTTTTCCAGCGCTGGAAGTGGACGCAGCAGCCGTGCCTTGCTGCGTCCTGCTCGCCGGGTCGTATACTGGTGGCTCCCCGCCTTTTGGTCGCGACTTGCCTTTTATCGGGCTGATCTCCAATGCGTGATCCAGTGGTGAGGTTTGTTGCGCAGATGATTCGCCCTTCCCACCTCCCGGTGCACCTCCAGGGTCGCCTTTATCACCACCCTTCTTACTGGCAGCGGGGGGCGGCGAAGCTTTCGCAAAAATGCTGTCCGGGGCCTGCCCCCACCTGACGAGCCCCTGGAGCCCGAGCGTGTTAGAGGTTTTCACCTGTTGTGATTTCATCGTCATCTCGTGTGGCAGTGGGGTCTACGGTTCTGTACTAGGTTCAAACTCTACTTCGGGGGAAGATAAGACCGAGAACTCGCAGGCGCACGAGAACCAAACAGTGACATGATCGAACAAGTTTGCATAACTTCTAGATAACATCCATCCTGTTCAGAAAAAAAACATTCCTCATGATTTAGATTTACCCTCCCTGCTGAGGCGTCGAGGCTGGGAAACGAGCTCTCCGCGTGCAGGTCGGGGGTCCGCTGTTTATTCGCAGCGCCTCCGTTGCTCCGCTCGGCCCAGGTGCTGCTCGAGGAAGCCGCTTTGGCATTGGAGGTCGGGGGCCCGGGAACCGTGGCGTCAACCCGGGGTGTGGACTGCTTGCTACTGCCGTTCGTCTGCGAGCCGGTGTTCGTGAACAGCACCACGTGCGGGAGCAGCTTCTTACTACCTTCCATGATCGGCAGGGGCGCTTCCCGGTTCACCTCAATTTTCCCGATCACTTCTGGACTCCACTTGTGCACTTCGAGTTGCACATTCGAGTGGAACTGCAGGGGGTAATACCCCTCTTTCCGCGCGCCGTGCGGGTACTCCTTGCTGTCAATCGCAGCCTGAACCAGCTGTTGCACACCTGGCAGTTGTTCAATTTTAGACACAGTTCCTTGGAAAAGGAAAAGCGTTTCGTGCAATGTTGCGTTTGTTCGTGAAAATAACTCGAAGCACTTTCAGACAATTTTTACCCCGAAGAGCAAAAGTAGGTCCTCATAACGACTTACTTACCGCTGTCTGAAACCCCCGGCAGATCCGTCAGAAAGAGTTTTTCACAGAACCCCGTCTGCAGGAAAGGCCGTAGGGCCTGCACACTGGCGTCTGTAACGCCCGTGTTTCCCGCGAGCTTCAATTTCTGACATACTGGCCAGTCACGCAGGAAAGGACCCTGTAGATAGATGAATTCGGTACTGAATTATATTAATCCGATGCAATATTTTTCATTTTTAGGTTCCTCCTGAGTCTTTTGGTCTTGACATCATGGACAGCGACAGTGCTTGTTAACCTCATATAAACATAGACATACACGCAAAGGCCTGCCTCTGATGCAATTTCAGAAAATAATCGTCGACCAAGAGCTATGTAGGCTAGTCTACAGCTAATGTTCATGCGTGAAACTACAAAAACTGCCATTCATTTACCAGCCACTTTTCCACTGCCTGGTCCGTAATGGAGTTTCCCGAGAGGTCAATGTACGTGCCATATGAGTTGCCGTCGTGCTTTTGCGTTTCCGATCGGCACCAACTTGTAAACGTTGTCATTTCGGATTCGAAATACTCGATCAGGCTCTGCACATCTGTATCGGTCAACCCCTGGCCGCTGCAGTTTACCTTTACCGCGCCAGTCTTCTTGTTCCAGGAAAAGTAATGCGCGTAGTCGTCCCATGTCTTCGGTGTCGACGTGTGGTCTTTCTTACCTCCGCCACCCTGGGAGAAGATAAAGAAAAAGTTTGCATGAACATATTAATTCATTCCTCGCGTGCCGCGGTTCCACCTCAATCAATTTAGAGGAAACTTGTTCTTGGTGCGTTGTGGTAATACATATTCGCACTTTCGAGGGGAATAGAAAACAAGAACGAAGTCGGACGCCCGACGAAACGGCGATAAAGCAACGTAAGTACCTTTTGCCCGTTTTTTTTGTGGCCGCCACCGTTGTTATACCAGTTATCGTTCTTTGAAGTCATCCACTTTGCCATCTTGGGCGAGCTCAACAAATCCAAAACAAAACGATTGAATTTCAATTTCCAAAAATTTAGAAGCGTCAGTAATAAACTCGATACGCGCGTCAAAAATACTTTGTCGGCGAAACAGGTAGACGATCTGAAAGAATTCAAGTTTTTATACAAAACTTCTACATCTACGGGAATTGTTACTACAGTGAAAGTATGACGACGGGGAGGGGGAATGGGAGGGGATCATTCGTGTGCCTGGCAAGGAATGAAGGACGATGCATGGCAAAACGCTGTCGCCTCATCCACACTCGTCTTACACTGTACTAGTACAGCTTCGCAATCCTACGGTTGGTGTACACTCTCTGCAAAATGAATATCGTCCTCCATGACGACTAAGTTGAAACTCTTAAGTAAGAGCTTGTTCCGGCGAAGTTGAACTATCTAGCCAACGGGCCAAGGCGCAGGTGAATTTACTAGAGTAAAACGAATTGGGCTTGCTCGGAAGAGGGTCAAAAAATCACTATCAAAAGATTGGGTCAAAAATGACAGTGCAGCTGCATAATGCATACTCACCCTTGATGATTCACAAGGTGTGACTGCTCGTGACTGACGAGTGTTTCGGAAATGAGAAACATTGCTTTCCTGCGAAACGCGAAAGCAGAAATTGAAAAGCTCACAACTAAAGTTGACTAAGCGCGCCATACTGACCCTCTTCTTGGTACCAAAACAAAATAAGTAACCAGATTTACATCATCTATTTCCAGGCAAGTACGCGTCAAGGAAACCGCTTCTACCATCGGGCTATCCACAGCTGATCTTCAATCATGGTTTTGATCATGATCAAGATCGCGAAAGAAAAAAATTAACCTTCAAGAAAGTTCTTGAAGCGAGTCAAAAGTAACTCTCAGCTTTTAACCACAAAGAGTCAGACTTTTCGCAAAACACTTGCGAAAGTTCGCCGTCATCTTTCACGAGGAAAAAGTTCTTTCATGTGAAAGAAAACTAGCCATGTGCGCGGCGTCCCGGCTTATCCAGACCAGGTTATGTGCAGAGAGACGCGGCAAAAAGTGTCTTCGCTGCTTGTTTTTGCTCGACGCTGATGATGCTATTTCGATCGTGCCACGCGGGGCGGATCTCGATGTGCTGATTTAGTTTTTACTCGCAAGGTGCTCTTGAAGATAGATACTAGCCACTTTGAAGAAAAACGAGATAGGGATAAATTTGCTGCTAGATGTGCTTTCAAATAAAACTACCGCACAAAAAGCTGGAGAGGATCTGCAGCGGGAAGTTCGAACTTCCCCCCGTCCACTGTCGCTACGCACGAAGCTGTGCACGCGCCTTGTCCAGGATCTCCTTCTGAATTTTCGGATACGCGGGATTGACGGTCAGTACCTGCTGGCAGATCAGAATACACTCCACGGTCCGCTTCGCCTTTAGGTAGTTGAAGGCCAAACGAAATCCTACGTTTGCGCTATGACCACTCAAGTCCCACGCTTTTTCGTAGTGCGTGGCTGCGTCCTTGTGCCCTTGCTCCTTTTCGCAAATCAACCCGAGGCACTCCCACGCCTTGCCACTGCTGCGGTTGTGCATGGATGCAAGCTGACACAGGGTCCCAGCCAGGTCGTACTGTGATAGTGTTCATTAGAAGTCTCCGTGTTTTGTACGAAATTTGCCAGTCTTTCCACGAAACCAAAACGTGCGCAGGTGTCGAACAAAAAAAGCAACAGGATCAAGCCCGAAAAACAGGTCCTCAAACAACTGTATGTAAGTACTTTTCCCTGCGATATGTACAAATCCGCGAGCAGAAGCCAGGCCTTCTCGAAGTCCTCGGCCCACTCGGGATTGTAGGATTTCTTCGCGATTTCCGCGATGCGCTTCAGCTGGTTGCGGGCTTTGGTCAGCTGCTTGCTGATAATCAGGCCCTGCGCCATCGCGAGAACCCCGGGGACGAAGTTTTTGTCCTCGTTGTAGAACTCCATGAGCATCTGCAGTCCGCGGTCCACCTCCGTTTTTTTCTTCGTGAAAATCGCGTTCTGGGCCTGGTACACGCGCAGCCGCGCCATCAGTGCCGGATTCCGCTGCACGGAGGACGCCTCCTGATTCAGGAGTTCGTGGATGAGCAGCTCCACTTCCCGGGCGTGCTGTTCGCTGTGTTGCGTCAGGTCCTGCAGGCTGTCCAGGGACAGCTTGTTGGGGTCCGGGTAGAGGTAGATGTCGATCATGGCCAGCGTCGCTTCCCGCCGAAATTCGGCGTCGCGCGTGCGCGCAAAGTTCAGGTCCACCAGGGCATCCGAGGCCCGGTTCATGCAGCGGTAGTACCTGCCGCGGCAGTACCGGAAACCGGGTTCCTGCTCCGGGTCTTATCAAAAGGAAAAATCCACCCTCCCCATATCAAAACGGAAATCTGTGATGCAGATTTGTTGTCACAAATCAGCTGTGTCATGCTACACGGGAAAAGATGCGGACTGTAGTGCTGGGTGGCGTGGGGGAGCCTTGCATCTTCAGCATGATAGGAGGCAGCTGAGAGTGGGAAACAGCATGACAAATTGCCTGTAAACGAGACCACGACTGCGGCTCTTGGCCTTCTAGCATGACAAGTCGATTTGTGTCCTCAAATTCTGCATCACAGATTTCCATTTCGATATTGGGAGGGGGGATTTTTCCGTTTGATAGGTCTTTGTACATCTTCAGGTGGTGCTTGGCGTTGTTCAAAAACCCTTCGTAGTCCTTCAACTTACCGCTGCGCTTCAGAAGGTAAACCAACCGACTCAAGGCGCGCCAGTCACCTTATTGATTGCGACGGTAGAATTCAGCGCCTTTAGTTTTGTTTACTTTTGGTATAAAATAACTGAGGAATTCATGATAGGAAAAAAAGAAAAAGTGTTGTAGTCGCTCTGGTGATGCTGCGGTAGCGGTTTTAACCGCCGGAACGATAATAATACATGGTTTTTTCTCCAAGAGCTGTCGGTAGTGGTAGGTGGCGTCCCGGTACTCCTGGACGCCACCTTCGCTTCGCGCGCCGTTCGCAGCTAGCAGCATGAGAAGCTCGGCCATTAGGGTGGAGCCCTCGATGGCCACTTCCGACGAAGATTCCAATCGGAGCAGCACCAGCAACTGCCGTTCGCAGGCTTCGTAGTTGCCCTCCGCCATCTTCAACTTCGCCAAATTGAGCATGCTGTTGTAGATAGCAGTGACGTTTCGGTTCTTGTACAAAGAAAAGATAAAAAATCATTGCCGAGTTTGATGTTCAGCCATGAGAGGCAACCTTGGGTTTCAGCCTGCAAAACAGGCCCACATATTTGCTTGAAGCGAAAAAAAGTACTAAGATGGTAAACATCAAATTCAAAGAAAACTTACGCCTTCTCGTGTGCCTCATTGTGGCGCAGGCATTCGGAATAGAACTCCGTCGCTTCGTCGGGCTTCCGCTCCCGCGCGTCGTAGTATTCGGCAAGTTGGAAAGCAATGTCCGCGTAAACCTCCCGATTTCTCGCTAGTCGCTGATCGTCGTCCTCGGCTCGCAACCGGTCCAACACCTCTTTCTGCAACTGCAGCGCGTGCTGAAACCGCTCGGCCGCCTGTGGTGCCGGGGGTGCCCCGTCCGAACTGCTAGCGTTGCTACCGCGCTGAAACGCGGTCAGCGAGGATTCCAAGTGCACGGTCGCAAGTTGCCGCAACAACTCGATCTTCTGTTGCAGTTGCCGCACCGTTTGCGCGTTGCCCGACCCGTCGCCAACGTGTTGCAGCGCCTCTTCCAGCTCCTGCCCCGCGCGCTGCCAATTTTCCAGTTTCATGTGCAACTTGGCCAAATCTAGGCGCAGGTCGATGGCCTGCGGGTCCCGCTTGAGCGCATTGGCGTAGTAGTTCATACCCGTTTCGTAGTCGTGCGTCAGCACCAGTGCCGCGCCGATTTTGCGAATCAGCTCCGTGGCGTCAGCCCGTTTGTCCCCGAGAGACAACGCCTTCTCGAAAGTCGCGATAGCCTCTTGCGGCTCCCCGATGTCCAACAACGCCTCGCCCAGCGCCAAATAGTTGTCGACGTTGTCTTATCCTGTGCAAAAGTATCGTACTCGTATAAATACATTACAAATTTCCTCAGCATGAGAAATGAAATTTGTAATGCAGATTTGCCTTGGGAACAAGATTTGTAATGCAAGCCTTGCATTTATACGAGTACGATCCTTTTGCACAGCATATGTCTGGGTCTTGCTCCAGGATTTCGCGGTAGCACTGGGCGTACCGCTTCGTGTCGTATCGAAAGGAAAAATCCCCCCTCCCCATATCGCAAACGAAATTTGTGATGCTGTATTTGAGGTCACAAATCGACTCGTCATGCTAGAAGGCCAAGAGCCGCAGTCGTGGCCTCGTTTGCAGGCAATTTGTCATGCTGTTTCCCAATCTCAGCTGCCTCCTATCATGCTGAAGATGCAAGGCTTCCCCACGCCACCCAGCACTACAGTCCGCATCTTTTCCCGTGTAGCATGACAAAGCTGATTTGTGACAACAAATCTGCATCACAGATTTCCGTTTTGATATGGGAAGGGGGGATTTTTCCTTTTGATATGTCGTTCTTGTGGTTCAGGTAGATCTTCGCCTGTTCCTTCTTGATCGTTTTCGCCATGCTTCCCGAGCTGGTGGCCGCGGCCGTCTCGAGCAGGCTCAAAGCCTTGTCCACGTCGTTTTTCGTTTCCGAGTACATCTCCGCCTGCGCCACGAGGATGCGCACTTCCTCCTTCGTGCCCTTGAACTCCTTGCTCGCCTCCTGCAAAAGCTTGCTAGCCTCCGCTACCCGGTTCACCTTGCCGTACAGCTGCACGAGTAGGAGGAAGATCCTAACCCGGTCCTCCACGGTGATCTGCGTGTTCTGCTCCTGCCCGCGCGCCAGGGTTCGCACCCCGGGGATGCGGAGCGCCTCCTCGAGTACCTGGATCGCGTTGTCACCGCGTTCTGCGTGGATCATCTGCGCCTTGACCAGGTGGTATAGAGGGTGACTCCTTATGCCGAAATCCCGCGACACGCCCTGTTCCAGGATGCGGAGCGCCACGTGTACGTCCCCGGCGTCGTAGTGCGCCCGTGCGAGCAGCAGGTACCCCTCCGCGTGGGCCGGGTCGAGGGCCAAGCAATTTTCCAGCAGTCGCACGCCGTCTTCGTAGGAACCGCTGAGCAGCTTCGCGCGGGCCAAATTGGTTTGCACATTCAAATTCCCAGGCAAGAACTTCGACAGAGTCTCCAACACCTGGATGGCGCGGGTCAACTGCGAGGACTTTTTCGGCGCGGAGGCAGAAGATGCACCTGTGATTAAGATTATATGCGGTTGCTAGTTGGCTGATATAATTTACAAGTAACTCATTGACTTGCAAAAAATACGCGTTCGAGCAAGCATTTTGCTTTTCGTAATATTCTCACAGCTAACAAGACCTGCGGACCGCGGCCTTATTCTGGTGACCAATTATGGCATCTTCACCATCAGTAGTGACAACTTACCATCTTGTTCTGGTGCGTGGTCGTGGTACGTCGCTAAGTATTCGTTGGCGATTTGGAGCATGTTATCCTGAGTAAAAACGTCCCCACCCCATTGTCAGGTTGTGAACTCTGCAGCACAAATCTAGGAGTTTTGGAAGCCATGCATGACAAGTTCGTCTTTGTAGTGTAGTGCAGGTTAGGAAGGACAGTCGCATGACAAACTCATCTCCTTATCCTGTTTACAGGATTACAAATGCCAAAACACGATTGGAAATGCCTCTGATACTGATGCAGATGCGCATTACAAATGTTCCTGTCATTGCAAATCTGCATGACAACTCTGGGGTGGGGACGTTCTTGCTCACGATACATGTAGTCGGCATCGAGCTTCAAGTAGAACTCGTACCCGATCGCGACACGAAAGTCGCTAATATGCACTGTCAAAGTATCAAATGTAAAAATGTCTGGGTCTGGAAACTTGTGATGCTAAAATGTGCATGATGAAAACCCTTCCGAATGCAGTCCGGCACGACAACTTCCCAAAACGCTTTCTCATAGGCAATCCGCATGAGAAAGTGCGTTTTTGCATGACAAAAGAGGCTGCGACTTTTGTTGGCTACGCAATACAGATTTTCTAGGTATGGAAAATTAGCATTACAAGTTCCAACCTTCCAGACCCAGACATTTTTACAATCCATACAAAGCCTCGTTTAGCAACTGCAGCGCGGTTGTTTTCTTCTTCCTTCGTGCCACCAGCGCTTGCAAGTACGACGACACGCTACTTCGCGCGGTGGTCCCGGGCATTAGCGAGACCTGCGTCTCCTTCAGAAATTCCAGTTGTTCGCTGGCGTCGTCCACGTGACCGTCGAGGATGCGGCAGTGAATCTGCCCCAAGAGCGCGCGATGGTCCGCCTCGTTTCGCTGACACGCCTGATTGAACGTGTTTCCGGCGTTTCGCACGTCCTCGAGCAGAAGGTACTGGAAACCCAGCTCGGTGAGGTACACGCTGGTTTCCTTTTTTTGCGTTTGTACGCTTGTCTCCACGAAATTCTGCAGCGCTTGCTGCGTGATCCGCAAAATTTTGCGATTCCTTCCCCCCAACCGCGAAAACAGCTGGACGACCTCCAGCAACAATCTTCCGGAGTACGGTTCTCGTTGTTGGATGAAAGACAACAACTCCTCCACCCGTCGCGCAGCCTCGTCAATCAGAGATCGCCCCTGGCTGCCGAGTTGCGCGGCCTTGTTCCCGCGTGGCCCGTGCTCGGAGCCGCCTAGAATTAATTCAAGATCAAGACAGTAGCACTTTTGCATAACAACTTTCCGTCAGCGTAGAATCCACTCTGTCAGCATGATGTTGAAAAACTTATCATGTGTAAAGAACGAAGCGAGCAGAATGTTGAGAGGTAGAAAATATTAATCCGCACCACCTTACTTGGCATGCTTCCCCGTGCGAGAAGGTACAGCAGTTGTATTTTGAGGGCGTCGATACTGCCACCCGAAGATGCGTCCTCCAACCGGGTACAAGTTTCGAGTGCCTGCTCCCAATCACCGCAGGACACGTACACTCGCGCACGTTCCATCACCGCAGGCGTGAACCACGGGAAGTACACGATTGCTTGGTTCAGAAATTCCGTCGCAGCAGCCCAGTTCTTGGAGCCCTCCATCAGCTTGGCCTTCAGCATCAGGCCGTCCAATTGCGAAAGCTGCACGGACTGCGTCGTGCTGGCGATTACGTGTTTCTCCAGCAGCTGCAGACACTCTTGGTACACTGCCAGAGAGTTCATATATTTTTCAAGTATAGAAGCCATTGCCATGCTCCTGAAAAGAACGAAAGGCACGCACTTCTAACGCTGTACCTCACTGTAGTCGCTAGTATGAGGAAAAAGACTCCGATCAAGTGCAGTTTTTTGCGGGCAGGCTACCGCCGAGGCTCCTGCTTTCACAATCTGCAATCAAAACCCACTCGTACCGTCCTTTGCCACGGTTTGTGCGGTTTTCCTGGCGTTTGCGAGCCCCTCTTCGTACCGGCAATACGCCACAAAGCTCGCGGTGCTGGCGTTGTTCATCGAGGACACGCTGTCGGCAAGTTCGCGCGCCCGGGTGAGGGCGCCGACGAAGAGGTAGAACATGCCACAAATGGTCTTCCCCTCGTCGTCCTCCGGTTCGTTCGCGGCCCGGGCTTCGAACTTTCGCACGCACTCCAGGTCGGGATACTGCGCGTTCTCGTGGAAGTAGGCGAGCGCCCGGTTGGCGGCGAATTGGAAGACCCGGGGCCCGGTATCCGCGGCCGTCTGCATCTCGCGGATCGCCTCCCGCTCCCGGTTAACGACCCCCTCCATGCCCTCGCACCACAGCCCCACGGCCTTCCAGAAGGACAGCTCGCGGCCCTGCTCCAGGGCCACCTCCTGCACGCGCCGGTACCACCCATTGCGCAGGTAGTAGAAGATCAGCTTCTCCGCCTGCCCCGCGTCGGCCATCGTGCGGTTCTAAAGAGGGCGGCGCGAAACGGCACGGCGGTACGGGTCAGGCCTGCATCATTTTCCCGCTTGCTCCGCGATGGCTCCTCACTTATTTTTCGAACAAAATACACGTATAAGCAGTTTTCCGCGTGCTGCAGCCACAACTTCAACATCGCTCTTCCTGCGAACAGGCCTGTCATCGCTCTGCGCTCCCTCGCTGCCAAAACTCAAACCGAGACCACGCAGTCGCTCTGGAGAGGTTGGTTCTTCGTACTTCAGAAAAAATGAAAATTCACCCGCAACGCGCCCAATATTTCACATTCACCCTTCATTGCCCCCGCCCCGCGGTCTTCTTTCGTCTTTGGGAAGACGAAAGCTGCTCAGTAAGTAAGTTACACTTCGCCCATAGGCCCGTCGTTCGCGAACGAAAAGACGCACACTGAGAGAGATCAGAAGCCGTGCTCTGTGTTCATGCCGCGCTTCCATCTTGCAGAGCTTGGCACGGATAAATTGATCCGTTCTTTCAAGATTATACCAAGAGAACGAGAAATCAAAAGGCAAAATTTATTTCAAAGACACAAGTATATCTACACCAGCAGCAGGAATCCGGGGTACAGACAGCCTGCATGTATGTCTACAGCACACATGATCAAGTTCTTCACGAAGAAGATAGAGCAACTGCAATCCTCGCTTTGTTTCGAGACCACCGCGGTGGATATGATCTATCACCCTACGCTGAAGAAGCTGTTCGTGAGCGTCTCCATAGAGCTTGACGAGGGCGGTGGTGGCACCTCCTTCAGGGCTTCCAAGGCACGGTTTTCCGGGACGGCCGGTGCGTCGCCGATGTAGAAAAATTCAGTGTTTGGCGTTGAGAAAACTTCCGGTTGTTCCGGCGTTGCTGCGGGTCCTCGTCCCTGTCGACCCCTCTCCAACTCTTCAATCTCGCGGTTCAATTGCTCCTCCTTCTGCAACTCCTTTTGCTGCTCGCGGGTGGGTATGCTCTGCAAAAGTATCGTAGTCGGACTGATTGCAGTTATGCATTACAAATCTAGTGGCTGTCGGTAAATCCGCATTACAAATTTACACTTGTAATGCTGAGCCAATGTGTATTACAATTTATACCGGTGCGATACTTTTGCAGTTCGTAGTGGGCTTGTATGTGAAGCCGCCGACGAGGAAAGTGGGTTTGTTCCGACTGGTACCAGAAGACGCCCCGGTCTTCAAGTCCACGTCACCAGTGCTGATATCGATTTCCACAGGTCCTCCGGCGTCCGTGGTCATGTCATCGGGATGGCCACTGGAGTTGTGTGAATGTGACCGCGATGAACCTCCTGCGCTGGTTTCCGATGGCTCGGGTACTACTTGGTGCGCGGGGTAGTAAGAACTCCCCGGACCACCGCTGCCCGCGGACGGGTCCGGTCCCCGCACGACTGCGTCGCGGTACGACCGGGCTGACTGTCGAGAGTGTGAGGCTGGATAATTATTCCCAGCCGGAGTGGTGGACGAAGACCCGCTACCACCGGTGCCCGATTTCCAACGACGCCTAGTTGTACCACTTGCGCCGGCAAAGCCGCTTCCCCCGTCTGGTGTGCTCTGTGGCGCGGTTGAGCCGCTCTGCGTCGAGGAGAGCCGGGTCATGCTACTTGTCGGCGACAGCCGATGGACGCTCTTCCTCTGGACTCCCGGAAGCGACAGAGCTGGCTGGCTTGCCGCACCACCACCTGCGGGAGAGCTGGCCGACGAAGCGGGCGAACGCAACGACGGTTTCCACGTTTCCCCGGCGGAAGACGCGCCAGACGAATGCGCTGGGCTTGCATGCCTCGTCCCGCCCGTCTCCGATGTCGACCCTGCTCCTGTTCCGCCCGTGACAAGTCCAGCGGACACGACGCCCGGGCTGTCAGAAGTCGTAATTGCTTTCGGACGGCCCCCCGCTGCTGACCGCAGCGTGGGTCTCCAAGATGACTCTCCACGTCCGGCGGGCCGGAGAGCGAGAGCTTCGACCGATGACGTGGTTGTTCCTTCCATTATACACAGGAAGCAGAGTGCAGCCACCGCAGCAGGCCGCGTCGGCGCTCTCGGGTAGGCAGACTTTGACATATTTAGTGCTCCACGCTGGGGTACAAGCACGAGACTCCCGATCATGATCGATGTTGGCCCGCAAGTTGCGATGGATGGAAAAATTACTCAAAAAAGTCAATCCGTGCCGTTTCGTTGCAAGGGATGAGTTTGGAACAGACAATGAGAAAGCCTTTTCGTGTCGCAAACAACAAATTGCATTCCTTTCTATTCAGCGGATGATGAAACACGTACATTAAACACAAAAACTGCAACCAGCAACGCAAGAGAGGCTGAAGCCAACACACTCGTCGCCTGCAAAATGCAGAAGGAGATCCCGCGTGTTTCTGGAACAATAACTTAAGAAAAAAATGCGCACGCGCAGGAACAACAATTTTTGCTCTTCCACAAAGTGTCGGGAAGCTTCTCCATAATAGATAGTTAAACTCGACAGGGATGTGCCGTGCGAAGTATGAAGGTGGAATAAAGTGGGGTGGAAAAGGTAGTACATAGCTACCATGAAACAGGAAATAGCGTCGGGAGAGTCGCGGGTCCACGCACCAATTACTGGCGCAGTGATTTCGATATAAAACCGTATGTCAATTCTGTTTGTCTTTCAAATTGAATGTGCGTAATCTGTGATCGACGGCAAAAGCAGACCCACCTTACCTTGAAGAACTCAAGCGTGAACACTCGAGGAATCAGGTGCATCAGGAAACAGCAGGAATTGGTTCCCGGACCGAAAGAACGCTTGAAAATCCGCACAGTGTTTATTCTGGCGGTGGAGGCGGCGGGGGTGGAACGCCCTCGTCACCCTCGCGGGAAACCCTTTCGCTACCGCTGCCACTGTCCCGTGCCCGCAACTGCTGCATCAGCTCCACCTGCTTTTGCGCGTTGTAGGCAATCTGTGCCTGTATCTGTGCCTGCGCTTGGTACTGCTGAATCACTTGCAAGTTGTAGGCGTTCACCTGGGCCTGCTGGATCATTTGCTGTTGGATCGCCGCCTGGATAAGAGGGTCGGTCGTGGAAGAGGCCGCGGCATTTGCGACTTGACTCGTCGGGTCGAACGTAAAGGGATTACTGGCGGCATTTTGTGAAAAGCCAGCAAACGCAGCCTGCTGCTGCTGTTGTTGCAACAGCAACTGCTGGCTCGGATCCATAGCAGTAGTACTTCCCGACGGAGTCATAGCGGTGGCACAACCGAAGGGCGCGTTCAAATGAAGTTGCGCCGGCGGTGATCCGGCAACCGAGGGCGCGCCATGCTGCGACGACCCAGCGACGGCATTCTGCATTCCAAGTTCCTCCTCGTGTTCCGGTTCAGGCCTTTCCTCTACAACTGGTTGCCCGTCCACATCGCCGAACGTGTGCTGCCGTGGCGGGGGATCTTGATCACTTGTGAAGGGGTTGCTTGGGTTTGCCCGGTGCTGTCGTGGCGGAAACTCCACGTCTTCTTGCTGCTGCGCGGCTGCTGCCGGGGAGGGTGCGACGTGTCCAGGTACGATGAGCATCCTAGTTGTTCGTTGTTGAGCAGCTCCCGTGCCGTGATGTTCGTTTTCTGCAAGAAGGGCAGCTCGCATCTCCTGTTCGCGCTGTTGCGCAATCATCTGGGAAGGAGGAAACCGCGGACCCGCGGAACTTGCCTTCGGCGTCGGCGGTCGCAGAGGACCCGCCGTCGCTCGTCCTGGAAACGGGGTTTTCAATACGAGCAAGGCTTGGTTGTCCCCGTGCCCAGGCGGCGCGGGTAGGACCTGGAAAAACGCGGAAAAAGGCCCACGGCAAAACTGGGCGTATCCCTCGTGGCGCTTCTTCACGTGGGCCTTGATGGGGTCTTGGCCCAGGGCAGAGTTCTGCACCACCCGACTCAAGTAGGCGTAGTAGGCCTGGCCTCGGCCAGCATCGTACACGTCCGGGCGCGCTGGTGTTTCAATCGATTGCTTCATAACCTGCGCGGTCACCGCGTGGAGACTCCGGGAGACAGGATTCTGGCCTTCCTTCTGGAGCTGCGTCACCAGTTCCCAGCACGCCTGCCAGTCCAGCTCGGTGAATTTCTCCCGTGCCAGCTGCATCGTCGGTCCAACTCCCCCACCAGAAGGCCGCACAGCCGCTTTCCGAAGGGTGGCAGAGTACTGCTTGGGAAGCGCCCTTCTCACAGCGTCTTCGTAGCTGGGCCCTGGGAAGCTCGGCGCGTTTCTTGAGTCAAACAGCTGGCCGTCCTCGGAAATAGTCAGGGAGCTCGCGTTGCGAATCAGGCTGCGTTCCTCACCGACGCCAGGCGTTGTGGATCCGTCGCCGCCAGCGTTGCTTGGCGTTGGCTGTCTATTTCCGTTAGTACCAGGAATTGGCACCGGGAGAACGCCAGTGGATGTTCGAGTGTTACGCTCGGGCTCGTCGTTTTTCATCAAGAGCCCAGGGGGCTCCGGCATAGTCAGCGGCGGCGCTTCCAGCTGCTCATGCTCGGCGTACCCCTCAGCGTATTCTCGCTCTTCCTGGATGGCTTCTCCATACCTGGATAATGCAGCACTCACCACGTGGTGAAAATCAAGGAGCAGACACTTGCCAACCGCCTTAGAGCCGATTTCGATCACAACGATTTATTTCTTATGTCGATCGCATAGAAGCAGAATGCAAATTCATCATGGCACATGACGCTACTCATGAAGGCTGCAGCATCCTGTAGGGATCAGAAAAACGTTGCCAGTGGTGCGTAATTTTTCCTGTGTCTCGAAATTAATTTGGTTTTCATATATAGTTTTAGTTCTTTCTTTGTTCCTTCATGAATCGACAAACGTAGAGACGACGAGTTCCATCTTCTCGGTCTCCTGTTAACCGATTACACCTCACAACATTTGCGGCAAGCATGTATTTTCCCTGCTTCTTACAGCCTCTGATGTGTGTGATGGAAAAAAAACAACATATTGTGACTGTGGCAGGTGTCCAAGCTCATATCTAGCGCGTGCGAGATTGTTATCTTCCCGATGTTGTGCACCTGCATCGACATCCTCAGCACTGCGGAAAGCATCGTACAGATTGCCGCTAGAACTGGACGCACTGGACCTTCTCGTCTCCTCTTGGTTTGTTGCACGTGTCTGCACCGGGTCAAAAATGGGACCTCCTGTCACCGGCTCCAGCGCAGAGTAGGAAATGAGATTGCTCTTTTGCTTGACTTCGAGTAGTCCTTGCAAAAGCTCAACCTCCTTCGGGTCTGCTTTTGAAGAACTTGGTCCCGCCGTTGTATTATTTTCCGCACCACCCGCTGGCGTTCTTCCCCCTTGTCGTCCACCTCCACTTGCGGTAGCATTACTACTAGCTGCAGCTGCGTTCTTTGGACGACGTTCTTTTACAGGCAAGGCTTGAGTGTTCTTGTCCTTGTGATCTGTGTCCTCCGCCGCCGCGACGTCCGTCCCGGTGGCGCGATCCTTTGCCTCCTGTATTTTTTGGTCCACTATCTTCAACATTTCCTCGACTTCGTTCTCTTCTTGCTGGATCTTCTTCGTGCGCTTTTTCCCCTCCTCGCGGTCGATGAAACCATCCTGAATGTCCTTGAGCACATTGTCCTGCTCCTTGTCGAGATCTTCCTGCTTTTTCTTCAGCTTTTCCTTTTCCTTCTTCAATTTGAAGACCTCGGCTAAGTCGCCCTCCGGCTGCTCCTGGAGGGGATCGTAGTCCTGGTCCGCGTTACTCGATTCCTCTGTGTCGTCGACATTGTCGTCGAACTCGCCTCCGTCGAAGGCCTTTTTCCCGCGTCCCGTCTGCAACGAAGATGTTGAGCCCGCCCCCGCGGCTTGTTTTGCTGACTTGGACTTGGTCTTTTTCGCCCCCATATTGGGGAACGCGAGCTGCCCCACGCTCGACGTGCCGGCGCCCGCAGGAGGCTTCATCTTGTTCAACATCTTCCTACTCCCCCCCTCACTGCCCGACGAGAGTACCCCGGGCGGGAACGCTAGGGCAGCAAGGTCAGCCGGACTGCGCGCCGCAGCTGCTGCTCCCCCGGTTGACGAGGAGGAGGAACTTGCAATCACGACTTGCTGCTCGGGTACTGCAAATCCGACCATTCTGTCCGTCATGTTCACGGGCGCCTGCTGGGGTGGAGGCACCTGCTGGGGAAACAGGTTATCGATGTTGAGAGACGTCGGAGGCGGTGCGGTGTTCGTTTGACCGCCGGACAGCCCAGTGCGAAGCCAGTCCGCCCACTCCTTCTCCGAGTACGAGCGGTCCATTGAATCTTGCTGCTGGGAAGGCATCGTCGTGGAGCTGCTGCTTGTTGCCGTGTTTGATGATCCTGTTCCTGCCGGAAGCTGCAGATTCGTGCCCACAGAGGCGAACATGGCGTTGCTGCCGAGCAGAAACTGCTTGGCGATGTCTTGTGCACTGCTAGGCGTTGGTCCGCCTCCAATGGGAGTGATGCCGCCAGTGCCGGCGGGAGAAGTGCTCGACGTGCTGGTGCCGGCAGACTGGTTATTAAACACCTGGTAGTTTACGCCGGAAGCAGACAAGCTCGTCGAAGGACACGCGAACGAGGTGTCGCCTCGCAGCAATTGCAGGGTTTCGCGCTGCTTACCCCCGTCCTTTCCGACACACAGCTGGTGAAACAGCTTCATTGTGGCTCGCTGAGTGGTGTCAAGCACCTTCTTTCTTACACCTAGCATGAACTGCTTCGATTTGGGGTTGTCTGGCAGCGCCATGCTCAGATCCCACACGGTCTTCACGTCTGGGTTATTGTTCAGCAGTTCCTGCAGTTCGTGCCGGGCAACTTCTTTCGCAAGTTTCTGCAGAGGCAAAGGCTCGAGGATTTGTCTCAGCCACTCCCGCATTTGACTGAACTCGCGGTTTTGCACGCGGCTCAGGAACCGCATCCGAAACATCTCCAAGTCTTGCCGAATGCACTTCGCGGCTTCAGGCTGTATGGAGTTTGGATTTTTGGCTTGTCGTTCGTAAATTGTTTTGTACAGCAGGAAAAGGACCTAGATCTATTTGGTAGAACTACGTACTTTTTCATGCAGAAAAAGAGAAACGGACGTCTTTCAAAATTCGCATGCGCTGACCTGCTGACTCTGTGTTGATGCGTCCTCGCGATTATTGGTTTCATGGCTGTAGAAGACAAAATATACCTGCTTGTTTTCTCGGAGAAGTGTGTGCAGCTCCTTGACGGCCGCAACTGCGTCATTTTTGAGCACCTTCTTCAATGTCTGCAAAATACGGAGCGTGTTCGTGTGCGCACCTTCCATAGTGCCGGGTTTGAGAGCAAGCTCGTCGTCGGGATGGGGGGTATTGAACAATCGCTTTATGAGTGGCATCGAGAAGGTGATGACGTCAAGGTCTCGCAGTCTCTTCAGCATCGTAACCACGGTTAACTCCTCCGGGAATTGGCTCGCTGGGCAAAACACGGTCTTCGCATGGAGCTCGTCTCCTTCCAGAGCCTGCAGCTGCGCTTCGAATGACTCGCAGAGCGCGCAAAATTCGCTTTCCAGGGGCGGAATCTCGGGAGCAGGGGGCACAACCACCGCGGGTTGTTCGTGATGTTGCGGAACCATATTAACCGTTTGGTGTTGAACCTCCGCGATGTTGTTAATTCCATCATGCGACAACCCGGGTGGCAGCATGCCATGCGGCGAAAAAGCCGCGCTGGTACTGTGCGAAAGCCCACTGGGGTCCACCAAAACCCCAGCGGAGTTCAGGCTGCTGCTGCTGTTCATCAGATGCGGAGGCGCAGTGGCGTCGGCGGAGTGGCTAGTTGCACGGCTGAGCGAGTCGTGCTGCGGCGCTCCAGGAGCCATCAAGACGGGAAGCACCTGGTCGGTTCTCAGGAGAGTGCCCACAACGGGATCCATCCCGCCGGATTGCTGGCGCTCCAGCACCGGCAGTGCGGTCGGATCGAAAGCCTGCTGCTCGCCTTGGACCGTAGTCGCCATTGAGGGAGATTTGTTCAGCGACTTCACCTATCAAATGTAAAAATGTCTGGGTCTGGAAGGTCGCTACTTGTCATGCTGTTTTTGGATTCTAGGAAAATTTGTCTTGCATGACCAGCAAGAGGGTTGCAGTTTGTGCTACGCGGACAGGGCATTTCTCATGCGGAAGGCGCATCAGGAAGTCCTCTAAAAGTCTGTGATGCTAGGTCGTGCATTACAGGCATCATTGGCCATGAAAAATATGCATGACAAATCTTGCATTCTTCCAGACCCAGACATTTTTACATTTGATATCACCATCGACGGCGGAATCGAGGCGGCCTTCACCGCTTTGGCCCCCTATTGTGAGGAAAAATCCCCCCTCCCCATACCAAACCGGGACACTTCTGAAAATTTGTGATGCAGATTCTACGGGCGGTCTGTCATGCTGTTGCTCCTACAGCGTAGACTTCTGCCATGCTAAGCGCCTAGGCCAAAACTTGTCTACTCAGGCCTGATATGGGCCTGCAGTCCTCGCCAGCAAGACAAATCTGATTTGTGAACTCAAATACAGCATCACAAATTTCGTTTTCGATATGGGGAGGGGGGATTTTTCCTTTCGATACCCCCTGAACCTTCTTTTTTTCCGTCTCCCCAACGGTAGTTGCGGCATGGTCCACTTCGACCTTCTTGTTCGATGCCGTACTACCAGAGGAGGCTGTAGTCTTCAAAGTTGCCCACGGTGGAGGGGTGCGGTCGAATGCCTTCTCTTTTTCCGCGCTGTTCGTCTTCTCCACGACACTCGTCGGCGGAGCCACACCATAACTCTTGTAGATCTTGGCAATCTGAAAATTTATCATAGCTTTTCATGTTGACGACAACCTCGGGATGCTGCTGGGAGAGGATTCCCGGCCCCTCCAGGGGGCAGGGGCTCCAGGAGTTTTATTGATCATCGCAGTGTATCGAATTTATGAGTGCACTGTTTTCTAAAGTTCCGGGAAGTAGTTGCAGACCATCAAAACTCAAACAAGCATGCGCGTTACCTTGGCCTGCAGACCCTCTTCAACCTTCGACTCATATTGCACGGCGTCGGCGAAAAAACCGCGGGAATTGTTTGATCTAATTTTGAACCAGACCCCTACTTCGAGGGTTTGTGGCAAATGCATAACCGACTGCAGGAGCTGGTCGAAGTGTTGCATCGCCGCTTCCTTGCCTTCTTTGAAGTCCGCGGCACTTACTGCCAGCGCACGAACGGTAGAGCAAGTCATGTGGTCCAGGTCCACCAAAAACCCCGACCGCTGGAACTTTTCCTGCGCCCCAGCTATGGTGAACGTCGATTGCTGAGCAGCACTCGCGCCAACAAACACATGATTGCCCACCAAATCGATCTTCAGTACCCCGTACACATTCAGTTTCTTCCTCTCCAGTTCGTTCAAAGTCGGTCGGTCGCGTCGAAGCGCAGCTCTAGCAGGGTCGAAATCGCTCTTCGGAAAGGCGTCCCCGTGGTCCGCTCGGATCCTGTCCACTTATGGATTGCAAATATGTCTGGGTCTGGAAGCCTGTGATGCTGGTTGGCGAATCCTGAGGACGCCACAAGTGACGGCTCAGCATGACAAGTTTCTGACTTGCTAGGTGTTGCGTATTCTGCATCACAAACCACGTTTCGGCATGACAGAAAAGTGGGGCTTTTCGGTAACGAGCATGACAGACTTTGGGGTCATGCTGGCACAGCATGACAGACCTTCCATTCTTCCAGACCCAGACACTTTTACAATCCATACCACTGCTTTCTGAGCAACGAGGGCATCATTTTTCATTGCAGTAGGGGTCGTACCGACGTCCGTATCCTGCTTCGCGGGCGGCTGTATTGGAAGTTCTTAGTTTTTCATACACTTCACTTTCGTCGCGAACGAGAACTAGAGCTGTTCCCGAAGCAGCGATGAAAGGAAGAAAGGGAAAAATGGCTCCGAAGGGCCGAAAAGGAAAACCATATCAAACATCCGACCACCCAAGCAACCCCTGGGCCTGAAAATTGAGTCAGCGTCGAAGCAGAAGCGTGCCCCTAAAAAAAAGTGGAAAAGCTGGCGACACCGAGAGAATGAAACAAAAGCCTTTTCGCAAGACCAGTTGTGTTCTGCTCTGAAGAAAGCCAACCTCCTCTGGCCAGAACCACCAGAAAGAGCCGTGAAGCCCGGACATGTTCTGGTTCTTTTTTGAAAAGACAAAGACTAATACTGATGAGCAGACAACGAATCCCTCAAGAGCTGCAAACAACGCATGCAAACCCGGCCTGGTGAGATGTGACGCGTTAGCTGGGCCGTCTATTTCATCTCGCTGCCATCAAAAACAAAACGAAATAAAAGCTTTTATCATCACAAGTACCAGAGTCTTTGGCTTGGAGGCTGCCTGCTCCCAGACATCGTCGTCCTGAGGACTTCCTTTCTCGTCCGACACAGAGCCCGTTGGTTTGCTGGTCGTTGCCCACGCACGAACCGGAGACGTTTTCTTGCGGTCCTGTTCGGCGATTTTCGCCCCGGCAGCAGCGCTGCCTTTCGGTCCTGGAGACTTGCCATACAGACCCGTTTTATTTTTCGCCGGCTTCGCCTTCTCTTTTGTCCCTTTTGTTTCAGGGTTCTCTTCTGGCAGAGAACCGCTACTCTTGAGCGACTTTTTGGTCTTCTCCACATCCTCCTGATCATATCTTACTTTGCTCGGCTCCCGCTCTCGCTTACCCTTCTTTGTCTCCCGGTCCAACAGTTCGTGTGCAGCATCGCTTTTCATCTTCCCGGAATCGCGAGTAGACGGCGGCTTTTCTTTGTCCTTGTCTTTGTCCGGCGCCCGGGAGTCGTGCTCTGCGTCTCTATCCCTTTTTATCTTACTTGGCGAACGTGGTCTGCGTGGCCGCACGTTGCTTGGCGACCGGCCTCGGTCGCGTATCTTACTGGAAGAGCGACTGCGCTTCCTCTCTCGGAGTTTGCTCGCAGACTTGCGCCTCGTTCGAGTCTTCGCAAGATCCGCTCGCTCCCGCGGAACTGGACTGCGCTTCCCCTCCGAAGATGCGAGCTCGTAGTCGAGCCCCCACTCTTTCTTGGCCCGGGGCGTAGCAGTTCTTCGTTCTCGAGAATCCTTCTCAACACCGCCGCGGCGCTCGCCTCGGTCGCGTTTCTTTTCCTTTGTGCGGCCCCGCGACCTGCGGCGCTCCCGACTCTCGTCGTTCCGTTGGCGAGGACTGGCATGATGATCTCGCTTCCGGCTGCTGTCGCGTTTGCGATCCTTCTTGCGTCGCCCACCGCTCCGCGACCTCTCCGTTGCGGGCGTACGAGCCCGCGAGCTACTTCTCTTCTTGCGAGCTTTTGGTGTCCGCGAGCGTGACCGCCTTTCTTTCGCCGCCTTTGGTGGTCGAGCAGGACTCGCCCTGTCTCTAGTACTCTCAAGAACAGCAGGTAGTTTTACTTGTTGCACCACGACCTCGGAGTTCTTCTTGCGCTTCGATTGTAGTTCTTGCGGCACGTCCTCTTTCCTTGCAGTTATTTCCGTCGGCGTAGCGAGCTTTGGCTTTTTCGGAAGCACGCCTGTTTCTTCGTTCCTATAAAAATCATCGTCACGTCGCGCTGACCGTGCATCAGGACTACTGCTTGCTGCTGGAGGTGGGCGCTTCCTTACGGAAGATCGCCCGTCATCTGGCACCACCTTCTGTCGCTGTGAAAACAACGAGGTCTTCTGCGTTTTAGCCTCCTGCTCCGCACCCAAATCCGAGGAGGAGCCGCGAACCCTTGGAGGTGGTCCGGTCTTGCCGAACGAGGCTTTCGCTTTCGGCACGATGATTCCCCGGGCCCTGTTGTCCTGCTCCTCGATGAGCGCACGGATTCTTTCCACATCGTAGTGTCTACTTTCCGCGATGGCGTTTTCCATCGACTGTTTCTTGAACAGCGCAGGAAGCCGGCCCACGCCCTCGAAGGGATTGTCACTTTGTCCTTGTATGTAGGTCTCGTCCTGGGTTGCCCGCTGCACAAACTTGATCACTTCCTCGTCTCGCCATTTCCTCCGGCCGTACACTTCCCGCTTCTGTGCCCACTTCCTCTTCCAATCTTTCCCGGCCGCGGCGCTCCTTTCCAAACAGTGGCATGCTGTTGGGTCGAATTTGTCAAAGTTGACTTTCACGCTTGCTGCCCCGTAGAAGGGGGCAGCCGTCCGAAAAACCCTCTCCGCAAAATATTCCTCGTGGATGGTGGCACGCGAGGTCTTAGTAGTCTTGTTGTTCTCGATCTTCACCTTAAGAGCAGACAAGTCGATGAGGTCCATGGGAACGGCCCGAATTTCCAGGATCCCTGCAGCAAGCTGGAGCAACAGCTCCTCCGCCTGTCCCTCACTTATCTCTTCGTTCACGTCGTATACTCTACCCGGCGCAAGAATCTCGTCGCAAGCTTCCTTTGCGTATGAAGCGGAAATAAATCGCTCCCCAATAAAGCCGGATCATGCAGCACAGCTACTGTTCCTGGCCTTCTTTAAGGACCCAAGTCATCTTGCCGGTGCGTCGATAATGCAAATGGATTGATTTCTAGTTTCATGTCCCAAAACGATGCACATTCAGAAAAAGCGAGGGCTTCTGGTCCTATGCAAAGAAAAATGAAAAAAGATTTGCTGTACAACAACTCTTCGTATTTTTTCGATGCCCACGATGAAAATAGTGACAAGGGGAGCGTGTAGTTTCCCGTTTTCTTAGCACGATTGTCTCGTAGGCTATCGTCCGAAAAAACTGTCTCAGTCTCAAACCTCTGCAGTTTCAGCATTATAGATTTCGTCAGCATGACACGCAAAATCTGTGATGCGTCAGATGCAAGGGAAAACTAAACTGTCTCAAGAAAGTTCCGCATCACAACTTGAGACTGAGACAGTTTTTTCTCAGGATATAAGCCTCGCGCTTTTCCGCGTCGCTTTTGTCCGGGTCTATCAAATCATCGTCCATGGCCGCCCTCTTCAAGGCAACGACTAGCCCGTCGAGGAAGCCCGCATAGCCCCCCACCGGTTCGTTCTCCGCTCCAGTACTGGATGTGAACAACCTGCTTTCGCAACTGTCCCGGTACACCATTATCAGCAAGCGCAGCGCATCCTCCCAAAACTCGTCGCAACTTCGCCACGGCACGATCTTCACATCGGTGCTACTGGTCACCTGCGAGGCGGCGCTCCCTGGTGGCACTTGCTGTTGTTCCACTGCCTTCGGGCGTCGAGTTGTAGTGTCATCAGGGACCACTTGTTGCGACCCGGAACTTGTTGCAGCATTCGGGAGCTTATTTCTCTTGAGTTGTTGCGCATGACCTTCCTCTTGACCAGTGGTTCTCAAATTATTAGCGACGTTGTTCAGTGGTTGTTCGTAATCTTGTGTCTTCGCTTTTCGCGGTTTCAAATGAACCTCCTCCGGGCGTTTCTGTGCAGGACTTTGATAACGTGGCTTCAATGAGATGCTACTGCTGGATTGCTGCTGGTCTTGTTTCTTCTCCTCGGTAGTTTTATCATGTACTATTTTCGCGGAGGGAAGGACGTTTTTGATACTGCCAGGTTTTGGGGCAGGTTTTCTGCCTTCGTCTTCACCCGGTGAGTCATCACCGGCGAAACGAACGCTTTTGGTTTGCACTTTGGAAGCCTTCTTTTCAACAGCCGGCACGCTGCCATTTTTTGGGACCGAGCTTTTTGTTTTGATCTCCAGTGGAATCAGGGCGGGCGGCTTCCCTTTTGGGATCGCCTTCGAGAATGCACCGCCCACTGCTTTTTTTGACATCTTCGCGAGGGACCCACACAGGTTCGATGATTTTCGTTCAGGAACTTCTTTTTATTACCACGCCTTGCGCATTGCCGCTCTCCTCGTCTCGTCCCTGGTGAAGGCCATCCTTGTACCAACTATGATTGTTTGTGTGCTCGTATTCGCTTATGATGAAATAGTGTGTCCCACAGGGACCGGTCTCGTTGATGAAGATACTGACATTTTTGCACTTGGTGCAAGTCGCCTGGCACGACCCTGTTTCAACTGGCTATGATTTTCATTTTGGTGAGGAAAAAACGCTGCGCCCGAGAAGGAACATTTTGAGGTCTTTCTTGATTAACTACTCTGTGATCAACATTGAAGATTTTTTGCCCCGTCGTGTCTGTCTTCCCCAGTAATTCGACGTATTTCATGTGTCGGCTCTTCCCCGCTACGTGATGTGAAGAAAGCTCGTACTTACTTAACACCTCGGAGCCTGTCTCGAAGCGCCAGGGCGCCCGTAGCGCTGTTTATTTGTTGCGATCATCATCATCCTAGTTGGGGGGAAAAGAGGTCACTCTTCTTTCATCGCGCGCATGAACACGTAGCTGATAGCAAGCGACGCGATGTCACATGAGCACCAAGGGGAAGTGCAGCTATTTTGATCAAAATCTGACTTGCGGTAGAAGAAACCGCAAGCACCTATTTACGCAAGTCGAAACATATATCGCGCACGAGCCCGGGTGGACACGCACACACGTCCTCGTCAAACTGGCTGAGCTTATGACGATCGCAATCAATGCTGATCGCAATCCAATGGCCTCAGCAGCGCACCAACTAGTGCAAGTGCTGTGTAACCACAACAAATAAATTTTCTGCACAGTGGGTTCGGGTGTGAAATGCACCACACATCAACCCCACACTTTGTAGTACAGAAGCGACAGCTTCGCGTTTGACGAGAGAAGGTGGTGTCGCGTCGTTGGGGCCGGAAAAGGAGGATATGAAAATGAAATTTCAAATAGAAAATGAAAGCTGCTTTGAAATTTCAAATAGATTTTGATCGTTGTTTTGAAAACGGGGTATTTGGTCTCTCAAATAGATCTTGCTGCGGGAGTGGAACGCAATGATTTTGAGAACAAAGGGCAACTGCAACTTACTGCGAATTTCAATCTTGGTAGCGCACGCGCTAAACGCATGGAACTGAGGTCCGCGATCGTGCAGAAAATGCCATGTATTATTTCGAGTGAATTGTATTTGTACTGGTATTTTTATTCTTCTTCATTCATTGTTGGGAGAGTCTGGAAGGAGTCATAAACCTATTGCACATCATGAACCAGTACAAAAGAAGCGCAGGTGCAGGGGTACTACAACATATTGTATGATTCACGCAATGGATCTTGAATAGTGGAAATCATCGCAATCCTTGGCAAGAATGTTGACGAGGGTTCGGGGGAGGGGATCAGAATGCTTTCTCAAAACTCCATGTACAAGCAGGGTATGCGTGCACATGACGGTTTTTATGCAGTCGTCGGATACTACACAGATCTGAATGCGCACGAAAAACTCTCATCACACGTGATGTCGAGATGATTTGTTCGCGCACGATTCAGGACAAAAAGGTAAGCAAAATGCAGAAGGTTCTTTCTAACAAACATGATGTTGTGTCGTCCTACCACGTGCGTGGAGCAGGGCGCCAAAATGCTACTTGAACATGAGCCATTACTGTACAAAAACGGAAATTCTTCTAACTATGGTTGATAAATCTGTAAGCAAAATTCCAGGAACTCTCGTATTGAAAGTCGATCCTTGTGCTCTAAAAACAGCACAAGTACAACTCGGTATACTTATTATGGCTTTTTGTTCTTCGCGAACAGGGCAGTTAAGCCGATGGGTCCCTCGAACAGTCCCTTGCGCAGCTTGTCGAAGTCCAGCTCGCCCTGTGCGTTGTAGTCTAGCGTGTGGAAGTATCCAAGAAAAAAACTGTGTTAGTGTAACTTTCTTTGGCTGACAGCATCACAAATTTGCTCTACATGACAGAGAAAACCTGTCATGCGTGGCTCGTAAGGGAAAATACACATGAAAAAAGGACTTCATGGCTGTGTGGCATGACAATTGTGACTGTTTTGCATTTTCTGCATCACAGATTTACACTTACACAGTTTTTTTCTTGCATAGGAAGATGCGGTTTCGGCGGGTCCGGGTGCCGATGGTCGTGGGCCCGGGTGGGTAGTGGATGACGTGCGCCAAGTATCGCATGAAAAAACTGTTTCACTGTGAACCTGTGATGCAGAGAACAAAACACCAAACTGTTTGTCTTGCTACACCTGCAAGACATTGGATTTTTAAGCGTGCTTTCCCTTGGGAAACGCGCATGGCAAATTTTCTGGGTCATGTGTAGCAAACTTGTGATGCGGTTCTTGCAAAATCATCACAGTGAAACAGTTTTTTCGTGGGATACCAAGGCCTGGGTGAACTCGGTGGCGGACAGCGATCCGTTGCCGTTGTCGTCGATCATCTCGAAGATCTTGCGCTGCGTGTCGGTCTCCGCCAGGTTATCCACCTGGTACATCTCGCACAGGTGCTCCCGCAGCTGCGCAAACTCTTCCGTCATGGGGACGCGGCGCTCCGTATCCAAAGGAAAAATCCCCCCTCCCCATATCAAAGCGGAAATTTGTGATGCTGATTTGTGACCACAAATGAGCTTTGTATTGCACAGAGGCGCTGGGTCTAGTGGCGTATGGGTCTAGTAGGGGCGTATGGGTCTAGTAGGGGCGTATGGGTCTAGTAGTTCAGCATGGCAAACGGCCCCCCTTTAGGCCAGACAGCACGACAAATCGCTTCCATAATGGGGCGGAAGCTTCTGCCGTTGTCTTCTTGCAAGACAGATGTGATTTGTTACCTCAAATCCGCAACACAAAATTTTTGGGAACATGCCTTTTCAATATGGGGAGGGGGGATTTTTCCTCTCAATACTCCGGCGGTGCGGCGTCGCGCTCCATCTGCGCCTCGATCTCCTTCTCGCCGTTGAAGAGACCAGTATGGAACTGTCAGGTTTGAAATCGTCAAAGTTGAAATAATCTGTAATGCATAAAATGCATGACCCGAGGTACGTGTGTTGCAGAGCAGGCAAGTGAGGCCGATTGTAAGCCTGTTTGGGGTTACAGCTCGAGCTGCTAAAGTAGCACGAGAAAATCACTCTTCTTTGCCTAAACAGCATGACAAACTGGATTTAGGGACCACCGAAATTTGTCATGCGCCACTTGGAAACTGGGTTCCAACTGGCATCCATTTTATGCATGGCAAATTATTTCAACTTTGTCGATTTCAACTCTGACACATCCATAACCGGGCTTCCCGAAGTAGTCCCGGTGCCCGGGGTTCATGTCGGAGGGCGAGATCTTCATGCGGGTGCACCACACTTTGGGGTGTTTCGCCCACAGCTCGTCCTGCGACTTCACGAACATCCAGTCGTACCACCGTTTGAAGGCTTTCTGCATGTCCGTGTTCTTGTAGATCTTGGAGGTGTGGCGCTGCGCCTCGTTGTTGGTCCTCTTCCGCGACGCGTTGTCGCGCTTGCGGATCCACTTGTTGTAGGCCTTCTGCGAGCTGTACCGCTTGATGCCATCCTTTCCAACCACGTACACGTCCTCGTCGATGAAGGTGTTGGCGTTGACCGCGTCCCGCACCGCGTTGATCCGGTCCGCTCTCCTGAGTAAAAACGTACCAACACCAGAGTCAGGATGAGGATTTTGCAACACAAGCCTAGGAGTTTTGTGAGTCACGCATGACAAGTTGCACTATGCAGTGTAGTGCAGGTTAGCAAGTGCAGCCGCATCACAGATTCATCTGCTCATCCTGTTCACAGCGTCACAAATTCCACAACACGACTGGAAATGGCTCTCATGGGGATGCGCATTACAAGTCTTCTTGTCTTTGCAAATCTGCATTACAACTCTGGTGTGGGTACGTTTTTACTCAGGATATCCTCCTCGTTGTGCTCGCGGTGTTTTTTCGCTACCTCCTTGGGGTCGATCCCCAGTACGGAGCCGAACTCCTCGAAGGACAAATCTCCGGACCCGTCTTCGTCCAACAGGTGCAACAGGTTGGCGCGGCGCTCGTACGCCACCTCGTCGTCGGCGTCGGCGCTGGGGTAGCACATCTTGGCCAGCCCCACCTGGAACTCCTCCATGGAGACGGAGTTGGAGCGGTCGGTATCCAACAGCTGGTAAAACTTGTACCACCACGTCGTGTCCGCCATGCCGTCGGAACCACGCAACATCTTGCCGTACCTGTAGCGATTGTTCCGATTTGTGCGCAAGTTTCGTGGGAATTAGTGCATGATGATGATGTTACTTTCGATTTCCTGTTCACAAAATAAATGAAAATTCCCTGCTAACATGCCTACTCACACAATGAAAAATTCCTCGTCAAATTGCAACGCTCAAGATGAAAACTAGCCTGTTCAGTACTTGTGTGCCAGCCACACGCGGAAGTAGAGCAGTTCGTCCTCGACCGGAGCAAGGCAAAAACGCTTCATAGCGTCGACTTCCTTCCCGTCGTAGTAGGTAACCCAGTAGATGGGCTGTTTTCCGCTGTTGGGCGGCATCATGGTGATCGGCATGCGGCAAGTTCCCTGGTCTGGCGGGTCCAACCACACCGCGGCTCCAGCGCAGTAGACCTGTGATAGGACGACGAAATTTTTGATAAAATAGACCTGCCTTTTTCGTACATCTAAATTGAGTGAGAATAGCAGGGAAAAAAAGACGCGGTTATACTCTTTGTCTCGCAGTCGCGACCCATGCAAACAGAAGGTTGACATTACTACCAAGAGCATGTTGAATCATAGCGGTAAACAAGTATGTATTTTTACCTTGGTATTCTGGTCGAGCGGCGGGCGGGCCTGCCTGCTGCGCCACGTGATGTCGACTTGCACCTTCATGACAGGGCAGGCGATGTAAAACCGCGATCCCGCTGGCGGGTCCTTGTCGATTTTCACATCCGCGAGCAGATCGTCGAGCTGCTTGCTGACGCGCTTGAACTCCTTGCCCTTCGGCGGCTCCCGCGCGAACAAGTCCGCCGCGGTCATGCCCTCGCCACGCGGCTTGGGGTTCATGATCATGGACTTCTTGCCGCGAATACCATCGAAGGTTTCGCGAGACCCCAACGACGACGCCATCTTGTCAGAATGGGTGTTTTGTCAAAAGACGATGCGATAAACAGCAGTGTGTTGTCTTGGGTTATGCTTTACCAGAGTTTTAGTCCGATTGCAAGAAAGAATTTTCGTATTAAAAGTAGTTGAGTAGGGTCAACCAAAATCGATTTAATTTCAACACGGCACGATGCCTGATGGGGGCAACAAGCTATCGAAATATCTTCGCGGGAGAAGCCCTGTGAAATAAAATGAAGAGGCAGCACGATTGACGAGATAGCGAAAACACAAGGAGTGAAAACACAGGACGCACGAAAAGAACGAACCAGTAGAACGATAGATACCGAGCTGTGGGTCTGCGTCTGCAGTACGATTGCTTACTACTCTTTTGCACGATAGACATAGATAATTTTGCACGTACCGATTATTTTTTTCGACTGAAGAATTTGGATTGAAGTACTACTCACATTTTCGCACGTACCGATTTTTTGCTGTTGCTTCGTTTAGAGTGTCGCAATTAGACCGATAAATAGCTTTGCGCGTGGTCTCTCTGATTGTCCAGGTCATTCATCTAGAGTCAAAGTTGAACAGTTCTGTCTAATCAGCAGCATCGCGATTTTCGCGTTCCTCTGAAACTGGACAAAACTGCAACTACATTACTTGCCAGGGGCCGTCGTACCTTTTTGCATCTCCTGTACACTGAAATCTTTGATTGCCTTCAAGAAGTTTCGATTCGATAAAATCCCAACGCCACGCGCCTTTGCTATTTTTTCAACAGCTTTGGTTGAATTGCATTTGGTTTGCCTGATTAAGATCGCTGCCGTTATCGCTGCACTTCGGTTGACCCCCATCGCGCAGTGGACAAGCAGTCCCGGCAAAGTAGACCCTGCCGCGCCAATATCAGGGTTGGTGTTAGCACCCGCCGGTAAACAAGCCTTTTCCATTCGTTTTCGGGCACGAGCCTCGGCCTTGGACTCCTTCTTGGGTACAGAGCTGTTTGGAATTGAGGAATTTTTCGCAAGCACCGTGGAAGCCAGACTGCTTGTTTCGCTTTCAAGAGTGGCGAGCAAGCTCTCTACAAATGCGCAGCATTCTTCAAAATGCCGAGCGATGTCATAGTCGACATGGTCCTCGCAAGGCACTTCCAGATACCGAACCGGCGTCGCTTCTCCTTCTCGTTCGTTCGTCGCATCAGCCGCGCTCTTGGGTCCGGTCATTTTGGAATTCCGCCCCAAATTTTCATCATAAAACTTTTGAAGATGTATTCCATTCTCTGCGGACTGCAAGTTTTGGTCAAGTTGCGACAGCGTTTCCGCGGCGATTTCCTTGCATCCGGCGGAAGGGCAACAATTGATCACGCCGCGGACGCGGTGTCAAGTGGTCCAAGTTCCCAAGATGATTTTACGCATGTAACCGATTTTAAAAATTTCGCGCCCCGGGTTCGCGCAAATGTGACCAAGCGCGTAGGCAGGTTCTAGCGCTGCTTTCCTCGCGCCTTGACATAGTGCGCCGAAGCGGATGCGTCCGTCGCAATGGTACAAGTGCGACGCCCGACCACTTTCTGTTGGTCACAGGTGCGCACGCAAATTCACAGGGGCCGGGCCCCCAGCAGCGCCACACAGTGCCACACCCGCGCCAGAAGCTCACAAAACTTCTCACGCAGCCGCAACCAATCGGAACAACACTCGGCGCTCTCGGTCATGGTGCCCCCAAAGCCCGAAGTCGTGACCCAGCTTCGAACCCGCGCTCACTCAGAGCGCGGGCACAGATAAATAAGCTGGCAGGATCGGGGGCTCCTGATCTTACGAGCAAGAGCCCCCAACCTCGTCCCGGCACCATAGCGAGATCCACGAAAGCGGACTCCCGATCTCGCTGATCTCGTGCCGATCATTCACCGGCCGATCTCGCGGCGAACTCCGGCCGATCTCGCACCCCCTCCCGCCGATCTCGCTGCGATATAACTCACGGCCAAAATTGATCTTACTGGCCAGCGCCCGCAGGTCGAAAATTCCTTCCCATTTTCGCTGTAGAATGAATTTCCGCCCGCGAGATCAACGAGATCGGGCACGAGATCAACGAGATCGCGGGGGAGATCAGGCGGGAGACCATGAATTTCCGCCCGCGAGATCAGCGAGATTGGGCACGAAATCAACGAGATCGCGGGGGAGATCAGGTGGAGATCATGCGACGTCGATCGCTTTGATATCGACCGTTCTCGCGTCGTCCCAATACGAGATCGTAGCGCGGCCCGCGGGGAGGCGCCGGCTTTCCCAGCCGGCGAGGCCGCCGGCGTTCACGACCGATATCGCCAAGCCGGGGCTGCTACTTCTGCAACGTCGCTCGGCGGGCGCTTCGAAAATTACGCAGCGCCCTTGGTTGCAGTTACAGAGCGCCGCCGCACCGGCGCGGTCAAGCCGAAAGGCTTCAGAGAGAACCGCGGGCAGGTCTTTGGCCGTGCCATCTCTCGCGAATTTCATGACGCTGAGTCGACCAGCCGCTGCGGAGGCATTGCGCAGAACGGCCGAGGGGTTTACGCTATGCCGACGAATCCCCGGACAGACAGACCACGGCAACGCTTTGGTCAAGTTGCGACAGCGTTTCCGCGGCGATTTCCTTGCATCCGGCGGAAGGGCAACAATTGATCAACCGACGTTCTTTTTTCTGAAAATTGTTCGGCGCCCGCAGGATGGGGCCCAGGCGCAGCGGGGCCGGGGGCAACGGCGAGAGCGGGAGGCGAGGAGGCGGGGCTGGCGGATATTGGCAAGGCCGATGCAGTGGCAGCGCAGGCACCGCCTGCCCGCACGCGCGCGCCACAAGCCGTGCCGGCCGGCGGGCCCTGGACATTGTGGGCCCAGACGGGCGCGGCCAGCCTGTTGGCCAGCGGGCAGGAGCCGAGCTATTGCATGACGCGGCCACCAATGCATCTAGTGCCGGCGGCGCCGGGGCCCGGGGCCTTCGCCCTCCGTTACATGCGCCGGCCCTTCGGTCCACAGAGAAGACAGAACCCGCCGGCCGCGCACAGCTTTGGGCGCGCGGCGGCAATTGTCCCACCCCGTGCAAGCCCCACCACGCCAAGGGCTTCGCGCAATGCGCCCAAGTTTGCCGGGGCCGGGGCGACGGACAGGGTGGGAACGAAAAGAAAGGCGGGCGGCGCGCAAAAGCGGGCCCCGCCCGGTGGTTCTATTGCAGAAACTAAACAGGCGAGGCGCGCCCCGCATATTGCGTTGCCGGGCCCGCCTGGTGTCTGTCAGTCTTCCGCCCCGATTTGCGGGGGCGTCTGCTGGCCTTCTTTGCGTTGGTCCTGGTTTCCCGCGTTTTTTTCGCACGACATCCCCGGGCCAAATGTGCACGAGAGTGCGCTGGCCCTTAAAATAAAAGCGCCGGTCGCGCCGCGACCTTTTGGGTAGCCTAGCTAGCGAAGAGAATGAACGGCCGACGGCCTCCCATCAATCAGAACCCCGGCCCGGGCACGGCGTAGATGCAGCCGGCGCGCAAAATGGGGGGCCACTCTCATGGGCGTGCGTGCTTGCGAAGCAAAGAGAACCGCTACAATTTTGCGCGCGGCCTCGGCGTGTCTCGCGGGCGCCCCTTGGTGGCCATGGGGCCGGCTTGGCGTGGTCTGCGGAAAAGTTGTGCTTCCTCCCTAAACCACAACTTTTCCCGGACTCCGCTCGTGTTTGAGGGTAAAAAGAAGCTGCACAACGCCCAAGGGGGGCAGAAAAAGACAGCCACAGGTCGTGCGTAACCTAATGCAGCATGGTATGGCTGCGAGGGAAATTCGCACGCAGCGATACCATGCAGCATAACCTCATGCCCGATGCTATCCCTGTGTGTGTGGGGGAGTGCGAATGTTGCTGCTTGGGGATAGCATCGCGCAAAAGGTTACGCGCGACGGTGTGCAGCGGCTGCGGCAGCCGCTTGTGGCGAAAGAGGGGATTTGTAATGCGGAGAAGAGCCCGGGTTGCGGAGAACCCGAGGCTCCGGGCTTTCCCCATTTACCCACAACCCGAGCCCCGAGCTCTGGGGAGCCCCGCACTCCGCATTTGTAATGCGGAGAGCCCGACCTTTCCGCCCATTTGTAATGCGGTCTTTCTCCCGCATTTGTAATGCGGAGAGCCCGACCTTTCCGCATTTGTAATGCGGAGAACCGGAGGCGCGGTCTTTCTCCAACCGGAGGAAGCGGAGTTTGCGAATTTGTGATGCGGCTTTTCTCCTGCGGGGAGAAAAGCTGCATCTAAATCCGGCCGGTTTTCCAATTTTGTAATGCAGTTTTTCTCCACCCGATCGTTCGAGCGGAGAAAAACCGCGCGCAAAACAAGTAGCTTTGCGCGAAAAAACGGGCACAAGCCCTAGGAAAAGCGCAGCTTCTACCCCGTCCGGAGCGGGAAAAGTTGTAAGCGGGTGGAGCCCCATTTGCTTCCTCATTCTCGTAGGTCGCTAGTTTCATTCTCGTGACAGTGTATGCTCTTACTGGGGTCAAATTGTATTTTGTCCGTTCATATCCGCGACGATTTCCTTGCATCCGGCGGAAGGGCAACAATTGATCACGCCGCGGACGCGGTGGCTACGCAGAAATTCCAAATCTACGGCCGCCTCCAGATTTCCGAGGTAGAGGTTCAGTCCCACTGAAGCTCCCCGAGACAGAGTGGCGATGTAATGTACGGAGCTTCCAAATGCCTGCGAACCAAGGGTTCCGTGGTAATACCTATCTTCGGACGGATTCAAATGGTGGTCGATGAGGGCAATGAGAGGCTGAACCTCCTCGAGAACAGAGGCCGAGGAAGTCATGTTCTGTCTTCTCGACCATGCATTCACTAGGAGGGTCGGAACAACGTCACGCAAAAAACACAGTCACAGAGTCGGTTAGATACTAGAAGGACATCACCAGTTTGCTATTGATTCCAAGAAACATCAAATCGCAACAAAATTACGCTATGCTTTTCTGAGACTGGGAGGCAACTTTCCTGCGAAACGAGGCAACTGAAGAACACTCATGTTGGTTCTTGCTTCACCCGTTTTCTGAGATTCTTTCTACACGATCATGATTACGTCCGGGTTTCCGAAGCCGGTCAGAGACTTCGCGCAGACGAATAGACACTGAAAGAGTTGCGAAACGAAGCGGAATAAAACACTGTTCTACCGGTCGAATGAGTCGCACTGTGGCATATGTTCCAGCTTAAAATCGTATGGGAAGCTTGTTCGTTCTAGAATTGGGCGTTTTCCATGCGTTTTGGTATTTTTGTGGGACCAAGTTGCTTCTTCTTCTCCCTTCCTGTTTTCCCTCCTATGCCACTTCTGTACTCCTTGCCCTTTCCCTTTCTACTTGATGCGTCGCCATTTTCTGTTTCAGAGTTTTACTTTTTCCTCTTTTGCGTTTCAGCAACATCAGCGCCACTGTCCTTTGAAGAAGTAGAGTCTTTGCCATTTCCAATGAATTGTGGCTCCCTGCTGTTTGCGTGGTGCTTTCCTGTCAAATTCCTTGCCAACTCTTTCCAGTATAAGTTCCCTGTAGCTTAGCTTTCTCACTCTTACCGCTTTCGATCTCGAAGATCAAGCAGCTCCCATGCGATTATCGCCGGATCCGTCGGCGGAATTCGGCTGGAACGTCGGCCGTGGACACAAGTTTGAAGTCGTTACCCACGAGTCCGTCAACCGAGCTCGATTCCTTACCACGAAACCACAAACCAAACTCCTCTGTTTTTGCGTAGATGATGTTCTCTGTTTGAACGGCGTTATTCCACTGTCTTCGCCGGCCGCACCAACTTTGCCTTCCAACCCTTTCGTTTCTTCTCTCTAATCGAGCGACTTCGAACTGGAAAGCCGATCTTCTTGCATTCAAAGTAACTGGGAATCCGCGTCGGCCGCCGGAATTTGCGTCCCACTGATAAAACCATGAATCGTCATTGACAAGCACTTCGAAGATTTTTTGACATTCATCCTGTGAAAGTCTGAGCACGTCAAGATATTCGTACTGCCTCTGCCGAACGAGGTATGCGTCTCGAAATTCTTGCAGAACTTTTTTACGAATCGAGTCGGGTTGCTGAAGTTTCGTGTACAGGTCGACTAGCACTCGAAGACCGCTCGAACTCCACGCTCCTGTTTTCAAATATGTATGATCCACTGCCGTTGCCCAGTCGAGCCGCCTGCGCTTCGTGCTTGGATTCAAGTCCAGCCACTGAGCCAATACTCTGGACCCAGCATCCGACTGGAAGACGTAGCTGACCACATTGTTCACTGTCAGAAAATCCGCAGACTTCGTTGTCGCCCGCACATCGCCGAAGCTTTCTTGATACAATCCGGCACGCTTTAACGGGAAATGCGCCACAAGGTGAAAATCGAACTTCTTGGCTATCGCTTTCAAATTCGCGCTGTGAAAGTGCGTCTCCTCTAGCGATATCGCAATCATTCCTTTGTGAGTCAGCAAATCTGTTGCTTCGGCAAAAAAGTCGGGAAATCTTTTGGTGGCCCATTTTTTTGGATCATCACCAGGCGAAAATTCAGGAGGATACAAGTTGTTCAGCATTATCAGGTCGTAGGGCCCGTTCCGTCCCCTCTTCCGGGTTTCCGCTACCAGAGAGCCTGGCTGCATTTTAAGATTTTCCTTCAAACCCGACAGGCCATCGACCCCGAAAAGGACTCTTTGTCCACTGAGGTGGATTGTTTCCATGTGGCAAGCGCCGTTCTCCCGGGGGTTGAAGCGTTTCAAAAACTCTTCCTTTGTCTGCAAGACTGTCGCGTCGAGCCATCGTGGAACGGTTGGCAGCACCGAGTTCACGGTACCTGCTGGGGCTGGCGGCTTGTCGTCGAGCACCTTCTCCGCACGCGAAAGCCCAAGATCCGCCTCGTACGAAAGATTTCCACCACCGATCGAGAGAACGCGGTAGTTCCGGTCAAGAATGAGTTCGGCCAGGCTGTTTATGCTCTCGTCTTCCGAACGCGGACGTTTATTGGACATTTTGTCTTTGCGTTATTTACGCCAGCGTGTAAATGAAAATGTTGTAAAACTAAAATTTTAAGCAAAAAGTAGAACGCGCTAAAAACTAGTGATGGCAATGGCAAATCAATAGCAACAACGCACAGACTAGAACGAATGAACCGTCAATCTCCACGGAGAAAAAACAAACAAATGAAACCTAGCCCTGTCCTGTCCACATACTGGGAGGAGTATTTTCGTGAAAAGAATGCTGGTCTCCCACTTGATAAAATGATCACACGAAAGTGGCCAAGCCTCAAAAATACCCAGCGCGCTCTCAGTACCAAGCTAAATTTTTCTTAGAACACGGACGCTTCTGGGTCGCACACATAACCTTTTACAAATGTCGTGGATTTTTACTCTTGCGAAGAGTCGCAAAATGCCGGTAGTACAGCAAAGAGATGCAGAATTGTAGCTGTTCAAGCGCAGAAGTAGAAAAGAGAGATCACACCATGTGTTGGATCGATAGAAAAGAAAAGCTCTGCAGTAACGTCATTATGAGAAAGAGAGTCAAATCATAGCTTCCCCTACTATTTTCGTAGTGCGGACTTGAGCCGTTTCACGGCTTTCTCCAACTCATACGCGGACTTCGAAGGTGTCTGGTCCGCGGCAAACGAAGCCGCGTAACTGTTATCGATGGCCGTCAACGTTCCGTGCAACGCCTTGTCCACTTCTTCTGCGTCCAAGTGCTTGTACAGGGCCTGCAGATCTTCCAGACCGGAAATGTTCTGCGACTTGCTCGCGGCCGCCACCAGGTCCGCAATCTGGATTCCTTTCTGCGACTGAACTTCCCTGTGACCCAGCTCCTTCGCGCGCGTTTTCGCGACCCGATTGTTCGCGGAGGACGTGGATGCAAGCACCCTATCGTTCTCGACGCGTGGGGAAATCGAGCGCGCAACGCGGTACTTCGAAGACGTTCTGGAGACAAAGGACTGATCTACGGCTCCGGCGGTGCCTATGCCTTGATCAGCCGATGTTAGTTCCTGGTCGTAGTGGTCCCGCTCGGCTACGTCAGCACGTCGTCTTCGCAGCGGCGTTGGCGACTTTGCCAGCATTTCAGACAGTGTGAGAGGCGCGGGTGCAGCGGGCTTGTTGCTGGCGGCTGATTTCGTTTTCGACCCGTCTGGAATGAAACCAGACGACGCCGGCGCGCGGGACGACGAGTGCGACGGTTGTTCCAGCGTCGCATAACTGCGGTCCAGAATACTAGTAATGCTGGACTCCTCCGCCGGATGCAAGTTGCTGTAGCGTTCCTTCGGGTGAATCCGCTCGGGGGACAGCGACTTGAAGATGGAGTCGGTGCGGAGTCTCGCCTTCGTCTGCCGCAGCATTTTCTCCACGGAGGCCTTTTCGTGCCGCGCGGTTCGCAGTTCCGTTTTCAAGCCCGTGAGTTCCTCCTCGCGCTGCCGTCGATGCTCGTGTGCTTCGGACAGTTGCAGCTCCAGGGTTTCCACTTGTTCCGCATGGCCGCGCTCTTTGCCCTTCCACTGCGCGCGTTCCGCTTCCAGCAAGTCGGCCACCTCCTGCACTTGGGATCGCCACCGCTGTTCGTCCTCCTCCTGCTTCTTCGCGACCTCCTGGCTTTTCTGCTCGTTTTGCTCGCTGACCGCGTCCAGCGCGCAGGCCGACTTCTTCAGGCGCTTGCGGTACTCCCACAACAGCTGCTCTTTTTTACTCACTTCGCTTTTCGCCTCCTGCAGCGACGTGCGCACGCAGGACAGTTCGGTTTTCAGCGCCGCCACTTCTGCGTCCTTGCTAGTTTCGATCAGCGTCTTCGCCTTTTTCTCCAGCCCCAGGTCTAATTCTGCCTTGTCCGCCCGCGCCTGCAAGTGGTCGCGCTGTTCCCGCAAGACGAGCAGCTCGGCCTCCGACCGGTTCAGCGTGTCCAATTTCGTCTCCGTGCACCGCTTTTCGGCACTCAGCTTCTCGTGTGCCAGGTCGGAATTGTAGGACTTGAGCGTGTCGATCTCGGACTTCAACGCCAGGTTTTCCCGGTCCAGCAGGTCGATCTCACGCCGCTTTTGTGAAAAGTGCGTTTGCAGTAGTTCCAGCTCCTCCAAGCGGGTCGCCAGCTTCAGCTCCAGAGTCTGCTCGTTTTCCTGCAGGGTGACCACCTGCTCCAAAGCGTCCGCCAGCCCGGTTTGCAGCTCGTCAAACTTTCCCTTGTCGAGCTTTTCCCGCTTTTCTAGAGCGGAGCGCGCGATCCCGAGCTCCTCGGCCGCGTCGTCTAACTCCTTTTCCTTCATATCAGCGGAGCTCTGCAACTTCTGGATCTCCGTCCTCAGATTTGCGTTGCGCTTTTCCAGTAGGTCAATTGCCGTCTGCTTTTCCGCCAGCAGGGTGCTAGATGCGGTTTCGTGCAAGGCTTTTTGCTTTGCCAGAGCCTGTTCGCGGCGCTCTAGTTCCGTTTCCAGCTCGGCGACGCGGTCCTCTAGAATCAGGAGCTTTTCCGAAACTTCGGCGCGATCAGCAACTCGCTTCTCCTCCATTTGGGCTAGATCTGCCTTTGATCGCGAAAATTCCTGTTCTCGTGCCTCGATTTCTTCCTCCAGATCGGAAATCAGAGTTGTTTTTTCCTCAATCGCGCGGTCGAAAGCGGCTTCCCGCTGCAACAGCTCCTCCTTCTGCTCACTGAAAACCTAATTGATATAAAGGGTTCAAGATTTTTCTCGGGCTTTCTGCGGACGAAGAAACCTTGTTTTCAAAAGTCCAGCGTCAAAATCCTCAATTCGAAGATACAAAAGCAACCAGAATCTTCGAAAGTACCTTCGTGCTGTTTTGCAGCAACTCCGCGTTTTCTTTCTCGAGCTGCGCGACCAGCTTATCGCATTCCTCTTGTCGCACCTCGAGCTCCTGTCGCACATCTGCCAAATTTTGTTCTCTGACAGCGAGCTCATCGCGAAGCCGGCCGTGTTCCTGGTCTTGCTCTTCCAGCTGCAGCTGCAACTGCTGCTGCTTCTCGTTTTGCACCTGCAACAGTTCTGTTCGTAATTGCAAGAGCGATACCTCGTCTTTCTGCGTCGTCTCCTGCAGCGCAAGTTTCTCCTGTGACAAAACCTGCAGAGAGTCCTTTGCAGTTTTCAGTTCTGCCTCCGCGACCGCGGTGCGGCGCTGGGCCTCATCGACCCGCGACTCGGCATCCACGCGGTCCTGCTTCTTCTGTCGCAGTTCCAGGGAGTATTTCTCGCGGAGCTCGTTGAGCATCGTTGTGGTGTCCCCAAGTTTTTTCTGTGCGTCCAGGGCATCCTTCGTGGCAGTTGCGCTTTCCGCGGCACGTTGCTGTTCCAGCTTGTCCAGTGCGAGCCTGTGTGCTTCCGCGAGCGCAGCTCTTGCGGCCTCGTCGCCCTCCTTCGCGCTCACGAGTTCCTGGCTTTGCTCGTCCAGCTTGTCCATTAGACGTTTGTTGTCCTCAAGTGCGTTTGCCAATTCGTCCAGAACGCGGCCTCGCTCCGCGGAGAGAATTTCGCCCTGCTCGCGTTCCTGCGCCAGACTCTGCTGCACCTGCGCGTATTCGTTTTCCTGTTTGGCCTTCACTTCTTCCAGCTGGGTCCGCAGCAGCGAGACGGCTTTGTCGTGCTCCAGTTGCAGGGCATCGCGCTCGTGCTCAACTTCTCGTCGCAAAATGTCCTCCGTGTCGGCCTGCAGCTCCGCGCGCAACGCGAGCCGCACGCACGCGGTTTCCTCTTCCAGGCACCGCTTCCACTCGGATTCAACCTTCTCTTTTTCCTCCAGTGCCTGCTGCTCGAAACAGAGCTTTTCGTTCGCGTGCTTGGCGATCAGCTCGGCCTTTTCCTGCTCCGAACGCGCTTGCGCAGCAGCGATGTCTTCATTCAGTTTCGCAACCTTTTCATCGAGGTCTCTTTTGAGTTCCGCAACTGCTTCTGCGTGGCTTTCCTCTTTTTCGCGGAGCACTGTGGCATGGTCCAGTTTCAATGCCGATATTTCCTCTGCATCTCCTGCCCGGGTGGCGGTCAACGCGCTGCGCAGCTCTTCCACGGTGACGCGATGCGTTTCTTCCATTCGGTTTACTTCCCCAACGTGCTCCTTTCTCACTCTTTCCAGGTCCGCGGCGTGCTGTGCTTCCAGCGTCGTTTTGTCCAGGCCCGCAAGATCGGTCATTTCGTTGCGCAGGGTTGCCAGCTCATTTTCCCAGTACGCGTCGCGCTCCTTGCCTTCGCGCGCGCACTCCATCTTCAGGTCCGTCACGATGCGGTTCCGCTCTTCGGTCAGTTCCTTCTCGCGTTCATACAAACTCGCAACATTTTCTTCCGCCGCCTTCTTCGCTTCGGCTTCCAGCGCGGCGATGCGCTTTGCGAGGTCTGCCTTGTCCTCCTCGGACGCGGACAGGGCTCTGGCAAGCTGCTTCTCCAGGTCCTCACAGCGCCACGAGTAGGAGACTTGCAGTTCGCGCAACAGCGCTGGCACGTCACTCGTCGCGTCTACTGCGTCCAGTTTTACTTCTTCGCTATTGTTGAAGCTGCTGCTGCGCCCTGGCATAATTTCCCGGCGGAAGGCTTTCACTGCGTCGCGGACGACGGTCGCGAGTTCTGCTGTTTCTGCCCGTTGCTTCTCTTCGAGTTTTGAAACGTTTGCGTCGTGCTCTTCCAAGGCGACGGACATGTCGTGCGCGCGGCCCTCGCGCTCCACTGCAAGCTCCTCGCGGACGTGTTGCACTTCCTCCCGAAGCTGCGAAAGTTCAACCTCCTGCTGCTGCTCCCGTGCGAGCAAGGCTTCTTGTTCCAGGGTGCTCTTTTCTTCTTGAACGGACGACAAAGCCTGAATTTTGTCGAGCTGCACGGTCTGCAACTCTTGCAGGGTGGCCACCATGGCCTCGGAGTCCTGCAGCATTTGGTCCACGTTGGCAAGCCGCTGTAACTCGGCGGCCACGTCGTCGAGGGAGCTGCACTCCAGTCCGTGTGCCTGGCAGTAGTCGAGGAGAGTCTTCTGCTTTTGCGTGTGCGATTGCAGATCGTTTTCCATCTCCTCGTGCACGAGCGCCTGTTCCGCGAGTTCGTCTTGCAGCGCACGCAATTTCGCGTCCTGTTCTGTTTGGAACGTAGTCAGCTGCTCCTCGCGCTCCGCCAGTTTCTGCTGCAGCTTCAGCAGTTCACCTTGCCGCTCCTCGTTGAAGCCTCGCACGGTGTCGAGCTCGTCTTGCAGTTGTCTCGACTGGGTTTCGGCCGTGCTGGACTGGTTCGCGAGCTGTCCACGGACCTGATCCAACTCGCGTTGCAGTGCGTCTTTCTCCCGAGTTACCGCGTCCTTTTCTTCGCGCACCACCTGCAACTGCGTCTCGGTCAGAGACTTTTCACCCAGTGCCGTCTGCAAACGACTCTCGGTCGCGGATTGCTCTTCCTGCAGCGGCATCAGAAAGCGCTCGCGAAGGTCGGCCTCGCGCTTCTCATAGTCGGTGCGCAGCTGTGCCAGCGCCGTCGCCTTTTCGCTTTCCAAGACGCCCCGCGATTCCGCGAGTTCGACGGCGTGCGCCTCTCCGGCTTTGCGGAGCCGCGCTTCACACTCATCTGCCTTAACGGCGAGCTGCTCCAGTCTCTGCTTTTCGAACTGCTTCTCCAGTACCGCCTGGCTGGCGGCCAACTCCCGCTCGAGGTCCCCGGCGAGATCTTGCCGCAGTTGCTCCTGCCGCTTTTCCCACTCCTTGTCGCGCTTCTCCAGGGCCCACTGCAGAGCTTCGTCGCTGGTCTTCTTCAGTTCCGTGCGAATCTCCACCTCAAAACGGTCGCGGTCGCGGTCCGCCTCGTGTTGCAGTCGTGTTCGCTCCGCCTTCACCCGCTCAGGAAGTTCCACGTCCGAGAACCGCTTCTGCGCCACCTCCACGGCCTCCCGGGCGCGACGCTCCGCAGCGTCCACTTCGGTCTGCCAGTGTCGAGCCTGCTCCACCCGTTCTGCCTGCAGGGCCGCAGAGAGCTGCTCTCGATGCTGTCGTGTTTGCGTAGAAAAAATCACGAAGGAATTGTTCGCTCTCGAAATTATACGACACAGTCAAACAACACCAAAACCGGCGTGCGCAAAGGGGATACCAAAATTTTGACTTGAAATTATACCAACAATACTTTACTAGATACAACACCCCAGTACCTCCGCCTCCCGCGTCGCCAGTGTTCGATCGTACTGCAGCTGCAGATCTTCGCGGAGTTGCTTTTCGTTCTGGAGTAACAACTCACTGTGACTGTTTTGCAACTCTTTTTCCCGCGCCAAGAGTTTTTCCTGCGCCTCGTGCACGTGCTTGCTGTACTCGGCCTGCAAGTTTTCCTGGTGCTGTAAGAGGCTTTCGCGCTCGCGCTGGAAGCGCTTTTCGTACTCCGCGTGTCTGGTTTCGTAGCTCTGCTCCAACTCGGCCAGCTGCCGTTGGATGTTTTTTTCGTACACCTCCATGGCCTGGTGCTTCTCCAACACTTTGCGTTCCGCAAGCGCGCAGCGCTGGTCCGCCTCTATCCTATGTAAAAACGTCCCCACCCCATAGTCAAGATGGGGAATCGGCTAGACAAATCCACAAGCTTTGGCTGTCTTGCATGACAAATTTGGAGTCGTAGTGTAGTGCTGTTTGAGCTAGCTTGGCAGCATCACAAATCTAGTATATCATGCAGATTGGAGCAAGACAAATTCAAATTGCAAAACACAACTATAAAATAAGTAAAAATGCTTCTCATGGGGCTCCGCATGAGAAATATTTTCAGCATGCAGATTTGCAATACAACTATGGGGTGGGGACGTTTTCAAATACGATAGCCTCCGACCGGTACTTGTCGGTGATGGCCACCTTTTCGCCCTCGTGCAGGCTGTGCGTATGAATGTGTCAGGATTGAAATATTGAAATAGTTTGTCATGCATATAACGCAACGCAGAAAATGCCTGTCTTGCAGAGTAGGCAAGGGAGGCAGATTGTCAGCCTGTTTCGAGGTAGAAACAGAGCTGCTAAAGTAGCATGACAAAAGGCGTCTTCCTTAATACCCAAACAGCATCACAAACTGCATTTCGGCTCTACTCAAATTTGTCATGCGCCGCTTCGAAATTGGGCTTGCAACTGGTATCGATTTTATGCATTACAACTGAGGTATTTCAACTTTGTCGATTTCAACTCTGACACATCCATAGTGCGCGGCCTCCAGCTCGTTTTGGAGCTGCTCGCGCATCTCCCTCGCCTGCTCCAGCTCCCGCGTGGCGGACCGCGCCTGCATGTCCTTCTCGTGCAGCTCTTCCTGCAGCTCCGCGCGGCTTTTTCGCTCCTCCTTCCACTTCCGGACGTACTCCTCCCGCTCGGTCTGCAATTCTCTGATCTCGGCGCGGAGCGCCACCGCCTCGGCCTGCAAGGTTTGCTCCTGCGATTTCAAGCGCCCCGCGGACTCCGACAGGGAGACGCGCAGCGTTTCGTTTTCGGAACGGAGTTTCTGCAGGTTCGTGCTGTCCTCCAGCTGGTTATATCGGCGGTTACGGCCGCCCGCCTTGTCCACGTCCACTCGCAGGAACTGCGCAGGGGTATTGTCCATGTCGGCGTAGCCGGAAAACTCCAGCGAAGTGTTTACCGCGCTGTCCACGGTCTTCGTGTTCCGCAGCACCGCCACGCCCTTCTTTTGCACGTCCTGCAACTTCTGCTGCGCGACCCGCTCGCGACGCGTCAGTGTGTCAATCTTCGCATCGGCCTCCTTCTTGAACTCGCTTAGTTGCGTCACACGGTCGACTATGGCGGCAAGGTCCAGTTTGGCATCAAGCTCAGCGAATTTGAACCCCGTGCTGGTTGACGTATTCAAGCTGGCCTGCGATGATATTCTTTTTGAGTGCACCAACGGAGATAAATCAATGCTCTAGAGCCAAAGACAAAATGGCACATCAGACGCGCGATAGGACATCAACGCACGCTTGAAAAGAACTTGTTTTGGGAATAAAACAAACAGACCGATCAAGCAAGCCAACAAGATCGACCAAGTCATTCAGTACGTCGTGCGCTCCCGCGGCGGCGTCTGCAAGTGAGGAGATGCGGAGGAGAATATCTTCTCGCTCCTGGAGTTGCGTTTCCAATATCCTGAGTAAAAACGTCTCCATACCAGAGTCAACGTGGAAAATCTGCTAGACAAATCGGCCAACTTTGGTTGTCTCGCATGACAAGTTTGTCCTCGTAGTGCAATCCTGTTTAGCTAGTTCAGCAGCATCACAGATCTAGCCTATCATGCTATTTCTAGCATCACAAATCCCAAAACGCGATTAGAAAAAGCTTCTCATGGGGCTTCGCATGAGAAACTTTTTTGGCATGCAAATTCGCATGACAACTCTGGGGTGGGGATGTTTTTACTCGGAATATCCAAATCCACGCACTTGCCTTCCGCGTCCTCGTAGCCGTGGCGTACTTCGCGCTCGCGCTCGGACAAGTCGCGGACTTGGGTTCTATGCACTGCAAAAATGTCTGGGTCTGGAAACTTGTGATGCTGGTTGAGAAAGACGAGGACGCCTCAATTGACTGGCAAGCATGACAAGTTTTAGGGGTGCTACAGTCTTGGTGTTTCTGCATGACAAAGTGAGCTTCTGCATGACAGAAAAATGGAGCTTTTGGGTAATGTGCATGACAGACTTGAGAATCATCTCAGACAAGCATGACAAACTTCCATTCTTCCAGACTCAGACACTTTTGCAGTTCATAGGTTCGCAGTTTGAGCAATTCGGAATCCGTCTCGGCCGCCTGCTGCTCGAACTCTTCGAGATACCGCGCAAACTCCGCTTCCACTTGCGCCAAGGCTTGCTGACAGCAGGGCTTCGGACCCGTCGTTGTACTATCCATCCCGCCGGGGGTCGACGAGGACTTGCTGCCTGACCGGGCCCCCGCGGACGGCGCTTTAGAAGTGACGCCCGGACTGTTCGCAATGCTCCGCGGGCCCCCGGACGAGGAAACCTTGAGCAGAAGCTTGCTGAGCTCGTCCTCCTTGCGGTCCAACTCCATCTGCAGCCGCATCGCCAGACTGCGGTAGTCCGTGATTTGGTGAATCTTGGGTCGGTTCTGCACCCGCATGGCGCGGCTGCCGAATTCCAACGTCGACTGCGTCTCCTCCACGTCGCGGTCGAGCGGCGACACCGTGACAATCAGAGCGGTTTTCGCCGTGCCGCCCAGCGAGTCTTGCAGCAGTCGCGTCAGTTTGCTGTCGCGAAACGGAATGTGTGTGCAGGAAACATCGGTGAGCGCCGCGATGCAGTTGCCCAAGGCGGAGAGACTCAGGTTGATCCGCCGAGCCTCCCCGAGCCGGAGTCCCCAGGCGTTGGTCTTCTTGACGCGCTCGGAGCCGGCCAAGTCCACAATGTGGAACCGTGAGAGGACGCAGCTCCCCCCGGTCTGCAGCTCGCGCTTCAGAATCACGACGGCGTGCGACCGGGAACTGTTCTTGTTCACCATGGTCGCAGCCTCGGCCCGCCGGTGCTCGGCGTCGCGGATCAGGCGCATGCAGGCCTCCGCGCTGTGCACGCGCAGCTGCTCGCAGTTTTCCAGGATGATTCCGTCGCGGGGGTCCTCGCGGATGCGCACCTCCGAGGAGGAAAGCGGGAGGCCGAGACTGGCGCTGCCGCTCGCGCCGCCACTGCCCGCACCGTACGCCGTGCCAGCAGTGAAGCCGTCCGCGGACCCGGCCAGCAGGTCCTGCACGAGCTCCATGTAGAGCTCGACGACGGACAGGTAGGTAATGGACTCGTCCTTATTCGAGTTCGTGAAAAGCGTGTGCACGCACGCGGGTACGACGCCGTCCGGGTTGGAAAACAGCGTGTGAGTCTTCCCGGTGCCCGTTTGCCCGTAGGCCAGGATGGTGCCGTTGTACCCGGCCAGCACCGAGTCGCACACCGGCTGGGCGACGTGGTCGAACAGGTCCCTGTTGGTGATCTCCGGGGCGAGCACGCTGTCGAAAAAGTAGGTCTTCGTCTTGCACGTGATGCTGTCCTGCTTGTTAGTATTTGGGTCGGCTGCACCACCGGAAGATGAACTACCCGCTTCCGAGGCGGAGGACCGCGTGGACGAGCGGTTGCTCCTCGCAAATTTATTCGCCGTAGAGGACGAGCTGCCGCCCGTTTGGAAGTGCAAGTGCGACCGGGGGCCAGGCTGGCCCAACACCGGGCGGATTCGGCAGTGCACGCGGACCCGGTCATACTCGGCATCGGGCCGGCGGCGGTTCGGGCTGCGGGTCGACTGGGGCGAATCCGGCGGAACGCCATTGTCTGCCATACTACCATCAGAAGAAGAACAGAAAATGAAAAAAGACGGGTGGCTTTATCAACGTCGAAACGGCTCTATTCTTATCTAATTAGTCGTTCTTTTGCCTTTATTTTCACGATGTGTTGTTACGAAAGAAGAAACGACGCGGATTTGTTTGCACTTTGTCAAGAGCGAAAAAACCATGGTCACACTCTACTTGCTTTTTTTGCACGCAGCGAGCCTCTTTGAATAGCTTTTGGCACAGGTTCTACTCTTTTCTACGACAGAAGTAGCCGTTCTTCCAATTACAACAGATGTTGCCAGTTCGTGACTGTGATTCCAGCCACGCTGACGAAGTGAAAGCGCATGGCGCAGCCGAAATGCGAACATGAACGTTACTGGAAAAAAGGTTGAAGTGCTGGTGCCGAGCAGCGGCGGTGCAATAAATTTGTCGTCGCGTCCATCCAAAACTGAATGAAGAAGAAGAACTTTTACTGTACTCTTCAGTCTGGCGATAATAGTCGTTTTTATTTTCCGCAGGGAATATTAATCATCATATGTGAGCTGTACGCTTGTTCACCATCACTGCTACCCAATGGTAGTGATGTTGTGGTAGTTCTGGAAGGTGACTTGGGTGTGATTTGGGTATTCTTTCTTAATATACTCGAACATATCCTTCAGGTCCTTGTGGGTGCGCAGTGCTTCTTCGCCGAGTTCCGGGCTGACTCCGAGCTTTGCGCTGTCGCGCACCATCAGCATGGACTGCACTTTGTTGTCGAAACAGATGTAAAGGCACACGAGGTTCTGCGTTCGGGGTTTCGTCAAGCCCTCGCGTCCGTCCGGGTGGGTCCCGGCGGCCGCCGAGATTATGTGTTTGTGCGTTTCAAAGTCCATACAGAGTGTGGTTTTGTTCGACCGGAATTCCGGGTGCGTTTCGAAGAAAAACCGCTTGTGCGTTATCTGCTGCAGCTCCGTCCCGGATTCCGTGAACACGCACTGGTACCGCGTCTTCACCGCCCAATGGTTGCCCAAAATGTCCCGTCCGTCGATCATCTTCACCTTGATCCCCTCATCGAAGAACTGCATAAAATCCTCGATTTTCCTTTCGATCTCCGGGCCTGTCGATGATGTGAAAAAGTTGAAAAGACGAGAGAAGATGACCGCTCATAAGCTGATTCTGTTGTGCACGAGTGCGAGCCAAGAAGGAATGATACAAACAAAGAAGTACCATAATGCACAGCAAGAAAAACGCTCCAAGCATAAGTACCTTTCTTCTCCAGTGGCTGATTGGACGGGATTTTGCGGTTGTAAATTTCGGTGAGGAAGCTGCAGAGTTGTGCGGCAGAGAAATTCATTGCTGGCTCTTCGTCGCTGCCGTTGGCTTGTACCGTGCCCCCAGAGACGTTTGCGCCCTCGGGTTCCTCGTCTAAGTCGCTATCTTCGTTGCGTCCGGCGCGCTTCTGCGCATTTCGCCCGGGGGCGGAGATCGGGGACGCATCTCGTGCTCCGCCTCGGTTCCGGGAACGTGATCGTTTCGGGGAACGCCCGCCGCCCCCTCTTCCAAGCCGTCTCCTCAAGCTTTCGTTCTCCTCTATAAGCTGCAGGGGTTTTGGTTTTTCTTTTACATTTAAAAAAAGCATCGTGTATTGTTGCCGGCTCAGACAAGCAACCCCAGTTATTCAAATTCGATGTTGCCAGTTCATCGTTGTGTCAGGAACAATAGCACAAGAAAAAATAGTCGTGTGATTAAACGCTGCTTTGATGATTGAACAGATATCATTCAATACGTCTCGAAGCCGCTCGATGGTGTCGTCCCATTCGGACTGGGGAACCAAAACGACATTCTTCGCCGAATAAATTCTTCTCGACGACAATGCCTCCGGCGCGCGAGGCAGGTCCGAATCAGCCCCCATCTTTTCTGCGATGATGAGAAAGGAAGCGGAAGGAATTGATTCAGAATTGTCACAGATGTCGAGCTAAGCGAAGCATGAATAAAAATGTCAACAAGCACTAAGGAAGTCCTGGACGGTTGAAAAAAACATCATGTGATCCATATTGCACTGCGTTGCTTCAACGGTGTCGCACAATCGGGTGCCAAGGTCGGCCGCTACGTTTGCTCGTTCTTTTGCGAGGAAGATCCACTTCGTCGTTCGAAAAATTGCTTCAAAGCATGCTTAGAAACCATCAGGGATCGATCCTAATGATCTTAAGGTGTACGAGAGAGCGTGATCCACCCTCTACGGTGAGTGCTGTTTTTGTGTGCCTCACGTTTTGATCTGCGGAGCTTGCAGCAAGCGCAAGTTTACCTGGCTTTCATGTTTGTTGTTCAAACTCTGCATACGCAAAGGATCTTTAACTTTCACTTTTTTGTGCGTCGTTACAACCTGCACCTCTGACAGAACATGATATAGAGCCAGCCAGTAAAGAATCGCGTTGCGAATGGAGCCCGCGAATCAATGAGGTAGTCCTTTTAGTCCCGACGCCACTTCTCTCGTTCACTTAATGCTTCTTACTCGGTGAGCTACCCACTGTGCGTAGTTTCCTACTGGTTATTTCGTCCTCCTGGTTCACTTTGCGAAGATGTTAAGAACTTGAGTTTTTGCAACAAGGATGTCCAGATACCCGCGGGGGCTCCAAGCGAACGCTTGGAAGAGTTGTTTTCCAAACGACGCCGAACGACATCATCGACATCGCGGCAGAAAGCCGCATGCATCCCATCCATTGGATGGGTCAGTCGGACGCAAAGCAGGAGCGCTGCAAACGCCAGCTCCACTCTGCCAGACGACAGCAGATGAAAGATATTTTTCTCGAACTGGACGCTGCCAAGAGGATCCTGATCCAACAAAACGCGCTCCACCAGCGAAAACAACTGATGGACGCTCGATCCGGTCGTGCGCTGAAACAAATTCGATGCCGTCAACGCCAAAACCGGCCGCAGCGCGTTTCGTACTCCGTTTTCGTTCTGTGCGAGCGCGCTGGTGCCCGGGCCTGGTACGCCACCGTCAACGCGTGATGAAATCGAGGCGGACAGCACCATCCACACCAGCGCTTCATCCAAAAGGGCTATGGTTGCTTCGTCGGAGCACGTGGAACTCGAACCTCCTCCGGTACCACCAAACAACCCAGATGGTGTTATGGCCGTGGGTGACGATACTGAAATCGCTACTCCGAAAGTTTCGGCCAAGCGCTCACTGAGTCGGTGCTCTTCTAGGTCAAACGAGCTGCTGTGACCGTACTGCACGGCAACGGGTTGAGGCGCCGCGCCTCCACCGGCGATCGCGTTATCAACGAGCACGCTGTTCGCTGCCGTCAGCTTGCGGCACTCGCGCAGGCACCGCCGCTGGGCCTGCCTCGCGACAGTCACCAGGGGGAAGGCTGGATCACCGTTCGGGGTCGAGAGGGCCGGCCACTCGAGTACGCGATACCCCACCAGCTTGTCCAGGGAGTCGACCTCTTCCAGCAGCTTCGCAGATAGACCGCCCTGCACACCCTCGCCGTGCTCCATCGTGCTGCACAGTTCAGCAAGCGCAAGATCGGAAAGCCGGAATGCTGTAGTCCCATTTCCGGCGCTCTCTTGCGGATCGCCACCGATGGCGCGGCCCTGCTGTTGCTCACCGTCAAAAAGCCCGGACAGCGCCAGGTCCCGCAAGAGGTGCAGCTTCGCAAGTTCGAGAACAACGAGAACACAGGAACTAATGAAAGGGTTTTCACTACCGTCTCTGTCTTTCTGAGAATTTTGATGTTCACTCCCTGAAAGTCCCAAGATCCACTGGTTCCACCCGCGCAATGCCTCCCGATGCTTTGCCCAGACGTCCTCCAGCACCTTCTCTGTTCGCACGCTCGCGATGGGTCTCACCGGCTCACTAGCACTCTTCACTGAGGCTTGCATGCCGGATCTGCGCTGCGATCCATTTGCCATTGATGTCGAGTCCTCTTCGTGATCCCCGCCACGACCGTCCGCTCCGTCGGATCCGGGTAACAGCGCTGCGTCCGTATCCAGGCGAGCGAGCATTTCGCGAAACCTTGCTTCCATAGCCTGCTCGTAGGATAAATTTTTCTCGTCATCGCTAACACCTCCTGTTCGCGACGATTGCAGCCTCAAGCCGGCGAGATACGCATCCGCACGTGCCCGCGCGCTCGTGATGAGGTCCACCGCCGACTGTTCTACTTGTTCCGTTGCCGCTCTAGATCTCGACGGTTCCGTGTCGGCTTCGTCCGCAGTCGTGTCCCCTCCTAATCCCTCTTCCGTGAGCATCGTGGCGAACAGGCGCGCGATTGCGTCTTGTTGCGCAGCACCCTTGTTCCGAAGGAAGGCCACCAGCGCCGCTTCGGCCGTAACAGGGCCGCGGTTCTGCGCCGCCGCGCGCTCCTGCTCTGCTTTTGCGGCCTTCTCGGTTTGAAGCCGCGAGCGAGACGCTCGAGCGGTGTGCGCATCGGGATCGGCCTTGAACTCCGTAATCCACTTCTGCTTCTGCCGCTCCCACGACTCGGCCCGGCGCTTTGCGTCGGCCAGTTCGCGCTCAGCTGCCGTAGACTGTGCATTTGCCGCCGCGTCACGCTCGACCGCCAACGCGTCGAACAAAGCCCATCCACTCAATTCCTCCGAGTTTGCTTCGCCCGACGAGGGCCCGCAGGAGCAGGGCAAGCATTGCGCCAGCAGACCCAGAAAGCCTCCTGGCTGCTGGGACTCATTTCGTTCGTTGAGTTCTTGTGTGGAACGTCCTTGTTGCGAGGAGGTTTCTACTTGGTGTTGCATGATAATCAAAGAACAGATTCCGTCCTTGCAAACGCAAAGCTACAACCAGTCAATGAGTATGGAAAACATGTTGTCACGAAGTTCAGGAAACTAAGTGGCCGACATGCTTGCGACGGACTCGTAGGCCCCCCTTGAAAAGAATCGTAGTAGGTACCAGCAGGTACCGAAATCTACAAGAATACATAAGTAGTATTCCGATCATTGATTGTGCCTTCAATGGGGAACTGAATGCGAAGAGGCAGCTGAAAATACCCTCGTTTCGTGAATGAGTCTTGTCAGTGACTCCACATTTGCCAGCGTTGTGTCGCCTTTTGAAGAAAAAAAAAACAAAAAACACCAGTATATTCACCCCGTGCTTCAAGGCAACAGCAGATCAAGCTGAGCGCTTCTGTTTCCGCTTCATGGGCGAGCTCTGCGTCCATTTGCAATTCATAGTTGTTGTGCAAAAAAACCGGAATAAACCGATGCTCGTAGCAATCAAAAAAATCCAAGGACAAACTATTACGTGCAGGAAGGATTTCGCTTTTGTAGATGAGAATAGGGAGGGGAAGTATTTACTTCAACCATACTTCTGGAGTTGCATCACTGCCGCAGTTGCACCGAGCAAGCCAAGCACATGTAATAAGTGCTTCTAGTGATCGACCTGCTCTCAAGCGTAAAATATTCGCACTCTCGGTCCGGTGGTGCGGCACATGGGACACTGGGGGCCTTGGACATCACCGCACGCGCCGCAGGCAACCAGGTGGCGACACTTTGTCCACAAAACCGTTGGCGCCTCGCTCCAGCAAATCGCGCAGGTCGGTACTTCATTCTCGGCATTCGTTTTCGTTCGCTCTTCTCCACCACTGCTTTCCTTGCACTGGTGTTTTTGCGTTTCGCCGAAGCTCCGGGCCATACTCGCCAGTGCGTCTTCTGTCTGCTCCAAATCACGTATTTTGAGCTTGCTCGCTTCCAGTTCCCGTTCCAGCGCTTTCAGCCGCATGGCACTCACTTTGTCGACCGGACCGGGTGGCGGAGCGACAGACATCTCCTGCAGTTCGCCGAAAGCGGCCGTCAGCTGCTCTGGCACTCCAGGTACTGCAAGCGCCTGCTGGATACTTTGGCACATATCCTTGCACTTCTTCATCTGAAAATTGTTGTACGGCGTTACGACGAGCAGGGTGATGGCGAGCCCGAAAGCCGACCACGGTTGCTCTGCTGCAAAAGTCGTCCACTCTGTAAACAAAGTGGACACTTCCGGTGCAACATGGCTCTCCACGAGGGATCCGATCGACGGCGCCAAGAATTCGTAGAGCTTCTTTGCAGTAAACATGGCCACCAGGATAAGCACCATACCGGTATCTGCAAAATGGTGGTCCAGCAAATACTCCCAGAGCTTCCGCGCGCGCTCCAGGAACGGACGCCAGCAAAACATTTTTACTGAAATAACAATCGTCAATCGGAAGATCGCTACGATATCATATCAGATCAGTCCGTACTGCATCAGAAAAGCTTTATTGCGAAGGCTTGCAGTTTGGTCAAAGAGCAACAAGAATAGCCTCTTCTCCTTCTCAAAAAAAACAGATATCGACAAATTCTCAAAGCAAGCTCCATCGGACCTCGAATCAGCTCTTCCTTCGCAAACCTAGCCTTGCACTACGCTTACCAAATATAGCCGCCGGGGCGGAGGTAGTGAGGTCGTGGGCGTTTTTTTGCCGGCCGTCGCCTTGGCCGCGGCTTTGATTTTTCCGGGCCCGCCATACCGTGGGGCCTAACGTCGCGAATTTTGATAAATTTTCGAAATTCCTTTCCGTAAGCCAGCCCCCATGCTATGAGGCCGATCCGGGCGCCACGGGGGGCGCCCAAAAAGCGAGGGAAAATCGGGCCCATAGCATGCGGATTGGCTTTGCGCGTCTGGCGCGCTTTTTCTTTTTTCCGTTTTTATATTTCTCGCCAGCGCCTTTTGCAAAGCTTCCCAGGCTCTGAAACCGGCGAAAAGGCGGCCGCTTTCGCGGCCGCCCAAGATGCTCCGAAATCGCGGCCGTGCCATGCTGTTTCGCTGTTCTGATTTTGGGCGCGTTTTTTGCGCGCCCCTTTTTGGGCGTCCCAAATCGCCAGAAACCAAGGCGGCGGGCGCCTCAGAAGGGCGCCCCTTTTGCTGGCTTCTCTGCGTCGTTTTACCCAGCGGCGATCGATAGAATCCGCTGGCGATTCGGTGCCGACACAGCCAAAGCCGCTTGATAATTGAAATTTTTTTTTGTCAAAAAACACTTCCGCCCGCTTGCAAAATGGCGGCCGTTTTCTGGCTGGGTGGCAAAAAAACTCCCCGGTTAGAACCGTTCGGTGACCTCACTACATACAAGAACTTATCTTGGGGCGGCCATTGCGCGCTCGACTTCCTCATCGCAATAACAAATCGTGGAAGAATAATATATTCAAAGCCGTATGTGAACAACATACCTGGCAAACGCTTGGTGTAAGTCAGGGGCGTGTCTAATACCGGAATATCGCAATCGAATCAACACGTACATATCTCAGGTTTGTGATTTTGTTGTCATGATTAGGATTAGTCTACAAAACAAATTCATAATTCAATTCTGTTTTTAGCTTTACAAGGCAATCGGGTCGAATATCGATAGGCCGCGGTCACGGTTCTGGTTTACTTAGGCTAGTGCTGCACGCCCGTAGCAATGATCAGTGCATGCTTTTCAAGAAGCGAAAGAAACAAGTAAGATTTTTCATTGAACTTAAAGTTTGTTCCATACTGTGCAAAAATTACAAGGCAACTGTAGCAGGAGTTGAAGATTCCTGAAACGGAATCGGAATTTCAATTTTTCTTGACGAAACAAGAATAAAGTGTTGCTGTTTATTCATCATCTTGCTCTTGGTAGTGAAATTTAGAAAACGCTTCTTCACTCCTCGATAAATTTACAACATTTAGACAGAGCAACGTCGTTGGTTTTCTGGCGAAAGCTCTCAGTCGGCACCACCCCCGTCGTCGGCACCACCCACATCGTCGGCACCACCCACGTCGTCGGCTGCGGCACTGTCCCTGGACGAGGCTGCGGCTGCTCCAGCGAAATCACCATTCGTGTAGTCTGCTGCCGATTCGACGTTCGGAGTGGCGGTGGTGTTGAGGGTCTGCTTGTAGTCGCTGAACGCAGTCTGGTTGTAGTTGCTGAGCGCTCCCACAATGATCACTGCAAGGGCCTCCACCTCCGCGTCCGTCTTCCTGGGGACACTGGTGTAGGTCGACTTGCGGGGAGTTTCCCCTGCCGCTCGGGCTTGGTTTACGAACTGCAGGCGCTCGTCACTGCTCTTCAGCGACAGGTCCATGTCCTCCTGTGACAGCTGCGTCTTGACAGCAAAGCACTGGTAGATCAAACACCCCCGCGACCGCATTTCGAAGTGGTGCGCGCAGGCCTCGGAACGCGTCACGTCCAAAGATTCGAACCGGGCGTCGTGCGCGATGGCAAGCGAATCGGCCGCCTTGTCACTGGTGCCATAGAGGAGCTCGTTCTCCAGATTCTGGCTGTTCACAAAAAACTTCGAGTAGCTGCTACTCGCCGCATGACACGAGTGGCGCAACGTGCTTTCGTGCGATTCGTCTTCGCTCGTGTCAATCCGGGACCAAGTCAGGACGGAAAACCGCACTTTCCTGCTCCAATCAAGATCGGTCTCCGCGAGGTTGTCGAAGGAAACGGCGGGAATCATGGAGCCATCAGCACGCGTGTGGTGGGTCGGCGACGCGATGGTTGGGACAAACGTCACGTAATAGTCCCGCCATCCGGAACGCACAACCCGGGCGAACACGTCGTTAGCGTGCCACCGGCGCTGGAGCTCCAGGCGGAACACTTTGCCGACGTCCGCGGCGTAGGGCGGCAGTTTTCCGCCCTCGTAGTGTGCTGCACTAGCCAGTGGCAAAATTTCGCAGTTGAGCCGCCACGTGCGGAAGCCGCCGTCGTTTGCGCCGCGACCAGTAGAAATCTGAAAACCGCTACAGGCCGCCACGGGATTTCGCTGGTCGCCGTCTTGCCCGACGAGAATTACATCTTTGGACGGAATGTTGACAGCATCGGGGACGCCTTCGTTCCCCTCTTTCCAGCCGGCCGTTTCGTTCGCAGTGATGCCGAGCCGTGCTTGGGGACCTTGTAGAGTGGAGAAAGTCTGGAGCGTGATGTCGCCAAGAGGAAGCAGGGCGAGGTAAATGTGTTTCCGGAGCAGCGCGTGTGGTAGCCACGAGTCATGCGCGGCCGCAGGAGGAACGCCCTCGATGACCTGCCCAATGCGATCGCTGTACAGCAGTGACGAAACGAAGGACGTCCGAAAAGCCTCCCCCAGGGTCACCGAGAGGAAACCGAGGAAAAACAGAACGATGAGCCCCATCACAACGGGACCCATTACCGATGCGCCGGCGAGGAAATGAAGAAAAGGCACAGCTGCAAGACCACCGATCCCTTGGTACAGCATCATCCAGAAGCTCGTGACCAAAGCCGTAATCATCGCCCCGAAGCCAGCACGAAGTGTGGCCCGGCCCTGCACCAGGCCTTCGAGGACATACAAATCGTGGTTCGACATCGATCTGATGATGGCCATTGCGGTTGCGTTCCTGGCACTGGCATTGTAGGCATCGCTCGCGATTTTCCCCCGGATGCCCTTGCGAGCGGGCGCCAGCGCAAGAAACGACGCGGCGTCGGAGGTGGACCCAGCAGCATCCTGCGGCAGAAACTCCGCTACCGCAGTCGCACCGTCCTCGTCCGAAAATTCCTCGGCATCAAACTCCTGCTGCCCAAATGCTCCTAGGTTCCCGTCGGCATCTAGGCGAACAACTTCTCGAGCTGCGACTGGAGTGATGTCAACGTGCACGAGCATCATCGCTGACGCGGCCAACGCATGTCGGAAGCGCACAGGTATCGAAGCCCGTGCCGCCATTTTTGATTTTGTGTTCTGCTTCTGCTCCGTCCTTAGTGCAACACAGAACGGCAAAAAGAAACGTCGCAATGATGCTGCTAGTGGTATTCCTTGTGTACCTCCTAGGGTGGTACCTTATCTATCAATATCATAGAGCGGGAAACAATATACTCTTTCGAATGGCAGTCAAGAACATAAGCTACGTGCTGAGACGCTCAACTTTTTTTTCAAAAGATACCGAGCCAACACTTTGCGACGAGCGTCTAGACGCTACAATGACGCAACCCCCGAGCCCGACAAAGACACAGCAGCTCCATCTTAGATTCCACGAATATCACGATGTAGAGACAATCCAGAGAACGACCCCTTCTGATACGAATGCATGTACGAACTTTCATCATGAATATGCGTTTAATTTCACCCAACGTCAACTTTCTAAGTTTGATACTTCTGATATCGACACTGCCGGTTTGTCAGTTTCTCGCGACGTTTGTGAAGAGGAGAACAAGCTCTTTGTCTGGCTGATACAGCAAGCGCCATGACACGCTGCATTGGAGCGATCCATTAATCCTTGTAGTGGGTATTCTTCTTCAACAAGAACGTAAACGATAATTGTCCTTGTTGCAGCATTCATTTTTTCTCTACAACATTTTCTTTCATCTAACACCCAATATGGCAACTGCAGAGGCAGAGAAGATCCCGCCATTTCCGTACACCAAGGCTCGACGGCAATTCCTCACTGAGCTCGCTGGTACACCAGAACTTGTGGTGGCCATAGCTGCCTGCCGGAGGTGGCGGACGGCCTCCACCACATTGAACGCTGCCGGCACTTCCCACGGTGCACCGAACGCCAGCAGCCCCCCGTGCGTGTTGATGGGAAACTTCTCCAAAAACCGGCGGTACGCAGCGGGGTCGATGTCTGCAAGTGAACGCCCCTCGCCGTGTAGTTGAGGCAGCGAGTGGTGCTCAGCGGAGAAGAGAACCGGTGCAAACTCGTCGTGCAGCCCCTGCAGAAGGTCGCCCGCTTTGCCGGCGGGGGCCACTCCCGCGGCTTCCAAGGCCTTCAGGAAGCAGACCGGAAAGCAGTCGTACAAGCCGAAGAAGTCGATGTCTTCCGGTGCGAGACACGCCTCCTCGTACGCAAACCTGCAGGCCGCTTCCCCGCTGGAAAAGTGCGCGCCGGTGACCTCCTCTAGTGGTGGCGGATAGAGCGGGCCGGAGGCTTCCGCACCGCCGAGCACCACCGGCAACTTGGACAGCCACGACTCGTCGTACGCTCCGTCCCGCTCTTGCAAGCGTCGGAGCAAAAACCGGTTGCTGGCAAGAACGATCGCCGCCGCGCCGTCCGCTCGCCGCGCGCACTCGAGCAAGGAGATGTTCTCCGTCACCGGTTCGGCTTCCCGCACCTGCGCCAACGACAGCGGCTTTTTCGTCAGCGGCGTGTAAGAACTACTCGAAGAACTTCTGTCCGCTGTGGCGGCGAAGGAGCTGCTGTGCCAAGACTCCAGCACGGGCACGAGCCGGAGCTGGTCGCGGGTGCAGTGGCCTTGGTTGAGGAGGTGCGAAGTGTACCTATCATACCCGTGAGGAATCACCGGACTGGGCATCGGGTGCTCCAAGTTCTGGCAGCTCGCGTCCGCGCGCCTCAGAAACTCCGCCGAAGATAAAGACCCCACGCAGTCGCCCGCCACGACGGCGACCACCTCGCAATTTTCGCACTCGATCATTTGCGCCGCTTCGAGGAGCGCGGACACCGGCCCGGCGCCCCCGGTGTCGATCGTCCGTACGCGGAGGGGTTTCTCCGCGGGAAACAAGCCCAAACACGTCGCCTGATAGTGGGCTTCCATGAAGTGCGGGTCGGTCAGCGAGGGCACGGCGACCAGTCCGTCCAGATCGGACAACCGCAGCAACCCCTTGGTGTCCGTGACCAGCGCGTCCTGCAGAACCGACTGGATCAGGTGCTTCGGTTTCGTCACCGAGCCGCTATTTCCGGCCCCGCCGCCCTTCCGCACCAGTCCGCGCGCGCCGGTGATGCACACCTTGCGCGGTAGACCCGAGAGCACGTGCGCCATGTTCTTCTTGATGATGATGTTCTTGTTGCGTTTTTAGATATGTCGTGTCCTTGAAGATGCAGCAGGAGCTCACGGTCCCTCTACTTCGATCGATGGGATGAAATGTTGATCGATCACCGTGCGAATGAGAAGCTCACGCTGTTTCTCCTTGTTCTCAGTCCTCCAAACAGCAACTACTACCCCGAGAAACTTTTCCTCACACACTGGGAGCTCAAGGAAGTTATCGTTGGCGAACACCAAGCGGGACTCCGAGATGGGTCCCGGCAGAACGCGAAGGCCGGCAGATTCTCTTGTGGTTTTTGATGTAAGTAGTTTGAGCTACTTTTGCTACTTTTATCGGCGGCAATGGAACATCAAACATTTCAGTCCTGCGTCCCAAGCCAGCTGGTCACTGCTTCTACCATTTGTTGTGTAACGGCTTCTCGGACTTTCCGGTCCTGGCGCTCTTCCGCGAGTAGCTCCTTCAGGTAGCTGTGCTTCTCCGTCAAAAAGCGAGATAACCGGGTTTGCATCTGCCGCCGTTCGTCCGTTTCGTATTTGAGCATTTCTTCCGTCTCGCCCAGTCGCATGTCGATCCCCTCTGCGACGGTCATCTGAGGGAGTGTAATCTCTATCTTTTTCTTCGAGTTTATTTTCCCGCTACGGCCAGGGAAATGCGAATCAAAAGAGGCGACGCGTTCGCAGGTTTCTGGTTCTTGTTTTTCATATCAGTTGTACCAGCATGCTGATGAAAAATTATTGCATTGATCTGAACATTCATACCACTCTCTCCCCAGCATTGGCAAGCTTGGTTTCCAGGTCGCCGAACTCTCTTCGCACGTGCATCGCTCGTTGGTGTATTTCCACCAAGGGTTGTCCGCTCAGGACCGTCTCTTGCAGGAGCTGGATTTCTTGGATTCCCCGCGCCGAGTGGTGGGCCAAACTGACGTACGTGGGATCAGTTGCAAAGCTGATCAGTTCCTCTGTTGTGTCCAAAGGATTACTTAAGTACGCAAAACACATCTTCACCTTCGTATGGTCGCACGACCAGAGCCGCGCGTGGTAATCTGTAGAGCACCATTTGATGTTTTTGATCGCGACGGCCGTGACTAGCAAACATACCGACGAATGATAAAGAATCAACATCACACCACATCAAACTACCGAGACGATTTGCCAGCCGCTCGACCCTTTCGGCAAGGTTCATCTTGGGGAGCAGCTGGTACCGCGCGACCACTTGCTGCACCTCATTTACCAAATTTCGCAGCTCCTCTTCTTGTACCGCAGTTACTTTGTTCACTCTGGTTTCCAGCCGCTCCACTTCCGCGACGATGCGCGCCGTCGCTTCGGCAAGCGGCTTATCAAATGCAAAAATGTCTGGGTCTGGAATAATGTAAAATTTGTGATGCATTTTTCTCATGACCCACGATGCCTGTAATGCATGACCTAGCATCGCAGACTTTTAGAGGGCTTCCTGATGCACCTTCCGAATGAGAAATGCCCTGTCCGTGTAGCACAAACGGCGCCTCTCTTGCTGGTCACGCAATACAAATTTTGTTAGAGTCCAAAAACAGCATGACAAGTTGCAATCTTCCAGACCGAGACATTTTTGCATTTGATACGGCTTTTGCGCCTTCGCCTCCGCGTAGTTCCCGGTGCTCTTGTATCAAATGCAAAAATGTCTGTGTCTGGAAGAATGCAACTTGTAATGCGTATTTCAGAACACAGAAAAGTCTCTCATGCATACGTAGCAAAAGCTCCCTTTTTTTGTCAGCGAAATAGGGGACTTGTCATGCGGATTCGGCATTGCGGAAGGTTCTCGAAACCTGTGATGCTAGAGCTTCCATGCCAGACCTTCTGTGTCATGCAAAAACAGCATGACTCTTCCCGACCCAGACACTTTTACATTTGATATCTTGCTCCGGCGAGGACTCGCTCGGGTCGAGGCCTTGCTGCTGCCCGCGTAGTTTCCGGACGACGCATTCGAGGATTTTGACCCTGGACCTGCACCAGCCTCCGTGGTATAATCTTGTCCCCTAGGCGGGCGCCCCCCTCTGTCTTCGTAGCTGCTGGACGATTTTGACGCATCCGGCAGCCACGACCCACAGGTCGCACCAAAGGGCGCCTGCTCTGAAGCGGCCCGCTCTCGCCTGGTGGCAAAACTGGACGACCCACCAAACTTGGTCGCGGTCCTCAGGGCCGCAGTGTCCTTTCCAGTAGATCCGCTAGGGCTGCAGGGTTCTCGTGCCGCGGCCACGTAGCTGGCTGCGACCATCTCAGCTGCCTTGCGCAACTCGCGTGTGAGCCTACTGCGCACGCTGGCTTTCAGCCCGGAAGTGGCCGTGAAATCCGCCACCGTTTTGTCGAACAAAACCATTTTCTCTTGCGTCACGCGGGCCTGGCGGAGCGCGTTCGGCCCGCCGTCCTGCTCCGCGCACTGCTGCAGCTCCGCAACGTATTCGGCGAGGAGCCGTTCCACCAGCGGCTCGAGGTGCAGCTCCTTGCAAACGCGGTCCGCCGCTCCCTCCGGGCGGATCCGCCCGGAGCTTTTATCGTTGATGTCGCGCACGACCTGCTCGAGAAATAAGGCCACCTCAGCGCCGCTGCGCCATTTCGTGCCTCTAGGAACTGATTTATTGGCAGCCGTGCGGTTGTTCGGGTTCCTACTTCCGAGCTTGTTGTGGTCCTCCTGCTTCTCGACAAATAACTGCTGTCGTAAACAGGCATATTTCTCCCGGAACACTTCCTCGCATCGGTCGATCAGGGATCGCTTCTGTTGAAAACCCTGCTCTACTTCTGACGGAACCTCAATTCTGGGTAGAGAACAAAACTCGAGCGGGTCCGCGAATTCCCCGCGAATGGTTGCGCGCGACAGCCGTCGCGGACTCTTCGTCAAGATTTCGTCCGCAACGCCGCCGAACAGGGGTGCCAAGACACCGGCCACGTCCTCTTCCAGCTCGGGAAAGCGAGGCGCGTTCACGGCCACCAGCAAGCGCGGCCGCTTCGCGTTTGTGCTGAACTTGACGAACTGCCGGGCGGTATTGGCCAAGAAGCTTAGATTCTCCAAGTCCCGCTCGTCCAGGTTGCCCATCGTGATGGGCAGCAGCCAGTCCCCAGTGCAGTACGCAACGAGTTCCAGCAACCCATATTCAGCATAGTTCCCCGGGGATCCGGTCGGATGGAAGGACCCTTCGCAGTCACAGTAGATCAGCGTCCTGGTTTTTGACGGTAATAAATGATCGTGGTCCTGACGATACAGATCATGTCGATTTTTATGTTCCACCTCGAAGATGCGTTCCACACGCGCGGCAACGTCAACGCCGACAGTTACGTGCTGGAACCCGTGGCCGACGCGGAAACCTCGATCTTTCTCGAATCCTAGCACGGCGTTGCCCACGCTGGATTTGCCGACGCGCGAGCCGCCGATCGCAAACACCACCTGCACCTCGTTGTCCTCACTTTTGTTCGCAGCCGCGGCATCGTCGAGAAGGCGCAGCAGCTCGCATCCCGCCTCCTGCAGCTCCAGCTTCTCCCCTGTCGTGGCCCGCAGCAACGGCGCCGGTCCGTATGTGGTGAAAGATGTCGATGTTGTCTTTGCCTGGATCTGGTCTTGAGGCTCGTCCTGAACCTCGCGACTTTCCCTCGCCGCGGCGTGGCTGTGGCTCGCCCCAAACAGGTCTCGAGGTTCAAAAAAGTCATGTAGGCCGCGTACTTGATCGGATGATGCATGATGGTTGCCGCGAAATAAACCCGCCGCCGAGGATCCACTGCTACCGCCGTGCTGCCCTGTGGTACGGTGTACGACGGATCGCGACATCGGTCGACCTCACGATGTAGTGCGGACCAACATTTTTTGGAAAAAGAAAAAGACCACTTCAAACGCGCAAGGGTCAGACTCAGAGTGAGACGTCAAAATAAAACTTTGAGGCTCAAAAAGTTGCAAGAACTATTTCCACACGTAACATAAAGATAAACCTGTCGTGATCACTTTGAATGAGTACGGAGACTTGCGGTTCGCATACGTCGGTCAGAAATGGACAACGCACAGTTAGGCATATTGATGCATCGGTTCATCCGAACGGGGTGTGCCAGAGACTACACTTGCATGTCGACTCGGGTTCTTTAACGGCTACAGCGAACTCCGCATACGCTTCGCACACCATGAAACGCAAGACACTGGAAGTGAATCACTGGAATCTCATTTTTCCTTTGCCTACTTCAAAATTTCTCTCGTTTGCATTTTTTTTTGGCTGAAAAGGATAAGGAGATGAACACGGAAAAACCTGAAGAGGAAAGCGGCACCTACAAAACCCGACGCAGACAGAGCGTAAAAAAATCCCACGCCACCAACAGGCGGTCAACTTTGTCTGTGTAGAAATTTTTTTTGTTCCTTGGGAAGTTGTTTCGACGGCATTTTCTAGGAATCAGTGAACCGTACTGATTGATGATAATAATATGGTTTTGTTCGAAAAAATTGGACAATAACAGAACTCCACCCGCTGATACATGGGAACGAGAATCTTCCTACATTTACGTTTTGTGTTTCGGCTCAGAGCTGAAAGGACAAGAGCGACTCCTGCGAAAGATCTCGGTGATACTTGGTGCTGGGTGTTTTCAAGGTGATGCATCGGCATTCTCATTCATTTGAATTTATCATTTTCAAGGCACAAAAGTAGACGTGGAATGTTGATACAGTGCGGTTGAGTTTCGTACATTTGAAAAGTGCAAGTTTCATTTACAGTCTGTCACTTTTTGCCAATCACCAATGGCATGCAGTATGGTTTCTCCTTCGTTTAGAAGATGACAATATATAGTGTCGAATGCACGCGGCGGCGGTGACATCTCCAGCATCAAAGAGTCTTTCGCATTTCTATTCTCTGTGAAATGCTACAAATTCGGCGTGCATTTTTTAACTTCTCCCTCTATTTAGGCAGATTCCTTCTTCTCCTCGGCCGGGGCAGCCTCTTCCTTCTTCTCTTCAGCCGGAGCGGCAGCCTCTTCCTTCTTCTCTTCAGCCGGAGCCGCAACCTCTTCCTTCTTCTCTTCAGCCGGAGCGGCAGCCTCTTCCTTCTTCTCTTCAGCCGGAGCAGCAACCTCTTCCTTCTTCTCTTCAGCCGGAGCAGCAGCCTCTTCCTTCTTCTCTTCAGCCGGAGCGGCAGCGACTTCCTCCTTTTTCTCCTCTTCCTTCTTTTCCTCGGCAACAGGGGCAGCTTCCTCCTTCTTCTCCTCAACCGGGGCCTCTTCCTTCTGTTTTATTTTTCGTTTATCGTTGTCAGATTCACCATAAGCAATCTCATTCCGATATAAACAAACATCAAACTACCTGCACACATTAATTCGGTTTGCATTTCCTCAGACGGTGACAATCTGAGTCGAATCGAAACAAAGATAAACCAGCGAAACACCATCCATACCTTTTCCTCAACCGGGCTGGCTTCGTTGGAGGAAGGGCTCTTTTCGCCGGCGTCAGACGGAGTGGGGCTGTTTTATTTTGATATGTTTATTTTTTCACATCCTACTACTACTTCGCACAAGAAAGACCTTCGAACTACCATCTGCAAAAACCATACACAAAACCAAAAATCAGTACGCTTCCTCCGTTTTCTGCTTTTTCAGGGCCGGCTCCTCGATGGCCTGCTCCTGTTCGACGACGACCTTCTGTTCGACTTCAGACATTTTGTTGGACTGTGTTGTGAGCGTGATACGAATCAAAAAATTACGCAAAAAGAAAATATGTTGAATTGTAGTGCCTAGCAGAAGCAGAAAGCAAGCTGGTACTCGAAAAAGTAGTAATCAAGTAGTTGTGCTCCTGTATTGGAAGATTTGAAAAGCTTGAGCAAATATCAAAAAGAATCGAAGGCGGAAATTTTCATGCGCCAGAGAAAAAACAACACTTTACTGATGTAGTTACCGAGAAAACAATGATCAGATCGGCCAATATTTTTCTATTTATGAGATCATATTGTGGATCGCCGCTGCTGGCATTTGATCTTCTTTCATTCAACGGCTCTTCCGCATGAATCATTGTTATCCTGCAAGCATTTCAAATGCCTTTACTCGCGAAAAGCGAGTGTTCGCTTTGTCTCCAGTAACAATCGATCCAACAGAGCCTTGCTCCTAAATTTGCAAAACTCGTCGACGCCATTGTCTGTGTCCTGAGCATCGCGCATGGCGAAAATAAATTGTCCTTAAATGAGATTCAAGCCTGCTAAATACGGGACCTTGATGTCGGGCTGCTTGAGGCGAAGCCGCAATGCTTTCTTGCATTTGTGAAAGTTCGAATCGACTTGCTTCAACTGGTACAACAAACTACCACGCACTAGCTCCTGATCCGAGGACACATTGGTTATGAGGTACCTCAGCTTCGCGATCAGTTCCAAAGGCGCATCGAAGATACCCTCACCGAACAAAATGCGCGCTTTGACCTGTTCAAAGAAATCCCTTTCGATCTGCTCCACCTGGTCGCGGAGTAAAAAACTTCTCGGAAGTTGTGCAGTACCACCTCCACCACCGGCGCCAGATGATGCCGCTCGGGCTGTCGCTGCACTGTGATCTTCTGTTTTCTTGATCGAAGCCCGTCGTCCAGGTAGAAGATCTTCCCCCGGCAGCTTCGGCGTGGCAGCCACTCCAGATGCAGTGGCAGGCGTCGCAACATGATTTGCCTTGAAAGCCAACTGCGCTGCTGGAGCTGCAGCTACAGGACCACAGGAAGTAGTCTTGTTACTCTTCGCCTCCTTTATTCGACCCCGAGTGTCTGCGATGGCCTCGGTCCAGACGGCAAGCACGAGGTACTCTTCCAGTTGGTCGACGTAGTGCTGCATGTGGTGCCTCAGCAACCCGAGCTTCAACAAGAGGGATTTGACGAAGTCCTTCGCGCGCGGAACCCCCGGCGGTTGTTGAGCGGCATCTTGCGAGGATGCGACTCCACGACCCGAGCTTGTTTTTAGCAAACGAGAATCGACCCACAGAGGGTGTTTGCAGAGCCACAACCACAAGGTTCGCAACTCTTCCCGCGCGGCCTTCACACGACAGAGCAGCTGGAAGAACCCGGAGAGGATGACGAGCTGACGACTGTGTTCATAACGCCGGAGGTGTGCTGGTGCTGATGAAGATGTAGTTTGTTGAGACTCTTTCATTACAAGCTTATAATTTTCGGGAAGTACAAATTGCATCTTCGAATACAGTTCCGACGGCGACTCGACCATAATCATCGCTTCCTGTCGCAAAACCAGTTCCAGGGGGGCCGCATTAAATTGGTCTATTTTTCCCGCCGTCCTCGGGTGCGTCTCCCTCTCCGCCGAAAAAATAGCGGAGGAGTCGCGGGTCTGCTGAAACAGTCTCGCGACTGTCGTCCCGACCGAAGAAAAATGTGCGGACCGGAAACTCTGGTCATCCAAGGTGGCGTACACGAAACGGTCTACCCAACCGACAAAGTCGACCGACAGAAGAAATTTTGCAAGTGTGGTGGCACCGCCTATGCCTTCCTCGGTCAGCATGATTTGTTCTGCTCGTGCGGAGGAACGACCGGAGGTGGATTTAGTATTTTCGTGCTTGCAAAAGTGCTCATTCAAGTCGCGAATCTGCAGGGAAAGACCGCGGTACGCGTCGGCACGCCGCGCTATTACGGGATGGAGAAAACACTCCTTGCTCTCCTCTGAGGATTCGTCATCTGGTGCGCAGACTACACTATCCTCCTCAGCTTCGGCTATTCGCTTTCGACCAAGTGTAGTTGCTCTATTTTTACTCACCGGATCTTCTACTCGTGCTGTTGCAGCAGTCAGGTTGGCACGATGGGTCTCTTGTTCTACTTCCAAGCGCCGGTCACCGCGCGGCACCTCTCCTGCTCCTTGTTGTGATTTCTCATCTAGAGGCGTCTGTGAAAGTGGTGCAGCAGATGAAGTAGCACTACTCACCCTCCTGACGTCGTGACCTGCAAGAACATCAGGCTTCTTCTTCTCACCTTCTAATGGGAGTTCCTCCTTTTGTTCCACGGCCGGAGACGCTTCGGAACTCGATTCGAAGTTCTTTTCCCCGTCTGCAAGATCGACTCTCGGTGTGGACGAGTGCTGTTCGGCAACAACTGCTTCTTCCTTTGAGACTTCCTGATCAGCACGCCGCTCTTCGCCGACCCCGACTCCTTTGTTCGGCGTATTTATTTCGCTGCCCACTTCTGCTCCTAGTTTCCCATGCTGGCACTGGTTGCGACTCACCTGCTCGTCTTCTTCGTTTCGCTGGTCGGCATCGCACACCACGCGATCGTAGATCGAGGCAAGAACACTCTTGGCAGCTATGCTTGTAGGCGAAATACGTTTTGCCGACACTCGCCGTACACTGAATGCTGGCTCAGGTGGAGCCTCAGCGTCCGAGGCAAGCCCCCGGGAGGAAAGAGCTGCGATGCTAGAAGTTGTAAGGCCCATGTTGAGTGGCGGCGACGTCCTCGCAATTATTTCTTCCTGTCCAGTCCCCACCGTTCCTTCGTCTTGGGGCGCAGCAGCAGCAGCTGGAGTTGATCCTTTATTATCCACTCCGTCAATTTCTCTTTTCGCAGATTGCAAGGAGGACATTGAGGGCGGCCCTCCCGGTAGTGATGTCGCTAAGTCGGCAGCAACGATTTCGAGCCGGCGGTCGCGTCCCTCGAGCCGCTTACGGCGCCACTCGAGTCGCGCTGCCTCGTAGGCAGTCGCGGCAGCTTGGCGGTCGTGTTCCGCTAGTAGAGCAGCGGCCGCCTGCGCGCGGTCTCTCTTCTCGCGCTCTGAAAGGGGCTGCCCAAGGATATTCACTTCCTGTGCAAGTTGCGGCACAGTTTGCTCACCCTGCTCCGCGGCGAGCACTTCGGTTCGCCTTTCCGCCATCTGCTCGTCTAGAAGCTGTCGCTGTTTCCTCTTTTTGGCGTCTCTCTCCGCTACGTCCGCATCTCTCTCCGCTACGCGCGCTGCGTGCTCTCGCTCTCGTGCCGCGCGTGCTGCTTCCCCGCCGAGTGTGTCGGCCAAATCATCGCCAGCCGTGGCGGTTGCGCCGCCGCTCTCCACCGAGTCCGTGTCCGAGTCCAGGCTGTCGAGCGCAGTGCTACGGTCGTCGCCCTGTTCGTGCGGTAGCTTGTTTGAAGAAGTACCTCCGAAGTAGAACTCCGATTCCGCCTTCACACCGGAAAACGCAGCGCAGAATTCAGATGCGAAATCCGGCATTTTTGCAGCAGTTCCGTCTCGTTCCATAGTTCGGCTTTGCGATGATGATCCCGGTGTTTTTGTTGATGCACCGCGATTGGAAGCTTTTTCAAGACCAAGTGCAGCTTGGGCGTTGTTTATCTTCTCTGAAGAGTGGTATGTCTCCTGCAGAAGGGCGTCGCTCTTGTCGCGCTCGTTATGCGCCATAGGATTGGCAATTGCAAAATGCTTGGTGTCAAAAGCAGCGCGCTCCGCGGCGGTCCGACCCCAGTGCTCGCGCTTCGGCTTGTCACGCATGAAAACGCGAGTGCGTTGTGCCCGCAGCAACCTCTGAGCGCCGTCGTAGCTGCCTCTGTGCGCGGTCGCTGCGGTTTGCAGCAGGTGGCTCTCGGTTGCAGCTTCTGACGAAAGTAAGTTGGCTGATCCAATACGCTGGCGACGAAATGCTTGTGCTCGCGCGGCTTGGCGCCGCTGCTCTCTCTCTGCGGTCTCTGTCGTGACGGCAGCCGCGACCGCACGGGCGCGTGACGCGAAGGAAGGCCCAAAAACTGCGGCAGAGCGGCGAAGTGGTCTCTCGTTGACCACGTCGACGTCTCGTTGCTTTGCGACCCGATCGGCGATCGTCGCGCGGTGACTACCAAAGCTGCCATACCCCGTCGCCCAAGTTTCCACTGCTTGCTCAAGTACACTTTGGAAATTGCTGGCAAGGACGGCGGATTCATCTTCCAGGCGCATCCGCGACGAACTTGCGGTAGGAACTACCTTGGCCAGGAGTCTGTCAACTATGCTAGAAAATTGCAGCAAATCGAGTAGCACAGAGTCCCACCGCACGGGAGGTTTTTGCAAGTGCAGCCAGAGCTGCAGCAGAGAGGACGAGGACGTTTGCGTTGTTGTGTCCCTTTGTCGGCCGAATCCTTGTACATGTTGGATGTACTCGTTCCACAAAATGCCCTTCAAACCTTCGCCAATGGACTCCACGGCTTTCAGTTCGTGCTTCAACGGCCCGGAAAAATCGTAGGTCGAAGAGAAAGAGGACCAGCAGGTGGCCCGGGCGCGCAAATGCTGGACAATTTTTCCGAAACACGTGACCCGGGCCTGCAGAGAGCAGATGCTCCATTTGGCGACCCCCGTGCGGCTGTGCGAGGATTTCAGAGGGAACATCTCGCTCGGGATTCCCTGCAGGGCAAGCTGCGCACTTGCTACGACGGCGTCGCGCAAGGGAGATGAGACAGGGACGGTTTCGTGCAGCAGAGTGTAGTCAGGCAGTGCAGTACCCAAACGCAACCGCAGTCTTGGTAGGGAACGACGCGCTCGTGCCATAATACTATGCTCGTTCCCGCCCTGTGGACCGACGAGTCTGCGATCCTGCACTTCATCACCTCGAAAAAAACTCGGCCAGGGTTCCAGTGCCTCCATATCTTTTGCGGGCAGCGCGGCGGACACACTTCTACTTCCCGAAGCAAAGAAGTCACGCTCTTCCAGAAAAAAGTTGTCACGACCTTTACTGTGTTGATTGTGCATAGTAAATTGGTTTCGAAAGAGCGCCTCAAATGCGGTTCTGTCGGCAACGGGGTCCGGGTCGCGCAGCGCGAAACGCGAGCTAGCGTGTACGGTCCGGTCTGCTCCCTTCGGATCTCTTGGTGCGTCGAGTCGTCGTCTCGCCAGTTGGAGGAGCAACAAAAGAAGTGGCTCTTGCTCGCTAGCGGTCGTGGTGTGGTCCGGAGCAGACACTTTCCGCACAAGCTCCCGAATTCGCTCGCGCCGCGTCCTTTCACCGTCAAAAAAACAGGGCGCCAGCCAATCCACCGAATCATCTTCCTGCAGCCCACGTAAGCGCGCAACCTCGGGAAAGGTGCAGATCCGCTCCGAAAAGTCTTTGCTGATTGTACCTCTCGTCGCGAGGAGCGCCTGGTCGTACAGAAGCTCTTCGAGTTGCAAGGCTACATCGTTGGTTGTACATAGTCTCGTCGCGACGCTCGCATCTCGCGCCGTTTGCGAAATGACTGCACACTTTGCGCTTCCGCATCGATTCGCTAGCAGCAGTTCGTAACACGTCAGTAGCGCGGTTGGAGCCGCCAGATCTTCAGGACGAAGTCGCTCGCCCAGGGCCCTGATCAGGTCGAGAGGGCTTGTTCTGAGCTCGCGCTCGGCCGGGTGTAGAAGTTGCACCGCCATTACGGGGAAGAAAACTCGTCTGCCATCACTTGCAAAGTGTTCATGTAATTTCTTTCAAAAGAATGAAGTCTATTTCTATTGATTTGCATGGGTCCAAGCCAAAAGATGGTTCGTTTCTGCCAGCGAAGAGGGCGGTCTTTTTTTGGTGCACGACAACGGACGTGGCTGTTACTCAGGCGGTCTTCTGCGATCGCAATGGTGTGCGGGTCGGACCTTGTCAAGAAACAAACTGAAACTTCTCGTCCTCACACCGCAGCTGCAATTTGCTTCTTTATTTTATCGGGAGCTGACCGACCATGTATCAAATAAAGAATTCTATTGATGGGTATATAATCATATCAGCATTTCACATGAGAACTCTAAACATCAAGATCGCGTTTCAAACGCGTGAGAGTCTTGCTCTGCAAGAAATCCACATCAGGAAGAACTTTTTTTTCGTTTTCTCGGGGAGTATATCTTGCTGTAAGAAGTTGAAGTTCAAGCATCTGAATGCCGATAGGGGGAATCAGCTCTAAGACGTACCTAAAGTAGTTTGTATAGGGTGTATAAACGTAGGAACTAGTATTCAGATCGTTTATAATTATCTATATCTTCATTGTCGCCAAAATTCTACATAGAGAGCTACACACCGTAGGATTTATTGGTTCAGGTTCTTGCGTACTTCTACAGATAGCATCGCCTCCTCCATCCTGGCTTTCCGGTCGCCACCAGAAAAATCTCCACATAGAAGGTGGCAAAGAACCGTGACGTCGTCACTAGAACAGACTCGTCGTTCTAGAAACTTCTTCTCCTGTTGCTATAGCCCCTTGTAAGTGTATGTGTAACTACATTGGATTCACAATGCTTAAGCTGCTCTTTCAATCGTTTCCCATATCATAGTCGTACCTCTAATTCATTGAAGTATTCATTAGATGTCTCGAGAAAAACTCTAATCGTTTCTGCCAACAACACTAGTACCAGTGAGTTAGAAGATACAGTGCCGGTCTGCGAGATGCAAAACCTGCACGCAGACATCGTAAAGATACAGCCAAATATCGACGGATTTGATAGCGGAGTTGAACTTTGTCGGTCCTTTCGTTACGAGTACCTGTAAGCATAGTGATGTAGCGATGGTGTCACCAACAATTTGACCACGAAACAGACGCCCTTGCCTCAAGGATGATCATGTTGATGTTCATGACGAAATCTTGATGTAATAAATCGAGGTCGAGGATGAAAAAAAGGCAAATGAATAAATACCAGGAAAATAGTGAAAACCGTGGCCGAGATTCGAGCAGCAGTTAGATCCTGCCGCGAAGGTCGAGATTTTTTCGTACAGCGGAAAATTGTCACCGCTTAAGTTTTTCGTTCGATTGAAACTTGTCCTATTTCAATTCCTCGGAGCATATTACCTGGAAAAATATGTCGTCAACCGGGTCGCCAGCAAAAGCATGAGTACAGTACTCATGACCGCCTATCGCGAATGCTACAGAAGCAAGAATAGCAATCAATATTACCGTGGGACGAGAGAATTACATCTACAGTTGTACCACGCGACGCATAAACAATGGTACTTTAATGGTAACTAAGCACCACGAACGCCGCACAGGAATAAAGAGTACTACTATACCGAATAGGTTGTTCGAAACGAGTCTTTCGTTCGAAGTAGCATCGCTTGTCGAAGGAGTTCAAAAAGAGTCCGCTGTCAGGTGGTCGTTCGGTCGTACCGAGTCCAGATCCGGTTCGAGCAAGTACGTTATGACCTTGCGCAGCTCCCCCTCCCCCGCATTTGCATTTCATAGAAGGCATTGCAAACTAACACCAGCGCACGAAGAACATGTCGAGCAGCGGCCCTGCTCGCATGCCAAGTTCAGGCACCAAGTGCCGGTGTCCTAGTACTGTTCTTTGGGCAGGATCCCGATGATTTTAGTACCATGCAAGGATAATTGCCACCAGCCAGCAACTGGATAGGAATCCAATTGATTCTTGTTTGGGACTTTGCATGACAATTGAGGGTAAGAGGTGGGAGTTGTGCTTTCTCATATACGTCAGGGGAAACTTGCCCTCGGGATCCATGGCAGTCAACACCGAGCTCCGGATATCCCTGAGAAAAAAGCAGGCAGGGGCAGGGCAGCTAATGCAAAAATAAATACACAGAAAAATCTGTCATGGGCGACCCCATAGCACCCTGCTTAGGTGGATGCGCAGTGTATTTATTTTTGCATTACAAGTATGACCTGCCTGCTTTTTTCTGTGGGATACCGGACCTGCATCCGCGCACCGCCGGACACGGCGGCCATGTCCTGTGGATACCGGAACTCCTGCAGTCCGGGACCGCGGGAGTTCCTTATGGAGTGCAAACATTTCTGGATCTGGAAACTTGTAATGCTGGGTTGGGAGTAGTGAATGCTCTGTAATGGTGAACAGCCAAGCATGAGAAAATATATCTGCGCTGCTTAGTGTTGCGTTTTCCGCATGACAAACTGCGTTTTTGCATGACAAGTAAAGGGGTCTCTCTTTGACCACGCATCACAAACTCTTCAGTCATGCCAGACAAGCATGACAAACCTTGCATCCTTTCAGACCCAGACATATTTGCGGTTGATATCCCTCGGGACGAGCACATTCTGGTTCGCGAACTCCAGAGACACCCCGTCCTGTTCGGTTCCCAAGTCCCACTGCTCCACGGACCCCTCGCCGAAAAAATTCATGGGATACTCGTGGACGGGCTTGCGGTAGTACAAGGTACGTCCCGTGAGGCTGCAATAAAAGGGCACTCCCTGCCACTTTGCGGCCCCTGGGCGTATCGGGTTGAACAGAAACTCGCGCAAACCGTTGTTCTCCATCGGCACCTCCGGCTGCGTCGAGCACAACTCCTTGATCAACTGGCCAGACACCTCGCACTTGTCCAACGAGTACAGGTCCCACCACTTGTCCTGCGCCAGCAGGACCACATCCCGCTGCATGGCGGACAAAATGCACCCCGTCTTGTGGGTGTGCTCGGTTGACGCCAGATTCTTATTCCGCGGTGCAAACAGGACCAGGTCGGGGAAATAAATTTTATCAGTCGAGTAAAAACTAGCTGTGTCTTTATATTTATCTTGTTCACATGATGGCAGAGAAACAAAAGGATTTTGCAATGCAGCCAACAGCTAAAAAAGTAATTTTGATTTCGATGTGTGTAAAAATAGTATAGTCCCGATTTACCATAACAAATCACAGATTTTAGTCATGCGTATCGTGCAAAACAATGAGCAAATCTTCACGTCTTTCCCTAGTCCTGCAGTAGTTGCGGTGAATAAATCTTTTCCAGAAGTTCTGCTTGCGCTTCATCCACAGGAACAGACCATGCCTGCCCCCACGGAATCATGGTTCCCTTTCCCCCACGTCCGATGCTATCGTTGCCCCGACCGTCGCGTCTCTTTCCCATGCCCTCGCCCTGTCCGAGACCCCCTTTTCCAGCTGCATCTGCTTCCGACGCCGCGCCCATGCTGTTTTCGAGGCCCTTTCCACCGGCTGCGCCGGACTGGGACTTGCCTCGTCCTTGTCCTCCCGCACGAGCGGGGGGAATGCACTGCGTCGCGAGGCTAGTAACAATATCCTGCATTGCGCCAGTTTTTGCTTACCGTCACTTACAATAAGAGATAATTGATTTTTATTAGTTTATATACAAATGCGAGAACGCTTAGATACGAATTTATTAATCAGGAGTATACCCTTTGTACCAGAACAAGAAAACAACCACGCAGTACCGAAGAAGGCGCTTTCACCCTGCCTTTGATATTTTTATTTGTATCTGAGAAAACCGTATGTGATGTACTCCCACGCACAGTGTTGACAGGTCCGAACTGATTTGCTAACGTCGCAACGAGCTTCGAACTAGCTAGTACTGTAGTCACCACTAAAATCTAAGCAAAGCTACCTGCTATAGTACGTTGATTCAATTGATGTTGATCATGAATTGTGTACACTATACTCCTTTGAGGTGTGACTGGATGCCATCCAGCCCAATCGCAGGTCCATGCGCAAAAAAAACAATCAAGACAGCAAGAAACGCACGCAGACATAGTGTTTCTTGATCTTGTTTTGTAGTTTCTGTTGACAGATAACGTTGTAGCACACTTCCGCTTCCTAGCTTGCAATTAGTGCGTGACAACTTCTGAAATCTGCAAAGTTTCGCCTTGCATGCAAGCCACTTTGGAGATACAGGCGAATTCTCTTCTGTCACGCAAGATGAATATCGGCGCGCTTTCGGTTTTTTCTTAAGCTTACTTTGCTGTCACACGAACACTCAGAAAAACCCAACCACATTGCTTTCCTTTCATTTCTTTATCTTGCGCCCTTGTTGTAACATGTGAGATTATAGAAGTTTCGACAATGATTGGACTCTGTTATTTGCATCCTTGTGCCTTTTGCAGAAAAATTGCGAGAAAAGAATCAGATGACAATGTGGTACGAAAGAGCGACAACGTTGTCGATAAAAAAGCACGTTGGCTCTTCAGTATCATAAGGTCATTTTCAGAAAAAAAGTGAGACAGTAAGGCAGATGGTGGATTTACGCGAAATCGAAAACGAAATCCTTGAAGGGTAGATATAATTCTATTCGCCGCACGGAGTGAAACTTGCTCTGAGGACGTCAGACCATCCCTACTCGCTTTCAGGGTATAAAAGCAAAGAGAAATAACGGCTCCAGGACCATTTTGCTCGTAAAAAGAGTCCTCGACAGCCGTTCGTAGGAAGATAAAAGTCGCCTGCTGTGAAGTCATCTTTCCAGCTAATTGCTACTGAGAGCAGTGCAGCCAAAGACGCCCAAAAATTTTGTTCTGAAAACGTAGACTTTTATTTGACGATGCCGCTTAAACGTGGATCTTGATGTTCTGTTGCTCTAGTAGTCCGAGGCCCTTTTTTTCACGCGAGGTGCAGGGGCGTCCTATCGTCATCGGGCACCAGCTTCCTACGATGAAAAACCGCCTATGCTATGATGCTGCACGGTCTTGTGTCGCGACGAATGTAAGGTTTTGCACTGAATATTATAGGGAGTAGTTCTTCTCTGTGCATCTTCTATCTTCCACAAGATGTTGTATGACAACAAACTACTCCAAGTTCTTACAGCAGCGCAATCGGCGGATAAAGAATGAAAACCCGCGAGTGCTGCCCCCGAAGAGGGTTCTACTTTAGGACGTCGGACCCTCAATTATGCGGCGTAGCAGAAAAACGAATGCAAGGTTTATGCGTCGTCCTCGTCCTCCTCGTCGTCTTCGTCCCCCTCCTCGTCGGAGCCGGGCTCCGCTTCCGGGGGCGGGCGGAGGAAGTGGACGAAGGGGGTGACCTGGAAGATAACGTCCATGCGCCCCGGCGTGTCGTCGTCGACGTCGTCAAACCACGTGAGCACGTCCTCCTCGGAGATGATCTCCTTGGAGTACAGCTCCCAGAAGAAGGATTCAATCACTGCGGTTTCCGCGTTGTAGTCCGGGAGCTTCTTCGTGGCCGGGTTGCGCATCTCCGCCATCACCCGCGTGCTGGCGTACAGCAATTCAATCGCGTTCACGCTGTCCCCGGCCGTGGACAAAAGTTTCAGCAGCGCGGCCTTGCTGCTTTCCACGTAATGGATCATCTCGTCCTCCGTGAATGCGGTGAACAAAATCTTCTGGCAGAACAGCAGCAGTGCATAGTACACGTTCTTCTCCAGCACTTCGCCCTCCGGGAAAAAGTTCGTGGCGTCGAACTTCTCCGCGCTCAAAGACCCGGGAAAGCTGGACTTCAACTGTGTTATAAGGAGTTAGTTTGTAGTGTGCGTGCAGAGATTATTATAGCTCATGATGTTGACCAACTTCAATATAAATCTGAAAGTACGCGAAATTTTCATCTACTTCCGATTGAGCCATTTTGGAATTGCTTTAGAGCGCAGCGTGATCATGGTACTTATGCAAAAGCTTAAGTGGTTTTTGCTCCGATAGCCGCGGCGCAGCTGATGCACCAGTGAGTACTAGTACAACTAGACTACATGTAGTACCTGTTCTTCGAATTTTGCCATCAGCACTGCGTCGTGATTTGTCGTGAACCTGGTTTTGCGAACCTTCATGAGCTCCTTGCGAAGCTTCTCGTCTGCCTGTTTCTGTCGTTTTGCCTCCGCAGCGGCAAGTCTCATCTTTTCACTTTCTTCGAAGCCCGCATCCATTTTCCTCTGTTTCTGCGCATCCAGCTCTGCTTGAACTGCAATAAATTGTTGCGATTTTTAATGTTTGTAAAACTGTATTAATGTAAGTACTTGCTGAAAAAAGGGCGCCAAAAAGAAAGACAAGTGTCGTTGTATGCAAATTATTGTCGTGCAACACGAAAAATCAGAATCAGTTTAATACTTGCGTTTTTCTTCGCATGCATTTCCTCCTCCGCGGCTCTGATTGCGGCCCTCTCTGCCAGCTCAGCTTCCCGTGCGGCCCGTTTCTCCTCCTGCTCTTTTTTTCTCTTCTCTATCCTGTGTAAAAACGTCCCCACCCCATAGTTGCAATGCAAATCTGCATGCTGAAAATGTTTCTCATGCGGAGCCCCATGAGAGGCATTTTCTAATGGTGTTTTGAGATTTGTCATGCTCCAATCAGCATGAGAGACTAGATCTGTAGTGCTGCTGAACTAGCTCAAACAGCACTACACTACGCGTCCAGATTTGTCATGCGAAACAGCCAAAGCTTGTGGATTTGTCTAGCCGATTCCCCATCTTGACTATGGGGTGGGGACGTTTTTAAATAGGATATTCTCCTCGGCTTCCATAGCGGCACGCTTCGCGGGAGGCATGTAGCCGCCGGCGCTCTTTGACCCTTGACTGGTGGAGGTGGTCTTTACCAGTGGCTTGGACTCGGACAGCGGCTTCGATTCGGTTTTCTGCGACAGCTCCTCCGTCTCGCTTTCCTTGCCCTTGGCGTCTCCTTCCGTGTCCGGTTTCTCGCTCGCCTCCTCCGACTGCTCCTCGGATTCGTCCTCCTCGGCTGCCTCCTGCTCGGACTCGCTATTTTCATCCGAGTCCACCGCCGCATACCGGTTCACGGTCTTCCCCGGGAGCTTCTCCGTTTTGTCGGTAGCCTTCTCTTATGCATTGCAAATAGGTCTGGGGCTGGAAACTTATCATGTTGCAGCTGGGTGGCGTATCATGAGGAGTAGACCACAGCAGGTGGCTCAGCATGACAAGAAGTTTCTGAGCCTATCTAGGTGTAGTTGCGTAGTTTGCATGACAGACTGCGTCTCTGCATGGCAGAAAAATGGGGCCGCTTTTGGGTAACGTGCATGACAGTCATTTGAGAGTCTTGCTAGCCGAGCATGACAAACCACTTGCATTTTTGTTTTTCCTGACCCAGACATATTTCCAATGCATATCTCTACCCCCTTGGTAGGCTTCCCGGTCTTTATCATGGTGAACCCGTCGTCCGCAGCCTCCTCTTGAATGTCGTCGACTGAGAGAAGTAGAAAAAGGGAGGAATGTACAGGTAAAATAATTCGAGGGACTGATTGTAGTCCTGAAAAAAAACTTATCCAAAAAATATGAATCACTCCTATCATGTGTTCTTGAAACAAGCAAGTGTTTTTATTCGCTGGAACCATCACTTAGCAAAATTATACCCATCGTAATACCTCCTTCCGGCTTGGTATTGGTGTTGCTTCGTCGAAGGGAACCGAAGTCTGCGTCCTTTTTCTCACTCTTCTCCTTTCCGCCCTTCCCGCCGCCTGCTGTACGGGACCGCCACCCTGAAAAATGAAACCATGTGAAGATCGAGGGTGAAGCAAAGTGAGATTCGAGTAAAAGCGGATGCGAGGATGTAACAACTTCGCATGATATGAATCGGTTCTACTACGTAGAAGACGCAGTACCGCTTTGATGTTCCTGCTACTACCAAAAATGCACGGAAAATGTTGTCAATGCGACGTTACTACCTTCTTCGCTTCCACGTCGGTCCCCCTTGCTGTCCTTGTTGCGAGCAGCCTCGCGGTCACGCCAGCCGCCGCCCCCTTCTTTCGGCTTTTCTCCGAGTCGCCAGGTGTCGGCCTCGTCCGCCTTGTTTGCGTCGCGCTCCGACATCTTTTTCTCTATGTCCACAGCTTTCGCGGACCCGAACGGATTGCTCTTGCTCTTGTTGTCGCCGTCTGTGGTTGGAAAAAAAGATTTGAACAAGCACGTCAGTATTATTTTCATTTCTGTTCATATTCTTTGCAATCACGACGCAAGTTTGCCGATCATTGTCTTTCTTTTGCCGAATAAATTGACGAGTCAGTTGTATTAGTGTGGAGATGTTGAAAACAAGAACCAGCTATATACCGTCCTTTGCGGAGTCCGCTCCCACCGTGCGGGGTTTGAGATTGAGTCTTGGACGCTGTTTGGGTGCCGACGAGTCTTCGTCGCGACCGCTGCTGGCGCCACCCCGCCAGGACTCTGTGCGGCCGAAGCCGGCGCCGCCGCCGCGACCGAAGTTGTCTTCACGACCCCCCGGGGGACTTTCCTTTTTGAACCAGTCGCCGGTATCTGCTCGACCTAGTTGTTCTCCGTCGTCGTCATTCCGACGCCCTGCAAAAGAACAAATACGGTCTTAAGACAAGTACTGGTCGGTTTGTCGGTCCTCGGCATACAGAGTCAAAGCTCCAAACGACGAGCGGGCCTCCAACATGCAATGAATTGGCGATCGATGAAGAGGATCTCACAATATAGTTTCAGTGTGAAGACGAAAAGAAGAAAAACATTAGCCAATCATTTTCACATGTACGATAGTCAGAAAAATCATCAACATCTTCGATGTAGTACCAAAGCCGCCCCCGCGATCACGGTCTCCGCCGCCTCTTCCAAAACCGCCGCCACGGTCGCGGTCTCCGAAACCGCCACGGTCCCCGCCGAAGCCGCCGCCCTCGCGGCGCCACACACCTGTATCCGCGGCGTCCCCGTCATCGCGCCCGCCACTGCCCCAGCGGTCCCCTCCCTTGCGCCCACCGTCCCGGTCGCCCTTGCCACCGCCTTTGGGGCCTGATGTAGGGTTTCAGTGATAGTTGTGATGCCTTGTTCATAATGGAAAAAAATCATGTTGCGGCCGTGGCCGTGCTCACCATCTTTCACTTTTCTGCTTCATTTTTTTTGTTGGATTTTTTTTTCATGCATCATGAAAAAAATCATTTTCAAAGTAAACCTTTTTGCAACGCCAGACCCTCGGAGGCACTGGGCAAGGCAGACTTCGCGAGCTCGTCTCCAGCGAACTCATGGAGCGTCAGAGTCTTCTTCTTCGCTTTCGGCGGCATGATTGTAAAATTTGGAATGCAAGATCGATTCTGAATCTACAGAAAAGTCGTATCTGAATCTTACAATAGAAACTGAATTGATTGAAAAGTAAAAGCCGCTTTGGAACTACTTACACCCCCTTCAAAAAGCAGCCACTGTCAGGGAGATATTAGATAAAAGTGTAATCAGGTCATTTCACATACTACAGGAACATGGTTCATTTAGGATCAATTCTTCAGAGATGCCTTCAAAATGATCTTGGCAAAGCTTCTTGCCTTGTTCTGATCGACCATTTTCTTGTCCAGAAAGGAACAATCTGCTCATTGTGTGTAGAAGAGTCAGCGGAAAAACTGCTCTGTCTTCGGAAAGAGGAATATTAAAAGGGTGCTTTTATAATGAAAGGATGATGACGCCAACTCATATAATTTTAGGTTCATTTCTTTGCACTGTTGATCGGAAGTAGATCCATTCTTTGTATTTGTACAGATAGATTCTTTAGTGTAGTGAAGCGAAACGCATGCAGACATTATGTGCAGCAGTGGTTCTCAGTCACTGGTGGCTTTCATTTGAAAAAAAATTCCTATTTATTCCACTTGGTGTTGATAGGACTGTGCCATCGCTTTTCATTCAACAAAAAAGTATCGTGCCTAAAAACGAAATCCACGACTACGCTTGTAAATTCGAAACAACTAGTACGCATGATGATGATCCGTACGAAACAACGACTATTCGTTTCCATATGATACTTTTTTTCCTTGGTAATTGCAGGTACTTGCCGGCGGGCAGTGTCGCGCCAGCACAGAGTAGTGTCACGGCTGCTGCTCTTGGTTCCTTGTGCCGCTACTTCATGCTACCTTCTGCGTGCCTCTACAAGGGCATTTCCGGCAGGTTCGCCATCTCGTTGCCCGCATGGTACAAGTTGTTGTAGGGCGAAATTGGGTTCGCTGGGAAGGGGCTCCCGATGTAGGTGTGGCGCTGCGTCGCTCCCGATTGCAACCCTGATCCTCCGAAACCATTTGTCGACAGACCGAGAAAGACGGTTCCGCTCTGACCACTCCCGGCCCCGCCCTGAATGCAGCCATTCCCGCCGGGTGCGGGACCCCAGCCCGCTCGGCACACGCAGGCAGTGCCATCCGCATTTCGGATTTCCCCCGGGCCGCTGCACTTTGCGACGCAAAACGAGTTCTGGCAGACCTCAATCGCACTGCACTGCGTCTTCCAGTTCTGCATCGTGCAAGGCGATCCTTGCGTGATGCCGCCGGGGTTGAAGCACACACCTGGGCTTCCGTTCAGCAGGTTGCACACCTGCGCTTCCGCTGGACAGTCGTCGTTTCCCGTGCACACTGTTTGGTGTTGTAATATCAATAGACAAAAATTATGTTGCAGCTCTTTTAATACCATGATGTAATCGCTGTACGACCAGAGAAAACCACATGAAGAAGAAAACAGTTTTGCTTGCGCCCGGCATATTTGCTGTATACAACACAGGGGCTCATTCACTGAACGAAGCAGTAGGTAGTTGTACTTCTGCTGATGCACAAGGTAGGGTCGGACGCGCTGCGAAACTTTCCAAGTGGACAGGGCTCACAGACTCCCAGGTCCGCTGGGTCCTGTTGGTTGCAGAATTGCCAAGCTGCGCACTCGTTTACGGCAGTGGCTTTTCTGCAGGTGTTGAAAGAGGGGTTGCGATTCCGCTTCTGCATCATGGTCAAGAAGCCCGTGTAAGTTGCAAACTCCACCCCGGTCTTTTCGTCCAGGAGCACGGATGCCGAGGGTCCCTCCGCCTCCATAAACTTTCGGTTTATTTCGCGAATCAGATTCTTCTTCAACCCGGACACCACGTAGTCCGTGCTGGGGATTACCTGTTTTTATACGGTTCTTTTCTGCACTTCTTCCTGGTAAAAAAATGAACACAGCAAACTCAAACAAAAGCAAGTATTCGAATAAACGAGAGGCACCGGCAACATGTTTCTGTACCATGTCATCTTGCTCGTTGAGTTTCTGGCGGAGTCCTTGTGCGAGGGTGTCGTCGAGCTGTATGACGAAAGTCATGTCGGTGTAGTCTTTTGGAGTTGTTCCGGGCATCGCCCCGATCGGTAGCACCGTGGTGGTGGCCATGTTAAACAGCTTGCCGCCCGGTAAACTCATGAAACTGTCCATGTATATTCTCGTTTTGGCCCCGAATCCGGTGTCGCTCAGACCGTCCGCGAGACCCCGCGCGAGCGCGTCCATAAGCGTTTCTGAGGTTAATTTTTTCGGATCACGATAAAAACGAGAAAACACGGCCATACCGACGTGCCCGTCCTCCAATCAAAAGTTTTTTTTAGTAACCATCTCGGATATTAGCTGTCACAACATGCACAAAAACCCCAAAGCAAAATACTTATCAAAGCACAACAACACAACTATTTCAATTAAGTAGTCTTGTTCCCAAGAAGACTATATCAAATGCAAAAGTGTCTGGGTCTGGAAGAGGAAGAGTCATGCTGTTTCTGCATGACACAGAAGGTCTGGCATGAGAGCGCTAGCGTCACAGGTTTCGAGAAGCTTACGCAATACCGAACCCGCATGACAAATCCCCCATTTTGGTGACAGAAAGTGAGCAGCTTTTGCTACCTATGCATGAGAGTTTTTTGTGTGTTCTGAAATGCGCATCACAGGTTACATCCTTCCAGACCCAGACATTTTTACATTTGATAGACTATAACGTCAGTACGTTTTGTCTCGATCATGGTCCCGTCCCCCTTCATGAACTTGAGCCGCAGCAAGACGGTGACCTTCTGTTTTTCCGTGGAGGCGACGCCGCCGTCCCCGGGTGCCTTATCAAATGTAAAAGTGTCTGGGTCTGGAAGAATGCAACTTGTCATGCTAAATCTGAATCAGGCAAAAAACTGTGTTGCATGATTGCCAAAGTTGTGCACTTTTGACCTAGTCGAGAGGTAGTTTCTCATGCAGGATAGGCATTGGAAAGATTTCGCAGAATCTGTCATGCTATGTCCTACATACCAGACCTCATGGGTTATGGAAAACCTGCATGACAAATCTGGCAATCTTCCAGACCCAGACACTTTTGCAATCCATATGCCTTGGTCGACTGCAGCTCCTGCGCGAAGCCCATGCACACGTCCTCGACGGACTCTATCGAAGGGAAAATCCCCCCTCTCCATATCGAAACGAAACTTCTGACGCTGGATCTGTGTACACAAGTCAGAGCTGTCTTGCTGGAGAGGGCTGCAGGCTCATACTGAGTGCGAGCAAAAAGGTTTTGGCCTAGGCGCTTTAGCATGAAAAACGTCCGCACTATAGGCCCAGCAGCATGACAAACCGCCTGCACAGTCTGGCGGACCCTGCGGAGTCGCCTTCTTGCAAGACAGACACGATTTGTGGCCACAAATCAGCATGACAAATTTCCAAAACTAAAAGTATACCTTTTCAGTATGGGGAGGGGGGATTTTTCCTTTTGATAGACTCCCCCTCGCGCACCCGGTAGCAGTCCCCCGGGTTCTTGTCGCAGGGCGCCAGCTTGGCGGCGTCGGTCATGGGGTTCGCGGCGCAGTCCGACGCCGAGGCGGGGGTTTTCCGCACCAACGTTATGAGGTTCTCAAACGTTAAATTCTCAACTGCTACATGGTTTGTCTTGCAAAATGACCATGACCCGCCAGACGATCAAGGTGCTTCGCATGACAAATTCTCGGAAGGCTAAATAGCACTGTAATCCGGATCAAACCTGTAATGCAAGACGCGCAAGGTTCTCCCTCTCACCTGTGCTAGTCTTGCATTACAAATTCATGTGACAGTTGAGAATGTAACGCTTGAGAACGCCATAAACGTCGCCGCCCGGTTCGGCACATCCATGGCCTCGTTGTAGAGGCAGCCCAGGCATTATGAAAGTGCACAACCCCCCCTCCCCCTCATTTGTGATGCAAAATACCGAATCCACCACTTGTCTTGTGCTGAAGGAATGTTTGCATGACAAATTTCGGAACAACCTGAAACAGTGCTACAATCCGTGTGTAGATTTGTCATGCAGAAGACCCATTTCTGCCGTTGCCTGTGTTGCCGTTCGTGCCTTACAAATAAGGCGGAGGGGGAGTTGTGCATTGTCATAGACAGGTCATGGCGAACAGGTTGTACTTGGTCTTCGGGTCTTGGCTGTACATCATGCGGCAAGCGTCCTGTCGCGCGGGCGTCAACTTTGCCACGGGCGCGTTTTGGCACGCCTCCTGCAAGCCAATCTTGCGGACCAACAGGTGGAGTTTCGACAGCGTCAGCCGCACCCAGTCTTGCTGTGCAGAGTGTTTGAGATAAAAATCTAAATTTTGCGGCAGAAGTAGGAGCACGGAATGTCATCTACGCTAAACTGTACTACCCAGAGACCAAGACTGCACTACTACTTCGAGTAGAAAAATCATTTAGTCGTTCTTACCCCCATCTCACTGGTCCCGCCGGTGATGTTCTGGCAGGCGTCGGAGTAGACGTCACGGGCCGCCAGAATTCTTGCGTTATACCAAGCGATGGAGTCGGCGGCGGGGAGCGTTTTGTTTGCCACCAGCGCGTCCTGCAGCTCCTCCAACAAAAGTTCCAGGTCGCTGGTCAGCAGGTTCTGGGAGAAGTAGCCCTCGAAGTCCGCCGCCTCGGGCGGCGGGGGGTGGATACCGACCGGCACGCCGTAGTCGTACAGCATCTTGCGGCAGTAGGGAATCTTCCGGGTCAACCCAAACTTGCACTTCTTCGACCCGAAGTTGGCCGTGGCGTTGGCGAGGTTCAGCACGATGCTCTGCCCGTCCGCCTCGCACGCATCGTTCCCCGGCTCCGGCGTGGCGCCAAACGGGGCCTTCGTCTTGCAAACGACGGAGTACAAACTGTGTTTCACGTCGGTCTGGTCCTTGTTGAACAACACCATCCGGTCCTTATCCAGTGGAAATATGTCTGGGTCTGGAAGGATCCGAACTTGTGATGCGAATTGCGGATCGTGCAAAGATTTGTATTGCATGACTGGCAACAGGTGCTTACTTCTGGCCATGCTGAGCTGAGAGGGTATTTCTCATGCAGAAAAGGCATCACAAAGGGGCTGCAGAACCTGTGATGCTGGGACACGCATTCCAGATTTGAGGGAGCTAGGAAAAACTGCATGACAAATCTCGGAATCTTCCAGACCCAGACACATTTGCATTTCATAGTCCTGCTGCGAGTACAAACACCCTGTGGGAAGCTCACCCGTGGACACCTAGAGGGAGGTAGGGTTGTGGTGCGTTTGTAATTTTTGCTCCTCTAGCTTGAATCAAGATCATTCGATTCATATTCATTCGGACAAAGTTAGTTTCGTATAGAAAGTATCTTTAAACAGTTTGCACTATGATCCGAGGATTTTTGCTGACATACCAACTTGACAGTCCCGACTCGACGGTCCAAGCCGAGTGTGACCGCCGCGCTGTCGCACTCCTCGGCACTGGCGACTTTCTCTGCGCCGGTGGCTAAGCAGGTCGTTGCCGCGCCGTAGTTTTTGTAGGTGGACAGGGAAATCAAGCTGCTTGCGGGGCTCGCCGGCGGGGTTTGCGCGGCACTTTGACGCAGACTGGTGCGCGAGAATGCGTTTTTCGCCGACGACGAGGCGGCAAGCGCGCTGTTTCCCTCGAACATCGCCGTCTGCATCAGCATGGCCTCGGACTGCGCGAACTTGTCCGAACCGGACATTTGCGTGGAGGCCGGTGGTAGGCCGGGGTAAAAGCCCACGGACATCGCGAGTGCCGGCTGGAGTAATGCGGTAGCATGAAATCCCCGTCTCGCCATACTCCTTGTTCCACCACTTTTTAGTACCGACGAAGATGACGAGGAGGTGGATCGGCAGCTGGGCCGGGATATCGTCCCGCTAGCGGTTCGCTGCATTGTCTCCTCCTGCTCCGTCGCCGCTGATTTGCAAGAATAGGTCCTCTGAAGTAGAGTCTCACAAGGTGCGTGTCAGCTGCCAACAAGAGAAACGCAAAACTCAAGTCGGCAGCCACATCATTTTCAATATTTGTTCCTACGCCTCCTTTTTACCGACAAAACCAAACCGCCACAAGACCTGCGTACCTCCGGTATGACGCCTCTAGATGACATGAACATGGATCCGCACACTCAGTTATGACACTCTACTCTCTCTCATCGTGGAAGCCCACTCTCCGGATACGCGACCTGACAAAAACTTGGACAAGAAAGAAGACTTCACACCCTACTTGCAACGACTCACACACACTGGCAGTGCCTCATATTGCTCAAGAGGAGCAGCGGTGAAGACCTAGGGGCTGACATAAAGAAAAAGCCAAAGCAGAACAACGCCCAATCCCGGAAGCCCAGATGCGGCACCCCTTGCGCAGGCGAATCCCGGCGGCACGGCGGATTTTTTACCTATCTCCTGGGGGGTTGCGCGGATTTCCGGCTAAGCGAGGCCCAATTACGACGGCAGTACCCCTGCGCTGCGCCGTTCCCTTTTTTTCTAAAGAAAGAGTCGAAGCAAAAAAACGCCCAAGCCCGGGAGCCCAAAAGCGCCACCCCTTGCGCAGGCGAATCCCAGCGGCACGGATGATTTTTTACCTGTCCCCTGGGGGGCTGCGTGGATTTCCGGCTAAGCGAGGCCCAATCACGACGGCAGTGCCCCTGCGCTGCGCCGTTCCCTTTTTTTCTAAAGAAAGGGTCGAAGCAAAAAAACGCCCAAGCCCGGGAGCCCAAAAGCGCCACCCCTTGCGCAGGCGAATCCCGGCGGCACGGAGGAGTTTTTACCTATCTCCTGGGGGGCTGCGCGGATTTCCGGCTAAGCGAGGCCCAATCACGACGGCAGTACCCCTGCGCTGCGCCGTTCCCTTTTTTTCTAAAGAAAGAGTCGAAGCAAAAAAACGCCCAAGCCCGGGAGCCCAAAAGCGCCACCCCTTGCGCAGGCGAATCCCGGCGGCACGGCGGAGTTTTTACCTATCTCCTGGGGGGCTGCGCGGATTTCCGGCTAAGCGAGGCCCAATCACGACGGCAGTACCCCTGCGCTGCGCCGTTCCCTTTTTTTCTAAAGAAAGAGTCGAAGCAAAAAAACGCCCAAGCCCGGGAGCCCAAAAGCGCCACCCCTTGCGCAGGCGAATCCCGGCGGCACGGCGGAGTTTTTACCTATCTCCTGGGGGGCTGCGCGGATTTCCGGCTAAGCGAGGCCCAATCACGACGGCAGTACCCCTGCGCTGCGCCGTTCCCTTTTTTTCTAAAGAAAGAGTCGAAGCAAAAAAACGCCCAAGCCCGGGAGCCCAAAAGCGCCACCCCTTGCGCAGGCGAATCCCGGCGGCACGGCGGAGTTTTTACCTATCTCCTGGGGGGCTGCGCGGATTTCCGGCTAAGCGAGGCCCAATCACGACGGCAGTACCCCTGCGCTGCGCCGTTCCCTTTTTTTCTAAAGAAAGAGTCGAAGCAAAAAAACGCCCAAGCCCGGGAGCCCAAAAGCGCCACCCCTTGCGCAGGCGAATCCCGGCGGCACGGCGGAGTTTTTACCTATCTCCTGGGGGGCTGCGCGGATTTCCGGCTAAGCGAGGCCCAATCACGACGGCAGTACCCCTGCGCTGCGCCGTTCCCTTTTTTTCTAAAGAAAGAGTCGAAGCAAAAAAACGCCCAAGCCCGGGAGCCCAAAAGCGCCACCCCTTGCGCAGGCGAATCCCGGCGGCACGGCGGAGTTTTTACCTATCTCCTGGGGGGCTGCGCGGATTTCCGGCTAAGCGAGGCCCAATCACGACGGCAGTACCCCTGCGCTGCGCCGTTCCCTTTTTTTCTAAAGAAAGAGTCGAAGCAAAAAAACGCCCAAGCCCGGGAGCCCAAAAGCGCCACCCCTTGCGCAGGCGAATCCCGGCGGCACGGCGGAGTTTTTACCTATCTCCTGGGGGGCTGCGCGGATTTCCGGCTAAGCGAGGCCCAATCACGACGGCAGTACCCCTGCGCTGCGCCGTTCCCTTTTTTTCTAAAGAAAGAGTCGAAGCAAAAAAACGCCCAAGCCCGGGAGCCCAAAAGCGCCACCCCTTGCGCAGGCGAATCCCGGCGGCACGGCGGAGTTTTTACCTATCTCCTGGGGGGCTGCGCGGATTTCCGGCTAAGCGAGGCCCAATCACGACGGCAGTACCCCTGCGCTGCGCCGTTCCCTTTTTTTCTAAAGAAAGAGTCGAAGCAAAAAAACGCCCAAGCCCGGGAGCCCAAAAGCGCCACCCCTTGCGCAGGCGAATCCCGGCGGCACGGCGGATTTTTTACCTATCTCCTGGGGGGCTGCGCGGATTTCCGGCTAAGCGAGGCCCAATCACGACGGCAGTACCCCTGCGCTGCGCCGTTCCCTTTTTTTCTAAAGAAAGAGTCGAAGCAAAAAAACGCCCAAGCCCGGGAGCCCAAAAGCGCCACCCCTTGCGCAGGCGAATCCCGGCGGCACGGCGGATTTTTTACCTATCTCCTGGGGGGCTGCGCGGATTTCCGGCTAAGCGAGGCCCAATCACGACGGCAGTACCCCTGCGCTGCGCCGTTCCCTTTTTTTCTAAAGAAAGAGTCGAAGCAAAAAAACGCCCAAGCCCGGGAGCCCAAAAGCGCCACCCCTTGCGCAGGCGAATCCCGGCGGCACGGCGGATTTTTTACCTATCTCCTGGGGGGTTGCGCGGATTTCCGGCTAAGCGAGGCCCAATCACGACGGCAGTACCCCTGCGCTGCGCCGTTCCCTTTTTTTCTAAAGAAAGAGTCGAAGCAAAAAAACGCCCAAGCCCGGGAGCCCAAAAGCGCCACCCCTTGCGCAGGCGAATCCCGGCGGCACGGCGGATTTTTTACCTATCTCCTGGGGGGTTGCGCGGATTTCCGGCTAAGCGAGGCCCAATCACGACGGCAGTACCCCTGCGCTGCGCCGTTCCCTTTTTTTCTAAAGAAAGAGTCGAAGCAAAAAAACGCCCAAGCCCGGGAGCCCAAAAGCGCCACCCCCTGCGCAGGCGAATCCCGGCGGCACGGCGGATTTTTTACCTATCTCCTGGGGGGTTGCGCGGATTTCCGGCTAAGCGAGGCCCAGTCACGACGGCAGTACCCCTGCGCTGCGCCGTTCCCTTTTTTTCTAAAGAAAGAGTCGAAGCCAAAAAACGTCCAAGCCCGGGAGCCCAAAAGCGCCACCCCTCGCGCAGGCGAAACCCGGCGGCACGGCGGATTTTTTACCTATCTCCTGGTGGGTTGCGCGGATTTCCGGCTAAGCGAGGCCCAATCACGACGGCAGTACCCCTGCGCTGCGCCGTTGACCTGAACTACCCCTGCGCAAAACGACGACATGAACAGCTAATTGCTGACTGCGGTCGATCTGAAGCCATCTATAACAAGATAACTTCTGCAAAAAGTTAGCAAAGATTAGCAAGCTTAGCATGATTTGGTTTTCTTTGAATTTCGTTGGTGGCCGTGGCAGCCGCAGCTTTGCATTCGGATGCACTTGTGGTTGAGGTCGAGCTTGCATTGTTAGTTTCAAAATAAAGCCGACGCTCACGCTCGTACTCCGCCTGATCGACTAGTACCTCCTGATGACGGATTGATAGTTTCTTGTTGGCGGAATGTCGGTTATTGCGGTACAGGTTCTAGTCAGACAGAGGCACGCCATGCCGTCGCAAAAACTATCGTCGTAGCGGACGCCAGAAGAGATTCAAATTTCTGCGTTCAACTTCTAGCGGAAATAGGAATAGCTCGGGATAGCTCTTTATTGAAATAAATGGCGGTAGAGGCGAGAGGCACTAGGCGTCGCAATTTCAAATTCAATATTCAATTTATCTATCAATTTGATACAAAAAAGCAAATCTTTCAAAACTAAACCTATCACTCGGGGTGAGCAGACGCTTCGGTTCCGGTTGTTGCTAATCTATCATACAAGAAAATCAAAATTCACTCCCTCGAAACTGTTGAATCATTCATCGTACACGAAAAGCTCTGGTTTAAACTGTTGGGAGGCCTCTCCTTCTTGAATGATACATTTCCTGCTTAATGCGGAGGTCAGAACAAAGTCACAAGTTGACCTTAGTTATGTTCAACGATCAGAGAAAGAAATCAAGGCTCGCTACTGCACCCAAAAAATACATATTGACACGGTTCAATCCTGATTTTTGATGGCATTGTGAAGACAAAATGTCTTCAGCTTTGCCACATCCTGCTCGGATCTTTTGGGATTGTTAATCCCATTTTTCCTTATCTTCTCCACATCGGCTTGCCAGTCCGCCTTGGTCCTTGGGGTTCCTTGCCACTGGACTCCGGGATCCGCCGGCTTTCCGGCGGTGAAGCGCGGCGACAGAGCCTTACCGGTGCCGCCCCCCGGGAGCATTTCCTCCGCCAGCTCTACAATTTTCTCCTTCGGCAAACTGTTCAACTCCGACACGGTGGTTCCGAGGGATCTGGAGGTGCAAACGTGGCGGTACTTGCTGTTTAGCTGCTGGTGATACGACTCTACCCACTGCCAGAAAGTCTGTTGTTTCGAAGTCAGAAAATTCAAATCTATGCCACCAAACTGCACCCTGGATACAGTGACAAAGAGTCAAACCTCTTGTCGGTAAATGATGACTATGTCAGATGAAGAATGCTGAAACAAATTATACGTTTTCGGGAATATCGTCACCGTGCGCGAAATTCGTCGAATTTTCGTACTCCCTTGCGATTTGGTCGACTCCTGGAAGCCTCTGCACGCCGGCATCCTTCATAACCAACTCTATGTCCCTTCCCTGCAGGAGCTCTAGTATCGCGTGCGCGAGTGGATCTGTTGTAGTTTGTGGAGCTGTGCTACTTGTTGTACATTTGTTTCTCTCTCATGGCTCTTTGAATGTTGCCCGGATAGAGTATGCTTCTGATGCGTATCAGTGGCAAAAGCCAAAAGAGCTGACACAAAATGGAAGAGCTAGACTGACGCCAATGCGGACGTTGTACTTATGCATCACACACACACACACTCACACACATTCACATCAGGACGAAAACATAGAAAAACAACTGAATCCAATACCGCTCACTGAAAATTTCTGCTTGTTTTCTTCGAACGCGAGGTACGCATTGAAGAAGAACGTAGAGACCTTGTTGATGTCCCCGTCGCACAAGAGCTTGTCAAAGTACAGTTTGCTCTTGTAAGGTAAAGCAGTTCGGACCATGGAGGTCATGCTTTCCACTGTGGTTTTCCGGCGGCGATCCTAGAAGTGTGATCATGTTGAAAGAAAATTGATTTACAAAAGCGAAAGAGACCTTTGTTGCGCAGGCATACAACTACCATGAAAAAGGATACACAATGTCCATCTGGTCTACAAAAAAATATACCTGCTGGCGAAACTGGCTGTGGAGATTTTTCAAAATGTACCACAGCGGCCCTCTCACGTTCTCAAATATCTTCTTTCGTGTAATCAACCAAATCTCCTCCTGCAGCAAATCGCGGTTAGACGATTTTGTTCCGAACATCTCGAATGCGCAAAGACCAATCTGCAACTTGTCTAGCAGTGCGGGGTCCTTCTGCTCGGACACCTGGTACCCATCTGTTCCGCAGTCTGGCGTAATGTCCCGCGACTCACAACTCGTACGCGCTGAGCCGAAGTCGATAACAACTATGCCGGGGCCTGACAGCATAATTAATACCCTTTATCCATGTCACGTTGAGACTCATGCGGAGGCTGCGACTCCTTGCACAACATTTTTGAAAATCGGGCGAAAGCAAACGAGAAGCTCGAACGAACAGCAGTGAGCCGAGGGCAATTATCAAAAGTTCAATACTGATCTTAAGCGTCACGGGATGCGACATCTTAGCGTGTGCGTGGGGGGCCATATCCTTTTTCCAAACGACATTCCCATCTTTGTCCAGCGTCTCGATCAAATCGAGCATGTTCGACACGTGCGTGTCCGCACCAAGGAGTTTCTGCTTCTTCGCCCCGACGTGATCGGCAAAAGTCGCTTTTTTCAGTAGAGCGGACAGGTTCTGCAGAGTGATTTTTGTTTCACTTGCGGCAAGTAAGTTTTGTCTTTCCACGAATCGACCATACACATCCTCCTCGTGCTGCACAACACCTTCAAGAACTAAAGTCAGTTGCAGTGCAAGCACGAATATTCACGTTTGGTAGCATCAATTATGAGCAACTTCTAATTGTGATGCAAGAAAAAATCGAGTGGCTTCGTCGAAAAGCATACCTGAAGGATGCCACCCGGCGGGCAGCTAAACGCTTCTGCTCCCTTTGCCGTTACACGAAAGCTGAATGGCTTCCGGATGTGCAGCGGCCGCAGAAAGCCATTATCGAAGAGATCGCTGAATGACCAGCGGTTCGACGGCAGGGCACCCTCGTGTCTCCGTGTCAACAGCAGATTCGCCGGCTTGACGTCCCGATGGAACACTGCCATGTCCGACAACGATTGTGCAATCTGCGGTAGTGAAGCGGACGGATCAAATCGTTTTTTGAATTCAGACTTCTTGGCAAAGCCTGTGCTATCAGGTTTAGTACTTTGATTCGTGTCACAAAAATAGTAACCTCTGTAAATGTTCATGTTGTAGTTAGTACCTGCAACAAGCAGCAAATTGCGTCGGTGGCCGATATACCGCTCGCTACCAAATCGTCCAACGACGAACGCTGCCGTTTTGCCCGCTCTGATTCCGGGCAGACAGCTGATGGAAGATCCAGCGCCTTACTACCAGGGTACATCGCGAAGTACACCTTCTTCTTGTCATAGTGGTATATGAACCTTGGTAGATACGCGGTTTCCTGTGATTGTTTTTCTGTGTCGTGATGATTGATGGTAGGTGGAATTATATCACCCTTCGCGCATTCTTATTTCGTCTCACCCCTGCTGTGCCTCGGAGGCGAGGATGTATCGTCCTCCGTGTTCACAACAAATGGAAAACGTTCTTGGCGACCATTTGAAACAACAAAGATTATAAGTACGTGAACGACACTGTAGCGCGCGACGAGCGTCGCCAGTAGCCCTTCTCGCAGTATCGCCTTCTGCCCAACGTCTGCCACAGTTATCTCTTTCAAGGCCGTCGGTGACCAAAGCGAGGTCATGGGAGCCTGCAGCAGGTAGACTGGTGAGTTCGACTCCGCGATGAACGACACCTTTGCGCTTGAAAGGTCAAGCGCGCATGGCGGGAGCCAGATTGTAATGCGGCGACCATCGTGGACCAGTTCCAGGGACTGCCACGCCTCGCCGATGGACAGCGAAGTCGCGGTCGCACTCCCATCACCGGCATCCGAACTGAAGCCTTTCCCGGAGGGTGCTTTGTTCGTGCCTGTCGACGGAGCAGCAGTGCTGCTGGATGCTCCCGAGGATGAACTGGTTTCTGGCATCGCTCCGGTAGGAGAATAATGCTCCTCAACAGAAGGCCTCTTTGGTCTACTCAGGCTGTTGCTCGTGCAAAGGGCGCCATCAGTATCTGAACAAAAAAAAACTTTTTGCACTGAAGCGACAGCAGCTACGCATGAAGGAGAAATATTGTGGTGACTTCCGCCTTGCTTAGCTCCTCCTTTTGTACTAGCATGCAGCGCATTCCGTAACGCTGCCAGGGCTCAGCGCAGCAGTCAGGCAACGCGAACCACCACGATCACTCGCACTCTATGGCCGTGGAATCGCTCGCACTCTATGGCACTCTGCGGCTCCCTCGCGAACCTCCACGATCACAAGGCCGCGAATCGCTCTTGCAAATTTCAGCTACCTTGCAAGAACTAACAATACGACATCAACCATTAAGCTTAGAACACTGCTTATGGCGAAGAACGGAAACTCAAATGATAACTCCTATACTATGCCCCCGTGATACATACAAATTTTGTTTTTTCGTTCGATAGCGGAAACGTGTTCTCTTTCCTACAGACGCGGGCACAACAATCGGATTGCTGGGACTTGATGTGCCCATGCTACGTTTCGTTCATTGGTCGACCAGCTTTCTGTGGAAAAATCATACATTTCGAAACAAGGCAGGCTCGACTTCCTTTGTCACACCATATTTTTATCGTCCAGAAGCGACATTACGTAACAAGTGTTTGCACGCAACAATCAATTATCATTTTCCAAAAAGCGTCGTATCCATCGCCATCTTGCCTCCGGGCACCACCTTCCCGTTTGGACAGAACCCGCCACCCTGGAGCTTGCACATCACTTTTGCAGTGCTGCCCGCTTCGGTCGGGTCCTCGCAAAACCCGAGGATGCGTGCGGGGTTACATTGGGCCTCCCGTGCTTTTTCCGCGGTTTCGATCTGTTTCTCCTGCTCCCACTGCTCCGCCAGCGGCTTCGCAATCCGCTCGGTCTTCCGGAGATACCGGCAAAACTTTTGGAACAGCCCGTACACCGGGTGGTCGTCCTGCCAACCAAGTTTGCCCGCGGTCGTAGTCATCGGGTGCTGTTTCCGCCACCACTGCCGACAGCTTTTCACCTCGCAGTCCTGTCCCGCCGGGTTACACCACGCTTCCTGGTCGTTGGGCACCGGGCGCTTCTTGTCAAAGAAATCGCAGCCCTTTGACATCTCGTTCCAGAGGTGGAACTTGATCGGCAGTTCCGAACGCCCCCCGGGCCGAAGCTCCTCCTTCTCCTGAAGCTGGTTCACCAGCTGCGCGCACGAGTGGGATTTCTCGCAGGACTTCTGCAGCGTTTCCAGTGACCGTCGATACTGAAGGAGGTACCTGGAGGAGATATAAGAGGTTTGGGTTTGCGTCAAGAACAGACGATCGATCCATGACAAGGTCCGGCAAGGCACGATACGCTTCCTTGCAAAATATGAAGCTCTGCAGTTCCACGAAAAGACTTAAATCTATTCCTGTTCTACCCTACCGTAGTAAGTACCATATGTAGCTTCCCCCGGGTCCCTTCCGCCCGTCCTTCCCGTACTCTTCCATCATGGCCGTGAGGCCGCGCGACTCAGCAATCTTGAAATCGCAAGCCCGACGCTCGAACAGCCCCCGCGCTTTTGCCGCGTCGAAGAGCGCGGTTCCAATCGTGTCGTGGATGCCACGAATGAACTTTTTCGCCGCCGGCAACTCTGCGCCCTGGCAAATCTCGCCCTTTTCCAGGCACCCAGGCATCGGCATGTCGTGCGGTGCGTCGATTTTGGCCTGATCGCACGTCGGGCAGTACACGAAGGAAGTCGCAGCCCTGCTGGCGCGACGAGGACCTTTACTCCTCGACATGCCGACTGCGCCCGTCGCGCCGTCGTGGAGAGAGCCAATCCATGGGTCTGGTAGTTCGTAGCTGTGCCAGTGCGCTCTGTGTCCCCGGAACACCGTGCTGCTGTGCCCGTCTGCGTCGACACGACCGAGATCGTGAACGCTTGAAGCGGATAACAAGTGCAGCCCTTGATCATGGCCACCATCGTGTGCGAAAGTCGCCAACACACCCATCAATGTTCGTTGCTAAAAAAACTTGCGATTTTTATACGCCTGAACAAACACCTCCAAAGTACATTTGTTCTGTGGGCATAGCATTTATCGTTCCTCTTGTTTCCATGGTTGTAAAATAAAAGGAACAAGCGAGAAACGGCTCTCTACTCTCAATTCCACTCATTCCAAGCAAGAACCTCTCGAGAACTACGTCTCGGCTTCAACAAAACGAAAGATGAACGAGGTACGTCCTACTATGCTTAAGTACGTGAATCGATTGCGTCTGCGTCACATATGAATACAGGACTGAACACCCTCAGACGATGCGACCGCTCGATCTATTTGCGGCCGTCGCGGCTCCGGAAGAGCTCAAAGACCCTCTTTGATCATATGATTTCCGCTTGTAACAGATGAGAAAAACGTAGTGCTAGCGCCAGAAAAAATTTCTTTCCTGTCGAGGTTGATTTTGTCGACCATAGATCATTGCAAAACGATCGATTTCACTTCTTGCCTGGTGCGACGCACATGGACATTCCGCAAAATCGATCGTCTTCCAACATCCCGTCGCCACAGAAGAGGTCGCTCAACAAACAGGCTTCCAGGAGCATCAGTAGAATACACACTTTGACTTTCAAATAGATGCCTGTTGTTGATATTTTATTGTCGTCTACTCAGTCAGTGCTAGTTTGGAAAATAACGGTATGAAATATCTCGTGAAGATTTTAATACAGATACAGTCGATAAGAATACAGAAAAAGTCGTCTCAAATTGGTGATGGCGTATCCACATCCATCGGGTCGCTGGCAGCGTAGTTCTGAATCGACGCGGGCGAAGTGGACGCCGTCGTCGCCACAGCACCACTGCGCGGCGAGCCGGAACCGCTGGAAATCATGGCACCAGCAGCTCCCGCTGTACTAGTTGGTGAAGACACCACAGCACTTGACGTTGATGTTACGGCACTACCCTGTATGTGGGTTTTTGACGCTTCGAGATCGCGGACCAGTGAGGAGTTGTCCGCGCCGGGGACGTTCTGGCCGATGGGCTCCGTGACGTCCAGCAACTGCTGAAACTCGCGACTCAAGTTCAGGTCCCGGACGATCTCGCGCGTTTTCGAAAGTAGGGCCGCGCGTTCTTGCGCGAGCAGCAACTCCTCGCGTCGTTTCAGGGTTTCGCGCTCGTTCGCGTGACTGGTTTCCAGCTCCTCCTGGATTTTCTGCAGCTCAACACGGTCCTCAAAGGTGATGGAGCGTCGCAAAGTCTCGATGTTCCAAAACAAGGATCCCTTTTCGGAGTCGTTCACGTAGGCCGTCACGTCCACCTCTTCGTGCCACGCGATCCGTTTTCCCAAATCTCCGGAAAAGTCCTCCACGGCGCCCGCGCGCACGCTGCGGGTGCGCCCGGCTTTTCGCAAGTCGGCCTCGTTTTTCGCGGCCCGAAGCTCCGGCGAGGACCCCGCGCTCTCGCCGGACTTCTTTCTGGAAGATGCGCTCTTTGATGCTGGGCTCCCAGGCCTGGTGGCAGGGGTTGGCGTGGCTAGTAAAATTTGCGGAAGTGCGTGGTTATCGCGCTCTTCCATCCGCGGGTTCAGGTTGCTACCGAAGCTTGCGGCCACCGTGCTAACGTCCTGTGCGGTCAAACTGAAGAGCCCGTCGTCTTGCTCGTCCCGCGCCTGATTTTTAGTCGATGTTGTTGTAATTTTACGTTTTTCCACTCCTCCGGATGGTTGCTTTGATGTTGTTGTAGCAGAACTGTCTAGTAATTGTTGATCTTTACTACTATTCTTATTTTTTCCAGCAGTACCAGTGCTACTGCTTCTGCTATCAGAAGAAGTAGCACTGCTACTGCTTGATGAAGATGTTTCACTGCTACAGTGGTTTGCTTTTTTAGCCGCGCTATTGCGAAAGCCGGGGAGTTCGCCTAGAAACAGCGCGAAATTCGGAGGCACGGAATCGTTGCGATGGGCCTGGTGTTTTGTAGTTGTGTCGGAGTGCGCGCGCTGCGGTTGATCGTCTTTGCCATTGGTATTCACAACTGCTTGATCCCCATCGCTGATAATCCTGGGGGTTTTTATCGGTGGTGGAACGCCCTTCGTCATACCGTGGTTCTTCTGCAAATTCTGGGCTCCTGCCTCTGGAGGTTTACCCTCAACAAGTAATGACGCGCACTTTGGAGGACTTGCAGGTGCTTCTAACCCGTAGCGTATTATTCGCTCTCGCAAGCTCGTCCCTGCCTGCACAGTTCTCCCTCCTGCTGCATGACCGTGGTTGTTGCCTTTTTCGCGTCGGCCGGCGTGCACTCGTGGGACCTCGTCGACACAAGACAGGGCAGCCATCGAGTCCCGAGAGGACGGCTCTGCATCCACTGCGAGGCCAGGAGGAGGACAAACGGAGGCGCGCGCGATCGCAGCACTAGGCTCCGGTGGAAGTTGGAGAAGGCGTGCTGCGCCTCCCCGAGTTGAATCCTCTTGTTTGTCGGAACCCTCAGCACTGCTGCTATGCGGAGATTTATTTTCTTTCCACATTTCATACGGGTTCGCAAGCCGCTCTGGAGGCGTGCTTGTCGTGTGGAAGTCGTTGTCGTTCTTGCGGTCGTCCGAATCGATCTTCTCATTCTCTGCTGCAAGAACATTATGTAGTTGCCCATGCTGTAGTCGTGCTGCATCTTCACAACTACTCGAAGTGCGATCTTTCCTCGGGTGGTCGTTCTTGTTGACCTCCTGCTGAGAAAAAGTCGTAACTTCTGCCGGCGAACTCCGGGTGTCATGCGATTGAACACCAGTCGTGGGTGTAACAACCACGCCCTTGCCTATCTGTTCGACCGGTTTCCTCACCTTCCTCGGCGCAGTGGTCCCCGTCTTGGTCACGGCGCACGACGGCTGGTCACAATCATCTACCGTTGGTGTTGTAGTTGATGGCTTCCCTCTGTGCACCGCTGTAGGCGGCGGAATCGGGTGTGGTTCAAGGGGGATCAAAAAGGGATTAAAACCTCCCAGGTTTTGGCAAACGGGGGGATAGGGCGCGGGCACGAAAAATCTCGGGTCCAAAACCAAACCTGCTAAGTTGGTGCTATGGCTATTAGTCGAGAAACCACGACGGGGGGCCGGCGGAGGAAAGCTTTTGTGCTCGTCTTCGGGTCGTAGCACGGCAGGAGGAGTGGTTGATGCTACAACTGGGGTCATTGATGGGCAAGTTGATGTCCTGGTAGATTCCCCGTCGGGAGAGGTGACAGAATCCAGAGCATGCTCACGCTTTTCTTTCCCCTCCACTTCGGTACTACTAGAAACGGCGCTAAAGCGGCGCGGGGTTCTAACCTTGCGACTCGACTCGCCGAGGCACGGTTCTTTCAGATTGTCCTCTGCCAATGCAGGGCAGTCGTCGAGCTTCTCATCATCCGCAACAAGTTCGTCAAAAGCTGCAGCGCTAGTGGTTGGAAAGTTGGCATTCGTGAACAGCCTCTGAATTTCCTCCGGTAGAGGCTGACTGCACTGCTCTTCCTCTGTCTCGAACTTCTGGGTAGTTCTGTGTTGCTTCGCGTGCTTTTGTGCGTTGAAATGATGGCAACTAATGTCCGCCTCGGCGTACAGGTTGCTCATCAACTTTGACGCGGCTCGCAATCTACTCCCGAAAACACCCGCCTCGCCGCCTCTTGCGGTCCGCCTCCCGGGTGTCCCAGCGGCCGGCGCACCGTTGCCTTCACCAACGTGCTGACTGCTTCTAGTTCGCCCCGATCCGGCGCTTCCGCGCGGCAGCGTCGTGCTAGGGAGCATACCCACTTCCCCCCGTGTAGTACCGTCATCCGCAAGACCGCCTTCGTGGCCACCCGAACCCCGAACCCGCGGCCCGCGTCCTCCCGAGGCCACACTCTGCAGGTTGTGGTTCCGACGGGAGTTGTTGTGCTTCCTCCGGGCCTCACTTTCTTCCAGGGGAGGAATACTTTTCTGCGGGTTGCGCGGTGGAATGTAAAAAGATGATTGCTGTTGCATCCAAGAACGGGATGATGAACTAGAACTCGAAGTAGAAGCGGACCCGCCCGCGACGTCGTGGGAACCGTCATGGTGTCCACCACGGTTGTAATCACTGGTCGGGGACTGCTCCACCGTGGTACTTCTGAAAGACCCACGTCTGTCGTCAAACATCGTGAAGCGCGTTGCAGCACCCGGATGTTGAGCATCGCCGTGGACCACGTCGACGCTGTTGCGGCTAGAAGAAGTACCAGACACGCCGGGTCTGCAACTCCGCGAAAAGCGCCCTGCACACTGATTCCCGTTCACGCGAAAAGACGCTGTCCTGTTACCGCCCCGTTTATTATTTTCACCTACCGTAGGTGAGTAATACCCCTGTCTCGTTCCGTTCGCACTGAAAAAACTCGCGTTTCTGTTCCGCGGTGAAGGAACGAAAGGCGGGAGTGGATCGAACAACGGAAGGTCTGCGTTAAAATTGCCGTTGCTGTCAATACAAAACTTGTCGAGGTCGTATTCGGTATCGTAGCCTGCGCTCTCCTGCGGTTGAGACCCACCGCCGCCATCTCGCAGCGTCGAAAACAAAGACCGCCGTCTCCGCGGCTTTGGCTTCGAAATCGAAAAAAGTTGGTCGTTCCCACCGGTAGATGAAGAAACGCGGTGGGTGTGGTCAACCATTGCAGGAGGTTGGAACCGTTGCCGCGGGCTGCTACTGTCACTACAAGCGGCCGCCATCACCGGTGCAAGCGGTTCCTGCTCGTCTGTTTCGGTCCTTACCGCATTGAAGATGCGTTTTCGACTACTACTACTCGGACCACGCAAAAAGGCACTGCGAATCTTTTCGCAGTTACATTCGACAAGAAAAGCATGTAGAACTCTACTTAAAGTGGATTTTGGTATTTTCAATTTTCTCAGAAATGTGAAAATCGAGTAAGTAGATCGTATGCTCCCGTCAGGATTGGCACAATAAATGCTAACTCTAGTCGGCCTCCATGAAAATATATAGATACATCCCCTGCTGGGGTGACAGGAGCACTCTCGACACCATAAAACATCACTGCACGTTTATTTCTTGTTTCCTGTTGTGGTCGTTCCGCATTCGATGCAGCAAATAGATTGACGTGGTCACTACCTTGTTTCCGTGGTTCGTTCAGTAGAAATAAGCTACTTCCCTAATATGCGAGATCTTGCGGTTCTCGTGATCAGTCTTTGCGAAGATCGCTGTAGGTGGATGATCTTCCCTGTTTGGATCTTGTTCAGTCGCACATCGCTTGTTTCGCTGCCTGGTTTGCGATTGCGATTTCTAAACTTTATGATGTACTTCGACCAAGACCTCCTGCCCGCAAACAACTTTTCGACTGCGCCTGCCACCGTGTTGGGAATCATCCGTCCGAGAGGTGGTCTACATCGTCAGCAGCATGGCAACCTCCTTGCAGCTCCTTCCTCGCCTTACGGCAAACCAAACCGCATCCCTTGCTTCAGCTTCACACTCCCCGGCTATTGCCATGCAAAAGTCACCAAATACATGCTCACATACAATCCAAGCAAATCAACCAGCACATCAAACGACGGTAGAGTACAATGAAAATGAGATCACCAAGGAACATTAACAACAAACGATTGGAGTACCGAGGCGAATCCTTCCGCAGAGTCGAGACCCCCGCTCTCGTCTCCTTGATGCATCGGGGGTGATGCATTGCTGGTGGCTTCTCCCTCCGGTCGCTTCTGCCCCGGGCGCATGAAGGTGCGCAGATACCGCATCAGGGAATTGTCTCCGTAGTCGTAATTTGAGTCGGCTGCCTCATCCGGTAGCACGGTGGGAGGACCGCCGGATCCGTCCGTTCCTCGGTGGAGGTCCCAAGTCGTACGGGACGCCAGGTCAGCGCTCTGTCCCCCGTCCATCACCTCTTTTCGGGACTGCGGCAGGCTGCTCGCGGGAGGTGGATACGCGCCGTAGTCCACCGGGGCTCCTGCTTGATGTTGCTCCGCACTGCTCAACACCATGCCCTTCTCCCACGTCGTTCTGCTCTGCAGATCCGCGCTCTGCCCCCCGTACATGACCTCTTTTCGGGACTGCGGCTGGTCGTGGGCCTGCTCCAGTAGCACCTCGTCGAAGCGGCTCGACAGTTTCTGACCACCTGCTCCCGACCGCAGCTCAAAAGTGGTTCTGCTCTGCAAGTCCGCACTCTGCCCACCGTACACGACCTCCTTTCGCGACTCCGGCAGCCCTGCTCCCGAGGACAACAGTTGTCCGTGGTTCCACGTGGTGCGGCTCGCGAGATCGGCGCTCTGGCCACCCTGCACCACTTCTTTCCGGGAATCCGGATGGTCCTCGTTGCTCTTCTGCTGCCGTTTGGCGTCGTCGGCGGGCAGCGGGTACTCGACAACCCGGAAAGAATCGCCCCGCGGGGACCCGAAGTGGTGGCTGCTGCCGTTCGACAGGCGATCTGCGTCGTGGTGGCCGCCGCGCGGCTCGGAGAACCCCCGGATCGCCGAGTTGTTACTACCTCCGTGGAAGCTGGCTGGCGACTGCAGGGCCGACTGAATCTTGCTCGAGAGCAGCGTGGTCTTCCCCCCGGACAGCGTGTTGGGCACTTGCGAGCTCCGCGGGCGTCCCAAGGTGCGCCCGATATGGTGCCCGGCCGACGCGTGGTCGCTCTCGCGGTAGCTCGCGGTGCTCTCGTTCACGTGCACAGCGCGCCACATGGCGCTCGGAATGGTCGCGCGCTGCTCCAGATCGGCATGCATCCATTCGTAGTCCGTCGCGAACTTCTCCCGCCTTTCTGCCCCCGTGAGCTGCTGCTGCTGCACACCGGACGCAGTAGTACCGGAGAGCACGAAGGAGCTTCTGTGCGACTTACTCGAACTCGAGGTGGTGTGCGCCGTCCCGGCCGGGTAAAGCTGGTTTGGAAAACTCGCGGTACTCACATCAGACCGCCCGCTCGCGTCACCCCGATCCAACGCTTCGCGGCGAACCGAAACGCGGGTTGTCGGGGGCAGAGACAAGCTTACTCGCGATGTGGTCACTGGCGTGGAAACCTGGGATAAAAATTATTGAATTTTCATACCAGATTCAGTCACCAACGAAAGTGGAAACTTCGTTCTTAAAAATGGAAAAGCAGAAAGCGAATGCTACAAACAGCCAGAAATAGTAAACATTTTCTATCAAAAGGCGTTTTGTAGCTAGCGTATTTTTACCTCGGTGACGTGCAGGTCGAAGTTGGCGGGCCCTGTTGAACTCGGCGGCGCGGCGACCTCCGAGCGCAGCGACGCGGCCGGCGAGTGAATCCTTGACCCGGCCAGAACCGTGGAAGCGCGGCGGCTCTGACTCTGGAGGAGCGCCCCCTCGACGTGCGCGCGGCCGAAGTGGTCCACGATCAGCTTGGTCACGCTGTCGGCGATGCGCTGCTCCTCCTCGGCGGTCCACACCTTTTCCTTCGGATGGTCGCTGAACTGCGGATCGCTGAACGCGGAGCTGCTCCCGCCGAGCTGCGAACTGGTTCCCGACCCGCGTCGCGCGTTCTCACTCAGGTGTGCGTTACTCGACAACGATTCAGTCCTCGAACCGGCTGTCCGGTGCTGACGGTCCTTGTTTGACCTGTTTCCCAAGGATCGCAGACTCGCCCGGTTCCCTTGCTTGACCAACTCGTCGTACTCGAACTCAAAGTCGAGCGCGATCACAATCTTCCGCTCGAGGGCCTCGAAAGGATCGTGGTACGACTCGACGAAAAAGTCGTAGTCGTGACTGTCCGACGTCAGCAGCCGGTCGTGATACTGCGTGAAGCCGACTCCGCGGAGCAAGTACTCCAGTTTTCGCATCTCCCGCAACTCCGCGACCAAACAGGTCCCCAGGGCGGCTCGCCAGGACGAGTTGCTGCCGATGCTAGCCCCTGCACCCGGCAAAACGTGAGAACCGCCGGCCCCCCTCTTGCCGCTCGTCGGTCCCATGTCGGGATACAAGGGAGACCCTGTCGTTTTGGATTATAGAAAAATCTTCCGGCAGCTAGCCGCGTATGAAGAAAAAGAAATACTTAAGAACGAGACTTTCTTATCAAAAACTGAATCTAAGTGGAGTGCCCGTCTCAGAAGATGTATCATCATTAATCGAGTGCATTTCTAATAACCAATTTTTGTACCAGAGGTGAGTGACGCGAGGCGTATAGAATCCGGGCGAGCCAAATCATAGGTTTCCTGGAACGTTCTGTAGGTCTCTTTGACCCACGCCAGCAATTCCGTGTACGCCGTTTCGGTACAGCGGTCGCCGTAGTCCGCCAGGGCGAGGAGCAGCTCTTTGAGCAAGAACAGGTCGTCCGCGGAGAGTCGCCCCGTCAACACCTCTTCGACGCCCTCCACCAGTGCGGTGAGACTGCTGGTGTGTCCCACCGCCTTCAAACGCCCCGCGAATTGCCATCCCAGATGCCGTTGCCGCACGAGAAGCGGAAGGTGCATGGGCGAGGTGGACGAAGATAGTACCGCCTCCGCCTCGGGGTCCCCGTCGGCGACTTGATGTTGTTGTGCTGCTGCGGCGTCGGTCACCGCGTCTTCTTGCAGTAAGTCCCGCGCTGCCTGGACGCTCTCCTCACAAATGCGCAGGTAGGCCGCAAACGCGGTCGCTTTGTCCATCATTCGGTTTTCGGGCGCGAGCATGCCCATGGCTCCGCGCGCCTGGCTGGGTCTGCTGGTCGTCCCAGACCCGCCCGCCGGTGCGACCTTCTCGTTGTTCACCCCGCGCCACGTCTGTGCGAGCGAGTCGTCGCGGCCGAGCAGCTGGTGGAGCGCGTACAACAGCAGGTCCGCCACGTCCTTGCCGCTCGCCTCCTGCTCCCCGTCCGTCTCCGACCGCTGCATCAAGCGGCGCACGGACGCGTGGGCTTGGGACACGCGCACAGTCAGGAAGTCGCTCCCATCTCGATCGCGGACGGAGTCGTCGGAGAGATGCGTGAAGCGAATGGTGCGCTTGCTGTTCTGGTTATTTGACAACATGGAGCCACTCGCCCCATTCACGTTGTCCTCCTCCTCCTCCTCCTCCTCGTCTTCTGTGCTCGTAACTGCGTCGATCTTCGCCGAACCTTCGGGGCGCCTCTGCGAACTCGTTTTGACCGCAAGAGGACCCGTGGCCGCGGTTGTCTTTTTCGAACTTGCGGGCGTCGGCGTTCCGCTACTTGTGGGCGCAGCGAAGGATGCCTGCCCTCGGGACTGGATCACGTCTCCTGCGAGAGAGGCGGGCAGCTTGCTCGCGTCCACGCTCTTCGGAGGGGCGGCCTTCGCCTTGGGCTCCTGTTTGGCTTGGGCCTTCGCCAGGGCGGCCAGGTGACTGGGCCCTAGCGTCGCGCGGTTTATCGGTCGGTGGTGGTTATCCACCTCGAAATCGCTGCTCGAGCTGGTGCTGCCGAAGTGGCCTGAGGGGGGTTCCTCTGAGTACTGGATTTCGGGGGCGGCGATTTTTATCTCTCGACCATCGTCAATCGCGCTCCCCTCTCCCCGAACCTTCCCGCGACCGCTGCCCTCGCGGCGGTTTTTGGTTTTCTTCCCGGTCGACTGGATGATGGACTCCCTCGCGGGTCTTGACTGAGACTGCATGTTGTTGCCCGACATAATAATGGAGGCTCTCTTCGGCTGTCCGGAATTTAAATTGCGCTGCTCCGTGGAAAGCACAGGGTCCCTTCGTGGGCGGCTCCCACCCATGATGGCGGCAAGCTCTCCAGTCTGCACAGCGTCTCCACGTGGGCTGCTGGCCGCTCCAAACGTTCCCGACTGCGGGCCGTGCATGCTTTCCCGAGTCATGGACTGTATGTTCACCGACTTGCGCGCAGCGTCATCCGCCATCGACTTGCTCGCAGCGTCATCCGAGCTGTGGTCCTTTGCCTGCTTTTTCTTGTCGAGGGAGGAAGTTCCCGCCGATTGTGTTTCCAACTTCTTTTTCTTCTTTTTCTGGGATGAAGCATTTTCCATGTGTTCGGCCTTTTTCTCTTCCCTTTTTTGCTTTTCAAGACTCGCAGTAATTGCGGACAGTCTCTGAACGAAGGCTGGCGCCGCTGGGGCTTTGTTCTCCAGTGAGTTTTGTCTCTCTGACTTCCTTTTCTTTTCTTTCTTCTCCTCTCCGGAAGACTTTTCCTTTTCCAGTGAGTTTTGTCGTTCAGATTTTCTTTTCTTTTCCTTCTTCTCCTCTCCGGAATCCTTCGCAGACTTTTCTGGCTCCAGTGAGTGTTGTCGTTCTGACTTCCTTTTCTTTTCTTTCTTCTCCTCTCCGGAATCCTTGCTTGACTTTTCCGGTTCCAGTGAGTATTGTCGTTCTGACTTCCTTTTCTTTTCTTTCTTCTCCTCTCCGGAATCCTTGCCTGACCTTTCCGGCTCCAGTGAGTTTTGTCGTTCAGATTTTCTTTTCTTTTCCTTCTTCTCCTCTGCGGAATCCTTCGCAGACTTCTCTTGCTCTAGTGAGTTTTGTCGTTCTGACTTCCTTTTCTTTTCTTTCTGGTCCCCCGGATGATCCTTCGCTGACTTCACTTTGTCGTGCTCCGGCGCAGTAGTCACACTGACATTAATGCTAACGTTACTAAACTGGCTCGCTTTTTCGCTTACGGGAAATTCTGCCGTTTTCGTGCTTGTTTTGCTTGCCACCGACGCATTGGTTCCCACCGACGCATTTGGCGACTGAGTGGTAAACTCCGTTAGGACAGTTCCCCCCCGGCTCAAACTCCGTGCCGATTTCTTCGAGGGTTGATCTGTCCTTCGCGAGGCAAAGAGACTGTCTTGCACGACTTGCTCGGCGTGCTCGTCCTCTTCCGCCTTTTGCAGCAACACGTCACCATCCTGCGCCGATCCAGACACGGTCAATTTCTGCTGGGGCTGTACCGTCCCCCTGGACCCGTGACTGTCGCGTGCAGTTGCCTTCTGTGCTTCCATCGCGCCAAGGCTAAGATGCGTCTTCCCGGTGGCCCCGTAGTTGAAGCTGCCAGCAACAAAGGCTTCCCCCGGCGAACCCGATCTGGTACTCGACATCTGTGATCCCTTTGTCATCAGCTGCTGCTGCTCACCCCCGGCCCCGGCGGCCGCGCCTTTTTTGCCCTGCCAATACTGCGGCGCGTACTGGTTGTAATCCCCCCACTTTGGGTCCCACTGTTGGGGCTGTCCGTATTGGTCGTAGTACACCCCGGCGTCCCACTTCTGATCATTCCACCGCTGCGAAGATGTCCGGTCGCGCTCCGCCCCCTCGAACGTGGCCGCAGACACGATGCCCTCTCCGTCGCCGCCCGCGTATACTTGTGCGCTCTGCTGGTCGGCGTAGAAATGGCAGTAGATCCCGATGGCGAGGGCTATGACCATGATTATACTCGCGATCACCACCACCGCGATCACTGCTCCCGACCTCTTCATCTGTTCAGAAAGCTCCAAAAGCACACTAGAAAAATCCAACGCCTTGAAGCGCGCCGGGCGACGAGCTGCATCGAAACCCTCGTGCTCTCCACGACGCGCTTGTTGGGCCGCGGCGACTTCGTCCGGGTCGGAGGCTTCCAGCACCATCTCGCTGCCGTCCTCATCCCGCTGCGTGCGGCCGACTACCGGGGGGGCTGTCTTCACAAACGTTCTTTTTCCGAGAAACTTGTTTGTGTCCGTTTCGTAGTGGGTCTTCTGCTCTCCCCTTTCCTCGATTTCGACCACCCGGTAGGCGTTGGCTCCGGGTTGTGACAGGAGAAACACTTCCGCAGCCGGGAGCAGCAGCAGAGCCGCCACCCCGACGATACGCCTCCAAATAGTACGCGTCTGCATCATCGTTCTGCCGTCGAGTTTATGTCAGACTGCTGCCCCCTCTCCTTCTTCGATTGAATAAAGTGCGTTTTCAAGACGGGATTGCTCGCACGCGCCTCTGTCCAGAGTGGACTTCCGGATGATCGCGAGCCATCCCGCCTGATGCTGAAACAATGTGAAGTTCTTAGTTGGGTAGGAGGAAAGGAGTTATTGGAAAAGATAAAGAATTTTTGTAGATGAAAAAGCTAATGTCAACATGAAAATCATGACGACAACGCAGCTGGGGGCCGCGTATAAAAGACGCAATAGAAAAACATATTGTACGGAAAAAAACGAGCTTTGGGGGAATTGGTTAAATCTAATCTGCAGAAACTGTTGGTGCCATGGAAAGATTTCTTTGGACTTCACCTTTCGGGCACGAAAACATTACAATTATGTAGAAGAATACCAATTGACGGGCGCACGATATGAAAAAGAACCGATGAGGTGCACGAACGAGCGAGCGCAAATCGGAGACGGACGCCACGTAAAAGTAGCAATTTCTGCACGAAAATAAAAGTGAAAGCGGACGATATGGCACTATGCTGTGGACGTACCGACTACGATGCTTTACCGTTTGTGCTGAGCGAAACGACCGACCTCAAGCTCTGCACGCCAGAACGAAACCACGACCGAAAAATTGGTAGATCTAAATCCAAAACCGAAAAAAATCATGTGGGGCGATGGATGGACAGACGGCACACACCAGACTCCATAGGTTTTTTCGGCACAACGTACACAACCAAAATTGCGCATTTTCGTTCTATGTATAAATATGAATAAAAGGCAGAAATCTATCCGGGGAAATAGTTGCAGTCTTCGTCTTTCACTTGTGTTGCCGCTTCGTCATAAGCAGAAGTGTCCTCTTCATAATCATACAGCGATATTGCCGGGGCGTCGCAATCCTGCGAAGAAGCTAGTGAGCGACACCGACCTTCGTTTTTCTACCGCAGACAAGTGAGGAACTAGAAAATCCCGTCCTGCCTTTCCCAGATTGCCTCCACCAGACGCTACCACCTTGCAGCAGTCTGGCTTTTGAAAAAACAAACTAAAAACGTGTTATTTGGCGAGTTGTAAAAACTACTTCAATCATCTTCTACTACTCTAACTCCAAGAGGGAAGAGGATGCTTTGTGTATGGATAAATGATTACGAGCATCGTCACATCATTTGAGCTCAACTCAGTATGTCGTTTCGGCTGTCCATCTGGAGCGAATGTGTGCCGCCTATGAAAGTCAAGGGAAACTGCATTCAAAGTTCGTCACTCTGTGCCAAAGATACTTACAACATGCATCATCAGACCCTGCCACACTGTTCTCCGTATGTAGGCAGAAAGGTTGCAAAAGCACAGTTTCAAAAGCAAAAGCTATGCCGCCTGAGACCACCCAAGATATCGGTCGTGACATTCTCTGGCTTGAATAGTACTACATTGTGGCGAACCACTCGGATCTCCCTTACCATATGCACAAATGTGACGAGAATGGAGTTTCCATGTCATCAGTTTCGTAGTTGCGGTTGCTTGCTTGCTAGCAAACGCTGCTTGTTTGTCGAACCGGTCATACTCCGAGGGAAACGCGGCACTCTCGACTATTTGTCCGCTCAGTGGGTCCAGGTGAAGTTGCCTGTTGGAAGCATAGAAATGGGAAGATTCACATCTACTTCTAGATAGCTTCACTGTGTAAAGCACGATGAGACCGGGACTACAGAATTCCACTGTGCGGCAATCCGCTGCGGTCATCATCAATATCATGCAGCACACAAAAACATTACCATCAAGCAATATAACAATCGCGAGGCTCGCAAAAAAAGTAAATAAGTAAGTACTCGCCCTTTTCTGATTTCACAGACTTGGGGTCCCCGGTCTTCCTCGAAGTCTTGCCCTCGGGTTCTGGATATGCTTCCTCTGAGGTCGAGCTTCCGTCTGTTCCTTTCCTCTTCTTTACTTTCGCGGCTACTTCCTTCGACGTGCGCTCCGCTGCCGAGAAACGTGAACCTTTTGACTGTGCCCGGGCGTTCGCACTCACTTTCCTCTCCATCATGTGGTGCATTGCCTCGTCGTCGGTGTCCGGGGGCGCCTCCCCACAGCCGCACATGCACCCCATTTTCGACGCCGCGCAGTGAACGAGGAGTTAAAGGACACAGCTGCTCACTTATTTCGGAAGAAAAAGTTTGAGTCACCGAGAAGAATTTGAAAATACATGCATCTTGGAGGGGCAAACTCAACAAAATGAAAATATTTTCACGCCATGTTTGGTTATTTAGCAGGGGGGGTCATAATTTTCATTGAAAAAGGTGGACAATGAGTTGTGGCCATCCGCTCAAGGAGATAGCAGCGGGGGCCCCTGATAGGTTTAAATTCACAAGAACATCAAGCAAATTTGTTTTCTACGATTTCATCTTTAGTTATTTGAAAACGAAACACGACAAGGCACGACTGAGTCTTCGTCTTTCTGTCGTACGTTTAGTACCGATAGAAATTGTAGTTGCACGAAAATGAGGACGACGGTGCAGTCAGTGCCAGGTACGATCAAAACAGATTGAAGGGTTGCCATTTGCACCTCACCGAAGCAATGCAATCCACGAACGAGAATTTTATCCAAAACCGATCAATATTTCTTGATGCTACATGACGCTAAGAGCCAGTCATAGCATACACCGAATCGTTTTTTCTATCTAATTACTTGTTCCGCCGACCGATCTCATTGTCATGTGGAGCTGCGGTAGTAAAAAACCTAGGACGAAGGACTTTGGTCGTACGATAGGACGACCAAAGACGAACGAGAACAAACAACGAGACGGCTGCCAAAACCTCCGAAAAGGTAGTGCACCACAAAACCTGTGACGAAAATCTAGAACAGAGCTTACTTTACGACGATTGCTCTCGCACGGAGTGCGTCGAGTTGCTGCAAGTTCATCTTTATGGGTAGGTAGGTTGCTGTACTTCTTCCGAAAGGCGCGACTGTTACTGCAAATTCGTGTCTACAATCCTCAGAGGGACCTGAGGTGCTTGGCACTTTGTTTGTTCGCGGAGGTTCGTGTCCCAGTCTGTAGTAAGTACAAGTGTGAGAAGCTACGGAGGAGCTGGTGGTCAGACTCGAGTGCTATCAATTATTGCGCCTCTACGCACTACAGAGCTGCCCCTCATCTTCCAAGAAAGGTTCTTACTTCTAGTTTGTGATCATCTTATTCTTGATCGGAAATCCCGCGCCACGGCCGCCTGCTTTTCCCTTGCCCTTCCCGGCGGGGCGCTTTCTTCGTGGCTCCTTTTCCGTTAGCAGAGTTTCCAGTGCCAAATTGTCGGGTAAACACACTGACCGGATAGTGTTTCCTCGCAGTGTCAAGTGCTCCATTGGCGCCGCCTCTCGTCCCGGGGAAGTGACCTGTTGTAATGATGACAGAAGCGGTTGTCGTCCTGGCTAGTCGGTCCTATGACACGAAAAAAGTAAACATGCCTTGGCTACGGATCATGGGTCGTGACAAAAACATTTTTTTGAGTACTACAACAAAACAATTTATAAAAATGCAGTACCTTCACGTTCTTCATGTGGATGTTCATCTGCATGTCCACCCCAATAATCGTTCCGTCCACTTTCACATTACTCTTCAAATCCACGCTGACGCTTTCGTTCGCCAACTTTCGCAAGAAAACCACCAACTTCATTTTTGTGTTAGGATTTTGTAAAAAAAGACAAACCAAAAAAGAAAAAGTTGCGCTTGGTACGATAAAATAAGCGAAAACCTACTTACCTGTACTATCTGGTGCAAAAATCGCTTCTACTTTACTTGTGAGAACAACAGTCCGAAGAAGAACCGTCTAACTACAACAAGTTGATGTTGACACTAAAGGTGACACAAGGAGAAGAATGTCGCTTTGCCGTTACGTTTTTGTTTCGTTCTAAATCTAATATTGCCGTATCCCTATTTTTCTGGGCCTGTTGTCAAGAAAAACAAAGATCATGAATGGAAAATGAATCGTACTCGAAAGGATCGTGGAATAGATGATGTGGATCTCGACAAAAATCAAAGGCAGATCGCATGAGTAGTTTCCATCAGATCTAAATCGCAGGCCTCGATCGACTGAGCGACGCATTGGCATTCTCCCCAATCCTTTTTCGTCTTTCTTCGGATCCTAGTATCAATCTGTAAAACATCCTCGCGCGATCTCCTATTTTCAAAAAAATATTTCGATCCGCTGAAAATCTCGCAAGGCATCAAGCGAACAGCGCAGCACAGGTAGCGAACAGTGCGGCACGCGTGGATTTCGCAGGTTTACGACGGTGTCCTCACTCCTTGAGCCGTGGAGCAAGCATTGCTGAACGTAGGGATGAAGTAGACCTGCAAAGAATCACGCTCTACTCCGGGGGTCCACGGAGTTTCAAAGCAGCATGTTGAAAAATTTCAAGTCGTCCAGGGGCTGAATCAGACCAAGTAAAGAAATTGTATAGATCAAGAACTTTGTCGAAGGGCACAAACAACTGCTCAAGGCGTGATGGTTTTATCTTCGTCCGGTCCGTTCCACCAAAATAGTACAGAGTGTACGTTTGTATCAAGCATGCGGACACTACTACTCATGTTCTCGCCGCCCCAGGGAAAGAAGAACAATAAAGAACTCATCAACCACAGAACTTGATGTCTGCTTCGAGTGTACTATAGCAAGAACGACCGCAGTCGTGCAGCTGCTCGTCTTTTTAGTACACTGTCCAAAGTTGATGTACACAAGATCCATAGTGCCTAGACTTGTTCGCCCTCACCCTCCAAGTGACTGTTCGGATTGCCCTCCTCCATTCTGGATGTGGGTGGTGGGGCCCCGGGCCCTTGTCGCTTTTGTCCGGAGACGATGTCGTCGATGCGCAAGATCATAGCGGCCGCTTCTATTGCTGACTTGATGGTCTGTGCCTTCGTCGCAAACGTATCCACAATACCGGCTTCCTTCGTGTCCACAATTTTACCTGTGTAGTTGATCATAGCAGTGATATACTAGCAAAAATGCCTGTAGTTCTGTGTGAAAATTTCATAGTTTCTAGCTCTGCCATCGACCACATTAGCTTCGAGAATAGCAGGGAGGAAAAGGGAAGACGTCGCTACCAAAATCATACAGCGATAGCTGCAAAATCGTCGTGTGTTCGTAGAAAAAAAAAAAATATCAAAATGGTACCTGCGATGCCGTCGAGACCAAGCATGCACGGCTTCTCTGGATCAGCGTGCCGTGAGCGGAGGTCGGTAAGGATACGCACCACGCTGGCACCGCAGTTGTGCGCCAGGGATCGCGGGATCACTTCGAATGCGCTCGCAACGGCCTGGTACGGGTACTGCTTGGTCCCGACCTTCTGCTTAGCTAAGTGCTTCAACTTGGCGCCTATTTTGTTGAAACAAAAAATTCATATTAGCGTCGTGGTCACAAATATAATCTGCCGATACTAGCGGGCTTCTACCGCGTCCCCGTCGTGGTCCCATGAACTAACATGACCAAAAAGCAAAACTACCTCGATCATGTGAAAATAAATCTGAAGAGAGTGGTAGTGGTACTCCATCAACCGGTAAATAAAAAATTGGTACTCAAGTGCATTTCCGCTGCGCCACCGCCCGGTAGGAGTTTGGGTTGAAGGATGATGTTTCGGGCCACATTCCAGGCGTCGTGGAGGTTTCGCTCCATCTCATTCAAGACGTCCTTGCTCGCGCCACGCAAGATGATGGAGCAAGCCTTCGGGTTCTCGCATTCCGTCATAAAGGTAAAGTATTCGTCGCCGATTTTCTTGATCTGTTTAAAAATATTGCAGATGATCTCTTTTTTTTTGCGTGCAAGGAAACAATTCCGGACACGTGGTCGACAAGCGCAACAGCTCGTGTTTGGATGCAGTTTGTTATTGTTTTGACATGTAAACGATGAAAAAATAATCACGCGGTACTGGTTTTCATGGACGAGCATGAACTTTTTAGTTTGGGGGATCATGTTAATTTCTTACCTCGAAGAGACCGCACCCGGTCCCGACGTCCTTTTCGTCAAGCTCTTCAGCTCTATTGACGATAGTCGCCCCGGTTACCCGTGCTACGCGGTTGTTGTCTGTCTTACGGATACGCCGGATCACCTGGGAGTGTAGTTTCGAGACAAATAGAGCAAGACTAGCGATAAAAAAAAAGCCTGAAAAAAAGCCTGAAATTTCTGCATGCAAGAAAACACATCACCCAATACATCATCTTCGAACGAATACGGGCAAAAAAGAAAAACCACAAGAGGTACTTACCGAAACGTTCTGCTTCAGCAAGAAGTGCTGAGCGAGGTCAGAAACGCCCTTTTCAGTGATCACCACGTCCGGCTTGACACGGAGGATTTCGTCGCACACCTTCTTTACTTCTTCCTCCTCCTGTCGCAACATGGCTTCCCAGTCCGTTTCTTTTGTGATCTCGACCTGTTATGGTTTATACCGGCGTTTTCCTACATTGTAATTGTTATCGTTTCCGCTGCGACGAGTTGAGATCAGATGAGGAAAAGGCCGCGTGCAAAGAAAATAAATTGAATTAGATGCGCAGAAGTTTAAAAAAGTGCAAGTAGAAAAGCCAAAGTAAGTAAGTACGTTTGTTTGGGATTCGCCTTTTTTGTACTCGAGCGGGCAGTCGAGCAGCACAACGCGGGGGTTCGTGATTTTTCTTCTCATGCGCGGGTGCGTGATATCCTTGTTATACATCACGCCCTTCAGGACCTGTTGAGACAATTTGAATTGTGGATGGATCCAAATCATGCGATAGTATGTACGAAATTTTTATTTTTCATCAAATTGAAAAGCTCGCTGCCAAGCATAAGCATGTTTAAAAAGCGAGGATCATAGGAAAACATCTTTACCGCACACTCCTCGAGGTCTCCACCGGCAATTTTTTCGACTTTTGCGTATCTCTTCAAATCGATCTCTTTCTTGCCCGACGGGAGCTGCTCATAAACCGTCAGCGCCGCATCCACGGCGAGCTTAGAGATCATGGTTCCCCAACGTGACACAAATTTTGTGTCGATAGAGCTTTGCACAAACTCTATAAGCTTGTCCGGGTTTTCCGCGTCAATCGGAATAGCAATTTGCTCCAAAAGTTTCAGCGAATCTTCCAGAGCTTGCAAGTACCTGTAGTGATTTTCGTTGAGTACAAGCGTGGTCCTAATGAATGTCGTCTGCGGAGTGCTTGTCTCATCAAGCGTAAGCGCAACGAAATTTTTGTCAAAAAAAAGAACAACTGCAATAATACCCTTGCACGATGACGGTCGGATGTATGTTTTTCTCCAACAATGGCTCGGCGACTGACAGCATTTCGCCCGCCAAAATGATAACGGACGTCGTACCGTCACCGACTTCCTCATCCTGCGCCCGACTCAGCTCGATCAAATTTTTCGCTGCCGGGTGGCCCACGTCGATCTCCCGAAGAATTGCATTGCCGTCGTTGGTCATAACCTGTTGTGTGAAGAATAAAGCGCTCATTGACATTGAGCCAGTTTATTCAAGACAGCACATGCCAATAATTCCTTTACGTCTATTGATTCAGATTTGCATTTTAGTTGCCTTGTCCGCACCTGACCAGGAGAACATAAACCGAGGCTCTGCAATGAATACATTAAAATCAATGGAATACGATTCCGCCCATGGGGTCGAGCAGCATTTTCAGCATGGCTTTTGGCCCAAGCGTTGTTCGGACGATGGCCGCAACATTTACTGCCGCAGAGATATTGCTCCGCTGGGCTTTCCGACCCGTCTCACGCTTCGTGTTTTTGTTCAGTACCAACATTTGTCCGCCGGGCATACCGCCCCCACCAGGCATTCCACCGGGCATCATCTTGAGGTAAGGAAGGGCGGTGCGAGAAAAATCAACTGTTGAAACTACTCAAGTTAATACTTGCGATCTTGTTTATTGTGCCTGGTAGTGCTATAACAAGTTCTAGACTTCTCTTTGGTTGTCGTTTTCAGTTGCTACTTTGTTCCGTATTAAAACACTTACTAAACGTACTTTGTTTTATGTTGTTGAAACTAGATATGCGACCGTGTGGCTCCTTCTGTAACTGCTTGCCATGTGCTAGTACCTATCCTAAATTCACGGTGCCGTACCTTCTGACCACTGTTTGTAATGATGAGAATTGAATTGTGTTGACTGCTAGGAATCGATACTATAGGAGATTGCATCGCGGTGGTTCACCGGCTCCGTGCCAACACGGACCAATAGGATCGCATTGAGATTTGGGAGATTTTTTGATCTGGGGGGTAATTTTGATTTTCGGCGTGAGACCAAACGCAAACCTTCTGTAGTGGCTTCGTATCTACAATTCTGAACAATACCGTGGGAACTCCACGAGCGCCTCTGTGGATACATAATTGGCTCCCATCAATTTGGCAAGAGATTCGTGCTGTCTGTCGTGTGGTTCTACGTCACCGGGCGCAGATACAAGTGAATTTCAGTTACAGTTGTACGATAACTTCCAAAGTCAATTATTTGCAAATTTGCAGCACGTCAAATAGGTACAAGACTTTTCGATTTGGAGAATCAACAAGAAGCACGAAACAAAATTGCATTGGAGCGAAACTCGGAATCCGATTGTACACATTAAGTAGGCAAACCTAGCAAATCCTGCAAAGCAAGTACATTCATACGTGAATTCTAAATGACTGAAATCGAACGGAGCAAGAGCAGTTGCCATTAGATCAGGCGAACTTCTGTCACTCAGCGTTGTCGTTGTACAAGTTGAAATGTTGTAAAATCAATTGAAAGATGCAGATCGAAAAACTGAGCAATAATAAATATCGCTTTCTGTATTGAAGAAAATACACGAATTCAGGACTTCTCTTCTTCGCTCGGCAAGGCAGAGCTACAAAGCGTTTTAAATCAATGACTCGTAATGTAAAATTAATAGCTACTGTAGCAGAAATAAGGCGCTGCTGCCAGAAGCCAGAGCAGAATCAATTACTCTAAAATCAATTTCTAGAACAAGCCACTGCCGTCGTTAAGCATGATAAATTTGGGTGCGGGTTTCAGTTCCGGCATGCCCTCGACCATCGCCCAGGTGATGCCCTTGTAGCACGCTTTGCCATCCGCAGTGTAGTTTCCCTCTTCGCTGTCCAAATCTCCCTCCGCCTGCTGCGCAGCCTCCATCGGTTGATGTTCCGCCACCGCCGTCGCGGCTCCCGGTTGTTCCGCTGCTGCCGCCTGCAGCTCCGCGACCGTAATTACCGGTGCAGCCGACTGCGGTAGTTGTTCCTTCTGCAGTTCCACCGCCTCCTCGAGCGTCACGCCGCGACTCGTCTCAAGTGGTTCCTCGTACGCATCAGGATTCGGCGACGCAGACGGGGCGCCGCCGAACTGGTCCGCAAAAAAATTCTCCAGCTCGTCGTCCGCACTGTGCGAAACCTGGTTGTTTTAATGAAGATGACGAGTGCATCTTCTACTTCAGTGCACAATTTTGTTTGATCCTGTTCCCCGGGTCAGGACATCATGTCATGTATGCTACGGCCTGGAGCGCACTTCTTAATTAAGTACTCAAGACTGGATTTTTCCTGATGCCTCCAACCAATTTTAAATCAAAAATGCTGCTGTACCATTTCTGTCGGTGACGGTGCTGGCTTGCGATGCTTACTCTTCTTACTCTGTGCTGCGAAACCGTCTGTAAAGGTGCTGTAGAACCTGGACGTTATAATTTGTGGCGAATGAAACATGTTGTCAGCAGCGCCTTAGTACAAAGAGATGAATAAATCATGAATGAAAAGCTGAACACCAGCGTGTATCAGTATCACCGCCTCGCAAAAATGCGAAGAAAAATACTGCTTCTGCATGCCGTGCCCATAGGATTTTGACCGCTTGTCCGGGATCCGACGCTGCTTCGCGAGATCAATCGGATGCAGGAAGTCTCTCTTCGTTTGGGTACTGTAGTGCTCCTATGCATTGCAAATATGTTGTCGGGAAACTTGTGATGCAAGGGAGGGAATCAATAGTGAGCGCACTGTAAAAATCGGCTGCCAAGCATGACAAGCTTTTCCGTGGTTCTGAGTTGCGTACTCCGCATGAGAAACTGAGGTTTTGCATGACAGGCCACAGTAGCTCTTTGCGGTGACGCAACACAGAGTTCAGAGTCATGCCAGACTAGCATGACAAGTCTCGCAATCTCCGAGACCCAGACACATTTGCATTTGATAGCTCCTTCGCGTTCCAAAAGGTTTGCGACATCGGGTTTCGTCTCGCCCGTAGGGTCGCCATCTCTATCCTATGTAAAAACATCCCCACACCAGAGTTGTCATGCAGATTTCCAGTCACAGGAAAATTTGTAATGCGCATCCCCATGAGAGGCATTTCCAGTCGTGTTTTGGACTTTGTAATGCTCTGAATAGGATGAGTAAATGGATTTGCGTTGCGGCTGTACTCGCTGAACTGCCCTACAAGACAGAGACGAACTTGTCATGCTTGACTCCCAAAACTTCTCGACTTGTGTTGCGAGATCCCCATCTTGACTCTGGGGTGGGGACGTTTTTACACAGGATAATCTCCGCAGCATCTTTATCCTGTATTGGGAAAAGTACATACAACATTGGAGAAGTCTTGTGCTCGTCATTTTCATACTGGAAGAACTCCAACACGCGGGGACCAAAGACCAAGTCTAGGTCTCCTGCTCAGAACTCGGACCCAAGCTCAAGCAAGCAAGCAAGAAGCTACTATAAATATACAACATCAAATCATCATCAGTACGAAAGTGCTCATGGTCAGCGACAATTTGTCGGCCGGTTGTGGCCACTCCTCCAGGTTGAAGCGGTGCTCTCGGGTGAGGTGCAACCCGCTCCCTTTCGGGGATAGCGATCGCGTGTCGTACATGGACTTCGGCACGTGGAACTTGGATTTTCTCTTGGTCTCCCCCGCCACGTCGTCGTAGTACATAATGGAAGAGTTGACCTTTCTCTCCGGCAGCCGTGGTAAGACGTCGAAAGTCCGCGCGAAGCGATTCGTTTCTCCGCCTTCCGCATCAACACGCTCTATCGACGCCGAACCGTCCCTCTTTCGTGCGGCGTTTCTTTCCGGGCTACTGGTACTTCCCCGTTTTGTTGTTCCGGAGGACTTCTTGTTACCCGTGGTCCCCTTGCTCGTCTTTCTTACAACCGGTGGCAAACCCTGCTGCTCTGGTCTACTAGTACAACTCGTGGCACTACTTCTCGTGGCTCCCTGCTCTCTACTACTTTGCTCCTCTACCTGTTGTGCTACTCCTGCCGGCGGAGGTAACGTGCTGCTTCGCGGCTTGCCACCTATTGCCGGCAGTGTGGTCGTCCCTAAATTGCCGTCGGCTGGACTAGAATGGCCGCTGCTCGGTGAAATGTGGTCGCCCGGGGACGGCGCCGCCGTGCTGGTGGTGCTCAACGAAGAGGACGAGGCCACCTTATTTTTCTGCATTCGGACAAACCGCTTCGCCTTCCACTTGAAGTGCCGGGTTTCCCGGGTGAAGGCCTCGGGATTCAAATTTTCTCGTTCTGGGTCCTTCAGAGAGGAAAAGGTCCGGTGCATGAAACTCGGGAGCACCTTCAGCTGCAACGCGGTCTCGTTGTTGCCGTTCTGCACGTACTATCAAATGCAACAACGTCTGGGTCTGGAAGAATGCAAGGCTCTTTGTCATGCATACCCGACTGCACCACATCGAAAACCTTTGCAGCGTCGCCGCAAGCAGCTACGGCCGCAGGAGATCTAGGGTCAGAACCGCGAAAAGAGTGCAGGTTCTTTGTCATGCACGGCTAGCATGGCTCTCAAGTCTGTAATGCGCGCAACCCAAAAGCCATATTTCTCTATCATGCAGAAACACAGTTTGTCATGCAGATAGGCAACACTATAGCAAGTCCAAAACTTGTCATGCTTGGCTGTCAGTGAAGGCGTCCACATGATTCGCCAAACAGCATCACAAGTTTCCAGACCCAGACATATTTGCAATGCATACGTACGCTGCCTGGTCCTTCGTTTTCAGCGCGATGGCCTCCATGCTGGGTTTCCGGGCTTTCTCGGGCCGGCGCCCGTCGGCGGACACAAACTCGTTCCCGGCATATCGCAAGAAAAAAGTGCTACAGTTACACACTGTGTTGCAAGACCGGCAACACAGACAACCTTTCTCATGCAGGAAATGCTCGGGAGCCTCATTTCATAGGTGTTTTCCCGTAGGAGTTCTGCATTACAAGTTTTCTCTCTCACGCAGAGAAATTTGTGTTGCTGAATTCACTACAAATGTGTAACTGTAACACTTTTTTCGTGGGATACGGCCAGACTCAGGTATACCGACTTCCCGTTCACGGGCAACTTGTTTCGCTCCGATACCAAACGCATGGGGCGGCCCGCAATGCTGCCCGATAGTCTGTCGTCCGATGCGGATTTTTTTCATTGTAATTCATAAAGCGAAGATCGTCATGGTTTTTTTCCTACGATGAACATCAAGCAGTAGAGATGCTGAAATCAATGACAATGCCAAGGATGCGAAAAATCGGATACATGCAACACCCTGTAGTTATACCTGTAAACTTTTTTCCCAGAGCCGTAGTTGCAGGAGATGTTTTCGCTGCGGAGCGTGAACTTGAACTCGTCTACTGTTTCGTTCATCGTTGTCCCGCTGTTCCATTCCGCTCGGCCCGCTGCGAGGAGTTCCTTGCCGTGCTTGGCCCACACAAAGCCGGCGCCTCGTTTGGGTGCCCCCGCGGGCGGCATGGTGGGAATACCGCTACCGATCTTGTGCAGTGGCTGGACCATGTATCACACAGAAAAAAGCTGGCAGGTCATATTTGTAATGCAAAAATAAATGGACAAAAAAAATTGTACTGCATATCCTAAATAGCATGCTATGAGGCCGCCCATGACAGATTTTTCTGTGTATTTATTTTTGCATTACAAATATGCTCTGCCAGCTTTTTTCTGTGGGATACCATGTTTTGGCTCCTGCCGCCCTCCCGGGTGTGTCCCGCGTTGCTTGGGATGTGCGCCACCGGCAGGGTGCGCGTACCGTAACCGACACTGTCTCCGTACGTCATTTTTTTGAAACTTCGCTTGTTGTTGTTCCGACTTATTATACGATTTGATGATCACAATGGATATTTACAACCACAAAGATGTTGCGTGGGCAGTTTCAAAAAAAAAACAGCAGGTCGAGTTCGTTCCCGCAGCGCCTTCTAGGAAAAGTTGATTTTTTCGTATAGTTGATAGCAAAGAGAGGCAGTCTATCAGTATCAGCACCACGCAAGCGAACAGCATTTCCCGCACGACCGGCCTAACCAAACGATTCACCTTCAACGCAACCGATTCAACTATTTTTCCCGAAATAAAATCAACCACCAGACTGCAGGAAAACATCAGCGACTTACGAATAAAGTACGACTCGTAAAACGGAGTGACTGTGCTGTTTTACCCGAATTCATTTCAACCGAAAAAACGACGACGGCCCGTGGAATGTATGACTTGACTGTGAACCGAACCACGAATGTCGAATTACAAACAACTTCATTCACTGTATGGGGTGCACCACATGCAGGATATTCTCCCAGTACACGACCGGCCCACGCTTGTTACAAATAATTCGCTGAAAGTCGTTTCTTGGAACACCCTGATTAGTATTCGCTCGTTATTTCGCGTCTTCTTTTTCAAGACAAAAGCTAAATCGCGATAATCTTCCACGGCGCGCTCTTCTTCAAGTATCCTCCGGAGCCAACAGCGCGTCGTCTTCGATTACCAGAGGCACGTGTCCTCGGATGTTCTCGTCCGCCGCGTTCCATATTTGGTACCGGCCGGCGAGCACTTCGGATTGAAGCGAGATGTTTAGCCTCGTGGCGGGGTACACCGTGACCCCCTTCGGGTCAATGGACAGCCCGGAAAAGGTCGTGTGGGGGATCTTCAGGAAGACCTCGCAGTAGTCGGGAATGGTGGAGTCTTTTGTGGAGGAGATCGGCTTCATCATGTGCTGATACGACCGGATCTTGTTCATATTGGGATGCTGCTGTTGACCTCCACCACGCTGGTGCCCGGATGAAGAGGAGGAAGCGCTGCCGTTGTTCCCCCGGTTGTTTATTCCAGAACTACTACTGCTAGTACCCGCGCTAGTACCCCCGTTGCCGAACCCTGATCCGCCGCCGAGGGCAGAGGAGCCCCCCGGTCCCTGCGGCCCACCACCGGCGCTGGCGCTCTGCTGCGAGGACGCGAAACTCTCCACCGAAAGCTCGCCGATCAGCGACGCCGACTTGTGCTCCGCGGACAGGTGCCGGATCTGCCACACGATCACGCTGGCGTCGTCCGTGATGGAGAAGGTGGTTTTCTCGCTGCACCGCAGCCGGTTCCCGCGGATCCGCCCCGGAAAGGGGATGCGCACCTGGCACTGCGGATCCGCGGACGCCGTGCAGGCGAGCAGCTCCGGGCCAAACTCGATCTGTAGGAGGAGCCTCAACTCCACCGGCGACACCTCCTTCACCTGGTAGTAGCCCCGGATCGGGAACGTCTGCACCTTATCAAATGCAAAAGTGTCTGGGTCTGGAAGAATGCAGACTTGTCATGCATATTTTCAATGCCCCATGAAATCTGGAATGCAGGACCTAGCATGACAGATTCTGCGAAGTCTCTATCATGCCTATCCCGCATGAGAAACTCCCGCTCATGTTGTTACAAAAAAAAGAACTTTTGGTGATCACGCAACACAGGTTTTTGTGTGACCCACAGGACGCATCACAAGTTCCATCCTTCCAGACCCAAACATTTTTGCATTTGATACACCTTGGGGTACCGGTACCTGCACAGCACGAACGGACTGGAGGTATCAAATGCAAATATGTCTGGGTCTGGAAGAATTCATGTTTGTCATGCTTGTCTGGCATGACTCTTAAATCTGTCATGCACGTTACCCAAGAGCTCCGTTTTTCTGTGATGCAGAAGCGCAGTTTGTCATGCAGAATAGGCAACACCTAGGAACTCAGAAACTTGTCATGCTGAGCCAGCATCTGTAGCCTCATCATGAGACGCCACCCAGCATCACAAGTTTCCAGACCCAGACATTTTTACTTTTCATAGGAGGGCGGCGTGCACGAGATCTTCACCGTGTTCAGCGCCGGGTCGGTGCTCAGCTGCGCGCAGTTGTACACGCACAGGTCGGGCTGCGTGTGGTGCAGCGTGAGCGGGACCGACAACTCGGGGACGCCCGGGATCTCGGCGGAGCAGTACACCGTGCCGTGGATGAAGCACTCGTCCTCGTACTGGTCCGGTTTGCCGTAAATGGTACAGTTCACGCTCTCCACCACCGACAGCATCAGCCGCGGCTTCGTGTTTTCCTTGTGCAGGTACGGTTTCCAGGCGGCGATGCGGGTGGACGTCGCCAGCGCGGCCGCACCACGGCTGTAGTTGTTTGCGTTGTTTTGATGCTGGGGGAGAACCGAGTTCAGGCTGGTGCTGTGGTCAAACCCCAAGTGCCGCACTTTCCGCAGCAGCGCGTAGTTCGTGTTCACGGGACTGCCAAAGGGCAGCGCCGCCTTCAGGTAGTACTGCAGCTCCCCAATCGCGTCCACGTCCGCGATGGACAGGTCCGGGGACAAGAAGTCCGCGATATCTTCGAGTAAAACAAAGGCGGCCGTCACCTCCGGCAGCTCAATCACCTCCGGCCGCCAGGAGTTCTGGTCCGCACGTTGGTTCACGAGTTCTGGTCGGAGCAGCCCAACCACCGCGAGCAGGTAGAACCCCTTCTTCGCCAGAAACACGCACGGCCAGATCACGCGCTCGGCGCGGCTAGTAGTAGCTTTATTCGTGTTCGTACCTCCTCGTCGCTGCTCTCCTCCGCTGCGCAGCGCAAAAGCACCCCGGTCATTTGTTCTCCCTTCCGCAGAACGCGGGCTGCTGCGAGGAGTAGAGTTGCTGTCGCTATGGCCGCTGCCGACGTTCTTGTCCACCGGACGACGTCGAGAGGTAGTACTTCTATCACCGCCCGGAGAGGAAGCCGAAGATGAACTTGATGCAGAGGATGTTGAAGATCCTCCTTCGACCTCCATCGATTCCTCCTCCCCGTCGTTGTTCCTTCGCTTGCGCAGAAAGCAAACCGGGCCGAGCGGCCAGTCCTTCTCCACTTTAGCCTCCTGTCCCGGCCGCCACCCGAGGTTGCTGCTGCTTCCGCACCCCTCGAAGTCGCGGGCGAAGGGGGCCGAAATCTTGTCCCAGAGCGAGGCAACGGTGTCCTGGTCGCCGTCGTCGTCCAGCAGCACATCCAGCAAAAAGCTCAGACTCACCTCCTCGTCGCACGGAATCTCCACGTAACCCTCGCCCCAGAGGGCCTTTGTGCGTGCCTCGACAGTAGGGAAACGGCGGGAAAGCATCAACTTCACCTCGCTCTCCGCACGAAACACCCAAAGCCCCCGCAAACTGCACGCCATGCTGTCGGAGTTTAGTTTCCTTCACAAAGACAGATGTACTTAGTTCTTCTGGGAACAAGATACTACGAGTTTTGCTCGATGCGAGGACGTCGAGGAGTCCGATGCGATAGATCATGGTGGACCATTCAGCCCCCGTCTTCTCTCCATACCAACGAAACCAGCTGCAGGATCAATTGAGCTGCTTCACAAAACTTGGTCACAAAAAAACATCACGAGCGATCGCCAAGTGTAGTTGCTCGACTGACACATTAGACAAGCGCAGGAGCAGCCATCTAAACCGGCCGCAGCGAAGTAGATCACAATGAATCGTTAATTTTCAGCGAAGATGCCATCGCTGGGTCGGCAGAGACAAATCGTATGATGAGAACGAGCGATAGTAGGTGCGTCCTCTACCACTACAGATCTGTCCTAGCATTACCGACGTTGCTGTACTGCCGACGTCCGTGTTCTAGTGTTTCATACATCAGGTCAAGGCACGGTTTTTCTTGCCACGGGCACCCCGCAAAGTGCCTTGCGAAGTCTCCAACCTGCCACTCATACCCGCCCCAATCCTTCGAAGCCGGCGGAACAAAGGCGTTCAAGTGTTTCTGGTGCACGAACCGTACCTGAATTTTCGATTTGCTCTATTGCGTTCTCATCCAAATCGCTAGAAGCGATTGCTGCGTCGTTCCGAAGGAATAGGCATCGTAATATCCGGCCCAAGTGAGTGACTGCAGTTCCAGGTGTGTCAGAAATAAATTACGAAATATGCTGAATGTCGCACATAATTAACATTCGTACCTCCGGTGGTAGTTGGAAGTCATGGTCGAGATCGGAAAAGAGTGTGGCGTTAACGGCAGCGGTGAAAAACATGCTCTGGTCCCACGCCGTTGTGAAGGGGGATAACGTCACCCTCTGCAGGTAATCGAAGCTCCACGGTGTATTGCGCACCAGAAACACGCCCGTGTTAATCCCGCCGGTGTCCTCGGCAACTATGAAATTTACCTTCTGTCCAGCCTCGGTAGTCGGGTCTGCGTATGTCGCGAGGAGATCGAAGACCGTGAAGTCAAAGGTCGTGAAAAACGCGTCGCAGTCCATAAAGAACACCCACTCCGTACCCGGATTCTGCTGCAGGTGCTGGTACACCACGAGAAACTTCGAATAGTGTGCCTCTCGGTCCGGCATCAGGAGCTGTTGAAATGAATTGCGGCGATAAATCATAACATAGGTCTGGCAGTTACTACTTCTGCCAACTTCGCCACGACATTGCACAAAGTAAGTAGTGATAAAACCTTTGTGGTAATCGAGTTGCATCGCTCGAAGCACCTGCGATCCTAAAATCGTTCGGAGTACTTAAGCGCTGGAAGTCGTGCGAAGCACATAAGACCCTAAAGTCGTCCGAAGCACTTAAGAACCTAGAATTGCGCGAAGCTCTGAAGACACTGAAACCGTAGTTTGAAGTACTAAAATAGCTCAAGTTTTGCCAAGCAATTAACCACTTAATACCGCAGCTAAAGTAGTGCGAAGCACTCCAGTAGCTAAAGTAGTGCGTAGCACTAAAGTAGTGCGCAGCACTAAAGCAGTGCGCAGCACTAAGGTAGTGCGCGCGAGGCACTGAAGCAGCTAAAGTAGTGCGAAGCACTTATCGCTCTAAACTCGTGAGACGCACGCAAGCACCTTATGTAGTGCGAGGCACTACTTAGCGCACTAAAGGCGTGCGAATCACGGAAGCAACTCAAGTAGTGCGAAGCACTTAGCACCATAAAGTCGTGCGAAGCACTAAGCTAAGGTAGTACGAGGCACCACTTAGCTCCCTAAAGTCGTGCGAAGCACTTAAGCAGCTAAAGTAGTGCGAAGCACTTAGCGCTCTAAAGTCGTGCGAAGCACTTAACCAGGTAAAGTCGTGTGAAGCACTTAGTTCCCTAAAGTCGTGTGAAGCACTTAAGCAGCTAAAGTAGTGCGAAGCACTTAGCGATCTAAAGTCGTGCGAAGCACTTAAGCAGCTACAGTCGTGTGAAGCACTTAGTTCCCTAAAGTCGTGCGAAGCACTTAAGCAGCTAAAGTAGTGCGAAGCACTTAGCGATCCAAAGTCGTGCAAAGCACTTAAGCAGCCAAAGTCGTGCGAAGCACTTAGCGTCCTAAAGTCGTGCGAAGCACTTAAGCAGCGAAAGTAGTGCGAAGCACTTAGCGATCCAAAGTCGTGCGAAGCACTTCAGCAGCTAAAGTAGTGCGAAGCACTTAGCGATCTAAAGTAGTGCGAAGCATTAAGCAGCTAAAGTCGTGCGAAGCACTTAGCGCCCTAAAGTCGTCCGAAGCACTTAAGCAGCTAAAGTAGTGCGAAGCACTTAGCGCCCGAAAGTTGTCGTGCGAATCACTTAAGCAGCTAAAGTAGTGCGAAGCATGTGCTCGACTAGAATCTTCGAGGCCCTTTACAACAAGCCAATACATTCATTAGCCCGAAGCCCCTAGGTCCTGCGCATGAAAAATTCCCTTACGGCCGCATGCAGAACTGCAGTCCTGTGCACATTAATTATCTCACCGCGGGATTACAGTTGGTTCGAACCCACATGTAGTCAAGCGCTATCCTTACCTTATCGTGCATGACGTAGTTATTTAGCCCGGTCTGCGCAACGTACTGTTTATGATTCTCCGGTGTCATGCCTGGCAACGGGCTATCCAGCACGGTGTTGCTGGTTTTGTCGGGTGAGTAGACACAAATCGAGAGAACGTCGATCTTGGGTTTCGGGAGCCCGGCGGGCCACCTCTTCCGCGGCTCCACCGGCGGCTCCAGCAACTGCTGGGTGAGCAGCGCGAGCCCGAGTTGGTAGTCCATCTGCATTTGTTCATTGCAAAAATGTCTGGGCCTGGAAGAATACAAGATCTGTAATGCTGAACTTCCACCCTCCCGAACTCTGTAATGCATGTTGCGGAACAGCGCTGTTTCTGTGTCATGCAAAAACGCAGCTTCTCATGCGTCTTACGCACCACAGGAACGCTCAAAAATCTATCATGCGTGGCTGCGTACTGTAGCCATTTTGTCATTCATGTGTCAGCATCACAAGTTTCCAGACCAAAACATATTTGCACGTGATAGCATCCGCGGCTGGAAGCGCTGCTTTTTCGTGGGAGGCGGCGTGTTCATCGGGAGCCCGAGCCGCTGTTGCTCGTCGGCAACCTCCGTGTACCACCGCGACATCGCGGAGAGCTTGAACATGTTTCCGATCTGCAACAGCACCCTGGCTCGCTTCTTCTGCAGCAGGTAGAGCGCGCTGTCGGCCGCTTTGCGGATGTGGCTCGTCATGATCAGCGGGCACTCGAAGGCGGCGTAGGGGTCCAGGTGGAGCAGTTTCGCCAGCGCCGCCATCCAGGAACCCAGACTGGTTTCCGGGCCGCGCAAATGCAGGTCTTCCTGCGCGATGAGGCCGTTCGCCGCGAGCGTTCGCAGCGGCTGGATGAACTGCGGCCGCGCATCCTCGCACTCGTCTTCCACTAGTTGAGCCGCGACGCCGGAATACTGCTCTGGCTCCGCGGACTCTGTCAATACGACCCACTGGAAGAGGAGCAGAAACACAACTGAGGACAGCATGACCTGATGTTGCGGTAGAGCGAGGAAAAATTCCAATTCTACAAAGTGCTTGCAACTACCGCAACTACCTTTACATTTATTGGTCGGAAAATAAGTACAATGTGAGATTTTTCAATAGTTGTTTCTTGCGTACTTCTCGAGTAAGTAAGTTGAGTCTCGCGACGGAAATAAAAATTCTCTGACGCAGAGCGAAGCAACACTGCAAACATGCACGATGGATAAGATCCACGGAAAAAAAATGAGCCGATGAACAGGATCCAAAAGAAGGATCTTCTCAAATGAGACGTTGCACCGACCTCTGACTATCGAACCGAAGCTTTCTCCAACACTGAAGCACGATAGATATATGCACATGCGAGCACCAATGCGAATAATTCTGGATCGACGGGTCGTCAATGATAACTGAATGTCAGCACGACGCAACCCATTTCATGAAGAACATCGTCGGCGCTCGGGATGGAAACTATGCATGCGCAGCTGCTGCAGATGAAAACTAACAGCTTCATCATATTGTCGCGTCGTTCCTCAGTGGCATCATGATGCGCAACATCTTCAATCATAATTCAGGCTGCGGCCGAAGTAGTCAGCCACGACCGAGAATCCCCCGTCCTGATTCCGCGAGGCTTTCAGATACTTGAAAAAGTCCTCCGTGCTGTGTTCTGTTTGCAGCGTGTCGGGGGGCGGCAAGGTTTTTGCACACTTTGGGCAGTGGGGGGCGTCCTCGTTGACGCAGTAGAGATGAAAGCTGTGCATGCAGAAAAAGTGCACAGACGGGGGTTCCAAGTTCAACCCGCACTCGTAGCACTTCGCCGCCGAAAACACGCGCGGTTTCGTTTTCAAACTCTCCAGCTCTTGCTCCATCTTCTCCCGCTCCACGATATCTTGTCGCATTTTCTGTTCGGCTTGCTCGGACGTGCGCAGCGTGCGCAACTGTTGTTTCAAATACTGTCGCGCGTGCTGCAACGGCACCTGATTTTTCGCCAAAGCCTGCACGCCCGCCAGCACCGGCATCTGTGCCTCCCGGAGCGTTTCGGGAATCATGCTCTCGACGCGAAATTTCTCCTGCTGCAGGTTACTACTACTGTTTCCGGCAGGAGCTGCACCGCCCCCGCCCGATGCGGAGGTTGATGCGGACGAGCCGGAAGTAGTAGACGATGCGGAGGCCAGCGCCTGGACCCAGAGGCGGGGCTCCTTCGCGCCGCACCGGCGACAGGACTGCAGCAGCGCGTCGAGGTCGTTTGCCTGGCTCGCGACCAAACTCTGATACTCCCCGAGCCGCTCGTAGGCGTGCACGAGTCCCGGCTTGAAGCCGAACATCCCGCACAAAAGCGGCACCTTCTCGAGAAACCGCTTCCGCGTCGCGTTTTCCTCCAGTAGTTTCAGCAGCTCTTTTTCCGCCGCCTTCTTGCCGTCGCTCGGCTGCTTCTTCCAGTTCCGCAGGAGGCATTCCAGGTATTCCGGGAGCAGTTTTTCCTCCACCCACTTGACCGGAAGTTGGTGGAGCAGCTTGCTGGTCAGCTCCCGCAGAAAAGCCTCCAACAGCGGCGCAGGACCACTGTTCGTAGAAGAACTTGCTGGAGTAGACGACGCGGCCCCCTTTCGCGACGAGCTTTCCTGTCCGCGTATTGCCCCCCTCTTCGAGTTGTGAAGAGTACTTGTACCCCTGGCACCACCTGCCCCCGCCGCAGCCCCAACAGCACTTCCGCGAGTTCTTGTACCGAGCGCAGCGGTAGCGTCGCGGAGGGAGTAGATCTTCCGGATTGCTTCGAGCTCCTCCTCCCGGATATTGGCGTCTCGCGTGCGGATCACTTCCAGAAACAAACGATGTACCTCGGTCGGATAACTGGCGAGGAGCGCCTCGCCCTCGGTAAGCAAAATTCCGAGTCGCGTCTCCACGGGCAGGGTTTTCTGTTTCAGAAACCCAAGCGCCTGGTAGGCATCGCCCTGCGCGAGCAACAGACGCACGTAACTGCTCCCGTCTTTCGCCTGTTTGTGTTTTGAGGAAAAAAGTTTTAGGTACTTACTCCTTCGCGGCCTTCGCTTCAGTGGGTCGTGTGGATTACGACTAAGTAAGTACTTTTTCGCCGTAGTAGAGAGGCGAGCAGGAGCAGTTTTGCATGTCATATGGTCGTGCAACTACACCCGTCCATGTATGCTGTACTTGAAAAGGTTAAAGTGAAGTAGGCTCTGCCTGCCACTGTCACCATCATACCTTCTTCGCAAGCTGGATTGCGTACGGCAAAAAGCCGGCCGTCTTCTCCAGCACCTCCAACCCAGCCGTGTAGTCGTAGTGCTCGACCGGCGTGGTGGCCAGGAAATCCTCCAGCTGCGTGGCGTCCCGTTCTTGCGTGTAGCACTGGAAGAGCAGCCTCGTGTGGGTGGGTTCCGCCAACCCCGGACGCTCGTGCAGACGACAGAGGTACTTCGCTATGTGGCTGATTTTGTGCGCGTGCAGGTACTTCTCCAAGATGTAGGACGTCTCCAACGGGAAATCCGCGTCAATCGACTTCATGTACTGCTGCATATGCAATACAAATTATTCCCGTACACTCGTATGAATAAATGCATCACAAATTTCGGCAAGTCGTGTTGAAATCATGCAGAAACCGCATTAGCACGTGATACGGGGAATATCAAACTTCCTGTGGATAGTGCAGCGCTTGGTCGTACAAGCGTTTCTCGTAGAGCGCGTCGCCGTGCAGCTTGTAGACGTGGCACAGCGTTGCGGTATCCAGCTGCTCCCGCTCCACCACGATGGCAGCCCAGTCGAACATCCGCTTCTTCGTGAGCACATCGATTTGTTCCGCTTTCGGTTTTTCTTGTAGTTGAAACACGTGGTTGACGGAGTCGAGGACGAAGAGGCTGCGACTGTTCGCCAATGTATCAAGAAGAAAAAGCCCCCCTCCCCATATCAAAACGGAAATCTGTGATGCAGATTTGCGGTCACACATCAGCTTTGTCATGCTAGAAGGCAAAAGATGCGGCCTGTCGTGCTGGGTGGCGTGAACACGCCTTGCGTCTTCAGCATGACAGGAAGCAACTGGAAACGGGAAACAGCATGACATATTCCCTGTAAACGAGTGGGCAACTGCGTCTCTTGGCCTTCTAGCAATAAAAGTCGACTTGTGGTCACAAATCAGCATCACAAATTTTGGTTTCGATATAATGGGAGGGAAGATTTTTCCTCGCAATACAGTGCGGGGAAAATCCGAAAAATGCGGTTCGGGAATAATGCCGAGTACGCGATGCACCGCATGTGGGGGTAGGACAGACAGACCGTGACGCGGTACCGTTCCTGATCCTCCTTCGTGACGCAGACGAAGAAGGAATTGCCGTGGCAACAGAGGTAACACTTCGGCCCGTCGAGCGGCACGGCGGACAGGTTGCCCTCGTCCGGGTCGTAGCTGAAGACACCCTCCTCGCGCGCCACCAGCAGGCTCTGCATCGACCGAAACACCGCACTGCACCCGATCGCCGCGCCCCCGGAATGGTCCTCGTTCAGCAGGTCCACCTGCAGCAGCTGCTGCGTCAGGAGCCGACTCTTGGTGGCCAGGTTCTTCTTGTCCGTCAGCCCCGTCGCCCCGCTCGTGGGCGCGATGGTGCCCAAACTGTAGGAGAACACCGCCTCGGACGTGGTGACGAACAGTACAACCCGCAGCGTGGGGGTCACGGTGTTGGCCCCGAAAACTTGTTCCAAGAAGTGGCACCCCGTGACAGTGCTGTGCTCGAGGTTTGTTGTACTATTCGTGGCCTGCTGACCACGTGTACTACCAGTCGCGCTTGCAGTTCCGACGGCGATCGTCCGCAGCGTCGGGGTTTTGTCGAAAACGCCGAGGACCAGCTGCACCTGCCCCAGATTGGAGCCGATCGCGATGGCGGAGTCTCCGAGGCAGTCGCAGGTGGTGACGCGAAGGGCCTTGTGCACGCGCTCGAACACCGGAATCTGGTGCAGAGAGCTAACTTGCGTTAAACTCTCCACGCGGAAAAAACGCAGGCGGGTGTTGCCCGTCTGCGCATTCTGCGTGAGCGCGAAAAACACGCTCTCTTTGCATTCGTGAAGCTTCGCAATCCGCTCCTCGGGACTGAACAGCGCGTGTCGCTCCGCCCGAGAGTCGCGATCCACTAGGAGCAGCTCCTTGGTATTTTTCAAGGCCAGATACACGTACTGCGAGCCGCCGGCTGCCTCCTCAACCTCGTCACTGGAAAACCCGCGCGCACTGGAAGCGATGCCAGAGGGCGTCGCGGAGGAGCTGCTCGACGACGATGACCCCCATCCGTCCGTCGCCACGGGCAACCGGTCGAAGAAATTCAACTTCCGCAGCTTCTGCATTCTGCCAGCGAGAAGTGTAGCACGGGCTGCTAATGCTGCGATTTAATACGGAATGCTGCGAAGGGTTCTTCGCGGTCAGAGACTGATTAGTATTTTCCCCCTGCGCATTTTCAATGCGGCCGCGCATCGCACGAGGCTCATCATCTGAAGCTCGGACTCACATTAGAAGTACGACGCTGCGCCTTTTGAGTGCTAGCCTTCTAAAACTTGCATGATCTGTCTTTGTCAACTTAGGCATCGCTCCCAATCATAGTCTGATCGCTGACAATCTTCATCGGAGCACCACTAGATCGAAAAAATAATATTGCCGACGCTCATGTTTACAGAACTGTCTTGGTCTTTTTACCTGACATTATCACGTCTGTGACACCTGGCATATGCATGTGTCGAGCATGGGAAAAGGGTGAGATAGATCTTCAAATCAATGCACTATCACAGAAGGAGCGTCGCACGGAGACGAGGATCTTGCAAATATTTTCCGAAAAGAACACCGTGATCAGCAATAAAAAATCAGACGCCATTCGGGTAGTAGAATTGGTCCGGCGATATGTCGTTTTCACTTCCAGACACATGAAACTCAAATTCTACAATTCCGCATAATTTCAGACAGAAAATAGACAATGTACACATTATACACATCACAGTTTTGTCCTCAATTTGTTCGGCCTACAACGTCTATGAGGGATTCGTCGCGAAGTCTTTGTCCCACAGCCACTCCGGGTTCGGTGTGTAGTGCATCTGCGGGGGCAAGTCGGCCTCCCTCGCTCTGAAGTTGCTCATGTCGGTCATGGATTTCACGATGGGGTGGTAGGGCGCGGTGGTGTAGCCCTTGTAGTGCGCCTTCCAGTCGAAGTTCTTGTACCACGGGTGGTCTTTCAAGTTCTGTACCCCCCCGGCCGAGGACATGGGGAGTCGGTCCACCGGGTTGTGCTGCAGCAGCGCCATGACCACATTCTTCGCCTCCGGGTCCTCCTGGGCGTAGGGAAACTTCACGTACTGCACGCCCCGGTTGATTTTGGCGTAGGTCCGCGACGGATCCCCGTCCTCGAAGGGGGCGTGGCCGGACAGCAGTTCGTGGATCAAAATCCCGAGCGTCCACCAATCGACCCCGTAGTGGTGCCCGAGGTTGGCCACGATCTCCGGCGCGAAGTAGTCCGGGGTGCCGCACGTCGTGTAAGTTTTCACATTGGTTTGTTTCGCTAAGCCCATGTCGGTAAGTTTACACCTTCCCTCCGCGGTGAGCATCAGGTTCTCCGGCTTCAGGTCCCGGTACACCACGTACTTCGCGTGCAGGTGCTCGAAGGCATAGACGACGCTGGCGCTGTAGAACTTCGCCCCGTCGATAAACCCGTGCATCTGCTCCCGGCTGTAGGTGGCGTACAATTCCCCGCCCAGCGCCGGCTCCAATAAGAACCACAGCGACTGGTCGGTGTTGAAGGTCGCGTAGCACTGCACCACGAAGGGCGAGTCGCACAGCATCAGAATGTTTTTCTCGTTCAAAGTCGCGTTCTCCATGTGCTGCTGCACGATGTAACCCTTGCTCAGCTGTTTTAACGCGTAGCACTCCCCGGTGGTCTTGTGCTGTTCCAGCGTGACGGCGCCGAACCCACCGCACCCGAGCAATCCGAGTTTCCGCAGGTCCGATCGCTTGCAGTCGGGCAACTTGCTGCTGCCGCTGGTGCCCGGCGGCGGGATGCTTTTGAACGCGGGCTTTCGGTCGGGTTTCTCTTTGGCGGTCTTCAGGATGCTGGCCAGCGGCTCGAGCAACTGCTCGAAATCGTGCTTGGTTAAACACGCGACCTGCACGTCCGGACTGTGGGCACTCACCGTGTCGTCCACCACCGAGGCGTCGAGCAGGCTCTGTTCCCCGAAGTAGGTCCCCGGCCGGTCCACCACCGCGCCCTGCACCACGATGCTGCCCTGCAACAGGATGAAGAACGTGTCGTTTTTTTGTCCCGCGGTCAACAAATGCTCCCCGCGGAGGAAGTGCCGCTCGTACATGGCCTCGCAGATGTGCTCCTTTTCGCTGTGGTACAGGGCGTCGAAGGCCGGGATGTGGTGCAGGCACTTCATGTACTCCGCCAGTTTGCCGCTGTTGCTGCTGTGCAGCACGTGCTTGAACGCCTGCCGCGACACGCACCACACGCGCCCCGGCTTCATCGCCTGCACCGTGCAGTGGCAGGGGTGGGCGTGGAGCAGCGTCACCTCGCCGAAGCTGCCGCCCGGCCCGTATCCTATGTAAAAACGTCCCCGCACCAGAGTCAAGATGGGGATCTCGCAACACAAATCGAGAAGTTTTGGGGGTCAAGCAAGACAAGCTCGTCTCCGTATTGTAATGCAGTTTAGCAAGTACAGCCGCAACACAAATCCATCTACTCATCCTGTCGACAGCATTACAAAGTGCAAAACGCGACTGGAAATGCCTCTCATGGCAATGCGCATTACAAATCTTCCTGTAGCTGCAAATCTGCATGACAACTCTGGGGTGGGGACATTTTTGCTCAGGATAGCCCGCAGTCCTGCATCAGCTCGAACTGGTTCGTCCGGTCCCGCTCGTTGCTGATCGCGCGGGTCACGCTGAAGTGGTAAAGACCTGACACAGGATTTTTGAACAGTTTTATAGACAACACTTTACTTAATTGATATTTTGCGTCCGTCCCTTTTATCAATAGCAAAATGAGGTTAAGCGCTGCCAGCTAACGGAGACGACACCGCTCCGGGCAACGACGTGCGGGCCTTTAGGTTTCTCGTTCGATCGTTGCCCGTGTGTTGTACGGTCTGGCAATGTCGGAATAAACACAAAGAGCAAGACGGCCCGCGCGCCGTGTGGTATCCATATCCCCCCAAAAGAAAAGAGAAAGCCGTGGGCACGGGAGCGTCGAGGCGCCCCGGCCCACGCGGAGGCGCATGACGCGCTCCGTGGAGGTGCTGCTGCAACGCAGAGGTGCACTCCACGGTTGTGCAGACTGCACTCCGCAAAGATATGAGAAAAGCACTCTGCTCAGGTGCTGCTGCGAAAGCAGAGGCGCACTTTGCAGATGTGCTATGAGCGCCGCACTCTGCTCAGGTGCTGCTGCGAAAGCAGAGGTGCACTTTGCAGAGGTGCGGATCGCACTCCGCTGGCTTCGGTGCCACGACTGTCGCACTCGGAGGAGGTGCTGCCGCTCACGCGGAGGTGCACTCCTCAGAGGGACAGGTCGTGCTCGGAGGAGGTGCTGCCGCGAAAGCGGAGGTGCACTCCAACGAGGCGCGCGCTACGCTTGGCGAAGGTGCTGCCGCTCACGCGGAGGTGCACTTCACCAACGCGCGCAGGCACAGTGTGCAGTGGAGGTGTGCTGCCGCTAGGCGGTGGCGCCCTCCACAAAAATGCGTCGTCGCTCTCGAAAGAGGGCGACGTCACAGGCCCCAGCCATGAAATGCGCGTGCGCTCGCATGTAGAGGTGCTGCCGCGACGACGCGGAGGTGCACTCTACGCCATAAAAGAGCGTCGCGCGCCATAAAAGAGCGTCAGCTTCCTCGAGTGGGAAGCCGACGCTCGATGCGTAGAGCCCTCGTGGGGTACGCACGCAGCGGCGCTGCAGGCGCGCGCGTGCAGCTGGACGCAGTAGATCGCTTGAAACACCCCTAAAAGCCAGAATAAGGCTTTTGGTGGTGCGAAAAGCCTTATTCTGGCTTTTAAGCGTGCGAAAACAGCCGAACCAGCTGCAGGCCGTAGCTGCTTCCAGGCTCGCCCGCGAGTTTGGTGGCCACCACCACCTAGCAGGGCCGTCGCCCCAACATCGGCCCGCCGCGCATCGCGCGGAGCCGCGTCACCAGCCGCTCCCTGCACCGGAGCGAGCAACATGCCGGCGTGCTTGGCAGGTGCTGAGAAGGCCAGCAGAAGGCGATGAGAGGCGCGCGACCTCCATGTGTTCGCGTTGGCCGTCCGTGAGGCTTCGACCTTCGCCACGGTCCCAAGTTTATTTTCTTTAACAAACAACAAACTCCTTGCGCTCGCGTGCGCCTTGTTCGTTAAAGAATAAAAATCTTCTTGGCAGATCGCGAGGCTTCGACTTTCGCCGCGGTCCCAGGTTTCTTTTTCTTTAACAAACAACAAATCTCTTGCGCTCGCAGGCTCCTTGTTCGTTAAAGAGTAAAAACCTTCTTTCGGTCCAAGATCCAGCGAAGACATCACAAAAGAAAATGCCCGGGTCCTCGTTGCTTGAAAAGAAGGCCGCGGCGTGTGCCGCTGGCGTTCTCGGCGCTTTGCTCCCGACCGGGTTTGAGACGTATTTCGTCGGCAGCAGCCGGCAGGTGTTGGACCAAGAGTTTGCGAGCATCTCGCACAACCTGGGCCTGCAGGTCGACGAAGATGTCCGCCTAGCGGCCAAGCTCCGCATGTTCTTCGAGCTGAAGGCGCTCGGGATTCCCATTCACGGCCAGCGGCACAAGGCCCTGCTCAAGGTCTTGGTCGAGTATGGTGTGAAGGACGTCGAGGAGTTTGTGGAGCTTTTCCAAAGCTCCGAGGACATCCGGGCCTGCGGTGTCCCGCCGGCGGAGATCGCTACCTGCCTAAAGGTCAAGCGGGCGATGGCGGAGATCGCGCAGCTCCGCGGCGCCGGAGTCGGCAGCAGCAAGGTGCCGAAGCGGAAGATCGACCTCGTGGCCGGGGCCAAGACCGCCGGCCTGGACAAGTCGCTGGCCCCGACGAAGGAACAGGTCTACTGCGTCATGGTGGCGCAGGAAAAGGGTAACTGCACCCTTCCGCTCTGCGAGATGAAGGTCGCGCCCTGGAGTGACCCCATGTGGACCCACACCTACAAGGACGAGATCGAGGGCGTGAGCGACCTCAAAGAGAAGGAAGGGGGCGCCGCGTTCCTGCTGGAGCGGGCCAAGGAGCTGAAGACGAAGTACTTGCCGACGCATCAGCTGCACCTGGCCGCGACGCGGTACCTGTACAGCCTGGGCGTTGCGGGTGCCTTTCAGCCCGGCCGGACCCTCCTGGTTGCCGCGAAGTACATGGAGGTCCTTGGCACTATCGCGTGCCGGCACAGTCCGACCCTGGCGGCTTCGTACGACATGGAGAACCGCCGGCGCGCGGAGCGCGCGGGGCTGGTGACACCCGAGGAGGCGGAGGCGTTCTTCCTCGAGAAAAGCAAGGACATCTTCGAGGACCTTCTCACCGACATGAAGCTCGCGGACCACAAGGCCGCGAGCAACAAACGCAGCGAGGCGGCTGCCGGTGGAGACGCATCCGCCCCGGGCGGGGGCCTGCAGTCGATGAAGAAGCGTCGCGGGGGCAAAGGTGTCCTTCCGGGCGCCGGCGGCGAGGTCCACAATACCGGGAAGGGCGGTGGCGCTCCGGCGTTGCCGAACATCGCTGCTGCGACGAACTCCGGGGCCCCGGCCGCGTCCGCCGAGGCCGCGAGGAAGAAGAAGAAGAAGAAAGCCGAAGGTACTTATTTACCCAGTAGCTTTCTCCTTCTCCCCCCATGCAATGAACGCATGACCCCCCCCCCCCCGACATGTCTGTTTCTTGTATGACGACCGCCATTTGTCACAGGGAAGACGGGGACTGCACCGGCGACCACCGGTACCGAGTGCGCGCCGCCAAAGATAGGAGCCGGCGCCGCGGCATTTCCCGGATGCCCCAGTTTTGCCGCGCCCGAGGCAAAAGCCGCCAAACACGGCGGGGGGCGGTCGGGGACGAAGTCGGCAACCGCTGCTGCGGAACCGCCGAAGCCGGCGGCGCCGCCCGGCTTCCAGGACGCGCGTGCGGGCGGAACGCTTTTGGGCAAGCAGAAGGGCCTGTTCGCGTCAGTTCCCCCAGGCTTGTCTCCTGCACAGCATGTTGCAGCTGCCAAGGAGCTCGTCCGCGACTGGAACGAGCTGCAACGCAATCCGCTTCCACCGGACGCGGCAAGGGCGGTCGACAGGGCGGCACGCCTAACGGTGCCGGAGCACCAAGCGCTCCGCAAGGCAGCGATCAAGAAGTGGGCCGCGCGCGCCGCGGAGGTTCCGGACCCCTACGGACAAGGGGTCCACGTCGACCTGCTTCTGGAGATGCTGCGCGATGGGGGGCACATCGGCAGGGACGAGGTCACCCCGTTCTTCGAGAACCTCCGCAAGCGGTTCCCGATGTCCGGCGCGCACTCGTATCCGGACATCTTTGAGCAGACTTCAAACGCCGCGCCCGAGCTCTCTGTCCCGGAACTGCTCGCGGAGCAGGCCGGGGTGCATGAGGAGGCGGCGAGGTGCATCCACAAGGACGCCCCGGAAAACAAGGCGTTTCTGTGGCAGAGCATCCAGGAGGAAGCGCGCGACGGTTTCGCGCACGAGATCGACCCCAGCGTGGCGCAGGGGGAGGACTGTGTCTTTTTCCGCCGCTTCGTCGCGTGGCAGCTGAAAGCAGACAAGCCCGGGTGGGAGTACAAGCCCCGCCCCGTCGATGATGGCAAGGCCGCGCAAATCAATCGCGCCAACATCATCTGGACGCCCATCAAGCTCGCCACGGTCGACCTGTACGCCGCTGCGCTCGCGCGCTACCAAGGTCTGCGGCCGGGGCGGCGCTGCAAGAGCTGCAAGAAGGACCACGAGAAAGCTTACCGCCAGCTCCGTGCGAGCAACGAGGAGTTTCTCCGCGTTATCATGGTCGAAGACCCTAGCGGGGGGCTGCGGTACTTCGTCGCCGACCGCCTCCTCTTCGGGGAGGCGGCGTCGGTTCTGCACTACAATGGGCTGAGCGCGGCCCTCACCCAGGTCGTGCGGGACCAGCTCGCGCTCCCGATGTTCGCCTACTACGACGACTACATCTTCCCCGCCGATGAGGAAGACGCGTCAGCGGCGGCAGACGTGCAGGCCTTCCTCGGTGACATCCTCAAAACGAAGTTTAACGAGGCGAAGACCGAGGAAGGCGCCGAGGTCATCTACTGCGGCATCGTCATCGCGGTCGAGCCGGAAGGGGTTCGGTACAGCCTCAGCCCGCACCGGATCACAAAGATCCGGCACTACATCCGGGACCATCTGGACCGCAACAGCATGACGACCGCAGAGGCTGCGACACTTGGTGGGCGCCTCAGTTGGTCGACGACTTGTCTGTTTGGCCGCATAGGGCGTGCAATGTTGCACGCGCTGCAGCGCCGCGCCGCGGCGAAGAACCTCCCTTCCCACGCCCGGCTGAACAAGAACCTCCGGCGGGCGCTCGAGTGGTGGGCGGACCTCTTTGCGGTAGAAGGGTCCGCCGCCCGTCTCGCTTTCAGCCGGGTCGTGCCCGCCTGCCCTCCTGATGGCGGGCTGGCACCATCGCGCCCGCAGTACGCGATGTACACGGACGCGAGCTTGAGTGGGGCCGGGGCAATTCTGCTGCCTTTGGAAGGGTGTGCCACGGGCGGCCCAACCTACACGCGCATCGACTTCGGGGCGCAGGCCGAGGAGGACATTGCGGTCTTGGAAGGAGCAGAGGTCGAGGCCGCTCTCCTTTCCTTTGCAGACCAGCTGCAGGGCGCCGACCTTTTCCTCTGGATCGATAACACGGTGGCGCAGGGGTCTTTCGTACGGGGCAGCGCGAAGAGCGACGCCCTGCGCGCTTCGGTCGAGCGCTCCTGGCTTCTGGCCGCGCAGCTTGGCTGCATGATCTGGGTAGAGCGGGTGGACTCTGGGGCCAACCCGGCGGACGACCCCTCCCGGGGCTGCGCGCCACGGTTCTTGCCGGAGGCCATCCAGGTACTACCTGCTTGGGAAAGTTTGTGACACATGGCGGGGGTCACGGCGCCGCCCGAAGGTGTTCCGGTCGGGCACCTTTGGAAGCGTGAACGGGCTCTCTTTGCAGTAGCATCCTAGTTTTCCCACAGACACGCTTCGGAATTTCCAACCCAAACTAACAACACACAGGTGCCGCGGACGCCGCCAACCCGAACCGGCCGGCGTGAGTCGGCGAAGTGATTACCGCGGTACGTCTGGGGGTGCGGGAAATTGTGGAGAAGGTGGTGGCAAGTGGCCACCATCTCCGTGTTCTTACTTTCCTGTTGGGGTGACAGTGATGGAATTTGATGAAGACATTCGTAGACCGACACAGAACAATCAACCGGTGACCATGTTCAGAATCTTGCGCTGCTGAGCCCTGGCACGCAATCGATTGGCCTGGTCTTGTCTTTCTCGCCCGGTGGAGCTTTGGGTGTGCGGGCTTTGGGAGTTGATCTCCACGGCCTCGATACGTGAAAAAAATGGTGTTCGCAATGCAATCCCGACGTAGGCACAGCGCAGCCGGCCAAAAGATGCCGCGCCGCGTGCCTCGCGCGTTTCGCTTGCTCGCGCCCCTTTCGCGTCTCGCTCAATGTTCCAAAGCTGTGACAGCTAACCTCACGCACGTCGTAACCATAGCCAAAGCGGTTAATTGATATTTTGCGTCCGTCCCTTTTATCAATAGCAAAATGAGGTTAAGCGCTGCCAGCTAACGGAGACGACACCGCTCCGGGCAACGACGTGCGGGCCTTTAGGTTTCTCGTTCCCCACCCACCCGCCCGGAACGAGATAAAGATGTCGGACGCGATCGACGACGGCACCGCCCTGGACATGCTCCGGGGCCAGATGCATGCCAAGGCAACGTCGAGCGCAAGGGCATCCGCGGTGCAGGAGTATGAGCAAATGTGCTCAGCTCGCGGCCTCGTCGACTTCCCGCTATCAATTACGAACCTGGAGCTTTTTGCCGCCAGGCTCGGCGTGAAGGTCCACACCGGGGAAATGGCCGCAAACACGGCGACGGCATACGTGTCCCATGTCCGCACCGAGAACCGGCTGCGGCATCACGAGCTCTCCCTCGGGGAGCAGGCCTACGCGACGCTGATCAACAACGCCCTCAAGAGGGACCGCGCGGCGGAGAGCTACGAGCCGGTCGCCGCGAGCATGCTCCAGAGCATGCAGAAGGCGGCCACCACCTTGGACGAGCTGGCCTGCGTTGACATGGCGGTCTGCCAGTTCCGCCTTGTGTGGCGGCCCGAGGAACTCGTCCGCGCCACCATCGGGGTCGAGAAGACCAAGGGCGGCCATGAGGTTGTCTTCGACGTCGATCGCACGAAAACGGACCCGGAGGGGGTCGGGCGAACCGTGCGACTCGTGGCGGACCCAGCAAACCCCGTCGTGTGCCCGGTCAAGGCCGCGCAACGACTCACCAAGGACGGCGGCGACGCGCGGCTATCGGTCGCGCAGTACCGCACGACCTGGAAGTTCCTCACCCGGAAGGCGAAGGTGCAACGAATTGCGGAAGGCCGCAGTCGCGACCTCCTCTGCCTCCACGGACTCCGAAAGGGTGGCGCTCAGGCACTCCTACTCGGCGGAACGGTCCGGGAAACCGTCCAAAAGATTGGTGGTTGGAAAACGATGCACAGCGTGATGCACTATGAAGCGGAGTGCTTTCTTAATCCGAAAGTTACCCCGCTCCCGTGTCTGCTGAAGTCCATACAGCTCAAGGACGCTGCTGGCGCATCTCCCAGCCACTCCGCACCGGCTAAAAAGAGAAAGAAATAAAACAAATACATGAACGCGTGTGAGGCCTGTCGCGCCCCTCGATACGTGAAAAAAATGGTGTTCGCAATGCAATCCCGACGTAGGCACAGCGCAGCCGGCCAAAAGATGCCGCGCCGCGTGCCTCGCGCGTTTCGCTTGCTCGCGCCCCTTTCGCGTCTCGCTCAATGTTCCAAAGCTGTGACAGCTAACCTCACGCACGTCGTAACCATAGCCAAAGCGGTTAATTATTTTTTCGCGAAACAAAGAAAACCTAAATCAGGTAGTTGTTGTACTCGTATCAGTTTTTGGTCGTGTCAATACCTGGGCGGTTTTATTTGACGTCACCAAAGCACTGCAGATGTAGTGCTGTCGAAGTTCTTTGTCTTTCTTTCACACGCAGACCCGCTCGTACAAAAATTCTGCACGCAAGTATGTATACGTTTCTGTGAAACGAAGTCTACGGAAGTCCAAGCAGACATTTATACCTGTTTCCACAATGAAAAAATCCTCGGTGAACGGGTCCCCCTCGTGACAGAGGATTTCCCCGGGCTTCACGTCTCGAAAATTGGCGTGCATGGCCAGTTGCTCGCACTGTTGATCCGTGAGGGGGACCAACGCATGCAGCTTTTGGTTCTCCTGCATCGCCTTCACCAGGAGATTCTTTATTTCTGGTGCCTTCTTCACAATTTCCGGCTGCTGCGACAGCCGGGCGTGGGCGGCCAGGACGGCCTTGCGCTTGGGAAAATGGATCTTCTTGCTGAGTTGCAGGTGGAGGAAGCGCTCCTTACTCAAGCTCGCCACGGTCAAACTGCCCTGCGGCCCGGCGACCACGGTCGCCTGGCGGAACGCGTTCTGGAGCAGAGACTGCTCGCCAAAGTAGTCGCCTGCCCGGCAGCTTGCAATCACCCGGTCCTGGGCTTTCACACTGTGCGTCGCCGGCGCGAGCTCCTCCGGAAGCACTCGCCCGCGCTCTCCACTGTTCGTGGTCCGCACCGTGAACGGAAACCTGTGCAATATTTTTGCGGGCTAGAAATTTATCATTTTTCAAAACGCAATCTATTGTCTCTCAAAGTATGATCTACTTATCACCCGATTCTTTTTCTTTGCAGAGCCACACCTCCAGCGCCGATAATCATACGTCGGCAAGAACATCAAGCAGCTCATCATTCGGACCATCAATATCAGTGCAAAAGTGTGTGTACTTTCTCGTTGCGTCAAAGTTGTCGATTATGCACTCGGTGCCTTGCGGGTACACCACCCGGCCGATCTTGCAGGGCTTGACGAGCCGCGCGACGTCGCCCTGCTTCAAAAACGCACCCAGGGAAACCTTCACGAACGCCTCCCCGTCCAGGACGATGAACATGGCGTTGCCCGGCTCGTGCTGCCGGAACACTACGGAATTGGCGGGGTAGTGCTTGACCTCCAGGGCATCCACCAGTTGCCGGACGTCGCCCTCGCCGAGCTCCCGAAACATCGGCACCTTACGGACAAACGTGGTGACCCGATCCTCATTCCAGGCGAAGTCGGAAGATTGCGCGCTGCCCCCCGTGGTGCTGCCGTTGACCCCGCCCGGCTTGCGCTTCGCGCCGCCCATGGAAGAGGTCATGGAAGAATTGTTCATCGAGGCGTTCGTGTTCACCATGGTCGACGTGTCACGGTTTGGTGCCAAGTGTAGTCGTGTCCGGCAGAGACTCCACCGCGGCCTCTGGCTGATTCATTGCAGTTACGAGGCAAAAGCAGAAATACTACTTGGGCAAAAAAATATTTATATTTTCAATCGGAAAATAACAGTAGGGGAAATCAATATGGGGCGTCGCTTGTATCGTGGCATACTGCTTTTTGAAAGCGTTCTTTTCGGTTCTTGGACATCAAACTCTAATATGAGAGAAAGAATATACGAGTTGCGCAAGAACCACAGAGGGAGTTTTTTTTGTGAAGTTTGGACGACAGAAACGTTTCCTTCGCACGAGAACCGATGTCTGTCGATTTGCTGTTATGTAGGCCAAACTGTTTGGACGAGGAGGCATGAACGATGTATTTCCATCAGGTACAACCGACAGGGCGCTACAGCATTGGGAACGATGCAAAGCACCAGATTGCCTTCCGATACGATTTCTATGAGAGAAGACACCACGTTGTACCGACAAAGTCCAAATGATCTGTACAACTACCGAAGGTCTCACGTGAAAGCCTTGTGCTTGGAAAGCGGGATCTGATTCAGATCCAGCACACGCAAGCTCAATGCGAATGGAGGCAGCAAGGTTTGAGTGTTTTTAGAAGAAAAAATTAAAATCAGTCGCATTGATAATCTGGGTTTGCCATATCATCTGCTCACCCCGCAGGGAAGTCATGCAGTTCGGTTTTTGAAGCTCCGTGGATTTGGTGCTGGTATTTACTTACAAAGAACGCACGAAAAATATTTAGATTTACCAGTATTTGGCAAAGAACAAAATAAACTAAAGTAAGAGCTCCAAAACTTGTTTCATGAAAAACCAGGCTAATCGAAAATCACATCTCAATTTTTTGAAATACCCTACCCACTATGTACTGTCTGTGTCAATGGATATATTCTCATATCTAATTTCATTCAAAAGACAACCACGCTGCTAAGTTCTTAAAAGGTCTGCTTCCCTGGAAAGGCGTCACTAGGTGCAGCAGGCAGAGAGCACTGCAACGCATGCAGAGACGAGACATCCTTCCAGGCGGCGGTCGTGTCCGGGAGTTTATCTTCTGGTTTAGTATAGTCATTATCTGTTTCTTTTCGTTGACATGACGCTCACGCAGTGAATTGCGCAAAGAACTGAGCGTCGACCCAAATCGAGCTTTTCATGTATTACTGCTAACGACCTAGAGTCATCTCCGGTCGTGCCGACATTCAGGAACTTATCGTTATATATTTTGTCGCTCTCCGATTCACAACTATATATGCATTTTTGTCGAAACCTTCAAGCCTTCGAGTCATGTGTGATAGCAAAAATTTGTCGCTCGCTACAACTTTCATCTACGCGGTTTAGTAACTAAATTTGTCTACTTTCAAGAAAGGCTCATTGCCCAACGGCACTTTTTCACGGTTGCTACGTACTTCTAAAACCTAGTCGTACTAATACTTCGTATTGAACAGAACTACCCGTTAAGTTCACGCACTTTATTTTCCAGTTTTAGCCGTATGGTGCCGATCGATCCGAGCGCGCCGTTTCGCCCCGTGTGGCGCCGTACTCGAACTCGTCGAAAGTATTACAGTGAAAAATGCTCGCAACCCGAAATTTGCAAACGTTTCTCATGCAAAGCTTCCACATGAAAGCTGAAAGGACTGCGAGCCTTTCTGGTGCCTTATCTAGGTGCGCAAGGCATCCTCTGCATAACAGATCCGGCTACTTTTGAGCTCCTTTGCAACACAGCCTTGAGGTGGGCAGCATGGAAAATTTGTGATGCTGATATATGGAAGACGGCAAATGTTTCTATTGGAAAGGTTTGCAATACAAATCCTGCCAGGGTTTGGAGTGGGGGCATTTTTCATTGTAATAGAAAGGCTCGGAGATTTGGCGACGCCATGCGGTGTCCGCAAGCTCAAGAACGTCGTATGGAATGCAAATGTGTCTGGTGTTTTGTCTGGATACAAGACCTTGGCACAGCACAGGGAAGAGAACGACTTTAACTTTTTGAAGAAAGAAAAGTGCAAATATGTCTGGGTCTGGAAGACTGCCAGGCTTGGTTGGTTGGTTGGGTAGCGCCTGTCGCCGGCGCAGGTCCCGCCCTCCATCGATTGCGATCCGGAGTAACAGGTTTTCCATGCATGTTTTGCCTGACCCATGATTGTCTGTGATGTATGCCATAACCTGACCCAAGAACAAAAACATGCGTGCTTTGGCTGATCCACAGATTTTCAGAACCCTTCCTGATGCCTATTCCGCATGAGAAATGCCCCCTCCACGGACGACGTAGCACAAACTGCACTCCTCTTGCTGGTCATGCATCAATACAGATGCTTCTAGAATTATGCAAAGACAGCATCACAGGTTGGATCCTTCCCGACCCACACACATTTGCATTTGATACGTCGTCGTCGAAATCCAAATCAATGTCGAAAGGCATAGCTTCGGTACCGTCGCGGCCCGCTTCCATCCCAGATGAGCCGACTGGCGCAGTGCCCATGCCGGGATCTTCGCCGCTACTCGTATGCTGCTCGTCCAAGAACCCTCTTGGTGTGGTGCAGCTGCCGGGGAACGAGGAAAGAGAAAGGAATCCGAGCAGCCCCCTGGGGTTATTTGTAGAGACCGACGGCACTGTTTCCGTACTCGTGTGGTCCACGCGGGCCGCAGCAGTCTCAGGTGCACTAGCGTCAGGCCGCACCACCTCCGTACTTATTTTCCGGGATAGACTTCCCGTGCGATCCGGCGCGACTTCGGATGAACCCCAGGCAGTGGTGGAGGCTGCAGAGACAGAACTTACCACGGAGAGATTGCCGGGACCACACGCGGTTGATGCAGCGGAAACCGAGCTCTCTTGCCGACGACAGAGCTCACGAGAGCTTCCTCTCCGAGTCAGAGAGGAAGACTTGCAAGCTTCGACGACAGCAGAAGATGCTTCCGGAGCCGAACCTTGTGTGTTGTCGGCGGCATCACTGACCTTCGTGTCCGCCTGCTCCACCGGTGTCTTTGCTGGATTCTTTGCAATATTTTTCGCCGCGGTAGAGAACCCGCTTAGGTCCGATCCTCGACCAAAAACGAAAACACCGGGCACATTCTGAAATTCCCGACACGCGCTACTGAAACCACTTGGCGGAAAGGGTTCCGGTTCATCTTCGCTACCACTTCCTCCGTTTTTCGTGGCAGAAGCGTCCACTGCCGCCGACGCGACCCCAGTGTTGTTTTCCAGCGAAGTCGTGACAGTCGCGATACGACCTTGCTCGTCTTCTTTCCCGTCGCAGCCGGCCGAGCTCTGCTTTTGGTTTGGGTCTTCACTGCTGCCGTTTGGTAGTTTGTAGGGTTGCGCTGGCTGCGCCGCTCCGCAAACAAGTGCAGCGCCGTGCGGCGTATCGGGCGACGCTGGTTGTTGATGCAGCCCGTCTTGACTTGCAAATCTTGCCCGCTTTGCTTCCCTTGGAGTCATGAATAAATCAGCAAGAATCGGGGCTCCACTGTCCGTAGGAGACCCCTTGCTCCGCGCGACGGGTCCTGCTCCTGCGCGACTTTGGTGGTCTTCCTTAGATAACGTCAACCTCGGTGGGCGCCATGGAGAGAGAAGTTGGGACTCCAGGGCTAATCGAGTACCGGCACTGAATCCGGATCCGGACACGGTCGCATCCACCGGGTCGGTTAAATGCTGGTGGACTTCGGTGGAATCAGTGGCCCCAATGATACGAAGTAAACACGCATCCTCTTCGAATAGGCTCACAGTCTCGAGAGCACTTTGGGCCGCGAGGAAATACGAATTCTCGGGCTCGGCCGAGCCACTAGTGCATTGTTCCGAGCCTCGCGGAGATGAGAGCCCGTCCGTGCTGCGGGAGATCAACGGCGCACTCCTGACGCTATCCTCTGGGGGGGGCGAGACCACTCGCACCCGCTTCCGGGGTTTTTTCTTGGCTTCAGTTTCACTTTGCGGCGACTCTCCGGACGGCGCTTCCGGAGCCACCCGCGAAGAGCGGCGAAGAATCGAAACTGGCCGCACGGCTTCGCCCGGTGGTGATTCGTCCGGGGGGCCACACATATCCGGCTGCAACACGTTGCCAGCGGGAACTGATGCGGCGCAGCCGTCCAGGTTGGCCGAAATCGGCCCGGGGCCATTGGACGCGGTGACGAAGCTCGGAGCGCTAGTGTTGCCGTAATGCGAAACCAAGGCGTTGAGCGCGGCGGCACTCCCGGAAATTAACTTGGCCAGCTTGTACGCATGCGCGCCGTGTCTGCAGTTGCCCGCGGACGTTTGAAGATGCGACATCTTTCACGTGTTCAAAAACGTCACCTAGAACGGACTGGAAACTATACCGCATCGGACAATATAGATATACAATCATCGAACGTCATTCAAAATCAGCCGGAACGAAATGCGCACACAACGTCTTGCGCCTTCGCTTCAGCCGAAGCCACGCAGCTTCTTCTACTATTTTCGCCGACCTGTCAAAATGACGCACCGTGTCGATTGCAAAATCACGGAGGAGCCGCAGCAAGCCCCGGAACCGGAGGTCTACTAGCGGCTTTGCGCCGAACTCTCGCCCGCCGCGCAGGAGCACTTTTCGGCGGTCCGGCGCGGCGCTTTTTTGCTACCACCCAGTCGCCCCGCCGCACTGCGAACGCCCAGTCGCTGGCGCGGCGCTTTCTTGCTACCACCAAGTCGCGCCGCGCGCGCTCTGCGAAGGGCTCCCGCGGCCTCCTCGCTTGCGGAGCGGGCACACCGTCGGCCCGGAAAAGCCTTCCGGACGAGGCGCGGGCCCCTCTCCGCAAAAACCTCCGGCGGCAGCGCTCCGCCCCTGCAAGGCCGGCCTCAGCCATTTCCATGCTACGAACCTCAGCCCCGGCATGCTTGATGCTATTGTAGAGGCATAGCCTGCCACGGCGGCTCATCAGGGAGCCGGGAGTGCGCATTGGTGCCCGAAGCGCGTGCACATGACAGAGGGCTGCCGCGCGCGAGAAATAGGAATCGCGACGGCATAAAGCGCACTCGGCAACCTTTGGCGGCAGCCGTTGCCTCGGAGGGCAACCACAGAGCGACGCCGGCCGGCCCGATGCGTGCATCGCCCGCGCGGTCATCAGTACTTCTGCCAACCGCGGCCCGGCAGGCTCCGCACAAGGCGTTTCCTTCAAGGAAGGAAGCGACTGCGGTAGGCCAGGCAGGGCCGCATGCTATGCGCGGCCGGACCACAAGCGCCGTCCACGGGGGAAACTAGGAGGAAGGGGGGTCCTATGGGGGGGGGGGGGCTAGGAAGGAAAGAACCCATAGTCCTTCCGGGGTGCGATTTTCATACGTACCAGCAAACTACAGTAACTACCAACGAAAAGAAGAGAACCTGTGTCCAAAGCATTCGCAATTTCTTGCTTGACGTAGATCCCATGCAATTTCTATGATAATGCCTCATATTTTTGGGTCTTTCAGGATTTTTAAAATTTTTCAAAGAAATCACAAAAAAAAAATGCCGACATATATTCAAAAACAAAGAGGCTAGACATGCATGGACCATATCATATGGATGCTCTTTTCATTCACTGTATTTATGTACGTCTCGTTATGTGAAGTTACTCAGTTTTTGCCATTTTTGATTTTTTTTTTAAATCACGCCGCGCAGACAATGAGAAAACTACGCAATTTTGGAAGGTCGCAATCTATCTACGAATGCATATTATTACCTAAATGCATTCCTATTTCATCAAAATGCAAAAAAACGCGGACAATTACTCGGCGGCATCAAGTTGAGATTTTTTGAAAAAAATAAAAAGTCCTATCATGGTCAGTTTTTCGGGTGTCCGAGTGATTATGTGAAAGAATAGCACTCCATTGATTTATATGGATTCCACATATAGACAAAGCGCGCATATATTCACAAAATTTTAGATCGTTCATAAATTTTTCAATTTTTCAAAAATTTTTGCCACTTCGGAAAATCTATTATACTTTGACAATTTTACGAATGTCATGTATATGGCTTTTCTGTAAGGTAATATGCGTCACATTGTGCCGCTCGATATGTAAAAGCTGCCAGAATTTACAGCATTTTTTCGATTTTTTATTATATTCCTATTTTTGAATTTTTTGAGATGTGGCAATTTTATTGGCTCCAGCCGTGGCACAGTCCGCAGGACCGTCTGGTCCCGAATAAGCACAGCGCCCGACGGCAGCGCCGAAGCGCAGTCGCGGTCGCCCGAACGCAAACACGCGAAGGCCGGGACGGCGGCAAAGCCGCGTCCCGGCGGTGGGGCAAAACTCAAACCCGAGAGCACCAAAAGGCCCCAGCAAAAACACCGCGGACGGGCGAAAGCGAACGCGCCAAGACGCTGCCAAAGGGCACTGCACTGCGCACCCCGCGGTGGGCAAGCCACCGGGGCGCAACAAGTCCTGCGAAACGAACCACAGCAAGAGGACCACGACAAACAGGGCAGGGCGGGTGGGAAAAAACGAAAACCGACCAGAGCACGAATGCATCTGGAACAGCTTTCCCTGCTGCCCATCGAGATCGGGCCCCGCGCCCGATCTCGCAAGCCCGATCCGGGGATCGGAAACACAAGGATGCCTGCGACGGGGCAGGCCGTCCTGGGAACAGAAGCCTGCATCACAAAGCAGGGCCACCAGCATCCAGGGAAGGGCCACGGGGCTCGGGGGCGAGCCAGCCCGACGACCATGGCCCCGAAGGGGCCAACCATAGACCGCCCCGGGCAATAGACTGCCCGCCCCTGCGCATCCGCTTGCCCCCCCCCGGGGCACCAGCCGGCCGCGGAACTGGCCCGGCCTGGGCCAATCAAACCCCGCGCATTCGCAGGCTCACGCGCATGCAAATTAATCTGATAAGCACACCGAAATGGATAAAGAATCGACGGAACTCTCTTAAGTCTGTCAATGCAAGCGCATTCATTTAATGCGTTGCCCTTCTCTGCGCGTTTTTGCTTCTTTTTCTGGTATTTTACAAAAGTCGCAAACTGAATCACCTCAGTTGGAGCAGCCTGCACCCCTTTGGCCCCATTCCCTTCCAGTCTGCCAAGAGGTCATGTCTCCTGTGGTTTGGCTGCGCGTGCGGCCATAGGAGCCCCCAAACAGCACAACAGTCCCTGCGTAAACTATCCTCCTCTGGGGCCGCAGGTCCGCAGATTGAGGGACTGCACTCTGCCGGGCCTGCAGTTTCTTGAATCACGGTGGGAGCACCGTTCTTTAGGGCAGTGGAATCGAACTCCGCTCACGTTCGGTGGCCGGCGAGCCGTGCACGACCCAGCACCACTACCCCGCACCAGTCTAGATGCGGCGTCGGGCATCATCGGCCGACGCGGCGGCACCCGCCGGGTCGCGTGTACCCGATTGCGAATGCGGTCAGGGGCCGAGCGTCTGCAGCGTCGGTCGGTTTTTGTCTTCTGAAGCCTGCCCAACGTTCCGCTTCCGGCAGACCGCCTCATGCGCGCGCCTATATCTTCTTGAAAGCATATAGAATGAGTAATCGGTGTCCATGGTCACGAGATCCTGTTGTCAACCATCTATGCTGCCGTCGGTCAGCACGCAAGCCTCTTCACGCAATTAAGCATTGCAATTTAGTTTTGCCGCTAGAAGTCTGAGAGCAGCCTTGTACCTGTATCCGCTGATCGTTTGTACCCACGCCAGGACCCCGCCCGTGAATTTCGAAGCACACTTATTTGAACTACAAGTGCAGCAGCTTAGTCCTGATACCGCAGAACAATTAGACTAAAATCTATACTCCGGCGCATGATAGCAAAATGAGCGCACTGGTGTCGGCGCAGCCGGAAACCCCGCGTCCGATTACCGGGCGCGAGATAAGACGCGAGGCGGTGGAGAATTGTCTGCAGGCAGTGAGGAATCAAACACAGCGCCGCACGGACGAAGGCCTCTCTGCGCACAACTTTTTTGTCGGCGTCGCAAACGTCATCCTCGTTACCTACGTTTTCGGTGCCCACCCGGAGCACTTCTGGATCTTGTACGCCTTTGAATGCCTCTACCTGTTCCCGAAAAGGTACAGCAGACCTTCGTTTGTTTTGCGCTTGTCGATCTCGTGCGGGGGCGCAGATCGGCCCTCGGCAGCCATCGAGCATCCGAGGATGTCGGCGAGTATATGTGAAGAGCTTGAATCTTGCCAAGCCCGTTCTATTTCCAGAAATGGCGTCGTACTTCTCTACTCACTATACAAACACATCAGGTGGACCCGAGCCAAGGCCCTGGGGTGCCAGCTGTACTGGCTGGACTATTGCTGGTTTGTGAACTTTGTGGGCCAGGGATGTTTGGTTGTGTTTTTCGCGGTACCAACCGCAAAAATCTCTGGGTCTGGAAACCTGTGATGCAAGTCCGTGAACAATAAGTGCTCTGTAATGCGCCGGCAAACATGACAAGTTTTTTCGTGCTTCTGTGATGCGTATTTCGCATAAGAAATTGCGCTTTTGCATGACAGGCAAGAGGATCGCGTGGTGGCCGCGCAATACAGAGTGCAGAGTCATGCCAGACTAGCATGACAATCTTCCAGACCCAGACATTTTTGCATTTGATACGCGGACGCGCTCCTGCGGTATACCTATCAGCAACACCAGTCGAGCCGGGACATGGTGGACGTGATGTGGAGCGGCGCCCCGGAGACCGGCTTGTCGGCGCTCTTGGCAAGCTACGGGTACGAGCGCTCGCGGTTGTCTCCCGAGGTGCGGCGGCTGGTTTTCGGGACCTTCTTCGCTACCTCCACCGGTCCGCTACTAGGCTCCGTGATTGCGCTGCAGAACGCGCTGGTCTTCCACAGCTTGGACAACATGATCAATGTAATATTTACGTGTGTTTATCTTTCTGCCCTCAGTCTACTTGAATGATCATTATTTTTGCGTATTGAAAACACCAGCGCGGAGAAATCAATATGCACTTCGATTCTCTACTTCGCACAGGTTCTGATCCATCTCTTCCCACCACTTCTCTTTTACACGTTAAAGTTCAAGACGCAGCGGATCCTGGACGTTTATCCGGGCGTGTTCAACCTGCACTACATAGATGAGCTCGACGTTGTCACCGACGTGGTTCTGCCCGGCGTCGCGCTCTACTGGGCCTGGTGGTTGTTTTACGCGCCATGGCTTCTCACCGTCGGGAAAGAGCTCCCGAACCGATCCAAGGCCCAGATCGCGGAGGCGGCCAAGAGGTTGCAGGAGCGTATGAAGAGCAGCAAACAGCCCGCACAATGTAGTCCTGGCCCGGAGTACTACGACACGGTGTTCCATGCGATCATGCGGGGGTCCGGACCCATCGTCGGCACCGTGGACGGGGTGCTTGGCATCCGGGGGGAGGAGAAGCGGCAGCGCCAGCAGGCGAACAGTTTTAGCCGCGCACAGATCATGGGGTACATGTGCACGCACGCGTTTGCGGCGCACATAGGGTTTCTGCTCAGCATACCCCTGTGGTACAGCCGGGACTTTTTCCGAGCCATGCTCGTGGCGTCGGTTAGCAGCGCAATTTGGCACGCTGCGAGCAGATACAACCACCAGCTCGGAAAAGCCTACGAAAAAGTTGTCTTGGCGGAGCTGCAGAAGATCGATGAGCCTGCTAAGACGCCGGAACAATCATAGCACGGGGCAGGCAGATAATTCGTGGCAGAGCCGCACTCTTCGCCGCAGGTCGTCTGCCCGGCGTAGCAATTTTTGGTGTATGAAAAAAGGCGGTTGCATTTTTTTTCTCCCACAAAAATATCATGTTTGTTGGGATGTTGAAATCTTATTCGATTTACGTGTATAGAAACCAAGGGTCGTGGCCTCCTTGTCCGTGTACCCATAAATGAACGACATGAGGACCTATTGTTTTTACCTTTACCCGAATGCACATCTGTTTCAAAAGTGAGCGAGGAGACGCATAATTTTCTTGTAGAATACCATTCCAATTTGCGCTAAAAATTCTTCTGCATAATTTTCTCTGTCATGAACAGCGTGCGCGTCGCACGGTCGCCCTCCTCCGCCAAGACCGATGCTGCTCTTCATCGGTGAAAAGTAATTGCCAGTGTTGCAGTAGCACTTGTTGCGTCCTCTCGATGCGTACTTTAGTTGGGCCACAAATCAAAGCACATCGGTGTCATGCCAAATCGTGAGTTGTCGCTTGATCGTGAGGTCGTTGCTCTCGAATGATTCCTCTATGTTTGCGCAGAGTGATTCTCATCGAAACAAAAAGGTTCGTGATCGTGCTAATTTATTTTTCAACATTCGCATTGTGTACAAGACGAAAGTTTATTTGATCGTGCCTTCGTGCTGACGCCCCTTCAAACTCTTCGTCCTTGTCTGCACAAAAACTACACGCGTGAAGTAGAAATCTGTCGCGTCAAGCGATGTTGTGGATCAGTGCAGATTCACTTCGGGCGAGAAAAATTTGATCAACTTGTTGGACAGCAAAAAAAAAAATCACTTTGAGTACTATCGTGATCATGTCCTCCGGCCGTCGCGAGACTTGTTCTAGTGGCAGTTCCTGACGTCGCGCCGGAATACAACGTAGGGATTAATTTTTCACTCGGAAAGTTCTTTCGATCAACCAACTTCGAGACGACGACCCATAAAGACGCGGCAAGATGCTGAACCAGAAGTACCCCGAAGTTTTAGACTGGGGCAAGTACCTGGAGACGACTTCCACCTGCCGCCGGTTCACCGCTTACACCTGGCCCAAGGGGGAGGGGCATCCCCAACCCAAGAAGAAAACCAAACTCATCGATGAGCCCGTGTACCCTTTCATCGGTCCAAAGTACAAGCTTCCCTGCGCACTCCCGGAGGGGGAAGACCAGATGAGCATGCTGATCAAGTCGCACTGCTCCAGGGACGGGGTGCCCAGCGTGCCGAGGGTAGTACTTCGTTGAATCGTACAACTAGGGGCTCGGACATTTATAATTTTGGCGCAGTTGACGATTTTGTGCACTCATAGTACTCAACACCTCGCTTACTTGCATCTCGTCAACATCGTCCATGAATCAACTATCAATTATGATCGCGATACACAACACCAGGATTCGCGGTTTACGAAGCAAGGCGTGATTAAGGGCTTAATGCAGAAAGTGAGCGCCGCCGACAAACTGGGCCCCGGAGAATACGACGTGATGAAGGAGGATGAGAGGCGATACGGGACCAAGGGATACACCTTTCCGAAGGCCATTGAGACGCCAGACCAGGTTCGGGCGCGCTCGGTGCTGTCCCAAATTCCTCCACCTGGGAGTTACGACGTGCGCGGTACTTCTCACTGCTACAGACCAATTCTCATTTATCGATTTTCATCGAAGTTCTTGCATATGTTCTATTGTCGTCCGTGTACTAAAGCCTCAATTGTTCTCTCCGTGTGTTGTAGCGTCTTATTTCCGAGTTGTGCCGCAACAAACAAAGTTCTCTTCCGGAATTTCGATTCTCCCAAGGAAGCAATCAAAAATGATCCAGGTATTTTTGATTACTCGGACGATGAAGACGACATGTCAACGCTATCGTCGAAGCCCAGCCACGCAACAGCGCAGGATAAGGATTGAGGAGGGAAAAGATGGCCGGAAGAAGGGAAAGTGTGGATAGAAAAAAGAGACATTGACTATCCAACCCAATTCAACGAATAGAGAATTCCAAAAAGGCACTGCTCACCAGTGCAGCCATTTGTTAGTTTTACAGTTTATACTTCTAGGGAGCTTGTAGCAGCGCGCAGTGTAGTAAGTACTATCTGTGCTTGTTCACCAGTGTGGCGATACTGTTCTGATTTTTGTCGAAAGTATTGGATCGTTCCCCTTTCAAGTGTATCTCAGTTGGCAGCTGCTTCGGGAAGATTTGAAAAAAGTTCACGGGCCAAGAAAGCAACAGTGTTCTTCGCCCGGGTAGTTGTGAACAACCACTCATGTCAAGTACTTACTTTTCCTGTCTTTTGTTCGCGGCTCAACATAGATACCGTGCGCAAAGCGTACATCCTCTTCTCGGTTTGCCGGCAAAGAAGTGGTGTTTTTCCGACGCACTGCTTTTGGCCCTGATTTTTTGCCATCTTCTGGCTCCTGTGGTTGTAGTAGTCATCTTTGACCAACAAACTATCTTGCTATTCAAGGCTTGTGACATGCCCGCGCGTCTGTAAAGCAACTGTCCGTAGTAGTTTCGTTGGTGGCGTAAAGTGTTTTTGCGTCGCTGGAGATCTTCCGAATTGACACGACAGACGCAGCACAGAAAGCCTCTTGCTGTAATAAGTTTAGTTCTCCACCCTGTGCAGTATACCTGTTCGCTCGCGTAGTTTATTTTCGGAAGGGAAACAATGTCGACCGCGGTGGCCGTGGCGGCGGCCGTATGCTACGATGAGAGTTGGGCCTGCGCTCTTTCGAGCGTCAACCCTTACTTCTATGCTTACATGGGGGTGGCGCTGTCGCTCGGGCTTTCAGTTCTCGGCGCAGCATGGGGTATGCTAATTTGCAAATTTTTTCTATACTTGCAGTTCTAGTATTACGGGACCCCGAAGACCTATGTGGTAGCAGCGCGGCACCGCAGCCGTAGCAAGACCTGCACATAGCGAATCAGGTATCTTCATTGGTCACATCAGGTATTTTCATCACGGGGAGCTCATTGGTCGCAGCGGGCGTTAAGGCACCACGAATCGCCACAAAAAATATAGTATCGATCATTTTCTGCGAGGCAGTGGCTATCTATGGAGTCATCATGGCGATCCTGATGCAGAACAAAATCTCCGCCGCCACGCAATTCGAAGTATAAACTTTATTGACAGCTGCAGTTTTGGTTTTTCGCAACGTAAGTATTATGCGTCTTACGACGGTCTGCTACACATGCGAAATAAATGCCGCGAGATATAAATTTGAATTCTCACTCACATTCTAGGTCCCAGCGGTACCAACGGGCAACATTGCAACGATTATGGCAGCGGGGTACTGCATGCTTGCGGTGGGCTTCTCCGTCGGGTTCTCGAATCTTTTCTGCGGTACAAATTTCACATGTGATTTGGTAAACAGCTTTGGGTGTAAAAATGTCGTAGCCGCTTCTCCTGCATAGGATATTGCACGGCACGGAATACTCGAATTCCTTTCTGCACCACGACAGCAAAATTTTCTGCAAAACAAGGTATCTGTGTCGGAATTTCCGGAAGTGGCTGTGCGCTGGGAGACGCCCAAAAGCCCGACCTCTTTGTCAAAATGCTCATCATCGAAATCTTTGGAAGCGCTTTAGGTATATTGCCGGTGTTTCACCAAAAAGCGGAGTATGTCTTATACCACTGGTCGTCTTTATTGATGTAATTATGATTTCCGTACAACTTTTCCTTTTGCAGTCATGCGTAAGATCTTTTCGCCAGGCACATTCGTGGGATCTTTCAGCAGAAGAGCCTTCCTACGTATTCTCGCAATTTCCTCCAGGTCTCTTCGGGGTCATTGTTGGGATCATTCAAGTAAACGGGGCCCAATTTCCCAAGTAGGCCGGACCGAGTACCTGGTGTGCAGCCCCGGACAGAGAATGTTGTACAAGAGCGGTTTTGCGCTGCTCGGCGCCAGAATAAGAACAACTTTGCACGTAGTCAGGGCTTCGCACCGCTCGTACTGTTCGATACCGCTTCACAAATCTAATTTTTCACAGAAATACAAGTTCTTCGAAGAATTCGATGCAGAAACAGTAGAAAGATCGCCTGGCAGACGCGGTTTGCACCAGTCTCTGTCGCGTATCGATGTGCAGTAGAGTGAGAGAGAGGCCTTGACCGGTTTGCTTCGAAGCAAGGCTGAGAGGGGCCGCTCCTCGCTCTGTGAACAAGATGAAAGTTGACATCATCGTGCTTGAATTCTTGCCTTGCGTCCTCGCAGCCAAACACTTTAATATGTACTCGGATTGTTCTTCTGATATTGATTTTCGTCAAGTTCGATTGCGGTGCTTTACAGGTGTATGTGGTTGTCCAGAGCGTGGAAAGAAGTACAGGCACTACGTGGCACTACAACTCGTGGAAAACTCCAGCGTTTTTTTCACATTGGGTTTCGCATGTTGCTCTTCGTGAGAAAGTTTTTTGTCGCAGAGAGAAGGATTTTGGAAGAACGTTTCGTAGGAGAAAATTTAGCTTTACTGAACTCGTTGTCGTTGACCGTCGTCAAGAAATAGAACAAAAAAGAAGTAGCAGATGCTGAGACAAATTCCAAAATCATCACTCGCTAATGTTAAAATCATCACCACCACCACCAACCGCAGCTTTTGTTTTTTGCCACTCTCGGCTTTTTTTTTTTCTGCTCGCTCTACTTCCAGGGGGAAGAAAGATAGATCTAAGGGGAAAGAAGAGCAAAACCAAAAAACAGACTAAAAGGGAACAACAAGCAAGACATCTTCTTGAAAAAGGACCAGTGTAACAAGAAAGGTACTGTCTAGGTAACAAAAGAAAGCAGCAAACATGTCGTTGCCGCCACACAGGGAACCGTTCCTGTTGAACAAATTTTTGGACGCGGAGAGCCAGCAGGACTACGAGTTTAGAAGACCGTGCCTCCACTCCAAGAACTTCTGCGACTACGAATTCTTCCGGCGAATGAACATCAAGGACAACTTCGTTGAAGCCCGATTTCCTCGATTCAAACACGCAGACTTCCTGTATTTTATTCTAATACGCATATAGTACCAATGTAGACATGAAGCAGATTCTTGTTTCGGATGAAGATCGGAGCATTGATGTTCATGCGCTCGTGCACACACTGCAACAATTATTTCGCACTGCACTCATGCGCAGCTCGAGCAGCACTTGATATAATAAGTAATTGAAGATGGTTATGCAAAGCGCTAACATGTTATTAATATTAACTCGTGCTGTGCCTTTTCGTTTTCACTAAAGTGAGAACTACGCATGAAAAAAAAATCGACTATCTGCAGGTACAAACTTCCCGACTGCGCCGTGACACAGAGGGATGCAGATGACGCGAAGGAGCGAGGCAGCTTGAGTCCGCGAGGACACGGGCCGGGCAAGACCACCTGGGGCATGACGATCGATAATCACCACTGCCAACAGCGAACGGCGTTTCCCGAGCGCATGCGCGACGTCGAAGGAAACAAGGTACTAGTACATCAACAAACGGGGTGCATTATCTATCACGACAAGAAAAATACTACATATGAAGACCACGACCTCATGCGTGTTGTTTCACGTGGACAATAGTGGAGCTTGAAAATGGAATGCAATGATAATATGCAAAAAAAAAACCACAGGAAATGATGAACAGCGGGCCAGCCGTGTTTAAGACCGTGATGGACAATTTGGCCAACGGTTCCAGGGATCTCAGTTTCCGCCGTCTGCTATCCCACAGAAAAAAGCTGGCAGGTCACAAAAATAAATACACAAAAAAATCCGTATTGCGTATCCTCAACAGCATGCTATGAGGCCGCCCATGACAGATTTTTCTGTGTATTTATTTTTGCATTACAAATATGCCCTGCCAGCTTCTTTCTGTGGGATATCTGCGCTACATGGAAAAGTCCAAGGGCGGCAAGACGTTCGAGACCCGGGCCCGCGACGAGAAATGGAACCGGTTTCGGGAGGGCGCGGGTCCCATATGGATTGCAAATATGTCTGGGTCTGGAAGAGTACAAACTTGCGATGCGCATTTCAGAACACAGAAAAATCTCTCATGCATAGCTAGGTAGCAAAAGCTGCCCACTTTCTGTCACCAAAGTGGAGGACCTGTGATGCGGATTCGGCATTGCGGAAGCTTCTCGAAACCTGTGATGCTAGAGCTTCCATGCCAGACCTTCTGCGTCATGCAAAAACAGCATTACTCTAACTCTTCCAGATCCGCAGACAGTTTTGCATTTGGTATCCCATCACGCGCACCAAATTCCTCAACGTCAACGAGGCCAAGGCACGCTACGGGACTTTTCGAGTGCCAGGTAAAAATTGTGCTCCACAGGATTCCTCATTCGCTCCTTTTCAAGAAGGTTATTCCTGTGGTATTCGTATTTCAGCATAAGTAGAGTTTAATTTTGTTTTTACCTGCTCGGGGATACTGTTGGAGATGGAGATGAAAAAAAATCAGGTGCGAAATCCGTGCCGCAACTGCCTTACTGGTCGGACAGCGGTGAGCAGAGCCGAGTGACCACTATCAAGTGTAAAAGTGTCTGGGTCTGGAAGAAGGCGCGATTTGTGATGCTGCTTTTCCAGGACCCATGAGGTCTGGAATGTCGGACCTAGCATGACAGATCCTGCGAGACCTTTCTCATGCCTATCCTGCATGAGAAACTACCTCCCGAGTTGGTCAAAGTTGGGCGACTTTTGGTAATCATGCAACACAGATTTTTGCATGCTGCAGATTCAGCATGACAAGTTGCAATCTTCCAGACCCAGACATTTTTACATTTGATAACCACCCCGCCGAAGCAAAACGTGCATTAACTGGGTGAGTTCTCGAATCCGGTTGGTGTCAAAGTACATGCAGCATAGAAGGCCTAAAATCTTGTCAATTTTTTATTGTGCTAGGTAAATATGATCACACAGGAAGAACCAAAACCAATTCAAATGTATTGTTGCCATGTCGTCGCTCTGTCTCAGGTAAAGGTAAAGCTACACTAGTCACCATCACCGCCGTAAGAGATCGCTATGGTCCAGTAAGTGCTTATGAAGAAGAAGAAAATTTGGCATGCCAAGAGTGGGAATCAGTTTGGAATTTGCAAAGGAACAATTTTGAAGAGTTTGAATATGAGTCGATTACAATAGGTGTTTTTAGCACGTTGCATAGGCTACATAGGTTTACAACTGTATACTATTTTTGAATCAATCAACTGTAGGATCCTTTTAACACTGTATCTAATGTTTGTACTTTACAAAGTTTTCTTTCACAAATGTCATTTGCGTCGGGGCCTTACCGCAGTCACGAAAAACACGAAACACTTAAAATACGAGCAGCTTGCGCACCACGAATAAAACCGTTACTACGAGGCGTAGCGGGCGGCTGAAAAGAGCAAGTGAGAACGGCAGCGAATCGGACAAGGCTTTTGACTTTGTAATTTTTATGGGAAAAGCAATTTGTTACTGGAGCGCCACAGCCAAAATAACGAGCAGTCTACGCTACATGCGTCTACTATTAGGGTGTCAGCTTCAATGATGTCTGTATCTGTTCTCTGGGCTGCAAATAAAACAAGCATATTTATATACAGTAGTTCTTTCGTCGCACAACTTCGTGGAATTGCAGCGCATCATGCTCACGGGGCCTGGGATTTAGCAAAAGAATCAATATACATGGCTTGACGTGCTTTTCAAATTTGCGCTTTTTACATCGGTGGCGTCGTCGTCGTGAATATGGGGGTCCGTCGTATCGTCTGTATTGCAGCACTTTCCAGTGTACAAGTCGCTGTCACAAAAAAAAGCTACGCTTTTCCGTACAAAGAAGCATTGCCACCGCTCTCCTTTTTCATCGATCTGGATTTTTCATTCTGTTTCACAATTGTAGCCCGGATGCTTTTTTTTTCGCGGTTAAATATTGAGCATTACTTATTCTGCACGAATTTGTTTTATCGCATCCCGAGCTTGAGATCCAGTGGTGTATTACACAAACAAGTACCGACGAAGCAAGACAATTTTGTGTTGGCGCTTCAGAACATCAGAAAAGTTTTTGTGCTTCTTTGAGACACCAGAATGTCGCGCGTTGGGTTGGCCAACTTCAAGCTGCAGGCGGCAGTGCCAAACCAGCACGACAAGGTATGGAGGGAAGGCCTCAACCGTGAACAGTGGGACCACCTGTATCATGCCATGCGCGTCGAGGATCCGAAGAGAAAATACACCTACAAGTACTATGTTCCTTAAAAATTACACAACCTGTCATCATGCGTTTTTACTGTTCACCCTCAGATGTAATAAATAAAACCCGTTCTTCTTGCAGTCTGTGACCTATGCGCTGCAGCAGGGCGGCTTTGGTCTGCGCATCTATTGCTGTATCATACCTGCGATAAAATTCTTATTTTCAAATTGAAAGTGACCAGAGGTGGAACTACCGAAAAAAAAAAACACACACACACACACGACAGGTCAGCACAAACGGAAGGGAAGGACAAATTCGCAAAAACATGGCACATCATGAGCCACATCCACAGCTCCGCCGCCGGCCAAGGGTCATACCACTACAACGTGCAGAAACCGGTGGGAAACGTGCAGGTTTGTTATTCTACCCAGGTTGTATGTACTTGATATCTGACTGTATGTGTAGAAGAAATCTTTGACGCGAGAATTTTTCCAAGAGGTATGCATTTTCGAATTCTCTAATGAAAATTACAAACCATGAGATTTTTTTTTTATCTTTTCAAACACCGTACTGTTTAGAATTCTTTAGACACTGGCGGCAGAAAATGAAAAAAATCAACGATAAAAATCGACAAAACGACACGGACACCAGTGCTACTTCCCCTCCGCGTCCTTCTCCTACGTGCCGCACGTAACGGACAGCGAGAACGCCGAGAACCGGCAGTTGCTGAAGCAGACAGCGTTGTTTGAGAACGCGCCCCAACCGCAGGGGTTGTCGGACTACATTCTGAGCAGGAAACACAAAGACCAGCTGTGGAACCACTCACGGGGCGCGAAGGTGGACAGCCGGGGCGCGAAGGTGCGGTCCGTCTCGCTTCGCAACCTTGGCTACGACAAGTCGACCTACAACGAGGCGTACTACAGAGAGGGGCTCTTCAACTCGGACTCCCGGAACCTGCACGACGGCGGCGTGCAGGAGGCGAGACTAGCGCAGCCAGGCAGCCTGCTGCTGAACCACACGCACCCCGCGGACGGGCGGTTCCAGCCGGGTCCCTGGACACGACCGCGAACGATGGGCGCTACGGGCAGCAGCATCAACGTCGCAGGAGCAGCACAGCCCTCCAGCGCCGACCACCGTCCCGCGACGACCGGCCAGCACAACGCATCACCCGCAAAGTCACAGCACTCCAGCACACCGCAGGTCGGGGACCAAAACCACTTGCGACTCGCGTCCACGCACAGCGGCGGGTTTTTCCGCGACGCGCACGGTGCCCAGAACGCCTACCGCAACGACGTGTACGACAGCACGGTGGGCCGATTCGACCAAATCCGGGACAACAAGTCCGAAAACGGCTCCCACCGGGGCCACAAAACCTTCATGGACGTGAAAAACGACCCCTCCGTCACAAACCCGAAGATAAGGCACTCCTACTCACTTGGCTGTTTTTGCTTACGTCGATGATGATTATGATTACTAACGATATGTTGAGATCTTTTTGCTGTAGTACGTACTAAGTACGTAGTTGAAGGTACTTGTGTCGACGTTTTGCAGTGGTGCGTCTTGCGTGTCATGTGTAGAAATTGTCAATATCCAACACAGGTATTCTAAGACAGTGTCGGGACCGTTCTTCCAAGCGGGGCGTGAACAGGAGCGCGCTACGAACAACCGCACTGCGGCGGGACCGCTGAACTCCTTCAATAAGCGTACTCGGCAGCACCCACCACGGTATACTGCTCTTGTCGGATACGATTCTATGCGTAGCATCGCGCGCAGGTCCAGTTGTGGCCCTGTATTCAGATCGAGAATAGGTGTCATCTGCCGATTAGCATTGCAATAGGACTCGTCATGATGAAATTTTTTGCTACTTGTCTAGCTACGCACACGTAGAAAATCACCACGAAACTACAGGTACGAAACGACGGATCGTGACGTACCCGCAGCGCGCGCTCGGCGAACAAATCAGCCCAACGCACCGAGCTTCCAGCGCGTCTACGCAGTGTAGGAGAGTCGTGATGCGAGCCTGTGGTCTTTCGACGAGCGATAAAGGTCGGTCCGGAGGAAGAACAATACCAACTTTATTCGAAACTTCAGGGAAGAAAAAGAAGGTTACAGTTGAGTTTTCGTGTTGAAATATTTATCACATTTTTGGCCGAGAAGGCGTGACGCTACTACAGATCATATGCCTTGATTTTACTACTACATTACAACAACTTTTCACAGTCAGTACAAATCTTTCAGATTTATTATCATCAGAACCAGACAGCACCAATCGGAGAGCAGCAGTGCTGCCTTCGCGGTTGAAAAAAACAAAATGTACCATCTTTTCGTTTGTGACACTACATTTCTAGAGTTGATGCATCCTGTGCTTTTATTGGGTCATTGTCACCTTCTGACAACGCTATTTGTAAAATTGTTTTCGCGTCGAATCTTGTTTCACTCCAAGTCGTATAATGAGAAAAATGTACTCTAAGTCGCGCTCTGCCCGACGGCTTCGGGCAGAACCAACTGTATTGGAAACAGGAAGCCAACTATCGACGACGCTTTTGAAGATTTTGTAGCAGAGAAAATCAAACACCGCAGCGAATTTTTGCCGAAAAGAAAAAACGCTGCCCTGCAGGTTGGTGCCTGAAGTTTTCCTGTTTTCGTCGGGGTCCATCTAGTGGAGGATCCAAAACGGCTCCAACGAAAAGCCGAAGCTTCTCTTCGAATACGATCGAACATTTCATCGCGTGTAAGTAGTACGCATCCACCCGTTCTTCCCAGCCAATAGTACTGCCAGGCTGCTGATATCTTGGCCAGCGTCCTGGCCGTTGGTCGACAGTCATCAAACCGTAGTTTTTGTGTTTGTAGAGTTCTTTCAATAACGATTTTGAAAAAGCTCACGCGCTTTGCATACAACTCTAATATCAGTAACTCGGAGGCTTGTTTAAATGTGAAGACCTAGCTGATGCCATGGTGCTGATTGTGTACGCCCTGATTTCCCGTGGCGAGATATCAAAAGTAAAAATGTCTGGGTCTGGAAACTTGTGATGCTGGGTGGCGTCTCATGATGAGGCTACGAATGCTGGCTCAGCATGACAAGTTTCTGAGCTCCTAGGTGTTGCCTATTCTGCATGACAAACTGCGGCGCTGCATCACAGAAAAACGGAGCTCTTGGATAATGTGCATGACAGATTTAAGAGTCATACCAGACAAGCATGACAGACATGAATTCTTCCAGACTCAGACATTTTTACATTTGGTACGAGACCGTCCTGTGCGAGAGCAGCCTGGCTTCGGGAAACTTTCCGGAAGTGACCCGCTCACTGCTTGCAAAGGTTTTCGCATCATGGACTGCTGGTGTACCTGGCGGGGTCGGGGGGGGAGGAGGACCGCAGCTTGCCAGTGGCGGGAGCAGTGGGTCAACGAGCGGACGCACCATTATCCCACCGGCCCAGGGGGAAGTGAAGCGACTGTCCTACTTGTACGACCAGTGGCTCTTTCACTTTGTGCTCGACAACCAGTTCTGTTTCCTGTGTCTGGCGGAGCGCGAGGCGGGCAGAAGAATACCCTTCACGTTTCTGGACCAGCTAAGGACAGACTTCAGAACAAAGTATCAATCTCTGATGCAGCTGCTGCCCTCTTGTTCTGTAGTACTGATTAGAAGATGACAGCGATCATGTTTACTACTCGTATCGTTCTTCGTGTTTTGTTCCGTGAAATAAGAAACTGAACTTGCTTCTTCTCCAAAAAGGAATTGGGGTTCACCCGTCGTTAAATTCAAAAAAAAACACAGAACTGTTCAAAATGCGAAACAAAGGTTTTCACCCCTGTTTCTGGACCGCCGCGCCTCCGCCTGGGACAGTAGCAAATTGCAGACGGCCTTTGGCCCCGACCTGCACCAGCTTCTCGAATACTACAATTCCACAGACGCGGACGCGATCCGCCGGGTGCGCGGGGAAATCGCCGATTTGCAAAATGTGATGGTGGATAACATCGAGAAAATTCTTTTGCGGGGCGAGAAAATCAATCTCCTGGTCGACAAGACCGCGGAGCTGGAAACGAACGCGGTCGTGTTTCGTCGGGACGCGGCTGAGCTGCGACGGATCATGTGGTGGCGAAATTGCAGAATCGTGGTGAAACTGACATTTCTGATCCTGCTACTCATTTTCCTCGTCATCTGGTACGAATGCGGATTCAAATTTGACAAGTGTTGACAGCGGTGTGAAGAAAGCTGCCCCAGTAGATAAGCGGGCGTGGTTCCTGCAGAAAGTTAATGCTGGAGATGAACGTGCGGCTCCGGGTCCGGTGCATGACGTTGTTGTAGCGACGAGAAAGTGGAGAGCAGTATCTTTCTGATTGTCCAAAGCTCTACTGGCAAATGCAGATCATCTTGTCGTGCCATCGAATTACTCACGCCAGAAGGGAGGATCTTACTTTGCGGCTACGGCCATGTCGCCCGAATTTTGTCCAATGCTCGAGGCTTTTTTGACGTTCCTGTTTCTTTTCATTCGATCTTGCGTTTCTTTTGACATTAGCGGAGCGCAAACGCCGCGAGATCCATTGGACCATTTCATCTAAACCGCTTTTCTTGCGGCGTGGCCGCATTTCAAGTTTTTTTTGGTTACCGTCGCGTAAGCGATTAAGTTAGCATATCGATATTACCTTCTGAGTAAGTACACCCTGCGACAATTCCAGTCGCCATCGCGGATGTGCCCATGACATTCATGAACATTCGGCATTTTGTTTAAGCTCTGTTTTTCTGTAGTCGTTTTAGACCCTCGTCTACCAGACCAGAAAACGATGGACGCAATGTCGCGCGGGCGCAGTTGCACGCGGGCTGCAGGCGATTTGCTCCGGCGGTCCAAGACCGGCTCCGTGGCGGTGCTCCTGCAGCGACAAATTTGCAGTGCGACGATGAGTACCAGCAGCACTTCTACGTCCAGGTGTTCGTCGAGGACTACAACTCATGCGCCGCCGACCCCGTCTTCTTCCTCCACAGCGGCGGCGCGTGTCAGCACCACCTTGCCCCACCGGGTCCACAGACGGACGATGTCCCGCACAGACCATGATAGGCAGCAGGTTCGGAAAATCTCGTTCGCAAATGGCGACCCCTTTTCCGCGTTCGGCGGCCAATTTGGCGGGTTCGGCGGCGGGCGCGGCGGTGGGCCTGGGGGGTTCGGCGGGAATGGGAATGGCAACGGCCGCAGCCCCCCGGCTACGAAGAAACTGTACGAACTGCTGGGCGTGTCAGAAAACAGCACGGAAAAGGAGATCAAAGTAAGACTCAGTTGTGTTTTTTTTCCTCGTCGTGTGGGTGTGGGTGTTCTTGTTTCCACGGCGACTGGACTTTTTTGATAGTGGTAAAAGTGCTGCCCGATCAAATACACGTGGCGGAGGCTGTCTATCGGTCGCGGTTTGAAGCGAATTTTTGACGAGCAGGCAGAAGTAGAACTAGAAGACAGAGACTGGTGTCTTCAGACATACACGACAAATAACAAATGACAGGCTGCGTACAAGAAGAAGGCGCTGCAGTTTCACCCGGACCGGGGCGGAAGCGAGGAGCAATTCAAGGAGATCTCGAAGGCCTACGACGTGCTGTCCAGTCCGGAAAAGAAGAAGCTGTACGACGTGTACGGCGATGCGGGACTGGAGCAGATGGAGCAGGGCGGCGCTGGCGGGGGGCCCGGGATGGGCATGGCCCAGGACCCGTTTGACATGTTCCGGGACATTTTCGGGCAGGCCGCCGGCGGCCAGATGCGCACGCGAAGGACGCAGGACATTGTGCAGAAGGTGCGGCTCTCCCTGGAGGACATCTACAAGGGCGTCACCAAGGACTACCAGCTGCAACGGCACGTGTTGTGCGAGTTCTGCGGCGGCCACGGCGGTAGCGAGGTGGTGGCCTGCAACCAGTGCGGCGGGGTGGGACGCATCGAGCAGCAGCAGCGCATGGGGCCCTTTGTGCAGTTCGTGCAGACAGAGTGCCCCAAGTGTCGAGGTACTGCGGTGGAGGTTTTCAGTAGAGAAGCTGCGGAAGTACTCATTTTTTGCAACGTGAGGGTGAGATGGCTGACAGTTTTCTAACGTTTCCAGGACAGTGAAGTAACAGCAAGACGTAGAAGCCAAAATTTACACCGGTCAAATCATATTTGGTGTGCTGCTCGTTTCATAACACAGGCGCCGGCATGATCGTGCCTCCGGGGAAGCAGTGTCGCCCCTGTCGCGGGAAGGGCATCGTGGAAAAGAAGGAGTTTTTTCAGATTCACGTCCCACCCACTGCAACCACCGGCTACGTGCAGAAGTTTCAGGGTAAGGCCGATGAAGCGCTCGGCTTTGAGACGGGCGACCTGGTTTTTGTCGTGGAAGAGCAGAGGCACGCGACGTTCCACCGGGTCGGGCAAGATCTCATGATCAAAAAGTCGCTCCCGCTGCAGGACGCACTCTGCGGATTCCGGTGAGATAGTTAGATTGATACATTATGCCGACTCGGTTACTCGCTAAGCGTATGCATAGATATAATGCGCTTATTTATTTTGCGGCAATACCCGAGGCGCTGTGGAAATGATAATGAACGCAATATTTCATTCTTAGGAAACTGTTTTCTGCCAACATTGATTTCTTGTCTGCCAGGTTCAAAATCCGGTTTCTGGACGACGAGGACGTGATCCTGGAAAGCCAGCCGAACCAGGTGGTGAAGCCGAACGACATATTATGCAAGAAAAAAACTGTGTAAGTGTAAATTTGTGTTGCAGAAGATGCAACAGAGTTCCACTAGTCATGCCAGACAGCCATGAAGTCCTCTTTTCATGTGTGTTTTCCCTTACAAACCATGCATGACAGGATTTCTCTGTCATGTAGAGCAAATTTGTGATGCTGTTCCTCGAAGAAAGTTACACTTACACACTTTTTTTCGTGGATACATATGGCGCATACCTGGGAAGGGCATGCCGACTTCCAACGGGACGTTTGGGGACCTGATTGTGCGTTTTGAAATTTTGTTCCCGAACACGGTGACGCCCAACTCCCGCGACGCTTTCTCCAAGCTCGGACTCGACCGTAGCTTCTTCTACGCAGAGAACGGCAGCGCGCCAGCAAGTGCAAACGAGACCACGACGACTTCCCCCGCCGGCGAAAGTAACGGCACGACGGGCTCTGCGGGTGGTCCGTCGACGCACCGCGCCGAGCCTTTGGACAGGCACGCGAAAGATCAGCTTCTCGAACGACTACAGCGCCAGAAGGATCGGTCGCAGTCCGGCCAAGCCGGGGAGCAGCAGTGTCAAATGATGTGATGTTATTTGAAATTATGCAAAGCGTTTTTTGTCTTCTCTTTGTCTTTAATCACGAGAAGCTCGTTGTGATAGAGTGAGATTCTCTAACACGACGCGAGGCAGCTCCAGAAACCAATATCCAACGGAAGATGAGTCCTTTCGTAAACAAGTTCTTGCAGTGCCAGTATGAATACTTATTTTCCTTTCAACACCCTCGACCGAGAAGGCGTACGAGTTAATGATGTGCTTTATTGGAGAAGCTTCTTGTTCTGATTGTTCTTTATTCCTCGTCGACGCCTCGCCTATCGGTTCTGCACAAGCGCTGCTCAGATTCGATTTCGTCGTAATAATCACGGAGAGTAAAGATCGTAGTAGAACGGGGCAAGGATGTAGTAGACATATTTTGTCGTTGGGGGAAGATGAAGATCCTACTTGTTCCTGAGATCTAGGACTCGTGGTTTCGTGCGCAGCTCGTATTTGTTTCTGCAGTAAGAACACCGAGAGAATCGTGGAACAATTGTCGAAACGTCATTTCCGCATTCAAATAGTACAACTTTTTCGTCGATTCCGGGGGTTTATTGCGTATTTGTTTTTGTCGCTTGTTGTTTTTGTTAACCACAATATTGTAAAAGTTGCGATCAACTGTGTAGGACCAGTAGGGAAGTGGAGTTTTTTTCCTACCCCCGAGCCGCTTTCTCGACATTTTCGGAAGGCGGCTCGCTTAGAACAGTTGTGAATGTATGAACCGTATAAGTACGACCCTATTGTACAATAAGTTTCATCTCCACCCAGCACAACTCCACACGACCATTTCCGAGCCTATCTTGAAATAGTAAGACAAAACAAAAACTCCACTTCCGTTTCACCATGCCAGAGAAGACAAAGTCTCCCCCGGAGACGAAGAACAGTCTCGATGGCGTCGTGGAGGCCACAGGCGGGTTGGATGACCCCGGCCTGTCAGCTGCACTGTCGGGAAACCTGAAAGAGACGCCGCGAACGAAAGAGGCCCTGAAAAGATGCGGGGTGCTGATGAGCGAGCTGAAAATCAAGTCCTTTCAGGATTTTCACCGGCCAACGGTAGGAATGCTTGGTTTTCAAGTTTTACGTAGTGTTTCTTGGGCTCGCGAAGACAGTGTGTTTCGTGTCAAGCCCATCATTCAGATGTGGCATTTCTATGTAGCGATGAACTTCTTTTTGGGAAAGCAAAAAATACAATTATCAAACGTACTTCACAGGACACCATCGAGAAGCAGCGCCTTCGATACAACCACTACGAAACGAGAAGGCAGGCCAAGCTCAGTCTCGTCCTACAGGAAAGGGCAAAGGTGTTTTTTTTGCTGGTTCTAATTACATGCGTAGCTAGTAGTCTCTGCCTCGGAAGAATGACTCACGCGCGAGTCTTGTGAAAAACTCGAAGCACTTTTGTCACAAATTGAAACTTACTATGAGGTCTTCGTCGAAATGACGAAAAAGCAGACGGAAGGGAACTCAAACGTAAAGAGTTATCAGGGTATGCACATGCTGGAGCAGTTGCTTGACGCCGAAGCCGGGCGATTGGAGGGCGAACTGAAGCAGCAGCTCAGGTTTTTTTTTGAGTTTGTTTCCGCTCCTTTGCGTGGTTGTAGAGTAGATTCCGAAGAATGAATGTTGAGAGCCATTTTCGGATGTGGTAAAAAAGCAGAAACACCATCTCCCCCTTCCAACCAGGTATCATACCGTGGTAGAAAATGAGAACAAGGAGCAACTTGAAAAGGAGCAAGCTTTGCGAGAAAAGCAGAAAAAACGAACAGAAAAGAGCAACCTTGTGAAGGAAGAGAAGGCCGCCCGAGTAAAGCAGAATGCAGTGGGTAACGACGCCAAATTGGAGCACTCGAGAAAGATATTAAAAGACATCAAGGTAGGTCTACTTTCGTTTTTCTTTGTTTCGGGGATTGCTAGCTGGTTCCCGGAACAACGCCGTCTGGGCTAGACTAGATCCAACGAAAGGAAAAGTCAAAAAACCTACATCAAAACAGCAAAACCACGAGGCCAAATGTGCGAATTTCCTGTCGCACGTGCTAGAGACGGAAGTCAGAATACGGGAGTTTCGGGCGTCGCAGAGCGGGAGAAATTTCGAGAAGAGCGAGGCATGGAAGGGCAAGGTCGCGAACATACAAAAGAACTTCGAAACCATCCAAGAAGAGCGCATGATCCATGGGCTCAAGCAACTGAAGAAAAAGGAAGCGAAGTTCGCCCTGAATGACGTACTCCTTTAAGTTGTCGTGCTGCTTCCACTGCTGATGTTGTAGTTTCACTCTCGTTGTCGGACGCTTCCTTGTACGTCTTTGCAAGTAGTTTTTTTTTGATGCCTTTCAAAGAATACGATTGTCGCGTTTTTTAAGAAATTGTCGTGATAAAGTATTTATTTGATACGTTATTTGATAGTCAATTGCAATTCAACATAACAGGAAAAGAAGAAGCGGGAGGTGGCCGCGAACGAAGTCCGAAACGCCGAGAAGCAGCTGCGAGTCATAGATGTGCTGGACAAAAAGCACCGAATAGACCGACAGATCGAGGCGCGCAATGATCGGGTATGAGGACAGCACCTGTAGTTTTTTCATGATAAAGGATGAAGTATGATCATTTATTTCCAGGAAAAGGTATGTTACTATGCGAAGCGATAAAGTTTTTAGCTTATAAAAAAAACAAAAAAATTCCTAGATGCGGGAGGAAGCGACTCACGCGCACAGCAGGATAACGACGCTTTTGAATCTTAAGGACCAGATCGTGAAGCAGAGAAAAGCCCGTATCTTCCAGCAGAGCGCACTCAAGGGCCGCGCCTTGAACATCAAAAACATCCCAACGGGGCCCGGGCAGTACTATTTTATCGTTAGTGCTTCTGCTACTAATGGAAATGGGAGTGCTATTAGCTTTCGACGTCGATGCACGTTCTGCAAATTCAGGATGGCAACATCCCAGATAGGATGGCTGTGCAAAGCTAGCTCTCTGTACTTCTGGGCAGTCATGATACTTGAAATTGAAAATTGTGGCGCGACAATTGAATCGCCACCGCCTACACGACAGGTACGACATCGATCGCGACCGCGTGTTGCGTGAGCAGCCGGTCCCCCGCATGCCGCTTCCGCCCAAGAACCACGAGGGTGGCAGCCTGTTGCTGAGCTCGACCGGACCTCCGCCGGGGAGCTACGACGTGCAGCTGCTGCCCGACGGGAAGCGCATCGACACGGCGGTCAACCGCACTGTGATCTTCACGAAGGGGTCCGTGCCAAACTTTATCGAAGACAACGTACGAAAGTTCCGCGACAACCCAGGGCCGGGAACCTACAAAGTCGCGGGATCAGGTACTTACTTACTTCTACAGGGTAGTTTTACGGCGGTTCGTGTCGAAATATAGTTGGGTGCTGGAAGAAGTGCTTGATATTTTTCAACACAGCTTGGTTGTCTGGAAAAATTTGCAGGTCACTAAAAACATGTGTAAAAAATTCGTCTTTCAGGTATCGACGAGAACGCGCCTACGGCGGTGATCCGCCCCGATATGGTCAAGGCGGAAAACAAGGGTGGCGAGCAGCTCTACGTACCCCCGGCCTGGGCCGAGGACTTTGCGAAGACGCCCGGACCGGCAGCGTATCTGACGGACAAATTTCTCCGGGACGAGGAGTCTTCCAAGCGCATGGAGACCATCCCGAATCTCGGCAAAGCCATCGCGTTGCAGAAGTAGAAGTCAGGGACCAGGGGAGAAAAAGTCTTTGTATCTTTCTGCTCTCGCGGGCTTTCGACGTTGTGTCGACGGTTCGTCGTCGTCGTCGTAGTTTTCGAACTCTATAGTTTTATAGCCTTGTTTCTTGATGAATGATTATCCAAATGAACAAAAAATTTGCACAAAAGTTGTCAATCGTCTTTTACAATGAACGTCTAGTTTGCGTGCAGGGAATTTCTACCAGTGTACCAAACTAATCGAAAGTATTGCGTTTTATGCAAAAATGTTGAACTAGTTCACCGATTTCCGTTTCAATAAATCCACACTATAATGCGAGCTGCTGCGTATCACGTTGGTATTGCAATTCATCAGTTGTTGTACGGTAAACAGTAAATCCAAATGATGGCATGAGAAAATTCTAACTCGGATGATCGTGGAAATGATAATGCGACAGACAAATAAATTGTATGCTACGTGATCTTGGCTCCGATGTACATGATGAGAAAAAGAAATGGTGCTCGCTCGGACAAGATCTGGAGCTCTGTGAAATTTTCACGAAGTGAACAAATCTTTTTTGTAGTAAAAGAAGATGTTCATCAAGAGCTACTTGGTTGAGTAAATGCAACCAGAAGAAGTGATCTTGTTTGGCAAATAGAGCGCTGAAGCAGCAGCAGAGCGAGCGACCTTTGTGAGCATATCTTCGAAAGAACGCATCCGCCCCCGCGACAAGAATGTGCACCCACTGTAGGTAACGACAACATGATTTACCAGTGCACTCCGGCCAGGGGAGGTTTCGGGGCTTTTGAGAAGCGGTCTCAATGCGCGGGTCTGAAGAAGCGGGAACCAAGCTCCCCACTGGCTCACTGCAAGTGGGTTGTCCTGGCTGCCATGCGGCAAATGGGCGAGCAAGAAAATCACAGCGAAGCATCCACTGCTAACAACCAATCGGCAAGTGCGTTGCACCCTGCTGCCCGGCAGCAAAGGGGTCCAGAGATACGCAGGTATCGCTTTGCTCCCTGCTGCCCAGCAGCAAAGGGGGCCAGAGATCCGCAGGTCTCGCTGAGGATGATGATGATCATAGCTCCCCACTGGCTAGCTGCCAGTGGGCTGTCCCGGCTGCCATGCGGCAAATGGGCGAGCAAGAAAATTGCGAACAAGCTCCCCACTGGCTAGCTGCAAGTGGGTTGTCCCGGCTGCTATTTGGCAAATGGGCGAGCAAGAAAATCATAGCGAAGCATCCACTGCTAACAACCAATCGGCAAGTGCGTTGCTCCCTGCTGCCCAGCAGCAAAGGGGTCCCCAACTTGCGGATGATGATGATCGCAAATCTTCCTAGCCACGCTAGGGGTAATACTGGAAAATGCTTGTGGGGTGAACAGCAACAGGCGGGCGCTCAGGCGAGCTGAGCGAGCCCTAGGCCCACTTGCGAATGATGATGATCGCAAATCTTCGTAGCCACGCTAGGAGGAATACTGGAAAATGCTTGTGGGGTGAACAGCAACAGGCGGGCGTTCAGGCGAGCTGAACGAGCCCTAGCCCCACTTGCGGATGATGATGATCGCAAATCTTCCTGGCCACGCTAGGAAGTGTTACAGAAGATGGCTCTGGTGGGAACAGGAGCTCGCTTTTGTGAGCCCCTGCACCAGAGCTGGATGATGATGATCGCATAAGCGCTTGCCGCTAGGCTCGCCGAAAAATTGAAATGAAAAAGATGCCTTCGTACCAAGAGCATCGAGGCCGTGTCGGGTCAGTCGGTTGCAGGGGCCACGTGGGGCCGGTCGGTGGCGTGGTTGAGCTCGAGCTTTCTTTTCCATCTTTGCTTTAATCCTCTTTTTCTTTAGTTTTTGTGTTGGGTTTCGGTGGGTGATGTTGGGGTTACGCTGCGGGGTGCACATATAACATCGTACTTGGCCGCCTCTGGTAGACTTTCGACACTTTTTCGGTGTGCATTACTTTCCATAGAAAAATATGCTATCTGCATCCCTTCACAGTGTAGTAAATTGGTATTGGTGTAGTAAAAAATTGAGTAATTGTACTAGTGGTTGCATTTTGCAGTAGTTTGGATTTTCCAATTGCCAATTTGCGTAGATGATGACGGTCCCGGCGGTCCCTTGACGTAATTCCTTAGCGTTTGCCCTTTTGAGGTTATTACCTCTCTACCTCTTCCGTGTGTAGCTCTCACTTATGCCTCGTTCGTGTGTAGCTTCTTGTGTCACTGATTTTTGGTAAATAACTTGTTCTCGCACTACTTAGTTGCACCTGAATACATTCTACTATGCTGATCCTACCAAGTAGTTTATTCGAAACTTCTTCTTGCTATGTATTTAGAATTTCAAATTTACGACGTCAAGGATAGCCGCGACCGCTAAACGAATTCGAGGGTATCGTGCGGCCTACCTTCTTTCACGAACGTCCTCGTTCTGGTGTCCGCCCCGCACGGGAGTTAGGCACAGAAGACGGAGCTGCGATTTCCGATCTCGACATCGAGCTCTTTTGCGCGAAAAGCTTCTTGGGTTCTGCGACAGTAAAGTGAGTGGTTGAAGAAGATTGCGCCGGTGTTCCGCATCGGACAGACGCGGGCGCCCTCCGCGGCCCGTTTGGCAACTACTGACGTGCGCATGTTGGTGACCCGGCTTGGAAAAACGGCCCGATAATGCAGGGTGATGGAGCTGCGCCTGCGACTAAGGAAAACAGCAACTACGGAGTTGTCCTCACTTCGCCTTCAGACAATTGTACTACTGAAACTCGCATTCTGATTTATGTGCCGCCCACTTGACAGCTAGAGACACACGTGAAGGCGCTCCGAGGAGGTGATTGGAGCGTGTTTCGGGAGCCACTGCTGGACTTAGTTTCGTGACTGTAATTTGAGCCTATCGGTTTGTAACTACAGCGGCTTCCTTCGATATTGCAGAGGTCCACCACACACGTACGAGCAGACGGTGATATCACGAAAAAAAGAATATTGGAGTGCAGATCACTTAGCTCACACTGAAAGAACTGCAGCGGGTGATCAGGGAGCTTTGTGTCGATGTAGAGGGCTCCCCGTGCGCGGGTGTTTTTTGACCGGAGAAGAAACGGGGGCGGTAAGGCATGCCAATAGGTGCATCGCGATCTCGGAGATACGCTGTGCAATAGAGCTTCTACACGGCGGGCTTTCGCCGAGGCATTTGCGCCGAGGATAGAGACCGAGGTCGTCCGGGTCCGGTGCGGGGATCGGGCCGAGAAGAGCGCGGAATTGAAGCAAACTACGGCAGATCATCCGTGTTCTGGTAAGCAGGATTGTCTTGCGCTTCTATCAGACAAGATTAGAATGCCTGCGCCAGCAGCAGCAGAGCCAGCGACTCAGGGCCATGAAGACTGCATTGACGAAAGGCGAGCCGGCGCGCATGTTGGCGACGAGGGAGTATCCGACCCCACCCAGGATTGTGAATCTGGCGACACGAGTGACGAAGATGATGTAGGGAACGAGAGCGGACGTGGTTCGCCTTCTCCGGTTTCCGAGGATCACAATGCTTCGCTTGAGGATGGCCTCGAGTCGGAGCGTCCGGAAACGTCCGAATCCGATGAGGACTCGAACGCGGACGCGGATAGCACCTCGTCAGACGACGAAGATTCCACTGACGAAGAGACCCAGGCGGACAAGGACTTTATGCGCTCGCTGCGAGTCGATGAGGAGCCAGATTTTGTACCGGATCCAGATTTGCCCGCGCTCGTCCCTGGAAATTCCACCTACAACGGACGTGTACCCGGAAGGCCGCGCACTCTTCCGGGAGCGGAAAGCGAGAAATCGCACGAGGCACAGAACGACTTGGCGGAGCTAGCAGAGGTGGAGGGCTTTTTCGATGTACCTGGGAACCCGCAGCCGGAGCATGATTTTCAGGAGGACCTGTCACCCATGACATTTATGCGAGACGCGGTGGCTGCAGGTATCTTCGATGACAAAAAGACCGTGGAGAAGATGGCGCTTGTTGTGCAGAAACTTTCGTACGAAAGTGACGTCCTCTCTTATTTGGATGAGAAGAACGGAAAGACCGAACGGGAGAACATCGCCAAGAAACTGCAATCCGTTACCCTCGAGGACCACGTTCCAGATCGCCCGTATTTCTATTGGCTCTACAAGGCTGCGCACTGTGAACAGTTGACGCGAGAAAAGATAGTGTCGGAAATCACCAAGAACAAGCGAGCGAGGTACAAGATTCGCAGAGATAGGCGAGGGCCGGTTCACGAATGCTTCACGTACAAGCCCGTGCGGCCATTCGTGTGGCAATACAAGTTTGCCGACGGAACTGAAGTGGAACCCCCCAAGCCAGCGCCCGATGGTGGCCTGGAGGGCAGCGACGCACCGGTGGAGGGAGGGCCGGAGGTATTTCCCGTAGCTGTTTTTTTTTGCTGGCGCTTTGACATGAGTAGAGGGAGCAGGACCTGTAGCTGCCTTGTCTTTGTAGTGTACGCAAATGCTAACTTCTATTTTAGCTGGTGACTGTGCTCATTTAGATTTTCATTTTTCCGGCTGCCACGTACCACAGCTCTCAGTTCAAGCCTTTTTGTCACGGAAGGTCCTTTGGGAATCCAACCTTGAATCTGAACAAGAACAAACAAAAATTTACGGGATCAGGAATCTGTGGCTGCGGAGAGTGATTCGCTTGAACGTGACATCGCTATCAGTGCATCGGCAGACGAGGCGAAGCTTGACGACGAAGACCAAAATCCCACCGGGCCCGAGACAGAGCAAGAAAATCCATATCCGGACGAAGTAACAGAAAGTAATCCCGAAGCGGACTTTGCAGACGAAGCAACAGAAAGCAATCCAGGCGACAAGCAAAAGAACAAAAAGGCTTCTAAACTGGAGAGTGCTGGTTCAACGAAGCCTTTGGAGTTTGCTGTTACGAAGCCACGACGGCAGCACGACCGAAGCTGGATTTTTGTGATCCCCGAAGACGATCTTGCCTACGCGTTTTTCGAAGCTGCCAAAACAGGCTCGGAGAGGACTGTGCTGAGTTTGAAAATGCGGCTTTGCCACAGAGATTTCAGAATCCACGGAGGTGTTTTATTTTTGCTGATGTATTATACTAAGACTTACAAATATTCAAATGGATGGCCTCACTGTTGGTCATGTGATCTATCCCCCCAACTCAATGGTCTGAAGCTTCGAAAGATGGCCCTGAAGTCCTCTCTCTCACTTTGTACATGAATGGAAATCCAGATGCCCACCCTTTTGTCCACGCTGTTGTTTGGGTCCAGGGGGATGAACGCAGAAAATGCTTCAACCCCAAGGGGAGGACGGAGTTTTCGCCCACCTCCCTGAAAAAGGGAGAGCAGGAAATAACGACGGTGGTGCTTGAACCTTTATGAACCTGTCCAGGATGCAACGCAGCTAGAGGCTTGCGCCCTGTCTGCTGAGAGATTGACCCGATTGAGGTGCCGCGCGCGGGCCTCTGGCGTACAAGCTTACTCGCCAAGTGCGGCAGGTGTGTTCAAAGCCCAATAGAAGAAAGCTCGTGGCGCGACGGTGGTGGTGCTCGGGCCTTTAGGACCCTGCGCGGGATGCAGCGCAGCTCGAGGCGTTGACACCGGCCACCATGCCAGGCTTGTTCTCGCTCTAAGTTCGGACTTCAAAACCGTTCGGAGTTTCTGTTGGTCATGGAAATCGGTCCCGCACACACGTAACACGATCGCCCCAGATGATGCCTGTTCCCAATGAAGTGACAGATCTGAATGACCTGAACGAGCTAGATCCTTCATTCTGTTCCCCGATGTTCATGCAGCAAAGGCGTAGACTAACTGAGGCCAGTCACGACCTGGGTAGCAACTTTGCGCATTATGGAAATTCTCACGAAGCGGATCCGCTTTTTGGGATCCGCCATGACGCTGAATGCTGCGAGTAGCATCGTGGGGCATCAGGAAAATGGTCGGGATTGCTCTAGATCCTGAGGGGGCCCCTTCACCGTGCCCCTAGCGAATTCAGGAGGTCAGGAGATGGCGGCGGCTTGATGAGGTGGCGCGCTGTTCAGTATGAGCGTGAATGGACTGAGGCTACAGGATGCAACGCAGCAAGAGACCTGCGCCACTTGCTTGCTTCCTTGCAATCGGAAGGCTTGGGCTGCTGTTGATAACGAGCCCAGTTGAGCAAGCGCGTGGAAGTGTGTGCGAGCGTTCTCAAGTCCGCCAACAGTTTCAAAGCGTACAAATGCCGGAGATCGAAAAGCAGAAGGGGGCGACAGCAAATCTGAAGCAGAGCACCACAGAGATGGCCCGCATGAGCAAAGTTTTTGCATCTTCGCAGGCATCGCGTTGAGCATACAAAACCCGACCCGATTCCGGAACTTGAGCGATTTGGCCGCGCCAGAGTACTGCGCTGAGGCTTCTCGGTGGTTCGTCTTTGCCGTTTCGCATGACAGACTTCGGGCGCCGATGCTTTGGCCGCTCAGTGCGCCGGGTTTTTCAAGGTCCGGCGCTCGCATATCTGCACAGCTGGCGCCCCAGGAGGAAGGCTGCCGATCTGGCGCACCTCTGACATTCTTGCGTTTCGGTTTCTAGGCCAAAATGGTGGCGCCGCTTTAATTTATCCCCGTTGCGTTGCGTGTCCCTGTCCCCTCGCCGACCCTGGTTTTTTGTTTGGCCCACTCCTTCTGGTATCAGGAAGCGCAGCACTATTTCTTCTTCTAACTAATTTCACAGGTGAGATAGACTTATACCGAGACCGCCGTGGGCGATCTGCTTTGCACTACACTGCGATGAGCGGAAACGAGCAGGCAGTGGATGCACTGCAAGAGTTGGTGAATACGCAGGACCACGACGGGTGGACGCCCCTTCATACAGCAGCATGGTTCGGAAACAGGATCTGCTGCGACAAGATCGTGAAATATGGCGCCGATGTGGATATTCGCTGCTACGATGGGAGGAAGGCGATCGAGTACGCACGTGAAAACAAGTGGCGCTCCACCGTACAGACGCTCGTTCGCTTTGGGCTAGATGAGCCGCCAAAAACTCGCGCTGGGAAGAAGAAAAAGTCCGAGGCCGAGAAGCATGCAGATCGTATTAATTTTGATAAATTTCTATTGCGACACAATATGAATGCCTTTTTTTTTACGCTGGCTCTCGCTTGTAGAAAGCTTTGATTTTTTCGAGTCGGATCAGCTATAGCAGTTCATAATGATCAAAAAATGACTCGAAATCATTATAAGTAAGAATGAACACAAAACAGTTCTGCGAAAACTTGCAAAGAAGGAAGCGAAGGCAGAGAAGGCGAGGTTGAAGAAGGCGCGACAGAGGCAAGCAGCCGAAGCAGCTGCCCGCGCAGCTGCCGTTCTTGGTGTTGAGGATGAAACGGCGCTCGAAAAGGACGGCACCGAGAAAGTGGCTGCTACGCTACCTGAAGATGCGAGTGACGTGCCCCAGTCGCCCTCGGATATCCAGACTCGAGATATTGAAGTCACAGCGCCCGCCACAGACGCAGAGCAGAGTGACGAAGAGTGCCCAGATCCGCAGTCGTCCAGTAAAGACAGCGCTCCAGCTACGTCAAGCGAGGGCAGCGATTCTTCTGCGTCAAGCGATGCTGGCAGCGTTCCTTCTGCGTCAAGTGATGGCAGCGCTCCAGTTTCAAGCGAGGAAAGCGCCCCTCCTGCTTCAAGCGAAGGCAGCGCTCCATCTTCCGCGTCAAGCGAGGGCAGTTTTCCTTCTGCGGAAAGCGACGAGGAAGTTGCTAACGTAGATCACAGCGGCGCTGACGCGGTGTCAGACTCTCAGGCGATTCCGGCTAGCGCGGACGGCGCCTCCACAGAACTGACCGAGCAGTGTGCTGCAGCACCCAGCGCTGACTCGCCATCTTTAAAAGGAAGCCACTTTGGAATGTATTTGCAACACCTGGCGAACACTGGAGTGTCGAACGAAGTGATCGCGCAAAAGAAGTCGCTGTGCAAGGCTAAGGCTGCACACAAAAGTAAGCTAATCGACCAGATGAAGGGGAAAGGCGTTGCCTCTAAAGCTAAAGGACCGGTGCGGTTTTCGCCAGGAAAAAGCGTAGACGGGTCCTCCTGCATGACAGAAGGACCTGGGTGGGAAATTGGGCCAGAAGGTACTTCTTTTGTTTCTCAGCCACGATGCATAAATTTTGCGTTTAGCGGTCGCGGAGGAACCTGAAGATGTACGATTTTTTTCAGAATGATACTGAACTTGGCCAAAAATGCTTCGATAATATCACAGGTATAGATCCAGCTACGACTACCAAAGGGACGAAGGGACAAAAAGCGGCGCTGATGATGATGAAGGGGAAAAAGGCGGCATTACTATTCAAAGGTAAAGGAAAAGGATGCATGCCGGAAACATTTGGCAAGGATCTGCCTGGTTTCGGAAAGGCGCAGTGTCCGGCGACCGTGTCGGACGAAGGAGATGCTGCAGAAGACGAGCTTGATCCAGCTGAATTTGCAAAGCCGGATCCAACACAGCAGGACGTCTCCCGAGAGCGCCACTCTTTTACCGCCGAGCAGACAGTAGAACACGGGGCAACCGGGGAGCCTAGTGAACCGCTCTTGCTTCCTATACCCTCAGCAAGTTCTCCCGCGAATGAGGACGAAGGGCTCAGTGAGTCGCCAGCATCGAAGGAACACAAAAAGGAGATGCGTGCCGAAGACGTCGACGATGGAGAGGCGAAAAGCACAACAGCTGCGCAGCGCATGCAGCTTACGGAAGAGGCTCTCCAGCAACACCAGGAGCAGCAACTGCCGCAAACGCGAGCGTATCTCCGAAAGCGAATGGCGCAGGCACAGCAGCTGCACCCAGACCAGCACATGGCGCTATCACAGCATCACCCCTTCGAGGAACAGCTTGCACAACTTTCCGCACAAGGACAAAATTCCTCGCAGCAAGAAAGCGTTTCATCTCAGCAGGATCTGTCTCGCCAAGGATCTGATTTTGTACCTGGAGCACAAAAGCCTGCTTGGGCGTGGGCGGCGAAGAACCTGAATGCCTACGGAAAAGGGATGAAAATGCAGCAGATTTTCAAAGGCGCGCAACAGAAGGGAAAGATGATTGCACTCCAGCAAGCCATGTCGAAGAAAATGCAGAAAGGGCAGCTGCAGTATCAGACCGACGCAATAGGTCAGCAGTCTTCGACTGAACCATTGGTGGGAGAGTCAAAATCCTCAGCAAGTTTTTTAAGCCAAAAAGGCACGGCTGCTTCGTCCCGGCCAGCAGCAGTGCAGCAGCCGGCGGCGCCTAAATCAGGTATCCTTTCGAGAGAGTATGATTGCAAGCGATCGCCACCGTGCAGCCTACAGCGCTGCTATCTATGTTTGCACTTTCTTCTTTGAGTAACTAGTTCCATACTTCAATTAAACTCTTGCAACGTTTCTGACAAATTAAACTCACACAAAAAACAGGGTTAGCTATGGCGCGACGACAGCCTCCTCCTGTTTCATCCCTCAGTCTTACGAGCGTTCGAACTCTTGCTGGTCCAGCACCGCCTGGTGGCCCGGGCGGCCCTTGTGATGAACTGCGACCGCGAGAATTATTTCCGCCGATACGAAATGAACTAAGTCAAACTATGAATGGAGCGGCAGCTGAAAAAAGCCAACGAACTGGGCAAGGCATTTGTTCGTCCAATCGCATTGCACCAAAGGTCAAGGCACCCCCACCGAACATGGATAGGAACATCGACGAAACTCCCGTAAAAACGCATCACCCCTCATGCGTCACGACCTCTCAGCCACGACAGACGACCTACCCCGGTGCCTCATCATCCGATGTGTCACCATCCGCTGCGGACGCAAACGCCATCGTAAAAGCGACAACCTCCAGCGATGCGTGAAGACATGAATGCGACACAATGATGTGCATATTTTTTTCGTATACGGGTTTAGGGTTTCCCCGGTTATTGCTCCGCATCGCAGGGTAAAAGATCCGGGGCTTCTGGTCGACGGGGAAGTCATTCTCCTCTCGGCGCCGGCGGTCCGGCAAGCGCTTGGGTCGAGGTATTTTATTGGCGGAAGCGACGCCCGCGTTGGCCGAATGGAAATAGTTCCGCGGACAGTGCGCACCGCAAAACTAGCACAGTCGAGACATGCACGCTTTAGGCAACAACGGCGTTTTTTTTTGCAGATCTCGTCTGACTGCGAACACGGACCGATGCGGTCACGGACCACGATCCATCGTCTTCAAACTCAATCTGGCAGGGATCTAGGAAATGCTTGTCGGGAGTGGTCAACCGTGGTGGTAGGCTTGGCGACACTACGCTTAAGCAAAGTGGGTCTCAGAGAGACTGCGAGTCTAGCGTCCATACATCATCGCGTCCTTCGTAAGTATTCCGATAAGTACCCATTACAGAGAGGTACCAAGATCGATTTTCATCACCGTTTTCCGATATTTGACTCTTGTAGTCCAAGCACGTGGTTCTGGTTCAGGTTTTTTCCGTTTAGGGTTTAGGACTAAGATTTTTTTATTTGTCGCAGACCTGTCATTCACTTTCGCATCCCCATCGCCATCATACTGCTACTTCCTTGCTGCATGAAAATTGGCAACAAATGAGTATTGTATATTGACTCTGACAAATTGCACTTGCTAACGTAAGTTGGAGCTCCTGACGAGACTTGTTGTTAAGTCGGGGCTGAAGGATCGACAACTTAGACAACGTTGCAGCAACAAAAGTTCAGACAAGCCGGTACGATCCTTGCTTTTTCATAACTCCCTGTAAAGTGCAGGCCCGTCGCCTTGTGCTTGAAACCTTTGCAAGTGTTCGAACAATGAACAGTGATCCACCGAAAAAAAATAATTCACAGCATCGAAATATTATCAAATGTGTTGTTTGCCCTTTTTGATACTGATACGTTATTTTTTAGAAACGTTAGCTCTATCTATCCGCGATCTTTGTTTTGCACAGCGCGCCCCTCCCTCGCGTTTTCTCCCCGATCATTTTCTGTCCTTTTGTACATTTTTTCGAGTGTAGTAAGAAAGTACATGTCCGAATAAACTTTGTAAGTGCTACTGTTGCTTTTTGAATTGTGTGATACATAGCAAGTGAATTTGTCTCTTTCCATGCAATTAATTGGCTCGAGTTCTCGTTTCGTAGGGAAGCAGAAGCTTGAGTGGAGAGGTATCGATATTTCCAACTCCGTCTTTGTCTAAGGTAGCACAGGAATTTCTTAGTTCAGCCATAACCTCGGCTGGGAAAGATGGGGGTCTCGCGTATCATTGGTTCAATTTTGCTTGCGGCAGCAACGGGAGTCCAGGCTTTGGGAGCATGCTCGGCAGAATCCTGCACGGCAGATGGAAGTAGAGACGCTTCTTTATTTTCAGCATGATTCTACGTGATGCGTGGGAATGAGCAGCAACTGCACACGCTATAGTTAAGAGCATGGGGATAATTCATTCTAACGCTAACTACATACCAGAATCACTGCAAGTTGCATTTAGGTTGAGCTCGAAATCAAAACAGATTGCGAGGAGCGCAGTTGCCAAGTAATGGGACCAGCCGACCCGACGAAGAAAAGTGCTAACGGATTTATCATCTCCTGTACGGGCTGACGCTTAAATGCAGAGCACAATGCTGCGCTGAAATCATGGCTTCACGGAAATCACGTCGAGAAGTACGACGGGCTGGAAATGGTATTTCTAAATTGTTAGCGGTGCTCTTGGGCTTCGAGAAATAAAAAAGACTTTCCTCCGTCATAGGTTTAGCTTCTGCTTTAGGATGAAGAATGTGAATGCATTCCCAAAATCAAAGAAATACAAATCTCTCACAGAAATGGGAGCAAGGACACAATCCGGAGTTGCACGTAGGGTCGGAAGTCACAGATCTAAATGGGTACGACGAGAACTCCCTGACGCAGCTTTTGCGACAAAAGGGCTTCCTCATGTCCGACGAACTGTAGTACATGCCGAAGGTCTCCTCCTGGTATTCCCAGATGTGCATGTTTCTACGGTTTGCAAGAACATTTTCCAGCGACACACGACCCGACATTGAATGCATACCACACGTTGGATGTTTTCCCGCCTGTTTGCCTAAAATCGTACTGCGGCTTTACTTCGTGCACCGAGTGCTTATCATGGAGTCTGCTGTACCAGACCCAGAGCGCACAGGAGTAGGCACCAGCAGAGGAGCCAGGTGGCTGCGCAGGTGAATAGAGACCGATAGTTTTTCGCTTTCCCTTTTGTAGAGAAGCGTCACTCTCGAACACATTGTGACGGCACTCGATCGCTCATTTTTCAAGGTGAGACTTACCGATTCGGTGTGCCTGATTTGTCAATCTAATTTCTTTTTGCTCACAGCGCAGCACTAGAACTGGATTTTTCTGAAGATGTCAGCGAGTACAGGAATAGCCGCAGATGAAGTATGATGACTGTTGCGAGAAATATGACACCATGTTTACAGTCGTAAAAATCTATCTTTTTTGTTGTTGTTGTTGATTGAATGACCTATCATGAATGGATGCATCAAAAACCTTTCCCAACCTTTTTGCATCCGCGTGTCATCATGGAGCAATAAAAAAGTAAAGGCGGTGCCACGATGGCTTTGTTCCGGTAGCTGAATGATATGGCTAACAAGGTTGCCACTGCTGATAAGGATGTTCGCAAAAAAGAAGATGCTTGTAATAGCAGAAAACGGCGGGATCGTGAATTCGATCGAAGGCAGAAATAAATGGAAGGCAGAAATTAATGTTCCGCGTTGAAAAATTGAGCAGGTCAATGCAATGAGAACTGTGTCGAAGGTCTCTGAAGGGTCTCAAATCTGAATTAGCGGTCGCTTCTGTACTAGTTGACAAGCATTCGCAGCGCAGTTCACACCACGTATTTATTTCGCCGAAGATCAATTTTTCATGTTATGATTGGTGACACGCAATGACAGGCCACCAGTACTGATATCGAAAAAGGAAGTTTCACGCACTAGTTATTTATTTTGCGTTTCCACCATACAAGACGAACATTCACCTTGTTTACTGGCATTTTTTTGATTGTTCTTTCGCACAAATCAATGGGCCGGTCAAAGAGGTCGCGGAGCCGGCAGAGGCCCCGCGAAGACGACAAGAAGAAAAAGAAGAAAAAGCGCGCCGCCAGCAGTAGCAGCAGTTCGAGCTCGTCGAGTAGCAGCAGCTCATCGTCCCGACACCGTAAGAAGAAAAGTAAGAAGGAAAGGGCCCGAAATGGGGCGGAAGCGGCGGAAAATCAAATCTCTCTAGCAACGACGAAAGAGCCACGACACGAGATGGTAAGTAACCAATGGAAAACAAACGAAGACGATCCAGAGAAGGAACAACCGAATTTCGAAGTGAGCGGGCTGCTGGCGATGGAGGATGCGTACGAACGGGAGCAGGCCCTGGGCGGTCCTGATGCGAAGAAGAAGAACTTTCGTACCGACCTCGAATCAGGGGCAGTCATCGCAGCGAAGGCAGGCATACCGATGGATGCCGCGGTACCCAACGGTGACACCTGGCGACTCTATATCTTCGCGAAGGGGGTGCCAGATCCGAAGATTGCTTATCTCTCGAAGAAGCCCGACTTTCTTTTCGGGAAAGATCGCAAAATTGCCGATGTGCCTACCGACCACCCATCCTGTTCCAAACAACATGCGGTCATCCACTTTCGTATGAAAAAGGACAATCAAGCCTCGGGATCTTCCAAGGAGGGATACATGAATCACGCGCGTGGTTCCGGTGGAATGAGCGCTCTTGCCGCGAATACGATAGTAGTGCCGTACGTCATGGATTTAGAGTCCACAAACGGCACTTTTCTTAACGGGGAGAAACTCGAGCCTGCTCGGTACTACGAACTGTTACCAAAGGACAAATTGAACTTTGCCACTTCGAGCCGCGACTACATAATCATGAAAAAATGAAAATGAGGCATCGCGGACTTCCCCCGTATTACAAACGAAACGACATCAACTACGTGCGCAACACGAAAAAAGAATCAGACGCAGAACTGCGACATTTTACGTTTGGCTTGATTCTTCGCACCCTTCTGAGCTATTTCTGTTCTAAAGGTTTTGCACAAGGACCACCGACGACTTTGTTTCCGTTTAAGATGCAAGCAAGTCGAGAGAGATCTAAGCTCGTCCTTCAACAAACCTTCCAGTAGAAAGCCGAGATCCATTGCTATCGAAGTTCCGGTCACAGAAGTTGAAGTTGCTCCGTGCGCATCATGAGTGTATGGTTTGCTGGCTTGGGACAGAAATCCAAATGTGTTTCTGTCCAAGACCAAATGTGTTTTCTCTGAAACCTTCTCGTCGATTTTCTTTCTCAGGGGTCGTGGAAGATCAATTTATTTTGTAGCTACGTACTACTCTTTTTCACCATTTTTTTTCTAGTTCGGGTATCATGTTCAACGAGAATGTGACCTTTTCAATAAGTAAGTACTGTTTATTTTTAGTCTCAACAGCTTAAAGTCGCTGGCGCAACTACTTATTAATTTGCTCTCTCTTCGACAAGTTTTTTCCACCTGTGTCAGAGGGACGCAGTATGGCGCGATTGGTGGCGACAAGTGCAAACGGAGAGGCGCCTCGTGAGCTGTTGTACGACGGGAAGCTCGTGGATTGTCGCTCGCCCGCGCCCCTCTTTGGTACACAGGCGGTCGCAGACCTATCGGCCGATGAGTGGCGCTGCCATTTGCGTATTTTCGAAAGCGCCTGCAAGCGAAAGTGGCGCTTTACGTGGACAACTTTTGAAGTCCGCTGCGAGCTTCTTCTCGTCTACAGTGGCGAGCCGATTTGTCAACCATTAGCAATTCGCTTCGAAGCGGACTTTTCGGATGCGGACTCGCGGCGCGCAATCGCGGAAACTATGAAGTACAAGGTTTTGCACAAGCTGCAGACTAATGCGTTTACTTCGGTAAGTGTCCGACTGGCGGAGGAACTCGCGGCGAGACTCGACCTTTCGGCGCCGCACACTTTTTACTCTGCAACACGTGTGGCCGTGCCACATGAGCGACCCAGGTGCTCGACACTAGTTTTCCGCGGCGAATACACTGGTAGATTTTCAAGTGATGTAAAGACCACCGGGGGCCTATGGCTATGGGGGTGGAAGCACCGGCTGGCGCTTTCGTACTGTCCACACAGCAAAAGACCATTGCGCTGGGGCGTGATTGCGTACAGAAATCATAGAAGACGTACTCAGACGGACAGACCTGAGGTCGACGAAAGTGAAATGCGGAAGCGAAAAATGCCGTTCTTCAGCGCTACGGAGCTCAGTGATGGTGATCGCTGCACTATCAAGGCCGGGGACGTGGAGAAGAATGCTATCGAGAAGATTGCTGGGCGATGTACAGCACAAGGACCGGAGGCCAAGAGTTGTTACGCACTGCGTGTCGAGCACAATTGTCGTTGCTATTTCAACATTGACGCGGATACCCCGCCACTGACACAATTGTTTCTTCGCGAAAATTACCAGCACTCCTCTTGTTCTGACAGCCGCACCAGGAGCTTCTGGGCAACTTTTGAGTCTGCTGAGGATGCGGCGAACTTCGTTGGTGAATTGAAAGTACTGGAGAAGATTCTCTCCGAGCCAGACCGATTCGCCGCGGCCGTGGAGGACGTGATGCGCGCGGACCCGGAAGCCGGAGAGGAGGAATGCCTTTCCAACATTTTGGACGCTGTGTGCAACACAAGTGATTGGGAACCGCTGGCGTTGTTTCTGGACGACGACGATCCCGCCGACATTCGCGAAGTGGAGGACGACGAGGCGACAGTAGCCGTTGTGCGCGAAGTGTTGGAAAACAGACGGAAGGATGCGTCGGGGAAAAGCTTTCGTGATCCAATAACGTTCCGCTTGGGCCTGAAGGCAGTGGCCTCCGGTACCGAAGAAAGCCAGAAAGAAGGAGAACAAGAAGTGAGAGCTTAGCAATTTGCAGCTGGCACAGTTATGACGCAGCCCTATGAGGTGCTAATTTTTCGGTGCGGGTACAAGCTATAAGTACCTCCGCCAGCAATCATGATCATTTTAAAGCTTGAAGACGCTCCGCGTCAAATCGAGAGGCAAGGAAGGGTCTCCAGAGACGGCAGCGTCGTTACTGTGTAGAGCGTTGTTCCTGGCGTTTTTCTGTCCTGATAATATGGAGGTGGCAATATATTGTAAGTCTGCGGACGACGAGCCAGATCACCTCGTGCGCCGGCGGGTGCAACATTCAGCGGATCTGCTTTGCCAGTTTATCTCTTTGTGTGAGGGAAGATCATCTCTGCCACTACTTCTTTTGCTGATCATCTGTACAAGTTTCGTATTCGTGCGCATGTCCCCTGGTCAGCTTTGAATTTGGTCCGTCTTTTTTTTTTTCGAACGTATTTTGTGGATCCACGCTTGAACCACGGCGAAAGTGCGATCCATCAACAATGAAGGGCAAGATCGGCCACTGAAACGGATCTGACTTGGGATCTGTCAAGGCATTTTGCGCCAGCATTAACGCAGAGCGATGCAGAAAGCACATTTATTTTTCTCGACATTCCGTTCAGTAGGGTCCAGAAAAAAAAAATAAAATATCACGCAAGGAGAAAATTAGCGCGAAAGTACCCCTAACGAAAAAATCTTCAACAAATTGCAAAAGTTTTCGAAATTTTTTGTCGTTGTTGTTTTGTTACGCGCTGCGATGGTATGGGCCGAGATGGCCAGCAGACTGGGTCTGTGGCCGGTGTGGGGGGGGTTCTGGCCGCGAGGTCTGGGGAGGCCGCGGGCCCGGTGCAGCATAAAACTTGGGGCTGACAGCCCATCGCCTCATGGCGCGCGAGCCGTTTTAGTGATCATTTTGGCGGTGAAAGCGGGTGCGCCTTTTTTCCAAAATTCGGCCAAAAATAAATCGCAGGCGGGCCCGTTTTTCGGCGCCCAAATTTCCGGCGGACTGCAGACGGACTGCAGACGGACCACACTTGGGCAACAAAACAAATTCCCAAAATTCCCAAAGTGAGGCGATTCCTTAGGGTTTTTGCAGGCTCGGGCCAATTCGGGTGATTTTGTTTGCACACAAAGGATTTGTTTTTGCAACAAGCGGAATTTGGGAAAAATTTGTTTTTGCACAAAAAAAATTTGGGAAGGCGATACAAATGGGGGGTAAGATTGGGGGTTGAAAAATTTTCTTTCCCGGGAAGCAGGACGCCGCGCTGCTTGAACGCAATCCATGTCGCGGCTGCAGAATTAGTGCTGTGCGCCCGGATGGTTGGGCAACCTCCCGCGCAAGTCGGGCCTACATTGCGAACGCTTCAACTTGGCAGGCCTCGGCATTCCAGTTGCCCCGGTCATGGCCGCAGAAAGAGCCGTGTCCTTTTTGGGGGTTTTCGCGACGACAAAAAAAACGAAATTTGTTGGATTCAGATTCCTTAGGGCTCCTTTCTGCCCAAAGAAAAGTCAAAGCTGTTAAGGAGAAAAGTCCAGCCAAGGAGAAAAGTCCAGCCAAAAGAAAAAAGTCCGAGCGTGCAACAGCTCGCGCGGTGTGGGGACTGGTCCCGCTCTTTTTCGTGAGAAGTGGCATCGGAGAAAGTCACCGTGACAAATTTCGCCCCTAGCGTTCAAACTTTCTGTAGCGTGTCCCAACCTCCGCACTTGTTAGTCGGGATGATTATGTTGGGGGCGCACGAAGTAGGGCAGTTTTTGCGCCCCCGCACCAGTGCAAGGGTTTCCAACCAGGTATGAAAGTAATGGCGCACGGGTGCGCGTTTCGTCGATTTCTTGCGACGATACTTTTCAGGCCGCAGGATGTTTGGATCTATTTTCACCAAGAATCTGCGCGATTCATCGGCCCCCTTCTCAATTCCGAGAAGGGGGCGGATGGCGGATTCTGGCTGACGTTGCTCCCGGTCCCGCATCCCGAAGTCAAGGGGCTGGCTATCGGAAGCTTTGCTCGGAATGAAGATAGGCCTGGTGGTGGGTTTTGCGTTGTGTTTGGTTTTGCGCTTTTGCACCGACGCGGGCGGCGATGCCTCGTTGAAGTAAGAAAGGCGCAAACCCAGACCCGGCGCCCGCAAAAAGCGGAAGCCAGGGAGGGCCGCGAAAAAAATCTCCGCGCGCGCTGCGCGCGCGGAGAGAAGTTCTTGCAGCCGAGCCGCAGGCCGTGCGGGCTTCGAAATGAGCGAAGGGGGTTCGGCAAACTCAACTCCCCGAATTTGCCACGCGCGCAGCGCCTTCCTTGTGGGGCAACTTCTTCTCCGTGCGGCGCACGCGCGGCCCGGCCCCTCCCATTCATATGGAACGCCTAAAATTTTTCTCGCGCGCTGCGCGCGCTGGCTGCCCGTCCCCTCTTTGTTTCTCTTGGCCCGTTTTTTGCTCACGCGGGGGCCTCCTTGCTGCAGGGGACGACAAAAAAGTTGTCGCGCGCAACGCACACAGCCTTGGGCTTCCTTCTTTGGGGGGCAAGCCCGTGCAGAATCCGCTTTGCGCAAGCGGCCTTTGATGTCCGTGCTTGTGTGGTTGGAGGGCGCCTGGTATTTTTTCCGCGTACCAGGCACGCAGCCTAGCCTCGTCGCCTTGGGGGGGGGAGGGTCTGAAAGATCTCTTTCGCACACCGTGCACGCGGAAGCGCACCGAGCTGGCGCAATTTCCCCGGTGCGTCTATTTTCTCTGCGTGTGGGGGGAGCCTGCTCTGATTTGCTGCTAGCCCGGCGGAGATGGGGCAGCATGGCGTGCGCGCGGTGGTGCTGACTCTGCTTGCGCGGCACGGCAAAGGCGACGCGCGCGCGGCCCGGAATTTTCTCCGGACCCGCGGCCCTGTTCCCAAAACCGCAAAAAAAAACTTCTTCGCGCGCTGCCGCGCGCGCGTGCGAATTCCATTGGCCCGCTTGCCTGCGCCGCCGGCGAAGGCCACAAGCCGTACGCCCCCCCTGCTGTCCTAGGCCGTGTGGGCGTTGCTGAGCGATTTCGTTGTGGGGCCTTTGCCGGGCTGCAGCGCGTGGCACATGGGGTACCGGCTACCCGAGGGAGGCGCCGTGTGTTGCCCTAGGGTGGTACTGGGGGCGTGCCGCGAGTCCTTGGCGCGGCGCTTTTTTTTCGCTTTCTTACTGTCTTTTTTCCCGCAGTGCTGTGTTTAGCATAGTGTATTCTGGCTAAGGATACCCTGGGAACAGCTCACGCGGTGCCAACATAAGTCCCAGGCTGGCTGTGGAGGTGTTTTTGGTCTCGCGCAGAGAATGGCTTGGTGCAGGACGCTGGGCGTTTTTCCCGTCGCGCAGTGTTTAGCATAGGGTATTCTGGCTACCCTGGGCGCGGCTTGCCCAGGATAGGTGCGGGTCTGTAGGTCGATTTTTGCCTCTGAATGTAGCGGGAGGTCGCTGAGTGTAGCGTAGGGAGAGGCCCCGTAGCAGGGGCCTGTGCCCGGAGACCGTTTTTTTTGTGCCCTGAACGCATTCGCCCCTCGTTTTCTCTTTAAGAAGTCCGTTTTCCCATCATCTTCTTCACGATGTCGGGGCTTCTCGAGATTTCCTTCAGAAGGGGACATTTGGGAAATCCTTTCTCCTGGGCTTTTCGCATGATTTCCTTTGGGAAATCCCTTCTCCTGGGCTTTCCGCATGATTTCCTTTGGGAAATCCCTTCTCCTGGGCTTTCCGCGTGATTTCCTTTGGGAAATCCCTTCTCCTGGGTTTTCCGCGTGATTTCCTTTGGGAAATGCCTTCTCCTGGGCTTTCCGCATAATTTCTTTTAGGAAATCGCTCGCCCCTGGGCTTTCCGCGTTATAGGAAATCTCTTCCTTAGGAGCCGGCCGCTGATCTCCGCGTCAACACGTACTGGAAGCAAGCTCCTTCTGATCTCCACTGCGAAACAGAGCGGAGACGAGCTCGGTGGCTAGGGTCTGGGTGGGATAGGGCCTGTCATAAGTATCGCGGTTTCTCCTTTGATATGGATCAGAGGGTCCGCGATGTCGGACTTTTCTCCTTTGATATGGATCAGACGACTTTTCTCCTTTGATATGGATCAAAGGAGAAAAGTCCGGACTTTTCTCCTTGCAAAGGAGAAAAGTCCGCTGGATTGATACCAGAGCGAGCAGCTCCTGGTCCAAATCCTTCTGTTTTTGCTTCAAATCTTTCCGTTTTAGCATCAAATCCTTCTGCTTTGGCATCAAATCCTTCTGCTTTAGCATCAAATCCTTCTGCTTTAGCATCAATTCCTTCTGTTTTAGCGTCAATTCCTTCTGTTTTAGCATCAATTCCTTCTGTTTTAGCGTCAATTCCTTCTGTTTTAGCATCAATTCCTTCTGTTTTTGCTTTTTTCTAAATATCACACATGTTGTGATATCAGCAGCGCAATCGACTTTTCTCCTTTGGTCCTGTGATATCACGTGATATCACGTGATATCAAAGGAGAAAAGTCTTTTTTCAAAGTTTAAAGACCCAAAACTAGGGTCTAGCTCTTGTGATGCCGTAATAAAGCTCGTCGCCGAATGAAATGTGCCTGGTGCTCGGCTTTTAGTGCACTTGCCGTCTATTGCGTACCCACTCGTTTTTGTTTCGTTAGTTGTGACTAATCCTGAAAATAACTGACATAAAGATGACGCGCTTGGCTCTCAATCTGAAACGGGATGCAAGCGGAGTGTGCAGTGAAGATATCTGGGAGGTCACGTACGACGGCAAACGGGTGGAACCGCATCGCCCGGTGCCGCTCCTCGGAATGCCGGATTTACTTGTCGACTTTTCCGATGAGGAGTGGCGCCAGCATGTGCAAACGTTCGACGAAATTTCGCGGATCGAGTGTACCGAGTCGATGACGCCGCATGCTTTTCAGGTTGGATGCGAGTGCATTTCGCTGAGCGGGCATCCTTTGAGTGATCCGTTCACCATTAAGGTCCCCGGATGGATGATGTCACCAGTAGGGGGAAAATCTTCCTCATCGCTCACCCCTGTCAAAGAAAGACTCCTGTTTGCCTTGCGCGAGAAGGTGTGCACCTCGGTCAACACCGACGTTGCCCTTGCGCTCGGGAGAAAGCTCCAGCCCCTGACTTCCGTGCCGATGGACCACGCATTGTTTTACCACGCGGGTCGCGTGCCGCTGCCGGCGATGAATCCTAGACGCACGACGGTGGTTTTTAGCGGCCATCACTACGGTGTGGTCAGTAAAGACGAACCCCGGAACTTCGAGACCAGCCGCTGGTACCTTCGCAGCTACCGCCTTGCGGCCTTCTTCTGTCCGTCCAGCATGAAGATCACGCACTGGGGACTTCTTGGATATCGCACGAACCAGGCGGGGGAGACGGTCGTGGACGAGCGGAGGCAGGGCGTCGCGTGCTTGCCTTTGTTCAGTACAACGAAGCTGACAAGCGAGCAAGGTTGTACTAGTTGCAGCGTTCGGGCGGCGGTGGTCGACAAGCAAATCGTTGGGCGTGCCGAGGGCGGGTGGGCTCATCTCCACCGGGTGCAAGTCGAGCATAACTGTGAAATCTATGTGGACAAAATTCGGAAACACTCGCCGAGTTGTGTGCCGCTGCCCTTGGGCGACAGCTTTTGGGCAACCTTTCACACCGCCGAGGAAGCGCAGTGCTTTGCGGCGGAGGTGGAAGCACTTGGAAAAATGCTGGCGGAACCCGATCGTGTGGCTACCGCGTTTCAGGAGGTCAATTATTTTACGGATGCCGAAGCGCAAGAGTCGGGGCTGATCTCGAAAATTTTGGACGCTGTGTGCAGCCCGCTCGAGTGGGATTCGCTGTGCTTAGTGCTGGATGACGATGACGATGTAAGTGGCGCTCGCGAAGTGGAAAAAGCCGACGACGTTGCTTCACTGGTCAAGCAAGTGCTGGCAAGCAGGCTCGAATCTTCTTCGACGAAAAGCTTTCTGGACCCCGTGACGTTTCACTTGGGGCTGAAGTTGGACCCCGCGAGCTGCAGTGAGGAAGAAGACGAGGATGAAAGCACCACCGACGGCTTGAATTGATGTTAGAAAGTAGAGTTCTTTTAGAGGAGTTCCCAAAACGAGAAGAGGGAAGTCCATGTCCGTGGAAAATTACATATCAATTGCGTCTGCAGGTTTGTGCGAAGATACGTGCTAAAAAAGAAAAAACAGGACCCTCGATGTAAAAACAGGGCTGTTCAACTCGTAGACCATGATCATGTTTATACCTGATTCTCCTTTTCCACCCGGAAGACTCCGACCGAGGTGCGGAATTTCTTTGGACTTTCCGATTTGTTCTTCGCGCTTTTCTTCGGGCGCTTTTCCTTTCCCTGCCCTGATCTCGTGCAGCTACTACGGTCGACCGGAAGATTGCAGTACAAGAGATCTTCAGACATGTGCCGGCGCGAAAGTTCATCTTCCCGGATCAGATTTTATACCTATATCTTTTTTCGCGATGGTGCGTGGATCCTCTCGCCCAGCCTCTCACTTTGTCGATCAATTTAGAGCGCGCGGAGACGATTTTCTTGATCGTCCGGAAAAGTTTTGTGTACATGTTAATTTTCCGCGAGCTTTGAATTCGGTCCATCATACTATGATATCGGAAAGTTGAAGGCCGCGCGCTTTTTGGCAATACTTAGTACAGTGCTCTCTGGCGATCCTCGTCGTGAAGTGCGCGGAAGATGTATGATCGCAGAATACAGGTTTTATCGTAGCATGATCATCATGGAGCCAAAGCCATCAGCCAAGGACATTCAAGTAGAACAGCAAGCAGCTTGATTGCGCTAAGTGTCAGTCATCTTCATCAAGGTCTTCTATCTTGTTACCTTCGTGTAGCCTCTGAGCACTCTCATCTTTCGAACGTCAATCTCAGTTCTTTGCTCTTCTTGAGAGGACTACAGAATGGCGGCTATTACCGTTTCGACGGCGGAACCGCCACCAGGGCAGCAACAGCAACAGGCCCCGCAACAGGCCCCGGCGCAACAGCAGATGGGACAACAACCACAAGTGAACATTCAGGTCATGGTATCGTCTGTGAAAACGTCCCCGTCCTCCCATAGTCAAGATAGCAGTATTGGTACGCAGGCCATAGAAAAGTTGGCTGTTGCGCGTTACAGCTTTGTGTCTCTGTTGCTTGTAGTAAGGGAGTAGGTCGTAGTATTACGGCAGTTGTATTGATGAGGCAGATCACAGACCATCTCATGCTTTTGATCTTGATGCAAGCATGATAAGATTCTCAGATGGTATGCAGTAGACAATGCTCCTCATTGGGCTACTGTGCGTGAGAAACTAAAATTGTAGGCATGCAGATGTGCGATAAAAAATATATGGGGGGACGTTTTGTTCACTGTTCATACATGGCGCAGCCACAGCCAGAAACGATGCAGGGGTAATGCTAAAAAATTAGGTTCCGACGGAAGCGGCACGTAGCACTTTCCCTTGAAACATGTACATGATACCGTAAATCGGATCCGGTTGATGGACCCCTTTTTGTTTATCTTGTGCTAGTACGAATGAAAAGACTTCAAATTTCAATATTCATTTCAGGTACGGAACTGCAACACAGTCTCTGGACCCTCTAGCGGATCCTCGATTGCCGGGGATGCGGATAGACTGGGTGCAAGGAACGGGCGTGTGCTGTACACCACCGGAGTTCGTCATTTCTGCGGGCGACAAAGTGTCAAAGGGGTTTCAAATGTTGAAGGGCGAGTGGCACGTGCCGGTCTGTGCGGGCGACTTGCATTTCAAGGTGAGATAGGTTGTACCTACTGGGGTAATTATATCTGACACTGTTTCAACATCTATCTACACGAACTTTGGGCGAGGTCGACGTTGGCGCCATGAACAATGCAGTACCGTTTACGTCTTTTCTAGCACAGCACGAGGGAAGATTTACAGATTCAGGTTATTTGCCTCTTTTTCGTTCTACTCTGCTGTAATTTTTTTCCCTTCAACACACGGCAGATCTTTACCATGTCGGGGCAGCTGTACCTTTCGAATGTACACAAACACGGGTGCTGTGAAGCCTGGTGGGACGTGGTCGCTCGCGGGCAGCACGTGGGGACCGGCAGAATTGTACAGTCAGGCTGCTGCAGCCAGGAATTTGAGCTCAAGGACGGTGCGGGATATCCAGATGAAAACTGCTGGCGGAGCCACATAATATCATGAGGTCGGCCAACAAATTGCAATTCCTTCATTTTCAGCTAGATTTTGGATGTAAAAACCACAGTGGAAAACAACTTTGGGTTTTCTGCATGATGATGATTCAATACGATAATAGTGATTTCGAGAAAATTCCAACAATTCTGCTGTAGTGGTACCAACTAGTTTTCTTTTGGAGACCCCGCGTGTAGCATTCGCTATCCCACCAGCGACGAGGCCGTGCTGCGACTTGGCTTCACCCTTCGAATTCCAAGTCCTGGAGCCGAAAACGCGCACCTGTCTGGCGAGAGTAAAGTTTTTCCCTTTCTGCTTTCGAAGCCTTTGTTTTCAATGCTGTAGGTACGGAGGTATTATGCTTCAAAGCTACAAACTAACAGTCACCCACAGAAGAAGAATCAACGCTATTTCAACGTGAATCAATATCAACAATGCTCTACAGATCCACTTTCACCCCGCGGGCTGCTGCACCCCGGCATACGTAACCATCGACTTCGAGCAGGTACAGGGCTAAATGCATTTTTTGATGAAAACGTAAGCCCTAAATGTACTGTGGGACCTATGCTCGTCTTTTCCTGATCCCCACCTCCCTCCTCGTGTCCACCAAAAAAAACAGGTAACAAATCCCTGGATGCGTGTATTACTGCTATCGTTTGCGGCGACGCGAGCAACGTTCATCGTTCAACAGTAGTGAGCATGTGACTTTCACGTCGTGCTGCATCTCGACGACGAGCCGGGAACGCAGAAGCGGCAGCCTAAATTCTCCAGCTCTACTGCTTGCGGTGAATTAGATGCGCTGGCCTGGTGCACAGGTCTTTCTCGCACCAGAACAGCTCTCGCGATTGGCGGTTCTAGTGACCAGGCCCATACGGAACGAACATACATCTAAAGATTGGCCTTGCCGGTGGTCTGTAACTTTTGGAATTTGATGTCCCCAGACCAGAATGCATTGCATGGCGGTTTGTTTTTGAATAAGAAATGAACAGGTTTTTTCTATCTTCCTTGGATCAGAAGAAAGAAGAAAAAATGTCTACAAGTGCCACACCAGCTGTACCACATTTTTGTTTATGAATCTATTCCACCAGAATTTCACAGACTGCGCCGAAATTTTGATGATACTACGTACAAGTGGAGAATACAGAATCGCGCCAGTACGCCTTTTTTTTGTTTAGAATCCGATCGGGAAATTGAAAAAAAAAACGGGGAGTAAGCAAGCACTCCTGCATCGGAAGGGAAATGCTTTTCTGCTTTTCAGAAGGAGGACCAGTGCTTCGCGGAAGAAGAAGATCCGGAGTTGTCGTGTCGGGAACCAAAAATGCTCTCAGGTCGTGAAAGTGTGTAACTCCGTGGTCCCCTTATGCGATTGGTTTTCAATCGTGTGTCAGGGGCGATTTGCGTCGTGCTTGGACTCGCGTCGTGCCTGTCGTTTAGAAGTACAAGCAAATCAATTCGATCGTTCGATGCACAGGCAGCAACTAACTTCGAGAGAGTGTAGTTTCCGGGTTGATACTACAGCCCTGCAAGAATGATCGTTATCGCTGTGCGAAGAGATGCATTACCCTCGAGCGGTGTCGAAGGAGTGTTGCGCCAATTTTCGTGAAAGTCGCGACTCGAATGACGGCAGAATTGTCTGCTCGTGTTTTATGTACATTTTCGTTGCGACATCGTTTTCTTTGGCTGGAACGGGGAGGCTCTTTGTCAGCACTTGCACCAAGAAAATTAAATTGCCACTGCTTTGATGACCTCTGTTGAGGCGGTACTAGAGCCAGCGGCGGATGATCATGAACCGCCAGGAGAACGTGGGTTCTTGAAGATGTAGAAGTATGCCCATGAAGATGTAGCGTCGACGGGCTCGGCTCTAGCTCCCCTACACAAGGACCACGACCAGTATGGCGCCGAAGCCAAAGAAGAAAGCCGGCGGGGAGCCGGAGGTGGAGCTACCAAAAGAGCTCACGTTTGCGGAGGAGTTTGCTGCGCTGCCAGACATTCCCCAAGTGGCTTTTTCAGTGACGTTCACCGCCCGATGTCATCCCAACATGCTGGAAAAGGTATTAGGAGGCAAGTAGAATGATGTTGATGTTGACTCTGCTAATGTTGTAAAAATGAACTTGCGTCGTGCTGCACGGTTTGAGCAGAAAGTGAAATATCATGCTGCGTCTTGATAATAACATCGATCGACACTGCATGGAGTAGATTATCGAACAACACAGGTACGTATCGCCTTCAATTGGCTGGATGCGGATCTGCAGGGCTGCAGCACCCCGGCCGATGGGATGCCGGCAAATCTTTCCGCGTGGGAGCGCAACGAGAAGGCCTCAACGTCGTCAGAGACGCAGGTCAGTTTCACGAAAACGTTTCCGCCAGCCACGGTGACCCTTGAATTGCTCATGTTGCTGCGAAACTGCGTGATGCAAGCCAGCATATTTTGCCGCGACCTCGACTGCGGAAGCACGAACATATCTCTGTCACCCCTGCTGCTGGCGACTCCCGAGGAGTGTGACTGGCCAATCAAGTTTCCAACAAAAGTACTATAATGCTGTCGTGATGTGCTGCGTTGTCGTGATAGTAATCTTGTTCAGTGGCAGACCCTACTAGCGTTTGCAGCCTCTCTGCTGCGCAACATTATCGAATGTCGATGATCATACATGAGTTATGGTTCGAAAATGACGCGTTTCCGTTTACCACAGAAAGTCAAACACTACTAAAACAGGTTTTCAGCACCCGACGCGACAACCTGAAGGTCCCAGGTCTGTTTTCGCTGGAGACGTGCGTGAGTACGGACCGCAGTTTGCTTACGGACGCGATGGCCCAGCTCCTGATTCCCGTCTTTGTGGAGGTGAAGGCCGTGAAGGATATGCCAAACGAGCCCTGGCTGCCCAACAAGTCTCCGGGGGTCTACGCCACCGTGTTTGGCAAGCTCGGCCCCGCGTACCTGCGGGACGCCTTGGGCGAGGACGTGGGCGCGAAACTGCGAACCCCGTTCGGCACCGAAGAGTTCATGCCCCACAGCAACCGGATTCCGCTAGACGCGAAACTCGTTTTTTTTCTCGGCACCGCCAAGCACAACCTGCACCTGATGCGCGAATGGCTCATGAACGAAGCGCTGCTGATCGAGGTGCACGACCGGGATCCCAACGCCGAGCCTACTGACGGCGAGGCGTCGGGAAGCCAAGAAGAAGGTAAGTAAATACTGATGTTTCGAACAAGTTGATGAAAGAACGAGGAGAAAGAAGTTTCGTATCGAATAAATGCGAGGATCAAGAAGTACTCTTGAGTCAATCTGTTCGGTTAAGGGATGAAAAAGGATATCCTATCATCATCATTTCTACTTTACCCAAAATGTTAAAACAGGGGGAAGTGAGAGTAGCACGAAGAAAGTGAGTCCTAAAATCAGTCCACACGGGCTGGCGCGCTTTCGATTGGCGGACTTTTTGCTGGAAAACGCGTGGGACTGCACGCTGCGTGCGGATCTTTACCCAATTCGAAGCAACGTGAAGCAGCGATACAAAGAACTCAAGTCCGAAGGGCTAGATCCAGCGACGCTTCTGGACTTCGAAACGAGGAAAAAGGTGAGCCGACTTGCGAGCACAGCGGAGCTTCGCGAATTCGAGCCGCCTTACCTAGACCACGGGACGTTCGTGCAGTGTCGCTTCATCAAGCGCGCTCCGGTCCCGCACTGGTTCGATCTGCAAAAGGAAAGTGAGACTTTTCGCTTCGAAAAGATCCTCACAGCGGTGGAAAAAAGGATGGAGGAAGAGTCTTGGCGTGCATTCATCTTTTCCGCAGCCGACCCGAAAACCGGGAATACGCACTACAGGTAATAGAGTACTGTGAATATTAGGGCCGTCCTCGTGAAAGAATAGCAAGTAGGTCATACTTCATAGCTAGATCAGACACTACTGCTTCGACATTTTCATCTTCGAGACCGTCGTTACAGGCAGTCTGTGTAGGACTCCCACACGAAAAAAAACGGATGATCTACATGAAACACCTAAAGGTGGCGACTCCTGGCGCCGGACACGCCAGCGGACCCGGAGGACCCGCCGCCGCAGGGCATTTACAATTTAAACCTGCGTGAGGTGGAGCTCGAGTTTCTTCAGTACGTGAAAGAGACGTTTCCGCCGCCCAGCCGACCCCCCACCGCGGCCACGCAGAACTCGAAAAAGAGCGGCAAGGGCAGCAAAAGCGGGGGGAGCGGCAGTGAGTCCGAGCCCACGCTGCCGGGCGGCCTGCCGCTGCCGACGGAGGAGGAAACGAGCCTCGCGATGGAGGAAATCACCGCGCGCGAAGCCGCGAAGGCCGGGAAGAAGGAGTGGCTGACCACGAACAAGATGGACGTCGGTACCGCCGCGATCACCGGTGCCACCACGGGGCTCGACCTGCGCCACGAGCGCTTTGGGCGGTTGGTCTACGTCCTCGACGTGCAGAACGAACGCGTCGCGACCGAGGTTCTCCGCATCGTCACGGCGCAGAACCAGAAGGCCACCGGTTTGGAGCACGCGCACGTGTCGACCTTGAAAAACTACGAACTGAGCGAAAAGGAGCAAAAGGACCCAGAAATGGACATCCTCACCGGCTACGTGCTGCTCGACAAAAAGTGCCGCATCATGGTGGTGGAAGGGTTGAGAAAGGGTGGCATCCGGCGGCTCCTCGAGGAGATTCCCCGGCTCGACCCAAATGACGAGAAAAACCGACTCATTGGGAACAACGACGTATAGAGAAGTTCTTGAAGATCATGATAATTCGATGCACCATATTTGTTCACAGTAACCCGCACGGGAAAAGATGCGAGGACCACAGAATTACGATTGATGTTGAAAGTGATAAATAAATCTGTGCTGCGTGTAGTACTGCAGTCTCAGAAGCTGAAAAAATGGTGCTGAATGCTCGGCGTATGTTGACAAAAAAAAGCGACATCACCAAACAAGTCGAATGAAATCATAAATCGCAGGTTGGGTTTTCCGATCGGCTGTACCTGCCGTTCAACCTCTCGCTGAAGCACATCAAGATTCGGCAGAACCTGGAGGTGTTCACCGGCACGCGGCCCGAGTTGTACGACGTGACGCGGTGCGCACCGGAGATTTTCGAGATTGTGGAGCAGCTGCGCGAGCTGAAGCGCGCCACCCGCATCCACCACGCCAAGGAGTACTTGAAGTGCTTTCCCCGGGTGGAGTGCTTGATCAAGCTGGAGATTCTCTATCAAATGCAAAAATGTCTGGGTCTGGAAGATTCTGGGACTTGTCATGCTCATTTTGCATGAGCCATGACGTCTGTGATGCATGCCCTAGCATCACAGATTTTTTCGGAGCTTCTTGATGCCCATTCCGCACGACAAATGCCATCTCCGCCTAGCAAAAATTGCCTTTTCCTGGAATCCAAACGCAGCATCACAAGTTCCAACTCTTCCAGACCCAGACTCTTTTGCATTTGATATTCTCTACGGCGACTACATTTCGGACGAGGAGTATGGAAGCGTCAGGTTTGAAATCGTCAAAGTTGAAATAATCTGTAATGCATAAAATGCATGATCCGAGGTACTTGTGTTGCAGAGCAGGCAGATGACGCCATTGTAAGCCTGTTTGGGGTTACAGCTCGAGCTGTTAAAGTAGGATGAGAAAATCACTCTTCTTTGCCTAAACAGCATGACAAACTGGATTTAGGGACCACCGAAATTTGTCATGCGCCACTTGGGAACTGGGTTCCAACTGGCATCCATTTTATGCATGACAAATTATTTCAACTTTGTCGATTTCAACTCTGACACATCCATAAGGAGCTGGCGGGCGGCATTTCGCCGGAGCTGGCGGCGTACCTGAAGCGCAAGGCCGAGGAGGAGGCGGAGCTGGCGGCGGAGCAGGGTCTCGAGGTGCCGCACGAACAGCCGGTGGCGGTGGACACGGACGGGGTGGCCCCGACCGCGTCGAAGCGGGCCAGCGAGAAGATGACGCGCAAAGCCGCCCTGGACACGCAGAACACGGCGTTCGAGGTGGCGGAAGAGTTGAGGAGGACAAAGTCGGTGCCTATCAAAAGCAAACATGTCTGGGGCTGGAAGAGTGCAAGGTTTATTGTTATGCGCGTTTTGGATAGCCCGCAATGTCTGTGATGTATGCCCTAGCTGCATCACAGGCTTTCTTGTGCGGCCCTCCTAATGCCTGTCCTGCATGAGAAATGCCCGCCGCCCTGCAGCATAGACTGGATTGCTCTACTTGCGGTTCACGCAATGCAGATTTTTTGAGCGTTCGAAGGCAGCATCACAGCTTGTAACCTTCCAGACTCAGTAGACACATTTGCAATGCATAGTGCCCAACCTGGTGCGACGGAACATGGCGGAGGTGCACCAGGCATCGGAGGACAACACGCGGTTCAAGTCCATTACCAACTGTAAAAATGTCTTGGTCTGGAAGAATTCATGTTTGTCATGCTTGTCTGGCATGACTCTTAAATCTGTCATGCATGTTACCCAAGCGCTCCGTTTTTCTGTGATGCAGAAGCGCAGTTTGTCATGCAGAATAGGCAACACCTAGGAGCTCAGAAACTTGTCATGCTAAGCCAGCCTCTGTAGCCTCATCATGAGACGCCACCCAGCATCACAAGTTTCCAGACCCAGACATTTTTACTTTTGATATCCATGAGCAAAGTGACGCTGGACCTGGAAACCTTCCTCGACCCGCAGGAGGAAGTGTTCATCTACAGCGGGCAGAAGCTGCAGAGCAGCGAACTGCAGAAACAGTACATGCGGGCCCAGATGTGGCCGCTGCAGGAAAAGTGCATGTGGACGTACTCCCCGATCTACAACAGCAGCGCCTTCGAGTTCGAAGAGCTGCCCACCGGGCGCCCGGGGAACGTGGCGATGCGGGAGGAAGTGCCCGTAGTGGGCAAGGTGCCCTTCCAGTACCCCAAGGCGCGGGAATCGGAGGAGTACAAGAAACCGCAGAGCGACGTGTCGGACTTCCGCAAGTGGGAACTGGAAACCTTCCCGTGGGCCGAGAACGAGTGGCACGGTCTCGCCGTCGGCGCAGAAAGAAGGAAACCCATCAACGCGAAAAAAATCTTCGACGCAGAGAGGGTAAGGAAGTGCCTACTAAAGAAGAAATTTTTGCGTGCGATGATTTGTTTTTTGGTCGTCCTGAAAGTAGCTTACGTGTAAAATAACATACGTTTGTTTTGCTTTTGCTCGCCACAGTAACATGGACGTTCCTTGTTCGTCCTTCAATCGACTGAAACGTACGTGACGCTTTCTGAATTCTAGTCTGTTCCTCTTCACACCGCACAGGTTCCGCACCTGCGGGAGCACAACGACCGGCCGTTCGACGCGAGCCTGATCGAGCGCCGAAACCGGGAGTTCGGACCCAAGAGCATGAACGAGACGGTGCACGAGGCTGGGGTGGTCTACGAGAACCACGTGATCGAGATCAACCGCAAAGTATCAAGAAGAAAAATCCCCCCTTCCCATATCAGAACAGAGATCTGTGATGCAGATTTGTGGTCACAAATCAGCTTTTTCATGCTAGAAGGCAAAAGCTGCGGGCTTTAGTGCTGGCTGGCGTGGGAAAGCCTTGCGTCTTCAGCATGACAGGAGGCAACTGGAAGTGGGAAACAGCACGAAAAATTACCTGCAATTCAGGCCACAACTGCGTCTCTTGGCCTTCTAGCAATACAAGCCGATTTGTGTACTCAGATGCAGCGTCACAGGTTTCGTTTTCGATATGGGGAGGGGGGATTTTTCACTTTGATACAAGGAGAAGGAGATTCGCGAAGCCGGGCGCATCGGGCCCGACGTGATGGGGTTTTACAACAAGGACTACACCAAAAACGGTGTCACCGACATCGACCGCTACGAGCAGATTCTGAAGGACAAGCCAAACATGCGCGCCATCCGGTTCGATCAGAAATTCATGCCGAAACCGATTCGAAAGAAGTACGGGAAGCACAGTATTCTAGAGAAAATTATCAAGCCGTTGCCGTCCTCCATGCGCATCGCAGAAAACTGGGACGAAACCGCGCCGCAGGTACAGATCTTTGCTGCTCGATCGAATTTGTTCACACATGTGCTCGCATATTTTTAGTGCAAATGACTTGGTTGCAATGTTGGGGGGCGCAGAACACACTAATCTCACTCTGATTATAGGTCGAGTACGAGGCTCGCATGCGGCAGAACGACGGAGATGCGCCGTATAATGTGAAGACGAACCTGTACCTGAGTCGTCACACGGAGAAGGACCTGCCGGGCTTCAACCCGACCTTGTTCACGAAGCGGAGCTTCCACGTGGGCAATATGGGTCCGGCGCCGTGGAGGCATCAGCAGATGACCTTCAACAAGAACCGTACCCGCAGTCTGAAACAGATCAGCACCTCCATTCGACATCCGGCCTATGATTACGAAAAGAAATACGTTTCAAATCGAGATTTCGACAGGTAATTGCTACGAGCAGGGCCTTGTATTTAGTTGGCAGAAAGACAAAGTATGACTGGAGAATTCAAATTCTATCACTCTGTATTGCAGTTAAAAACCAAGGCAGAGTGATCGCACGGTTACACGGCCTGCCCAATCTTATCAGGAAATCGATCAAGAATATCAAAAGCCAGCACTCGAAAAACAACAGGTACTCGCGTCCCGCACGGAACTACGCGCGTGAAGACTTCATCGAGAAGAACGCTGCGAGAGAGGACATGTCTCCAATGGAACGAACGGGGCCGAAGTTCACCTACACGCAGCCTCTGCGCGAGCTCCAATACACGGGTTCGCTGGAGGACACGCGAAAAAATAACTACTAGAAGCCTGTGCGTTTGACCTCTTTAATGGCCGCTTCGAGAGAGGACATAGAACGCCTTGGCGATGGTTAAGAAATTAGACTCACGATGACTCACGAAAACTCACTCAACTAACTCAGATCAAAAACTTTTCACATTTTCTTTGGACTCACTCAACTGACACGAATAACTAACTCAAACTCAAAAAAAGACCACACTTCGTGGCAACCTATGGACTCTTTTGTTGGAACTGACTTTGCGAACAAGATAGAATGTACACCAAGAGAACAATGCGCTGTACCGAAATTTTATGAATGCTTTCGATGCTGGGCTGGGCAGCTTCTACCTGCAGGCCCTGCAAAAGCGAGGAAAACGAATCCAAGTACTCTCTACAGATCGAGAATACAGAACGGAGAAAAGAAAGAAAGTTTAGATTCAAAAACGATGCATATGTCGTTGGAGCGAGACGGAAATGGAAAGCAAAGCCCCACGCGCGATCCTTTTCCATGTCGGCACGTGTTCTCTATTGGGGGTCGGAGGGAAGAAACAAATGAAGGAATGAGCTTGAAGATGGCATCGCTCACACGTCACTCTTGGCTTTGTCGTGCAACCGTGCAACCAATCACTGCCTTGCAATCAGCGATAGAAAGTAGTCTGCTTCAACATCCCCCCTCCTCTCTACTAGTGCAAAATCGCGTCGTTTTTTTTGCGTCAAAGTATAAGTATCACCAAATTAAACTCGTTCCTGGATACTCTTCCCTCTCATCCTCTAACACACAAAAATCTCCTTCACACTTGATGCAGCTCTCTGTTCGCGGGAATGGTAAAACGGCGAAGCTTGCCTTAGAGCCGGATGACCCGTCGGTCGCCGAACTGCTTTTGGCGATCGAGCGGGAGCTCGGGATTTGCACCTCGCGGCAAGTGTGGCGAGCCGGGTTCCCGCCCAAGGTACTCGATACCGCCAACGTTAGCACGGTGAAGGCAGCAGGCATACAAAATCGCGACGTGGTCACTGTGGCAGAATCAGAAGCTCCACTGCGGGAACGAATAGGGACCACTGGGTACCCTGCCGCAGAACAAGCACCAGCCGGTCCTCCTCCCGGGGGCGCAGCAACAGCGAGTTCCAGCGCAGCACCGCAGCATAAAAATGCCGGCGCGAGCGCAACTCCCTCCGCGGTCGTCCCTGCCCTCCTTCAGGCCACAGACGGCGTGGAGAGGCACATTATTGCGGCCGACAATAGTTGCCTGTTCAATTCCATTTTGTGGAACTTCGGCCCACGGCATCCCAAGACGAGGACCCAAACAGGCACGACCATGACGCCGCAGGCTCTCCGCGGGGTGTGCGCGCAGGAGATCCGCGGGGATCCGAGCAAGTGGGACATGCTCACACTGGCGGAGTGCGACAAGCCGAGTCTGGAGTACGCCGACTGGATTTCCAAATCCGACTCCTGGGGCGGCTTTTTGGAGATGATGATTCTCTCGAACTATTTCCAGACCCAGATTGCCGCCGTGGACATCCGCACCGCGCGCCTGGAATACTTCCCGCACCTCGAGGGCTTAGAACCGGCGGAGCGGGAAAAGTACAAGGACCGCATGTTCGTGTACTACGACGGTATACACTACGACGCGTGCGCGCGGAAAACGGGTGTTGGGAACAACGACGGTCTAGTCTCCGGAAATGGCCTCTTTGCGGTGCAGGATGACGTGGCGCTCACGCAAGTCGTCGCGGCCGCGATCGAACTCAAGGAGCAGAAGCAGTTCACGGTGACGGCAACGTTCACGCTGCAGTGTCAACACTGTTTCAAGTTGCTCACGGGCGAAAAGTATCAAATGTAAAAATGTCTGGGTCTGGAAGATTGCAACTTGTCGTGCTAAATCTGCAGCATGCAAAAGTCTGTGTTGCATGATTACCAAAAGTCGTTCAGTTTTGACCAAGTCGGGAGGGAGTTTCTCATGCAGGATAGGCATTAGAAAGGTCTCGCAGAGTCTGTCATGCTAGGTCCTGCAATCCAGACCTCATGGGTCATGGAAGAGCAGCATGACAAATCGCGCACTCTTCCAGACCCAGACATTTTTACATTTGATAAAAAGGAAGCGCAAGGACACGCGAAGGAAACAGGGCACTTCAATTTTCAAGAAGCACCAGGATCCTAGTTAGTAGCGCCATGGAGTGCATAATTAATTTTCACTTTGCTTCGTGGACGTTTATATCAAGGATAACCACGAAAACGAGCGAGAAGAACACTCGCAACTCATTCCCAAGACACACGACACAGGAACCTGCTTGACCTTGGCAATCGAAGAGTTTTCCCGTGATTGTTTGACGATCAATGACGTGTTCCATGAATCGTAATGCGACCACCGAAATGAACATGTACATCTACATGCGTAGTCGTGTGTGTGTGTGCAAGTAGAGGACGGGGGTAAGGATCCAGTCACTCCAGCGAAAGCGATGCAGATAGTACTACAGAAAAGTGACGCAGTAGCGGACATTCGCTGTTGCGGTTTTTTGGCGATACCACCATCGTGCTGTTTTTCGATCTCACTCGGTCGTCACTTTTCTCGTAAATATTACCGTCACGACCCTTGCTGCAGGCAGGATTTATAAAAATGAGTTCGGAACAACGTTTGATCTTGTTTCATCCTTGACGCACATTTTTACAGATCGTAGGATATTTCTTAAGCGGAGCATTTTCGATTTTCCTTCTTCAAAGGTTGAATATCAGATGATGAACAATTATACGAAGCGCGAGCCGCCTGAGGTGATCGTTCTCTCCGATAGCGACGTGATTTCTGTTCCGGGGGATCGGGGCAGTACAGTGGGGCAAACTCGACCCGCGCCTGAGGCTCCTGCAGAAACAGACTCACAGGAGCAACTCCTGTTCCCGAGAAAGGGCGGGAAGCAGCAGCCTACCGGATCATCTTCGGTTGGCGCCCAAAATAATAATCTTCCCGACTCTCAGGTGGTCTCTACGTCGCAGGTTGATTCACAAGAACAACTCGTTCTGCAAGCAGCGGCCTCCTTCAAGAATGCATCTTCGCACCTGAGGAAAAAAGAAAGTGTCGGACTCATTGCAACTGAGAATTATAACGATCAGAATTATGCCTCGTTCAGTCTTGGAGCTGGTTCTTCCAGTGGAACACCGTTTGGCGTCGAGAAAAAACTGAACAAGAAGGTTGTCACCTTTCGGGAATCGAGTAGCGAGGTGGAATTCGTGCTTGACCAATCCATATCGAGCGCCGTGCAAGATGGATCTATTGGGCACCGGAACGATCCAGGTCTCAAGCGATTCAGTCCGGTTTTGGGCAATGGAGCCGGCACGGGAGGACAAGGTAGTAGTTCCTCGAGCAACTCTCCTAGTAGAGCGCCCCTCGTGGTGCCGAGCAGTCCCAGCCAGCACCCCCTAGGATCGCAGGCTCAACAATTCTCGCAGCGAAGTGCTAGCCAGAAAGGGACCCCTAGCAGTGCAAGTGCCAAGGGGCCGCGGGTGAAAACAAGAACGCCCGGGACGGGCGGGAGCAGGACGTCGAAAAAAGCGCCTAAAACGCCGGGAACAGCGAAGTCTGGAGCATCAAGTAAAGCGGCACGGAGCCAGCAAACGCCCGGTGGACCACCGCTCAGCGCGGGCAAGAGGACGCCGGGGCAGAAAACTACAACAAGCGGGAAGAGGAAGAACAAGGCCACACCAAAATCTTCAGCTCGGGAGCCGGAGAACCGGGATGAGTTTTATGATTTTGTGTACGAAAAATTGTCTGACGACGCAGTGAGTCGTTGGTGCTCGCATTTTGGCCTGAAGGTGAACGCGGGAAAAGCGTTTCTGGCACAGAAGCTGGAGGAGATTCTTCGGTTTGTCTTCGACGGGGACGAGAAATCCTTTTTGCAGACGATAGCGAAAGCAGTCGTGCCGGGTTTTGGATCCAGTGTGATACCGTTAGGAGGAGGCTCGCAGCACAGTAATAACAGAAGGACACCAAACAGGAATAACGAGGGGCATCCACTGTGGTCCGCTGCTTTGTCTGAAGACGCAAATTATCACGCTAGTTCCCTCGAGCCTGAATCTGTACCTTCTGGTAACGACGAGAGTCTCGATGCGCGTCTCATTCACGCGGTTCGGTCGGAAACGGGTTTGTACGAACAAATGTTGCTTTTCACCCCGGTGCAACCACTGGAAGTTCAAAAGCTCCTGCGTGAAAACCACAATATACGAATCGGCCTGCAAGTCTGCGTCGATTTCCTTGAGCGTAACAGTATTTTGTATTCGAAGTAGGGTTGTTTTGATGACGTGAAGCGAAAGAGTAGTGCTAGTGGCAAGGACGTGGACGTCTCCAAGACAGCTACACTTTCATCATTCTCAGTTCGAACAAGGACCTTGTCCACAGAATTTGAAAATCGAGCGTTTCTCCGCTTGTTCACAGACGTGTTTCATCTCAGCTTTCTTGTGAATGTACTCAAAGAAGATGATGAAAAGAGTTATCGGTTGTCGTCCCCACAACTGCCAGTGTGCAAAAGATTTTGATTTCGTGCATCCGAAAAAAGCCCAAGTGTGTCGGTTATCAATAGTGCGTGCTGGAACTACCACTTCGTTCGGTCCGTGCAACCATGATTTTCGTGCCAAGAATTGCGTGCAAAGGAAATTAACTTTTTTCACCGCTCGTAGTATGCTGAAGAAACAAGTTTTCCTCGTTTACTTTTTCAGGAATCCATGTGAAATCCCCATTTTCTCCCCATGTTAGATCTCTCGTCCCCGTCAAGAAATATTCAACATACCACTTCGTACCACAACGTACGTTTCGTATTTTAGGTAGGATGCGTATATTGATTTGGAGGTAATCACCAGTTGCAGGCCTCTTTTTTACATTCGCGTTTGACTGTATAACTTGTTCACGTTTATTGAGGCCCTTGCACGAGGTGGGCAAGAAATTCAAATTAGACTCCTATATTACCGGAGCTACCGATACCGTTGTAGCGCCGAAGATGACGCAGGGCAGCCTTGCGCATGAAGGGTGAGTTTCGTCATTTCGCTGCCACTTGGAGTTCGATTCCGACCAAGCGGGTCATTCAAGGCTAAAACAAGTGTGCTAGAAGTTGTACTGCAACCAGGCTTGTCCTTTCTTTTTTAGTTTCCTCGTCTCGGTTTGGAGGCACGATGCCTGAGGAAGAAGGAGCTCCGGACGAGGTGGCAATCGCCGTGGAGGGCGAGGACGAGGCGGAGGCGGGCGCGGAAGAACAGGCGGAGGAACAACCTGAGGAAGCAGGCGCAGAAGCCGACGCCACCGATGAGAACAAGGGACAAAAGAAGGTTGGATCGGGCAAATACATTTTCGATTCGGAACAGGTTAAAGAGGTACAAGACGACATTGACACTGCGGATGCCATACGCATTGCAAGAGATACCGATCTGCTGGTCTGGAACAAGATAGCAAATTTGTGATGTTGCAGCTCCCTGAAAACCAGATCACCAAAAAATTCTGTCTCGCATGAATCCGAATATAAAATTGCCTTTTTTTTGTGACACGAACTGGGGAGTATTTTGCATCCAGGACGATGAGTGGAGCCTTGTCAGAATCTGTGATGCTAGATCATGCATTGCAGAACTTGCGGGACCACGGAGGCATAGAAAATCTGCATCACAAGCAACTGCATTCTTCCCGAGGACCCAGACGTACTACTTGCAATCCATACGCCAAAATAAGGAGTAGGCTCAAAGAGAAGCCAAGCACTCTCGGTCGCGGAACCACGCTCGCAAACCTGGAAAAGGCCACGGACGAGAATAAATTTGCTCAAGTCGTCGCAACCGCGTTCGGAGAAGACACCGGGTAAGTAAGTAAACGTACAATTTCACCCTATTGACAATTACTGACGCGTCGCGGGATGCAATAAGGACATCAATACATAAAACTGACAGTAAATAAAAGCTTCCCACGACCGTTGCTCTTCTGCTTTGGTTTTTTTTGGAAGATCATATTGTTCTTCCTCTTCGATAAAAAGGATGCTTAGAAGGTCCTTTTTGGGTGAGAAGACGGAAGGTGATGATTTTGCAAGAACTTATGCACCGGAATAAACGTACAAATACAAAACAGCATCGGAAAGCATTTAAATGAGCAGTTGGCGAACCGAGAATCGCAGCAGGGGGCGTTCGCCGTGCTGCAGGGGTCCGGCCAGGGACGGTCGATGGGGCGGCCGGCCAGTCCGGTCACGCCGTTGGTGCAGCGCGTATATTCCCTCGGTCACATGTTCGACGAGGAAGACAGCCCGCTGGCGAAGTGCGTGCGGGAGCGGATCGCGTATTTGCCGACGCGGATGGAGTTTATGGATCCCGACTTCGACTGGTTTAAGAGTCGGTGGACCAGTGCCAACCGCGTGGAGGTGGAGCCCCTGCTCTCCTGGGAAGACCTGATAAAGCTCCGATGGCGACACATGAAGAAGAACGTGGACATGTACTGGCAGGTGTACTCGACAGCCATGGCGGTCACAGTCTGGGGCACCACCTTGCACGTGGTCGACAAGGGCTTCATGGGAGGAGCGCCGATTGCGAAAGACTTCTTTCTGGAGCGAATGCAGCTGCCCCCGCAGATGTTCGGTATCTTATCTTTTTCACGCTCAGTTGTTTCCCTTTCTTTCTCGGGCACTTTGATTTTACGTGCCCACACCGCAAAGATAGAATAAAGAAAAGTAGAAGACCGACAAAATCACCTGATGGTTTGTTCACCATGTACCTTTTTCGTCCGAGCAGTAGACCCCTTCTCTTCTTGGATGTCGTTTTTCTTTCTCGACATCAAATGTTTCGAACGATATGAAAAAACCTGGTGGATGTTGTGAAATACAAACAAATTATCGATCAACGATAAAACAGGTATCTTCAGCGGCGTGATTTCCTTCCTGTTGGTGATTCGTGTGAATCTTTCGTACGGGCGTTGGTGGATGGCGCGGCAGGAATTGGAGAAGTTCGCTACCCAGTTTTACATGTTCGCCATCACGCTCTGCTGCTGGGACCAGTTCACGGTGACCTCGGGGAAGGACCACTACCTGTTCCGCCGCCGCGTGTGCGGGTTGATTTCCCTAATGCACGCCAAGTGTTGCGAGGAGTTGCGCGAGAGCTACGAGTCGCCCTCCTTGGGGGACTGGTATTTAGAGGATTCCGTGCAGCGGACGATGAACGACCACAGTCTCGTTCAGGAGATCATCGGCGTAAACAACGACTCGGAGCCGGTCCGCGACAAGACGGCGCAGGTGTACGCGTGGCTGGTGATGCTGGTCTCCGGCCGGTTTTTCAAGTGCCACTTTGTCCCCCCGCCGCTCCTGACCCAGATGTTCGCGCTGATCCAAAACGGGATGCAGTCCTTCCACAGCGCGCTGGTGATCCGAAACACGGAGTTTCCCGAGCCCTTCACTGTGATTGTGGTGAACTTGAGTACGCTGATGGGGTTCCTGATCCCGGTCGTGATCCACCCGCTGCTGGACTTTCTGCTCTGGAAGTTTCTCCTGCTCACCATCGCCATGTACGGGTTCGTCGTCACGGGCCTGGTGGCCCAAATGCTCGAGGACCCGTTCGGAACGGACACCTTCGATCACCCACTGGATCAGTACCAGATAGACTTTGACATAGCCCTGATGGAGGTCATCGACAAGTTCGACTACCGAGTGCCCTTCGCCACGGAAAACGGCTTGCGGGAGGACGACTACAAAAAGGCGATGGCAGAAACCATTCGGTGGAACAACTGCGCCCCGAAGGCACCACGGGAGCGCGTGGGACCCACACAGGGCGCGCTACGGATCATTCGCAGGGTAGACGCCACAAAGGACGGTATAAGATTGTTCATCAGAGAAGTGGAAGTAGGGGACTCATTCGGTTTCGTTGGTTATCTTTTGTGCAGCATCGTCCTGCATCATAATACATCTCTGTGTGATCATCCGCTTGGCGTTGTTCATCTGATCCGCGCAGCATTCGCACCGAGACTCACAATGATCATTCTTTTGCGCAGCTTTAGACCAGGTGACTTTAATATTGGCTGGAAGCACTGCCACTGAGTCTCGTCGACATGAAAATGTTGATTTTATTTCAACAAAACAGGTTGGGATTCCGACGATAGTTGCATCCCCTTTGAGCATGAGCTGAAGCCGAGGCGGCGACCGAAACTGGTAGAGGATAAGGCAGAGCGGGTGAAGGAGCGGTTCCGATTGAAGGAGGAACTGAAAGAGGCGGCGAAGTTCGCGCGGATGAAGCGGGCTGTGTTCAACATCGAGGCGTACGCCATCATCCATATGAACGAAAAGTACGGGCGCCACGAGTTCGGAAAGCAGCGGTCGAAGAGGGTCGGGGGTGACGACAATGCAAAAAGCCCCGACGACAACATGGCGCCGCTAGTAAGCGAGCGACCCAGCCGGCCAAGCACGTTTCGCCAAATGCCGGTTGATGACTCGCCTGCCAACCCGGGGAGGACGCGAGCCGCCAAGAGCATCTACCGACCCGATCGCGGCGGCTAAGTGGATACTGAATTTGTAAGATATGTAGGCTAGACGTTGTTTATCAGAACGAAAGTTCTACGAACTACGTCTACTCTAGGTGTGAACCGCGATGGAACTACTGCGGCTGCTGTTGTCTATTCTTCCAAAAAAAAACATGTGAAAGTCTGCTTTCCCAAACAAGGTGAAGTTTGCCTGAAGAGCAAATCCCACCGTCGGAGAATTTCGCTGCAACATTGCAGGCGTCTGATGAGCAAGGTGGTTGTACTTACTAGAGATACGACTTTGATCAACATCTATGCTACAGACTTAGCATGGGAGAAAAAAAATATACCCGGAGAACCATGAATTTTCTTGTAAAATTAATAACGGCATAAACATATGTCAGTGAAGTTGTGCCAATCTCAAAAGCTACCCCGGTACAAACAGAAGTATAAAGATATCAATCGGACTTCCAAAAAGCAACGTTTAAAAAACAGTATTACATTAGGTTGAAATGAATACTTGGATAATTATTCCGTTAAATGTCAAGTGTCTTTTACTTGCGTCTGTAATATGGCAATTGATTTCTAGAGGAAGACGGCGACAACCGCAGTACAAGGGCTACGCGTACCGGCGCCCAAGGCCGAAGCGTCGCATGTCTTGCAGCTGGCCCTGTTCTGTTTTCGGCTCATCGTTTGTGACAGTGAGTACTGTAACCGTTGTTCCCAAAATCATGCTCGAACATATCGGACGCAGAGCTACAGCTACGTTGCTCCTACCGCACGCAGATCGGTTGTCTAGTCGTACAAGTGATTCGGCTGGTGCCTTTTCTCGGTTACTGAGAGGAAGAAAAAAGTGTCGGTGTTGATTCGTCTTTTTCGCGTTTTGAGTTTCGGTCTGCTTCCGCATCCTTTTGCTGTCGGTTCTCCTATTTCTCTTTTCACGACAATGAGCTCGTGCTTACATCTGTGAGGTGCAGTATGAAGGTTTGTATCATGATTTTTCGTGCGCACTTACTTTTTGTTTTTCCTGAAAATTTACTCCGAAAGCGGGGGTCGTAGGGTCCGGGTCGCCGGGCCCGTCCAGAACTTGCGCAGTACTTCGCCGCGGATGTTTCGCCTCTGGAATTTCAGAGCCTGTCAGGCACAAGATGGAGTGGTCTTGCGAAGCTAACAAGTGCTCCCAGTGTCGCACTCCGCGAAACGGAGCCGGGCTGCTGCACTGAGGTCGCCCCGGGGTCGGCCCCAAATGCTATGCGCCGCGCCAACATTTTGCGCCGGCAGAGGCTTCGGTGTGTCGGCGCCGCGCGCGCCTTCTCCTTGCTAGTTGCCCAAACCAGGCCGCGAAGACAGGCCGCAGGGACCGCCCGCTGGTGGCTTCAATTCCAGAGGCGTTTCGTTGTCTCCTTGCACACTTGTGCACTTCGCGCAAATGAGCTGCTGTGGCAGCGCCATCGCGTAACGCACGTTACACGGCGGCTCTCTGTTTCACTTGTGCCTTCCCGGCCGTGTCAATAGTGCTCCCCGTGGCGGCCGCTTTAATTTCAGAGGCATGTCCTTGCCTATATGCACGCTTGCGCACGTTGCAAAAAGCTTGCCACCGCCGTGCCATCGTGTAACGCACGTTACACGACGGCCCTCTGCTCCGCCGCAGCCCCCTTCGTGTGTGGGGAGCTGTGTGCGAAAAGCCTTGCCGCTTTGGGTTGTAAGGAGGCGCCCTCGTCCTCTCCTCGTCTGGGTAAGGCGCCCGCCAGCTAGCCATAAGAGGAGCAAGGCGCTGCTGGCTCGCCTGCCGGGCTGCGTCTCTCACTCTTGGTAAGTGAGCAGCGGCCCTCGCCGTCGCCTTCGTGCCCTGGTTAGAGGAGGTGCGCCACTGTGCTCACCCTCGCTCGCTGCAAACAGGCGACGGCCCTTCTGTTTTGTTCCTGATGCGCCCCACCGAGAGGATTTCTTTTTCTTGTGGCTTGTGCTGGTTATTTCCATTTGTTCTGCCGCTTCTGATCTGCCGCTCGGTGGGTGCTCTGCTTCTTTCAGAGCTGCGGTCGGATCTTGGCTTGGTCATCCGCAACTTCTTTGGAGATTCGGTGTGAAGCTTCGTCCGGAACTTTTTCCACGATTGTCTCAGAACTTGGTTCAGAACTTGCAAAAAACTTGTTTTGGAACTTGCAAAGTTTTTTTTTTTGGCTTTTCTTTTTTTCTCGTTCCGCGATGGGATAGCCAATTTCTCGCCTTTCTTTTTCGGTCTGCGAAACGTTTTTCTGCAAGTTCCGAGACAAGTCTTCGGACAAGTTCCGAGACTAGGTCCGGAAAAAGTTCCGAAACAAGTGCCGCGGCAAATTTCTGAACAAGCCCCAGAGCAAGTAGCCCCGGAACAAGGCCCGGGGCAAAGCTCCTGCGTGTGCAAGGGCCCCGCGGGCAGGCTTCTGGGGCATTGGTTTCGGAACAAACTAGCTAGGCCCGCTACGTGGCCGGCCCATGAGGGTGGTCCGGGCCGTCGCGCCGGCAGGAGTGTGACGTCGGTCTGAGGCCGCCGACCTTCGCCACTGCCAGCGGGTCACGTCCTCTGGGAGGGGGCGGCGCTCTGGTGTGATCCGGTTAGAAGGCCTCGCAGCTTTAAAGGGCGGCCGTCGGACCGCCCAGGGGCGGGGCTTCCGGGACTCTGAAGAAAGGGCAACGGGGTTTCATGGCGTCGGAGGCAGCCTGGGTGCTGGCTCGGCGCAGCCAAGCAAGCTTGTCTCCCCCGCGGCGCCCGGTGTGGATGTGCCGGCCCCTGTCGTCGGGTGGGCCCGCGGAGACTGTTTCTATTTTGTTGTCATTGCGCGCGCGCCCGAAGCGCTTTGTTTTATCACATTCCAGCAAACGAAGCCGCGCGCCATCGTGTAACGCGCGTTACACGACGGCGTTGTCGTTTCGTCCTGTCGCCTGCTGCGCAGCTGTGGCATGCTTCCGGCTCCTGTAGACGCATTGTTTCACCACAGAGCGACACTCGCTCTCGCGTCCCCCCTCTGGCGCAACACCTCAAAGAAAGGCCTCCCTTCATGTCGTGCCGACAGCCGCGAGCACGGGCGCCCGCGCGGCTATAGGGGAAGCATGCTGCATCGCGCCCATCTTCGCTTGGTGTGCAAGCGTGTTGCCGTAGCGTTTGGTCGTCGCTGGGGTGGTTCGTCTCGGTGGGCTGCTGCCTCGCACCAACATGCAGCCAGCAACCACCTGAGCAGAATAAACCCGTGGAAGGCTCCTCCTACTGGGGCTGGGCCCTCGTTGCCTGGCACCCCGGCGCCCTCTCGTATTGCCCCATCCGGGAATCGGCCCGACAAGTTCCGGGCAAGTTCTGTGCGAGTTCAGCGCCGCATACATCTAGACCCATGCTTTCGGAGTAACTGAAAATTGAAAAAAACATGCTTTCTTATCCCAACTACAGGCAGTGGTAGTCCCACCAAAAGTTGCCGTTTTGGACTATCATTTCCACCAATTTTGAATTTGAACATCATCAAACCACACTTTTCTAAATTCAACTTTCTATCACCCACTTACCTTCATTAAGCATGCATCGGAATTCATCAACCTTGTTTCGTTTTGATATCGGGTAACAGTCCGCATCCCGGCTGTTGTGAGTAAGGAAGGTTCATCTCCACGACCCGATATTGATTATTCATTATGGCGTCAAAGTTGAAGAAGTTACGGGCCGCCGCGGGCGTCAATGAGACTGGTGAGGCGGAGCAATTGCTTCCCGGTCTGGCCAAGCGCCCCGGCGTCGGGAACTACAAAACCGCAGGAGGGGGCCACAATTCCAAGATCATGAAAGTCATGGCGGACATCGAAAAGGATCTCATAGAGTACTTCTATCTGTTGTTCCACACCTTTTTTCTCCCGCACCCGTGTCCTGATTGGCTACAAAGATTCTTGCTCTCAGGCCAACGAGAATGATCAATGTGGGTTCGCCTTAGATAGGACTATAGAAAGACAGAGAACAACAGAGGAATCGCTGCGGCATTGCTTGACAGACATTATTCCTCCCTAAATGCAGCCCGTATTAGAAATGTCGTGTGATCATAGATTCATTCGCATACGTCCACTGCATCAAAAGTAAAGACATTTTCTCCTAAAACTCTACTACAGGTACCTGGAAGACTTGGATACCATTGCGGCGAACATTGACACGCTGGCGCACGACGTGCGCAGGGTGGCCACGACGAAGGAGGAAGGGCAGAAGGTGAAGGAGATGCAGATGCAATTGGACCAGTCGAAGCAGTACAATGCGAAGGTGAAATCCTGCCTGGAGGATCTGGAAAACCTCGCGCACGGCAAAAAGTCCCACACGCTGAGCTCCGCCGAGAAGGACTACTGTAACACCATCCTGGAGACCATGTCGAAGAAGTTCAAGGACTGCGTGAAAAAGTCCCTCGCCGCGCAGAGCAATTTCGAGACGGCGACCCGGAGCCGGCTGCAGAAGGGGCTGCAGATGATGTTCCCCGACGCGAGCAAAGAGGAGGTGTCCGAGCTCATTTCTGGCGACCCGAAGCAGATCCAGGGCCTGTTGCAGAAGCAGTACACCAAGGCGGGGAGCCAGGGCGACCGCCAGCTCCACGATCAGTTGTCCACCATGCAGGACAACCACGACGCAATGTTGGAGTTGGAACAGTCCGTGCTGGAGTTAAACGAGCTGTTCTTCTACCTCTCCGCACTCGTAGAGAAGCAGGCCCGGACGTTGGAAAGCATCGAAGCGTAATTTTTTACTATCATATGCTCGGATTTGGTTTTCGTGTTTCTCTCTTTGATGAGCATTTTTTGGGGGTAGTGCTCTTGCTGCATATAACGACTCGTCCTATTGAGAAGCTTTGCTTTTTTGCTAGCGAGTTTTGTTGCGCTTCAATGCAGCTGCTATCTTGTCCAAAATAGAAATTGATTTTTGTTTCATGTACCACGATGATTACCACCTGTATGAACAGAGAACAACAAATGGATAAATAAATCGGAGCAACAAAAATATAACAGGCACGTGGACAAAACGGACGAATACATTGGGGAGGGGGTCGAGTCCCTGGAGCGCGCGGAAACCTTGCAGCGCAGCTACGAGTCGAAGCGGCAATGTTTGAAAGCGGTGCTCTGTTGGGGCGGTATCGTCGGGATCATCGTGCTCTGCGTCATCTTGTTCTTCTGTGTTATCAAGCCGGCCTGCCTAGAAGGGGGTGGCGGGAGTTTCCTGCAGTTGGGGGGTGGCGGGAGTTTCCTGCAACGGTCGGATAGTAACCAGGGGAGTCTGCTTTTTTCCAATCCGAAGAAACTCCGTTTTCCCCAGCCTCGACAGTGAGCGCGGGAGATGCCGCGCAGGTGCATTTTTGGGGAAATGGTACTGCGAATTCTACATCTTGCTCTTCGATTGATCGCCATTGAAGCTTGTTTGATACGTTTTCCATCATGCGTTATTTTTCCCGTGTACAATTTTTACTTTTTTTGATCATAACATTTTACACTTCATCATACATACGTTTTACTGATTATCATTCTAGCATCTTCATTGAACTTCAACTTATTCACATTTTCATTTACATCTTTGACACTTTTTGCATAATTTGTTCTTGCCTTTTATCAGAGCGTAGACACAACGTTGACAATTTTCATTCGCGAAGTGTTGAGCCGTCTTCGGGCGGTCTACCTATCTCGGCAGTTATTTCTGTTGCAAATTCGACATGATTTCCCGCTCATTGCGGGGATAGAGAAGATTCACTATTGAGTTTTTGCAACAACAATTTTGTAAAGGGATCCTCAGCAATATCTAAATTTCACGACCACTTCTACTACCGATACCTCGACGTAAAAAGCGAACAGCAGCCAACCGCTGCACACAAGGTGAGACGAGCGAGTAAGTACTAGGTCTCACGTTTTTTGCATTTTCATAAGCAGCGTCAGGTTATCTGCAAACAAAAACCAAACGATTTTTGCTGAAGCTGAACAACTACTTGGGTCCATTAATTTCATACTCCAAAGCGACTGCAGCAACTGCTAGCTGCGGACCTACCTGTCGGGTCATTGGTGTTTCCCATTTTCAGATGTGCGCAGTTCGGTCAGTCGAATTTAGCAGTCGTCGGTTTGTTACACTTTGGTTGTGCTTCGAGTTTTCGGTCGTTCATGGCACTGCTTACGGTCACAGGCTGTTGCTAATTTCGGTTTCATACGTATGATACGTGTCGGATGTTATAATTTTCTCTCTTGGTAGTTCGTCGTGATCGTGCAGCGGTACGTACTAACACGCTTACGTTAATATGCAGCGTTTTTCGTCCCTCTCGTACTTGCTCGTGACGGTGAAGCTTTTCAACATTTTTCAATCTTCGGTTACTTCGCCGCATGGCTCTCTGCATTTCAATCTACAATGGAAGCGAATTCTCCCTAAAAATTGACTTGCAGCTTTCCCTTTGAGCTTGATTCGAAGTATCGGCTACTTAGATGTTTTTTACTGGTGCCAATTTTCATTTTTGCATGCTCGTGGTAGATACCCTCTACTAGAGCTACGTTTTCCAATTCCTTTTTTACCATTTTACCGTATCGCGTTTTACTGAGTGACCATATTAGGTATGTTTATAGCTTCAGAGAATCATTCAAACACGCTTGCGAAGCAGGCGGGCTCGTCCACCAGCACCTGATACTAGTGTAGCGACGGTCCTCGTCATCGGCCGCTTGCTCCTCTAGGGTCGTGAAGATGGCGTCGAGATCGAAATTGGGTGCCTTACGCGAGGCGGCGGGGGTGGACAAGGATGAGCTGATTGGCAACTACATGGAGGGCCTCCGCCAGTCGCAGGGCGCCGGTTTTGGCGGTAGTCAGCAGCTGGTGACGATGCGGCCCGCGGGCGCGGAGGAAAAGACGCGGATCATGAAACTGCTGCACACCATCGAGAAGGACGTGGAAGAGTTCATTGAAGATCTAGAGGTGATCTCCCACAACATCGTCGTCCTCGCGAACGAGGTGAAACGGTCGTTTATTACAATGAAAAATGCCCTCACTCCAGAACTTGGCAGCATTTGTATTGCAAACCTTTCCAATGGCAACATTCCCCGTCTTGCAAATGTCAGCATCACAAATTTTCCATGCTGAATAGCTCAAACCTGTGCTGCAAAGGAGCCCACCAGCAGCCGGGTCTGTCATGCAAAAGACACCTTTCCCTTGCGCACCTAGATTCTGCATCAGAAAGGCTCGCAGTCCTTTCATGCAAGACAGAAAGCTTTCATATGGAAACTTTGCATGAGAAACTGTTGCAAATTCTGAAAGGGAGCATTTTTCATTGTAATATCCTTCACGAAGGAGGACGAGGTGTCCAAAGTGCGGGAGTTTCAGGTCAACATGGACCAGGGGAAGAACTATTGCGCCAAGGTGAAAAACTGCCTCGCCGACCTGGAGAAGCTGCAGGACCAGAAAAACAAAGCCAGCCAAGCGATGACCAAAAGGGAGCGCGAGTACTGCCAGTCCGTGCTCGGAACCTCGACCTCCAAATTCCAAGCCGCCGTCAAAGAACTACTCGCCGCGCAAAACACCTTCGAGAAGGAGGCGAAGCACAGGTATTTCATAGCACGTTTGTCTTTCGATTCCTGGAGGGTCGTAGTTGAGAAGTCTGGGAGGGGGCCTTGCAGATTCAGGAGGCTTTCCGTCCCGATTTACAGAATTTTCAAAGACGATGAAGAGATCAGTAGATATTATGAGAAACTTATTTTCGGTACCCCGTGTGGTCAACTGGCATCTTGAAGCTGCATTGAAAATTTGGTAAACAATGATCGTCTTCCATTCATCGCGACATTTACATTTTGAATACATTTACGCTGCCTGTTGTAGGTGCATGATCATGATGCATTTTGCTGTATTTCAATATGCCTTCCTCAAAATAACAGGATGAAGCTTGCGTTAAGCACTTTATACCCGGATGCGTCGATGGACGAGGTCGCGACGCTTGTGGAGAGCGACAATACGGCTTTGTTGCAGACCGTGATGCGGAAGAGGAGCGACGCCAGCGACGACCAAGCGATGCAAGAGCAGCTGATGCTGCTGCAGGAGCAGTCCGACGCCATGCTGGAGCTGGAGAAGTCTGTTCTGGAGTTGAACGACCTGTTTTTCTACCTCTCTTCGCTCGTGGAGCAGCAGGCGCGATCTCTGCAGTCGATCGAGGATAATGTCAACAAGACCGACCAATTCGTGGGCGAGGGCGTGCAGCGCTTGGCCCTGGCAGAGAAACACCAGGCGAGCTACGACTGGAAGCGGAAGTGGTTGCAGACGGGGCTGATGATCTTGTGCTGCTTCGGCATCTGCATCGGCTTGGGTTTCATCCTGATGTACTGCCAGCCGGTCTACGACTGCGTCTACGGCACCGCGGAAGCCGGCGTCGACGGAGCCACGTCCGCCGTCTCTGGGAGCGGGGGCGAAGGAGCGAAGAAAGAGAGTTCTTTTCAAGAAGTGCTCGCTCACCAGGAGGTGGTTGCGGCTCCCGCAAAAGTAGAGGTGGAGCCGCATGTAGAGGTACTTGATGCCCCCGTCGCGCCGTACGTCGAACCACCTTCCATATCGCACCGCGGGGGGTACCTCTCGGTCGTGCGGTCGCGTGCCTCCTTGCTACGCCAACGAGCAGTGAAGATGGTTTGAGTTCCTCGAGAAGAAATATTTGGAAAATAGCCATCATTGCCGCAGGTGAATTTTTAAGTGCGTCATCGACATCGATGCAAAAATGCAGCACTAAATTTCATCGTCCACCTCCTCCTTCTCAGGTTAGAGCATCGATTGAGAACATGACTCAAAAATACAAGTTATCGAGTTCTATGCGTACGCACTGAAGAACGCAGTCCAAAAAATCATACTTATGTTGTCACTACAGAACGGATAGGTATCTGGTACTTTTTTGCCGAACAGCAGCACGAGAACCTGGCGCGACCATGTGAATTTCACCCCCCCGGTACGCTGCCACGGAAATTCGCTACCTAAGAAAATATATTTACAACATGCGGTTATTCATCGTATCTATTCTTTTATTCCCCAGACCACGTTTTCACACAGCTTTCTGCTATTATTAAGGAAGAGCTCGTACTGTAATTCAATCGACGGCTTCTCGTCGATGTCTTCATGAACTGGCTGTCTACTTCACGAGATGCTCCCGGCGAACGCTGCAAGCGAACATCTCGCGGTTTCACACTCAGACGCAAAATGCCTTTGGAAAAATATAAACACAGCGCGGCCATCACCGCCGCATCTATGGTGCACTGCAAATTTTCCTGCGGTCTCGAGGTGCGGCATTCGCTTGTGCTTTCATTCCGGCGGCACATTTTCGTTTTTCATTTTCTCGGTAGTACTTGTTTATGAAGACGCTATTAATATATCGTTCTCGGTATAGAGTAGAAGCCGCAAGCGCAGCGATCGGTTTGCGGTGCATTCCATGACGCTGTGCCAGCGTGTATATCGGTCATTCCGTGTGAGCATGCTTTTCTTTCGTTCGGTCGAGGCCTCTTCGTTCAGAATCTATCAGAACTCTGTACGTAACACCCTCGTCGGTTGAACAAACACTCTTGAGGACAAGCACAAACGTGTCCACTTTTTGCAGTGAATCGGTTTTGCTGGTCGTTCATCCGCACCTGTATCTCTTTTCGTCCACTCATCGTCCGTTGCAGCAGTGCGCACTTCGTCGGAAGCAACTCCCACGAAAAGTGTGGAATACGATTTTAATACAGGCGTGCGTTTTCCCCCAACAGTAGTATTTCCCCCTTGTAATTTTGTCATATTTCGCTTTGTGAGTTTGTAAATTATGGAGCTGTTGATTAGCCTGCGTGGTCGGCGCCGTAAGAAGTATCGGGCAAGCGACGTAGGCTGATCCAATTTTCAGTTTTTTACCATTTAAAGAGACCCCCAGATTTTTATCATTTCCCAGTTTTTTCATCCCAAAAACCTTACTATAACTTTTTCCCCAACTACAACATCTTCGCAAAAATCGTATTTATCTCCGACAGCACTCGAGTAAAAGTTTCTCTACTGTACTAAAAGCTCCCTCCTGCGGAACGATGAGCACCCGGGATTCCAACCAGAAGGTGCGGGACCGCAAGGGGTCGCAGCGCAAAAGCCAGCGCGGAGGCGGCGGCAAGGACGGGACTACCGCGAAAAACAGCGGCGGCAAACCGAGTGGCGGGGGCGGGGGTGCGAGTTGGGAACAACAACAAGCCCCCAACTGGGACGCGCAGCTGGCCGCGGCGGAGAAGACCAACAGCAACCCCTACAGCAACAGCGCCATCATGGAGGTGCTCCACAACATCGGGGAGAATCTGAAGGAGCACTTGCAGGACCTGGAGGTGGTGACCCAGAACATGCACGTGCTGGCCGCCGACATCAAGGACGCGCGCGACCAGAACGAACTGAACGCGACACTGAAGCGGATGCACGAGCAGAACGAGATGTCGCGGAAGTACGCGCAACGGGTGAAATCCGCCGTGCAGGACCTGCAGGACCTGCTCGACAAGCGGCGGTCCGCCCTGACCAAAACGGAGGCGGACTTTGGGGACCGCGCGCTGAAGGAGCACTCGCGCCGGTTCCACGCCGCCATCAAGAACATGCTGTCGGCCCAGCATGCGTTCGACGAGGTAACCACGAAGAAGGTGGAGCAGCACATGCACCAGATGTACCCGCAGGCCAGCCCGTCGGACGTGCAACGGATGGTGCAGGAGCGCCGGCAGAAGGACCAACAGCAGCTCCAGAACCCGATGGCGGACGTGGAGGTGGCACGCCAGGAGCTGGACCAGCTGGACGAGGAGGCCCAGGCGCTGTTTGAGCTGGAGGCGGCCATCAAGGAGACGGACGATATGATGTTCTACATCAACGCGCTCGTTGAGGAACAGGCGGAGCAGATCATCGACATCGAGGACATGGTGTACGGCGCGCAGGCCTTTGTCGGTGCCGGCGTGGAACAGCTCGATGAATCGGAGGGCTATTTCAACAGGTACATCTCTGTTCTTGTTGTTCTTTTTCCTAGTTTTGATTTGCCTGTGTGCGTTCTTACCGCGCGTGTGTTTTTGATGTTTCCATCAAAACAATGGCAGCTTTGAGTTGGAAATTGACCTTGAACCACACGACCTGTGGTGGTGCAATTCTATTGACTGGTACCCAAAGAAATCTTTTTCTTTTGTTAATACTACAGCTACATGATCAAGAAGATTTGTCTGTCCTGCTGTTTCTGGTGCGGGCTTATCGCCGCGGTGGTTGTGGGTATCATTTTGTTGGTCATTTTTTGCGGCAACGGCGGCGGGGCGACGGAGGTGCATCTGGTTCAGAGTGCGGCGTCTTTTGTCGAAGAGAAGCACACCGCCGTTCGGCACGGGCTGCACAACTCCCACGGTCGCAGGACCTCCGCTTGGCTGTCCACCTTGTGAAAAAACGAGCAGATCACGGCGTTTCCGTACTGAGACTGACGCTCCGTAAAAAATTCCTTTATTGGAACGAATGTTTTCAGGAGGAAGTTGTTGTGGAGGAGTTTGAAGTGCGAACCGCTGAAAGGTCTCGCCGTTTGATGTTATTGCCGCTTTCGACAAGCGCCATGGAAATTTTGTTGGAGAAAGCTTGCTTCTATCAGAGGAGTTTGACACATTTTTACGACACAAACAAAAATCACATCAGCAGTTGTGTACTAGTTGTAAAGAGATCTACTTTTTCGCAGGTGCCATTTTTACCAAAGAATTTCTAGAATTATCATTACTTTTCAAATCGTTTCCAGTACCGAAGTTGACGCAAATCTTGTTTAGCTTGCGAGTTGGAGGTGGTCTCGCAGTAACGAACCAAATTAAAGACGGATCGGATTCGGAGGTTCAAGACATTTTGTCACAACTCGGCGCTATAGTTGGTCGAAAAAATCTGACCGACTTTGGCAGCTGTAAGTAGGAGGTAATGCTTCTGTATCTTTTCCACAATTGATTCGATTCGAACACATTTCTTTTTTCTCTGTATCTCTACATGTTCTTCTACCAGCGAGCTCTACCTTGACTTCTACAACTTTTCTTTACAGTAACGAACTTAACATGTGCTGCACAACCTGCTTTCTCTAAAATTAAACTATTACAGACGTACTTTCTGAGATCTTTCAAGTATAATACCGAAGGCAGTCGACAAAAGAATTTAGTAAAACGCTGGCCGCACAAGTGCTCTTTGGGATTTCGATTTGTGGTGTTCGACATGATTCGATGTGTTGCTGGATGTTGATCATGAGGTAATTAAAGGGCGCTCAGGTTCTGTGCCACCACGGCGAATAGCACGTTGCAAAAATTCTGCACAACCCTATCGTTCACAGAAAAGCAATTCAGCAAAAATTTGCGATAGACAATGATGGAACAGCAGGAGCAGGCCACCGAGACCTTCGAGGACGAGGTAATCCGGAGCGTGGTCCGCCAGATCCGCAGCGCTTTGAAGATTCCGACGGACATTCTGGAAAGCCGGTGGCGACAGCACCTCGCTGCGGAGTCTGAGGAGCGACATGACGTCCCAGGCACGAGTAGCGGCTCTTCAGCAGCGCACGATCGCGGACCACCAGGAGGCCCACCTCTATTGCCCAGAAAGAAGGAGCAGCTGCAACCGTGGGAGATGTTTTCAGCCAAAGCAAGGGCGCTACAATCACGACGACCCGCAGAGTCGGAGAAAGATGCAAAGGAAGGTGCTCGGAACGATCCTACAACGGGGCGTGTAGCGCACAAGCAGGGCAGCGCGGCACAAGCTAGCAAGCCTGCGACATCCTCGGGGGCCGCAAACAAGAGAAAGCGGTCCGACTCTTCTTCGTCCGAAGACGAACTTCTAGAGGACGACGACCTCGAGGAAGTCGTTGGGGCTGCGACAAACAAAAGCGTAAAGGAACCACCTCAGCTCGACGGCCAAACGGAGGGGTCAAGGGAAAATTTCTCGCCAGGGGACAACTACCAGGCCGATTTGGCCGTAAGTGCGGCTGCTTTTTTCGACGGCGAAGATGATCTTGCCGTCCCTGCCATTGTCGGTGCCGGCAGCGCCCTCGGCTCAACGAACGGCATAGACCGGCTCGACGAAATGCCTGCTGCGTTGCTTCCTTTTGGTTCAAACGCCAGCAGTAGAGATCATTTAGGGAAGGGCGGCCTCCTCGCTCCTGGGCCGCCTCAATCGCTGCAAAAGCCGGAGAATTTCGTCGTGGGCCGGGGGAGCCTTGAGCGAAGGGACAAGACGAAGTGGCACGTGCGGCTCGAGACCGGTTTTATTTCCCTCCAAAACGGTCAGCGCGAACTTCTCTTCAAAGAAGGAGAGGCGAAGCTGCATTTCTGAATCAGACGACAACCTTTGATAAGCCTGTTTTTATTCTGCATCATCAACGAGTGAAAAAACTAGAATTTTTTTGCGCGAGAAACGCTTATTCTCTGTGTTGCCTGAAGACGGAAGTAGTACGAATGTTCTTTCTTCCAAGATGCTAGAGCTCTAGCAAAAGAAATGCGACTTTAGTTGTTTTCAAACTTGAAACTTTCCACGGAAATAAGCGCGGCGCACAACGAAAGACCTGTGGGCGGACAACAGTCGTGCCCACGAGTGATCCGTGTCGAGCGAGAGAGATTTTGCTGCTTCAGTGAGAGCATATGGAGGACTTGTTGTAAATGACAGTGTTGTCTTTCTCTTTGCACCGGCAACATACTTCATACGAGGAAAGTGCAACAAGAATTTGTAAGATTTGTATCGGTTTGAGGAAATAGAATTATGGCGGTGGAGGTGCCCGCCGCGCTGCAGCCTGCACTGCAGCAGGTTCAGAAGTCTCTGGAGCCTCTTTACGAATTCGGAAGAAGTACGGCCTCCAATGTGGAAAAGCGTGCCAAGGAAAATCCTCTGCAAGCGCTTGCCGTCACTGCAAGCGGGGGCATCGTGACCGGATACTTGCTCAGTATTTTCATCGCGCTTTTTTGTTTGTAGCTTGATTGATGGACGTGGAAAATCTGATGCGAAGATGAATTTCATCACATTAACATAGGTCGGCTCGCAGCAGTTGCCTTTTCGCGAAAAACGGCGGCCAAAAAGGGCAAGGGATCCGGTGGAAAAACAAGGGTGTACTTTTTGAGGCACGGGGAGTCCACGAACAATGTGCGAACAGAGGAAGCTTTTCGTGAACCCGATCCCGGTCTAACCACGCTCGGCACACAGCAGTCCGCAAACATTGGCAATTATCTGTAAGCAAATCGATAATTGTGTTTCTCGGATTTCTTCCTTCGAAACGTATTGGTTGACTCGGCCATGCTCCAGTGAAGACATAAGTGTCCACAGACAACATGATCCAGTGAAGACATAAGTGTCCACATTCAAAATGCAGGTCTAAACTCGCTTCGTACTACAACTTCAAGCAAGTGTTTGTGTCACCCATGAAGAAAACCCTCGCGACAGCGTCCACTTTGACCAGCTTCCTTGCAGCAACACCAGCAACTGCATCGATCCATTGCGAGGTAGTACATACGTCCTTACACCTAGTTGTGAAAGGAATTATGTACGATGTTGCGAATGGATAAAGAAAAGGGTATCCACAGCAATTGTGCAAAGAGATACACTGAGGATTGGTTAGTATACTTCTTCGATCTGCGAGAAGTCAAATAATACGCCACTAAAAGTACGTTTTCAACACACCAAATAAAGGCACACCCACTGATTTACGAGTTTGGAGGGCTCTTCGACGAGAAGTACGGAGCAAGCAAGGGGTTGACAAGAGCGGAAATGCGCGCGATCGCGCCCCAAGTGAAGTTACCGGAGGACGCGGATAAGAAGCTCGCGTTTCCATTCCCAGGCGATGACAGCGACGGCTGGTATGAACGCAACGCGAAAGAGAGCAACGCAGATTACCTCAAGAGGGTCAGTCAAGTGGCAGACTGGCTCTGGTCGCTCGACCAAGCAACCTTGGTATTGCATCTTCGACGAGACTTCTTATCGGTTGTTTTGTGCAGATGTTGCTTCTTGCCTTCATTTTTTTTTTCAGAAGGATGGAAAAAGTCGTGGGAATGAAATTTTATACTTCACAGCTGGTGACGCACGGGAAGTTTCTCGACACCCTATTGAAAGTGCTGCTGCGAGTACCGAGCGCGTTGGAAGCCGATTCCCCCTGCATTTTCCTCCATGGCGGCTGCGCTTTCTCCTGTGTAGAATTGGACCACGACACGGGCAAGGTTGGGGTCATGTACCTGAATCAACCTATCGTCTCCGAGTCCCGTTTGCGCACCGGGCACAAAATCGCGGGCTTCTCCCTGAAGCAGTGGTAATGGGTGAAAGGTCGAGGAAACCTGCAAGAAACTTCACCTCGGTCGTGGGAACAACGGTCAACGCGCTAGAAATAAATAAGCTCTCTGATGTAGTAACTATCTTGTTCATCCAACTCGATGGAATTATCGTGCCCGTATTTCTTTCGTTTTAACTACGCAATTCAATACACAAATCAGAGCTGCTCCACTACAAGCTCAATGTCTAGCTGAAGATGAAAAAACTAAAGTCAAAAGGAAAGGTGAAGATGGTGTCAGCGTCGGATTACCAAGTCGTCGAGAAAGAACGCACCAGTTGAACCGTTTTATGTACCTAAAGCAAAATCTACGTGAGCAGTGCATGTCTTAATCTTACTTTCAGATCAATCACGAGCGACGCTCGGGAATACAGACAAATTTCTAGAAATGCAGGAAGTCGCTACATTGGACTTGAATGATATTACCATGAAATGTAACAAATGATTTATCCCCATGATGGCTGCTGGACTCCTTGCAAAAGTCAACGAAAGTCACATTTTGGTAGGAGACGCAAGCAAGGAACACGACCTTCTTCGGGAGTAAGTTCGCGCCATCAATATTTGAGGTTGATGACATCAGGGCTAATCTGTTGGAAAGGGTTGCAGGAATGCTGCATTTTGTTTGTGGAGCATTTTGGGGCAGATAAGATGCGAGCATTTACTACTGTTCGAACAAGGTGGGGTCCGAGAGATGGATTCGGGGGCTTTGCTGTTTTTTTCTGGCGGAGGCCAATCGATGCATATTTGCTTTTCTGGGAGCGAGAGTTGTAGTACAGAGGTCGACATTGAATTTTTAGCAAGATATCTGCAATTAGAGTATACTCACTCGTAGTCTACTTTGCCGCTGCAAGCACGTTCAGAAAAATCTTCACAACCATAAAGAACCCCGCTACCATGAGCGAAGAGGCTTCTTTTGTGGAGCGCCAGCCCCTGCTGTTCCCTTCGGCCGGGTCGTCTTCCGCGGGCTCGCAAACCGCGGCCTTCTCGCAATACCTCAACCTGTTGGCGTCCGAGCTCACTGCTGCGCATACCGCGAGGCCCGTGTACGAGGAATTTTCAGCGTCCGTCGTCACATCCCCCGCGGACCTACCCGGTGTGCGGCAGTTGGTTGCTGGGGGCAGTTTGGTGGATGTTGGGGGCGTGCCAAACATGGACAATCCGGAGCGGCACGACATTCAATTCGACCTCCCCGAACTGGCCAAGAGCGTCGTGCATGGAAGAACCACAACCAGCGGTACTAGTAGTGCAAGCAGCGCAGGAGCTGCCAGTTCTACTGCGGCATCAACGGAGTCGTGCCAGTGCCTGGGCGCGTCGGCCGCCGCCCCCATCGTGGCGGGGTGCAATGCGGAGGGGATTCTTTGCTGCACGCTCGTGGACGGTGGGGACACGGAAAACGCTGGCCATTCGGACTCCAAGTACACGAAAATCACGAGCGACAAGAAGTGGGGACCCCACGCACTGCATGTGTACGACGAGGGCCCCCGGCAGCTCCTCGAGCTCCCGCCACCGGCAGGTCCCGGTCAGGAAGTAATAGACCCCTTCGCAACGCGAAGGTACGAACCAAACGGAAGAAAAGTCGGGTGTCTTGCCAACCTCTACATCGCGAAAAATCATGTAGTTCTTGCGACGGACAGTGTGAAGACTGTTGCAGGACCTCCTGCTTCGGCAGCACCAACTGGCGATAAAGATGCTGTGTTTACCTTTACATCCACACAGATACTCCGTGTCGAGGCAAAAAAACGCGTTCGCACGACTCCCAGATATTGTAAGGACAAATCCCATCGTCCCCGCATATTTTTACAGGATATTTCTAAAGATGGGTGATATGTGTACGCAAATAGATCTGGCTTTGTTCCCACGCCAGACAGCACTACAGGCCGCATCTCTTCGCTGCTAGCAGGCAGCTTCAAGAACATTTGTGTTAACTTTATGAGTGAATGATGCTACACAGTTTTTTGAGTATGGGGAGGAGGGATCGTTTTTCATTTTGATACGAGGATACACAGCTTTACGCAGTGGTTGCGGACGACTCTGGAAGCCGAAATCCTGCCGCAGCTGCAAAAAAAGTTGGCTCAGCAGCAAGCAGCACACGACCCGTCGGCCAAGTTTTACCCGGATGATCACACCAGCGACGCGCGGGGCTTGGGCCTGGGAGGCGTCATTTTTGTCCGGAGCGGCTACGTGCACGGTCACGTAATGCCGGACTTTTTGCCGGAAAAGATCACCTCCGCGCAGCAGTGCAACGATTGGCTCCGGTTTTTCCTGTGCGGCCCAGGGCACTTGGTGATGTTCTCGACGCTTCTGGCCCTCCCCACCCCGGCGCAGCTGGAAAGGACACGGTATGCGGGGATGCACCTCCGCACGGAGCACACGCACTTTTTCGGCTCGGAGCGCTGCGCGAACCAGGGGGGCCACTACCACGGTGACGTCGTGCGGCAGCCGCCAGGGGCTGTGAAAGAAGCCACCAATCATGACCTTGATGCCGATGGTGAGCGGTACTTGGCGTCTTTGTTCGCGAACGCAGACAGAGAGAACCCTTCTTCAGCCGATATCCACTACGTAGCATACCTGGCTCCAGCTGCTGAGATCGTTCGCATCAATGACGCGGAGAAGATACTTGCTAAACAGCAAAAAAACCTCCAGGTTGAGGGCGGTACTATGAAATAAAAGACCTAGCGCTTTTTTGCATTCAGGGTGTATTCAGCGAGATTTGCGTGTTGTAGTTGCAAATAGGCAAAATTAACGCCAACTTGTGCAGGCACGCTATGTATATGTTTTTGATGATACACTTGTTGATGCTTTTGGTACTTGAGACCGTGTTTCTTGGTAGTCCCTTGTATGCATAGAAGACAACTCGATGCACCGAGGAAAATGTTTCGCGTGTAATTCTTGTCTCTTGTAGCCCTGCGGAGAGGAGCGTGGTAGCTGATTGATTGTGCATTAAGTTGCCGTCAGGGCTACTCGCTCGCTCGAGAAGTTTTGCTGTGTACGTTCAGGATAACAAAGACCTGTTGGGTGTGCGACAAAGCAAATCTCTTGGTTGGCAATACACCCTGAATGTTGTTGTGCTTTATACTGTAAAAGACTCCAGCACCAGCGAAGTTATGATTTTTACCACCAAGATAGAGTCTCACTCTCAGTGGTCTGACGCGGAGACCAGTCTCCATGCAAAGAAATACTCAACTGACGAAGCAGCTTCATAATGTGTTCGTTCTCCTAGGAGCGAAAATCGAGGGCTTTGACAGACCTACTCAATGAATGTGGAGCCGTGCGATACGAAAACGAGAGAATTTCCTTGGATAAAGTGGCCACTCGATGTTTGCGGAATTTTTCTACTGCTTCTAGCCTGCAGATACCTACTTTGAGACGACCAATTTTCACACTCCAGTACCACTTGCGGTCGGACCCAACAGCTGTGCCCTGCTGGAGCGATAAAGTATTACACAACAAATACACGGGCAAAGATTTTCCATCGTGCAAGAAAAAGAATAGAAGTTCCCTAGACCTGCTGCTTTAAACTACAATTGGAGCAGCTGCAGCACTCAGTAGCGCCTCAGAGACAGCAGGATGGCACAAAGGAGGATCGCAAAGGAACTTCAGGATCTGGGAAAGGACCCTCCAGCATCTTGCAGCGCCGGGCCAGTGGGGGATGACATCTTTGCGTGGCAAGCGACGATAATGGGGCCGCCGGACTCGCCATACGCAGGCGGCGTTTTCTTCCTCAATATCGCGTTTCCAACCGACTACCCCTTCAAGCCGCCGAAGGTGAGCTTCGTCACCAAAATCTACCACTGCAACGTCCATACGAATGGTACGATAGTACTTATTAGTGTTTCATCGTTTAATATTCCAGATCTATTGGCTGAAATTAAAATTTGCTTTTTTATTGCGAGACACTGCATTGTCTTATTTGTCGCATGATTCATTCGTGATTTGAACTTCGTTTTTATTGGTACGTGCGAAAGTCATCATGTCGTTGCCGCGAAAAACAAAAATGACGACATCAAAACAGGGTCCATTTGTTTGGACATTTTGAAGGACCAGTGGTCGCCAGCGCTGACGATCTCCAAAGTGCTGTTGTCGATTTCGTCATTGCTCTGCGATCCGAATCCGAACGACCCCTTTGTTCCAGAGATCGCGCAATTGTACATCAAGGACCGGTATCAAGTGCAAAAATGTCTGGGTCTAGAAGATTCTGAGACTTGTCATGCAGTTTTTCCAAGCTTCGCCAAGTCTGGAATGCAGGGCCTGGCATCACAGGCTCTGCCGCCCCTTGGTGATGCCTATTCTGCATGAGAAATGCCCTCTCAGAATGGCCAGAGCTGGGGACTTCTTGCAAGTCATGCAACACAGATTTTTGTATGATCCGCAACACGCATCACAAGTTCGCATCCTTCCAGACCCAGACATTTTTGCAATTGATAACCGAAAGAAACACGACACGCACGCACGGGAGTGGACGCAAAAATACGGAGCTGCATGATGAACAACCCGCGACGCAGGGATGGAATATCTAGGGTCATCGTTTGCCGATCATCGTTTTCATCGTGTCGTACTAACTTGTAGACGGAACTAGTTTTGCTTTTAATTTTGAACTTTTGGTTGTTATGATTTTCATTTTGCTGCAAGACCGAATGAAGAAAAGTAGCTCGCCAATGATCAAGTTTTGCGCAGCTGAAGTAGTACAGAGTACAATTATTAATATGAGTCACAGTTGTCAGTAGTTGTATAAACCTCTCCTGCTAGTAGCAACAGCATCGCTAGTGAGGTGGAGGTGGATAAGTAAATACGGTCACTACTTTGGAAATTTTGAATTCATGTGACTATGGCATTAAGAAGCTTTTCCTAATATTTTGTTTCCATTCATCGTTTTGTTTTGTTTCAGCACTTGGAAGACGGGCTTGCATGTGTGAAGATTTACTTGATTGCAAGTTCGTCGTGATCTTCCGAAGGAGGATGTGTTTAGAAAATGCCAGAAAATTTTGGAACTTTCTTTATACCCCCGAATGATTCTTTATTGCAACTTCACGTCGAGTTTTCGACCATGAAAGCGAGAACAGAAACACGCAGGTGAAAACACGTGTCACCTCGCGGAATTGTGGAGGTTTTTCTTGCCACAGCTGATGTCCCCTTCTGAGAACATGAGAGCGTGAAGCCATTGCCACGATGAACCTATGACGAGAGTGAGGACAAAGACAAAAGTGATTTTGTTTGATGTTGATTTTTAGGTTCAGGTATATGCTCTTTGGTCGTTTTTTTTCCAACTACGCCCCGTCGTTTTTTCCTCCACGTAGTTTGTTGAGCTTCAGCACTGTCGGACACAGAAATTATCTCAGTCAGGATGAGTTTCAACGAGGACAAGAAGAAAAAGAAGAAAAGCAAGCAGGGCACCACGCCAGCTTTGGACGAAGCGGCCGGGCGCACAACCAAGCAAGAGACCACTCCCACGATCACCGCAGAATCTGCTTCGTCAGTAGAAACTGCGGTCGTCGAATCGCCCCAGGGATCTGCTCTTGAGGGAGATAAAAACAGCGTGAAAGAAGTAGATGCAGCTGTGCCGCCTCTTGTAGTGCCGGATCCTGTTGGTGTTGCCGTGCCAACGGAGAAAAACTACATCGAGGAAAGCAAAGCATCGCGCAGCCCTTGCGTTCCTGCCCTGGTGCAGCCGTGTTGCGAGGCTCCTATCGCTAGTGGGTCAGAATCCGTCATCGAGGAAAATGCGCCGGAAGCGGACGTTGGCCAACCCAAAACCGCCGAAGGAATTCCACCGAAAGACGGTGAAGAAGATGAAGCTGCTCGGAATAATATGGAAGTTGCTGCCCTGACGCCTGAAGGCAAAAGCGACACCCAGGTCGTGGACGCACCGCGAGGACTTCTTTCGGAGGAAAAAAGCACAGGCGGTTCGCGTCGTGTCAGTCGATTGTCTTCCGCCCCGTCGCCGGCAATCAAAAAGGCCCCGGGCGATGATGCGAGGTTCGAGGAACCTGGAGATCAACAAGATGTTGAGCAAAAAAATCCGAATCCCTCGTCCGGCGTGGTTGATGAGACGATTGTGCTTCCCGTTCCCGCGGAACAGACCACCGAGCATGCGAAGCCTGTCCCCGAGACTGCCACGCCCAACCGGTCGGGTTCCCAAGGTGGAACCGAACTCGCCAGCTTGGAGGTGGTACCCCTCCCGGAGGGCTCCGACCTGGAGTTCGAAGTCGAGGGGGCGGACGAAGAAGTGATGTTCATCGAAGACATATCCTCAGTAAAAACGTACCCACACCAGAGTTGTAATGCAAATCTGCATGCTGAAAATGTTTCTCATGCGGAGCCCCATGAGAAGCATTTTCTAGTCGTGTTTTGCAATTTGTCATGCTCCAATCAGCATGGTATGCTAGATCTGTGATGCTGCTGAGCTAGCTCAAACAGCACTACACTACGAATCCAAATTTGTCATGCAAAACAGCCAAAGCTTGTGGATTTGTCTAGCCGATTCCCCATCTTGACTATGGTGTGGGTACGTTTTTACTCAGGATAAGACAGCGCTTCCGGAGCGCTGCGGCACAGCACGCACGACCCTAAGACGGTATCAGAATGAAAAATGCCCCCACCCCCGAACTTGAAAGCATTTGTATTGCAAACCTTTCCAAATGAAACATTCGCCCTCTTGCATGTATCAGCATTACAGGTTTCCAATCGTGAATAGCAGAAATTTGTATTGCAAAAGACCCCAGCAAGAGCGGCGCTTGTCATGCAAGCGATGCGATACACGCCTAGACTCTGCATCAGAAAGATTCGTACTCCTTTCACGCATGACAAAAAGTTTTCATTTGGAAACTTAGCATCACAAATTTTTGCAATTTCAGGGGTGGGGGGCACTTTTGACTGCAATAGACGGGCACCGTGGTATACTCCCCCGATGGGACCCTGCCCGCTGACGCGGCACTACTGCCGCCGGCCTCGCCGGTGCCGCTGCCAGACGGAGTTGAACTGAACGCGGACGGGGGACTGGACATGAGCACACTCGAACGCGCGATGAGCCCGCATCTGCAGAAAGGCCCGATTTCCGCGAAGGAGCTCAACAAGCGGATCACGGAACTGCGGAACCACCACACCAGCCGGCGCGGGTCCTACGACGGCGAGAGCGGGGCGGACAGCAGCGCCTCGCCGGCGGCACGCCGCACGCACCGTGCAAAGAAGATGAACAAACGGGACACGACGACGACGACGACGACTGCCCAAGTGAATGGAATTGCTGAGGATGGTGTAGTTGGCCACGACTCGTCTTCTGGAGCTTGTTCGACCTCGGGGGTCAGCTCCTCTACCGAACCGCTGAGGACCGACGACGAAATATCCTGAGTAAAAACGTACCCACACCAGAGTTGTAATGCAAATCTGCATGCTGAAAATGTTTCTCATGCGGAGCTCCATGAGAAGCATTTTCTAGTCGTGCTTTGCAATTTGTCATGCTCCACTCAGCATGGTATGCTAGATCTGTGATGCTGCTGAGCTAGCTGAAACAGCACTATACTACGAATCCAAATTTGTCATGCAAAACAGCCAAAACTTGTGGATTTGTCTAGCCGATTCCCCATCTTGACTCTGGTGTGGGTACGTTTTTACTCAGGATACGAAACTGCTGGAACAGGAGTTAGAAATACAGGTGATGGGAGTTGTAAACCAACTGCAACTGGTACTGGCGCCCAAAAAGTTGCTCTAGACGAATCCGCCTCTACAGCTGAGGCATCGACAACGACCGACCAGGACACAGGCACCACCGCTTCGTCGTCGCTAGGCGACGAGGGCGGTGCTACAAAAGCAAAATCGATATCATGTAGTGAAAAGGCGGGTAACGGTACTAAGGACACTTTAGTCTTGCAGACCACCGCTGGTGCAGGAGCAGGCCCAGTAACCGCGGCGACCACGAGCAGCAGCACAGGCGGCAGCCACGAGGCCGGTGTAGTGATGCTGCCGCGCAGTGAGTCGGCTGTCAGTTTGCCCGCCATCAACTCCCGCGAGTTCCAGGATTTGGTGGACCAAAACCTGATTTTGGTGGACTGGGAGCGCGAGGAAGGCATCGGGGTGAAGACCGCGATCTACACCTTGACCGGATCTATCGTGGGTGCGGGCGCCGTCGCGTGCCCCTTTGCGTTTCAGTTCATGGGGCTCGTCGGCGGTTCGTTTTTCCTCAGCCTAATGGGGTTTCTCTCCGGGCTCTCGGGCTACATGCTCGGCATGGCCGCGCGGAAGACCGGGCTGCACTCCTACGAGGAGATTGCGGTCACCACCATGGGTCCGCGCATGGGCAAGGCGCTGGCGTTGCTGTCGGTTATAGGTGTGACGTTCTGCGCTTCCATCGCCTACTGCAACCTCTGGGCCGACACGCTGCTGCCCATTCTCGCCTGTTTGCTGCCCGCGTCCCAGACCGCCGAGGTGCTGCAGAACACGTCCGTCAAGTCCTTCCGGACGCTGCTGATCGTCTCCTGCGTCGTATTGATCTTGCCACTCTGTCTCAATCGCACGATGTCCGGCGTTTCCACCGCGAGTCTCCTCTCCATTCTCGCCATGGGCGTGCTCATGCTCGTCATCTGCTTGTACGCTCTCAAGAACGCACTGCAGTCCGACAGCGAATGGACCATGGAGAACGGTGCGCTAGTGTTTCAGTGTGTGTTTCAGTTTGTGCTCAGTTGATACGATGCAGCTTATGGCTCTCGTTAGTCTCTTATTTTACTTGAAGAACATTCTGTAGAATGCCTTGAATTTGTACTAGTAGAAAAAGCAATTTCTAATTTGTCCGTGCGTTATATAAAAATCACAGAGAAGTACGAGTGGCTGGGTCCCAATCCGTTTACGGACGCGCGAAACCACCCTTGCCACGGGATTTTTTCCGACCAAGACGCGCACTGGGACGACCGGAAGACCTGGCTTAACGATCCGTCCGGTTTGCTGATGGGGATTCCGTACTTCTGCTCGGCGTTTTTGTGTCACTTTAACGTCTTCTCGGTGTTTGCCGAGATGCGCAAGCCGACGCGGGTGCGACTGCAAAAGGTGATGCGCCGCACCATGCTGATCTCCGGGAGCCTGTATTTGGTGATCGCAGCCTGCGGTTTCTACGTTGGGCAGAGCTATCATGTTGAAAAGCGCCCCTATATTTTTTCCCAGAACCAACGAACTTGAAAGCATTTGTATTGCTGCAAAGCTCCTTATCCTTTCCAATGGAAACATTCTCCATCTTCTTGCATACTCTAGCGACACAAATTTTTGACGCAGACGACAAGTTCTTTCCATTTGAAAAAACTTTGCACACTTGTTCTGGTAGAATCGGGGCACTTTTCACTTTGATAAGGGTTACGAGAAGTTTGCTTTCTCGGTTTCAGACAAGAAAGTGTCGGAGGTCCTCCCGACGCTGAGTAGAACGAGCGGACGCACACTGCTTTCGGAAGTGCCAGATGATTTTGGACAGCAGCTGCAAACCCAAAAGTTGCAACAGGAGCACCGTGTTGTTCCAGGCGCTCGACCGGAGCGAGATGATAGCTTTTTCGACGGAATAGAGCATGCGAGCGGGATAATCTTCGCGGGAAAAGCCCCCGGAAGTCTAGCTGCTTCGTGGCCCGCGACTTCTCCGTCGATTCCCTCACAGTCAAGCAGTCATACCTCGTCGCGCGAGACACAGAAAATGATTATTCCGGCGACGAGCATTGTTTCCCATTCTGCAAAAATGACCGGGGTGAAAGACGACCAGAAATTAATCGGAGGTAGTACAACCACTGTAGTTCAACACCTCAGCTCCGCGTCGTGCGACATTGGGGTCCAGGGAAACATTCTCCAAAATTTTCCGCACGACGATTTTTTCGTGAATCTGGGACGGTTCTGTCTGTTTATCGCCTTGTACTTCACGTATCCGCTGCTAATCCACCCGTGCCGCGCGAGCTTGCACCGCAGTCTGTGCGGCGACACGTACCGAGCGACGGGACTTTTACATGGTGGCGAGACCTTCCTGATCATGTTTCTCGCCAGCCTGACGGCGATTTTGGTACCAGAGGTGCAGATCGTGCTCGGCTATGCGGGTTCGACATTTGGCATTCTGCTGGCCTTCGTGTTTCCGGCGTTTTTCGTGCTCAAGCTCTCGGTGGCCCGGGACAAGCGCAATCTGATCGCCTTGCTGATCTTCTTGTTCGGCTGCGTGCTGTGTGTGGCGACGACGGTGATTCAGACGGTGAATGAGGACGTGATGAAGAACGGGAACAACGTGGATGTCCTGCAAGAAGTAGAGCCGAAAACTACGTCAAACCAACCGGGCGAACGAGAAAGTGCTGCTGTCAGCTGGTACACAAACTACGTGGCGGTCGACGAGGTGACCAAGAAGCCCTTTCGCCAGGCTGCGCACCCCCGGCAGCTCTGTCTCACCGTGGAAGCGAGCAGCACAACGAAAGTCGAACGGCTGCTCAGATACGTTTCCTTGAAGCAACAGTATGACGCCACGGGAACCCCGCCACCCCTCCCGAAAATGGAAAAGTCCTCTGCGTGGGCGCTCTCGCACGGCTGCACGAATGCGACAACCACGGGCGACGCGGATAGTAGTACATCATAGGGAGGTATTTATTCAAATTCACTGAGCTGCGCTCCTGCCCGTAGAGGCACCAGGAATGGCAATCGAGGAGATATGTCGAAGTACTATCTACAGTTGAATTGATTTTCGGAAAGATAGTTTTTACGTTTTCGTTGCAGGTGGAGCCTCTTGTGTTTCGGCGTTCTCTACGAGAATTCAGGAATAGACATCAGAGTGGATCACTCAGCTCAAAAAGTGCAGCGACAAAAAAAAATGCAGCAAGTTTGGAATCCGAAATTTTGTTGAGAGAAATGTGAAGATCATCCTGCAAAATTGCGATCCAAACTTTTGGCTCCGTCATTTACCAAAATCATGTACAACGATGGATGTGGATCGTCGTTTTCACGTCTTTTGGAGTTCCAATGAGTAGATCCCGAAACTGAGCCTACTAACACTATTGCCCAAAAAATGCCTCTGCAGCGACTACGACAAACATGAAAAACAAAAAAAGCGTATATTAGCATAACAAGCAGCATTGTGCCATTTTTTCTTTTTCAAATATTGATTTCAAGCTTCAAACATATTTCCTTTCTCCTTGAACCATCTGTGCAGCTCGAAGCAAAGCTTCGCACGAATGGAGATGGGTCGTGAATTGTGCTCACCTTCCCTTTTTCCTTGTTTTTAAACGCCTTGTTGTGTAATAGTGTCAACATCCCTCATCGACGTATTTGTTGTATGTCATCAAAACTATGGCGGACAAGAACGTCGACAGCGCTGCGCTGACAGCCGCAGTGGAAGCGGCTCTCGGCAGGAACGACACGACGGAAAACAAGGGCGATGAGAAGGAACAAGCAATTGGTTTTGCAGGTCCAAGAAACGGCGCCGGAGAAATAGTTGAGAAAGTAAATCCCAACACGCACGAAAATGCAGAGAAGTCCGCCCCGGGGCTGGCCTCTGGAACATCAAGCGTGGCAGATGAACCACTACCACCTGAAGACCCCGTGGCGGATGAGATTCCGGAAAACATTTTCGAGTCCCACGACACCCTGATGGATTATCTCTCGGCGGCGATCGCGGGGGACGATGGGGAGAAGGCCCCATCGCCTGAGGATGAGACGACGACTTTGCGGAAAAAAATCACGGAGAAGCGCGAGATGCTGAAGCGCAAAAAGGAAACCGAGAAGTTGTTGGCCGAGTTGGACCTGGACGAAACCTTGAAGTCTGGCGTGCTCAGTGATCTTTTCGCGTCCGCCGCCGGGCCGCCGACAGGAGGGGATGCTGAAGCCGAAAAGGGACCTTCGGTTGTAGTGCACGACAACGCGGAAGCTGAGCTCCAAGAAACTAAATAAACGCCCCTGAACGAAATAACCTATGGCCAGCAAAGCTTAGACGTTTTATGCCGTGCGTGTCGCTCCATGCGGATGAGCATGAGTGGCGTGGCGCCGGCCAGGTGGCAGCGGTGAAAATCCTTCCAGACGACCGTCTTGGGCGATTGGGCCTTGAGTAAGCGACCCCCTTCTGTCTCGCGCACCACCAGAATGCGCGTTGCGCCTCTTCCCCGGATCGCGTCGCTGCTCGTTGCGCGCTAGCATTGCGCAACAGAAAGCCAGGAGAGTCTGGCACACCAAAATTGCTCCGAGCCACTGGCTCAAGCTGTGCTGCGCAGGAGGGGCGGCGGCTGTAAGTCGCCTGAGTGCTTAGGGCCATTGGGGCCGAAGTCGCATCCTGCTCTGCGGGGGTGAAGGGATCAGTGTAGAGGCGTGCAGCGCAGGCGGGCGCAGTGTCAAGTAAAGGCAATCGCTTCTCCTTGTGTGTAGGAGTTGGTGGGGAAGGCGGAGGAAAAGGCGGGTAGGAAGTAGCGGCTTCGCCGAGGACGCGCACTTTTTGACTAGGTGGCGACGGCGAGGATGCGTGACGGTGGTGTTGGTGCTACGCCTTTGCTTTGGTAGGGTAATAGCATAGAGCAGGCGAGAAAGAGGGCGAGATGATGGCAAAACTGATTTGCAGTGCGTGGGTCTTTTAGAGGTTACACGCATCACGCGAGATATCGCTCAGCCTCTTGCACTTGCTTCTCGTCGTTCTACAGCGTTGGCATTTTTGCAACGGTTGCACTTGTCCTGTGCGAACATACACCGCATGCGCATCGCCATAAAGGAGAAGGGCAGGATCTGGGTGGAGAGTGGTGCGGCCCTCTTTTCCGGCATGCCAGCCCAGCTAGCATTCCCTCGGGGTGATGACTGCGGCGCACCAAAAAAAAAACGGCGCGGCATCTTGAGAACCCGAGCAATTTTTGCCGGGAATCAAGTAGACGCAGACACCGAAAAAAGGGCCGCACTCCGGCCGTGCCCCGGCACGTGGTAAAGCCACCCAGATAGTGCGGCCCTCCTGTGAAGCAGACAAAATCTTGGAGACCGCTCCGCCCTTCGCGAATTCCGGTTGCGGAATTCGAAAAGGGCCGGGGCTACAGCTTTTCGAAGCCTCGCGAGCCATCTTTGCGAAGTGGCAGCCCGCGTCTTTTCGAGTGTTCCTCCAGCGCCAGAAACCGCAAAAGCCCGGCGCGGGCCCAGTTGAAAAGCTGGGCACCGCATCAGCCGCCGCACCTCCGCGCGGCCCTCGGCGTAGGGAGAACCGTTTAGCTTGGTCGGCGTCGGGCCGACGGGGGCGCAGCGCTAGCTTAAGTAGTTAGGGTTGTGCAGTGGCCTGGCGCGATATGCCAAACAGTCACCACCTGGGAGAAGAGTCAACACACGACAGATGACCGCCTGATAGCTCTAGCACTTGGAAAGTTGGAATGCGGAAGTGCCCTGCTGCCCATAGCGAAACCAGTTTTATTTTGTTTGGGGGCGTTTATTGTGTTATATCGGTTGTTGTAGTGCACGACAACGCGGAAGCTGCCCCGAAGAGCGACGAAGTCGCAGCGCAGAAGGCCGGCGAGGGGGCAAAGCCGAAGACGTTTCCGCTGCCGCCGGAACTACTTATGGGCGGCGCGCCGCCCGCGAAGGGACCGAAGGGTGCCGCCCCAAAGGGCGGTGTATCACGAGGACCGGCTGTTCCCGGCCTCGGAGCTGCACTTGCTGCTGCGGCCGCCGCAAGTAAGGGGAGCGCGCTCTCCCATCTGTTTGCCTCGGCGTCCGGAGCGACGGCAAGCAAGGGTGGCAAAGGACCAAAAGTGAGCGCGGCGACCGTGCAAGCAAAGGTACTTACTGCTTGGAAAACATTCTGATTGGAGAGGCTGATTTTTGATGTCAAAGAAGCTTGCACTCGCCTTGATTTTATTTGGAAGGAGCTTCTTGTTGTTCTTGTTTAATGCGAGTGTGTACGAAGTAACTTCTAGTGCTACTATTCAATAGAGTTTATTCTCGACACTAATTCAGGCCGGGCAGCTGTTCAGTGCGGGCGCCCTACTGGTCCGCTGGGGAAAAGACAAGGGGAAGAGCGAGTTGTTGAAGAAGGGTGTCGCATTGGTAAAAGGGGCAACGCGGATAAAGGGCGCCCTTGGGACGAAAGGAAAAGGCACCACGGCCGCGAGCGGATCCCCGCGAATGCCAATGCCGAATCCACCTGCCGCCGGCGCAACGGTCCTGCCGGTTCCGCCGCCGGCGGTGGCGGGTCGTGGTCCCGTCGCGCCACTGCTGCAGGGAAGCGGTGCCTCGAAAGGCGCCCCCGCGGGCAAGCCACAGAAGTCTGCCATGGTGCTGGTTCCGAGCTTGGCCGAGAAGCAGGGTGGATTTCCCCCGGCCGCGAAATTTCCACCGCTCGGAGCGCCTGCAAGTAGTACTATCCAAGCACCTGGAATAAAGCAGCGTGTGCTGCCACCTCCACACACAGCGGAAACGTTCCCCGTTCCGGCGCTCCCCCCGAGAATCGTCCCGAACCCGCTTCCTCCTCCTCCTGGAATAAATGCAGTACTACATCATCAGTCGGCAAACAACATTCTGCCCGTGTCCGGAGCAGTCATGAGGCAAACATTCCCCGCCCCCCCTGGTCCACTCCCGGCGCACCAGAGCTCCGTTGGCGCCAACGGACCACAGTTCCCGCCTCCGGCCGGCGCGACCGTGGTTCTTCCCCCGCCCGGCCGCTTTCCACCTCCGATGCCGGCTTCGTCGAGCAAGTACGGCGGTGTCCCAGTGGCTGGATCATGCGGTGTAGTTCAACCAACGGGAGCAGCTGCACCGCAAGGGACGGCGGATGATGCGCCCTCACCGCCACAAACCGGCGTGAGCGACGAAATTCTGGACAACGCGCACGTGGAAGAAAACGACGACGACGATCCGGAATACGATTTTACCAGAATCCCCTTGGAGTCGAACAACCCTAGCGAGGACGAAGATGAGCGCGAGGACGCCGGCGGAGGACACTCTTCGTCGTCAGAGGATGGCACGCCCGACGGCAGCCGACCCCGAAAGCGCGCTCGGCGGTGGTGGGAGGAGCCGGAAAGTCGCGCGAAAAACGATTTTCTGTTCGCGCAGGCTCGTGGGGAGTTGAAAAGCAAGGCCCCTCCCGGTGCGGCATCGGTATCTGCTTCGCGCAAAGGTGGGGCAGGAAAGTACGGGCTCGCGGGCGGAGGCGGCGTTAAAGGTGGGCCACCAAGTCCTCCCCCAAGAGTAGACCCGGCGGTGGTGGTCGACGAGGACGACCCAGACCTGCCACAGCCCGCCCTTTCCTTCGAGGCACTGTTGCAAAAGCAAAATCAGTTTCAGGCCGCGGAGAACCTACAAAAGGACCGGCTGTCCCAAAACTTTCGACAGTTCAGGAAGTAGTACCTTTCTTGTCCGCGCGCTCAGTAAGTACTTACATCACGACGACCCAAGTTGAATTTATGAGTTGTGAGTCAACAAGTTTCAGTCGAGTTCGAGTAAGAAAAAGAATACAGAACCAGAAAGCCTCAATCGGGCTGGGCACTTTCTGTCCATCGCACGTGTGTGCGTTTGAAATTGCGGGCAGTCTGTTCGACGTGCCAGCTGGGTGATATGCGGTTCAGTTGCTTGAGTGCAATATCAAAAGCAAAAACCTGGTACAGTTGAAGGCGTCTGCTTCTCGGAAAGAGCGAACAAGTGTCAAAATCTCTCTGTGCGTAGTACCAAAGAGCCTTAATCGGCTCTGTCGATTGGCTAGCGCCTTTTAAGGAGTCTTATAATAAATAATAATAATATCAAAACGTGGGAGTGAGCACGGTTCCAAATGGCATGATAGATGAGTGTGCTTGTTGTTTCCGCACGAGAATGTCACGTTACCATCGTCTGCTACGAATACAACCTTTGTTTTAATATCCCGCTTACAACACTCGCCTAGGCTCCTTGTGGAAAATTGTTTCAGCTAGACAGAGACGCGCACGCGAGTCCGACAGCCAGAAGCTATGGTGGGGAAAGCGCCACAGACGCTTCTGCAGGACGAAGCGGATGGAAATGCAGGCAAACGGGATGAAAAATCCAGTCCTGGCGATGGCGCGGGCGCGGGGCAGATCAGCAGGGAAACCTCAAACGACAGCGACAATCCTTCGTCCGGGACGGGTTCCACACCTGCCTCCTCGGCGACCACTACTAGCGAGGGCAAAAGACCCATGCCCAGCACCTCGGGCCACGGCGACGAAGACAGCCAGCCTCTGATTTACCACAAGCCCAAGCTCGTGTTGATTCTGTCGTACGTCCTCCTCATGGTGGCACTTGCGGACTTGTCGCTAAATCGAATTATCACGAACTTTTCCATGGACGTTCTGGCCTTGCACACCGTGATCTGGACGATTTTCAACGTGCTCCTATGTCGAGTCGTGATTTTCGCCACGGTGAACGATCACGAGGATTTGCGAGCGCAACAAATCGACGGCCTGCCCAGGTGGAGCTACTGTCTCACCTCCGTGCGGGCGTTCGGATTCGCCTGCTCCGCGATTTTCTTTGCGGGGTGGTTGGTGGCCTTCCAGGTCTACGAACTGCAGAATGATGTTTCCAGGACCATCGGGTGGTTGGGTGATTCATTTTTTCCTGACGATGTTCAACGTCCTATCTGGACGACTACCAGCGGAACGTCTGCGGCGGATGACCGGAAGAACTACATGAAGCAGGAGAAGATCGACTTCTTCTGGAACGCGGTCTGGTATCGCTACCCGCGGGACGCCTCGCGGGAAGTTGGGAAGTGCAAGTTTTTCGTTCCGATCGAGGAGGAAGAATGGACGCTTTTTTCCACGCCCTGCGTGACCGAACCGGACAGCAAGCAGAACTACTTCGACACCGTGGCGGACTTCGAGCAACATGTTGGACAGGGGTTGCGGCTACAACAACCCGGCGGAACGATGCAAGCATCAGCGGACATCAACTTCGGAGGAGGTGCACCGGCAAGACCGGTTGAAGATGACCTCGCCCCGATCGGGACCACGACGGAAACGAAGCTCGGCGCTGGCTGGGTTCCGATGCAGTTTTTCCAGGAGAATCTCGCCCTGCACCTGGACTACTGGCAGCGGAAGTTCTACGTGCTTTCAGGCGAGGACTACTCGAATTACCGGACCAGAAGCAGTTTGGGTTTGGTCTCGTCCGCGACGAGTGCGGAATCGGCGGAACAGAGGGAGACCCTCGAAGAGGAGAAATACGATATGATACGGTTGCTCAACTACCACGGTGTCATCGCGTGGTCCTTCTTCACGGGGATCATGTTTTCCGACCTGTCCAACTACTCCCTCGTGCCCGGCCTGTGGAACGACTGGGGGCTGTGGTTCCACCACGGCTACTCGATCTGGAGCTTCGTCCTCTGCTTGTGGTTGAACTTTCAGGGCTTCTTTTGGATCGTCCTCGCGCCGCCGTGCGGGGAGCTGGGCACCGGGTTTTTCACCTTCGCCGCCCTCCGGAAAGGGTCCAAAACACGACAGCTCCTCTACCGGTACGGAATGGTGTTCTCCAACACTTTGCTGATGCTGATGTGGATGCTGTGCTGGTGGGCGGCGCACCTGCACCGCTTTGCGTTCGGCTTCTTCTTGACCTTTTGTTTCATCTGCCTCTGCTTCGGCCGGGACTACGTCATGCGGGCCAATTTGCACAAGTGGAACTACGCGGATGCCGGTGCGGATCTGACTAGTAAAGCCGAGAAGAAGGCGGGAGCCTGTTTGGGAAAGAAGGAAATTTGAGTTTCGTTTGAGAAAAGTATGATACGGAATGATCTGCGAAATTTTTCACGGTTTTTTTTGTCTATTTGTGCTGCCATTTGTTGCTTGTGCCATTTTCTGACTCACATACTTTTTTGGATTTCCATTAAGAATTTCCACCAGAATTACACTTTTTCAACATCATAATTTGCTGTGCATGAGTTTCTAAAGAAAGTAGTACTTTATATATTGCATCTGTTGTTACAATTGGTATTTTTTATGTATTTTTACAAGTCGAATTTTTTTGGAGTAGTCTGTACTCAACTCGGCCAATGCTTGATAGGATTCATGATCATAATTACGGACATGGCAGGCTTCCAAGAAGACTCCGCACACGACACTTTGTGATTCAGCATCGATCCTTCCTCATGTTTCACCGTTTTATCCACATATCTTCGACATTGGCATTACTTACGCATCCCAGAGCATGCGCTGTGTTTCAATGTCTATACTGCATCCGGCGACCGCGTACTTTGCCTGCCTGCTGCACTGGTAGCGACTGGCGAATGCAAGACGATTAAGTAGGCCCTGCAACGAACGTGCGCGCGAGCCGGTCCGTTGTGGAGTCGTTTTCTCTCATGAACATATTTACTTAGTTCTGATTTTGTAGTGACGAGAGGAATCCATTTGGTTTACTTCGATGATTTCATTAGCGCCTAGGGCGTCACTCTATGCAACGGCACAGCATCATGATTGTGACCCGTTTATGCAGGAAGTGAATTTTGACTATGACTTTTCGTCGTGGCGTGGTTGAAAAGCTCCGGCTTCGGTTCTCCATTATTTTCCCGAAATCGGTTTGTTAGTTTCTGTTGTTCTGTTTGTGTGCCTGCATATGATCGATTCGGTATGGACGCTTGCCTGTCGCTGGCTCTTTCGCAAGAGATATTCGTGCTAGAACCGTGCTACTCGGTCGTGAACAAGCGTCGATTCTCGGTTTGAGTAAGTAAGTCGATAAAAGACATTTTCAAAAAGTAACGTCGGTCATCGTGTATTGGTATTGCGCGTTGTCCTGGTGGTTGATGGTAGTGCATTGTGACGTCGGTCGTGCAACATTGCGGAATGTCTCGAATGTCTTGGATTGGTTATGATCTACTTGGACAGCAAGAACTCTGATTGTGACATCTACCCATGGTGACAGGTCTTCCCTTTTCCCTCTTGGAGCAAGCGTAGAAGATTTCTAATACGTATACGTGCCTTTTTTGATTGCGTGTTCTTGATGTTAATAAGGTGAACACATTCACCGGTATCCTGCGAGAAAAAAAGACGTTGCGTAGTAGAGTTCCTCTCGTCGATAGAGGCTCTTTTATAAAAAACTGTACGCGATTTTGATTTTGTTTGGTCCGGTGGAATTTTTATCGTTTACCAAAATAAATGAAATTCGTGGGGACGGCACTGACTCTCGGGAGTGGAGCTTTTGACGGACCGGCTCCGACTGCAGCCGTAGAGGTCGAGAAATTGTAGCCGAATGGTAATCCGCACAAGCCCACTGCCACAAACGCGCTCACTGAAGCCTGGCTTTCATGTTACGACGAGTTTTCCCAAGCTAAACGTAGTTCGGACCGGTTTCCGGGCGTGACGTCCTTCGATGAAGTGTGCCAGAAACTGCCGGGTGGGCATACCGATGCGAAATACGTGGGGGGGGGAAATGGGGGGGAACGCGTCGTTAAATTCGAAACAAAGTTGGGAACCCCGTGGGGTAGCTGGGACAGAAGACATGAAGACATGCGATTCTGCTGCGATGTATGGGCCCAAAGCCACGACAACTTTCTGCCAGCTGTGACAGTACAGGGGAACAAGGGCGTGGGGTTTTCTTCATCTCGCTTCTTTTTTGTGACGTAAGTAGTTGTTTACGCACAGTCGAAAGTAGATTGCTTGAAATTTTTGACCTCCTTTATTGACTATCTTCATGCGCTACAGGATTAGGAAGAGCAACTAAGTTTGATGTTTAGATCCAAACGATCGCTCACTTGACTTTGTGCTCGGTCATTCAACACACAGTGGGTCTGGCGGCCGAGTCAGAGCCGTTTCTGCACAAAGTGCAGGCGTGGGGTCGAGCGACCCCCTCCACCAGACCTACAGGCTGAAGGCCTCGGCTCTGTTGCTGGTCGGAAAGCCCGGCACTCAGCCTCCCTGAACGACGTCGATTCTGGCAGCTAGCCGGAGCCCTCTAATGGGAAGCTGAGCCACACCCAAGTCCGAAAAAACCTAGGCTCACACTGAACGCGTCCGCGCTTGAAGGAAACAGGCGCGCCCTTGTGGTATACATAGGTTGGCTGTCCACTTTAAGATGGGCGCTCAGTCTCCCTCGGGCTGGAGGAGGGAGTAGCACGCAGCAGCCTACCAAAGGGCACACTGCCAGCATCATCGTCAGGAGATCGCCTTCGTCTTGCGTATTCATCGGGATAGGCATAGGTGTGCAGTAGGGATCAGTAACAGCAGTGTAGGCGAAGGACCGTTCGGAGATCTATTTCTATTCGCTAAGTTTGTTCTGTTCTTGCAAGTGAAGAAATGCAATGAAAAGCCGTAGAGTGGAATTCCTTCCAGTCGGGCTGTGATGCCCTCTGGGTAGATATAGATACTAGTCGCGGTATGTTGATTTGGCTTTTGCTTATGCATGATTCCAATCGTCCGGGTGGTAGGAAATGGTCCAGGGACAAGTACTATATTGTTCTCCGGCTTCAACTGTCACCAGAACTGAACAGCAGAAATTGTCTAGCGTGGGCGGGGTATACACTGACCACTTGAAGACGTGTCGGGGTCTTTTTGAATGGCAAAAACCAAGTACGCTTTTGGGAACACCGAGAGGTACAACTCACGATTACCGGAACCAGAAATGCCAGGAGTGGTCTCAGATCCCGAACATGGTTTTCAACAAGGACAAGATGGACGAAACCCACGAGCTGATCACCGCCGTGTCGCCGCCGCAAGACAAAGCAGCGTGGTGCTGCACCTATACTTCATTTGACCCGACGGCCGCTCCACCTCCACTTCAGCTCCCCGCCGGCGCTCCACAAAACACACAACCGACACATTATGTCGGTTGCTGCTAGGGCGCCAGATTGCAAATGGAATCGAGAGGCGGCGTGGCACGGGGGCCCGTTGCTGGTTGTTAAGTACTTATATGGCCTGCTCAACTGTGACAATCTATCTCAAGTGTGACGGAGTGGTGCAACTGCTTTGTGAAGAGGGTGTTCTATTTTTTAGCGATACGTCGACTGACGAATCGGAATGACAGATCCGCTCACCTTGAGCTGGTTTGCAAGCCGTGACAAACCTGTCGCGCAGAACGCTTAGGCTGCTCTTGCAGAACGGGTGTACCCTGTCACTTTTGACAGTGTTTCAGCTGCACAGGGTATAGTACCCATGGGTGCTCGGGGTTTCGGGCTCCAAGAGGACGAGATTGGACTGCTTATTTTATTTTCTTATTTTCAAATGACTTACTTTGACTTTCACTTTACACATTGATTTCGATATGCAAACTTCTATTTCGACAATCTAACAGCACCCAACTTCTGACGTTTTATTTTTCATTTTTCTGCATTAAATCTGAAGATTTTAATTTCCCTCGGTCTTTTCGTTTCTTATTCTTTGTAGAAGTATCTCTGGTATGATCTAAAAAATCAAAATTTTGTTTCCGAAAATTGAACCTTTTTGTAAAAAGTGAAGAATTGCCTTACGTATCAACTCTGCATTACCCTCCTGTTTAGTGGATCTTCTAGCTTTTGAGTGTCAGCACCATTAAGTATTCTTCCTTGAATTTTGTAACCAAAGCACAGATTGCGATGCCATTGCTACTTATGCTTATCCGAGGACTCATGATTGATGCAGATGCGAGCAGGGTGCGCAAATCAAATACTTCGACTGCTTCCACCATCTGAACAGTGTGCGTTGGTCTACTGTTGACTTACTTACTCGCAAGAAGATCTTGGTCCTACAATTTTGCTTTGACAAGCTTGCGCTACGCACCTTGTCATGTGGTTTGGTATGTTCTTTTCCGCGCTTCCGTGAAATTTAATCTCGGGAAGGTGGACGTGCCTTGGGGCACAGCTATGTAGTGACTGCGCATACAAAGCGATCGATTGTCCTCGATCCGCACGTAAGCCGGCCGCGTCCGTGGCATCAGCAGATCATGCCATCAAGACCGAAAATATTTATACCGAAAACATACAAAATCAAAATCCAGTGTGTCGGTAACATAACAACTTCTTCTGCAGTTCCGGATCTGCACGACAGTGAGTTTCATATGATGTCACTCCTCAGCGCGACTGCACTGCTAAAATGCTTACGCATAGATATCAGTTTCAGTTCATCGATATAGAGAAGTTGTGACATCGGGCCGAAGACGAGAAAAAATCAGGATCGCCATCTTGTTTTTTCCCAGGCCCGAAACCACTCGGATTTGAGTCCGGTTAGAATCGAGGGATGTACCTACTATGGATCGTAACCGTAAGCAAAGTATGTAAAAGATGAAGTAAAAAGAAACAAATTGCCAAGTGTAAGTAAGTATACTACGACGGACGAGGTAATAAAAACTGTGTTACGAGCGTCGAGCCCTTCGTCGAGAGAGAGCAGTACTTAAGAATGAAAATGGCGCTTTAGCGCTCGCCCGGTCGCGGCACGAGGAATCTCTTTGAATTGCGAGCGGAAGTGGCGTTTTCCGTGACAATGAGGACCGCGACCGAAACCGATCAGTGGACCAGCATGCTTCTCCAAGCCACGGGATCAGCGTCTGCAGCTCCACCCGACGGCGCAGCGGGGGTTTCCGGGAGCTCCGACGAGGACGTGCTGGAGGCTATCACAACAATCTACGTATCCACCCCTGCCCATAATTCGTCGTACCCAAAACAAAATGTAGTGTTTCATTTTCACCTTTCTTGTTGTGTGGGTAAGGGTATCATTGGGAAAGCACATGCACAGACTTTGAGAAAGCCGTAGTTTTTGTTCTAGTGTACTAGAAAAGGTGCTTGTTTTCAATATCGGGCACCGCGTGTGGGCAGGGGGACGATTTTTCTTTTCGATACTGGCACTGGTGGCTTTGTGTGAAGAGCACGCACTTCTTCTTACCACGACCGCACTCGTGTGCCTGTTCGCCTACCTGTTCCTCCGGCTGGCCTCGGCGTTTCCCCGGGCCCTGGCCGTATTTGTGGCCTGTTACGCGGTCTGGTTCGTGACACGGTTCTGCCTCCTCAAGGAGACCGGCGAGGACCGCGGAGAGTTTGTGATCGTGTTGGAGGAGCATTTCTCCGCGGCGTGGGAGCGGTCGCGGGACTGGGTGCGCGCCACCGGAAAAGCCTTCGGAGCCTGGTTCGTGGTGTTTTTCCCCTTTCTGCACGACCTGGGCACGTTTCTGCGTGATTACGTGGCGCCACCGATTATCGAGTTCCTGCGGAGCGTCGTGGTTGCGTTTCAAAAATTGCCGTTGGAGACGCAGGCACTGGTGGCCGTCGCCATTGTGCTCTGCCTCTTAACGGTCCAACTGTTTTTCACCGTGCGCAAGCAGCTCCCGGCCATGCGCCGCAGCGTGCGCGATCTGTCATTGTACCAGTGCGTCTGCGGGGCTGGTTCATCAGCCGGTGGTGCCGACGACGACGAAGAGTCGGCAAGAACTTCCGACGCGGAAGCAGGACAGGTCGCGATGCAGCGCCGGCGCCAGCTCCTGCGCACGGTGGGCTATCAGCTGACATTTGCAGTCGTCGCGCCCGTGATCTGGCTCCTCGTTGCCATTCCCTACTTCCCCGACGCGATTGCGATGGCGTGCACGGTGACGTTTCTTCCGCTGCTGCTCAGCTTCGACAGTTTGGTGTCTGTCGCGTACTCGTGGTCCGCGGGCACCACGCCTTCGAGCGCGCGGACGGTGTTTGCAGCCGACGAGCAACGTGAGCAAGCGGCGAGGACCTTTGTCGACAGCAGGAGTAGTGCTCGCCTGCACCAGCTTCATCCGGGACGAATCGTGGCGGGAGCGGCCGCGGCGAATCTGGCGTCTTCTATAACGCAGGAACAGACGAAGCTGCCGACCTGCCACGCTGGGGAGCTGCTTGCCCTCGTTGCGAACCTTGAGAAAGCAAACAGTTGGGTGGCTTATTGGGCGTTGTGGCCCCTGCTCTCACTAGCCGAAGCGGTGGTCGAGGGAGCCGAAAGAGCTGCTGGTGCGAGAAGAGGGAATGCGACCTCCGCGGTGACACAGCAGCTACCAGTGTCGTCTTCAAGTACTAGCCACCTAGCTGTGCGGCTCGTGCTGGTCTTGTCCGTTTGGGCCTCTTTTTACGGTGGCAACACAATGTCGATCCTTTTCGCACGGAGCGTGGCGTTTCTTCGACGTGTCTTGACATCCGCCTGGTATGGGGGCAGCAGCGGTGGCTTTTTCAGCAGCAGCGCACCTCATGATGGGGGCTTCCCTAGCGAGCGATCGAGTGCTTTATTTGCTGGTAGAAGTGGCGCATTTATTGAGGATTTTGACGAAGTAAATCAGGATGTAGAGCAACAAACGCCACGGCTATCGCAACAAGTGGGACTGACAGCGGGCCGGGAGTCTCCGGGACTTGTTACTACCACTACACCAGCAGTGGCAGCTGCAGGACAAACCGCTGCAGGTCAAGCCGCTGCCCCGGCAACATCTCCTAGCCGTGAACAAAGTGAGCCTTTTGCAGCCCGCGTGCGATCCAGCGTCGTGAGCGGTGTACGGACGGGGGCCTTCCATCTCTTCACGTCTCTGCAGGCGGAAGCAGGAGGGGGCACTAGCGATTCGAATGTGAAACTCCGGTTGGTGGGAATTTTCGCGGTCTGCGTGCTGGCCTCGTCCTACATTGCGTACGCGGTACTGTCGTTGTTGGCCCATTTCATCGCGATTCTGGTGTGGTGGGGGGTCGCCTTTGCCAGCAGCAGGAGTGCAAACGAAGCAACAGAGACTCTAATCGAAATCCGGAGCATTCTCGACAACGTGAGCGCGACAAGGGTCGTCGTGAAGCCAACGGGTGCGCTGGAAGTAAACGGAGTCAATGCAAACGTCAAGCCTGCTAAAGTGGCAAGCAAAAGCGCGCAGATCACCGAGCGGGCACTGGAAAGCAGCGCGCGGAGGCTGTGCAGTGTGGTTGAGCAGGAATTGAGGCGAAAGCTGGGCTTCTGGATCTCCAGTTCGCTGTGGTACCTGTTCTTGATTCGCGTGCCGCTCGTGGGCACGGTGCTGTACGTGTGGACGCCCTTTTTCCTCCTGGCGTGCTACCTCCTGGGCGACGTCTTCGCCGCGCAACTGACGGAAGCGTGCGGCCCGAGGTGGCGGGCGCACCGCGGAAGTGTGGGGCAGTCTACCGTCGTCCACGCAACCGACGCAAGTGGCTTGCTCACTCGCCCCATGCTGGCGGGTCCGGCTCCCGAGCGGTGAGAGGAGTCCGCGTTTAACGAAATTGCTACTACTGCCACGAAAGAAGAATAACTCATTCAACGCTCTGTCTTGCTGTCTTGTTCTTAATCTTATCTTCTTCACAACCTTCGCGTTGAGATTCAGAGGACCTACCATCTTGTCCCATCAATCTCTGTTGCATCTCACGAGAAGAACAGGAAGAAGGAGCATACAAAGCGACCGTATGTGCTTCGGTACTTATGAATGTTGTTGTGTTACCTCGTCGTCGTCGTCCTTCAGAGACTCATGATCAGAAGGGTTTGTTACTGTCATGCCTTCAAAGCAGGACTTGCTTATGCAAAATCGCACTCGGTCCGCAATAAATTCATACCTCGTTAAACCGTTTTCCAAAAGCTGCAATCTTGCTGTGTTTCGGTTTTTGCCTGCATTGCTGCGAGGCATTGCAGAAACACTTCTGGGTAGTCAGCTAGTCGAACTTTTTCGTACATCGGATCCAGTAGCGGAAACAACTTGCACTGCCTGGTTATCATGTGATAGAACAATCGATAACGATCAACGAGTTAAGATCCGATCCGTGAGTAAGTAAGTATCAGCAGTTCATAGCACAACACGTAGCGACTTGGAGAAAGACGGAATACAAATAGGAGATACCCTGCTGCACGAAAAAGCTCTGTGCGTGAAGGATCAATAGAGTTGTGAAACAGTATAGACGATCATCAGCATGATCCACGACCATTGCTAGCTAGATTTAGTAAACGTACAAGGGAACGCCGCAACGGCAAAGAGTGCAAACTTGGTTCGTTCTATACATATAATTACATAGCACCCACGATACGATCAAAAATAGATGTAATGAGGTCAGGAACGTTCTATCCTAGTAGTGTCCTCTCCTGGACAGTGGACAGTCTTATTTCTTTTTTGTAGCGCATATTCCAATGCGACTGCACGCATTCGTAATAGACGGCAAATCAATCTTTGACTTTTACAGGCGACAAAGGTAACTAGCAAGGAAGCAAAAAGGAAAAGCTCGACGAATCAATACTAAAAAGACGACGTGTATGGATAAATCTTCGATAGTCATGAAGCTTATGAAGCTTCGAGATTGAAGACACTCGCTCCCTACCACGATATTAAGAGCCCTTCGAGATCGATATCTATTGAGACTTCTATTATTTCTGTACTGTTTCACCCCAGATAGCGACATTACTTACTTATTTATAACTTGTACCTTCATTGACGGGTGCCGTACGCCCTACAAGTACAAACGTATCCTATAAACCTAATCGAAACTAAGGATTTATTGTGCAGATATTCATCCTTTTTGAAGTTTCCGTTTCCCTCCACCCCTACAGAGAAACTTGTTGTTTCGCAGTGAAGAACTTTCGAAGTAGACCCTCTTGTCCAGCATGGCGAGGGGTAATAATTTCAATAAAGGTGCGCCGTCCTCGAGGGGGGACACGACTGGGGACCACCGTCCGAGGCAACCCTCCCAAAGGCGGAGTCGAGGCAGGGGTGGTGAACGCGATACCCGACACAACAATCGGCCTAGATCTTCCCGAGACGAACGCCGCCGGGAATCGGTACTTCACCATGAGTTCACTTATAGAACATTGAAAAAATGCACACCCAGGCGGCCGATAGATGGTCGCGCATATTCTCTTGAAATGACATGACGCTGAGCAGATGTATCTCTGTGTAGAAGCACGAATGCTTTTTTTAGGTGGGAAACAAAGCCATACGTTGTTCTACTGACGTGAAGTTGTAGCTGAAAAATGCAGAGTTCCTGAAAGTGGAACTGCTTGTGCGATTATCACGAAATTCAAATTTATCACCTGGCTAGGTTGCTCGGAGGCACCACCGTAGCCGTAGCCACGAACGAAACAATCGAGACGACCACAGCGGACGGGATCGGCAACAGCACCGTGCCCAGGATAAAAATGACCGTCAGCCGGACCCCCGCGACGACCAACGTGGACGAGGGCGGCCGCGTGACAACAGATCTACTAGGAACCAGGAATCGTCGCGTATCATCGAGGACATCAAACAAGAACACGACTTCATGACCCAGCGCGGAGGTCGGCGGCAAGTAGGAAGAGGTTTGCACCAGGAGGGTCGTGAGGAGCAGCTTCATCAAGAGCCACGCCGGAACAGTCGTGCAGATGAAGGGATGAACTATAGTATCGAGCAGGGCAACGGCAAGGGTTTGCTGGAAAATGTTGCGAACATGCTGCAGATGACTTCGGAACAGCAGTACGGTCGTGATCGTCGCCGCGCCGACGGCGGTGAGGAGCATCGAGGACGTGGACGGGACCGAAAATCTTCCAGAGAGCAGAGGAAGCGTGAACAAGATCTGGCGTCTTACAACGGTTCGGAACAGCATCAGCAGGTGGAGGAAAAAACCTACACGAAGAAAAATCCCAACAAAATCCCTTTGGGAGCAGGAGGTGGGAGCAAAAACCACAAGCGCGAACGGAGGCGCCACGAGGATGAAAACAATGAGAACCATTCCTCGCGGAACGTCTCAGCGAAACAGTTCAAGATGTCCTCGGAGAATCCAAATAACATCCCGCTAGGAGGAGGAAATCATACCAGCAAGCGCGTCGTGCCAGGAGGTAAAAAAGATTCTCCCCGCAAGAAGCGCAGGTACGATAATCCGAACGACATTCCGCTGGGATCTCCGAAGCACAGTTTCCTGTCTTTGCCTCCGCCACGGGCCTCCGCAGCAATGGCGTCCGCGCCAGAACTCCCGGTTCCCGACGCGGAATGTGATGCCAATAAACTTGGGTCGCACACGAGGTTGGATGGAAGCAATTCGCTGCTTTCAGGGGAGGAGCCGCGGTACTTATTCTTTTTGTTTAACCTAACTGTCATTTCATGTCGATCTTGGCATGTGTTAATCATCTCTGTTTCTTGATGTTAGTTTTGTATCGCTGAAGATGTGGGAGTGGGATCCATCATCTGACTGCTTGTGTTTATTCGAACTGGTATCTTCATTCTTTTTGTCGTGTAGTCAAATGAACATGAATTCAGGATGCGTGCAATGGACACTGACAACCTCGACGGGGAGCGGCGTAGTCACTTGTTACTTGGCGGAAGCAATCCGACTTCGTCTGTCAACCACGAAAACATTGAAGATTTTCCCAGTATTACAAATACAAGTGAGGATTACGTATACGACTACACACATGGCAAAGCAGATGCAGGTTGCGACATGCGTTTGCTGCACAACTCGGACGGTGAGCCCATATCGGGTCTCAGCGCAGCAGCTGCTACTTCCGGGGGATATTATCCCGATCCCGATCCGTTTTCTGCGTTCTCGAATGTGGAACTTTATTCTGAAAAGCGTAACCATGACGACAACCCTGGTGTTGACCAAGACCAGAAAAAAATCCAGTGCGCCGTGGGTTCTACTTCTCAACTACCCGGCAGCAAGAACGTGGGGCACGTAGAAGATCGCAAGCGCGGACCTTCGCCGCAAAAGGAGCAGGGAACGAAAAAGTTCAAACTGAAGAAGCGAAAAATCACCGGGAAGTTGACGGTGAAGGATGAGAAAAAGCAAACAAACTTTGAAGGAGGTGGGAAATTATCCAAATCAACAAGTAGCGCAGGACGAGTTCTCGCTGGAGCCGGAGTGCAGTTGAGTCGTCAACATGACCAACAGCGAGACCGGCTTGCCCCCGCAGACTTCCTTATCCTTAAGACATTTGGCGGTCGGCGTTTGTTGAATACGCAGGATGTCGATGACGTTGAGTTTTTGAAGCTGCAGAACCTGTCCAAGGCGGAATTCCAGAAAAAGCTGAACGAGATCAAAATGAGGGTGCGAAAGCGGTACCGGGAAGAGCAGCGTGGTCCGAAAATAAAACCGCTAATTAAGCCGGGCATGCAAGGGACGATCTGGCTCAAGACCAAGATCGACAATGGATTGGTGGAAAAGATTCCGTTATATCATTGCACGGCAAATGCAGACGGTTCGATCGACGACGACGATGTGGAGTGGGAAGCGGCGACGTCCGAAGCCCAGCGACTGTTGCGCATAGTCGTGCGGGATCCCAATTGGGAGTCGCCACGACAGCCTGCTGTTGAGCGGGGGCCTGGTTGTAAGCATGCAGAAGAAAAAACAGCGAAGGATGATGATGAAAGCCGCCCCGAGGTGGACGAACAATTGGCGGAAGAAGCCGGGGGAGGTTCGGAAGAAGATCGCGCTTTCCACGCGGAAGTCCGCACGCCAGAAGAAGCAGAGCCGAATCTACTTCAAGACGACCCTACCACGACGGAAGCCAATGCTACTCCGGATGAAGAAGACGACAATAAAGTGGACGATGAAACTGGGTTTGTGATTTCCGACAGCGAATTGCTGTACATACTGAACATGTACAGCGAAGGCACGACGTCGTCCCAAATTGGAAATAACGCTGAAGTGTATTTCCAGCCGCTTTATAATTCTGCGGAGAAGGAAGAAGATGAAAATAAACAGAGCGGGATAATTGATATGCGATTCCCCCCGTCGTCCCCCCCGCCCGTAGGACTCGAAGAGGTGGCTGCAACAGGACATGACAGTTGTGCGAGCCTGGAACAAAAATCAGTTGTCCACGACGAGGCAGCTGATGCTCCAACATGCACAATCTCTTCAACAGCGCCGTGCGCCGCACCGCCTGTCCGCTCGGAAGGTTTTTCGCAGGGGACAGTCAACGCGGATCCGGACCAGGAAGCAGCCATCAAGACGCTCCAGTACTACTACACGCGTGAGCAGCAGCGCTGGCGGCAGTCGCTTGGTATCACGAAGAACATGCTGGCCGGCCGCTACGTGGGGAAGACGGAGTGCACGTTGCTGCTGCATAATTACCTGCCTTTCTACTGGAGCAACCTGCGATTTGAGCGCGACGCAGCCCGGCGGTGGGGAGAGTACGTGATAAAAACCGTGTTTGACCCCAAAAATCCAGAGGCCGCCTATGCCGCGGCGGACGAGGATGGCTTCTACGCGACGCACGGAAAGGAGGTCCGCATCTTCCAAGCCGACACCGCAAGCACGGCGGGGCGGCGGCTGCGCATCCGCGGGAGCAGCGCCTCTCAGGAGGAGCACAAACAGTTCGCGGACGAAGTCGAGCGCTGGATCGAGTTTTACGGTCGGCAGGCCCTGCTGGAGGTGGCCTTCTACGGGATTCGCAACGACGATGAAATCGAGCCCGACTGGATCTGGGGCAAGTACGAAACACCGACGGCCATTCACTCGACACAAGGTACTTGTTTTTATAGATCTTCATCTCAAGGCTTGTAATATTATTCTGCCAGATCAAAATCAAATTTTTTCATTTCTGTCGCCGCAACAGTGAATTCCAAGAGAATCTCGGCCTCCAGTGCTGGAGGGGACGAGGTCATCTAGTATCATGTTGAGAGAACCAGTAGATTCTGTTGCTGTAACACGACTTCGGTCAAGCACGACGAGGAACCACGATGAACATCTGTTCTTGATGAACATCTACTTCTCTTCAATCTAAATAACGATGTACAAACAGAAATCCGTCAAGGGCGAAACCAAACGGCGGAGCCGGAAACTTTGGCCGACCTGGGAGTTTTGTTGTACGCCTTGGTTCTGGGCCGCGGCGAGGACTTGCCGCTGGACCACGTTCCTCGAAAGTACCAGGAACTCTTCCGGCATCCGTTTCCGCAGGAGCGCTTTTTCACCACGTCGAACAAGCACGTGGGGCTCGCGGAGCGCATCAAGCTGCAGTTCCCGCAGTTGTTCAACTACGGTAGAGATATCGAGTCCCAAGTCATAAAGTCGCCACGTTACGGGTTTGTGGAAGACATGTTTAAGTATAATAATGCGGCCTCGTCGCGGCAGCGAAGCAGCAGTTCCTGTTCCTCGTGCGCCGAAGGGCGGGACGGAAGCGGGTTCTCCTCGTGCGCCGAAGGAGCTTCCAGTTGCGAGGAGGACGGAATGGTGAAGACGACCGAGGAAACTATTAGTAAAGCTGACAAGGGTCAAGAACATGATCTTGCGACCCAGGAAGGAGCGACCAAAATAGTAAACTCCACCAACAAGCGCAGTGCGGCGGCTGTGGCGTCGTCCAACGAGGATGCAGTTCCGAAGTTTTCGGCTTTTAGTACTACGGAGACCACAAGCCGGAGCAGCGAGCAAGTGCGGTTCATTCAGGGCGTGCCACTCAGTGAGAAGCTGTGCAGCGTGGTGGATTTTGACGCCCCGGATGAAAATAAAGATAAAGAAAACGGCCCGAACGTCGAGCTGCTGCCGCAGTTCTACACGAAGTTCTCGATGCGCAACCTGCGCGGGTTGGCGCAGGAAGTTGCCCCGACCGGGGTGAGCGAAAAAGACAGTCTTTTAAGTTTGCAGCGAGGGCGAGAAGGGACGGGATTTTTCTCCAACGGCCTCAGCCCCCACGATCAGAAGCTCGAGGAGAGGCACCACATGTTAATGGGAGTTGCGGCGGCCCTGCACAAGGTTGTCATGCTGCAGGGTCGCATTCGACCATCTGGTTCATCTTCTTGCGAGGAACAGAAAACGGGCGCGACGGCTGGAACGCTTCCGCAGAGGTGGATTCGCGATAAGCTCGCAGGGCAAAAGCAAGCGCTGCATGCCACGAAACAGGAGGAGGATACCCAGGTCGCGGCAATCATCCAAAAGGAGGAGGTGGTTGTTCCTCCACCGCTGAAGCGTGCCAAAATCATCGTCGAAAACGCCGATGTCGGAGAAGCCACGAAAGGTAATATTAAAGCCGGCCGTGCGCGCGCGGGTACGGATTATTCTGTGTTCAACAAGGTAGTAGCCCCAGCAGCAAAGAAGGATGAAGCACAAGCACCGAAGAGCAAGCGGCAGCGCGATCTCGACCTTCAGGAGAGTTTGCAGGTGAGGTTTGCGCCGCTGAACACGCTTGCCAAGGAGGACACCTGGGAGCCGCGGGGGATTCCCGTGGGCGACGTGAGGGCGGCGTTTCAGCACGTGTACAAGATTTCGCCGGATTTCGACCAGAATACGCAGGCTTTTCGCGAGATGCAGCAGCACCACCCCGAGCAGCAGACCACGGGGGCCATCCACCCCCACGTGCGGTCCCTGGTCGAGTTGTGCCTCGTGTTCCCGCGGCTGTTCCGGTTCCGGTTGTCGGACACTGACTTCTCGCAAACTTGTGTGCAGGCCCGCCGCCTCCGGCGGGACCCGGGCGGTCTGGTTGTCAAGCGGCTTGCCGCGCTAGACTTGGAGGAGTTTATCAACCACTTCGAGAGCAAGAACCGCCTGGTCCGGGACGGGGCCTCGCACGACACGCTGATGCAGCTGTGGAAGTACAAGGTACCAGCGGAGGCGCGCCCCTTTGCGTGGCACGCGGCGGAGAAGTGTGTGGGGTTGATTTTGAACCTGTGGCGGGAGTCGGCTATGGGCGATCCCTTCGCCGGGGCGATACCCATGCCCGAGATCAAAAGCGTGGACCACCTGGTTATGCAAGAAAAAAACTGTGTAAAGTGTAAATTTGTGTTGCAGAACATGCAACAGAGTTACGCCTGTCATGCCAGACAGAAATGAAGTCCTCTACCTCTTTTCATGTGTGTTTTCCCTTACAAGCCACGCATGACAGGTTTTCTCTGCCATGTAGGGCAAATTTGTGATGCTGTTTCTCAAAGAAAGTTACACTTACACACTTTTTTTCCTGGATGCTGGTCGCGCTTCTGTCCGGCACGAACGATGACTACTGGGAGGCGGAAAACGACCACATTACGAAGCTCATCGGCACGCCCCACCCCCCCGCTGCGGCGACCACACTTGCCCTTGCCGCTGCTGCGGAAGGAGGCTCGTTGTACAATAGTGGCGGCGGAGGTCACCACCTCCACTCGGCGCACGACGGAAGTCGGGCTGGGCAGGGCTCGACGATGCCGTCTGGAGGTTCTTTTGGTGGGAAGATGTACAACATGCCGATGCACGGCCCGGGCCACGTGCTGCCGGTGCCTCCGCCTAGTGCCGGTCATCAAGCTCCGCCGTTTGGCGGAAACAAGGGTGGACCAGCACATCATCATCACCCGCAGTTGCACATGCACATGCCCCCGCACCACGCGCCCTGCTCCAAGGGGCAACTGCAGTTCCTTCAGCAACAGCAGCAGCAACGATCCTTCGATCAGCAGCTCGGACCGGGGGGAAAGAACGACGGAGGAGAAGACCGGGATCAGGTTCAGCAAAAGCAGGGCAGTACCTCCGTGGAGGCGCAGAACTACGCGCGTCGGTCCGTGAACAAAGGAGGCCATATGAACCTGGGTGGAGCAAACTATTTCAATACTCGTCCTCCTCCCGGAATTGTGATGCCCGGAATTATGATGCCCCCGTTCGGCATAGGTTTCTTTCCGCAGCAGGTGGTTCCACCGCCCAACTTCATGCCGGTGCCCCCGGGCCCCCACCCCCACTAAGGTAAACTACTTTGGTGCTTATTTTATGCGGTACTTGTCGTGTATAATTGAGATTGATCATGTTGACCAAAATGAACAGGAAGATGCAATGCGGTACCCCTCCGCGAGAACTTCATTATTTGTTGCTTCATCCTCTAACTGCAAAAGCTGCATGTAGTTTTTCGACTTCATGCCCTCATCCTCACAGGTACGCTATCACTACGGAAGAGGGATACTGCAGTATCAGTCTGGTGGAATGAAGATCATATCTAGAAGGTACTTACTTGTTTCTACCATCGAGAAGTAGGAGTCTGCCTCTCCTTTTTCGTGCGCTGTTGTCTTAGCTATCACCTCACTTTTCATTACGCTCGCTCAAGAAAAGCGAGTCGAGAATATCGAGGAGGCTTTCTCGATTTTTGTTTGATCTTCATCCTCACAGTGTCGTCGCGGCCACTTGCAGCGGAGTATAGGACTTAATTTTCCATCCAGGCCCTACTGCGGTTGTCCCTCGAAAGGAAAACAAGAAGGTACTGAGCTTTTTTAGGCAGGAATTCGTTCTGTAATCAAAATTTTTCGCTTGCGTTTTCCATTAGAATCAATTAGTGTTTCTAGTATTCGATCGTCTCGCTTTGAGGCAACGGCAAGCTGGACAAGCAACATAAATTGCGACTGCATTCCTTACAGAATCTTCCACGCCTTCGCACCCCCGCAAACACTCTGCTTCTATCCAATCAAACGAATGGTGGAGTGCGAACAAGAAGAGAAATGATAAAAATGAAGAAACTTAAACTTAATTCATCGTCAAAGACAAATAATTCTTTATTTCGAAGACGCCAGCCTTTCACTTTTTTCTCGCTTAGCGGTGCCGATCATTCTTGTTAGCGCTGCGTGAATGTGCACTACAAGCTTTAGGCCACACCTTGATGTGACAGCGACGGGTCCCAGCTTCTACCAATAGATATATTTGATTGGTTTTAGTGCAACGCCGCGGCCGCCCGGACGTCCTGCCGGTAGATTTCCGATATGATATCTTCACAACATTAAACTGACGCATCACGAAGCATAAGAAGCCTCGCTGGCACAATCTTTCGTCATTGAGTTCCGCATTTATTACATTAATTTTATCATCAAGAGGATCCTCCCGAAGATTATGAAGATGAACTCACATTAAACCCCAAACGCGCGGTTGGACAGGAGGAAAGAATCAGTAATATATACCGCATGAGGACTCTACAATGAAGAGAGTCAATAAATAGCTCTAAGTGAAGATGAAATAATGACCAGCTCGAATCGAAGAAAGAGAGACTCTGACACTGACAGTAGAGTTATTATCATCTGAAATTTTCAGATGATAGTAACTGTAACTCTACGGTCCCCTACCGCTGAAATAAATATGGAAGTACAAAAGTGATTCGGCTCTGACGGTGACAATTGTAGAGTTACAGTTACTATCATCCGAAAAGAAAACCCTTATAGAAGTACTCGAGAAACAGCTCGTACGTTATGGTTCAGAAGAAAGGCAGCTATGCCAAGACAAAGAATGCATGGAGCGATTTCTTTGACATTAGTTTGATCTGGTACCAGTTGCCATAGCTTTAGCTGCTGAGGAGGCTGCTTTGGCTGGCTCCAATTGTGTTTGTGAGGCCGGTCGTCACCGCTCAACGGGTGGCGCCCCGCTTTACAAGATGCTTTTGAGCGCCCGGTCTCCGGCAGACATTAACTCGTGGAAAACTCGTCGACGGTGCGCCCCTAAAAGAACCGAGGGCACACGTTGACTTCTCCTCCACAGGATCGCCAACGGTATACAGACCACGACGCATTTCTTGCTCTCTTACTGCCGAGTGTGAAGATACGAGTCAACAATGTGCAGTAGGAAGTATTGCTGGGCACAGAATCTCATACACACCTGTTCGCCCCCCTCTACACCGACGACACGCCATCCAGTCATAATGTATTCGCGCAAAGTTTCACTTTCAGTTTCACCGAAAGTAAAATAAAAAAGTACTTAGATAAAAAAACGCAAAAAAAGGACACTCCGGCACGTCAGACCCATTCTTATATATATCTCGTGAAGCTAAAGGCACACCGATTGCGCGACCTTCCAACTCATTCGATGCCTGCACAGACGATGATTCGTTGTCACGTGAATTTTTTATGTTCCGCAACTAAATGATGTTTCTTTTTCTGGATCTTGACAAGACGATTTTTACCTGATCGCGTGGTCTGTTTTCGCAACTGCAACATGTCTTTGTGAAGATCCTTTTTTAGCGTGCCGCGTGCGTAGGTAGTTTGTTCGGTCTCTCTGGAATTTGCGTTGTGAAAAGCGTGCATTACCAAGATCTCATCATGCAGATTTATTTTTCACGACCCCTCGAAGTGCTGATCTCTGTCTGATGTGTTTCCCTTTGTAAAGTACTCATGCGAACAAATAACGCGACGTGGTCTTAGAGCGGCGTGCTGTTCGTGTCCACAAGTTGTATCAATCGCATTTACGGAATAAAAATATCAAAATCTTCAAACTCATAGGTCCGCTTCGTGTGTTCAGTTTAGTACTCCTCTTCCAGCACACTCAATCGCGGAGTAAGTCTTGACACAGAATGGAGCACAACTTGGCTGCGAAGTCTCCGCCCTTTGGGCAGGGAAGGGGCGCGGCGTGGCCACCACCGCCTCCCATGTACAAGGGAGGCGGCGCAGTTGGAATGAAGGTACTCTTGGTTCACGCCACTTTGTTAAACACTGTCTTTGCACTGCTCCTGGATGCCTTTTTCTTTGTCTCGTTTTTTTTGAAATTGTTTTTATAATAGTTAGTTTATCACAATCGAGTTTTTGTTTTCGTCTGGATGTCCGTTTTTTGTTTCTCGACGCTTGAGCCAAGTTGTGTTATGTTCTTTTTTTTGTGATGAGGCACAATAAGAAGCACGCGTTCCCTGCGCCGTCGTGGTCCTCGCGGGGTTTAATATCTCTCGAAAAAGAATGCAAAAATCTTTCCCATAATCCAGGCCGGCGGTGCAGCCGTGGGATATCACCAATACAATCCTCCGCCCTTTGGAGCACCGGCAGGCGGTAAGTTCGGGGCAGCTGGCGGCTCCAACCCAAACATGATGCCGCTAGGCGGTAAGCCAGCATCCATGATGATGCAGCCGCCCACTCCGACTAATGCGATGTTGCGCCAACAAGCGCCGGCGCCCAGCGGCGGAGCACCTCCGCCCCCCGGGGCGTACCACGGTATGCCTCCGGGTGCGGGTGCCCCCCCTCACCCACCCCCGCTGGTGGGGGCGTCTGCCAGCACTTTTCCCATGCAGCAACCTGGGTACGGTGGCGGCGGCGCGGTTTCTTCCACCAGTCACGTTCCCTTGCGCGGCGGGAACAAACGAGAAGGCGATCACGACCCGCAAGCCAGCCCCGCGAACCTGAAGAAGCAGTTCATTTCCCCAGCGGCCTATCATGGGGCGTATTTTTATTTCCTCATAGATTGGTACTCTAGAAGCGAAGGTTTTCTGAGACACCTTTCGTCCAGCACGACTGTTGAGCGTGGTCATACATTGTCTGTCATTGTGTTGAAAGGAGGTTCGATACATTAACAATTCAGCGACGGGGACCGTTCCAGCAAAGAGAGCATATGGAATGCAAAAATGTCTGGGTCTGGAAGATTGCAACTTGTCATGCAGTTTTTGGAGTCTAAAAAAATGTGTATTGCATGACCAGCAAGAGGGATACAATGTGCGCTACACGAACAGGGCATTTCTCATGCGGAAGGTGCATCAGGAAGCCCTCTAAAAGTCTGCGATGCTAGGTCATGCATTACAGGCATCATGGGTCATGAGTAATATGCATGACAAATCTTGTATTCTTGCAGACCCAGACATTTTTGCATTTGATAGAGCACCTCACACGACAACAAGCAGACGTACTCGGTGCTCGATTACTTTCCCTACTGGTGGACCGATAACCGCTTGCGGCACGAGTTTCAGAAGGACGGCTTCAACGGGGTCACCGTGCAGCACCGGCGGATGCACATTCCATTGGAGTCAATGGACAGGTTCGTCGTCTATCTTCGAAAAAAAGAGCGGGCTGCGATAGACGAGGCCGTCGAAAAGGGCATGGTCCGAGAAGAGACGCTCGGGATTGCGATCCTGCCGGAATCTTCGGAAGAGCCTCATCCACATCAGCAACAGCATCCTCACATGCAAAATCAAGTCGGTGTGAGTCCGAACCCGTTCCCCGTTTTCCCGCCGCCACCCGGTGTGCTGCCTAACAGGAGCAAGGACTGTATCTATATGCACGACTAGGGCTAGAAGATGGGTGCTATATAAATATAAATCGTTGCCTTCGCTTGTTTTTCTGTGCTATTCATGCTCTTTCTGCTGTTGCTCGAGGTCCACCGTCTGCATTAAGAAACAAATTTATCCCAGCGCTGAGTCCCAGTCCTGACAGCTACGCAGAGTTTGGGCTCAACCTGTACTTCTTGGCGCTCGCGCAGCAGAAGCCAATGCCGGTAGCCACGATACCGATGCAGTACTTCGAGCACTTTGGGCACCCCTTTCCGCGGGAGCGGTTTCTGCACGCACCGGGGCCCCTCGAGCGCAAGATCGAGGAGCATTTCGGGAAGTTGTTTGTATTTTCGCAGGACTTCTCCGACGCACTGCTTGAGCCGGTACACGGGTACCACCCGGAGGACATTTCCATCTCTCAACTGAAGTCCCTGATCTCGCAGCACTCCGCGAACAATTACAACTACCCGGCGTATGGAACAACCGCCTCGTCCTACGGAGGCGCCGCTGCGCCCGTCCTTTCGCAGTCAGCGGCGAAACGACGGGTTTACCTCGAGCTACCGGAAGAAATCGTGTGCCACAGTGCGCGCTCGTTGCATCGCTTGCTGTGCTACTTGCACCGTCGCCGGCGTAATATGCGGCGACGGGGTAGTACTGTGCGACAGCGAAATCGGGACAAAAAGTCCGGAGGCGCAGTGCCTGATCGGCTGATGCTGAAACCTGCAGGCAGCAAGGAGGCTAAGCCGACGCCCAGCTCGGTCCAGCCTAGTTCAAGCGACGGCGAGGACGGACCGGAGAATTTTGAAAACGATGCGCCAATCCCGGTCTCGGAGCTCGTATCAAATGCAAAAATGTCTGGGTCTTGCAACTTGTGATGCTGCGTTGGGAATAGGGAATGCTCTGTAATGCACAGCCAAGCATGAGAAATATCCGCACTTCTTTGTGTTGCGTTTTTCGCATGACAAACTGCGTTTTTGCATGACTTGCATAAGGGTCTCTTCTTGGACACGCATCACAAAGTTTTTGTTCATCCCAGACAAGCATGAAAAATCTCGCAGTCTTCCAGACCCAGACATTTTTGCATTTGATAGCTCGAGCCGGAATACGAAAAGTTTTTCAATATCAACTGTAAAAATGTCTGGGTCTGGAAGAGTCATGCTGTTTCTGCATGACACAGAAGGTCTGTCATGGAAGCTCTAGCATCACAGGTTTCGAGAAGCTTCCGCAATGCCGAACCCGCATGACAAATCCCCCATTTTGGTGACAGAAAGTGAGCAGCTTTTGCTACCTATGCATGAGAGATTTTTGTGTGTTCCGAAATGCGCATCACAAGGCGCATTCTTCCAGACCCAGACATTTTTACACTTCATATTCAAAGTGCGACCGCAATTCCACACGTTCCCGCACACCAAATCCATCCTGCACTTTTGCATGCGGTTTCCGAAGTTGTTTCGCATCTGCACCGATGGTCTCGAGCCATGCGTCCGCGCCGGCGTCGACACCCTGTCGACACAGCGTATAGATCCTGCAACCGGCGAGAAAAAGATGGTTTTCCAGCTTCCCACAGAAGCCGAGGGAAAGTCAGAGGTTCCCAAGTCTGTGCGAAGGTTTGAGTTGGGCGCTGCAGAAAAGTTTGCTGGTATAGTAAGTACGTGTTTAGTTGCTGTTCTAGCCCAGGCGGCTCGTGAAGATTGCTATCGATGAATGAAGTTCTTCCAAACTCTTGACGAATTCATATTATACTTCTTTGCGTCTCACTCTCTCTGTTGTAGTAGTGGCAGAACTTCTACCAGCTCTTGTTTGCATTCTTGTACTACATGATCCACCCCAGCAGCCATTACCAGTAGAAAACGCATTCTATTTTCTAAATCTTTAGGGCTTGCGCTGAATCTATGGATGTGTCAGAGTTGAAATCGACAAAGTTGAAATAATTTGTCATGCATAAAATGGATGCCAGTTGGAACCCAGTTTTCAAGTGGTGCATGACAAATTTTGGCAGTCCCTAAATCCAGTTTGTCATGCGGTTTAGGCAAAGAAAACTGATTTTCTCATGCTACTTTAGCAGCTCGAGCTGTAACCCCAAACAGGCTTACAATCGGCCTCACTTGCCTGCTCTGCAACACACGTGCCTCGGGTCATGCATTTTATGCATTACAAATTATTTCAACTTTGACGATTTCAAACCTGACGCTTCCATAGAATCTGATCGCCGAGGACAAGGGTGGGTCACTCGAGGACCGGTACCCGGAGTTTGAGTTCGTGGAAGAACTGGTGAATTCCCTGGGTGGCTACGCAATACAAATTTCGCGTACATGTACAAGATGCATCACAAATTTCACCAATCTGGAGCGTAAAACTTGTCATGCTAAACTGGGATCGAAGCCATGTTTTGTCGTGCAGAGACCGCATTTGTACGTGTGCGGGATATTTACTGTGGATAGTGGTGCCACGAGAAGCGTGCCGCAGTTCCGCACCATCCGCGAGTCGGTGCGCGCCGCTACCGTCGACGTCTTTGCGCGCAGCGGCGGAGGTCCTGGGCCGGGCCCGGGCGGCTACGGCTTCGGAGGGATGGGTGGAGGGGGTAACCCCGGGGGTCCCGGCTCATCTATGGGGTTCTTTCCTCCCGGGAGACCAGGCGGCTTCCCCGGGTCCGCACCTCCCAGCGCCTGGCCGGGACCCGCAGGGCCCAGCGCTAGCTCCAGCTACTGGGCGGGGGGTGCTTACCGAGGTGGGAAGTGGTGAAGTGCGTCCTCATTACCGCTTCCGATGTGCTTCTTTTTTTTTCACTGGTCCCGTCCTCTCGTCGGCCATATCGTGATAATGAAGTGCTCAGTTTCGATTTGATGCGCTTCCGTGGTTTTGCTGAATCTACTTAGAACGAAATCGAACTGAAGAGAAAAAAATGTATTAGTTTGCCTGGAAGTGAAGAAGTAAGTGAGGCTTTTGATGAGTTCATCCTTACCTGAAGCTTTTGCTACCTTAGACCTGAGTGGTTTCCTGTTCTGACTAGCAATGGCTTTGAAAGTTAGTCGTGTGTGCGAAGATTGCCTAGCAAAGCTAATATATAAAGCATGCAGTATGGCTGCAGACATCAGACCTCCGCTAGTTTGTAGCTAAAGGAAAGCAAAATCGTAGAAGCATGACTATCTGGCTTTGAACATAGGACAGTTGTATCCCAGGAGCCTGAATAGTGCGTCCTCGCGTCGTAGGCTTCAAACTTCCCTCTGATATTTGCAGAGCGCCCTGTATGAAATGACTTGCATTTATCTTTAACTTTCCATTGCCTGCATTCAATGGAACAAAAGCTGGTCGGTCACAATGTGCAACATTACGCAAAAAGTGCGTCAGAGGTTATGTTTCAAATCATCGTTATCGTTATCGTGCACGTTCAGTCCGCAATTTACGCCGTACAAGAAAAAGGAATACACAAAAAAAAAATCGGTCGTGCAATTTCATGTCTTATGGTGAAGTTCGGATTGACATGCCATTTCTACCACGTCGGTTCGTGCACCATTGAAGATTTAGATCGAATCTTGAAATCATTTTGCAGACTTGATGTTGAACAACTGCTCTTTATTCGGCCCACAGGAACTTCCCTCTGTTTCTACCCATAAAAACAACTTTGCCAGAATTTATCCCGCTAGTTTTTTACTCTTCAAACTGGAACCCTTAGGAGCGTTTACATGAAATCTTACTTTTTCTAGTTCACCCTCTTTTTCAGTTAGTGGACCTTTCAAGGTCCTGATCATGACCATGCCGGTTGTAGCTGTTGCATTTATGCGTTCATCTGTTTGTAAAAGTTAAAGTTTGATGCAACATGCCTGCCAAACATGTCGTCGTGTAATTGAATCTTGCAGCATTTCGCGAGGACGTTGATCAACGGCGGTAAACGAGACGAAGTGGCAGAAGAAAACTACGTCGATATGTTCTTCCAGGCGAAAAAGGGTTGGGTGCGCTACTTGCGATAAATAGCCTCCGGTGTCGCTTCCGATCATCGATTTACATTTAGAGTGAGGAACAGAAGCCGGACGGGTCGACAAGATGCCGCTGACGGAGTTTTTTGACAAGATGGAGGAACTGCGGCGCATGCGCGCGCCACTGCTTCCGGACGAGAAAAGCAACATGGAGAAGATTTTCCTCTCCAAAGCCCGCTTGCATCCGCGCACCGGCAAGCCCGCCGTCCACAAGACAGAACTAGAGCTGCTGCGCACGGAGTTCCGACAGGAGCTCGATTTGGACAAGAGACTCCTTTTCGAGAAATATGCTGAGGTTTTGAAGCTGAACCAAGTCGACCTGATCGAGAAGATAAAAAGCGGCGCGGGTGGTCTAGTTGATATACCTTCATCTGCTCCCGACCACGAGCGTGGATATGGCACGAAGACAGGCGCCGATAATTACAGAATAAAAGGCGAACTCCACGACGATATAGAGGTACGGGTGCCGGAGCTGTTAGCGAACGACCGCGTCCCCGAGGACAGTGCGACCCGGGAGATGGAAAGCATCGCACTATTCAACGCCGAACAGTTCAACAGTGCGTCATTGCTAAACAATAGTAGCAGAAACGAGGAGAGCACAACCGCGAGCGGAACGGCGCAGCTGCCGAATTATAGTAAGTTTGACGCCGCTACGACACCCGGCGCGGCCTCCGGGACAATGGCGGACCAGGACCTGAGCAACGACCAGAATAATTTTGGCGAGGAGGGACCAATATTAGGGCAAGACCACGGGGAAACAGGTGGAGGTCAAGAACTCGTCCACAAGCGACCTACGTTATCGAGGAAATCGAGCCTGCAGATCGTGAATCCGCAGAAAGACTTGGACCACCAGATGGAAATTTCCCACCCGCAGAACACGATGGCCACGCTGCGCGAGGCCTCGATTCGGGACGCGGACGCGCTCTACGAAATGGTCTCCGATGGCCGCGTGAACGGCGTAGATTTGTTGTACGAGCTTTCCTTGCTGAAAATCAAGGAAATCAACAAGAACTGCGACCACCCCGAGGAGCGGAATTTGCTCTCCGTCGAGAGCTTCTTCGACTCCAGCGTGAATTTACTCCCCGACTGGCGGAAACGCAACGAGAAGAAGATTCAACTGTTGATGATTTCGCTCTACCTGCTCGCGTCCCCGGCCTTCTACTGCGCCTACGACCTGGAGGGGGTGTGCAAGCCACCAGAAGAGGACGGGGTGGGCGGGTCGGGGTACCTGAAGAGCATCTACTTTGTGTCCGCCACGCTGTCCACCGTCGGGTTCGGGGACGTCACGCCCGCTTCCGATGGCGCGAAAGTGTTCACCATCCTCTACATCTTCGTCGGGCTCGCGCTCATCTTGGGTGTCATCATCGACGTGTTGGCGGAGGCGCTGGAGTCCTACGGGCTGCAGCTAGAAAAGGTCGAAAAGATAAAAAGGAAAAACATGCTCAAGGAGAAACAGGTAGTATAAGATATCATTTCATCAATCTTCCGATTGAACAATGAATTAGTACTCATGTTTGTAGTTCTTGAAAGGAGGTCTTACCTGATCGTCTTCGTGTTCTCTCACAACGACAGGAAATAAAGAGTCGTTTTTTTAAAAACATGACAGTGGTTCAGTGGTAAGGCACAGTACAACTATTGATTTGAGTATTGTTGTATGAGTTCTTACCGATGAACGATTTAGATCTACGAATCGAAACACATAACAGAATAAGAAGAAAGGGCTGCACTCTTTCGATGCCAAGCATTCTGTGAACAACGAGCACTCGGTGCACGACCCAGTAGCAGCTCCACCATCCTCTCCGCCATTGCAGCACGACGTGGAGTCTGGCGCCAAGCCGGTGGTGGACGCGTCGGGGATCCCGACCAAGCGGGAACAGGCCATGACGGCGCGCGAGCGCGCGCTGCTGGAGAAGGAGCGGCTGGAGGAACAGATGTTTTTTCGCATCGAGAACTCGTGGGCGTCCGTGGCGTACCGGAAGTTGACGCACGTCGTTCTGGGCATATTACCGGACAGCCTCGAGCGGTGGCTGGACGCCAAGCTGATTGGCACGGGCCAGTTGGAGCGGGAGCTCTCCTTCGTGGTCTACCGCAAACTGTTCGAGACCTTTTTGATGATTGTAATCCCAGCCGTCTTCGGGGCGATCGTGGTCGGCAGCATCGAGGGGTGGAACGCCCTGGACTCTTTATACTGGGCCGTGATCGCCGTTACCACGGTCGGGTACGGCGACAAGAGTCTGGAGAACTGGCTCAGTCGCTCGTTCTGCGTGTTTTACCTGCTGATCTCCACCGCCATGGTGTCTGCCGCGCTGGGCAACCTCGCCTCCATGCACATGTTAAAGCAAAAAAAACGGCGGGAGTTCGAGTTTGAGCAGCGGAAACTGACGCCGGAGATGATGGCGGAGATGGACACGGACGGGAACGGAGTCGACCAGTTCGAGTTTTGCCTCGCGACCCTGGTTGCCATGGAAAAGCTCTCCCGCGAGGACCTGCAACCCATACTGGAAAAGTTCCACGAGCTGGACCACGACAAGTCGGGCGTGCTCACCAAACAGGACCTGCTGCTCGCAGCGGAGGGCGAGGGGGACGTCGAGACCGCAGACGTGGTCATGCTTCATCACGAACACAACGCTGCGGCAAAAGCCACAGGGATGGGCATGCAGTCCTCGCCGGGTGGAGGTCCTCGCGGACCAGGTGGCAGCAGTGGGGGTCCCGGAATGAAGATGCCATGATCTTCACTTTTGGTAAGCTATCACGAGAAGAAGTAAGTAACCGCATTAGGCTTGTTCTCATTTCGTGATGGTATTGAATTGACAATATTGCCATTCCAAAAGATGCACAAAGATCCCATGCTGGCCTTATAACAAACTAATGTGTACCCATGATGTTCTCTCCCTCATCAGTTCGAATTTGAAAGATATACTTCTACTTGACATTTGTTAAGTACGTACTGAGGCGAACTGCGTTTTGCTCGCAAATGCGCATTTTAGATACACGCATGGACTTTCGGTGGGGAAGCTTTTCTGTGAAAGTTATTGAGAAGGCGGACCGTAGCACCATTCCAGATGTTTTTATACATGCACTCAGCCATTTGTATAGCTTTGTGCAGATGTTGATCTTCAGGCGTAGTAGTCGACTGCGTTCTAGTTTTTAGTTTCGATCCCCCCCACCTTTTCTACCAGTTGGTTATCAGGAGAATCTTAAACATATAGTCTGATTTCCATAAGAGCGAAGTTGCCCAGTGCAAAGAGATTCGCATCATTACATATCTTTTTCGAAAAAAAAGGAAGAGACTGCTCTTTTGCGAAGTGCAGGAGAACTATGCGGAGTCTTCGCAGCAGGCGCGGTCTAAAGTTGTTCGTTTTTTGCTTTCAGGTTTTTGCCTTGGATCTGGATCCCGCTTAGGAGGCAACGTTTAGCTCAGATCGCTGCTTCTTTGCTGAAGATCGCAAAAACGAATCGGCCTCAGGTCAACGGTCGTTTGTTTTTTTTGTTGTTCGTGACGTGCAACGTATTGGTATTTGCGAATTGAGTATCTCATTTCGCGGTCTTTTCTTGTCAAGAAGCCTTTACTATTCCAAAACAGCGTTGGATGAGATACAAGTTGCTCAAATATAACATTTTTTGAACGCAGTTGGTTTACATTTACCCGGAGCGCTAGTACTATCTCTGCCGAGTATCATGATGTTCGTAGCGCAGGCCCGGGCCGCCTATGACTACTCGCTCCGGACTTTTCAATACTCGCAAGCGGTGTGGTACGCGGAAAGGCTGGTGGCTGAGCACGCATGCCGCGAACACAGGCACCTCCTGGCACTGGCGTACTTTCATGCGGGAGAGATCGCACAGGCCTACTACCACGCTGACAAGGCATGTTTTTCGCCAAACCACGGGTCCTCGTCGAGCTCATCATCTAAAAGTACGAGCGTGAAGATGAATCTTGTTCTCACACCGCCTTTAATACGCAAGAACTACGGGACCTGCACCATGACATTTTAACCAGTTCGTGGCGTGTGCGTGTCATTCTGCAGCCGCTAGTATGGCTGCAAAAGGATTGATTTATAGTCATCCTTCGCAAGAAATTTGTATGCCTTTCGTGCATTTATTTCATGAGTCCATTAGATTTTATTTCTCGGCCGGGAGGCCCACCCTCCAGTGTGCAGCAGAGAAGGTTTTTCACGTTCATTCCATGGGCGGCGGACCTGGAGGAGGAGTCCCGCTTCCTGCTGGCGAAGTGTAGCTTTCTGCTCGGGAAATGGGACGAAGCTGTGGACGCGCTCTTTCTGGAGGATGAGGAGGAGTTTGATGCAAATAACGCACAGGGCCACCTGAACTACAGTGCCCGGCCGGTCAACGGGCCCGCCGGATGGAACCTGCTCGGACAAATCCGGGAGCGCCTCGGCACCCCCGAAGCGGCTATGGAAGCCTACGCCCGGTGCGTGGAAGAGGCCCCGTGGATGTTTGACGCGGTGCAGAGGCTCGCCTACCTTGCCTGTTCCACTTTTCCCGCGGTCTTCGCGCGCGCCCTGCGGAGCGAGCAGAACTTCGAAGAGTCGCTGGCCCGGGCCGAGCCGGGGCTTCTGTCTGCGTCCACCTCGTCCCGTGCAGGAAAGCAGCAGCCGTCGTCCTCGTCGTCGAGATCGTCGTTCTCCCTCTTCTCCCTGGTTCAAATCGCAGGAGAAGCGGTGCACGCCGCGTGCAGCTTCGATCCGCAGCGCACCCTGCAGGTGCTGCAACACCTGCCGCCGGAACACGCCGAGACCGCGTTTGCGGTGGAGCTGGTGGCAAAAGCGTTCTTCGAGCAAGCCGACTACCGCCGGGCGGAGAGCCTGTACCGCCGGGTGTGGAACACGCTGGATCCGCGGCGCATCGAGGGTCTCGAGCGGTACAGCACCTGCTTGTGGCACTTGCGCAAGGAGCTGGAGTGCGCGCACCTGGCGCACGAGTGTCTCTCGTGGGGGGTGCGGCGGAAGCCGCAAATCTGGTGCGTCGTCGGCAACTATCAAGTGTAAAAATGTCTGGGTCTGGAAGATTGCCAGGTTTGTCATGCACATTTTGCATGACTCCTGATGTCTGTGATGCATGCCCTAGCATCACAGATTTTGTGACGGCTTCCTGATGCCTATACCGCATGACAAATGCTCTTTCCGTGTAGCAAAACTTGGACTCTCTTTGCTGCTCATGCAATACAGATTTTTTTAGAATCCAAAATCAGCATGACAAGTTGCATTCTTCCAGAGCCAGACATTTTTACAGTTGATAGCAACGCGTGCTCGCAGCAACGCGAGCACGGCATGGCATTGAAATTCTTCAAGCGCGCCATTATCAAATGTAAAAATGTCTGGGTCTGGAAGAATGCAACTTGTCATGCTAAATCTGAAGCATGCAAAAATCTGTGTTGCATGATTACCAAAAGTCGTCCAGTTTTGACCAAGTCGCGAGGGGGTTTCTCATGCAGGATAGGCATGAGAGAGATCGCACAAAATCTGTCATGCTAGGCCCTGCATTCCAGACCTCGTGGGTCATGAGAAAGCTGCATGACAAATCGCGCATTCGCTCGTGCCCTTAGCTCAGCAGCGGATCCTCTCGGGTTGTGGCCTTTCCTCAGAGGTGGGGTTGGGCTTGGGGCGCCAGGCGAATGGGCGGCTTCGCAGCTACGTTGTGATCGACAAACTGAGATCGACGGTAATAGTTGCGTTGCTGGTCCTGTGCCAGTCGCGGGGCATGTTCGGGTGTTCCGGGCTGTGCTTTGTGCACCCCTCGGACCCCGCACCCCCCCGGGCTCGGTAGCGCAGTCTGTTAAGCATGACAAATCGCGCATTCTTCCAGACCCAGACATTTTTACATTTGATAGCCATCCAGGCCGACCCATACTTCTCCTACGCCTACACGCTGTGCGGGCATGAGTATTGCGTATGTTATCCTGTTTTTGTCCTGGTTTTCGTTTTCTCCTGGAAGCGACGATAATTGTGATGAAGCTGCTGATGCACATTTGGAAATGCGAGCCACAGATCATGCCGTTGGATTAATCTGCTATAATTTGCACCTACGAAAAAGAAGATACGATAGAAGAACTGATTTAAAAGGTACGTCGCCAACGAGAAGTACGACAAAGCAGTTCCGATGTATGAGAAAGCCTTGTCGATTGACCCCCGGCATTACAATGCCTGGTGGGCGCTGGGAAACGTCTACTACCGCCAGGAGGAGTACGAAAACGCTCGGTACCACTTTCTCCAAGCGCTGGATATCAATCGGAGCAACTCCGTGCTGCGCTGCTATTTGGGGATGGTCATGGAATCCCTGCACCAGCCTGCTATGGCACTAGAGTATTGATGTCATTCTTTTTGATTATGTCAGAACCAGTTTCAGTTGTTCAGCAACATGTTTGATGGAGGTCCCTTTTTCGTGAGCCTTATTCGCCATTTCCAAAAAAATGTGGCTGTGCTACAAGATCAAGATCAGGTGGTTTTTTTACCGTCTGGATTTTTTCGAATCAATTAGATCTGTGTCTTCTGCAATCGTTTGCAAGGTATTTCGAGCATGCGTGCGCGGGGCCGAACGGGGGACAGGGTACCAGCGGGTCGGGTATCGGTATGCACGATGCGCAGGAGCACCGAGTTTTGTGGGGAAACGTTGACTCGCCGCAGAACGCGATGGCGCTGTTTCAGAAGGCCTGCGTTCTTATTTCCCTGAACCGGTTTCCGGAGGCCCTCCGCGATCTGGAACGCGTGCGAAACTTAGCGCCAAAGGAGGCGTGTGTGTATTTTCAGCTGGGCAAAGTCTACGAGAAGATGGGGCTCTTGCAGCAGGCATTTCAAACGCTGCACCAAGCTATGGATCTCCACCGGGACTCCAAAGATTACCACACCATCAAAGCGCACCTAGAGCGGTTGCCGTTGATTGATCCGGCGCTTGCCGCATCTGCGAGTGGGAGCAGTGGCAGTCAGCTGGTCTACCCAGGCATGATGTCATCGCAAATCTGAATGTTTACGGTTGCATTCTTCGTGACGAAAAGAGAGGTTCCTACGCAGCCTGGGGCTTCCACAAACGTCTCTTACCCATGCGGAGTTTCATTGTTCCCCTTATCCCGGAAAGCATTTTTCGTTTTTCAGCAATAGCAAAGAAATGCTTTTGGTTCCTTGTATGCAACGGATCACCAAATAAACCACCAGAATTTCAACTGCGCGAGCGCAAGAAGTGCAAGTACAGAAATATTTATTTGGCAAACAGATAAACGAATTCATATAGTTTTCGACATGAACAAAATTTACAAATATGCTGCCATACCATCTGACTAGGAGGTCTGGAATGTTGAGTCAGGATCACCCTGTTGCTATAAATGAAGTGAAAAATTTCGAAGTTCACTTCTCTATGCACCCAATCGATCCAGTGCTAGTTGCAATTTTAGCTTTGCTCGAAATGGATTTCATGGCTGTAATGCAACTTACTAGACAGCGGCAGCAACGAGTTCTAGCATCTTGTTACTTTTTTTTCCTACACCTATGTAGTCAGGCGAACAACGAACTACGCAAGTAATAGAATACGAAAACCGAATTTTTAGGAACTTCGGCTTTGTGTCCTCAATCGAAAGATGTCCGGGAGCAAAAACCACGACACCAACGATGGGACGCACCCGTTGTTTCATCACCACGAGTCTGTGGCCACGCCAGGGTTGATCCACGTATTTTTCGACGTCGCTGCCATGGAGGGGTCCGCTGCCAGCAGCAGTATAACTACATCAAGTAGTCAGAGCAGCAAGGCGGTGGCGCACCATGGGCAACCACTGGGGCGTATGGTCTTCAAGCTGTTTCAGGAGCGGGTACCGAAGACCGTGGAAAACTTTCGACAGTTGTGCATCGGGGCCAAGGGACAAAAGGACTTCAGCTACGCTGGGAGTTCGTTTCACCGGCTGATCAAGGATTTCATGCTGCAGGGGGGGGACTTCACGAAGCACGACGGCACCGGGGGGAAGAGCATTTACTCCACCACCCAATTCGCGGACGAGCCCAACGGGCTCCTGGCCATGCGGCACAACCGACGCGGCGTGTTGTCCATGGCGAACAAGGGACCGAACACCAACTCCTCGCAGTTCTTCGTCCTGTTTCAGCCGCAGCCCCACCTGGACGGCAAGCACGTCGTGTTCGGGGAGTTGGTGGAGGGCATGGATGTGCTCGACCGCATCGAAAAGTTTCCCACGGACTCCGGCGACCGGCCACTGACCAAACTGGTCATCGCCAAGTGCGGCGAGTTGGTCCGCGTAAAACGAGTCTTTCGCCCGTTGTCCGACTCCAAGCACGACCTCCTCCGCGAGCACCACGTGTCTTCCAAAAGGAAAAAACACATGCTGAAGCGCCTGAAGGCTCTGCAAAAATCACACCAAGCGAAAGACAGCGCGACCACCAAAAGCTAAGGAAAAACGAATATTTTTGAAGAGAAGTCTGTCATTATTTCACCCCACGACAGCACGAGAAGAAATCAACGTTTTTGGTTACACGACACAGTGACGGTCGTGAAATCAGAGAAGTTTCGCGGTTCACTGTCTGAGGCTCGACGAGTATAACAAACGCATAGTACCCATCATAGCGTTTTTGTTCCCCGTCAAGGAGTCGCCTATCTTTCAAAGCACATTTGTTGCACAGTTGTCAAGTAGAATAGTGCGTCGGCACCTGTAGTTCTAGTTTCTGAAGATCCGCTTTCCTGGAGGTCTACTTCCCACTTGGCTAAGCTATGAAGGCTAGTAGGGTGCTTTTGAAGATCATGCTGTAGAAGTTGTCCGCACTGGTATAGAAAGATCCTTTGCAACTGCGGTATGATGAAGCTGCATGGATGTTTTCACCTGGATCACGTTCAGGTGTAGAACAAGACATTGAACTACTACTCGCACTCAGCGCAGCAGTACTTCTTGGACCCACATATATTAAGTAGTTCTTGCTACTAACATACTGTAGGTGGAGCTCATGATAGTTGGCTTACTCGTTCTTCGAGTTCAACAGACAGTTTGGCTTGTCTTTTCCACTTTCGTTCCACCAACGCTCACCATTCATCACAGCGATGTTTCTATTTCCCTTTCGTCTGTATGGACACTGATCAGGTCGAGATTTTGATTCGACTAGGCATTAGCAAACACGCGCTCGTCTTAGGGGTAGTCCGGCAGTAGAGTTGCAGAAACACGACCTTCAGATACAACTAAATAGAGAAGAAGAACCTGTTATTTCACTTTTCGCCTTAGAATCGTCAGAAAAAAAAGATATCAGCAGCAGTATTTTCCGACTTTGAGTGTATCTTAGTCTAATTCAAATCACAAATATGAGAAAGAACCTCCTCCCGCACCTGAGTACCAAAAAGAAACTCGAAGAACTTCGCTGAACTCGACACACCACCGTAGTTGCGTGCTCCCCCGTGTTGTACCTGAAAGAGAAAGTAGCCCCCAAGAGATCCGTTTTCTGTGCGTTGAAGAGCAGCATCATTGCTCTTCGCGGATCCAAGCCGCGACATCATTGGGTTGTTGGATTTCGGGTTCCGACGCAGCGGAGTCCGCGACTAGCGCACCAAACGCCCTAGCGGAGAAACTTTCTGAACAGCTGGGACGGACTGCAGCAAGGACTTCTTCGCAAGCTCTCGAAACAGCAACAAAAAATTCAGACAATACTTTTGCTGCTCCCGTGAAAGAACAACTCGATTTGTGAAAGGACAGCTTCATTCGCGCAGCAGTAGCTTCAAGACATTTTTGCAGGCAGCTGAAGATCAACATTACCGAAGACAGAGCGGACCGGGCGTCTTCTACGTCGGAACCGATCACCTGGCGCGACACATTTTTCTGCACCACTTCAACTCCGGTTTCTTTCTTTGAATCAAATCGATGGACAAGATGCCGTCCACTAGTTGCCAGGGGTATGTCAAATTCTTTTCGGAGGCGAAAGGCTTCGGCTTCATCTCCATGGATGGGGGGCAAGACATCTTCGTCGCAGCCAAGGATGTAGCTGGTAAAGAGTGCTACTGCTTCTCATCTTCATCGTCGTGCACCTCGACAACGAATAAATCAAGCATGAAAAATTTGTATCAAATAAGGACGTGCATTAGCATGATTTTTGTTTTGACTTTTCATTTGGACCACTTCAAAAATTTCTGCAAGATTATACCTCCAAGTACAAAAGGTAATCCGCTCTACCAAGACGATTTGGTGACATTCGAGATAGAGGAAAACCGAAAAGGCAAAGCCGCCAAGTTTGTTAAGGGAGGCACCGGAAATCCATTCAAGGGCAGTATCGCTTGGTTTGTTCTTATTTCTCTCCTCGCCGTACTTAGATAGAAGCCCGTCTTGTTTATTCGCACCTCCTGTGATGATTCTGAATGTCGATGTAGATTGTGTTTGAGTAGAAGTAGCAGGGGCCAGCACGACAGCTACGATGAGAAAAAATCACCGACATGATTGACATTTCAATTTCACATATCCCACGAAAAAACTGTTTCATTGTGGTGATTTAGCAAGATCTGCATCACAGGTTTGTTACACATGACAAAGAAAACTTGGCGTGCGTGCTTCCCAAGGGAAAACACAGCTAAAAATCCAATGTCTTGCACGTGTAGCAAGACAAACGCATTTGCGTTCCGTTCTGTGCATCACAAGTTTACAGTGAAACAGTTTTTTCTTGCGATATCACACAGAGAACAAGGCGGGGCAGAAGGACGCCAAGGGCAAGGGCAAGAAGGGGAAAGGCCAGAAGTTCGGGAAGGGCCGAGACGAGGAGGAGGAGGAGGAGGGCTTCTGCAACGGGAAGGCCAACAACGGCAAGGGAATCTTGCCCGGAGGCAACCACAACTGGGTGAAGGGCGACTACGGCGCGGGCGACATGATGAAGGGCAAGGGGCCGGGCGGTCCGATGATGATGGGACCTCCCGGCGGCGGCGGGCCTCCGGGTGCGGACATGGTGGGCAAGGGTGGGGACCCGAATCAGATGATGGGGGGCGGCCCGCCGGGCGGGGGCGGCCCGCCGATGGGCATGCCGGGAAAAGGGGACATGGGCATGGGGATGCCACCCATGGGCATGCCACAACAAGGACCACCTGGCGGTATACCAATTTTTTTGTTCTAGATGGAACTCGTCTCTGCTGCTTACTAGAGGAACTTTTCAGATTCTGGAAGATGCTGACAAATGCCTTGCGAAAGCTGGTGTTCGCACATCATGATGAAATGCTTGATTTATACTAGAGTGTGCCCCTTCGGTAGCCGCTAGTAGCACAGAGAAAACCAATTGCAATATGGGACTATCATATCGCTTTTTTCAGGTAAGATGGGCGACTTCCAGCCGAACAGTAAGGGGGGATTTACTCTGAACTATGCTGCGCCAGAATTCAAGCCAATGGGAGCATAGAGACAGCATAGCGCTTGTGATTCCAGGCCCCAGTCTGCTTCTGCAAAGAAATGTTTGGAACACTGGCGAATTTTTTCAATCAAATGTCACGACTTTACACTAAGTTACACAAAAACTACACACTCACTCTTTTGTTTTATGTTACACTGTCATCTCGACTTACACGAATCTTTTGCACGATGTCTTTTCCGATAGTTCTTTAGCGACAAAAAATATCGTTGAGAGGCTTCAGATCTTCGATAGTTGGCGCGGGAGAGGCAGTGCAATTGATTCTGTGAGTCGACGAAAAATACACTGGACGGCGGAAAAGTGTCGCTTTTCTGCTGTTTATTTTTATGTTACACTGTTTACAAGATGGATGAATAAAAGGAACCGAACTCCTTCAACACCGTCGAGAAGGTTCTGCTACTTTACTTTTCTACCGGACGAAATTTTGCTTGCAATATTAATGCTACGCAGCTCCTCCTTTCCGAGAGGCGAACGGCGAGAAGTGCGTCTGTCTGAGTAGTGCCACGAAAACGAATCCCCCTATGCAGCGCTTTTTGCCTTTAATATTACAGGCGCATGATCAAGAACACACAAAACTTTTTCAGAGGCAAAAAACTCATCACAAAAATCTTGAATTTCCTATACAAAGCGAATCAACTATAGGCATCTTCACATGACTAAATGATATCTGACTGGTGTGGCAGGTGCAGGAGCAGCTGCTGCAAAGAAGTTTACTGGGTTGTTTTACACATCGGAGCTGCCATGGGGCGACAACTATTATGTGTGCGTCACAGAAGATCCCTGCTTCGGGGTCGTCTCACCAGGCAGCTTAGAAAAAGTCACATCGACAAGCGGGAAAGCGCTCGGTACCAATCTGCCAAAGTCTTGCGCTTTTTCGATTCGTCTTTTTTTGAAGATTTAGAATTAGATGTACATGTACATGCACTCGTGCAAAATCTTCGTTTCGATCATAATCTTCTTGTCCTGCGGACGACATCTACTGGATCTTTTTTTTTGTGAGCAAATGATAAAACTGAAATTGGAGGTCTGTTGTACCGTAAACTTTGATGGTCAAGAACATTCCAATGTTGATTTCGAAATTCTTTGTATCTGCCAAAATAAATCCAACCAAGTACCTTCTCGGAGGTCCTCTCAGAGTTGATCGTGTCGAAAATAAAATCGGTTTTCTATCTGTAACTGCCAAAAAATTTCCCACTGGTCAAATAGGTGATGTAGGCAGAAATACTCAGTGATCTCAGGATCTCGCGAAGTTGATCGAAAATTTTCTCAGATTGTCGGGCAAGAAAATTCAAATTGATTTTGGCCTCACCTGCCTAAAATAAAAATGAGCATGAGTGTGAAGGTCTTGCGGAGTGGTCAAAACTGAACATCGTGGAAATAATATTAGTCGAAATGAAGTTGCCAGCGCAGCTCTCTCTAGTAAGTATTGCAGACCGCAAGTAAAAAGCAAATGCACAGTTTTGGCACAAGTGTAAAATTATAATAAGTCTTTCTTTTGTGTTCGGAGTATGTAAGTCTTGTTTTGTTCTTGTATTTGAATGAAGAGTTAGCCTGAAAATTCTGCAAGCAAAGCATTAGTTTTCTATACTATTGTCGCGATTAAGATTGAGTGTACAATCAACGCACAAGACAAATATATCACTTTTATCCGGCGAAAGTGAATCAATTATATTTTTTCATTTTTGTGTCGATGGCGCGACACACGGTATAACATAAGCATGCGCTATTCATCGACGAGATCCTCGACTTTTGTTTTCGTCGTGCTAATAGGAAGCTGCCTCGCGGCCGTCTTCACAGCAGAAGTGGCAGCTGCTGCTGCTGCTACGCCACCCCCAGCCTCCCCATGTAGCGGTCCTTTTTGTTCGTGGTCCTGGCCTGTCGCCGAAGAGCAAAAGCGCGTTGTTGAGGAGTGGCATAGGGACAATGTCTTTGACATCAACGCCGAGCATGCTAAGGACTTGCAAGAGTTGGATGCTGACCATCCTCTGTGTGGCGTGTACTACTTTAATGTCCACGGCGTGTATGACCTCGAAAACAAGTTTAATATGCAAACCCATGCCCCCCGCCGACAAAACAGATGCAATGCTTTGCGACTTTGTCCTTCTCGTTCTCGACGAGGGCAGGGAAGGAGTCGTTCCCGAGCTGAAGACCCCTTGCTGACACCAGCATCCGCTGTTCCACCAGCACCCGGCGGTGGCGAAGATTACCAACGGCACGACGCGAGGCGGACAAATTATTTCGAGTTTGACGTGCCCGAGAATATGGATCTCATTTTCGCCAGTTTTCCAGGGCATCCGTTCCCAACTTATGATGACCAAATTCCGAAGGCTGCGGAGTACAGCCGCTATTTGGGTCATCTAAAAACAAGCATGGTTACGTTGCAGAGCTTGGAGAAAGTAGCCGCGACTTCCGCAATGCCAATGAAGAAAAAAGGAAAAGAAGAAGCGCCACCTGAAGGCACAGCTCGATCTACCACTAGTACCAGCACAGCTGCTATGGCCGAGAGCATTGCCAAGGCGCTGAATGATGGCTACAGTTTGGCTGGCCGCGGAAAAGGAAGTGCCCGTCTTTTTCGAAATACGCACGTTATTTTTGCCGCGAAGTTTGTCGAGCAGAGGAATTTTCCACATCTAAAGAAGTTTCTGCAATTAAGCACGGGACTGTCAGCAGACGGAGATGAGAAGTCGAAATCCTGGGCCTGGCATGTAGCCTCCAAAAGGCAGGGCAATCAGCTGATGCAGATCCGAGCAGACGAAACAAAGAGCTGCGTTTACACATGGAAACGGCTGCAAGCGTCGGGTAAAATCGTTCCTGTCCAATTCATTGGCGTGCGGCGGGGAAGGTGCTGTTCTTCCGAGAGCAAAGGGCACTTTCACGAAGGATGTCAAGTTATACCTGTTCACTCTTCTCGACGCGCTTCAATGGGTGGCCGACGCCCCTGGTTCAAGCCACTGTAAAAGGCGGACGGTCATCAGTCCACAGTGTCGACATTGCAATCCAGCCGAAGTTTCTGATGTTGCGCGCGTGCACCGCCACGAGCACAACCAGAGTGAACTGAAGCAGGTGACCTTACTTCGGCAGAAGTCATTCGATAATTTGGAGGTCGACACCAATAGGATTATTAGGGGCAACGACGAAAAAAGTGCCACGAGTGTTTTGATGAAGTCTGCGCAGAAAGAAATGGATATTGCAGCGGCTGACTCTGGACCTTTCGTCGAAGAAGGCAACTCTACTAGGGCGACGCGCGCAGCGACGAAGCAATTAGCAACCGGGCTGGCAGAGCTGTTCGCGAAGGTGGCTTATCATGATGACCTCCTCCTCGAAGGGGAGAGTTTTTTTCAGGCGACCAGTGCGTGCTTGGAAGCGTCCCAAGCGTTCCGGCTGTTCCGTGCGGATGTGAGGAACGAAGAAATGCGGAGACACATGAGTTTTGGATTGCTCAAAGTGAAGCGCGAGGCAGTTGAGGCGATCCGTATGGCGGCCTGTACCACACTGCTTTTTTGCGAGGTCGCAGAGCTAAAGACACAAGCGAAAGAAGTTGACGCGAAACTTCAGAGCTTAAAAGCATTGGATAACCAGTCGCCAGGTTCAAACGGCCTGCTGGACAGTGTCAAGCGACTCGCAGGCAGGAAAAAAGAAACACTAGAGGATCTTTCGAGGAAGAAGGATGCGATAGAGAACACATTGACAAACCTGCTTTCCCCCTCCGCTTCGCAGACGCCGAGCGTGACGAGTTGGGCCGAATCGTCCAAACTGCTAGAAGTCCGAGCCGCATTCAATTCGGCGTTTCTAGAGGACAGGGACCTGTTGCACAAAATCCCACCCTTTGAAGGTAGTAGAGATGATTCAACACATTTTTGTTCTATCTTATAACTTTCTGACATACGATTGCAACCCCCGCGGCTGATAGGCTTCACTTTCGTTTGCAGAAACTCTCTAAGCGCAAACAGCGGAGCACCAGAACTGGCCGTTTCCTGTGGTCGACGATGTCATCGTCTTTTTGGTAACTATACAAAGGTAGGATCTAAATCAAAACTTCGACGAACCTAAAGTAGGAGATGGGGTATAAAGAAATAAGAATTAGAATTGAATACCACTGGCAATTGCAATCGAAAAAAGTAAAAGAGCGGCTGCAAGGTGTAGCAGTGTCGTGCCTCCTGGTTTAGAAGTTCTGACCTTTTATGTTTGAGGTGAGAGCAATTACATATTTTAATATCTGTAGGTCGAGAAAAGAAGTAAGAACGCCCCCGCCACCAGTGCAGGATAAATGAGTCTGGCGTAGTGTAAGATTTCATGATTTAATTTTTGCGTACAAGATTCATTTTCATTTATCATTATCCCGCACGGTTTCGAACATTTTATCACATTGAAGTACAACATATTCTGACGCCTGCACCGGGGATAGAGATAAAAAGTAGGAATGTTGTTGTATGGTCCTGGCAACCAGGCAGCAGCATCCGCTAGAGGACAGGATGCACGAGGTGCCGCGAGGATGACAGCTCGCAGCTGTCTTTGCTCCGCATGCATCGAAAGACCGTGGCATAAACATAATCTAAGATGACCGTGGCATAAACATATATCGGTTTTGTAGATCTAAATTGCACCTGCGAGTAGACCTCCCCTCGATGTTGAAGTTGAATGATTTGCAAAATTGAGGCTGACAGCATGGATGAAGTCTGATTTCCCCGATCGAAGTGCTTGGACAAAGTTTGCCGCTTGTTGTTCGATTGGGCCGATGGATAAGCACGCACTCGTCCAAAATCTTCGTTTCGATCACAATCTTCTTGTCCTGCTCAACTCCGTTTTTCCGCGGTCGTTGAAGAAAGTCGTCCAAGATATTATTCGTGCATCGTCGTGCAACAAAGTGAAATAAAAGTTCGTATCGTCTTCATACGTTCCTTTGCGTGCCTGTTTTCGTGAAATGTCGTGCATTGTGGTGCTGGTGTGGTCTACAGGCACAAAAGTCCTGCTGATTTCACATCAACGGGCCTGATGTTGCGTACAGATTGATCATCATACTCACGAACTTTGCAAATCTTTATTTCAGTTGTACTTCGCAAGCAATCCCAATCATTCATCCCGCTCTTCATCTACCCGTTACACGATATATTTGTCTCGAGTCCTCTATACTTATTTAAACCCTTTTGTTGTTTAAACACTTAAATTATCGCTATCGTCCAGTAAAAATCATGTCCGCCAACCCGGCGTTGGCACAGCATTTAAAGGATCGTCGAGAGGAACTCTCGACGCAGCTGCAGTATGTGCTGCAGCAGCAGTCGGACCACACGACCCAAGTTTCGCGCACAAGCCGGCAGCTCCGGAAGAAAGCGGAACGGCTGTGTGCCCTGCTCGGGCACGAGCCGTGCGCGCCGTTCACAGCTGCAGAGGCTCATAGAAAGGTCGTCCGGGCCGATATTTTTACACCAGGTGCAGTCTTCGTGGGAGGTGAAGAGCACGTAGATGATGCCGACGACGAGGAGAACCGCAAGTCCAGAAGTAGTACCTCCCGAAATAAAATTCTCTCAACCACGGTTTATTGCGAAGCGGATTTATCGGCGCACCAGCTTCGCCATCTGCGCAAGATCGACCGGGAAATCGGGGATTTTTTGACGCATCTGCAGCGCGAGCAGGCGATCGCGCTCCAGGAGGAGCGGGCCTACAGTGAGGCGATCCTGGAGGAGCAGCGAAAGCAGGATGACAAGCTGTACGAGAGCCTGATCGAGCACGATGAGCTCGTCCTCGAAAACGAGCTTCTCCGAGACCAGCAGCTCAAGGAAAAGATCGTGGAAAAGCAGGCCGAGGCGCAGGACCACCGCGACAAGCGCGACGCGGAGCTCGCGAACTGCGAAAAAATCTTCGAGCTCATCTACAAACGGGATATCAAATGCAAAAATGTCTGGGTCTGGAAACTTGTGATGCTAAAAGTGAACGAGAGTGCCACTGCAATACGGAGCCAAGCATGATAATTTTTTTGGGCTCCTATGTGTTGCGTGTTCCGCATGGCAAACTGCGTGTTTGCATGACAGAAGGGTTTAGGGTTTAGGGTTAGGGCCAAGAAGACGCCGTGAGGACGACCACAGGGGGTCCGTCTCAATGATGATGATGATGACAGAAAAGAGAACCGCTTCGTGCCCATGCATCACAGATTCTTGAGTCATGTCAGACACGCATGACAAGTGTCAGAATCTTCCAGACCCAGACACTTTTACAGTTGATACGGGAGGTGGAAACGCAACTGAAGAAGGACCGGATCGCCTTCCAAGACCAGCTCCGCGCGGAGCACGAACAGCACGTGAAAGCGCTGATCTCCCTACGGATCGAGGACGACGAGCGCCGGAAAGCCGACCAGGCGCTCGCGGACGAGACGCTGAGCCGTCTGTTCTCCGCTTTCATGGAGGAGCAAGAACGGGTGGAAAAGGAGCACTTCTCCGGGGATTTTGTAGCGAGGTTCCTCGAAAACCAGAGGCAAGCGCTCCACGCATTGCTCGTCGAGCACCCCGAAAATGCCGTTCGTCTTCGCGAACTGGGCATTATCGGTCCGCTGCTCCGGGAATTGGGCTACTTCTTCCCCGAGAGGGAGAAGGGGACAACGGCTCCTACGGAAGAGATCAACAATGAGGTACTGAGATTTTATTTGATGAAATCTCTGCATTTACAACTTGATTATTTTACAGCTGGGCCAGCACCATTCGTTCCGACATTTTTGTTTTCTGTTGTTTCAGAAACGGACAAGAAAAGTGCTTGTTGGGATTTTTTTTTGGCCTTAGGCTAACTATGATGATATGTGACGGCAAATTGTGGAGTGTGACCTGTGAAATTGAAAATGGAAACAACAGCTCCAATGGCGTGCCTGGGGTAAGACGCGACCGGTGTTTGGCGCCGCGACTGGGCAGATGAACATGATTTTCCAGCCCCCGCACATGCGGACGCAGACTATCATTCCTGCTCCGGACAGGGGCATGCAAGACTCGTCGGACGAGGCGAGTTCAGACGAATTAATTTCCGTGCCGGACCAAAGTAGAGACGAAAAAGCCCTCGACGAGGCCGAGAAAATCCTCCGTGCGGCCACGGGCAACATGGCTAAGGAGGCGACCCCGCCGGAATTGGAGCGGCGGGTGATCCCCGCCCTGGAGCGGCTGCGCAGCAAAAGCAAAACGCAGCAGTTGGAGCGGGATGTTGAACAAGCAAGGGTTGGAACTACAGGAGCTGAAGATGTTTTTACAACCGCCTGGTCCTCCTCTATTTCCAGCGGGGGCAGTGAGGAAGATCAACACCGCTTAACGGTGCAGAGTACAACAAGTCGGCAACACGGCTCTGGGCCGGATGAGGAGGACGGACCGGGCTCGGGCCACCCGGACGCGCCGGAGGGCGTGCGTGCTTCCTTAGAACAGAAAATGATGGACACGCACCAGCGGCGCGTGAGTCGACAGCAGAAAGAAGAGGTGATGGAGGCCGTTGCGCGGGCCCTGGTGTTCAGCGCTGCGCGCGCAGGAGGAGGATTCTCCCTTTCGCCTCCTGATTCGCACCGGGTGGGGGGTGATGGTACCAGGGGAAACAAACCGCCTCTAGGTGGGGCTCGCGCCGACGCGACCGCGGAAGGCCCGGGTGCGGGGCAGGGGCAAAGTGATGGTCGTGAGGAAGATTTGCCGGATATTGTCCTCGCGCAGAAAGGTCGTGGTAAGCAAACGCCTAAGAGTGGACCCAGACCGGGACCGCAAAGCACTACTGAGGACCCACAGAACATCTCTCGCGGATCATACGGTGGGGGAGGACTTGATGTTAGCGTATATGGCGTTACAGGCGGGCCGTGGGGAAACGATAACTACGAATCAGGACGATTCGCCACAGATTCTGGAAAAGAGAAGGGGGGCAGTAGCCCGCTCGACGTGAACTTTTACGGATTTAAACCCGGAAGAAATATTAAAGGCTCGCAGGGAACTACAATGCCCAATCAGCTCAACAAGGGCCCGACAGACACTGTCGACGGCGACAGGTATCGTGTGGAACAGGATATTAAAGGGAGACCTGTAGCAGGGACCCAAGACGGTTCCCCGATCATGAGAGGGATTGCAGTAGACGAGGTACTAGATGAGCAGGGAGTGCGCCCCCCTAGTCCCCTTGACACGATGGGCGGGGGAACTGTGCGAGGAGCAAAAGGGCCACAAGGAACTGCGGCGGATCAGGTATTCGACACAACCTCGTCCCCTCCTTTTGAAGATCAGCTCGATATTCAAATCTACGGTGTGCGAGGAAAGGGAAGGGTCCTCTCACCAGATCAGGGAAAGAACCCTGGAGAAGATCGTCGTCCACAAGGGCCAGCGGTTGTGGACGACTTACAGGGCGGCGGGGGAGCTCCTGCAATGGATCAAACAGACAATACAGGCCGGAATGTGATTAACGATCAAAGTGCTCCTGTCGGGGGCATCGACGGTGTGCCAGTCTCCAACAGAACATCGGCCTATCCAACGCAGCCTTTTGAAGATCAGCTCGATATTCAAATCTACGGTGTGAGAGGAAAGGGAAAGGCAACGCCAGTATACCAGGCAAGAAAAGGGGTCGACGACCAGCAAGTGGGCGATGAGACGAATGCTGCCGCCCGGCCACCGCAGTCTGAAGACCGGTTGTCTGCCGGGCAAGAAGCAACGTCACAGGTGGTTGTGGTCGCACCGCAACAAGACGAGCAAAGCGTGCAAATGGTGGACGACCTCAAGGTGGATGGTGCCCTAGTAGAAGAGGAAAAAGCATTGTCGGCTTTCGCAGAAGACAGCACAGGTGCTCCGAGCATTCAGAAGGCGAGCGCGGTTCCGGTAGACCAGCAGGAGCGCCGCAACAAATCCGGCGTGGTCAATCTCGAAGAACCGTCAGCAGGCCGGGCGCTGCCCTCCATACCCGAGGATCGTGTGGTGGAGCAGGATGAAGACCCGGGAGCGGCACCAGCGGTAGAGAAACTTGTTGCGCCAGCACCATTGACACAGTCGCAAGACGAGCAGGCAAATAAAAAGGCGCAAGGAGGTCGTGAAGGGCTAGACCTGTCCGCCGGGAAGTCCTCGGTTGTACGCTCGTACTCTGTGCCTCTCTCACGAGCTGCAGATCCCGAGCGGCAAAGCAGAAAGGGGCAGCCAGTTGCACGCAGTGCTTCGTCCGCCAGACCGTCAGAAATAAAGGGTGGAGTTCGGTCCGATCGCAGCACGCCACCACCTGGCTTCGGAGGCGCTCAACAAGATCGTGCAAGCATAATGCCAGGAACAGCATCTGGAACTGGATCACCAATCCCTCGGAACGGTGATGACACGCGGGGGTGGCGATCGACGCCTTTTGGCGAAGACCGTAACGACGGGTCACGCAATATCCTGTGTAAAAACGTCCCCACCCCAGAGTTGTCATGCAAATCTGCATGCTGAAAATGTTTCTCATGCGGAGCGCCATGAGAGGCATTTTCTAGTCGCGTTTTGGGATTTGTGATGCTATAACGCGCATGATATACTAGATCTGTGCTGCTGCTGAACTACCTAAACAGGATTATACTACGAAGACAAACTTGTCATGCCACACGACCAAAGCTGGCTGATTTCTCTAGCAGATTTCCCATCTTGACTCTGGTGTGGGGACGTTTTTGCAAATGATACGCAACATTCTTGGTTCAGGCTGGTCTCAAGACACCAACTTGAGCCACGACCTTGGTGTGCACGTGTATGGTGTGCGAGGTAGAGGCGGTGAGAACGCCGGGTTAAAAGCGTCACCGGAGCAGAACCAAAAGGGCGAACGAACTCCTTCTATCGAGCAGGCATCGTCACCATCTGGCGCCGGCGGGGAACCGGACGCCAATGCAGTAGCACCTCCTACTCCTTCGGCTCGGCCCGGGTTGGCTGCGGCTGATGATCCAGACGACCAAGCCTTTGAGTTTCGCTCTTTTGCGCATGAGAAAAAGAGTGCGATGATAATCGTTCGGGATTATGAAAAAGCTGTCCGACCAACCTTGGCAGCGAGGACGTCTTCTGACAGCGAGAGCTTTGTGAAAGCGAGAAAGACAAATAAATCGTCGAGCAGCAGCAGCGACGGTGTACAACGTGGAAAAGTAAATGCGGACCACGGTAGTTCGCCAACTCTTCATGTCGGACGATTTCCTACGAACATTGCCCAGGTCGCGATGCAGAAAAAGGCCGAACGGTTGCGCGCAGATGCGCATGCGCGCAAGGAACGCTCTCCCCGGGGAAATGAGCAGCAGAAGGCTGACAAGGGAGGAGATGTCGTGGGGGAAGCTCGCGAGCAGGGGAAACCGGTGGCTCTTGCGGATGCCGTCCGTCTCCAGGCTGCGGAGGTAGTACCAATAAATGCAGTGTCGTCTCTGCAGGACGAGTTTGAGAAGGTCGTCCGTGAGAACAGAAATAAACTTCCCGCAGACCACCACACTGACAAGCAGGCGGACAGCCCAAATCTGGGAAAATACAGGCCTCAGGCGCGTCTGTCTCTCAATGATGCCGAAGAGCAGGAGGTCCTGCGCGAACTGTCTGCGTTGCTGCGTGCAGACGGTGCGGATCCCGAAACGATTTTGCAGCTGCCGAGGGCTTCGCTGCTGCGCCAGATGGAGAAAATGCCCGACCCACAGGCAATCGTCCGGGAGCCGGGCTATATCCACCACTTCGCCCCCCGGGGTGATCCTGCGGGTGATACTCACGAACAACAACAACCGGAAAAACCCATGAGGCAAGCGCCAGCGGTGCAAGCGCGAGGGACCATGCCAAATGCACGCAGTATTACTCCGACGCGCGTGGACCCCAGTCTCTTGCGCAGCGAAGACTCACGGTCGGGAGGGCCACTTACGTCCTCGTTGCAGCAAAAAAACCCGGAATTTTTTGGAGAGACAGAAGTGGAAGCAGTGCCAGCCGGTGCCTTGCAGTACCTGGCAGCGTACGACGGGAAGATGGTGGCCGATGACGTTCGAAGGCAGGAGCGAGGACTCTCGGAGCGGGGCAGGAGCACAACGGACCCGACTTCAAGTCCGCCACCGCCGGGATTCAATACTAAGGACTCATCCCGGTTCACGAGGCAGCCGTCGCCGCCGGACGAGATTCCGAAGCAGCCTTCGGCCGACAATGTCTATGGCTCCTACAACGCGGTTGCGCTGAACAAGGACTCGACACGAGACACACGGCAAGCCACGACGACCGCCATCAAGGCTCCTACCAACCCCTCCTTGGGCAGCACAGATCATTTGTTAGCGAAGGCAGGGTCATTATCGGTGGGCGATCGCGGAACCAGCAGGTCGCTTGCACGACAAGCAACCACAACGACGCAGCTGGCCCGAGGCGACCAAATATTAGCGCCGCGTTCCTCTCTTGGATCAAGTGTGAGCAACCAGACGGACGATTTGCTGAAGGAATTTCTCGTGACGGAGCGGCCGAGGAGCACAATCATGGCCAGCGGCGGACAGCCAGGATCCGACCAAGTAGCTCCCGCCACGGATGCAACCACTTTCCAGGAGTCTGGGCTCGCGCCTGCCTCCACGTCCTTGCTAAAGCTTCCAACGGAGCTGATGCTGCAGCAGCTTCAGCAGGGCAGTGGCGTGCAATCTTCTATGGCGCCAGTGTACCGACCGACGAGCGCGTACGCTGGGCCCGCACAGAACCTGGAAAGCCATCGCACCACGCGGGCGACCGAGCAGCCCGTGAATAAAACAACACAATTACAAAGCCAGAACCTCAGGAGCTTCGTCTCGAGCTATGGCGGTTCCCCCGAGCAACAGATCGGGCGGAGCTTTGCATCGAGCAACGCGTCGGTGGCGGCGTCGGCTGGGCAGCCGAAAAACTTCGCCCCCGGGAAGACCGCGCCCCTGGACGATCGCTTCACGGACCTCGTGAACAGAACGATGCGCCCGCCCGAGGACCCGAATGCCGTGGAACCCGAGCTAGACCGGATGAAGCAGAGCATGATGGAACGGCAAATATACGTACCGTTTGGCGCGAGAGCGGACGTTGTTCCGCCACGACCTGTGGGAAGAAATAAAGGGCCTGCTGCTCTTGCCGTCGCGCCGGCGAGTGTTGAAAATGTCGCCCTGCCGACCACGACACAGATAGAAACGGTCAACATGGGTGAGAACAATAGCAATGCACCACCCGTGCTGAGCCTGGGGCAACAAGCGGGACCACAGCCAGAGCTTCGTCGGCAATCGCTGTCTCAGTTGAATGTAAGTCCAAAAGGCTCCGAAGTAGTTGTTAACCATCAGCCGGCTCTGTTTGCGAGATCCTCTTTGCCGCAGACAGCAGTGACAGATCCGATCGCCAGAATGCTTCAGGGAGCTGCGGAGGCGATCGCGGACCTTCAGGCCGTTCCGAATGTTATACCTGCGCCCACAGTGAACGGAATTCAAGTACAGCAGACGAGCGGAGTAGACATCACACCGCCTGCAATCCAAATTCAGCAAACCAGCGGAATTGACATCGCACCGCCTGCGCAACTGCAGGTACAGAGGCTCGCAGGGTTCAGTACTGACCGCACGCCGTCATTTGCTGCCGCACCCTCGGAACCACCATCAAGCGGTTTCGTCGTGAGGGCGAATAGCATAGAAGAATATCCCTCCCACGTCGATGTCGTCGCCTCTCCATCTCCCACTCTTCCATCAAAGCAGGTCAAACTTCAGCGCTCCGTTTCCATCTTCTCTCTGGTGGCAGGAGATGACAACCATGGGCAGCAGCAGCAGCAGAGCAACATCCCCCGGTCACACGCAGTCGCACCGCTGGGGCTTTCTACGGTGTCCGAGAAGACGGAACCTCCAGATTCGCCGCCTGTGTCACGTATCTATGAGCATGCTGCAGTTGGCGACCACCGCGATGTCCCTGTGGTATTTCATAAGAACGAAGACGCCATTCACATCATTCCTGTGCGACACGGGCTCGAGCAAGATCAGCCGCGCCGGCAGGACTCGGGTCTTTTTGCGTCTGCGGCACCCCCGAAACTACAGTCGCCTGGGCTAATCAAGCCGGTTGCACTCGGCCCGCAAATTGGGCAGACGAGCCAAAAATCTTTTCGTCCTGTGCAACCACTTTCAAGCCCACCTTCGCAGGACGGCGGACGCGCTCCGCAAACGCAAACCCTCGCACCAAGCGGTCTTTTGCAAGTCCAATCTATCGCACCCCGTGGCCCTCTTTTGCAAATGCAATCCCTCTCGCCGGCTGCTTTCACCACGCCGACGGGGGTGCAGCAACAAGCGCCCCTGTTGGCCGCCGCACCCGCGGGGGAATTCGTGGCGCAACCACGCGGGCAGGCTGCACCTCAGATGGAACTACAACAGCAAGCGGCCGAGATGGTACCAGCAACTCGCAAGCTGGGAATCGCGACGAAAACCGCGCTCTTCGACAAACCACCCGTAGCGGCAACGCCTCCGGCGACGGTCTCGTCTCAGTCGCCCCGGGCGCAAGCAATCCAAGAGAAGATGAACCGGCTCGCGAAGGGGAACGGGAAACCTGTGGAGTTCAACCAGCAAAAGCTGCCCGAGTGGATGAATCGGCGGGCACGAATTCCGACGACGATTGAGTCCGCAGACGGCGAAATGGTAAACAAATCCTTCCTGCCGGGCACGACCGAACGCCGCAGTCGCGGAAGCTGGTGGAGCGAGCAGCTGAAGAAGAAAAACGTCAAGAAAAATATGAAACGGAATCTGGGCGACTTGCTTTAAAGCAAGTGAGGAAAATACAAGAAAAACTAGATTCACGTCGAAAGCAAACTCGTAAATGATGACGCTCTACAACAACGTCTACGTGTGCAAGAATTGTACAGCGTCAGATTCTTGACTTTTGTTTGAAACATTCGTTTGAAAGCCAAATAAAACCACACCCACAAAACCGGCGCTGCTTTGGGATTTGCTACTGGGATTTTCTCGCAGCAAAGTTTCAAAGTGTTCGACACATCATCGCACTCTGCGCACCTTTTTTCCTATCGCTTTTTGTTTTTGATCCTAGCACAAATCGACTTAGTGTCACGAGTCACACCATGTCCCCTTTTCCTTGTCTCTGTCAGCGGCACCATCTCCCACTTATCTTTGTCAGCGATACCATGTTGTTTATTCATCCGTGATCACAAATAAAGCAAAGCTTGTGCTATTTATAGCGAAACTATTGCATTCAGGGGACATACTTAAGTATTTATCAGCATGGCGGCGTCCACGGACCCAGGTGCGGATCTGCGCACCGTTTCTTTGCCAAATGCTCCCCAGGGTTTTGCGAAGCGGATGCCCCGCATCGCGCTCGGGACGTGGAAGGCGGAGGTTGGGGAGACAAGAGCAGCGGTGATTTCTGCCATCAAGGACGCGGGCTATCGCATGATCGACACAGCCAACGATTACGGAAACGAGCACGAGGTTGGCGCGGGGCTACAGCACTGTTTGCAAAATGGGGTTGTTACCCGAGACGAGCTGTTCGTCCAGTGCAAGCTGTGGAACGCGAATATGCGGCCGGATCTGGTGCGCCTGGACTTGCTCGCGACGTTGAAAGATCTGCAGCTGGACTACGTAGACAGCTTCATCATTCACTGGCCGCAGTGCGCCCCCGCGGATCCGGCAGCGAAGGGGCCGGCTTTAGCCTGGAACGCAGTGGGTGGCAAATCAGAGGCGGAAATTCTGGACAATTCGAAGCCGCACAACAACAACGTCCAATGCGCAAAAGAAATGGGCTCGATGTTTCCCATGGAGGCCGACGGTAATTTGTTCCGGCATAGAGTAGTTCTCGCATGGTAGTTTCGCGAGTGATCTGGTGATGCGGCAAAATACTAAACCAGTTGAGGTCATATCAATCTGGTTTCCTGGCGTAGCCGAATGTACTTACCTGTATGAGTGAAAGTAGAATGTCGGCTCGCCCATGTAGTTTTATGTGACTTGTCTTCCAACCAACTGGACCACAGGCACCTACTCACACGATGCCAGCGTTCATTACACGCAGACTTGGAAGGCGATGGAAAAGTTGGTGGACGAGGGGTTGTGCAAGTCGATTGGCATTTCCAACTTTAACACGGCCCAGGTGATGGACCTTCTCGCGAACGGCTGCGAAAAATACAGGCCCACCGTGCTGCAGAACGAGGTGCACCTGTACCTCCAAGCAAAAGACATGCTTGATTTCTGCAGCCACCACGGGATCCAACTGCAGGCGTATGTCCATATACTATTGCTCTGCTGCTCCTGCTGCTCGCTCTACGCTTTTCGGACGGCTGCGTCCGGCTGTGGCTGCAAAATCAGTGAACTTCGACTTTCCTATGATGGAGATTGTAATCGGCGTACTTTCAATTTCATCTTTTTTACTCCCTACAGTTACAGTTTAGCACCAAGTAGAGAAAGCCTCACTTTATTGTTTCGCAGGTACAGCCCGCTCGGTTCTGTTTTCGGTGGCAAGGGATCTCCGACTGGAGACCGCGACGTGTCCGCGAACATGTTTTTGCCACAGTATTCAATCCGGGATATGCCACGGAAGAAAGTTGGCAGGTCAATGTAATGCAAAAGTATGAAAGTATATCAGAACTGCAACTGGCAAGCCGAAGCCTATAATGCTGCGCTATTTCAGCTGTGCAAGAGAGATTTTTTTGCGTATGTACTTTCGCATTCCAAATATGACCACCTGCCAGTTTTTTTCTCTGGGATACGGGAGCACCCCCTGGTGATGGAGATTGGGAAGAAGTACAACAAATCCGCGGCACAAGTTGCCCTGAAGTACCAGCTGCAGCGCGGCGTTTGTGTGGTTGCCAAAAGCACCAATCACGACCGAATCGCACAGAACATCCAGTTTTTGGACGACAACCAGTTCGAATTGACAGAGGAGGACATGCAGGCCCTGTCCAAACTGAACTGTGGCTGGCGCGGCTTGCTGTGGCCACAGACGGCCGGGCACCCGGATTACCCCTTCAAGGAATCGCTTGTTGGCTCCATTGGGGCGGCAAAAGTCCCGCCAGACTGGATCGCAAAAGAAGATCCGCGGGTGGCGGGCGCATGACAGATGGGTTGGATAGCGATTCGATATTGGAGGCAAAAACTACCATGATGTCCATGGTGGACTAATATCGCGTTGTCAGCCGCTACCCGCGAGCAAAAACTTTTTATTTTGCCACGGTGAAGGAGCTTTACCTCTATGAAGAGTATTGTTTTAGCGCGCAGTTACCTTGCTAAATGCCAGTGCACAGAAAAATAGTACTCATGCAGCTAGTTGCGCTGGCCGTACTGCAACCCCTCGTCATTATTTTTTGTGAGTTACGAAAAGCTTCAGCTTGTTTGCGGGGTCCCTTGTTCAAAGCGAGCGAAACAGGCCACAGGACGAATTAACGTGGACGTAGGAAGAACACCAGCAGTTATTTCATCTTGGAGATTAGCCAAAACAGAGTCATTTATCTGTGAGTTGCGCACTGAAAGAGTCGTTCTTCCGCGTTCATAGTTCTGGTTTGCCAGCTTCAGTTGTACCCGTAGTGCACAACTGTCCTCGTTTGAGCGGAATGAAAACCAGGCAAAACAAATAAAAAGCAAACATCAACGTAAAAATACAGCAGCAGCAGTATTCAATCGACTACGACAATCGACTGCGCAATCGCGTGAGCACTTCCCGCATCGATGACGATGGGCAACACGGAGGCGGGAGGCCGTCTCGATTTTCCGACGGGACGGGCCAGCAGTCTTAACACCACCAGCAAAGAGATTACGAGTGAGCGCCAGTCTGCATCCAGCCAAGACGGGCGATCCAGCCAAGACCTTTCGGAGTTACGCGACCTGGAGGAGGGGCTGCAGGAGGTACGCAAGCTGCTGGATGCAGAGGAGCAAGACGCTGCATTTCCCTGGTTTCACATGGTCCAGTGGGCTGCGGAGACCAGTGCCAACGACTGCGTTTTCCGGTGGGACCTGGAGAAAGCCTTTTTCATTGTGCGCGATGGCGTCAAGTCGGTGGACGCTTTCCGTGGCAACCTACGGGAGCTGAAAGCGTGCCTGAAGCGAGCGGAAAAGGAAAACGAGAAGCAGACAGCGGGTATTATAGCGGGGCGTTTGTTTGCGTTTGGGTTTGTTTTCAATACCGTGATTTTTTTTGCAAAGTAAGGTATAGATGTAGTCACAGTGCATCTACTGCCACGTTCAGAATGAAGCGCTTGCGCACGACCGTGTCGTTGTACTCAACAGGCTTCCGGGTGGACGGGTTTTCTTTGGAAGAGGGTCCAAGCCAAATGGTGTTTTTTGAGTGGGCCGAGTGCTTGCTAGAGCAGATGGCGGCGCTGCGGCGCCTGCGCTTCGCCCTGGTGCCGCGACGCATGTCGGAGAAGACGTTTTGGCACCGCTTTTTTGCCGTCGTGAAGATGCGGCTGGAGCTGCAGCTGTTTTATCGCGAGGAAGATGAGGAGGACGAGGAAGACCACGGCTCCGGGTCGCAGGCAGGGGAGGACGACACGGGGCGGTCTCGGGCGGTGACCGAGTGGTCGGACGACAGTCCGACGCACGCCACGCCGACCGTGCAGCGGGACGCCGACCTCGAAGCGGCTTTCAGAACACCCACGCTGCCTGCACCCGTGGCTCCAGCAGCGCAAGTCCGCCCAGAGAGTCGTACGCTTCTTGCGTCTCCGCCTGTAGTAGTTGCAGTACAAGTTTTGCCTGCAGCACGAGACCGGCCGCACTCGAATACGGTGCCTGCAACGACAACAATACAACCTGCGGAGGAGAAGCAGGAGCTGCAGAGCAATAACGTGGATCATTTTTTGCACGATCCACTTCCACCGAGATCTTCATCCGCAATAAAGACCGGGCGGCCCGAGACAGAAGTGACTTCTGATGCACGTTCGATACCGAAAAGTCAAACGAGCTACGAGTACGACCCAAAACTTGTACGTGCTGATAGGAATCGCCCTGAAGATATCGCGATCGGGGCAAGAGACGCGATAAACGGCAACGACGAGCAGGACAAGCACGAAATAACGACAGTCCACGCCACCCAGAAAAGACCTGCCATTGGCAGTGACGTAGCTGTGGCACAGGAACGAAGCATGTTGGTCTCGCCCGCCCCCACCGCAAAGACCATAAACAAGGAGAAAGAGGCTCCTTCTGCGGGCTATTTTTTACCAGACAACGACACGACGCATCAACAGAAGCCAGCAGGCCGCCCACATGTGCCAAGCACAAGTGCAGCACACACGTCGCCACGCGTTTCGGCAGAGGCCGCTTCCAGCGTCGGACGGCGCCCCTCCTCATCAAGTAAAGACAAAGAGAGCGGCAGTACGGAGACGTCGTCAATTGAAAATAAACATGACCGCGCGACAAAGAATCTGATTTGCACGGGAGAAATGGTTCTGCCGGGCTTTCACACGTCTGATACTCCGGTAGGGCCTCGCGCCGAGCATCAGCGTCGTCCGTGGATAATCTGACTACGCGTGGCTTGTACCGCAGCACAGCGACAGTGTCGGATCATACCGGGAATGTTGCTCCTTTGCGACGTCTGGATCATCAAACAAAACTTGAAAGCGCTTCTGTAAGATGGTCAAACCGCTAATAGTTTACTACACGGTGTCCGACATCAACGTGTTTGTGTTTCTTTCCGCATCTCTTTCACAATCATGCACGCCTGATAACACATGCATATCACACAACTCACCTCTTCTATCGATTTTGACTCTCATGTTTTCTCTCGTTGAAGCTGTACCTTCGATCAATCGACGTCTTCTTGTCTGTCCTCGTTTCTTCCTGACACACGACAGGCGACAGCTGCTACCGAGAGAGTATCAAAATCGAGATTTTTTGGTGACATGACAAATAGCGAGAGAATTCTGTAGTTACAACGTGCAAAGCGTTGAGTGATTTCAAAACGCCAAACTGTGAACAAAAGTGCCTCATATGATAAACCCGAAGAACAACCGTTTTGTTTTTTGCCGTGTAAGGATATCTCAGATACCACCGCTGCCACAGATCAGCGCCAATTCTTGCCTTTTTTCCCGATCGTGTTGTATTTCAAGAGGCTATTGATTTGTTGTAGCGTAAGTGAAAGCCAGCTTAATTTCCACGTCAACCTGAAGTTTGCCTTGAAGAAGAAGTAGACAATGTTGACAATAAGGACTTCATCCGCGGCATCATCGCACCTGTAGTGTGAGGACAACTACCTCGTGTAGTTTCGAGATGGCGCAATTGCCCTCGGATCCTTTCGCACTGGATCCACCACGGCGTAGTCGCTGCTGGCTCGTGGGGGGGCCAGGCGTCGGCAAGGCTGCTTTACGAAACTGCTTTCAAAGTCCTCAGCGACCGAGCCGACACTGGCTGCGCTCGTCGTGTACGCCCACGGGGCAGCACCGGGAACGCAATGGAGGTACACTTTTACTTTAATTACTCACGCCATTGATTATGATTTCTAGATAACATGCCTCGACCCGTCTGTACATATCATATGGGCAGCACTTGATATCATAACTTGTTGCGCCTTAGGTACTGCTCCGAGCTCGCCTTGGTTCGATGAGGAGCCGGTGGTTTTGCTGAAGTCCCCACTCGACCCTAACCACACGGCCGCAGTAGAGATCAGCTTCACGGAAGTCTGCCTCTCCCCTTGTGGAAGAAACGTGGATCATGACCACCCGTTTGCCGGCAATGACAGAGAGCTAAATAGTATTGGTTCGAGGAAGCGCCAGGAGTTTGCTTACGGGTCCTTTTCGGGTGCTGGTGGAACATCAACGTCCTACCCGGACTGGAGCACCGATTGCGTCGTGCTGGTCGCAGACGTGGGGAACCGCACCTCGTTGGAGCAGCTGCGCGCCTTCGTGCAGCAGGATTCCATCTTCCGGTGTCCCCGTAGCCGCCCGGTGGTCTTTGTGCTGGGCGCCAAAGCGGACACTTCCAGAGAACGCCGGTAGGGTTTGGACAATTTTGTACTGGACATTTCTTTTTCTTTTTGAAAATGGTCTTGAACTTGATGGTGGTCGACCTGGGCGGGGTCGTTTCATAGTACATTAGGTAGCCTATCGCAAAAGTTTACGACTATATCTTTTACTTTGTTACCGCTTCATCTTCAGGCAAATTTCCAAGGACGAACTGGCCCGCTTCAGCACCGAGGTAGCACACATTCAGCCGGCGCACTTTGACGTGAGCAGCAAGACGCACGTTGGTGTGGACTTGTTTCTGAAAATTCTGGTTACACGGCTCCTGTTTGTGCACCAGTCCCGTGCGCGACGCCGGGAGCTGCAAGTGGAGGAAAACTTTGTTTCGGCGGCCGCCGATTCCCACGGCGACGGTGCCGGACTGCCGCGGTTCGTGTCCTGCACCAGCCAGGTCCTGCAAGAGAACAACCCTCTTGTGGCCACGACCCAGGAGCGATATGATCATTCCGAGGACGAACATCAAGACCAAGGCGAGGATCTTCAACCGCAGGAGAGCAGAACACGCGCACCCACGAACGATTCCTTGTTGCCGGAGGGGGTCTACTCTGCCTCGGACCTGCTGCAGCACACGGGGCAGAAGTTGCAGCAAAATCAAAGGCAGAATTGTTCTAATTCGCAGTGTTTGGCGTTGCTCCAGGACAGCGCGCCGCCGTTAACGGAGACGGTGGTGGACCGAAGCAGCGCCACGGTGCAGCTTGAGGACCAGCAGTATGGTCTAGAGGAGCCTCATCTCGTCCACACGGGAACTGATGTTGACCACGCATTCAATGGAGTCGAATCATCATGTGCGCAGGACGAGCTCCAGGATCATGTGGAGCGCGTCCAAGCGGATGAAAATCACGTGTTGCACCGCCCAGGTGCACGACGAGAACAGTTGCTGCAAAGCCCCCAGCAGCAGACAGAGCAACAGGTCGCGCCGGGAAGTGCTCCACCTGACGAGGAGTTTTATCCCGTGGGACTTCTGGAGGACCAGATAGCTCCTCTGCGAAGTAGCCGGAAGCAGACACTGCTGGCGCTGCGGGACTTTTGTGTGGAGTGGCCGGAGCAAGTCGTCGCGGTTGTCCGATTCCAGCGCAAGGAGGTCCGCGTGCATATCGGTATGTTTCTGCAGGACATTTGGGGGGTGTTCCGCCAGCTCTGCATGGATTTGCGAGCGACGGACGGCGACGGAGCGGAAACTCTCGCGCAGGACATGCGCGCCGCGGTCTGCCGCAACGTGCAAATGCACCCGGAACTTTTGAACGAGGTCGAGGCGTTGCTCGACCAATCCCATTTTGGAGTGCCGCGGATGATGTTGATGACCTCCGAGCAAGACGAATTCACGGAGGGTTGCTTGGTGGACGAGACCACTTCGTATAATAATGATCACGAACTGCCACTGGTGCAAGATCAAGAACAGCTCTCCTCAAATCAGGCACAGAATTCGAGTTGCATAGTGCAGAACCAAGAGGACGACCACTACGACCAGCGGGTGGGTTGTTTTCAAGAAGGCTCCTCCTGGGCAGGGCGGGATCATGATGGTGCGCATGATCACAACGACGATCCGCTGGAATCTGGCCAGGACCGGTATTTGCTGCATACGGCTCGTCAATCCAAGAACAACTCCATCGTCGTGCATGAGGGGGACGAGTTGCTCGATGGGCAACATCAAGACCAGGCGATATCAGGCAGTGGAGCCGCGGGGAATTCTATACTAGAGGATTTGGTGGAAGTAGAACCTTCGCGCAGCAGCACACAGCAGGTAGTACTTCTCAACGACGGCAGCATAGGTGCTGGCTATAATTTCCATGAAGATCCTGCTCAAGAACAGGAGCTACATGTTGGGATGAATCGTGAGGCAGAGGCAGTCGCAGCGCCGGTGGACGAACACACAACGGGCACTTTTAGCAGCGCTGGCACGACAACATCAACCGCGAAGCCAAAAGTCACGACCACGCGGAATTTATTTTCGCAGCGCATCTTCTCCTCCAGTCCAGTTGAGTCGCGCGAGGAAAGCGAGCAAGTGATAGCAGAGCCGGGCGTTGTCCTCATGCCGCCGTCGGAAATCGTGCTGTCGCCAGCTCTGGATCGTGAAGAGCAAGAAGATGTGACAAGAGTGCCGGAGCAGATGAAGGTAACTGCAGGTAGCCCGGGTGTAGTAGCGAAGAAGATTTTGCACATGCCCCCGCCCGTGCTGGTGCAGTCGCCAGGAACTGATAGTGATCCGCTCGTCCAGCGGGACGGACCGGGGTTCACGCCACTAAGCGTGGCTGAAGCGGAGGAAAGCGCCGCTTTTGGGGTGCGTCAATTGGCGCCGGCGGTTTCCGTTGACGACCTGCTTCCGCCCACCAGTAAAGCTAGTGTGTCCGCGATTGCGGAGGAGCACGAAAATGCCAAAAATCACGAGAATGCTACCAGCCCACAGAAGTCTACTCCGGATCGGCCTTCAGGAGCGACAGGGGAAGAAGAACGAAATAGTAATGTAGACGAGGACCTGCAGTACGAAGTGGCGTTGCAACCAGGGACGTCGAGCGCAGGAGCTCACATTGCCGCGGCCCCGGCGGAAATAAATGGGCAAGTGGCCCCCGACGCTGGAGTTGTGTCTGCGACAGATCCGCGGGGGCCGCCGCAGGTCGACACTACTGCTTCAAAAAGCAGCAAAACTGAATTCTTATCGTACAGCGAATCAGTATCGGTGGAGGAGCGCGCCTTGTCGTCAAGTCGTTTGTTTGGGAATACGTCGTCGGTCGCGGCAACGGGCAACATTGTGGTCAATACGATGTCTCGCAGCGCATCCAGCTCTTCAACGGACCAGCGTCTCGTCGTGTCGGACGGCGTGGCTCCAGTGCAGCAAGAGGCGGGTACCACATTTAACATTCCGGACCACACCAGCACCCTTGCTGCAACGAGGAGCAGTCCGGTCCGAGATGAAGCTGCAACACCGATGGCCACAGAGGGTGCTGCAGCAGCACCATCGCGTGGACGAGCACTGTTTAGCACTACCAGAAAAGCAGTGAATAGTTTGTCGACCTCTGCAATCAGCAGCGTGAGGCAGTCCTCTCCGCCCCCGCGTCCGGGCATGCTCACTGTGAGCGACACGGGGACGGGGACTGGTCGGAGTGTGCTGGTCAGTCCGCGTGGCTGCCCCGGCGAGGAGTTCGCCGCGCATTCTCATAGCGTGCTGCTGAATGTGGACCAGGACAATCTGTTGCGTCCTCCGGCGCTGGTCGGCATGTTCGACCACAGCTTCGTGGAGCACGCAGCCCTCGTGCCGTCTGGTGGTGCGCCAGTTGTACTAGCCGGCGCGCGGTCGGCCGCCAGCGCCACCCCAAAACAAGAAGAACACGACGCCGCCAGAGAACTACAGCAAGGAGGAGCTACTTCCACAGCTGCCGTTCATCTGCAGCCGTCGTCCTTCTGCGACATTGAAGAACAGATTTCCGCCATTCATGCCTCGTCCTCCGCCACGTCTCCGGTGGACATTGTGTTTCCGCACATGACCCAGCGGACCAGCGCAGAGGAGACATCAGCGGTGGTGCAACTACAGCAACGGGGTCGTCGACGCATTTCGAACGCATCTTCTTCTTCGACAGGTTTTTGCGCCACTACTGGGACCACGAACATCAACAACAAGCCGACAGGAGGCGGAAGTGGTGGGCCAAGCAGAGGACATTCGTTATCACTGGAAAGAGAGTTGGCGCGGAAGCGCCAAGACTTGAAGAAAGCACAGCGGGAGCTGCATAGTTTCGTAGCTCGGAGACAGCAATCGAACGGCGATCATTCGGTCTTGCAAGATCCGGTCACTGGCGAACGGGGACGAGAAACTGAAAATATGATGATCCCGCCTAGTTGTACGCAAGAACCGTCGGCGTCGTCCGCCTCCGCACGAAACGTCTCGCCGCAACTTCCAGTGACGCCGATCTCTCTTGTGTCCTCTTTCAACATCGGCACGATGAACACTAATCTTAACACGCAACAGCAGCTTGCCCCGCCATCTACGCTAAGCAACACGGCCGGGCTTATGCTGACGCACTCCCTGGAGCGCAAGAGCATTTCTTCCCCGCAGCGTGCGGGGGCGCAAAGCGCGAATGATCTGGTCTTTGTTTCCGTCGATTCTCAAGATTTCACTTCCGCTGCAGCCGGCGCAGGGGCCGAAGTTAGTGTGCAGAGAAATGATCATCTGCAGCCCACGTTCGTGCACCCAGGCTCTGCGTCCCCTTTGTACCCCGGACGGTCACCCGAAGACGTGAAGGGTCCCACCAGCAGCCTGCTGCCGTCTTCCCGAGACGTCTCGCCCGTGTCGCCGCACCGACGCGCAGCCGCAAAGGCCATGCGGTTGAAACGCGGCGAGCGAGGAGGGAGTAAGTCACAGCAGCTCGCTACCTCGCTCGAGAGACGAGCATCACAGATGAAGGTGCTGCAAGACCGCATTCGGAGCACGAAAGAGGCCTACATCAGCAAGCGAGCGAACAGCAAGTCGGACCACAGCAAGCAACTCTCTCCTCGACGAACACCACCTGCAGCTGACCCGGCTCCGTGTACTACGCCTCCACGACCCGCGACCAAGAAGCCTAAGCGGACCGAAGTGAAGTTTCCCGCCGTGAGTTCCGCCAAAATGCCGCGCGTCGTGGTGTGCCGAGCTCACATCGAGCTACCCGATTCCGGCGGTCGCACGACCGAGTTTGTGCTCTACGCGGACGAAGATTTCCGGACAAAAGTCGCAACTTTTGCTGCGGAGAATCAGCTGGCACAGGATGCGCAAGCGTATTTGGAGGCACAGCTGGAGCAGCGCGTCGGTGCCGTGCAGAATTCTGAAAAAATCTATGCGAAAATAAATAAAGCGCCCACTCCTGTTGCACCTCCTGTGCACGAGGAGGACCACACTGGAACGAGGCAGGTCGAGCGCGTCGGATCCGTTGAGATTCGAGAGGAATACTCTGCGTCCTCGTCCTCCGCAACCAGTGGTGGCGAGGATATACAACTTCCGTACAGCGGCCCTTCAGCATCCAAACATCAAAATTTAAATTTTTCCGGCCTGGTGCCCGCGAAAAATAAAGCCTTATCCATCTCGCACAGCAGCAGAGAACAACAAACCAGCGTGCAAGATGAACATGTGCTCCGGTCGTCCCGGCCTGATTTGACTAGCTGCACTGCGGCGAGGACCTCCGGAGGTGGAGGACGGGTGCGAACCTACTCCGCAGCAGCCGCGGCCCGGCGGCGGCTGCAAGTGGAGTCGCAAGGCAGTAGGGCGAACCGCATGCCACGGAAATCGATCTGCGAAACAGACTTCCGCCCGAAGTCGCGTGCGGGCGACCACCACTACCTGAAACCAACAAAAGCGTGGACTGGGAAAAAAAGTGCAAACGAGCAAACCGCGCCGAATTCATTCCCATCGGGAACCTCCAGCCTCGAATACGAAATCAGCAGAGCGAAAAGCAGCAAGGACTTTGCACGAGAGGACCAACGGCGGAATATTAAAGCAGTTCGGCGCACCAGCAGCAGGGCGCGGCGGGGGACGCGGCTGGACAAGCGAGATGACATCGATGGCGACGGCGAAGCGCTCTCTAGAAGTGCTGAAATGATTTTCGGAGGGGAGCAGGACGATAGTAACCGAGTGTATCACAGACCACAAGCCGCGCAAGTGTCGACAAGAAGCAAAGCATCTCCGCTTCGCGGGCAAAGACTGTCTGCATCGGATTACTTGACGCGCGTCGCAGCGAGCGGCAAAACTACCGTAAAGCAGAGCCACTTCTGTGCTATCGATCTGGTGGAGCCCGCGCCCGCCAGTGCGCGTGCCAGGGAACAAGAAAGTGGTGCTCCTGTTGCAACTCCCAACCCCTTCGCTTTGGCGAGCGCGAAAAAGAACGCGAAGCGCAGACAGCACGCACAGGAGACAAAGTCCACGGCGGTAAGCATGACTGGAACGGAGCACGAATCTGAACAAATGTCTGTTGCTCGAAAAAGTTCGTCGCAACAACTCTTAGTACAACAACCCGAAAATGTCAGCCTTCGTGGTGAGGGGGCTGAGGATCAAGGCATGTTGCCGGGCCCGGATTCTGGACTACATCAGGTCTTACCAGTTCAGGAGGATGCACAAGCGCTGTCTCCAGGTAGGCTGGCAGCACAGAGCAGGATCGTCACGGCGGAGGGGGTGGAAGTGCCCACCGACCGGAAGATTTTTCTCCCGCCTCTGCCGCTTCCGCCAATGCTTTCAGCCGGATTTAATTTCTTCAATCAGGGCTACGGGTCCCATGTGTTTCCCCCTAGACTCGGCCACGTCCCATACGACGGCCCACAACAGGTATTTTTTCAAGTACTTTGCAATATATGAATTTTGAGTTGTCCTCAAGAAGATTCACGTTACAGAAATACCGTCCCTTGGTGATTCCAGAGGAATAATTAGAATCAGGTGAAAAGAGCACGATGGCATTCAGCCAGCTTGTGAGTTAGTAAGTTGAGGAAAGGCCGGTGAACTACTTTTCGTACATTTTTTTCCAAAAAATCTTCAAGGTCCTTGCCGTGTCCCCGCACGACCATAGCAGCTCTGCGAGTGCTTCTGACAAGCTTACGGTGCTCCATGACACGGTCCTCAATTACCGGCTGAACAACCGATCCAGAACTTCTACCGGAGATGTTGTCTCTGCGAGTCAAAAGAGCAACTCCGAGAACAACACGGTGCTGCTGCCAACGCAATTTTTGGACGGGACCGTGGAAGGAAACGATAACGAGACGGCAGCCCCCGAAGATCTCGCGAGCGGGCGCAGCAACAGCTACCAAAGGAGCAGCAGCGCCATCCGAAACCGGAATCCGGCGCTGTTCGATGAGTACCGTGCGCACGCGCACCCCCCGGAGCGCAGCTTTGTCCAGGCGCAAACGGCGTCGTCGTCTGTGGAACAACAACTACACGGTTCTCTTCCAGGTCTTGTGGATCACGGAGACGACGCGTTGTGCGAGTTGGAGGTGGACCTCGGGGAGCACCGTGGCACGGAGGTGATCGTCCTGCGCAAATCGACGTCCAGTGCGCATGAAGCCGCGTTGGAGCTCCAGAGGCAACACCCGGACCTGACCACCGAAGAGCTGCAGTGTCTCCAGACGTACCTGGAGGCCACCGTGCCGCACTTACTGCGCGGTGTCGATGCGTTGACAAACTCGGCCGCGACGACGTCCATGATGAGCGGAACGCAGGGGCAGGGGAGGAATCATCTCGCGCAAGAGGCACAGATCGAAAAACAGAATGCAGAGGCGCACGAGCACGACGTGCAGATGCAGCCGGTGCTTGAGGATGAACAAACCGTGGGGCAGAGAAAGACCACCCTGCCCGCTCCCAGGCCGGTGATACAGCATTCACCGGTGTCACCCACGCCGGACGAGCTGGACCCGGAAGAGCCAGCAAAAAGTGCGACACTGGTCGGCCGCTTGCTGTCGCTCGTCGGCGGGGATAATACCAGCGCACCGGAGGGGCGGCGATGAGGCAGCGCACTGGAGAGGGTTGCGAGAGCTAAGTAGAGCTTGTTTGTGTGGTCCAAGAGGTTGAAGATAGAATTTTCTCCTGATAAGGAGGGCTCGAGCTTGACTTCTTGTGCCCTAGCGGCGTACTACTTTTTGTCCACTTGCACTTGGAAGTTCTTGTGTTTGTTTGGTGAGAAGTGTCGCAATTGCAGCGAGGCGGAATCAATAATTGAATGGCATGTGGGTCGTGTTCGTGTGGAAGCTGCATTCTTGTGTAAAAAGATAGCTGTGCCTGGTCGCAGTTTTTCGTTTGTTTTGCAAGACTGTATCTATTCTTCCTTCGGAAAAATGATCCTACACCGAAGAACACGGTTGTGAAGTTTCGCAAGGACTACGGTTGTGCACCGTTTGAGATTCTGAGGCAGAGCGAGGGGAGGTGCATCAGTAAGAAAAGGACACAGCCAGAGCGGCAAAAAAACGGGCTCTACTGAGTGGTCGATTGTAACTAACATTTGGGCACTGGTGGAGCTGAATCCCCGTGTGTATGGTGTACATGATGTAACTGTTGATAGATTGGTGCACCATTTATTTCGGGAGCAATATGTCAGCGGAGGAAGTCCGCGCGCTCGAGGAGGTGCTGGAGCAGAAGGACCAGCAGTGGGAGGAGTTATTCCAGCAGTTTGAAAACTTCAAGGCCCAGGAGGAGCTGAAAAGCAAGGAGTACCAGCGTCTCACGGTGGACTACGAGCAGCGTCTGGAGGCCGCGGTAGAGGACGCAGCCAGGCTACGGTTGGAGAATCAGCAGCTGAAAACCAAGTCGGAGGGTATGCGATAAACCATCAAGTCTGCGTCTGGGTCTGCCCCCCACGGATGGTGGGCGTCTCGTCGGCACCATGTTGAAAGTGGTGCCGACGGGAAGGTCCACATGCTATTCGCATTTTTGGGTCAACATGTCTGAGTGCAATGAAACGGTAATAAAAGGCAACTGACGGGATGTGGAGATAAAGTGATTCACTGCCATTTTTTTTTGATAAATTGTCCATTTGATCTTGTAAAAAGCGCAGGACTCTTCTTTTCCAATTCCACGCGTTCGCGTCTTTCTTCGCTCGCGATTGTGCTATACTTAGACACGACATTCATTGGTGGCAACTAGTTGTCACCAGTGTAACAGACGTAGATCATCATTCTCCTGCGGGCGGACCGGGGGGAGACGATGACAAATTTTTCACGGTACTGAAGAGTTGCAGGAAGAGAACAAAAAGTCCCAGATCGCGCGCCAACAGGCGGTTCTGGAAAAGGACTTGCAACTGGAGGTGGTGCAGAAGGACCTGCAGGGAAAAAAGAAGGCCCTCGCGGAGTTGCAGGGCAAGTTGGCGCAGATCGAGCAGGAGCTGGAGGCACGGATGGCGATCGAGCGACAACGGCAAGAGGAGATCGAGCAGAACCAAACGCTGCAACAGAAACGCAGGTACTGGACGGAGATCTTGGCGGACCCGCGGCGGCACGCGCGGCTGCTGGAGGAGCTCACGGACCTCGATTCCCGCTTGAGTTTGACGAACAAGAAGCTGAATTCTTTGAGACACAGGCTACGCGGAACAGCGGGTGGTACAGCACCAGGTAGTTCTTCCTGCAACACAACAATTCTCGGTGCCAGCGTCCTTCTTGCGGGTTCTTCAGATGTGGACCCGGCCTTGGGCGGCGCGAGGGAAGTGATGTGCACCAACTCCGGCGCACAAGAGAACGGAGGCCGGCACACGGACGCCCGCCAGCACATCGGACAAGAAGAGGGAGAGGCGAAGCCTTCATCCCCAACCAGCCGACAAAAGCAAGAGCCACAGTGTCCGGTAACTATTACACCGAGCGATTCGCTTTCGCAATTGCAGCCCGACAAAAGGAAGACGACCAGGCGAACGCTGCTTCAGTCCGAAAGGATTGACGTGAACAACGTGAGTGCAGGCGAAATCCACACCAGTTCTTGTCGTGTAGCACCCACGATTGCATCTTCAGTGGGTGTCGTAAGCGAAAGCGCCGCGAGAAGGACAAAACTCGAAGTTCGCGAGGGAGGTGGTCACGTCTTCAGAGGTGATGAGGCGAACGCGATGTCAGGTGGCACATCTTGTTCACAGGAGCGGATACAAAAAGACGCACTAGTATCTATTTCTGGGTGCACGACGTCGACCTCGGCATCCGTGCCGAAGCGCGAAACGACAATGGGAACAACAACAAATCCCGCCGTGTTTCGCACGCCTGGCTCCGGCTCAGCCGCTGCTGCTCCGCGGCGGGCTGCTGGTGACCCCAGCACGGCTGCGAAATTTGCGGTTCAGCCGATCGGCACGGCAGCACGACCCGTTGCAGCTCCCGTGCTGAAGAAGTTTGGTGCAAGTAGAATGCAGCAACCGGGTTATTTGTTTCGAGAGCTGGAAAGCAAGCAGGTTGAGGATGTCGACATCGATTTTGTAAAGCGCCGGATCGCGGAGCTATGATCCTGACGCGGTTCGAGGCGTGCATCACTTTCACTACCTACACCAGCATGGGCACTTCTTGTAAAAAAACCCCTCAGGTTCTTCATAGCTGTGTAAAGAGCCCTTGCCGCACGACAGTCATGTCGTACACGACAGTCATGTCGTACTGACGAAGACTTCTGCAATTATCCATTTACATGTAGTCTTGTTCGGTAGAAAGAGCGTTGGTACAACCGCGGATAGAGCGATGCGTTTGAGAGCAGGACAACAAGAAGTCTGAAAAGAGGTTGTGAACAATCAAAGAGGTTTGAGTTATTGGGAAAAGAAAAGAGCTGCGAAGTGGTCGGTTCTTTAAATAAAACTATAAGTACATTTGGGTGAGAGACGGGGCCCCTCCATAGACGTAGAGCATACAACTCCGTTGTAGTAAGTACCATGAGGGCGGCTAAGCCGAAGCCCCTGCTGCGGCCGTTGCGCGTCCTCGTGTCCTCGGGGGTGCTGGCTACAACTTCTACCGGACTCCGGCTGCCGCCGATGGATCAAGACGAGTTTTTGACGAAGCTGGTCGCGGGTCCGCCGCCGGTGGAGGACCCGGAGAAACGGATCGAGGAGGCGACCAAGGCCCGCGAGGCGGAGCTGCACAAGTTCGGGAAAACGCTCCCGTTTACTATCCTGAGTAAAAACGTACCCACACCAGAGTCAGGATAGGGATTTTGCAACACAAACCTAGGAGTTTTGTGAGCCACGCATGACAAGTTGCACTCTGTAGTGTAGTGCAGGTTAGCAAGTGCAGCCGCGTCACAGATTCATCTGCTCCTCCTGTTCGCAGCATCACAAATTCCAAAACACAATTGGAAATGGCTCTCATGGGGATGCGCATTACGCGTCTTCCTGTCTTTGCAAATCTGCATTACAACTCTGGTGTGGGGACGTTTTTCCTCAGGATATTTACGCCGCGCCACGAGCCCTTCCAAATGTTCAAGGAGAGCTGCATGGCCTTCGTCGAGGAGAAGGCGGAAATATGGATTGCAAATATGTCTGGGTCTGGACGAATACACACTTGTGATGCGGATTTTACAAACCATGAAAATCTCTCATGCACAGGCAGCAAAAGCTGGCCACTTTATGTCACCAGAATGGGGCATTTGTCATGCAGATTCGGCATTGCGAAAGCTTCGCGAAATCTGTGATGCTAGAGCTTCCATGGCAGGCCTTCTGTGTCATGCAAAAGCAGCATGACTCTTCCAGACCCAGACGTATTTGCATTTGATAGGAAAAAAGCGGGTACAACCCGGACCGCCTGCACTTCTTCCTCCCGAAGTGCACCTGGGGGGAGCCGCTCTGCGGGGAAATGCTGGAAAAGCTGAAGACCGTGGTCGCCGCCTTGGCCCCGGCGCCGGCGGGATCATCCGCTGGATCTGCTGCTGGATCGGCTGGATCATCCGCTTTCGCACCAGAGCCCGCTCCGACACTTTCGATGCAACCACCAGGTGGAAGCGGACAATCCGGATCTGCACCTTCCTATTTTGAAGAGGGCGTCGAGGAAGTGATGAAGGTACTGAAGAACACGTGTCGATTTTCGCATTATAACTACGTCCGACCAAATAAACTACTTTTCGAGCCTGTAGTGATCTTCATCTGTTTTGAATTAGTAGTAGACGTGCAAATCGCATCGACATTGCGACAAGAAATAAAAAGGAAAATAACTACTACTACAACAGCCTTCGCCGTTAGCGGGGTTCTGCGGGCAGGTCTTTCATGTGCTGCAGCAGCGGAGAATGCACGAAGCCATCCGAGACATTGTTGCGGAAGAAATCATATGTTTTGTAAAAGTGGTGTACGTGTAGAATCCGATAAGAGTCCTTATAATTTTTGAAGGAAGCGATGTCTGTGGCGACATTTTGTACTCATGTGGCGACACAAAGTTGTTTCGCCGGAAGATGTCTTGAGGATATAAAAATGCCTCATTTTTGGAGCGCTACGCACGACAGCACTTTTGCAAATGATAACTCAAGCACGGCGCGGGGTCAGCGAGTTCTGGAAGTGCTGGAAGTTCAGCGGTCCCACCGGTTTAAAGCCTTTGCATGGGATAAGTTCGTGACCGGCGAAACAACTGGATCTTTCCGGGCGGTGTCAGCGCAGCAGCTCTCTGAAACTACGGGAAGACGAACTGCACCACATGAAGAAAACGCCGACGCGGGTCCTGGAGGGCGGATCCAGTTCTTGCCTACTTTTTGTTTTTTCCAATGCGCGTTCCTGTCGCGCATTTTGCGCTCTTGCGAATGAGCAGGATGCTGTTGTATTTTGCAAAAGAAGCATACTACAGTCATGAATCGCAGTAGAAGTGATGCGCGAGCGCGTTTATTGCCACGTTAGTTTCTTCCAACATTTCTGGCACTGAAATACCTTCGAAGTTAGAGCCAACGGCTCACGATTTGAGAACTTCGTTCTTTGAACTGCGAAAGCGCAACTTCGACCTTTGCGCTCTGGTCGCAGTGGGTTCATATCCGTAGAATTGTGTCACCCGCAGAAACACTGCGACAGCGCAATTACACTGTTTCCCGGGCTTTCAGCTGCACCTCATTCTGAATGTACGAGGAGTTTCTGATTTGGCAGCCAGCGCAGAGCGACTAGCCCGTCTGCCCCGTGGTCTGCTTGTCTTCCCTGGTTCGCAGCCGAGTGAGACGAACGTGCAGAAAGTGCAGCAGACAGAGCGGTTGAACATAGAGAGATGGAATATATCGGTTCAAACGTTTAGAATCTAAACACCAAAAAAGATCGAAGACGATAACGAAATGAAAAGAAAATTATGAAATATGTTGAATGCATTTGCAAGCGGTTGATCGTTTGACAGGGGCAGCGCACTAGATAGTGGAGTCGGTGATGCTGATATAACACCACCTTCGTCTCGAAAAGGATCAAGATGGATGGCATTCACCAGGTTGAGACCGTGTCCTCTGTGGCGACCTTAGGACCCATCCTTCGGGAGCCGACTGTGGTGAATCAGCCCACGGAAGTGGATCGACGGGAGGAGTTGCTGGCGCGCCGGGTAACCGAGGGTCCACCCGGAGCGGGCGCACAGGTCATTGCGCGCACCGTGAATCCCAGCGCTGCAGACGTGTATGCCGGTGCGGTACCTGCAGCTTCAAATGGCGCGGCGGGTAGCACGACTTCTTGAAGTTGTACCTGAGCTGATTCATGATCAGGGTCCTTGCCGAGGGCAGTTCCTATCAAATTTGTTCGGTTTTGTGTCTGTGACCGAACTTGATTTTGTTGGACAACGACAGACAGTTACTCGCAGGCCATGAGAGGCGAGCAAAGGGTTGATTTTGTTGGACAACGAACAATAGAGGAGCAACGGATTGCGCCATAATGAAACTACGTACAGACGCTCTGGCAACTGCATACTGAAAATGGATGTACTTCTTGAGAGAGGACTTCTCCGTGAAATTGAAATTCAAAATTCAAAACAAGGTCTAGCTTTCACGGACGCTGATGCAGAGCGGCAAGACCTTTTGTTGCGCATACACAGCCAGGATGCGCGCATTTTGGAACTGAGACGACGGTGCAAGGCAGAGCGTGAGCAAAAGTCTAGAACGCTAGACGAGCTCAGGAAGCGCATGCTCGCGCTGGAAAGCATTGTGGTAAAGAACGCTACATGACACTTTGTTTGACTGTATTTTAATCATGCTAATTATCGCATAAGTCGAGAAAATAAAAAAGCGCAAAATTTGCTTTTGGTTTTGGCATCAACATCACGTCTTTGCTCGTTATCGTGCCTTCCGTGGTCAGCCGGGCAATCTAAATCAACACAGCTTGCCAGCAGGCTGGTACCCGTGAACGAGCCTCCAGCGCAGAAGGCCCCAACAGGCGGAAAAGATCTTTTTCTGGAGCGAAAGACGACGCAAAAGTATACAGCTTTTCTGGACTTCCATCGCCTTGGCCTCCTGAAAATACCGCATTAAAACTTTTGTCTTGGAAACTTTCCGGTTTACAAGCTGTGCCGTTGAGTTTGCATAACTATTGCTATTCATCCGAGACCGGTGAAGTGCTTAAATGCTAGAAGTATCTTTTGCCCATTTATTACACAGAATACCGGTGGGAACGCGACCAGCGGGTGGGACTGCGAGTGCGCCGGCGCAAGAAGGGATGCAGCAGCCCCTGACAAAAACGACAGATTTTTTCGGGCGACCCCTCGGGCCGAAGAGCGCAAATACCCGAAATATCGGCACCATGGCAAACGACTACAGCGTATCGAATGCAAAAATGTCTGGGTCTGGAAGAATGCAAGTTTGTGATGCTTGTCTGGCATGACTCGAGAATCTGTGTTGCATAGGCACGAAAGAGCCCTCTTAACTGTCATGCGAAAAGGCAGTTTGCCATGCGGAATACGTAAGACATGGCAGCCACAAAATTTGTCATGCATAGCTGCGTATTGCGGCGCGTCTATCATTCACTTTGAGCATTACAAGTTTCCAGACCCAGACATATTTGCGATCCATACAGCGCGGCGCCGGACGGTCGCGGAGGCACGGTGTACATCCGCACGCCACGCGGGGAGGGTGCTGCAGGAAGAGCATAGAAATAATTCAGCGGATCATGTGGACCAACAGCGAAACGCCGCGACCACAGCTGCGAAGCGTTTTGTGCGGAAGCATAGCACGACCCGGTGCGGGGCTTTTAGTTTTACATACAACTTGTGGCTCGCGTCCTCTCGCCCGCGTCGTATGACCCGGAGCGATGGAGCGCAGGCGCACTCGCCGTTCGCCGAACCAAGCGCGAGTTGTGCTGTACGTATGGAATGCATTTCCACTGCGCACCTACATTGATAACGGTTTCGAAGAAGAAAAATTCGACCACTTGATAGAGAAAGAGACCAAACGCAACGTTTTTGTTTTCCCAGGCGGCAGCACAAGCACTCCGGGGGCAATGGATGGTCCGCCCATCGGTGCCTTGTAGGAGCTTCATCTTCACTGTCACCACTCATTGAACAGCAGCTTCGCAAGAGAGCTCTATTCAACATTCCACACGCCACTGATCCAACTTTTTCCGTGTTCCGGCATGTACGCTAGAGGAACTTTCTCATGACAAGGATCTCTTTCACGAATACATCATACAGTTTTACAGAGTACTCCCTCAAGATGATGTCAGACAAAGTACTCCTGTTCCATTTCCATCTGCGAAGTGCATGTATTTGTTCAGATCTTCGAGCTTCGATGACAGTGTGAAGAAACGAAAAAAAGAAGGAGGATCTTCCGATGGAGCAGTAGAGTTATGACCGGCTAATAATTTGGATCAACTCTACAACTTTGTTTCCGAGCTAGAATAGCGCTAGATTGTAGTTCCAGACGAATATTAGTTACTTTATTCAATGCGATTGTACTAAATGAAGTTTTCACTGAATTTTACCGAAATTTTAATTTCTCGCAGCGGAAAATAAAGCAGAATAGCATTGAGGGCTACGTGTAGTCGCTACCGAAATCAGGTAGGACACATTACTGGCTAGCGATAGTGCGTGGACACAACCAAGGATTGTGCCACGAAGGTCTACTGGTATAATCGCAAATCGATGGGAGGACGAAACTTCTTCTAATTTGAGGCATGCATCACTGCGCGACCACTAAAACTCACCATTACAACAACCTAACTGCGCCACCGCGAAATAGTTAGACTGAAACACCAGCGACAAAATGTTTGCCGGACTTTTCGGAGGAAAGGATAAGGCTTCCAAGGAAGCGCCGAAGCCGGAGGTGAATGGGAAGGGAGGCAGCCCCAAGCCGGAAGCCGCCAGCCCGAAGCCGGAGAAAGCCGCGAGTCCGAAGTCCAGTCCAAAATCTAGTCCGAAAACTGGAGCAAGCCCCAAGGCGAGCCCGAAGGCCGATCCAAAACCGGCGCCTGAAAAAGCTGCTGACAAACCGAAAAAGAAGCTTGATATCTCCGTATTTATCTAACGATCTGGTGGAAATCGAAATGTTAATGTTTTTCATAGCAAAAAGAAAAAACATGCAAAGAATGGACCTTTGTTGATGCCGATAAAAGAAGGTCAAGAGTATAAATTCGTTGAAAAATAACGGAATTACCCTTTGTCGTTTGAGAATGATCTCGTCCACGAGGTGTAGAATATGTTTCTACATGATTGATTTGTTGTTTCAGGGCCCACGTGTCTTCGGCGAATGGGAGGCTACCTATTTGGAGAAGCTCGGCGAGACCGTTGTTTACAATGGGGGCAAGATTCTGCAGCTGGGTTTCGCGAAAGAGTACAGACTACTACTTGCGTATCTGCATTTTTGTTGTGCTTGCACTTCTTGCTCTACTTACTTAGTCCGCTCGAGTATGAAGAATATGCACCGGGAGCAGGCTGTCTGTCGCAAATTTCGCATGCCTTGAGGCATGCTTACTTAGTTTTTTCCTGCGGAGAGGACGATGCGCATGCGTAATCGATCCCGGTTGTTGTTTTGTGTTTGGAACGGTTTTTATCGATGCATTTTTATGCTTCCCTACATACAGCACTTTTGGCGATTTGGCAGCGAAGCACGAGAAGGTCACGGAACATGCTATTTGGACCGATTTGTCGAAGATCGACACTTTGGAGGACGGGTCTCTGACCGGGCTAGTTTTCGAAGCCACTGCATTTCCAGTCATTGAAACGGTGGAAAAGTTCGTTCCGAAGGTAAGTACTACTAAAGGCGTGTACTTTGTATAGTTTTATGCTGTTTAGTTCCTTTTCGTTTTCCTCGCTCATCGGCGGCACACGAGAACCGGGTGCGTGGCGCCTCATCTGTATCGCACGATGGGTAGAAGCAAGTTGTAGACCTTCACACACTTCTTGCAGATGTAATTCAGTATGTTCGCAGGCATGTTTTTTTATCCGCACATACTTACATGGTCATGAAATAAAATTAAAATGAAATCCATAACAGTTGGCTGCAAACGCTACGGTAACGTTTGACAATCTGCGAGTTTTGGGTGAGATGAAACAAGAGTTCAAGCGGTGGGACGCCTTGTGGAAGAGAACGCAGGTAGTCATTTTTTATTCCCTGTCACGAATGCATATACTTTTACTTTTAGTTTTACGTACACGCACTGGCACAACTCAAGCTCATGCCCTCCTGTGTGCTGCAGGATTTTTGTGCAGTAGTACCTATTCGTTGTGATTGGTTTTCGTGATGGTTTGTGATTAAAGAACAACGAGGAATATTAAGAAGGCATAAGCATGTTGATCGGCTGTGTCTACTTCCTATGGACGTCGTGCGTCAAGCGTGAAGATCGATGCTGGCTGAGCGTAGCTTATATCTCATTTTGTTTTCATTTCTCGCTTCAGGTTCCGAAGTTGCGGCAAGCGGGTCTGTTAGACCGTGGCTTTAAGCTGGTTCCCGTGACGGTACCGGAAGAGTGCAAATACTACGAGGACAGCTACGTGATTGTGCCGCGGCTGATCAAGAAGTCGCTCCGAACCGTGAAGTTTTTCGAGATCAGCAAGTTGAACCCGGACTCCACCGCGTTTTCGCTTAAAGTGAAGGTCGTATCGGTAGCAGAGGACGGAAAGTCTTCCGTGATTGGCGACACCACGGGGACCTGCGTCTACGAAATCCACGAGTCCAACAAGGAAACCGTCACAGTGGGCGAAACTTTGGAATTGCGAAATGCAATGGTAAGTATTAGAGATTCGAGATATTTGTTTGCTTTTCACCCCATAGGACGATTAGTTGCCCGTAGTTGTTAACTTTCCTTTGTCTCACTGCAGTTCGGTGCAAGTCAACGTCATGGTCAATTATCATCGTCCCGAAAAAATAAAACAACACACGACTTTCACTTTCCTTCATTCTCTTCGCAGGTCCGCATGACAAAGGACGGACACATTCACGTGTACACGAACAAGTGGGGTAAGGTTGCAGCGGCCGACGAGAAGCTTGAGGGCGAAGTGAAGTCGGAGAACGACGTGTCAAAAGCCAAGTACGTGTTTGAGCCCCCAGCCCGGGAGAAGAAGGGTAAGGGAAAGAAGGACGAGAAAAAAACCAAATCCAAGAGCCCCGCGGGAAAGAAGGACAAGACGGAACCGAAGTCGGAGGAGAAGAGTTCCGCTGAAGACAAGAAGACTTCCAAGAAGGCAAAGGGCAAGAAGGGCAAAAAGGACAAGAAGGAAACCGCAGCGGCGGAGAAGCCCGCCGAGGAAAGCACCACTACTTCCAAGAAGAAAAAGGGCGAAGGCAAGAAGAAAGAAAAGGAGGAAAAACCTAGTAAGGCGGCGGAGAAGACGGAGGAGAAGACGGAGGGTGCGACGCCGAAAAAGTCCCGCAAGGACCGCAAGGCCGAAGGGAAGAAAAAAAAGAAGGAAGAAGTATCAAATGTAAAAATGTCTGGGTCTGGAAGAATGCGCGATTTGTCATGCAGCTTTTCCATGACCCATGAGGTCTGGAATGCAGGACCTAGCATGACAGATTCTGTGCGACATCTCTCATGCGCATCCTGCATGAGAAACTGCATCTCGGTTAGGTCAAAAGTGGACAGCTTTTGGCACTCATGCAACACAGATTTTTGCATGCTTCAGATTTAGCATGACAAGTTGCATTCTTCCAGACCCAGACATTTTTACATTTGATAAGAAGCGGCTGAGTCCAAAAAGGCGGAAGAGAAGAAGAAGGTTGTAGAGGAGGAGAAGCCCGCAAAAAAGAAGGGGAAGGGGAAGAGCAAGGACCGTAAGAGTTCGCCCGCAGAAAAGAAGAAAGAAGTAGAGAAGCCAGCGAAAAAGGAAGAGGAGGGCAAGCGCGGAAAGAGCAAAAAAGGTACTTACTCCTATTTTTTTATGTTCGATGAACATGATTTCGTCAAATTCTAAATCTGATATACAATAGAAGAAAGAGTAGTCTTGTAGTGATGTGGTCCTCCCACCGAGAAATTGACATGAAAGCGTTGGATCCCAACTTGTTTTTGTTTAGGTAAGGGCAAGCGCAGCTCGGAGACTTCTGACGACGCGCCAGCTCGGGGACGCTCCAAGGGCAAGGGAAAGAAGGACCGATCAGACTCGCCCAAGGGAAAAGGAAAGAAAGGTAACTCGGCTATGGTTGAAAAGATCTGATGACTTCGAACATTCTATATGTTCATGATGAACTGGTGCGACCTACAACTGGCACCAACTTTTGTGCGAAAGGAAGTCCCACCCCACTGGCAGTGAAAGTGCCCGCGCGGATTGATATGTAAGGACTAGCTAGGAATAAATGATAAAAGGTTCTTGTATTCCACCCGAAAATTTTGATACAGGGAAGAAGAGCTCCTCAAAAGACGATTATGATGGAAGCGACAGCAAGGGCAAGAAGGGCACGAAGGGAAAGGGCAAGGGAAAGGGCAAGCGCAGCAGCTCTGATGATTCGTTGCCCGGCAAAAAGGGAAAGAAGGACGGCAAGAAGGGAAAAGGCCGCAGGTACAACAATTAGCGCGTTTGGTTAGAGTTGTTCATATTTATGTAAAGTTTTACGCTGGAGCGGAAGATTTTATGCTGCAGTGGATGAACAGGTGATCGCTCAACTCCGAAAAAGCTGCACTTGCCGCCTTGATCCCAGTATACAAAAATTGTTTATTACCTACCATGCTGCTGTTTGTATATTTTTAGGTACAGTGACAGCGATTCCTCGCCCGATAAGGGAAAGGGCAAGAAGGGCAAGAGCATGAAGCGTGGTGGTAAGTACGATAGCGATTCGTCGGACGACGACTACCGCAAGGGCGGCAAGAAGGGCGCAAAGAAGGGAAAGCCGGTATCTTGAGGAAAAATCTCCACTCCCTATACTGAAAATGAAAAAGAAAATTTCCGATGCAGATTTTTCGTGGCCACGACAAATCAGCTTTGTCTTCTTGCAAGGAGGTAAGTCCAGAGGTGTAGTGCTTCCACCACCATGCGAACGATTTCTCATGCTGTTTGGCCTACAGGGCGGGCGTTTGCCATGCTAAAAAAGTAAAGAGCCCACCTAACGGCGCCCCTGCTACACAAGCTACAGTGCCTCATTGCAAGACAGAGCTCACTATACTTGTGTACTCAAATCCGGAATCCAGGTCGTTTCATTGCGAAATCACCGAGAGCTAAAGACCGGGTTGTAGGCGCTTTAGTCATGATTTTATAGTGCTTCTACAGCGACGCTCATCAGGCCTTAGAAGACTTCCTTGTTTTCAATATGGGAGGGCGGGGGATTTTTCATTCGCATAACCGGCGTACTACGACTCCGACTCGGATTCGGACTATGGGAAGGGAAAAAAGATGAAGGGAAAGAAGGTATCCTGAGTAAAAACGTCCCCACCCCATAGTTGTCATGCAGATTTGCAGTCACAGGAAGATGTGTAATGCGCATCCCCATGAGAGGTCTTTGCATTGGTGTTTTGGACTTTGTAATGCTGTACACAGTATGAGTAAATGGATTTGTGTTGCGGCTGTACTTGCTAAACTGTACTACAATACAGAGACTGGCAAGGATAAACATCTGTCTGTGCTTCCAATGCGCTGATGGACTGTGCTCTGCCAAATAGTGAAGTAATTTGGACTGCTCCAGTTCTGGTCCCGTTGCTGTATATTGTGCTCGGGTGCTGGGTGGAAAGGTCCAACAAATATGTTGGCGTGTGTGTGTGTGAGAAGAAAAAAGTTTGGAGTGCCAGGTCCGTTGGGCCCGGGGTGGCGGCGTCTTTGGGTTGATCAACTCACCCGAAACACAATGCCATTCCCGCAGCAGCACAGTCTGTTTATGTCATGCGTGACTCCCAAAACTTCTCGACTTGTGTTGGGAGATCCCCATCTTGACTGTGGCGTGGGGCCGTTTTTACAAATGATAGAAGGGCGACAAGAAGGGAAAGGGCAAACCGGCCTACTACGACGATAGTTCCTTATCGCACGAAAAAACTGTTTCACTGTAAACTTGTAATGCAGAAAATGCATCTGAGAAGTGTTTGTCTTGCTACACATGCAAGACAGTAGATTTTTAGGCGTGTTTTCCCTTAGGAAGCTCGCATGGCAAATTTTCTCTGTGATGTAGAACAAACTTGTGATGCAAAACCTGCAAAATCCTTACAGTGAAACACTTTTTTGATACGATATTCCTCCGATGACGACTACTACAAGGGCGGCAAAAAGGGTAAGGGTAGTTCTTACGGCAAGAAGGGCAAGTACGAGGAAGACTACAAGGGCAGCAGCAAGAAAGGTTCGTATGGGAAAAAGTACTAAGGAATAGAAGTACTTTATACTACTCTACGGCCGAACTTGCTCGATCAGTGAGACTGACGGGGAACAAGGAAGACTCTGTCTGTAGTAGTTGCACGGGTAGAAGAAGTTATCGACGAAAAACGAAGATTCAAATAAGTATCCAAACGAAAAAATTGCTGTAATCGAAACAAAGTTGACACGTACATGGTCTTGGTCGTGGACGAGCGGAGTGTTGTCGCTGGTAAGAAAGAATGCAGCCTCGTCGCACGACCATGCGGATTCATCCGCATGACAGACGACTACCTAGCCGCTCGTCGGGTAGAAGTTGGATGTAAAAGTGTGGTGAAAATAGATGCAACCAAAAAATAGAGTACATCCGAGTCTACTTCACCACGTTGGTACTAGGATAGCAACTACCTTTTGCAGAAAAACGCTTTGCTCAAGAAATGGTTGTTGAAAAAGATAACTTACTGCGGATCTTCCGCGCTCGCCCCAAGAATTATTGCGACGCATAGGTCGTGCTACAGGAAGACAGCGCGTCTCTCTGGCACGTCGAAGCCTTTCGGCAATAGCGATCATTTAGGCGAACAAGTTGGTCACTCACTTTTGGTAAGCATCCACACGAACATTTATCATGCGACCAACTCGCGATCTTTTGCTCCCGATGCAAGAGGATATCTATGCTCTTCGACTACGCAACAGCGTTTTCTGACGATACTTGTTTCCCTCTGTATGAGAGCGAAAATGGCTATTTTTTTACAAACAAACAAGCAAAAAACCTTTGATCACATTTTTTTGGCATTTTTTTGACGAAACAACGGAACTCTGACTATCCTATCAATTTGGCAATGAACATCAACCATTGTAGCTGCTTCTACACGAGCATCCATAATACCAATTCATCGGATGTGAATGTAAGTAGTTGACTCTCTTTTAGTGTTGTATCGCTCTTGACGACATAGAACTCTCTGGCCCAGTAGTTTCAGGACAAAGAGCGAAAAAAAAAATCGCTACCCCTGGCGGAATTACATGAAAATTTCTTCATCTTCTACACAGCAGGCACAGCTACCGGATCGTACACTGAGCCTGAAGACAAGCTTTTTTGGCGAGGCTTTGCAATATCATGGTCGTCATGGTGTGCGTTTGTAATATCCCAGCAAAATAAGATATCAAGTATTAATGACATTAGCTTCAGCTTCTTTTGGCGGTTATTCTTATTTCTCCGCGTCATTTCGAAGAAGAAGTACTGCGACCGGAGCATCAAGTTTGAACTTTAGTTTTACTAGAAATCCGAATTTTTATTTCGTTTCACTTTCGCGGTCAACATCCTTATCTCCGATTTGAAATACAACTCAAGAGCGGCGCGGCTTTTGTTGCATCTATACTCGATATTATATTTGCGTCAGATCTACTTCTTGATCTGGTGGTGCTTCGTTCCAGCCGCAACCTGTGCTACTGTAAAAAATATTCTTTGCTCTAGTAAATTAAAGATTACGTCTTCATCAGCGAAGATTCGATCAGGACTCCGGATCAAGAATTGCCTCAAACTACACACGACCAGAGAAGTTCGAAGCGCAGGACGACAATCTTCCCTACGATAGTTGTATTACACAAATGAACTACTACAAGTGCAATGAGTTGCAACCTACTACAACTGCAACTTTTCATGTCGCTCAAAGAATTGTTGTGTTTCACAGGGTGGCCGCCGCCGATGAAATGGAAAGAATGTTGTTGAAACCAGAGAAGGGCCCAAAACCAAAGCTGTCGCGGACATTTCTTTGTATAGTATTCAAAGGACGAGGCTGCACGTCAGGCGCTTGATTCCTTTGGCGGCCTTCGAAGAAGACCCTGAGCGACGACCGTGTTCCGGTTCATCCGCCCGTAGTTCCCGCTTTATCATCATGCTTCTGCCATGGTTTGCCCCCCAGATGAATCGATCCGGTCTTCTATTCCCTGGTCGTTCTGCTCAGGATCCCTACAGTGAAGTGCGCAACACGTTTCAAGTTTCTCCCTGTGGATCATTTCTTTGTCCTTACAATGTGAATGTTTCCTTCTGCAATGTATCCGTAAAGGAAGATGCATTCGCATTCCGGATATAATTTAATTGCATGAAGTACGGCCGCGGCCACAGCATGGAAGATTGCTGCTGCTAAAACATGCAAGTTGGTGGCTGCGAGAAAAATGTTTAGGGAAAGCTTCTTGTGGTCGACTGGGATTATACAACTAGTTTCTTCAATCGTTGCTGTTGATGTGGATCGTCTGCGTTCTTGTTTGAACGGAACAATAAGAATAACCTTGAAAGTCGAAGTAGCCACCAGACAAAATACTTACCGTTCCTGTTAGCCGTCGTGATTTGCCATCCAGTGCCTACAACATCGACTCACCGCTACCGGAATCCGACGACCCAGCACAGATTTAGAGAGCACATATTCGGACTGTGCCATTTGTTTCCGATCACTGGGGCGAATTGGAATTGCGCAGCCGATTTATTCCCCTCAAGATTGATTCGGCACCGAGATCATGGAGATTGAGGAGCTACCCGAGGGTTCATTCCAGTTGATCTGGAAGAGCCACCGCGAGAGATGCAGCGACACCGCGATCGAGAAAAAGATTCCGCAGTGGCGGAAGTACTGCGAGGTACGTCTCTCCAAAACCCTCACTTCCGCAGTGCCGCTTATCTCGAAGCTGGATTTGAATTCGCAGGAGCTCGGCGATCAAGGCGCGGCGAGCTTGTTTCGATGGTATTCGTTTCTCCGAGTTCGAGTTCGACCTTGACCTTGTTTGAACTTGATGAAGTCCAGCTTTCTAACTTGTCATTGTTTTTCCTTTCGTATTTCCAGATGTTATGATCCGTAAATCTAAGTACTTAAATCACCGTGGAGGTGCCGGAACAACGTAGAAAACATTAGTTACAAATCGCTTGATATATAGATTTCATTATTCGACCCAAATTCCTTCAGGCTGTTGGAGTCCAGTATGCAGGTCGAAATCTTGTCGCTTTGGCGGAACAAAATTGGCGACTATGGTGCAATGGCTCTCGGAAACTTTATCCGACAGAGCAAGAGTTTGGTCGAGATTCACATGACGCAAAATTTCGTCGGTCTGGCAGGTTTCTGCTCGATCCTGGAATCCCTGACCAAGAATCCGCAGCTGCCCAAGGTGTGGCGTTGCTCCGACGGTCTACGCTTCGAAATATCGCCCCTGTGGATACGGCTTGGCGATAATCGAATCCCCGACCCGTTGCAAGTTATCAAAGACGAGGGAAAAATTTTTCTGCAAGTCATGGGTACAGAACTTATCTGTATTGATTTCTAAACTACACAGGATTTGATTTGACTGGTTCACAGCTAAAAAGGGTTTTGTTTCATCAAGCTCCGGTGGTGATAAGTTGAAACACTATTCACCAGCTATTTACAAGCAGGAACATAGAAAGTACGCTAAACAGTTACTCGCTCGCCGGAAGAAGCGAGCACCCGATTGATTTCTAAACTACGTTAACATGATTTTTTTTCATTTATGAGGATGACTCAATTGCTATGCTTCGCTACGATGCATGAATTGGATTGATGCTGCCACTGCCTCACTGTCTAGGACATCAATGTCGTTTACGACGTTAATCAACTGCGTCTCCGGTCGGAGCGCAAGGAGGTTCATCGATCGCGTGACCCCGACGGTTGACAAACCACATTGATGGTTTTTGTTCAACCAGAAGTAGAGTTTTATTGCCTGCTCCTGCAACAAGAAACGATTGACCCCACTACAGGCGAAAGCGATAACGTCGACCCGTACGATTTTTTTCAAGTGTGCGAAACCAAGACGCGGGAGTCCTTGCAGAGGCGCATTGCGAGCTGCCGCGAGAAGGCCCGCAAGCCCCTGGCCACTTTCCTGTACCTGCAAACGCAACGCCCAGTGGGACATTTGGCAGCCGCCCCGCCTTGTGCGCGGTTGTTGGAGCGTGTCGGCAAATTTCCGCAACCGGCAGACGCAAAAGTGGCATGGGAAACGTATCAAGGGGGTTCCACCTGCTCATCTTCCACCGCCGTCACGGTGACTGCCGGGCGCGGTCTACATCTTCAAGGTGGCAGCTCCTCTGCCGCCTTGGTCTCATCTTCTTCTCGATCCGGCACCGTCATGGCCGCTAGTTGGGGTGACCAGCAGGGACTCACCTTGTCTGGCTGTGAAACGACCTCCGGGTCTAGTACCATTGGGCCGTCGAGCGTTGCAAACAACAAAGCCTCGTTATGAGAGTGCACAAGAACTCCCCCCCCTGCCCCTCGTTTGAAAAGCATGAGCAGCAACGCAAGCAAGAGCGGCAATTGTGCTTCCCCATGACAAAGAAAGTTGCACACGGATAGTTGTGAAAATACTTTTTGAGGTACCACGACCCAGAGTTTGTCTAAAGGTCAAGTTAAATGCAAAACGTGGAGGCGGTAATATTTTGCATATGATATTACAAATGAGGAGGAGGGTGAGTTGTGTTGAATTCTCATACTTGTCTGCCATGTCGGTTCGCGACCACGCATGGGAGACCAAGGCATCTTGGCGCCGCACCCCGGCTACCACAGAGCAGTCCTCCTCGTCGTCCTCGAGCAGTAGCGCTGGCGCCGGTGTTCTTGGTAGCGGAACGTCCTCTGCCGCAGCTCCTGGTACGACCACGGAGCGCTCCAGAAACGTCAACGCTGCGGAGTCTGAAGTTTCGGAGAAACCCGCGATTGGTACTACTATAGTAGTATTTATTTCAACTTACTCCTGAAGTATTTTTTCAGTATTTACATGTATTTTCTTTGCAAAAAATGCAGATCCACTCTCACTTCTGCGACTGAAGGCTGGGCTTGCACTGCAAATATTTCCACCGTTCAAAAACAGAAAAAGAAAATAGATGTAGATCAGTATGATGACACACACAAAGACCAACCAGCTAAAAATGTGAAGAACTCTGCAACTACACAGTTCGCCCGAAGATTTTTCGGCGGACGCAACCGACGCACACTGCGCGCTTCTGCACGTTGTTGGCGACGCCTAGCAAGCAGTCTTCTGCGGCAGGAGGTCTAGCTCCGTCCTCGGGTGGGGGCGGTCTTGGGAGCGGGAACAACAAGGCATCCTCCACCACGGAGGACCGAGAGTCCAAGCGAGCAGGAGGCAATCATGCTCAACATCAGCCCGATCATCAACATAACCAGCACGCTGGAGGAGCTACAGGAGGCGCAGCCGGTACTGCAACTACAACGTCTCGTCGCGTCCGAGTTGTTCGCGAGGTCGACGAAGAGGGGTTCGAAAGGGTGCAGCCCCGCGGTGGGTGGCGAAGCCTCAAAGCGCCCTCTGCGGCGGCGGCTTTCGTGCAGGAAAAGCTGAAGATGAAAGCCGGAAATCAAGAAGATTCAAGTCGTGAAGCTTCCACCTCTGGTGCTGCGGCCGACGCGTTTCTGCTACTTATGCGATACAAAGAACTACACGCAAGCAGAAGCAACTGCTGTGCGCGGGGAGTCTTGAATTGCTCCCGAGGACAATGGGTTTTCGCTCACTTGTGACTTGGCCGTCGCGTCGGGTCTCTTGTAGGTTGGCGCCCCGTGAGACGTCGTGCGCGCCGGATTGGCCACGCGAGGCAATCTCGCCAACCTTCCGCATGGGAGGGGCACACTAGGAGGCGGCCCGCCACCGAGCGCCGCGGTTTTCGGCGACGCCACTCGGTTGTGCCGTTGCGTTTGCAGTGTTCGCGATCGCTTCCCGAAGGGGCAGGTGTGGCGTGTGTGGTCTCCGAAAAGGCAGTGGAGGGCGTCCTTGCGCCCACGTTTTGGCCCCAGAAAGTGTCTGGATGGTCGGCAAAACGGCTCAAAAGTTGGGTTTTTTCTCCTCAAAAAAACCCAAAAGGTTGCTCCTCAAAAACGCCCAAAAGTTGGCTTTTTTGAATTCAATTGCGCGGGTAGGCCCAAAACAGCCAACCTGCGGCGCAGGTAGGCCCAAAACACCCTACCCGCGAAACTGAATTCAAAAATGGCGCATTTTTGGACATTTGTGTAGTTGAAAAATGGCGCATTTTTTGATCTGAAAAGGACTCCACTCTGGACATTTCGGAGCGTCTGTGTGGCCATCCAGCCACCCTGGATGCCCATTCCGAGGCCCGGAATGCATCTGCGTGGCTTGTCCGAGTGGCTTATCGCAGTGTGACTCGGCGAAGAAAAGCGCACGCGATCGGCTTGGGGTGCTTGTTCTTTCTTACTTCCGTTTGATGTTTGCTGAACCTCCAAAGCGGTTTGCTGGCCAAGCAAAGTCACGGAAGGAACCGTTGCCCGTTCCATAGCGACAGCACAGCGGCAAAAGCACGCGCCTCACCCCGTGTGCATTAACGCGAAGGATTTGGGGCTATTGACGTCCCAAACTAATGCCTATCGCTCATCCACCGCCGCCCGGCCGAGTCATTGGGCAGTGGGGTGGATTCGCCATTGTCAGGCTCGGCCGGGGTGGGGTGCGAAAAAATCACTCCGCCTTCGTGCCACTTTTCATCCAATTGGACGGGTTGGCAAAGCATATGGCGTCTACTCGTCGTGCTAATTTGCTTCCCCGCTCTGCTCAATTTCCTCTCCCAATTTGGCACCAAGAATGCAACAAACGCCCGTGGCGCATTTCGCAAAATTTAATTTTCTTCAATCCACATTGAAGAAAATTAAATTTTTTGGCAATAGGCCTGTTTTGCGTTTTGTCACTCCATAGCACCGTCTTCCACCTCTGGTGCTGCGGCAGACGCGGGGAATCTCGCGGCGCAGGAGAAGGCCGCGCAAGCAGGTACGTATAATCATGGGGTCGAAGACCACGAGGACAGCGGAAGCGCTCGTGCGGCCAGCACCTCAGACATGTCCGACGAGCAGGCCAAGACGAAAATTTGTCGAGGCGACTGCTTAGAAGTGGTCCCGAAAGAGATATTAAACGAAGGGCCGGTAGTTGTGCGAACAACTCCCGCGGACGGAGCAGCTATTGAACACCAAACGCCGAAGATCAACATCCCGGAGTCTTCAGGCGAGACGAAACGGAAGCGCACCAGCAGCACGGGTGAAGACGACCTGTATGTGTACAATCTTTTGGCCGCCGGCACCGGCAGGCGGGCCACAGAGGACAGTGTGCCGGCGGCTGATGTTGAGGAGGAGATGACGACGAAAATATTAAATGGCGTCGTTTCAACATCAACATCGTCCACCAGCCATCTCGGCAAAAACAATCCACAGTTTTCGGTAGCAGAACAACTAGAGCGGTCGGCAGAGAAAAATGATGGAACAAAAAGTACTGAACCACAGCACGACCAATTGCAATTCCAGCAGGAAGAAGCAACATTTGGTGCAGATTGTCCACCTCCCCGATTGAGTTCCCCAAAGAACAACACGAGTTGTACTAGTACGCCACCTGCCGCCGAGGAAGGTGCAGGTATTCCTGCTGCAGACAGCAACCAATCTTCAGGCACAAGTACTGCGTTTGAGGCAAAGGCGTCCGTCGCTGCCATGGTTGTTGATGTTGAGAAGGACAGCAAAGAGGCTCCGTACAATCCAGGAAGCACCACGTCCACGCGGGCACCCGAAGACGACCACATTCTTCGCATGACGCAGCTACAAGAAGACTTAAACGGAGTCGTTTCAACATTCTCTTCATCTGGCGTGCCAGGAGCTTCGGCGACGAGTAATACCACCAACAACCCGGCAGCGAGCGCCGCGACGGCCGCAGCTTGTACAACAACTCTGCAACCGAACATGATCAAAACCACCTTTATTCACACGAGCGACGGCAAGATCGTGCCTAGTACGACCACGGCGACGAACAATACTAGCTCTGGCACTGCAGGTGCAGGTGCAGCTCATTCCGGAGGTGCGACGTGCATCAGCAACCCGATTACGCCGGCTAGTGCGACCTCCAAGACGACCCCCAGCGGAGCGGTATCCGGCTCCACCTTTGCCACCTCTGTTTTCGGGAGCTGCAACACGAACACCATGTCGAGTGGTGGGGGAGGAGGGGCGGGCGCCGACATATTGCAAAGCATCGGTCTTGGCCTGCCCCCTTTGAAAATGATACCCAGCAACAACAGTCTCACCTCGACATCCCAGGTGGTCGAGAACACAGACAGCACTTCCATTGTGGCGAGCAGTTTATTGTGTGGCAACACGACGAACAAAAACGCGTCGTCCCACGTCGTAGACGCGTCCACCTCTCATGGAGGACGTACCGAACAGAGCCGCGATATTGAAGATGCTGTTAGCGGCGACAAGGACAAGAAAGCCGCTTTCTCTGGTGACGAGCAAATTGCCCAAGGTGCGGCCGCCGCCCCGAGCGCGTCGGGTTTGCTAGTACCAGGAGGAACACTACTAGCGGGGCCACCTCCACCGACCACGTCTGCTGCCAGTGGTCACAGCATCAATCTTGCTCAGATGTTTGGTTGTTCCCCGGCAGCTCCTGGTGCCCTCGGCAGTACTAGCACCGGTGCGACGCCGGTCGCCGATTCTTCGTCGAATTCGATGCAGCGTGCCGTTCCAGGGACGGCCCAGCCAATGTTTCCCCCAGGAGACCAGCCGCAGCAGGTAGCGCCCCCAAACATGCCCCCGCCAACTCTTCCCCCGGTGCAGACGACAACGGCGTTGTCTTCCACGAACACCTCCACTGCCAACACGCCACTGCATACGAGTTCTGTAATGAACCCCACGTCTGTGGTATCGGTGCCGCTTAATATTATTAACGGGGGCGTGACCACCAGTACACCGGCGACCGTGGCGCAACTTCCGACTGGAAACAGCAACCCGGGGTCTTTGGTCTTCAACGCTGCGGCGGTGGGCACAACTTCCTGCTTCACGCTGAAGGCTCAGCATTTCGTTCCGTCGAACGGCGCTGCGGTGGGTGGGGTAGGAGCTGCAGCCACGACGGGCAACCTGGTAGCAGGAACTCCGGGAACCGCCAGCACGCCGGCTCACGTGGTCCATGTTAATACCGCGTCGACCCCTAATGCAGTGCTGGGCATGACGAGCGAAACCTTTTTGTCGCAACAAATCGCAACCGCGCAACAGCAGCAGCAACAGCAGCAACGCAATGCCGCGAACCTGACATCAACAGCTGGCGCTGGTTGTACACCTGGTGGTGCTGGAGCCCCTTCTTCCGGAGCAGGTGTCGGGGTTGTTCCAAATCAACAGCCACTCGCCTCATGCGGTACCTCTTCTACCGACGCTGGGTCAGCATCCGCCACGGCAGGTGGTGGAGTTCCTGTGGGGTCGTCGACCTCGACCACGACGTCCCAGAATATTAACACGCCTGCTCTCGTCGGAGCCGGTGTTGTAGTGCCGAACTACAACCAGTACAATCCGTTTGTAAACAACAGCGCCAGCAACACGACAGCCGCTTCGCTCGTGACCTCCTCGAGCAACACAACCACCACGTCTACGGGCGCCGGCAGTTGTAGTGGTCAACCGTCTCAGCAGCTGCGAGTCGACTACAACCAGTACATTTCGACGGGGGCATATGAGAATGCACAGTTGGTCCCCCCGCCTCTCATATGAACAAAGGCATGAACTACAACAGCAATAGAAGAAGACGCACCAGGAAATTAAGTAAGTACATAGTACAGGCTGCGCATGACAACGACAAGCTCCCGCGCAGACTGTAGCGCCGTCTGGCCTTCCGGAATTTATTGTCATGCAAACAATGCCAAAGCGCAGGTCAGACTCAGATGCAGAATCTGGATTTGGTATACCTAGGTGTAATGAGGAAGAGCAGGGGATATTGTGCACTCTCATAGTGCACCTTCCGCTGGCGGAGCACCTGCTGCAACCTACGGGCAGTTGAGCCATTTCGGGGCCAACAACATGCAACCGCTGCAGATGCCCAATTTGGTACAACATCAACTGAGCAGCCAACAGATGATGCAGTTGAATGGTATGAATTCTTACGGGAATGTGGTCGGCGTCGGCAACAACCTGTTGTCCACGTACAATAACAACGGTGGTGTCGAACAACAGCAGAATCAGATGAGCCTGAGCATGACCAATACGTCGGGCGGGGCCGGGGGAGGGCACCAGCCCCAGCAAGTGCACCAGCACCCGACCAATCTTCAGAATGAACTACCTCAGCAAATAAACGTCGGAGGCTCGGGAGGTGGCGGGGGTTCCACCTTCAATTTTAGTAGTGCCAGAAACGCGACCGAGTGGGTCCCTGGAGTACATAGCGGAACGACCACTGGTGTTCCTGGCGTAGTATCTTCCAGCACTGGAGGAGGACAACAAGTACAAGCGTTTGGCCATCTGACTACGCAGCCGCAGCAGCACGACCAAAATACTACTATCCTGTACAGCAGTGGGGCGCAGCTGCAGCACCAGCCGCAGCACCAGTTGATGAACAGTACTGGTCAGCTGCAACAAAACTCCTGTTATTCACAGCAGCAGCACAACAACATGAGCATGGTGAACACGAGCTGCTCCAACCAAGTCCAGATGGTGCCACAACTACAACCCTATGTTGCTGCCGGGTCAGCACACAACTCCTCGCAACAGCATCGCGAACAACTGCATCAGCCGTATGGAACAACAACGCATGTCGGGCAGGCCTCGCACGTGATCGTGGGCGGGACGAATATTCTGACAGCGTCGATGAATCAACATCCCTCGTTTCTTATCAACGGTGGTGGACAAGGACAACATCAGAACGTTGCGCAGCAGCCTTACCGCGAGAATGTGAGCGGAAAAAATGGGATGCTGTTGACGACTGCTGACAACTGTTACACAACGCAAATGCCACTTAATAACGCGAGTGGGTCTTGTTCTGGAGCGACGCCGATGAACACGAATCAGAAATGGCAGAACAACCGAGGAACTACGGACCAGCGATCGAACAAGCACCAGCAACGCTATAATTCGAGCAATAACAGCAGGTATGGCGGAAGCAGCTGCAATAACACCAACACGATGAACACGAGCGGCAACCGCGGTCACCAAAATTCCTGCGCGAACAACTACGTCCAGGATGAGAATATGCCACCATCGGATAATTTTTTCCAGAATAGCAGCTACAACAACTACAACAACCAGCAGCAGCATCAGCCGCCGCCGCGCCCATCCGAAACGAATCGGCCACTGATTCTGAACAAAAACAGTGGGATGAATGTGATGAAGCACAGCACGATGACCACGCCGATGTCGTCTGCGAGCCCGATAGCGGAACAGAGTCCGTCTGATAGCGCCGGGGAGCAGCATCAAGCGCCCCCCCGGGAACAAGATGGTACTAGCGTCCTCCTTCCGCAAAACAAGCACGTTGTACACATGTCCAGTAGTGGCACTAAGGAGAAAATTCAGCGCAAGAGGAAGAAGGCGCGGGCGCTGCCACCGCAAAATGTGGTATCAAAGGGAAGCAGTGGTGCATCCAGTAAGATCCTCGGAACCACAGATGAACTTGCAATCATCTCCTGTGGAGTGGTGCTACTGTGCTTTCTTTGCTATGTGTGTCTCTGTGTGGTCTGTCTCGTCGCGTGAAATGCGAGAAAGAATTTGTTTAGGCGTGAGTGCCCGTCCCCGTGGCAGCGCCTGACCAATCACAATCCACAGGAGGGACATATTGATGCGGTGATTCTGAATGTGAAGTATTGCCCTCTGTGTAGTAGTTTTCGATATGTGCACCACCACGATTTGTATACAGAAATAGAAACTCAGTTTCTTCATCAAACAGTGATTTCCTTTTCGGCTCCGTACGGTTATTGACTGTAGATGTCACCCTTTGCTCCTCGCATATGTGAATGCTATCGTCTCGCAATCCCCCGGTTCCTCGAAAGGCAAGCACAAGCTCGCGGAAGATGACGCTCCACTAGGCACATCCCTCGATGTACAGAAAGTTGTTTTGCCTGTTTTTTTGATGTTTTGCTGCGGAATTCAAGTCGACTGCTTGAGGTCAAGTTTTATGCGATGACTGGAAAGATTAAGATGCATAAGATTAAGAACTCGCAATGTAACCTGCAATGCCTGATGAAGGTAAGTGTAAGTGATGAAGCTGACTTAGTCTTGCTTGTGTATACAACTCGTTTATTTGTCGTAGGGTGTTAACACTAAGTAACTGGGCTCCTCATTGACAACTTCGCGCAAATTGATTCCTTCCCATGCATTACAGACTGACATTCCGGCACCAGATGCAGATGTGAAAGATCTGCTCATTAACTCTGCGGGGTGGAATGGTGACAAGAACGCGGCCGACCTGGCCTGGCAGAAGAGCGGAGGCGATTTCGGCGACGCTGTCAAGCTGCTCACAAACTGGAAGCAAAAAGGTACTCACTGGAATCTCGAAAAAACTAGAGAGAAACGTAAAGGCAGTGGAGGTTTCCGATGGGATACATGAAAGATACAAAAATCTGCATGCGGCTCTGGGTTGAAGATAAATCACTTCCTTTTATTGCGATTATTCTTCCCTCCGGAGAACGCAGCCCGAGAAAACGTGTACATAGGTAAAAAATGAGCGTCAACAGATTGATTTCCGTAGAAATAGAACATAAAAATGATGAAATAATCCAGGTGGAGCACCATCCAAGAGTGCATCGGCACATGGAGGCAAGGATCGTAAGGTGAAAGCATAGCCAAGCGCGGTGGGACCGTCGCAGGTACTTCGTATTTGGATGAAAGTCCTCGTGTCTTTTTTTTACAAAACGGTCGGGCTTGATAAAATTTTTCTGTACTTTCCAGGCAAAAAGATTTGTAGCAAGTCCAAATTTTTGTCCATTTTTACATCACAGTCGTTCAGAATCAATAGTTTTATTGACTATAGACAGATAAGAACTTGACTCAAAGGCTGTAGGGAAAAGTTGCGGAACCCTTAAACAGGCTCTAAAGTTGCGAGTCAACCTGCAGCAAACCTGGAGCAAACCCCTAGAGCTTTCAAAAATGGCGCTCCTTTCTGATCGCGAATACGCACAATATTCGACCCAAAAGATGGAGGTCGACCCGTAGGGAGCAAGCAAAAACCATGAAAAGCGCGATACTTTGGACGCGTTGAACCTGCATGCTGTTACGACAAAACCTGGAGCTTTTCTGGGGCTCGAGCTCTAGAGCTTTCCACATATGCGCGCTTTTATTTTTCGAAAGTGCCTGCTGCTCTGAAAATATCTACGACAAATTCTCGGCGGTGTGGCCCCAAGGCACGTGGCGCGAAGGGCCTCGCTCCGCCGCGCCTGTGGCGTATGCGTATGGGCAGGGGCTTCAGGATAGGCCGGCGGCATTCTGCCTGGATCGCCAAGGGGCGGCAAACTGAAACGCGCGCGGCCTCGAGACATGGCCCGCCCTAACTTCTTCCCACACGGGCGGAAAATACAGGAGAGCTTGACACCTTCGGCCCCGTTGAATTTATTCCCGGCAAAGTTGTGCGCGCCTCCGCTTTGGCCGAATTCGCGCTGTGGCTGGCTGTTCGAGGCGTATTGTCTGAAAATCTGCGAACCCGCGCAAACGAAAAGGGGGGCGGGGCTCCCGTCGAGGGGGCTTTGGGGGGCCCCCTTTCGGGGAGATGCCACTCGGGAGTAGCATTGTGAAAAGGCCCAACAGGGGGGGGGCTTCGTTTGGGGGACCCCTAGGGGGCACCCCACAAGCATTTCGGTTTGCAGCCCAGGAGGGAACTCTGCTGGCCTCCGGGCAAAACAGTTAGCGCGAAGAAACGCCCCCGGAGACCCAGGGCCGGCAGGGTGCTGCGGCCGCGGCATCAATGTGTGTCATCGGCAATACCGCGCGCGGCGTTTGATTATTCAAAGGCCACGCGTGGGCGCCTGTTTCGTCTGTTGAGGCGCGGGCCTATTGTTGGCTCCAGGCAGCCCGCAGCACCTCTGGCCTTGGGCTGGCCACGTATTCATTGCTGCCATTGAACCGGCAGCACTTGAAGTCCAAATTTTTGTCCATTTTTACATCACAGTCGTTCAGAATACTTACACTTGATATGGCACCACGACCGTTAGCAGAAATTCCGTTGCCAAGCATGCTCTAGTGCACCAGTAATGATACAACCACAACAAGACCGCGTGAGTCTGCTGAATGAACAAGTTTCAGTCATGCTCCCTGCCGGTCGATACTTTTCGAAAAAGCACTAATGTTCTACTCCATCCAAGTTTGTTTTTGTGCAAACACCACCATCCATCCCCTCAGCGCGAGGCCTAGCACCAGCTCCCTTGATGAAGACGGGAAGCTACCTAATAACGATAGTAGTGATCGACGATGAAATGTTTGATTTTTTTAAAAGACCTGCCGGCCAAGTAGTGCGCCTGCGATACAGAAATACTCCTTCTTTTGTGGCGCTGGGTATCAGTATCACCGAAAAAGGTGTTTCAATTTAAACAAAATTTGCGACGTTATGACGCATGCAGGACGACAGAAGATACGCATACCTACACTTGCATTGCGTAGCATGGAGACGAGGAGATATTCTTTATCCCGCAAGAACGCAACAAGCAAAAAGCCACGTAAGCGCAAGCACTTTTTCTTTATTTGTCTTTCTCCGACAGCTCTCAGCTTTACTCTGTTGGAGAAAATGAGATAAAGCAAATATTTTTTTCGTAGCATCCAGTGTTTGTACTTCAAATATACCTCCTGGTGCTGCGATCGCTATCAGGTACCAGGCGACTTTCATCTTCCCTATACGTATACATAGATATAAAAGTAAATCTAAAAAGTCTTTATTCGGTATTGGTTTCTTGCCGATCATTTCAACATCGTGAGTCAAAAGGATTCATCATCTTCACCATCTGCGTATTTCCGCTGTAGTTTGTTGAAAAAGTGAAAAACGAAAAATGTGTCATCCCACCCATCTTTGATGTCATGCCTTGTTTCACCTCTACTTTTGAACTCATTTTTTATGAGAAAAAATATCAACGTATTGAAAAAGAATTTTGTCAATTATGATTTTCATGAATCACCCCTTGGCTTTGTCCTCATCGATGCTCGTACAAAAATGGATATCGACCTTTCTTGTGTACCTTTTGTATTTCAGTAAATTTAGCTGGAATAAACGATTCATATTCAGGCTGACTCCAACAAAAGAGACGGCGCAATCGAAGAAGATGATCAGATCTGTCACGAAGGCAGGAGCGAAGGTGTTGTTGTGTGTTTAATTTCTGACAGCAGATCGTGGCATCCACGGGACATTGTGAAAGAGGATGTCCTTCCAAAAAACTTGTGTGATAGAAGATGTGATTTCGATGCAAGCGGTACAAGACTAGAAGCTTTCTCCGGATTGTTGTTACCAAAGGCTGTTTAATATTTCTCTATCGCGTATTCAGTGTGGAAGCGGCGTGGATTTCAATTTAGTAAGTAATACCACTTGATGTTGATGATGCTTTTTACTATAATTTTCTGAAAATACTCCGCTAGAGCTGCATAGGTTCAGGTTTGTTCTTAAGTTTGGATTTATTGAGTTGTAGTTGTTCTTCTTTGTTCGGCTTGTTTCGATCGGCGTCGCTGCTTTTAATCTGTATCTCAGCGCTCTCATCACCCCAAAAAGAAACAAAAGCAGATGGCGTCTTTCACATCAATGCCCATGCCGCGGCGCGACCCGATCCCCGTCACCGTGCTCACGGGGTTCCTTGGCAGTGGAAAGACGACATTGGTGAACCACATTTTGAATGACCAGACGCACGGAATGCGATTCGCGATCATTGAGAACGAGATTGGCGCTGTTGGTGTCGACAACAAAATTTTGGATCTCCCGAAAGCGAACATTGAAGACGAGATGCTGGAGGTGATCAACGGTTGCATCTGCTGCAAGGTGCGTGGGGACCTGGTGACGGCGCTGAAGCGTCTGTACAACAAGGTGCACAAATTCGACGGGGTGATCATCGAAACCACGGGTCTCGCGGACCCCGCCCCGGTGGCGCAGACGTTTTTCCAGGAAGAGGGGATTTCCGTGCTGTACAAACTGGACTGCATCTGTGCGGTGGTGGACGCCAAGCATGTGGAGCAGCACTTGGACGACAAAAACAAAAAGCCGAAGGGCTTCCAGAACGAGACGGAGGAGCAGCTGGCGTTCGCCGACGTCGTGTTGCTGAACAAGACCGATTTGGTCGCCGACCCTCCGGCCCTGGACGCGCTGGAGAAGCGCATCAAGACGATCAACTATCAAGTGTAAAAATGTCTGGGTCTGGAAGATTCTTAGACTTGTCATGCATGTTTTCCCTGGGCCATGATGTCTGTGATGCATGCCCTAGCATCACAGATTTTTGGAGGGCCTCGCGATGCCTATTCCGCATGACAAATGCCCTCTCCGCGTAGCAAAAATTGCACTCCCTTTGCTGCTCATGCAAAACAGATTTTTTTGGAATCCAAATTCAGCATCACAAGTTGCATTCTTCCAGACCCAGACATTTTTACATTTGATATCAACCACGGGGCGCCCATCTACCGCACCGAACAGAGCAAGGTGGACCCGAAGAAGCTGCTGAACGTGGGCGCCTTCGACCTGGAGCGCGTCCTGGAGATGGACCCGGAGTTTCTGAACCCCCACGGCCACTTCCGCCACGACAAGACCGTGAGCTCGCACTCCGTGAAGTTCGAGGGTGACTTGAACGTGTCCCGCATGCAGCGCTGGCTGCGGCAGCTGATCTCGCAGAAGAGCGACGACCTGTTCCGCTACAAGGGAGTGCTTTCCGTGAATAACATGCCACAGAAGTTCGTTTTCCAGGGCGTGCACATGATGATGGTCGCGGACTACTTTCCGGACATGCAGTGGGCCCTGGGCGAACCGCGCGACTGCCGGTTGGTTTTCATCGGGCGGGACCTGGACAAGGCGGAGCTCATATCGCATTTAACAACGTCCCCACTCCATAGTTGTAAAATCTGCACGCTGAATTTGAACATGTTTCTCATGCGGAGCCCCATGAGAAGCGTTGTCTCGTCGTGTTTTGGAATTTGTCATGCTCCAATCAGCATGATATACTACCTCCAACAGCACTACACTGCGAGTCCAAATTTTTCTTGCAAAACAGCCAAAACTTGTGGACTTGTCGAGCCGATTTCCCAGCTGGACTATGGGCTGAGGACGTTTTTATACAGGATAGCTCACCAAGCAGGCGATGGACTGCAAGGCGGAGGAGCAGCTGCGCTTCAAAATCGGGGACATTGTGGAGGCCAAGACGGGGACGAACCGGTGGGAACAGGGAAGAGTGATCAAGATCTGGGATCAGGGCCATCCCTACCGCATCGAGGTGCTCGACTCCGGGAAGAACGTGTGGGGCCCGGAAGACCGAGACATTTGTGTCCGTGCGGTTCTCGAATGCGCGGAGTTGACTGCACAATGAAGGGAGAAGATAGCACGGAAAAGTATATTAAGTAAGTGATGGGTACTCAAATTTACGCGGATGTTGGCTAACATGCCGATCATGCGCAAGTTGATGAAACAGTGCCCTACTAGTTGCGACGCCCTTTCCAGGCTGTGGAGGTTATCGCCACAATGATGATAATTTCCTGATCGATAGCATAAGATAGTCGCATCGAGTTTGAGATGCTTTTATCGTCGACTTATTTTTCACAGGAAAGAAACTCCGCATCTGGAATTTCTTTTCGTTTCGACTTGGAATATGGTTTGATATCTTTTTCTTTTGTTTCGCAGTAAAAGAGTAGCAGTGATTCTTTCCGTTTCCAAGAAGGATAGATACGAAAGCGAGATACAAACATATTGCAAGTAAGTATCATCCAGACCGCCTCGAGGAAACTAATCACGGCTTAATGGTTCATTCTTCAAATAGATTCACCCGACTAGTGCACGTACATGGTAGATTTGTTTGCATTTCCGGTGATCATGTGGTTTTCTTTGGCTTGCACATAAGGAAGAGAGGTTTGATTGATTCCGCAAATTTGTCTTCTGCGACAACACAAAGAGTGGCTGCGCGTGGACAGAGCCTAAACCAAAATTTGCTATCAATAAAGAGCGGTTAAAATGCTATAAAAAAGTCAGAGTTATAGAAACACGCACAGATAAAAAGATAAAGATTGTACTAGAACCGCTGGCAGGAGGGGTTCAGTGTAAATCAAATCAGTGTTTCATTCTCTGGCACTTTTCCTTCGTTCTGGTCCCGTGGTAGAAACATACTGAAGCTCCCTTTTCTCACTTTTTCTTTCTGCTGCCGTCTGCTCTTGTCGCTGCAGCGCGACAAAAATGTCGCCGAAGGATATTTTTTGAAGATGTCGTGGTCTCCTCTCTCTGCCTCGATCTATCTGATTTTGGTAGAACGTTTTCTGATCTTTTTTCATTTTTTACTACATTCCGGTAGGTGCGCCTAAGAAGGCGAAAAAGGATCAGGTACTCGTTCAGTCGTGGCTTTTTTTGATCGTTAGGTCCTTGGTTCTCACGTCAACTACTTCCAAGATCGACATTCTACGTCGAAATCGGTGAGTATTTTGTGCGGTGATGGTTTATATTTACATTTTTCAACCGGAATACGGCTACTTGTTGCGAAGGATAAAATAAATTTCTTTCTTTCAGCGTGCCCCCGCGGGTTCCATACATAATCTGGGCCGAGAGCGGAAAATTCATTTAGAATACTTAAGATCAATACACAAATTCGGCTGATGATTCCACTACCTGCTTCGCAGCTTGGCAAAACATGAATTTGGAGCAGAAGCGTATCCGGCATGAAGCGTGTTTGCAGCATTATCCCCCACCAGACGGGCTGTCTTGGTCTGACCTTTATTCGGACATCATCCAGTTCAACCGCACCTTTCTGGCGAACTTGGATTTTGGTCATGGAAACGAAGTAGCTCTCTCCGTGGATGGGTTTCAGGACCCGGCAGACACGGTTCGCTGGCTGGACTGGGCTCACGGTCGCGGTGGAGGTGGCCGCAACGGGACGACAGCGACGGCAGAAACGGGATCATATGCAGGACGAGCCGCCAGCGCGGGGTCATATAGCAACCGGGACCAGGACGACACCAACGGACGCGATGAAATAACAGCAGGAGCAGGGACGCGGCCGAGTCTGAATCATGCCTCCTATTCAGCGACAGCCCATAATTATCAACATCTTCTTCACGGGCGGCCGCCGCGCGGCCATGGGAGAACGAGAAATGGGCTTCGAGCTCGCACGGTGCCTCGGGTGCGAAACGCACGATACTATGAGGAGAAATTTGCCTGGTGGATATCCAAGAAAAAAACTGTGTTAGTGTAACTTTCTTTCGCTGACAGCATCACAAATTTGCTCTACATGACAGAGAAAACCTGTCATGCGTGGCTTGTAAGGGAAAGCGCACACGATTAGTGGACTTCATGGCTGTCTGGCATGACAGGCGTAACTCTGTTGCATGTTCTGCAACACAAATTTCCACTTACATACACAGTTTTTTTCTTGCATAGTGGAAGGACCGGTTCGACTGCGGCGACAACCAAGACACGAGCCAGCACCCGCACGGGTGCTGCAACTACGGGCACCTGGCGATCCAGCTTATTTGGGCCATCCTGGAGCGGAGCCGGAGCCGGCTGAATGCTGTGCTGCATCAGTTTTTGTTTGAAAATTGGAACGCCTTGTACCACACACCGTGGCCGGTCGCGCACCTTGCCTACAAGGCTGTGTTTGCAACAGCAATGCTCGGCACTTTCGACCTGAATTTCTTTCACCCACCTAATGATCATTTCGGAGGCTCATCGGTTGGGAATGGACACCAGGTCGTAGTATCAAACGCAGTAGTAGAGAAAAAATGGCTGGGTCTGGAAGAATGTTGCAGGATATCTTGCCATATTTTTCTGATATGACTCTGAGCTGCTCTGTGATCATGTCTGGGCAGGATGAAAGGATCCTCTTGCGGCCTCCTGTCATGCGACGAGATTGCAGCTCGCCATGCGGTATGCGCAACAGGATGCAGCCCTGAAGTTTGTCACGGTTGACTTACTTGATATTGAACTGAGCCCGTCATAATTCAGATTCACAGAACACTTCCTTCACAAGATAGAACCTTCTGACCCAGTAAAGAACACAACATTTGCAATGTATACCAAGGCCACGACCGCCGGAACGACCACACGCACGACCAGTCCTACCACTCAGGTCCCCTTGTTCCTCCACTTCCACCGGACCTCCACCGTCCGCGTGCGCAAACCATGCGTTTCTCGCCGGTTGCGCTGACGACGTACGCTACGGAGCGCTGCCTTAGCGAAAACGACGCGTGGCAAAAGCTGCGGCGACCGCCTCCCGCTTTCGCGTCCGCCAGGACGAGCGATCAACACCATAATGAGGACCTCCAGGAACGACGAGTACAGCTGGAAGATCGGGAGCTGTACACGGAGCAAGTGGCGCAGTCTCTGCTGGAATTGTTCGCGAAGCATGCGTCTGCCCCGCCGGACCTGGAGCACGACAAGCACTTTCCCACGGATTCTCGGGCGTTGGCGAGCCTGCGGCGACAGGCCATCTTGATGAAGGAGCGCCGGACCACGGTGCCCTACTACGAAAAGACGGGGCGGGACGCCACGCGGACCGACGAGGCGTACACCTACGCTGGCTTTTCCCCGTTGCGCGCCTTCAACCTGGCGGCCGACGGGAGTCGTGGGGAGGCGGCCCATGAGAAGATGTTCAGCCAGGCAGCCCTGCAGCACGAGCGAGACGCGCAGTGTAGCACTTGGGAAAGCCGCCAGTGGGAAGGGGCGCCCGCCGCAAGGGGGTCTGCAGGTGAGCCTCCGGACGACCACCGCAAGGGGTCTGCAGGTGATGTAGCAGAGGAGCGGCGAGTACATCACGGACAGGAGGTGGAACAAGTAGATGACAGAACAAATAAAGCTAAGGAGAATAACAATAAAGATCAAGAGCCGGCGCCGTTTTTATTTCCGTACTACAACGTAAAGTCCTTCCTCGATAAGGAGCTCGACCGCGATTTCTGCTCTGAGTTTTGGTATTTGTACAGCTTGCTGCAGTTGGGGCATCACTCTGACATTTCGCGCGTCACACCAATCTACGCCATTCGCAGTATTCAGCGGTGGTTCTGGTACCCGCTGTATGAAATGCAAAAATGTCTGGGTCTGGAAGAATGCAGGAGTTTTTCATGCAGATTTTGCATGACCCATGAGATCTGTGACGCATGCCCTAGCATCAGAGATTTTGCGAGGGCTTTCTGATGCTCATACCGCATGAGAAACGCCCTCTCCGCGTAGCACAAATTCCACCTCCTTTGCTGTTCATGCAATACAGATTTTTCTAGAATCCAAAATTAGCATCACAGGTTGCATCCTTCCAGACCCAGACATTTTTGCAGTTCATACACTGCAGACGCGCATCGACGGCTACACTTCCGTGACGGACTATCGAAGGGAAAAATCCCCCCTCCCCAAATCGAAAATGCATCCTTTTAAAAATTTGTAATGCTGATTTCTGGCCACAAATCAGTTCTGTCTTGCAAGAAAGCAAAGCCAGAGCTTCCGCCGCATTACGTAACGTAGGCCGCGACTTGTAATGCTGCTGCGCCGACAGGGTTGACGTCTGCCATGCTAGGCGCCCACCTCGAAGCAGCCCCTTTCAAGCTTTGCGTCTTCCTGCAGTCCTCGACTGCAAGACAAAGCTGATTTGTGTACACAAATCCCGCAACACAGATTGCCATTTTGATATGGGGAGGGGGAATTGTTCATTTCGATACGGACAACGGTAACTTCCTGCGCGAAAATCACGGGGCGAAGCAAGCCGTTGCGCTTGAAAAACTCGGTGCTGTTGCGGAGCAGGAGGCTGCGGAGCGCAATTATCTGGTCGTCCAAGACGACACCGACACGGCTCGAGCGGTTACAGAAGAGGAAAACTTCGTGCAGGGAGGTCGACGAGAAGATGACCAGCGGAGGCAGGAAGATCGTATTCGATCATCCACCGCGGAAAATGTTTTGAAGCTGCAGGAGGCCGATTTACTACAGCTCCCTGAGTTCGAGCTGCTGTTGGAGGAGGACGAAGTTTTGGAAGAAAAGAAGCAGGCGACCCGTGCAGGTGAAGCACCCGAAAGGAGCGCTGGCGACGAGCCCTGCACGCTCTACAAACTGGCGACCCGCGTTTTGTACAAGGCAGCGGGCAGCAAGACGCAATGGTGCGACACCCTGGCGGGCTGGGTTACCGCTTATCTCAGCAGGAAGGCTACTGGTGCAGTAGCTCTTGACAGCAGTAGTAGCACAGGTCAGGGACTCCATCGTCGGGAAGATTCGACTTTTGTGGAGCCCGCCAGAATCTCCTTAGCCGACAGGGATCTCGTGTTGCCGAAAAAGGCAGATGGTCCTAGTGTGGTCAAGGATGGCTCCACGGAAATAATGAATAACCGTCCTTCCATGTTGGCAGAAGCTGAAGCTCCACCGCAACAAGCCCGTTCACCTAGATCGCGACAGCAAAAAAACCCAACGACCTCGCCCCCCTCCGACGAGCGCAGTCTGACGCGCACGGCACTGCGCTACATCAGCAATATGGACAGGTTGCGCCGCGCGCGAACCGACATCTCGATGGCCAGCAACATGGAGAAGATCATGCGCGCGCCCCCCCAGCTGGGCGGCGACCGGTCAAGAAGCCTAGTTTTTTTCTACAGCCTGGAATTCTGGTTTGTCTTCGCGACGCTGGTCGAAAAAGAGTACCGGGGCGTTGTGGACTCGCTCCAGATCGACACGCATATGCGCCAAGGTTGGACCGCCTTCGACGAGATGGGTCAGTTAGTGCAACGAGTAGATAGAGATGATCCACCACCGCGACCCGTGGAGCTGCAGAGAAAGGAAAATTCCCTTTCCCCTACCAATGTTGAAGCTCCAGCGGCAGGAGCTGCTTCACCCGGCGATGCGTCCACTTCGCAAGACAGCACCAAAAAAACTTCTCTTGTTCCGAGCTCTCCGCCGACTTTGCTGGACGAGCAGCTGTCGCGGTCCGAGCGGCACGCGCTGTTGCACCTGATGCGCGGCGTCCACGAGCTCTGCGAGGCCTTCCGGTTTCCCTACCTGCTCTCGTCCGGCACGCTGCTTGGGGCCATTCGCCACCACTCCTTGATATCAAATGTAAAAATGTCTGGGTCGGGATGATTGCAACTTGTCATGCTAAATCTGAATCAGGCAAAAAACTGTGTTGCATGATTGTCAAAAGTTGTGCACATCTGACCTAATCGAGAGGCAGTTTCTCATGCAGAATAGGCATTAGAAAAGTCTCGCAGATGAATCTGTCATACTATGTCCTACATACCAGACCTCATGGGTCATAGAGAACCTGCACGACAAATCTGGGAATCTTCCAGACCCAGACATTTTTGCAATCCATACTTGATTCCTTGGACCGGCGACGCAGAAGTATCCCTGGACTACTCGTATTTCGGATTCGTCTATGCACTGCAAAAATGTCTGGGTCTGGAAGATTGCAACTTGTCATGCTGTCTTTGGATTCCAAAGAAATCTGTATTGCGTGACCAGCAACAGGAGTCCAGTTTGTGTTACGCGGAGAGGGCGTTTCTCATGCAGAATGGGCATCAGAAAGCCCTCTAAAAATCTGTGATGCTAGGTCATGCATTACAGACGTCATGCGTCATGCAAAATATGCATGCCAAACCTGGCCACCTTCCAGACCCAGACATTTTTACATTTGATATCGTCCTCAATGTCGCCCTGCTGCAAAGCCTGAGACAATACGTCAACCCGAATTATAATAGAGTGTTGTACTCGAAGTCGAAGATGAAGAACACCGAGGACCACGAGCAGCTTCAACTACGCCAACAGGAATATGAAACCTCCACCAGCGGCGCGAAGATGTCGAGCTCACTTGTTGAGGATGCTGATTTCTGCACGAGCACCAGCACAATGAGTCCAGTTTTGTGCGCATGGCTGCGGTCGAACCCGGCGGGTCTGCGCACCGCGCAGCGGATCTTCCGGGACGAGCGAATGGTGCTGCAGATGTATGTATGCATCGCAAAAAGTATGAACGTACCAGTATAAATCGCATGACAAATTGTTTCAAGAAAAAAGTGCAATCTGTCATGCAGATTCAGGTAAAAATGTCTCGTCTGTCATGTTGCAAGACCGGCATTTATACTTACGAGTGCGATACTTTTGCACAGGATAGTACGCGCGGCGGCCCCTGTCCCTGAAGTTTTTCTACCGCGAGGAGCACAAGTTTTCCGAGCCGGTTCCGGGGTTCGCGTACCGGTTTCCCTACCTGGACATTCACCCAAACTACGTGGATGAAGCGAGCCAGGAGCTCGGATACACCAGTTACGAGTGGGGCTACCGCTTCCCGCTCCACTTTGCCTACCCGCGCCGGGTGAGTTTCATCGAGGGACAGAAGTTTTACGTCTGGAACAAGTTTCGCTTCGTCCTGCAGGCTATCAAATGCAAAAATGTCTGGGTCTGGAGGGATGCAATTCTGTGGTGCTGTCTTTGGATTCTGAAAAAATTTGTGTTGCATGAGCAGCAAAGGGAGTGTGATTTTTGCTACGCGGAGAGGGCATCTGTCATGCGGAATAGGCTTCAAGAACCCCTCAAAAAATCTGTGATGTTCCAGCATGCATCGTAGACATCACGATGGCTCATGGCGCTTGGGTATCTATGTTGCAAAACGTGCATGACAAATCCCGAACTCATCCAGACCCAGACACTTTTGCAGTTGATACAGGCACTGTACCCCGATCGAACCGGCGGGCCCGCCGCCTCCTCCGCGTTGAAGGAATGCCGGGGGCACCACCTGAACCACCGCGGGTTTTCCCTCGGCATGTATCAAAAAATGCAAATGTGCCCTCTGGGTCTGGAAGATTGAAACTTGTGATGCTGTCTTTGGATTCCACATGAAATCTGTGTTGCATGAACTGCAAAAGGGGTCCAGTTTTCGCTACGCGGAGAGGGAAGTTCTCATGCTGTATGGGCATCAGAAAGCATTTACAAAATCAGTGATGCTAGAGCCTGCATCACAGACATCAGGGGTCATGCAAAATATGCATGACAGACGTTCTTGCATTTTTCCAGACCAAGACATATTTGCAATGCATAGCGTGGCCATCATGGACACGAACTACAACTGTTCCACGCTGCCGGACGTCCCCTTCGTGTCCGTCAGCGAGCCGTGTCTGGTGGACCTACGCGTGCTGCGAAACGAACTCCTACTACCCGACTCTCTGGCTATGCGACAGTTCTTTGCGGCTGTTCTTGAAGGAGATCCTGTGCGACCGCCGGCGGCAGCAATAGAGCAGGGAGTGCTCCAGGTGGGCGGCAGCAGCAGAGGAGTGTACCGCCTGGAGAGTACGACGATAGATGACACGACGTCGCAAGAGAGAAATTCCGATGTGAACACGATCCTCTTTGAAGAGAACATCAAATTACAGGACCAAACAATTATGTCGAGCGACGCTGCGGAAGAGTCCGAATTTCTACAAGAAGAGAACGAAGAAGATGCGAAAAGAACGGAGGAAGATAGTAAAGCTGAGTCGAGGCAGTCGCGCGTGCAATCTGGAAAATCCATGACGGATGATGCTGCAAACTCTGTACTATCCGGAGGAAGAGCAGCTGCTGGAGTCTTTCACGTCCAAGAGCAAAATGGGCGTCCAGTTGTAGCGGGAATGGGAGACAAAGTGCAACTGAAGCTGCGGAGCGGGAGCTGTGATACAATGCGCGAAAACCTGCGCCTACTATACCAGCTCTGCTACTTCGAACTGTGGACGACAGAAAGTGCGCTTCTGCGCCGGTTGATTGGTACTGTCGTGGTGAAGATTGTGCCGGAAAAATCTTCCGAACACTTGCAACTGCTACACGCTGATCATAGGCATTCAACGTACATCGGTGATTTTTTTGTCTCTATCGTGGAAATAGACTACATAAAAACGCGATTGAATTATGCACAATATTATTAGCATGTCAGGCAGCTCTACTTCCAGACATACACGAGCTGTAGACTGATGCTGCAACACCAATTTTCTCCCGGTTCTTTGTTCGTTTTTTATTGTGCTTCACAGAAACTTTTTTTTTCTGGTTTCTTTTTTTCGTTTTTTCAGCGTCTGCTCATTTATTCGGTGTCGGTGCTGCAGATTTTTTTTTGTGCGAGGGCTGCATGATATTGATGTAATATCAAAATGCAAAAATCCAAACCCCTCGGCAGTTTTTCACACGTTCTTGCATATCTTTGTTGTCATCATGTTTTTGAAGGAATCAATTGAGTTTGGCTCTGATCGTGCGGTTTTTTCAAGAACTAGCCGAATTGTTAAACTTCAGTCAACACCCCGCCATTGCCGTTCCTAGTACTCGTAGGCATTCATTGTATGATAGACATAGATAAGTTTCTATTTCTAAATCCTATTTGTGTGTTTATGTTTTGCCTAGTTGTGGTTTTGAAAGCAAGAAATTGTGGAGGAACGTTATGGAGTTTCAAGCGGAGCGACATGTGATATTCCCTCTCCCCTCTGCTCCTCTTGGAAAAGAAAACGTAGCAGTTGCACTAGTTTCTCAGTGCTGTTATAAAAAGAAAACGTGTAAAAACTAAAACCCGGCCTAATTAAGAAAAGCACACGAGAGCATGAGCATCACTTACCGCAAAATCAAAACGAATAGAATTTCCCACATGAAAACTGTGACTAGCAGTTTCTCGGTCCGTGCGCATCCAAATATTTAGGTTGATTGTTAGTTGGCGCGAGCGGTCTTGCAGCTAAAGAGTAAAAAGACGCTGCTGGTGCAGTGAGTAGTACTTAAACACGAAGAGCAGTTGTAGAGATACGAGAAATTTGGCTGCCGAAATTGTACGAAGAAATATAAGTGAAAGATGAAAGCGTTTTTCGGATCTTCTTCCTCAGCTGCCTCGCGCAGCAAGGGCGGCTCCTTGGAGAAATCGGAGGAGCTGATGCCCTTCCAGAAGACGTTGCTGCACAACACTGGCGGGTCAGAAGACAGATTCAGTAAATTTGTCACGAAAAGCAGTCACGAGGCTTCCGGCGCTGCGGCCAACAGCTCCTCCTCCATCCTTGCTGCCCGCAGAAATTCGCAAGACGCGTTTGCAGTAAAAACGATTGCTGCTTGTTTTTTTTTTTTTTGTATGAGATCCGCTATAAACCATAAGCAAAGAGAAGTAGTGCAGATCCTAGTGTTCAAGGAGGATTAAGATAGGTCTCTGCTCATCTCCTCCTCCGCCGCGGTTCAATGTGATCAACATGCGTCTTCGGGACTTGTCCGACATCAATGCGGGGCCATCCGCAATGATGTTTTAGCAAGCCGAGGCTCCTCATCCTCGTACGTAGGTACGTAATCGCTCCACCCCGTCACGCTTGGGAAGACACAGCCAGGGTGCGCACGATCTTGCTACGCGAAGAAAGCGGGCACCCAAGAGACTGATTTTGTCTTCGACTCCATTAGCCTCTGCTATGTCTTGGCGGCTGTGTCACTGTACCTGTCTCCTTGTGCCCTGTCGCCCTGTGCCCTGTTCTAGTGGCGCTATACTTATGCAGCATCCTTGCTGCCCGCAGAAATTCGCAAGACGCTTTTGCAGTAACGATTGTTGCTTGTTTTTGTTACCTCCATCCTTGCTGCCCGCAGAAATTCGTTCTGAAGTTAAATCCGCATTACAAATTTTCTTTCTCATTCTGAGGAAATTTGTCATGCGATTAGTACTAGTACGATACTTTTGCAATGCATAATACCGCACGTTTTCCTGTCTCTCCCGGATATTTTCCCTGCGCTCGCGCCGCCGATCTTGCTCTTGCTTGGATCGTATCACCTGCAGAAATGTCTGGGTTTGGAAACTTGTGATGCTACAATGTGGATGATGGGAAGAGTTCCGAATGCAACCCAGCATGATAACTTTCCAGAACGCTTTTTCATAGGCAAATCGCATGAGAAATCGCGTTTTGGCATGTACAAAAGAGGTTGCGACTTTTGTTGCTTATGCAATACAGATTTTCTAGGAAGGGAAAGCTAGCATTACAAGTTCCAACCTCCCAGACCCAGACATTTTTGCAATCCATAGATCGCGCTAGTTCGTTTCGCGCGACCTGCTGCACTAGGGTTTCTTGTTTTGTACTATGGTGGGGAAAAATCCCCCCTCCCCATACTGAGGAGGTATGTTCTACAAATTTGTGATGCTGATTTGTGACCAGAAATCCTGTCTCTCTTGCAAGAGGGCAAACGCAGAGAGTGCGCCGCTTTATGCAGGCAATTTGTAATGCTGTTGCGCCGATATGGCAGGCCTCTGCTATGCTAAGGACCTACAGCAAAACACCCCTACGCAGGTTTAGGCCTTGCCTGCCGTGCGCCCCCCTGCAAGACAGAGCTGATTTGTGTACACAAATCCAGCAACAGAAATTTCCGTTTCAATATGGGCGGCAAGGGGGATTTTTCACTTTGATATGTACGTGGACCAATAAATCTGGTTGCGTCATCCTTGCTGCCCGCAGAAATTCGCAAGACGCGTCTGCAGTAACGATTGTTTGAAGCTTCTAGGTGTTGCCTATTCTGCATGACAAACTGCGTTTCTGCATGTAACGATTGCTGCTTGTTTTTGTTACGTATCATCGATTCCTGATTTCATTTTATCCGATTCGTCAGGTGGCTTGGGGCCGTTTTATTTTCTCTTGCAAACTACCAGGTCTGGGTCTGGCGACCATGATCCGCCAGAACGTTTAGCGCAGCGCTGGTAGAAATTAATATGTGATGCATCATGTTCATCAGGATGTAGATGTACTAGGAAAATTTGAATTACACTTTGTGCAGGCCAAGGACCAGACAATATTGGTATTCGACTGGGACGATACGCTTTTCCCGACTTCCTGGGTCCGACACTACATGAATCTATCATACTACACAAGAGTGCTATTGTAGTGCGAGATTTCTCGATTACACTACAAGAAACATGCATAATATTTATTTTTATGGTATAGACAAGCCCCCCCGCAATCAACCTCGCTGTGTCAACATACAGCTCGGTCGACTTGGAGGCATTTGTGATGCGCAGCAAAAAAGGAAGAGAGACGGAGATCGCATAGGTAGAGCTTTTTTCTTTCCAGCAACACAAAACTCAATACACAGGCACAGTTGTAGTTGAAAAGTATCTATAACTCTATCTTATGTTACGGGTACATGCCAATACTGCAATAGCGCCTTACTGCATGATAAGACCTGCATTGGAAATATCCCCTGGCGGAGCAGCGTATCTCGGCCATTCAGAAGCGAAAAATCAAAGTCGCCCTCGACGAACTCGCAAACGAAGTTGATATGGGGGTGTCAGGATTGAAATCGTCAAAGTTGAAATGATTTGTCATGCATAAAATGCGATACAAAAAGTGACTCTATTGCAGAGGACACATGGAAGGCAGATTATAGTCCTGGTAAGGGTCAAAAGTTGGACTGCCGACTAGCATGACAGAGGGCAGCTCTTTTGCCCTAAACCGCATGACAGACTCGCTTCCAGCACCGGGAAAATTTGTCATGCGCCGACTACAAACTTTAGGTCTAACTGGTATACGTTTTATGGTGAGGCGCCCTTACAGGTTGTGTAGTGCTAGTGGTTTCGGTCGGTTTAGCATGACAAACTATTTCAACTTTGACGATTTCAAACCTGACACATCCATAGTTGAGCAGTTTCTGTTAGCGGCGATGCAGCGCGGTCGCGTCGTCATTGTACTCGAATTTTCGATATTTGAAATCACAAAAAGAAAGAAGATGAGAAATTTTATTTGATGTCACCTGTGCCAAAAATAATTGCTCTCTGTCTTGATGCTAGGGTGTAAGAGAAAAGAGACTAATTCACTGTGAATTTTATTAACGAAAAAAGGTAACGTTAGCGCGCGTGCCGTGGGTTCGACTATCGTGCGACAACTTTTTTCCGAAGGTTGGAAAGCTTCTGCAGGAACAGAACATCAAGATCGTCTACGCGCAGGAGTTGATCCACGGAGACGCCGAATTGAGCAACCAGATTCCGTATTTTTTCTCTGTTTTTGAGTGATTGTGGAACTGGTACGTAGCGACATTGTTTTTCTTCTCGATTGGTTCAACAGGTTAAGGTATTAAACAAGCTGCCGATTGTTCTTGGTGCCATAGCCATTCGCAGCAAAATGAAATACTGATGAAGATGACGCAGCCACAGCATAGACATGAAAATGTAGAAGAGCTGCCGTGTGGCTGTTTCGTTCCTTCTTCTTTTTCTTCTTCAAGCGGAGGATGTTCGCACGAAATAGAAACAACCGAACCACAAATCTTTCACTTCGTCTTTCTAGGTCGGACGCCGCGGGTCAAGAGCGGTACTGGACAGCGAAGAAGCAACTAGCGATTCAGCGGGAAGTCTATGAAACTGAAAAACGCCCCCTGCCCAACAGATAAATCGCTAACCATTTAAGTAAATCAAATAAGACTGTGACATGAAGCCATTTTCTCAAAGCGTGACGGAACGCGACGGAATTCCGTAAGATATACCGGCTTACCCTCTCGTCGCTTAGCGCCGGCGCCCCAGACATCGCTGATGTGATGGACGGCTGCCACCTTTACTGCTACCCTACGCATTTTTACGAAAGAGAGCATTTTTTGCCCACCGGCTCTGTGCGTAGAAAATGGCAGTGATAGGGTACTACTACTTACTGTGCCGTTGTGAGACGCTAATCGTCGATGTCAGGGAGGCCTTTTTCAGGATGATAAACGGGAGTTTTTTTACAGCCAGTACCCCGGGCAGTCGTGGAAGAACGTGATCAGCATCGGGGATTCGGACTTCGAACGAAAGGCGACCCAGCTGACCATGCAGGAATACAGTGTGGGGTTGTCTGACGGCGCGTTGCGGACCAGCCAGAGCCGCGGGGAGGAGGACCAGATGTGCATGAGCGGGTTCGTGGGCAACCACTACCGCCGGCTGCGCACCAAAACCGTGAAAATGTACGACTCCCCCCGCATCAAAGACCTGGAGCTGGAGATTCAGCTGCTGAAAAAGTGGCTCACTGCCCTGGTGCAGCTGGATTCCGGCCTCGACGTCGATCTGGAGGACGATGAGCGCCTCGCGGAAACCCACCGGCTGCTGACCGGGGAAATTTTGTGACCAGCAGCGTCAGAATGTAAGTATCACTACTGACAAGCAGTACGGACGATGTATGATGTGTTGAACAGTCATGATAAATAAAGTTTTCCCACCTTTTTAAGCTACAAATTGAACAATCGTATCTATCCGGTATGATCCACTTTTTTGACAAATAGGGACTTTTGACACCTTCACCTTGTGTCGCATTTCTTTCTTGTTTGAGTATAACGAGTTCCCAATCCCATAGGGTTGCACACATCTAAGTCATTCCTGATTTTCGATTGCCATGATGATTTGTTGTCACAATCACGTCATAAGTAACTGTATTCAACTTTTTTGGCCCGGGGTAACCAGTGTCCTAATTTTTTATTTTCATGAAAAGCAAAATGTATTGGTATTGCGTTTGCGATTGCTTGAGGCAAAACAGGTTCGTTCGGTGTTTTTGTTTCTATTGATGTATGCGACCTCTCGCTCTCTTGTTTCTGTTTTCAGATGCATGAACCAGGTTACTTCCTATGCGCAGCAGAAAGTGAGTACGTCGTTGGACGGGTAGAGACTCACCGCATGAGTAACGCAAAAAATGCACGCTTTTCACATTCTTTTGTATACAAATTTGACTGTTGCTTGGGCTGGCGCTTCATTTTATGGACCGCTTGTGCAGCTGTAGTGACCCTGGCTCTACTACGTTCCGCCAATTTGCACGAACGGATAAAACTACATAAGCACATGCGACTACTTCGACTTTTCTTGTACAATTATTTCGTAACGTTGGAACAAAGCCGGCACTACGTTTCGCTAGCTTAGTGTTTCTTTTCGCTTTCCATACTTTAACGGATATTGGTATTCTTCTTGTACAATACATTTTTTTCAGGTATTTGAGTTTCGCCCACAGGTAGAAGCAGCACCTTTGTTTTCTAGTATATGATGATTTAGAACTAGAAGATGAATCGACATCGGCGACGAGTCGGCAGACTCAGGCACGACCTAGCATTGCGGTTACACTTCGGAACAAAAAAGACCTCCGCAGAGCAAGTTGCAGCTCTGTTTTGGTGCATGTCCTTGGCCTTGAGTGTCGATGTAGGCAACCCAGCCACTACGGATTGTGGTAAGTATGAACTAGATCGTAAACATTGTTTTTCCCTTCCTTTTCTACCAAGGACACAGTACCGTCGTGGGCCATGAGTATTGGTCCAAAATGGAAACGCTACACACAGCAATGACCTTTTGACAGCCTTGTCATAAATATGCGTCGTTGGTTTGATTTTGAATAGGAGGAACTGGAGACGCAGACGGCTATCGCAACTGGTACGGTTTCGTAACAGGAGGGTGCGGCCGCACGCGGCCTTGTTTTTCCGCCCACAGCATCGCATATACACATAATTGGCGCTACGACTCGGGTGTTCCCGTTAGAAAGTTGGATTCTTTCAGTAATCCTGTTGGATTCCTTGTTCGTCCTAGGCCATTCATTTATGAATCCAACGCCGAGCCACTCCAGCGGCTGTGAAAAATCCATTCTTTGTGATTTTGAGGATGAGTCCTTTTCTGGAAGTCAAAAAAAGTGTGTATCGTCTTTGCTTGATGTAGTAGATGTATATTAGATTTGCCTATGTGTCATTTTTGGAGATGGAGCTAAGAATTAATCCGATGGCATTATTTGTTGTTGCTTGAGAAGTCTTTCTTTGGATTTTTTACACAACGCCCAGCCGCTGCTGGGATCGTCGGGAATTGTGTCGCGAACGAGGAGCAGAAATGGGGGTTACCGACCGCAAAGACGTTGAGGTGCCTGTTGCAGCGACGAGGTCTGCGATGACTGGGCCCGGACACTGCACCTTGGTCGCGCTCGTGCTTGTTGCACTATCACCCGTACTTAAATGCAGCTACAATGTCAGAATCAGAACCATTGCAGACATGAATCTGTGCTCAGAGAACTGAGTGAAAAAGCATGGTTCGTAGAAGAGAAGCGGGACGACAAAGCATGCCAAGATCTGTATGCCGAGATGAGTGAAGAGCAACTGGCTGGACAAAAAATCACCACCTGGTGTGACTTTTTTCCGCGAGTAAGAAGCTAAGTAAACCGTTCGTTGCTGTTAGCCTCACAAACGTCAAGGCGCGCGCTCATCCTGATCCTGACGAAGTTGCATATGCATAAGCTGCAGAATGCGCTAGTTGGGGTATTGTCAGTACGCGTTCAACGTCTTCGCCTCTGAAAAGCTCAGCATCTGATGCACACGCACAATTTGCGCATTGGGAGTACTTGCCGTCCCGCTATTAATGTGCACCACGATACCGATACGATTTAGAAAGAAATATCCTGGTATTGCGATGAATAGTTACTTTTCATACTAAACTACAGTCTGCTGCATATATTTCGCCCGGTATAATTTTTCTACAACAGGTACACTCGTGGCGGCGTTGGATGGAAACACACAGCGTCGCGATGTGCAAGTGACCGCAGCCGGTTTATCCAAAGTTGAGGGTGGAGGTGATCCCGATGCACGCGAGGATGCAGAGGCGGAGCACACGGATGAAACCCCCGACGCTCACACAAGCACACACACACACACACACAGAGGGTAGTATAGATCTGGTCTTTATGTTCTTCATCATCTTCTTGTGTGTGAAAGACCGTGATACCACAGCAATCGTCACTTATACTCTCAGACAAAACTCGAGAATGCCTTTCGAAGAGTTGTGACGATGCACCTGCAAGAATTTCTCACTCTGTTTCCAACCCCGCTACAACACTTCACAGGCAGAAAAAGGGACGCCTAGTTCATCATCGCAGGCGGCGTCTTTCGTGCAGGAGAAACAGAAGGAGTTCGAGGTGGCGGCGCGAGACGAGATCACCACGTTTACCACGAATAGCCCACTCTCCGAAGACTACGTTCTGTACCTCCAGAACACGCAAGCGGCGAGAATGTTGGGCGGGCGCATCAAAAGCGGGCTGAACTTGACGACGACGCAGTGGGACAACGTCGAAAAGAACGCGCTGCTGTTCCCAATAGACATTCTTCCCCCAGTCTATGCGGTGCAGTTACTGCGCACCTACGTCGTTCTCGACAAGGACGCGTCCAACACGCTATCCAGGCGCGAGGTGGAAAGCACGGCTGTTTTGTTTTGCCCCTTGGTGCCGTGGACGACGGACTCGACCGGAAGAGTGTTATCGGCCGCAAATGTGTCTGTGTGGTCTCTGGAATAAAAGTGCTAGACTTTTTTTGTCGTGCTTCGCTAGCATCACTTTTGAGTTTCGGCGTGGTTGCATTCTGAAGCGCTGTTTGTCAGCCGGCAACTCTAAAACGTCTCATTTTTGGCCGTTGATTCATAATATAATATTGACGCGCCCGTGTTTTCGTGATTCTTCACCCTGCAGCATCACACGTCTCCAGAACCAGACATATTTGCAATGCATATGACGATCATGGCAGCAACGTTTTGTACCTGTTCGACATTTCCGGCCTCTTTGTGCTCTCGTTTACGGACTACGCGTGTTTCTGTAGCAAAATTTCCGCCTGCAGTGAACCGCTACACAGGAGCTCCCTCTTGCAGTACCACGAGGAGGAACGCCGGTTGGTGTCACATGATGGTGGTTCTTCTGGTGCGGTCCGACTCTCTGAAGCGGAGTCCTCGAACTCCTTCCTCGAGGTAAAATTTGTCACCGATCTGATGTTGCCTTTGTCTTTGTGTTCTTTGTTGTAATTTTGAGGCCAAGTTATATGAATATGATTTACTTCATGTTGATATAAAAAAAAGGTGAAATTTGTCTTGGGTTCCCTCCTCGTGGCCTACAAGTTCTATGAACTGGCGCAGGCCCTTCTCGCAGCTCTTCACACTGTGCACACGGTTGTGCACACGGCGCATGCGGCTGGCCACGCTGCCCATGCGTATGTTCATTTTCCCCACCCTCCGTCTAAAGGCCTGAAGACTGCATGCGAAAAGCTCGTCAAAGTAGTGCACCAAATGAGAGACGCAGTCGACGGAACCACAATTCACACAATTGTACATGAGACACAATACATGTTCAAGAAGCTTGACAGCTGGGCGGGAATCAAACACGTCGTGGAGAAAATCTTTAGCCTCCTCGACATCAAAGCACAGGCTCAGTCGCGCCAAAACATCGAGGCGAGCATCGGAAACATGGAACACGACATCAAGGAGGCAGAGGAAATTTACAACCACTACCTCCATCTTCACCAGCACGGAAAGCACATGAACTCGGGGAAAGAGAAAGAGGCGCTAAAAAAATGGATAACGCATCTCACTGGATATGAATGGACTGGCAAAGGCAAAACTACTGGCCTAGCCCAGAGGAAGAATTGAATTGGTTAATTGCCGAAGAGGAGAAGGAGCATACCAAAGTTTACAATTCTTTGCAAGTTTCACATCGCGCATATGACGAATCGCCGGCCGATTTCACACGTAGCCTCAAAAAAAAACTCGGGCTGCGTCGACAAGAAGGTGGTTGATGGTTGTTATGAAAAAAGATGACGGAAAAGAACGCGGGCTCCACTAACGACTGCTGAGTACTTAAGCGAGCAAATCAAATATAGGACGTCTGTGATTTCGCAAATTGCGAGAGTGTTAAGAAAGAGCAAAAATAGAGCCACGGCATCTGGCTAACGCGACCGCAATAGATCCGTGGTTTCTTTCTTCTTCTAATTCTTGTGTCCCAGTGCCAGTCGTACGTCGTCCCCGATTATGTCACGTATGTGAAGTCGTGAGTGAATACAATTCACTGAGTTGTAAGTTTCGTGAAGATGGCGGACGTAGAGTCGTGTCGTCGCAATTCAGGATTGCGGCACCGTCACTGCAATCGGTTTTTACACTTGGAGGTATTAGCACTACTTCTCGGGAAGTTTTAACTTTTCTTTTCTCTTCGTTGTCGTACGTGGGTTGCTGCTGATTTTTCATTTTCCTATTCGTATTTCATCAAAAGCGAAGCCTCTCTGGTGAATCGTTTTTGTTTTTTCCAGACCAGTTTTTTTTTTCGTGTGGATGGACCACGTGGCAGAAGGGACACCAGCTGCGACCGCCTATAACTAATTGCAGGTTGGGGCAGGGGCACCCGGGATGACGTTGTACTACTAATAGAATTCTTCTTCAAGAACTGAGCTTCCGGCAGTGTCACTTACCAGACTATGTAAAACATGAATTTTTCGTGAACTACCGACTTGGAGGTCATCCTCGATCTATTGAAGATTTACTATAGATGGTTCTACTGATTCTATTGATTTCATGAGCAGTTGTCTCAAACAAAAACAAAATCACAAATCATTGATGGAACCAGCATGGGCGGATCCCGTTCGAATCCGAGGATCATCTAGATCGTAGAATCCCCTGATCACGACGAAAGTCGGCGGCGGCAACATGCCGGAGGACAGCTCTGCCGCGGGGGCCGAGGTCCTCGGCGACCTGGATCAAGCGAGCGCCGGGTCGCCGCTGGGCAAGCGGTCGGTGGTAGATATGGTGAACCTGGCCCAGCCTAATACGCTGGGGAAGGACCAGGCTCTCCTGAACGAGGACGGGGAAGCAGGGACCGAAAATGCGCAGGACGGCGGCATCAACGACGGGGCCATGGCCGTGGAGATGTGGTATTGGAACACCGCGTATCAAATGTAAAAATGTCTGGGTCTGGAAGAATGCAGATTTTTGTCATGCTGTTTTTGCATGACGCAAAATGTCTGTCATGGAAGCTCTAGCATCACAGATTTCGAGAAGCTTCCGCATTGCTTAATCCGCATGACAAATCCCCCATTTTGGTGACAGGAAATGGGCGCCTTTTGCTGCCTATGCATGAGAGATGTGTCTGTGTTGTGAAATGCGCATCACAAGTTCGCATCCTTCCAGACCCAGACATTTTTGCATTTGATACTGCGAACGAGTTCAAGTCCGAGGTGATGTTTTGCAACCCGGTGGACAGTATCCACTGCAAAAATGTCTTGGTCTGGAAGATTCTGAGACTTGTCATGCACGTTTTGCATGAGCCATGATGTCTGTGATGGATGCCCTAGCGTCACAGATCTTTTGCGGGCTTCTTGATGCCTATTCCGCATGACAAATGCCCTCTCCGCGTAGCAAAAACTACATTGCCTTTGCTGCTCATGCAATACAGATTTTTTCTGGAATCCAAATGCAGCGTCACAGGTTGTGGATGTAGTCTTCCGGACCCGGACATATTTGTATTTGATAGGCAGCGATACACCGAAGCTGATCATCCCCCTGGAGGTGTTCGACAAGATGAAGAAGGTGTACAACGAGAAAACGCGGCTGCTGCACTCGCGGAAGAACCAGTTTGACGAACTTTTGACGCTGTTCCGCACTGTATCGTACGAAAAAAGTGTTTCACTGTAAGGATTTTGCAAGCTTTGCATCACATGTTTGTTCTAGTACACCAAAGAGAAAATTTGCCATGCGAGATTCCGAAGGGAAAACACAGCCAAAAATCCACTGTCTTGCATGTGTAGCAAGACAAACACTTCTCAGATACATTTTCTGCATTACAAGTCTCCAGTGAAGCAGTTTTTTTTTGCGATACACCATGCGCCGGCAGTACTACCACGACCTGCAGGGCTTGCGGGATCTCCTGAAGACCGCACGGGAAGCGCAGGAGCTCCGGTACTTAACCTATTTCTACCGTAGGAACAGATACTTGAAACCTGACGCGAGGCATGACGGGTTGTGATTGAATCAAAAATGTCGCATCAAGAACATCCTCCAACGAATGGAGAAAAAGAAATTGTAATTGAACAAATGTATGTGGATGTGGTGAAGTATAATTAGAGTGTATAATCCATTCTGGGAAGGAGTTTATTTGTTGAACCTGCAACTGTATATGACCTTGATTTCTGTTCGTCGCACAACATACAGAGAAAACGGCGGGTACTTGGACCCGCGAAAGCAGGCGCGGATGGCGCGCATGGAATCGGTCGTGATGAACCGGGAGGTGCACTACTTTAATGTTTTGGACGTGGTGGACCCCGAGTTCAAGGAGATCTTGATCGCGGAGTGCCGGCAGTTTCACAAGGAGCTCATCCTCGAGAACGCGGCCTTGGCGGACCAGTTGGCGGCGCTGGGGATCGGGACGCTAACGCTCGAGGAAAAACTGCGCATGTTCATCGCGGAATTCGAACTCAGCGAGATTGTCAACCAGTTAGCGAAATTCGCCCCGGGTGACACGGCGCCGCAGTCGGTGCGCCGCCGGTACCTGTATCCAAGAAAAAAACTGTGCTAGTGTCACCTTCTTTGGATGACAGCATCACAAATTTGCTCTACGTGACAGAGAAAACCTGTCATGCGAGGCTCGTAAGGGAAAACAGACATGAAAAAAGAACTTCATGGCTGCCTGACATGACAGGTGTAACTCTGTTGCATGTTCTGCATTACAGAGTTACACCTACAGAGTTTTTTTCTTGCATAACCTGCTGTCGCTCTTCAACGCCGCCGGTATTGAAGAGCAGTTCGCAGACGAAATCATCGCAAAGTAAGATTATTACGCTCGCACTCGCTCATCTTCTACTTTGCGGTCTTTACAGAGACGGATCCATATTTAACTTCTGGTTTCATCGCTTCGTTTGACTAATCTATGTGGTTTTCTTGAAGATTATGCGAACTTTGTTCTCAGCGCAAAGTAGCCAGGAGAATATTTGAAATAAACAATTCCGGAGAAGGACTGAATCGACCAAAAGAAATTTGTCTTTGGCAGGTACATTGATAAGACTGCTGGGTCTGACGCTCCGAAGGACCCAACGGAATCCGAAGAATACAAGTCCTTGAAAGAGAAATACGACGAACTCGACGAACGCCGCGGGGACTTGATGGCCGAACTGGATGACTTGCGGGCACAGGTGTCCGAAATCTCCGACATTAAGGACGCGGAGATGAGTATCCAAGAAAAATAAAACTGTGTTAGTGCAGGTGTCTTCTACTTCAGGGGACAGCGTTACAAATTCGTTCTGCATATGGCAGGAAAAGTCTGTCATGCGCAGCTAGGACGCGAAAATCAAAACACGTAATATGAAAACAGCGCGATATGGCTGGCCAGCATGACATTGTGTAAAATTCTTTGCGTTTTTTTTTATCTGCATCACACACACACACAGTTTTTTTCTTGCATAATGAGCGACCTGCGTATGGAGTGCGACCGACTGCGGTCCGAGGCCCTGTCCGCGCAGGCCGCCGTGCCCACGGAGCCCCAGGTGCCGGCCGCCGAGCTTGCGGCGCTGCAGGCCGAGCTGGCCGCGGCAAAATCGGATCTGGACGCGGCGCGCGCCGAAGTGGTCGCCAAGGACGCGGAAGTATCCAGTATTCGGGCGGAGCAAGCCAGTTCCCCGGTGGTGGAGGATCTGTCGGGGCCGCTGCGCGAGGCGGAGGCGCGGCTACGAGCCATGACGTCCGAACTGGAGGATTACCAATCCGGAGCGAAGGTGGCCGCGTCGGTATCTGCGGCAAACGAAGAGGAAATGCGGCGGCAGATCGAGGAGGCCAAGGCGGCGGCACGCGCGGAGGCGGAAGAGGCGGCCAAGGAGGAACTGGAAAAGACCAAGTCCATTCTGGCCGAAACGCAGAACGCGAATGTGGAAGATCCAGAGTGGTCTAACATCAAGCGAAAGTACTCCGAAGCCTCGGCGAACTGGGTGGATGAGCTCGTTTCAAGCAGGGTATGCATGTCCTTGATTGTGAATTAATTTTCCAAAGATAAAGAAGTCGCAGCTGCAAAACCAAAAGTAAAACCCGTTCGTTGATGATTTATTAGAGGCCTCGTTTATTTGAAACTCTGCGCAGTTGTTTCTCGCGATAGAAAGTAGCAAGTTGGTGTAATTCTTCATTCATGAGTTACATACTGTTACTAACTCATAAAACCGCACCGCCGTCGTCGTCGAAAGAATAAGAATTTACTTGGGAGACAAGATCCTGTAGCCGGTTTGTCGAGAAACTGGTTCTTGTGTTTGTGATCTCCTACCTACGTAAACGTACTTATCTAAGTATCTCAAAAAAAAATTGAAATTTTGTCAATTTTTGCAGGAACGGGCGGAGTCTCAGATTTCAACTTTGACTAAGGACCTTGACCACTACATATCCACCGCAAATATGTCTGGGTCTGGAACGATGCGAACTTGTGATCATGCGCATTTCACAACGCATAAAAATGAAAATCTCTCATGAATAGGCAGCAAAAGGTGCCCACTTTGTGTCACCAAGATGGGGGATTTGTTATGCGGAATGGGCATCGCGGAAGGTTCTCGAAATCTGTGATGCTTCTAGGCCTTCCATGACAATCCTGCTGCTTCATGCAAAAAGAGCATGACAAAAATCTGCATTCTTCCAGACCCAGACATATTTGCACTTGATACTACAAGAGCGAGTACGACAAGATCAACGAGGAAGCGGAGGCGATGACAGCCGAAGTGGCGATATCCTGAGTAAACGAATGTCCCCACGACCCCAAAGTCAAGACGGAAATTTTCTAGGACAAGCCCAGAGCTTTTGAGCCTCGTCACGCATGAAAAATTTGGTTTTGCAGTTCCTTAGTCCTCTTGCGCAGGAGCTCGTAGTCCGGACGCATGACATTGACAAGCCGCTCCATTTTTTTTATCCAGATTAGCGCATGACGATGACGACAGAGATTCCTGATCATCACTACAAATAATAATGAATGCCTTTCATGTAGTAGTTGGAGAGCCGGAGCCGCAGGAGAAACATTTTGAACATGCAAACTTGCATCTCAAATTTGGCCTGGGGACGTTTTTCCTCTGGATAGGCGAAGATGCAGCTGGAGGTCGAGAACGCGGCGGCGTCCATGTCAGTCGTGCATGCCACCGAGGTGGGCGGCGACGGCGACAGCAAGGCTGCCCGTGAGGCCATGCGCAGCTACCAGGCCTTATCCCACAGAAAAAAGCAGGTGGCATGGCATGTGTGTAATACAAAAAAAATACTAGTATACTTTATTGAGATGAGAGAAAGATCTGTCAACATGGATGATGGTGTGTACCAATTTAGTTATGTCCTGCCTGCTGCTTTTTTGTGGGGGATAGGCCTCCACGTCAGAGGACGAGATTGCGCGCAAGGCTCAGGTATCAACTGCAAAGATGTCGCCTGGGGCTCTAAGAAAGAGTGCGCTAGTTTGTCATGCATTTTTGCATCCTCTGGAACACATGGTATGGAAAAAGTGGGCAGCGTGGTTTAGCATTCATGCAATGCGGATTTTTGTCTGGTGTCAGTCTGCTCGAGAGCTAGCATGACAAATTGGAACTCTTCCGAACCCAGAGTAATATTTGCGATGCATACCAGGAGATCGACCGTGGCGACCTGGTGCAGCTGCGGCTGGGCCAAGACGACATCCCGGCGGGCGTGTACGGTGTGATCAAGAAGCGCACCAGCGACAGGGACCTCGAGGTGCGCGTGGCCGTGGTGAACTGCCCCCTGCTGAAGATCCTCGGCAAGGGCCTCCGGTTGAAGGCCAAGCGCGGCACCTTCCTCGGGATACCCGGGGCGCCGGAAGAATTCGCGGCCCTGGCGCTGGACGACGCGGACGAGGTGGCGGAGGAGCTGGGCGAGGAACTGAGTCCGCGGGGCAGCCGCCGGGGCTCCCCCCGCGCGCCGCACATCGACGGCATGATGCAAACGTTGGTGACCGAAACCCGGGAGGACGCGACGGCCATGACGCCGCGCCGCGAGCGGAAAAACACGAAGGGAAAAACGCAGCACGAGGTGCACTCGCCGGGCCGAAAGATCGTGGAGACCAAAGACACCGACTACGACAGCATGACCGGCCGCACCGTCGCGAGCTACCGCCAGGAGGCGGAGGAGAAGCGGCGGGAGAGCACGGTGGCCATGAGCCTGGCCGAGCGGCTGAAGGCGGAGCTGGCGTCGCTGAAGCAGAGTCGGGAGGAGATCTCCCAGAAGTTCGAGGCCCTGCAGGACGCGCACCACGAGCTGCTGCAGAAGCAGGAGCGCGCTTTCGACGAGGACCTGACGGAAAAGTGCGAAAACGACGTGTACGTGTTCTGTCTGTGGCTGATGCGGTATCATGTCGAAAAGCGTCCCCATTCCAGACGAGTTGTTAAGTATGCTGATTTGCATTTACAGGAACATCTGCAATGCGCATCCACAGGAGAGGAATTTGTAGTCGTGTTCCGGGAAGCAGAAGAACAAGATTTCGATTTGTACGTAATGCTGCAAACACGATAAGCAGGCGGTTTTGTGATGCGGCTGTCCTTGTAGTTGCTAACCCACCGTCATAGATAGAAACTTGTCATGCATAACTCCCAAAACTTGAAGATTTGTCTTGCCGGTTTACCAACTTGACGCGGGCGGGGACGTTTTTGCACAGGATATGGGGCGATTCCTGACCATTCGCGAGGGGTTTGCGGCGCTAGACGAGAATATGACAGTGCACAACTCCCCCTTCCCCTCATTTGTCATGCAAAACTAGGCGTGGCACTGTGATCCAAGAAGAGACGAAGCGGGGAGGGGGTGCGGGGAGGGAAAGTTCGATGAGGGGGGGCGAAAAGAAAGAGCGGGTACTTGTGGTAACCGAGGAAAGTTTGAAGTGTGTACGCGCGAGGCGGAACGCGCGGAAAAGTTGAAAGCATAGATGAAAGGCGCGATAGAGAAACAGCAAAAGCTGCCGCCTCGGTACGTGTACGCCTGAAAGCTGAGCATGTGAAAAGGCAAGAAGCCGGTGAGCGTGCAGAGCAAAGTCGCAGCGCTAACTGCAAAAGCAGCAGAATCGTAGAGGGCGCGCGTTCGGTGAGCAAGTCGTGGAACAGAAAGAAAGACGTCGGAAAAGAAACGCAGGTCGTGCAAAAAAGAGAGCCGCCTTTCCCTTTCGTCGGTGTAGGAAAGAACGGCTCAAAGTCGGTTTGTGCAAAGGGACTGCAAAAAGTGCGCGCCTCCGGCGCGGCTAGTCAGCCGGTGGGAAGAAGAAAAACAGGAAGCGCGACGCAGAAATGGGCAGAACAGGTTCTCGTGGAAGGTACGGGGATGCATCGAGGGCGAGCGCCTGTGCGATGGCGTTGCGGCGCCGACACTCACCATGGTTGCGTCTATTTCCTGCTCCTTTTCCAATGGATTGCCGCGGTGGTGCCACCTTTGGCCGTTTTGCATTACAGCGCAGCGTGCCTTTTTCCGCTGCCGCCCGGGTTTCGCCGCGGCGTCTCTGACCGCACCGGGCTGAACCGCGGAGCCTTTGACCGCCCCGGGACGCGCCGCGCCGGGATGGACCGCGGCGCCTTGAGCCGCCCCGGGATTGGCCGCGGCGCCTTTGACCGCGCCGGGATGGACCGCGGCGCCTTGAGCCGCCCCGGGATTGGCCGCGGCGCCTTTGACCGCGCCGGGATGGACCGCGGCGCCTTGAGCCGCCCCGGGATTGGCCGCGGCGCCTTTGACCGCGCCGGGATGGACCGCGGCGCCTTGAGCCGCCCCGGGATTGGCCGCGGCGCCTTTGACCGCGCCGGGATGGACCGCGGCGCCTTGAGCCGCCCCGGGATGGGCCGCAGCGCCTTTGACCGCGCCGGGATGGGCCGCGGCGCCTTGAACCGCCCCGGGATTGGCCGCGGCGCCTTTGACCGCCCCGCGATTCAGCCCTTTTTTTGGCGGTCGATCGCGGTCAAACGCGCCGCCGAAATCGCGGTCGCGCCCCCCCCAAATCGCGGCCAAACGCGCTGCGCCCCCGCCTCGACCGGCCTTGGCCAAGATTGCAAAACCGCGACCGCGGCGGGATTAGCGCGACCGCGAAGCGCCCCTCTGGGGACCGCCCCCGCGTTTTACCGCGACCGCGTTTTGGGGGGGCGTCCGGCGTTTTTTTTGGGGGCGCGACCGCGTTTCTGCCGGGGTACGACCGCGATTTTGCCGGGGCGCGACCGCGTTTGGGCGCCCCGCGTTTGACCGCCCCCCCCGCGTTTACCCGACCCGCGTTTGACCGCGACCGCCCCCGCTTCGTCTTTGTCTTATATAATATTAATGGCAAATCCACCCTTTGCCTCTTGGCACTGTTTGCATGACAAGCTCTGGTAGCCCAAATAGCACTACAGTCCAGTGTAGATTTGTCATGCAAAACCGGCACTGTTGCTGATGCTTGTATTGCCGTTCACGCGATACAAATGAGGGGGAGGGGGAGCTGTGCACTCTCACAGAGAACGGGCAGGGGTCGATCACGCTGGGAGAGCTGGTGGACGGGCTAGAGAAGCACAAGTTCATCACCTTCTTCGCCAAGCGCGTGTTCCGGAAACTGGACGTGGACGGGTCCTACCAAATCGACAAATTCGATGTCGATCTGGGTCTGCATCAGTTGTAGTGCAGCAGCTTCGTTTGTCTTCATACAGATTTTGCATGCCTCACGAGGGAGCAAGAGCATGACGACTTGGAAGATGCAGGGCGGTCTAGTTGTGTCACAGATTTTGCATGGGCTTCGCATAGAGAACAAATGATACTGTTTTAGCAGGGCCAAAGAAGGGCTGCTACCCGTGCACGACAAGTTTCTTGTGTGTACAAAACTGCGGGACGCATCACAAGTTCTTGATGCAATGTAGTTCCAGACCCAGGTCACTAAATATTTGCAATGCATAGGTCCGGCGACCTAGAGATCCGGGAGATTATCGACCTGAAGGAGCAGTGGGCGTTGGTGGAGAACGAGCGGCAGCAGATCTCGAAGGCGGAGGTGGACGCCATGAAAGAGGGGTGGAGCAAGAAGGAGGAGATGCTGCGGCGCTACTACGAGGAGGCGAAGAAGAAGGCCGCGGAGCTGGAGCAGATCGTGAAGGAGGGCGGCGGCCGCGGGCGGGGGCGCGGGAACGGCGACACGGTGAACCAGGAGGAGATGAAGCGCGTGCAGGAGGAGGCGGCCAAGGTGCAGAAGAACCTCGAGAAGAAGATCGCGCACCTGGAGACGCAACTCTCGGAGCAGTCCGAGGGGTACAAGTCGCTGGAGGAGAAGTGCGGGAAGTCCATCTGGCAGAACCGGCAGGACCTGGTGGAGATGCAGAAGCTGAAGCGCGAGAAGCAGGAGGTGGAGACCAACATGGGCAAGCTCCAGAAGAAGTACGACGCGCTGAAGCGGGCGCGGGAGGCGAACCAGTTCATTGAACAGGTGATGAGCGACCAGCAGGCCGTGTTCGGGGCGGGCCCGGCCGCCGCGACCGGCACCGGGTCGCCGGCGCCCGCCGCGCACCTGCTTCCCGCGGCCCCGATCGTGGACCCGGTGACCGGCGAACAGGTGCTGCCCGCGTCGCACCTGCTCCCCGTCGGGGGCCCGGACCAACAGGCGGCGTTCGACCAGTTCGCGAACATGCTGCGGGAGGAGGGAGCCGGGATCCGGGAGGTTTCGTCCGCGTCCCTGTTCCAGAAGTTGGAAGGCAAGGAGGTGCCCTACCGAATCCGAAACGAGGCCATCTCGGGCGCGAAGAAGCGGTGGCAGCTTCTCTACGCGGACGCGGTCCACCGAAAGGGAACCAACCGATCGCATGGAGGTAAAATCTTTGAAGAACATGTGTATGCTGCATTTGAGAAATCGTTTTGGTTTTGTTGCCTGAGTTTGCCTGTTCTGTTGTGGTGCTGCTGGCAACATCTTCATGATCCCGTGTGCATGTCGCTCGCGGGCTCAATAAGTGAAGAATGGTCCTCTTTATTGAGAGAGACAAAAGCTCTACTTCTTGTTCCCAAAAGAAAAACCTATACATAAATCACATTCACAGTGGCCTTCGCTTCCTTGTCACCGCGGCCAGGCGGGGTGCGGATTACGAGCCCCCCTCCGCTGGTGCACGAGCTCCGGGACGCTATGGCAGGGTCGCCTCACGCGAGTTGGTCCTACAATTTCCGGTCCTTCGCGTCCCCCAGCAAGCCGGAGCTGTACCACGCCCCGCATCGGTCTACGAACGACGCGCCGCCCTTCTCCCCGTCGAAGGTGGTGTCCATGGCGGGCCTCCTGCAGACCGGGGACCACCTGATCCACGGCAAGACGCACCACGGCGGGTTTCTGCCCAAGCACACCCGCCAGGCCCTGAACCGGAAACGACGACAGCAAGCCTCCCTCTCGCCGCGTCGCTCGGACTCCGGGTCTCCGAGGGGCGAAAGTCCGTTCTCGACGTTTGCATCCATGCTCGCCGGGCAAAACAGTATGCCGCCGCCGGGAGGAGCGAGTCGCAGGTAGAATTTGACGACATACTTACACAGTGTTTTTTTTCTTTTTGCTTCGTGGACCAAAAAAAACGCCGCTTCTTTTCTGTTTTTTGTTGGGGATGAAGGTGAACTGTTTGTTTGTTTCTTGCACTTATTCCTCAGTAGAAACAATAACAAAGCGCAATGCCAATGTTGATGCAGGAACAACGGACTATATGCATGATAGTGCGTGTTCTGAAGTATAGATCGTCAAGTTGAAGAACTTCAGATTGTAACTGTTTGCAATTGAAATTCGCAACGAGGTACCTGATTCGCACTCCACCACAAGGCACGAGTCGCGGAGGGAACAATATTCACACGAGTCCAGATTCTTCCCAGACCCAGTTCTTTCAGCCGGCGCCGGCGCAGATGAGTACTACCAACCTGCAGTTTCCGCAGTATGAAATGCAAAAATGTCTGGGTCTGGAAGATTGGAACTTGTGATGCTAACTTTGGACTATAAAAAAATCTGTATTGCATGACCAGCAAGAGGAGTCTAGTTTGTGCTACGCGGGGAGGGCGTTTGTCATGCGGAGTTGGCATCAGGAAGCCCTCTAAAAATTTGTGATGCTAGGGGGTGCATTACAGACGTCCTGGCTCATGCATAATATGCATGACACCAAGTCTCAGAATCTTCCAGACCCAGACACTTTTGCATTTGATACGCAGCCACCATCGGTCATTTCCGTGGGCCCCGCCCCCTCACTCCGGACGCCGTCCGTGCACGCATTGTCTCCGCGGCGGAGCCCCAGCCCAAGGCCGATCGCTGGGGAGGCCGTTGAACTCACTGACCAATCTATCCTGAGTAAAAACGTACCCACACCATAGTCAAGATGGGGAATCCGCTAGACAAGTCCACAAGTTTTGGCTGTTTTGCATGACAAATTTGGATTCGTAGTGTAGTGCTGTTTGAGCTAGCTCAGCAGCATCACAGATCTAGCATACCATGCTGATTGGAGCATGACAAATTGCAAAACACGACTAGAAAATGCTTCTCATGGGGCTCCGCATGAGAAACATTTTCAGCATGCAGATTTGCATTACAACTCTAGTGTGGGTACGTTTTTACTCAGGATACAATCCGCTGCTGCGCTGCTCAAGAATTTCGGCCCCGCGAGTCCACGACGCCGCCGCGAGGGTGCCCTACAAGTCAGCTATGCATTGCAAATATGTCTGGGTCTGGAAACTTGTAATGCTGAGTTGTGAATAGTGAATGCTGTGTAATGCGCAGCCAAGCACGAGAAATAAAAATATTTGCGCGGCTTAGTGTTGTCCTTACCGCATGGCAACCTGCGTTTTTGCATGACAAGAAAATAAAAGGGCATCTTCTTGGACACGCATCACAAACTCGCCAGTCATGCCACACAAGCATGACAGACCTTGCATCCTTCCAGACCCACACATATTTGCACTCCATATCAGCTACGAAGATCCCATGGACCTTTACAACGTACAACTTGCTTCAAAACAATGCAGATTGTTTACGAATTTACGGCTGCTTCTGGTTACTATCTAGTTTTTGGAAAAGGCTGTAGTTTTATATTTCCGTCGGTTTATACGACAATTAATTTCTAGCTTGCTTCGCCTGCTGGCTCGGCTGCTGCTGCTCGGCTTACAACTCCGCAGGTGTGTTTTTGACTCCGGAGAAACTCTTTTTCGACGTGGCTCCCAGGTCAAGAATTCTCTTGGTAAATTTTGAAGGTTGTTGTTTTTGGGACACTTTTTTGAAGCCGCAAAACCCGGAGTTTCCCATGCGCTAGCGAATTTTGAACAGGAGCCGGATTTCAAAATTCACCGGCGCCCTTTTCAAAATTCACCCCAAAATTCACCGGGCGCCCCTTTTCGACCGTGATAAGCAAACTTTAGCGCAGAAAAGTGCTCAAAAAAGTCCGCAAATAGGCCCTAGGAATTGGCGCCGAGGGGAAAAGACAAGCGCCCTCTGCTGCCCTCATCCCGCCTATATTCTGCCGAAAAGACCGGGAGAGTTCACGCGCCTGCCGGATAGACGCGTCAAAGCTCTCGGCCTGGTCCTTTCGCCCTTGCTTTCGCGCCTTCATCTTGCCTAATTGTATGTGCTCCGGAGCCCTTATGTTTGGCCTTGGCGTCTTTGCTGTGGCTGTTGCAGTGTTGTGCCCTTATGCGAGCACAGGGAGACGAAAAGATATGGGCAAAGAACAACGCCCAGGCCATGTCTAGAAGCCGCCCGCCGCATAAGCCTTGACAACTTCCGCGGTCGGTGTGCAGAACCCACTTCCCAGAAGGGCAAGAGGGACAACGTGCCGGCGGACTCATCTGCACTTTGTCATGCAAAATTCACTACAAATTCGCCACTTCTCATGCTAACGGATGTGAAAGCTCTAATGCTTGAGGCGGGTGGGGCTGAAGAATTTCGGCCCCGCGAGTCCACGGCGCCGCCGCGAGGGTGCCCTACAAGTCAGCTACGAAGATCCCATGGACCTCTACGACGTACTTGCTTCAAAACAATGCAGATTGTTTTTGAATTTGCGTCTGCCTCTGGTTATTTTATAACTATCTTATCTAGTTTTTGGAAAAGACGTGGTAAAGTAAACTCTAAAATCTACTGACAGGTGGCCCAAGCCTACCAGAGAAGTCGTTCGCACAGCAGGATCGAGGGCACGCGCGAACCGAGCTCGCACCACCTGGAGACTCCGCCGATGTCGCCAAGCGCCTCCATGTCGCCGCGGTCGGCCCGGCGCCGGTCCAGCCCGCGGACCGCGAAGCACAGCCAGAACATCTCCATGGCCAGCATCCCCGACGGTCGCATGGGTCCGGTGAGCAAAATCAATTTGTCGGCGGTGAACGTGATGGATCCGGCCCCGGTGACTCAGAAAGCGGTTCCGGGTCACAAACTCGGGCAGCGGCGCTCCCCTATCAAAAGGAAAAATCCCCCCTCCCCATATCGAAACGAAGTTTCTGATGCTGGATTTCCGTACACAAATCAGATTTGTCTTGCTGGAGAGGACTGCAGGCATATGCCAAGCCTCATTCGAGAGGTTTTGACGTAGGCGCCTAGCATGGCAAATGTGTATGCTCTAAGCCCAACAGCATCACAAACCGCCTGGAAAGTGCGGGGCGCTCTCTGGACTTGCTTTCTTGTTCTTGCAAGACAGACAGGATTTGAGGTCGCAAATGCGCATCACAAATTACCAGACGGATACGTTTTCAATAGGGGGAGGGGGGATTTTTCCTTACGATATCCCCGTCGCCTGCAGTCTCGCTGAGCCACCTCGGCAGCGTGGAAATCGGGGACTCCACCTCGTTATCAAATGTAAAAATGTCTGGGTCTGGAAGGTTAGAACTTGTCATGCTAAATCTGAATGATGCAAAAATCTGTGTTGCGTGAGTACCAAAAGCTGTCCGCTTTTGACCAAGTTGAGAGGGAGTTTCTCATGCAGGAAAGGCATGACAGAGACCTCACAAAATCTGTCATGCTGGGTCTCACATTCCAGACCTCATGGGTCATGGAAAACCTGCATCACAAATCTTGCATTCTTCCAGACCCAGACATTTTTACATTTGATTCTCGTACGCCACTCTGCAGCCACCAATCGGCGTGTACAGCAGCCCGTCTCTGACCGTGACGCACCAGGGGACGACTGGCGGAGGACCCAATTTCATCACCGCACAGAGCTCTGTGAATACTATGTTGAAGCCCAACGGCGCAAACAATGGGACAACAACCTCAAGCAGCAAGGCAGCGACCAAGTCCGGCCCGCAGGGCGGTGGTCAGCTCCACCAGGGACGCCCCGGCGCGCGCGGTGGCCACCCAGGCGAGAGTCGATCGCGCAGTCTCAGCCTCGAGTTTCCCCGAGTGGATTCGGTGCAGCTGATCAGTCCCGCGAAAAAGTTCCAGACAGCGCCACGCGAGGTTGTCTCCACGACAGTTCGCACCGGCGTGCGCAACCGCAGTCGGTCGCCCGCGGAGCTGCAGTCCGGCGGAGGAATGGCGAACAGTAACAACAATATGACGAAGCAAAGCAGCCTGTCCACGTTGGCAATTTCGTTTGACCCAACCTCCACCGCTGCCGGCGCGCAGCACCAGCAACACCCGCAGAGACACGGCTCGCCCATGCGCGGCCCGGCGCCCGTCGGTCGACGTAACTCCCGGACCGCGGACAGCCAGGCCAGCAACGAGTCGGCGAGAAAACTGGGGCAACTGTCCGCGGATATCCTGCTGCGCGGCGGTGGTCCGACGACCGCAGGGAACACGCCGCACTTCGGCACCACGGCCAGCGCCAACATGATGATGTCCACGCGGAACAACACGAGTACGGAGCGCGCCCCGGTGGTGAGCGGACAGCACTTTGACACGCGAGACCTCCCGGAGGCAAGCGCCACCTCCCACAGTTTCTTCGCGTCGCCCGGCAAGAAGCTGGGCGGCAGCTACTCCAAGCCGCCAAGCACCTACAAGGTGCCGGGCGGCCGCTACATTCCCAAGAAAGAGCTGCCCGGTCAGTTAGCCGCGATCGAGATTAACACGACGAAGGTCGTTGGGGGCAACAGCCAACACTTCACCTCGGTGGAATCCATCACGAGCATGGGCGGGGGAGACCACGACTTACGAACAAACTCCAGCGGCTTGCCGTGGGATCCCCGGGATCCGCCGGGGAAAAACGCGTTGCCCGTCACCTTCGCCGGCAAAAAGCAGTCATCGGTGAGCCCACCCAAGAAGAAAATGCCTCCACCCATGCCGCAGCTCTCGCCCTTCAAGTCCGTGGACCAATGGGTCCAGGACACAAAGTGATGAGTAAAACAACCGTAACTTCTGTACACTAGTAAAGTTTTTGTGATTTTTTCCATTCAAAGCACGCGGCTTTCTCTGCAGGAGTAGCAGCAGGAGTACGTAGCACCTTTAGACTACTTTTGTAATAACTGATCGGTGAGAATCACAATCATATTACCAATAAGAATAACTGTAGTTTCGACGTTGATGACATTGACAACATGGCGCAAGAAGAAAACGCACGATAAATTTTCAAGACCATTTTGTTTGGTACTGAGCTATCTTTCTACACTTTTTATTCTGGTACATGAAAGACATAGACAAGAAACCTGTATGTTGAATGTATGTATGATTTGAATTTGATACAACTATTGCAATTGCTTTATTGGTCTGTCGCAATGTGAATGTCCTATCTCTAGTACAGAGGCCCAGTGCTCGTATCACACGGAGAGCCTGTTCTCTGCTTAAAATCTTCTTTCGTATACATATTTTGGCGGCTCGAAAAACTTTGTAGGTATCCGGGTTTTATAATTCTTTTCGACAGTAAAAGTAGTGGTAAGTCTAAGTGTAAGTCTAGGTATATTCAATTTCACAGCGTACAGGCGCGCTGGAAACACGAGAGCGTACATGCAGCATAAACTCTTTTATACATAATGCTTGGAATCCGAATCCTGATCTTGGCCCGTGGATCGGGGGATTGATCCACCAACAGCGCG